GGTGGCAGGTCCTATGTTCAGAGGTGTGCTGCCCCAACCCTGGACTGCAAAAGCCTCTTCATAGCGTGCGATACCTACAGGGCCGGTCAAGAGACTCTTTCACAAGAATACCATCAATAATCAATATTGAAAGAGTCTAAATATTGACGCTGAGTGCGTGCTGCACGGACAGCACGTCCTCAACCCTGGCGATCTCAGATGGCTGCTCGATGTAAAGAGATGTGCCCATCAAGGAGGGGCACCCACGCTGTGCAGCAAATTGACACCCCAATTCTGTCGCTTGTGGCACATTTGATTGATACACATCGCGTGCGTGTACCATAGCGTGGGTGCCGGCAAGATAAGGGCATCACCTTTGCGCCATCTGATGTGACATGCCGTGTGTCTTTATGCAGCGACCAGGAAGTGCGATGATGCTGAGAAGAATCTTGTAGCAATTCTTCCACGTTCAACATTCTATGTGAGTGGATTTCGACACCGACATCGTAGAGAAACAGCAAGAACGAGCCAGGCTGCTCAATGACAGATGGGGTTAATAATATTATAAGATAGGCTCAGGGGATTTATTTTCTTGCCCTCCACCGCCACTACCTTGTGGCGGTCAGCAGCAGTGCTCTGTCTTCAAGCAGAAGTGCTCCATCCCACTGGCCACTTCAGATTCGAAGGTTGAGCATGTGAGGCAACCGGGAGCAAAATTACCTTACAGATTGTTACATGCATGATATCTGGTTACCGTCATGATTGTTGCGCACATGTGCAGAGAGGGACAAGTGAGTGACTAATATTAGTTGCGTAGAGCGCATGGATGTGCAACGCCTTGTAGTGAGGCAGACTTGGTCACAACCTACTACAGTCCTCATTGCAATATCAAATTTAGGACATAAAAAAAATTGATGCTACATTTGCGTCATGCTCACACGCCAATTCTGACTAAGCTTGAAACTGACTTAGCTTGAAAGTGCAAAGATCACATTGCAAGTCACTCTCCAGCCGCCGGTGGGCGCCTCAGAAAGCGAAGGCACCTCTCGGGAACTGCCACCATCTGATTGCCCCCAATTGCTTCCAAGGGTGTTCTGCCTGCTCTGACTTCATCTGTGTCGCTCAACCATGCCTTCTGGTGTCCAGCCCCAGTTGCGTCTGTGATGGTGAGCCCGCAAATAACACCAAACCCCTCAAGCTCAGCACCGTGGAACCGTGTGCCAGGCCCAATATGCACCACCTCTGCCGTCCCCACTATCCTCCTGTCATCTGTTAGGACATAGACTGTGTCATCTGGCAGAATCTGCACGTCACTGTGCGCGCTCGAATGGCCTCTGGCTTGCGGCGAGGGGTTCAGCTGACATGCCAGCCCTGCGATGACACCCATTGCAGCTTCCATGTTGATCCCAGGGGAGGAAACTTCCAGGGACGGTCGACCTGCGCGCACCAACACACAGCTGCTTACAATCCGCGATTATTACCGCATTCAAGCAATATCTTCCCTAGTGTCTTGCTAGGATGTCAAGCTCAAATTTATTCCTGTTGTTAGTATTACCCAGATGACCCTTAGGTGCGGCACTCTACCACATCATATGTAGCAGGGTGCGTGAGTGACAGGCATGACTCAGGCAAAGGGGCAAGCACAGCATGTGGAGCAGGGTGCGTGAAAGACAGGCATGGCTCAGGCAAAGGGGCAAGCAGACACTTCAGCATTGAGAGACAAGACATGAACAAATCAACTACACCAGCGTATGAGAGCAGTCAGTTGACAAGTTCACAGGAATGACAGAGCAGGATTTTGTACATGCCTGCTGGGCCATCTGCAGAGCGGTAGGAGGAAGCTGGCTCCTCATCGGCAGCGAGCTCCAGAGCAGGATCAAAGAAGACCATGGCGCCAGACAGCGGTGACTGCTCCAAGGCTGACTGCGACTGCTCCGCTGCCGTAGCACTCCCACCTAGACAACACATGCCTGTCGTCAGCTTATTGCTGACAATTACCTGTCGATAAACCTTCGGGGTATGATTCGCATGGCATTATAACTTAGAAACTCACTGTGAGTGGAATCATATAAGCCAGGACAAAGAGAGCCATGATGGCTCCTCACCTTCTCCGGCGCGCGCCGCATTCTGCTCCTCAGCCAGCAACATTGCCAGCGCCACACCAGTTGCAGCCTCTTCGACGTTCATGGGCGAGCTCCCGGCAGCGCCTCCGAGAGCCACCTTCAGCCGTTTTGGATGACAGAGGGCCGCTGCAATGTGCCGGTAGTCGATCACCAGCACAGCCATTTTGGCCGGCGATGCGGCATGCCCCTGCATGCTCAGCCGCACGTTGGGGACTGGCACAGGCTGCGGCGACTCATCTGCCAGCAAGCAGCCGTGCAACGGCGACTGGCTCGCACAAGCTGTGGGCTGCGGCGGCACTTCGCTGGCCTCAGGCAGGACACCCTCTGCCTGCCCTTCTGGCTCTGCTGGGTCACTGTGCTGCTGCGCTGGCTGGTCATCCGCATCTGACTCAGAGAAGAGGTTCCCAACCTCGTCTTCGTCGCCCTCAGTGGGGGGACCCCAAAACTCTGCGGCTCTGGCGGTTGGGCGCCTGAGCCTGCCTCGGCTGCCCCTTCTGGGCCGATTGCTGCCACGCGCCCCGCCTGTGCCGCGGCGGCCACGCTTCCTGCCCCGACCCCGCCCATGCCCTTCCTGCACGCCCCCACCGGTGGCTGCCTCTCCTGCACCCCGTCCCTCCACATCTGCGCGTGCCCCACCGCCTTCCCCTGCCACCGCTGCCTCGGGCTCCCCCTGGCTATCTGTCTGCACGCGCGCCTCGAGGAACCATATCTCCATATGCAGCTGGGTGCCATCGCTGCCTGGCTGCACAGCGCGCACCAAACCAACAGGAGCCTTGGCAGCACGACCCAACTGGGACAAGTTGCGTGCTGGGAACTCCCCGTCGCGGTGCAGCGTGCTTGTGACGGCCCAGAGAGCGACACCAATCGAGGGAGTGCTCTCCCCCAACTGCGGCAGGTAGTGGCACTTGTCGAAGGTCCAGAGCAACTCGTCAATCTGCTTGAGTTTGACCACGGGCAGGCCGCTGCTCACTCCTGCAAACATGTGAGCGCCTCAATTGACTGGCTATCATTCCCTTCCATCAAATCTGCAGAAGTTAAAGCCTTCTCGGGTGTGCAACAGTCACCAGGTGATCAGAGCTTCCAGCTGAGAGCGCCCACTCACCCTTGTTAACAATGGACTTGGCCGCTTCCATCTGAAGCTGTGACTTCTTCGGCGCCTGTAACAACAATAACTTACAATCAGTGTGTTCAGCCAAACTCGCTTTCACTGCACCAGCAGCTTGACAGATGAGAGGCGTTCACAAAGCACATGCAAACATAAGGATCCTCAACAAGATGCCCACCTTCTGCCTTGCTGGTCTTTGCCGTGCCGGTTGGGCTGCGGCCTCAACAGCGGCTGTGATCTCTTCAACCGCCGCCGCACTCGGCTCCAGTCCACCTGCATGACAGCATCCATTAGCTGCCAGCGCATAAGATGTCCAGAGGAAATGGTGAGGACATGTTATTAATTTGCCAGGCATAAGATGTGTAGGCGCTGATCGTTACAGCCATCATGGATAGCTACCTTCTGGATGCTCAAATCTAAGCAGCCCTTCCACCCTGGCGAGCAGCGCGCTTCTGGTGAAGATCACTGGCCGCTGGCCTCTGTCAAGCAGGAACCGCTTCAGCTCTGCAACGGTGGATGAGGCCTTGAGGCTGAACGCAAGCCACCGTTGGACGATGTCCTGCTCGGCTCCCTGAGCGCTGAGCTGCCTGCGGCTGATCCCTGGCTGTGGCGCTTGCGAAGGTCCTGCAGCTTCTGCCTCTGGGGCTGCGGGACCCTGCATGCCGCCTGCTGCAGCTGTGGCGCCCCTCTGCGCCTGTCCTTGGGCTGTCTGGCCTGCCTGAAGTCCACTGGCCTGGAGATACGAGGCTGCCATCACTGTCCTGTTCAGGTTGGGCACTGCTGCCAGCAATCTGCTGGCGCTCTTGCTGAAGCTGACTTTCTGATTGAGGTGTCTCGTTGCAAAGATGGCGGTCGAAGTCGTCCCATTGTCTTCGAGGCGAGCCTGCTGACCACCAATGATGCCTCGAATCTTGCTTGATCGCCTATCGGCTCTCTTCCTCTCCAAGTCGCCGGTCTCTGCCTCTGAACGCAACGCAAAAGTCAGAGTTAGTTACTCTGTGTCAAGGTCATGGGGAGATTCAAAACATAGGTGTTCCCAACCTTCAAAGATGGAGTGCTTATTGAGACCTACCAATCACTCCTTGATGCATGATAAAATTCAACTTATCCTCATTGAGATCCTTGCCCCTGGTTTGGGCTGCAATGACGCAGTCCTCACAGCATTTGTGGGTAATATTTCTGAGCTCTGGATACTTTTCGCTCTCAATCTTCCCGCGAATAGAATAGTAGCCATTAGCTCTGGACAATGCTGAAGGTTCATCTCGGCCAAGGCAGCTCTGATGGAAATATCTGACCCCTGAGTCCACGGCATTGCAACGTTGCAATGGCACCCTTGCCTCTTGTTTGAAGACCCAGTCGGCAACAGCGTCGTGGCCGTATTCGTCCTTTGTCAGACCTTCTGAATAGAATCTGATAATATAATCACAACCTACACAGCGAGTCAAGCGTTCTGAACTTGCGCAGTTCGGATGAAGCTTCTCCTTGTCACTGCCACACTTGTAACACGGGATCCTAGCAATAATAAGTGACATGCTCGGTACAGAAACACATCACTGATCATTCTCCATGCTTACTGACGAAAGGCCTAATTTTTATTACCAAAATGGCATGCTATGGAATGTGTTACCAGGTGGCATGGCCCCTGATTGCCAATAATCCACCACATTAGTAGCGTTTACATCCACTAAAGTAGTGGATTTTGATTACTCGGGTGCCCTGCTTGCTGATGTCATCGCAGCCCATCCAGCCCATGAGAGGCTTTCTGTTCTGCATTTGCTGGAATCGAAAGGCATCCAACTGCTGTTGTTAGAGTCAAATTGGCTTGTGCTCGTTGATTGTAGACTCGCGGGGAATCGTGGCCACACCGACATGCTACGACGTGCATCAGTGATATGAAGTGGTATAAGGCCCCAGCAGAGGGATGTCATTCCGTGTGCTAGCATCGAGGCTAGCGAGACGCCCACTGTTCGAAGCCAGCGTCAAAGTGCCAGCGGCAGTCGAAGTTTCAAAAGTAGCAGATCAGTTGGTCTTTGCTGGACCTCTGGGCACATCTCGGCTTGGGCTGAGCAGCATCGACAGCCTGGGTGATGCGGCCTTAAAATTGGTTCCTGAGCAGCGGGAGATCGCTGTCTGCACGCAAAATAAAGCATTCTTTGGCACCCTGCAAGTAGGGATTTATCCTGCCCATCCCTTCCCAGTACAATTGTTCTCTCCCTGCATCTTTGCCCAGAAGCTTCAAGGACATTTATTGTCTGCAATTTGACAGCAGAATTTTGCGTGCTGAGTTTTGCACCTTGCCACTGCTTCAAACAATGCTGATGGTGGCTGCAGAGCCTGCTGAGGAACAAGATCGAGGGCGTGACAAAGGGCGTCCTGGTGTACCTGCGCATTTCCGGCATTGGCTATCGTGCAACGATCGAGGGCCAGACGATCACCTTCAAGCTGGGCTTCAGTCACGACATTGCCTATGACCTGCCTGACTCCATGCGTGCTTTCCTGCCTGAACCCACCCTCATCGGCCTCTATGGCATCGACAAAAACCAGGTGCTCAACAGCCGCCTGCTGTCTCTCCAACACCAGCATCACCATGTGCAATCTGTAATATAAGAGAGCTCCTGCATGCATGTGATAACGTTGCACATTGCGGTGATACAGGCAAGAGAGGGTTGCATTCATCCCCACTGCAAGCTCCTTGCAGGATATTGTTTGTTTCCCTCCGCACTATTGCTGCCATGGGGCAAGATTAGTGTGCAGCAAGCTGCAGGTAATGAGCGAGGCAAATAAGTTTGCAATGTACAGCAGTGTGTGAGTGTAGTGAGGAACTGTGCCTGCAGGTGACTCAGGCGGCAGCCAACATAATCCGGCTGCGGCCACCGTCGGTGTACAAGGGCAAGGGCATCCGGCTGGCAGACTCCACACCACGCCTCAAGCCTGGCAAGAAGAAGTGACCAATGCCATGCATGCAGCAGTGTTGAGCAGTGTCAATTGCGGAGCCCTTCACATGCGTATACATGCTGGCTGCCCTTGGTATGTGGGTGGCAAAGAGACATCTGCAACTCTGGTGTATTGAGAGAACTCTTGACAACCAGTGATCTTGAATTGCTGGGGCCTGCTCAGAGAATATTCAGCACTAATGTAAGCAGTATTGGGTAAACCAGTAGTGCAGATTTGTAGAAGACTTGATGTGCAATAGCTTTACAGAAGCACCGCATAGCAACAGATTCATTCTTTAATGATTACAATCAAATCAAAGCCAATGAACCTGCTCATGCTGTCTGGTAAGCCACATCGACACCGCCCTCATCAGCAATGTCAGGCTCTGTCCAGTCCAGCAGCTCCAGTGCCTGCCTGTGAACCTGCGCATCCCCTGCCGCAATGACCTCTCCGGGGAGCGATGCGTCCACCGCGTACCCATGAGACGGAGTCACCGCCCATCTCAAGTGTTGCCCCTGTACAGAACACATTTCGTCAGCAACCCAATGCAGTGCACGCGGAGATGTGTTTGGGTCTTAACTTTTGACCTGTCAAGGCTCCTCTCATCCCAAATTTGCACCTGATTCAGCGATTTTTGCTTGCTGCATCTGATGCATGATGCTTTGATGCATCATCAGCCATCTGTTCTTGACATAGCCGAACACCCACGAGCCTCTCAAAAACACCCTAACACCCTCATCATTCCATTGTGAGCCCTCATCCAGCCTTGCATGCTAGCCAAACAGCAAATGCCCAGGGGAATTGTCTCAGAAAACAGGGGGGGCCCACCCTCCAGTCAGTCATAACGCCGCCGGCCCCCTCCACAATGGGCACGAGCGCCAGGAAGTCATAAGGCTTCATGTCAGCTTCCACCACTAGATCACAGAATCCGGCCGCCAGTAAACCATACGCGTAGCAGTCGCAGCCATACAGCGGTATGCGCACCTGCCGGCAGGCACATTTTTCAAATTCGGATTTGAATTCTTGTCATGAAATTGCTTGTTCTACTGATTTGTACTTCCCTCACATAGCCTGAAGAAGCTTGGCTTGGGGTGCAGTTCAGGAGTATCATTCCCCATTTGACAACAGCGAGTAGATCCACAATCTCTTCCCCCATGTGAGCAAGCATCCAAGGATTATGTCATGTGCTGACGCAATGCGGCAACATGGCATGATCGAGTGAAGTCCGTGCGGCGCACATTGTCCCTGACACGGTTGAAGGCGGCCTCGTTCTCTCCGCTGAACATGTGGGGCGTCGTCGCATACAGGTATGCGCCAGAGATGTCCCTGCACGATCTTGTCTGCAGCGGCTGCCCTGCTCACAGAGCACGAGCGCACCATAAGTATATACGGTCTGACCCTTTGCCAAGATGTCTGATAGAGAATATCACTGTTGTCTGCAGTCAGGCAATGAAGGCAGCATCTGAAGATTGCCCAAGTGGAATGGTGGTTAGAATGCATACCATTCAGGGTTGTCTGCTGGCCGCTGGCTCCGACCCATCTCTCCTTTGTGATGGGCTGGTCCAACACTCCCAGAATTGGCACACCTTCCTTCAGCAGTGCTATCAGCGTGCCAAACACCGGCTTGCCTGCAACACAAATTGCAACCCACCATATCACTACTTCTCACGCGTGTACAGCAGACCCCTTGCAGACTGCAGACGCCCGGCTGGCCTGCAGGACCTTCTTAATTTGCAAAATTGAATTCAAATTGGAAATCTGTAAGTGCAGCGGTGATGTGTGCTCGCCTGTGATGAAGCTCTTGGTGCCGTCGATGGGGTCTAGGACCCAGAGGAAGCCGCTGTCGCTGCCGTCCTCTTCAGGCTCGCCAGCCTGCATGCCCCCCTCCTCCCCAAATATCGCATGCGTCGGCACGTTCTGAGTCAGCAGCGCCCTCATGGCCTCCTCAGCCTGCCGGTCTGCCTCAGTCACTGGGCTGGCATCTGACTTCGACTCCACCACAAGTGGTGACCTGCAACGTGCAATATAAGAATGCGCGGGTTCGGCATGCATGCATGCATGCATGCATGCGCGCGGGTTGCTCAACTTTCCATCTATGCACAAGTAAATGCAGATTATCAGAAACAATGGAAATATGGCGAAGCAAGCCTCGCCTGAAGTACTTGGTGGTAACCTCAGCTGCGGCGTCGGCTAACCGGTGCGCAAGATCAATCAATTCTGCCGGTACTTCCAGGGGCTGCTGCGGGGCATGCCTTGCTTCTGCAGCTGCTGCTACTGGTGATCTGGCTGCTTGCATCCGCAGAGGTGATGATGCCGATCTCAAAGAGTTGGGCTGTGGTCCACCTGCCCCTCCTGCACTAGGTCTAGGTGAAGCTTCCCTGTGCATAAGCAGCACGTTGCCTTCAAAGTATGCCTCGACATGTCCACATCAATGGAGATTGCCGCAGCATCAATGCTAATCTGCACGTGTTATGATTATTCAGACGTCGATGGGGCAGCAAGTTAGTCTCCTGCAATCTACCTCATCAGCGCAATCACTTTTAATCCTTAAAGTGTGGAGTACAGGATGCTCACCTGCGCTTTAAGCAGGTAGGGACGTGAGTCTCGGTTGTTGCTGCACTATTCAATGCTTGTCTTAGGCACTGCATGGCTGTTGCAATCAGAAATGTCGTCAGAATTGTCCTCTAACTGTTCAAGCATGTGCCTCGACACTCATGATGTACAAAGTGGATCATTTCTTCACATGATATGCCGGAACGGATTCCACAAATCGCAGCTGCCACTTTGAGGGAACCGATGACTCACCTCAACGTCTGGCCGCTCAAGTGGCATGATTTAGGGAAGCCTTAATTTGATCCGCAACCTAACAGTTGATGGTCACTTGAATTGCTTATCAAGCAGACTTCGGAAAGAGTGCACCGACTTCAACCGTGGTATTCCATTTCTTTCCGATAGAATTTTTATGTCTTCATAAACGATTTATTTCTTACAGAATTAGTCGGCACCATAAAAGCGTCATGGATTCCGGAGACGAAAAGATCAAGAACGATCCGCTTGAAAATGCCCGTCGCACCGCGGAGTTTTGGCGCCGTGCGTCTGGAGTGTACATGGCCTACAAAGGAGCCCAAGCGAAGGCTGCCTACCTGAAAACCAGGGGCTGGGACGCTCAAAAACTCAAAGAAGAGCACTGGCAACCTCATCACAGCTGGTGATGCATTGCTTGTTTTATTTCCAGGTCGCCCTGAGTGGACGACATCAATAACATTTTTATCTTTCACAGAACAAGAGAATTGAGCTAGTTGCATTCTTCTTCTGACAGGGCAGGAAATGAGTTCTACTCTATGGCTGTGGACCTGAGAGGCTTCTACCTGAAGGTGAGCCACATGAAAGAGCAGCTCTCACGCAGCTTCCGAAAGTGATTTAAGCAGCAGGACAGGCTGACAGACCTTCATGTGTGGCTTGCAGCTGGGCCAATTCTTTGCCGCCCGTGCAGAATTTGTGCCAGAGCCCATCTGCAGGCACCTCTCGCTGCTGCATGACCGGGTGAGCCTTGCACTCACTGTTTTCAGCACTGCATGCATGCGCCTTCACTGATGAATCTTGTTATGTTCCTTGTTGAGGCCCGTGCCAACTCATAAGCACTGCTGAGCTGCCTACAGGACATCCAGGTCTAGCTTTGATGTCTACTTGTAGGTGCCTCCCATGCCAGCTCAGCAGGCCAGGAGTGTCATAGAGCAGGAGCTTGGTGGAATACCACTGGAGGAGGTCTTTGAATGGATAGACTTTGAGGAGCCCCTCGGCTCGGCATCCATCGCCCAGGTGCTTATTTAAATTGCAAAGCTCTGGACCCTCAAGACGAATGATACTGTACCTCTCTGCCACTATCGACACCTCACTTGTTTGGCATGCCATGTCATATGCTGATGCTTAGATGTGCTTCTGAGGGCGGTTTCTGTTTGAGTAACAGGTGCACAAGGCCAAGCTGCGGCAGCCAGCAAAGAGGAGAAGGAGGGATTTCCTGAGTGGGGAGGTGTTCAACTGGACGCTGTCTGCAAAGGCCCAACGGCGGGACGACTGCAGCTGGAGGGTAGGAACGGGGCAGGAAGTTGTACTCAGCCAATCTCCTACACCAAAGTCCGGCCTTGGCCAGCCTGGTAATCGTTTCTGCACTGTCTTGAAGCCGTCAGCTGAAGACCTTTAGATTGTATTTTTATTCGAATGCATATGGAAATGGAAACGCAAATGCAATCGCACATGCAAAGAAGAGAAGAGAAGGCATAGGGAAGAGCTGCTCTCCTCTTGTCAAGATTCACTCATGCGGCGGGAGATGCTCTGTGATGTGAGCGCCTGTTCCCATGGCTGTGACTGTACCATGTGCGTGCAGCAGTGACGGATCGCACAGCGTCGGATGCGTCAGAAGGCACGGATGCCTCGGGCAGTGGCCGCGATCGGCTGGCGGAGATCAGGGAAGACTTGGCGCGGGTCGCCAGCTCGAGGGACGGCCCCAAGGATGGGATTGTGGCAGTGAAGGTGACCTTTCACAAGATCACAAGTAGTCCTGCAGATACAGTATCTTTAATTGCACTCAAGGAGCATAGATTAGTTGGCAGCTTCGGAACCGATAAAATGTAATCACCTTGACGAAGTAGTTTATCTCCCACAATGTCAGATGCTCTTCTTCTATTTCCACTGATGGTTCCTCACACAAGATCCCAAGATCGCACATGCTGTCGTAAATTTGTGCTGATTGAGAGCAATGCTGTCTAGCTGTCTGAGTGGCACAGAGAGGGAACACCTGCTCACTCGTTTTTGCTGCTCATGAATGTGCAGGTGCAGTATCCGGACGCGCTGCATACGATGATGACGGATCTGACCAGCATACGGCGCTGGGCTGGGTTCCTGCAGAAGACCGAGATCAAGTTTGACATGCTCAGCGCCGTCGACGAACTCTCCAAGCAGGTCCACTACTCCTCATCACTGACACCTCTGCCAATGGATTCCCTTTCTGCGCGCAGCTGTCCTCATGCAAGCTGCAGCGCGTGCCAAATCAGGGGCAGGGTGCTCTGCAACCGCATTCAGTCTTCTGTGAGCACCTGCACCGTTGCATGCAAGATGCAAGGCGTGCCAAATCTGGGGCGTGCGATCCTGGCCTGTCAATGGATGTGCTCTTGTGTGTGCAATCGTATACATGCATGCAAGGTGCACGGAGTGCCTGAAGAGGCTGTGATCCTGCGTGGTGCAGGTGGTGCTCGAATTTGACTTCAGGCGAGAAGCTCGGGTCATGGACGCCGTGGCTGAGAATCTGAAGGTGCGCACGCTCACCGTCCACATGTGATACTACCATGGCATGGGCTCCTTTCCTGATGAGATTTCTACTACGTAATAATCCCAACTCCTGCTTGTCTGATACCAGCCACCCAGTGTATAAAAGCCTTGCGTGATTGGCATTTGCATATGCAGGGGCTCAGGAAGAGGTTGGAGATTCCGCGCAGCGTGCCGGGCCTGGTGACTAAGCGGCTGCTGGTCATGAACTTCATAGACGGTGACCAGATCACCCGCCTTGCGCACCGGACCCGCGGCCTCTCACAGCGGTGCCTCCCTGCACCCTCAAAAATTCTGCCTTGCATTCCTCACACCCCAGGCACACTAAATGCTATGCAAGGAGTATTTTGCAGATTGGATCTTGCTTGGGGGCATGTGTTCTGCAAGATACTTTTGGCTTGGCGGCAGCAGCCTTTAATTTGGCCGTCATCTCTGCACTTCAGGCGTATAGGGCATAAGATTACAACTTGGAATTCCGTCTTTTTTGGGGACATGTGTTGTGCAAGAAAATGTCACTTGCTTGCGCCAGCAGCCAAGGGCAGAGGGTGTGAGGTGGCGATGTGGTGGCAGGAAGAAGAAGGCGGCTGCGAAGCGCATAATGGAGCGAGTGGCGGAGGCATTCGGCACAATGATGCTGGAGACGGGGCTGTTCCAGGCTGACGCGCACCCCGGCAACATCCTCGTCATGAAAGGTGCTGCAACTGTTGCTTTACGCGTACCTGAAACTGGACACCAGGCACTGTATTGGCTCCTCTACTGCTGGTAGAGCCTATTGACAAGCCCATATAATGGTCACCATCTTGGTATACGGGCCACTGGTCCCCTCGGTGCAACTATTAGGCCTTGACTACTACTTAACACAGTGCTGCCCGTCCATCATTTTCCCCAATATTTCAAGCGGAGCTCCCACAGGCTCGAACCAGGAAAGGTCTATTCCATCTAAGGCCTGCGGGGGTGTCAAAGAAGCTATTTTGTTCGTGGGCCGAACATCGCAGGGCTTCTGCTCCCGTAGAGTCTGGAAAGCCGTCCACACCTCACACGAATCCACAGAGACGAATGCCTTTGGGAGCTTCTGTCTCCAGGCGCTGAACTTGCGCATGCATGCAGGCGCGCGCATTGGGCTGATAGACTATGGGCAGAGCAAGCAGCTGCCGGAAGCGGAGCGGCTGGCGTTCGCGGCGCTGCTGCTGGAGCTCGGGAGGGAACGCGCTGATGTCCGCCCGGCCGCCGTGACGCGCTGCCTGGCCGACCTGGGGCTGCGGTTTGAGCGCGAGGACAACCAGGCGCTCATGACCAAAATGGCCTTTGGCATGTTCGACACCCGCACCTCTCACCGGTGTGCCGCTCTGACCCTGTCCACCTATGCCACCCCTTCCATTGTGAGCCCATGTCACCTGCTGGGGCAATCTCATTTTATTTAGCTCACCTTCTTTTGCACGTACATTGGCGAGGGCAGTCCTTTGCCAGCTTGACCTCTCTCATGCCCAAGCACATCGGGCAGCAGCAAAGTCAGTTTGTCTAAGTTTCTTGAATAGTCGATATATCGACTTTCAGTATTTTGGGAGCCATCTGCGCATTGGTATTATGAGGGCACTCCACGGTATGAAGTGGGCAAGCTGGGCTGGGCGGGTAGCTCCTGAAGACACCATTGAAGTAAGGAACTCAGCGGACTGGACACGCCTCAATACTTTTGGATTATAGAAAACATGTGTGATGCCCCATGCAGGGTGGACCCGTTTTCCCCGGACAGCCCGATAAAGTCGCTGGGAATCTCGCACTTCCCGCCGGACGTGTTCTTTGTGCTACGCGTGATGCAGCTCCTGCGCGGCCTGGCCGGCGGCCTCGGCGTCGACTTCAGCGCCGCCCGCCAGTGGGCGCCTCTCGCGCGGCGCGCCCTCCGCCGCGCCGGCCGCAACCCGGCCTGACGCCGGCGAGAAATTGCTTAAAATTGGCCACTTAAGATTCACGGGCGGATGACTGCTTGAATCTTGACTGCATTCTTTCAGGGGCAATAGTTCGCTTCAAACCGGGCGCATTAAATTCACGGCCTCCCATTGAATACAACTTACCACTTGCTAGCAGTCCGGTTTGCTCCGCTGACGACCAGACGTCTGACCACGGCAATATTGCTGCAGGCTGCGGCGGCGTGAATATGGCTTGGTTGGGTCAGGTCTGAAATGCATGGCTCTGCGGCCAAAGTGAAGATATTTATTGTACACCCGGGAGATTATAAGAGGGTATATGACCTGCTACCGCCCACCCCTGTGTGATCTCGCGGGAATAAGTAGTTGCGTATGCACATTGATTTTGATAGTGTGAGTGAGAGAGATTGGTATCGACACAGGGAACAATTGATTGAGAGTAAGCAGCTTTTCTTGTTTGCTGAGTTCACAAACAGGAGGTGGTCAACACAAGCATGCAAAGTTGGGGATTTGAATGCTCCTCAAATTCTGAAGACACTGGCATCGTGCATAAATGCTTTGTCACATTTTAAATTTATCACAGCATTACCCTGTGTCATACTTGCTACCCGCAAGCAATGTGGAGATTAACTGGCAAAAAGCAATCCTAGAAAGAAGCCTTTTGGGTGTGCTTCTTTTAGTATGCATCTCATTCTCACCTTTGCTTGCTCTCAGAATACTACTAAACTGATGCACCCTGACTCGCAAGGGGATCCCCAAAGATATTGCTCCCTCCAACCAACCAGATGAAGATATTTCTATATGTAAAGTATGCAGGCACAAAACAAACAGGTTCCTGGTCCCGCTCCCGTCACTTCGCTTGCGTTCATTGACAATGTCAATTGACATCTCTTCCCATGTCGACAAAGGACCTCAATCCAGGTCTCACTGGTCTCAAAAGATGATAAAAGTCTAGCTACTGCACCCAGCTGAGCATGGATCTTCGCATTGAGGCTGCATATGCTGCTGGCACCGCTTTGGGCCCCTTCCTCTGCTTAGCATCTTCCCTGAAGTATTCCCTCACCTTCTCATACCTGCACCGGAGCACACACCAATTGTAACATTTCATCTGCAGATCCAACCTCTCACAAATCTGCACAGTGGCACACATTCCCCCATCCTGCCATGGCCACCAGAAGGTATTGGGTGACAAGGGTCTCATTGTTGACCGTAAATCTGTCATGGTACTGACGAGAGCTGTGGCGCAAGCAATGCTCACACCAAGGAAGATGTGACTCACCAATCGGCCTTCATTTCGGACGCATCCGCGAATGTGCGCTTGTCCTTGTGCAGCAGCGAGAAACGCAGCGTCTGCACGATCCTTGGCAGATTGGAGTGAAACGTTCCTGTCCAGCCAACAAAGCCCATGCTCAGATCACCCTGCAATTTCGAATTGATGTCCTACCAAAGACTACCAAACATTCACATTCATGCCTCAAAAGAACCCCAAGAATACAAGACCCTGAGCGGATCGGTCATGCGCAGAGGATTGCATGCATGCGCGCGGGTGTCATGCGGGCGGAGAGTCAGCGGTGACTCACCCACAAAGTAGTCGGCGTGAGTCATCAGCTCGATGTCCTGCAGGTACTGCACGGTGTGCGCGCAGCGTTTCCCAAGCGGCTCCTTGGCAAACTCTGCTGCCACATGGCCTGCCTTGCGGTAGTACGGCGGCCGCCGATAAATGGCGCACCCCAGTCTGGCCTTGGCCAGTTTCGCCGTCTCGCCCATCAGTTTGTGGTCGTCGCCCAGGATCACACACGTGCCCCCCTGTGCCACATCAGCATGATGTCAGCAAGAGTCTCTGAATCCCTGCCTTTTTCTGAGTGTTGCGCTGCGGCCGCAAATATGACCACGCCCCCTGGAGCCTTTACACAGGGGGACTCCCACTGTGTAAAGGCTCCAGGGGGACTCTAAACCAATTGGCTGGTGTGAAGTCCCCTGCATTATAGGGATTTGGAGCTTCTGTGGAGAATCGAGCAGAACTGGAGGGCTTCAGAAGTACAAGACAAAAGAGGGTGACATGTGGACGAAGTACATCAAGCATCTAGGACATGACGTATGAGTTTTGTGAAATGTCAGGAAACTCACCTTGGCCTTCTTCCCAAATGCTTCCAGTGCCCTGTCCACGTACTGCTGCGGGCTGACAGGCTTCCGTTTCTGCACAGCAGCAACAGGTAGCGACTTCAAAGACACATCCTTCTGTCTGACAACAACAACAGCGCACCAATCTGAAGCTGCTGCCTCAATAGTAGCCACCAAGCCAATCCCCCCTGCAGCTCCTCAGTTCATTGATGCAATGCCTTGTCAAGACAAATCCCAGAGAACCTCTGACAGAACATCGTAACAAACAGCTCTGACGCCGATGCATCCATGCACGAAGATGAAGAGAGCATGGAATAAGGAGCGCACGTTTTGCTGCAGGTCTGCAGACAGGTCCCCGCCGCGGATGTGGAATGCGACTGTTGGGTTGTTCAGGCCCTTCAACTCGCGCAGCGTGGCATTCACCACCTTCTGCACCGCCGGCTTGAACCGCCACAGCTGGACACGGCAGAATTTCTCTTTCAGTCCTTTCCCTTCACTTTGATTCCCTTTATTCTCTGGCAGGCAGCGCTGCAAGCTCTTCTAAAAAGCTGCTCCCAGGCTGGTATGGTATCACTTACAGATCCCCCTGTAATGCCTTGGCAGACGGCACTGCACGCATCCGATGTGCTTTTACCAGAAATCACGGTATCACTCACCAGGAAAAGTGCTCAGACAAACAGTAGGATAGCACACCAGCAGGACATCACCAAACCGGAGCATCATGCCATGTTGATGCATCGCACACCATAACATCAAGAATGGAGGGGACAAACTCCACACCAGTGACCGCTCTTCCCAAATACTGCTCCTTTTCTAGGTAGACCAAACGTGTTGGCACACCTTAGCGACCCAGATTGGGAGCCGCATGTTTGCCTTGGAATAGAATCACAGGACGACGGAGATGGGCAAGGTTGTTGCTTGAATATCGTTGGAGAGGCTTCATAGAGGGGAACACGCTCACTCTGTTGACGGCCATGCCATCCAGCTCTTCTGTGCCGGTGCCCAGCTTGTGCAGCAGCTCGTCCACCTGCCTGGAGCCCTGGCGCAGGCACACCTTCCCGGCAGCCCTCTCCTTGTCAGCGCTCCAGTCAACCACATCTGCGTCGCTGAAGAAGTCCCCCCAGCCGCCCCCTGTTTCAGTGCACCTGTGCGGCCAGAGCTTGCTGTCCACGTAGAATGTGCCGTTCATGGCCCCGTAGAGCGGGTAGGCGTGCAGTAGCCACATCAGGTTCGGGCTGAAGCCCTCGCCTGCACTCAGGATCCCAGGCATGCCTTCAGCTTCTGGTCAGCACATCGTCCATAGCCATCCTCAGGACTACGCGTCGCAAGGGAATCCAGGACGAGATGGTGCTTCTAGATCCACGTACACTAACGAGTGAAATTTCAGTGATGTGCATTCCACACACAGAAATAAGCAGATGGGCAGGTTGAAGATTCCACAGGCAAGGGGGGCGTTCTTCATATAGCGCAAAGAACCAGAAGGTTCTCATTAATAGTATCTTCTTGAGCAGATAGATAGTCAATATGAAAGCGCAGTTCCCTATCAAAATGCCTCCACCCTGCTGAACCCAGGGTCTAGCTACTTTACGATCTAAAGGACGGCACACCTGTAAACTCAAGCACTGTGCAGGCATCCGCAGTGCAGGACAACAAAAGGAAAGCAATAATTATTTGTGATAGCAGTGATTGCAGCGATCTAGCTGCATTGCGAACGGAAGGTCGATAAACTTCATCTCGAACGCTGCACTGCATACCTACGGATCTAGTAATCAGATGCAATGCTGCATGACTCTTTCACATGATATTATTGCAACAACAATCTACGACAGGTCGCCGCGTCGAAACCCATTGTTTTCGGCTCACCGACGTTTTCTGGCAGTGCGGAAAGTGATTCAGTGACTGATCTCGGGGCCGCGTTTTGTAATGGATGCCAATCTAGGCGCAGATGGAGAAGCACCCATGCATGCAGAATCGACAAAAGCCGCTAGGCAGGAGGAAAGAGCACTTTTCCATGTTCCAAAGATAAGTTTCGAGATCGTCGCTCTGAGTCTCCTTGGCCTATGTGGATATTGGAACAACTAGCTTCAGTGCGATTGTCTGAAAGCTTACACTCGCATGCAGCTGCATCGTGAAGTGTACACTCCAAGTTGAACACAACATGTACGTGATGATCATAATAATAATAATAATCTTTATGAGTGGCGAACCCAGAGCCCAGAGGGCCATAGGGCATACACAGGTCCGTCTGCAGCCGGAACCCGGGGCCGATATGCACAGGCTTGCAGCCTTGTCTACTCGCAAATGCACCCTTGCAGCCTACAGGTCTACACCCCCTTCTTACACGAATGCTGAGGGGCCATCCCTAGCAAACCGCTTCGGGACGGGTTTCAACAGCGATGATGCATACAATGGAGAATAATCTCAAATAACACCACCGTGTGACGCTGCGAGCAGTGCAGCACACTAACTTAGAAAGCAGTGCAATACTACTGTCACGGTGAGGGTCTGCCATGCATGCAGCACGCAAGGCACCCGAAAAAATGGCAGTGCCTTCAGCTGCTGCCAAGTCAGAGAATTCCATACAATAGCGCCCTGCCACTTAGGCCTGTACTGCACTCAGCGGCATGCCCCTATTGTGTACTACCTCTAGAGCTACACTGACGCAACGTGCACATGGGATGCGTTTGTAGACCTATGTAGTACCTCATGAAAAAAACCCCAGCCTCATCAGAATGGATGCAACCCCAAATCAAAAGATCTAGATACATGGCCTGGCATGTCTGCGCATGCCGGCAAGTGCCCAAACAGATGGGCAGACCAGCGGATAGCAAACAGATAATCGTACCAAGTTTTTGGATTGAGCCATGTGGCAGGAGGTAAGACAAACTACCCCACCCTGAGAAGAGCCCGTTCTAAAAATACCCACAGCAACAAGTGCATGCTCCTTCCTTGGTGAAGAAACCCCCCGAGAAAAGGCAAAATTTTAGTGCAAGTTCGCTCCGAATCATGCCCATGAAAATTTGCACGAGGAACAAGAAGAATGTTAGTTGCCAACCCTCGGAGCAGCTCCCCCCAAATCATTGTGCCTTGAGCCTGCCAACTTTGAGAGAGCCTCAGAGAAATTGAAGCCATCCCTTTGCTACTTGATGCACAGGCTCGCCAGATTTGATCTCTGAGAAATCCCATGTCATATTCTGGCCTCTACCTTGGACTCTGACACTCCGTTGTTGAAACCTTGAACCTTACGCTGCATTTATCACTTCGATTTGCTGGGATCTTAAAGACACCCATTCAATGACCATAGACAACCCGAAAAGAATTGCAATAAACATGCCCAATTCGTCGCGCGCAATTCCAAATTTGCTCTGAAGTGCTGGTGCCTTGTTCTGAATAATACGGCCTTTCTCCCCTGTCAAAAAGAATTCCCCTAGAGCCAGCCTGACAGTCAGACGGCTTTTCCCGCCTCACCTGATCCACATGCAGATATAACAATGCCCTGCGCACTGTCTGCGACTAGGCTAAAAGAAAGATTCCCGCCCCATATGTGGCAGCACCCCATCTAAAGCTATATCCCTAGCCTCCTTCCTTCCATCTTTGAAAGTGTTCAAATTTTGTGGCGGGGTTGTGTGCTGCAAAAAAATTCTGAAAACCCCTTTCTCCTTCCTAGCAGATACTGCATGTGGATCAGGCGAAGCAGAAGCTGCCTCAGGTACTGACTTTCTTGGCTAAGGAGAGCCTTGCGAAACAATTAGCACCCGCCAGAGCTCACAGCCCAAATTCTGGCATCGGCGGTGGCTGCTCTCATGCTATGGAGCATTCACGGATTGCAAATGCTTGACCAGCCACGCAATAGTGGTGACTCGGGCGGCAATGCTGGCCTGCGACTTGTCTTTTGGGTTGGGACGGTGCGATTTGACCAAATAATGCAGATCTGGCGCGCCGGGCGCCCGATGCCGGGCAGCCGCAGTTGCGCGAATACTGAGGCCCAGATCTGAAGGGGTGGAACCTGCTCCAGCAGACAAGCACAGCTATTAAGACTTGTAGATATCAAGCCATCCATCTGACTGGTGTCAAGGCACGGTCCAGGCATGCAGAGGCAATCAAATTCAAGAGATGCTGGCGTAGCAAAGTCTATGACGGCAAAGTGGCCGGAGTGGGCTCACTTAAGCAGTGCGGTGTGTTCATCCTGCGCCGCCCGTGACTCCCTGCAGAGTGCAGATAACAAGCTAAGATGATCTGCTTTTGTACAGAAGAACAGTACCAATCCCCCACGCACCAGAAATGCCGCAAGCCAAAGATAAAATGCCTCCTGCTGGGTGTCGGAGCTTGCAACTGTGGCTGTGTGGTCTTGCACGCTACTGCTGCGGGCATGAACAGAGCACGACTAAGGGAGGTGAGTCACCTGCGCGCCGGTTGGGCCGGTCGGTCCCGTGGCGCCCGTCGCGGCAAAGCCTGTGCCGCCCGTGCCGCCTGTTCCGCCCGTGAAACCTGCCCAACACAGTATCATTACTTGTAACATCTTTGTCATCCATTCCACGTGAATAATCTGATCACCAGCCTCGGGCAAACACCTCAAGCCATGAGGGCTGGACAGGTGCAATTCCAGTGAATTTCAGAGCTGCGAGATCAGGGGCAATGAACAACCCACATCTGATGCATGTGCACAGTCAGCCTGTCCTATATCTGAGGATAGTGACTCATCAATGTGCCTGTCAGTTTTTCATGGTCGAGACTGACCTGTAGGGCCAGTGGGACCGGTGGGGCCAGTGACGCCGGTGGCTCCTGTGATACCAGGGCCAGTGGAACCAGTGCCGCCAGAGAAGCCGGTGGGTCCACTGGTGCCGGTTGTTCCAGTGACTCCTGTTGATCCGGTAGCTCCACTCGTGCCCACGGCCCCTGAGCAGAGCAGCGTTACTTTCCTTAGTGAGCCAACGATTGCATGTTTCACCTATTCCTTATTGTCATTGCATGCGCTTGCTTGCGACAGAAGCCTTGTCACCATGTCAAAGACACCCAGACAACACAACTCCTCTTCTCAATATACCTACATGCCCCAATCATGGCACAGTTGTAAGAGTGTCAGTGGTCAACAGATGGAATCAGTCGCCTCACTGAACGCAACAGGAGGGCGTCAGGACACATATTACTAAGCGCATGACTAACCTGTTGACCCGCTCGGCCCGGTCCCCCCGGTTGGGCCGGTGTTTCCTGTGACGCCAGTCGCTCCGGTGGCCGCAGCACCTTCACAGGCAAATGACACAATCTCAGAACGATGAATTGACATCACATTTGTTTCCTTTGTGATTTTATATGAGAATGCAATGTCAGTACAATGCTGTTTGGTGCAAAATGTTTTGTGTGTACACGGGTGCGTCCATTGGCATTTTGGATGCTATCATGCCGCTGCCAAAACTGTGCGGATATTATCAAGGCAGCAGAATTAACGGTCAGAAGAGGATGAACACCTGTGGCGCCGGTGAAGCCGGAGCCACCAGTAGCGCCAGAGAAACCCGTAAAGCCGGTGCCACCTGGACGATACAAACAATGCAACCCTCTCAGAACTTAATTTGCACTGAAAAATGCTAATTGAGGAGCTAGGCTGCTTTAGGATAAGGAGATAGCATGCATGCAAATTCCATGTGAATCACAACACTGCTGGGCTAAGATCAAGGGAGTCACCAGTTGTGCCGGTGAAGCCGGTGGCTCCAGTAGCCCCACTCCCACCAGTTGTGCCAGATCCACCTGTCATGTATTAAATGGAGGTCACAAATGAACTTGAAACAAATCCAAAATCTTTACAGGAGCTGGCAATCTAATATTGAGCGTCCTGCAGATGCCACAACCTGCAAAGCCTCAACATGCCCTGAAATGGAGTTTGTTAATAGTACAGAAATCCGCAGACATGCTACAAAGTTGTGATTAACTGTGCCTTTTCCACAGCCTGCAAGGATGGGGCATCACCTGTGGTGCCGGTGAAGCCTGTGGCTCCTGAGAAGCCAGTGCCTCCAGTGGCGCCAGTGGATCCAGTACCTCCGGTTGAGCCAGTGCCGCCTGTTGCTCCAGAGAAGCCTGCATGGACAGAATGAAAGGTTTTCGGCACGCAACCTGTGGTCTTTCCATGACCCCTACTCAATTATATATACACAGGCTGGCCGCAGGCAGGCTTATACATATTATGGGTGGCGCAAACAGCCACATTTCCTTAGGGGAAGTAATGATAAACGGTAAAATTGACAGTTAGTAAGCAAAGTTAGTCAAAAAATGGCCTTTTTCGCCCCTGTGGGGCTGTCAAAACAGCCACCAAGGCATAATTCGCCAGTTCCTTAATCGAAACGCTGATGCAGAGGAGAGGACATTCAGCGCTGGACTGGCATGCCTCAAGCATCCACCATGCTCGGGCTCCTTGTATATAAAGTATTCGATCAGAGTCTCACCTGTGGGTCCTGTCGCCCCTGCGCTTCCTGTGTTACCCGTTCCTCCAGTGCCGCCAGTGCTTCCTGGTCATTAATAAGGAATGTCATTACGCTCACCCCTGAAAAAGGCATGCATGCATGCACATGAAAAACTCAACAGAGAATCTGCGCCAGCATGCATGCAAAGTACCTTTTGTTCTACATAGAAAGAGATTGGCAACATAGCCGAGTTGCCTAATGAGTCATTGCATGGTGCTCACCTGTGGAGCCTGTCGCGCCAGAGCCGCCACTGAAACCAGTGGCTCCTGTTGTGCCAGTTGCGCCTGCACAATACACAATTCTCCGTTTAGCATTGCCAAGCAGTGTCTGTTGGTAGTCCATATCAAATATTACGGCAGCAGGGCAGCTTGTGTTTCTTGGGACACAAGGAGCTTGCTGCAGCCAGATGATGTGTGAGCGGGAGTGCAAGAAGCAGCTCACCTGAGAATCCAGTGGAGCCAGTTGCGCCGCTGCCCCCAGTAGAGCCTAACAGACATCCAAACAGCACTCAGCAAATGGTTTTGGAAGGGATAGAAGATTGAGGTGTAATTCGATTTCCTGGTGGGTCCTCTTGCACAAATAAATCCACAAGTGCATCAGAAAAGTGCCCATGGACACGCAAGTACACTCAAAGGAAGGTCCTCTCATGAGAGCAGTCAGGTTGCAAAGAACTGAGATGCCAAAGGCAGGAAACAGAGCAGGAACGTTGGATGTCACAAGCGCAGCTCACCAGTGAAGCCAGTGGCCCCAGACGCTCCAGTGAGGCCAGTGGCACCTGACGGCACAACAACAAAAATGACTCAGTACATATGCACACCTGCTGCATGCCAAATGCAAGTCCTTCTCTCATATGTATATGACATATTTTCAAGATGATCGCTTGCAACGTGCAAACTTTGCAGACATAGAAAGTGTACCTGTTGTTCCGCTGTTTCCAGTGGCTCCTGTTGCCCCTGTGAAGCCCTGGAGTCCAGAAGAGCCTGCAAACCACATCCGGCTGACATTCACGGCTTTGCCAGAGGACTTGGTGAAGCAATGACAGGATCAACGATACACGCCAGACAACAGGAAGACTAGAGATATGGGTTCGTGCACACCTGTGGAGCCAGTAGAGCCAGTGATGCCACTGCTGCCTGTGGTTCCTGTGCTGCCGGTGGCGCCTGCACAGCGAGACGAAGCCAATTAGTTTATCCTGGTTGCCCAACTCATGCAGAATCATGGCGTATCACACTAGCTGCGCATGATTCTCTGCTCTCATCTTGGGCATGCTACCAATTGCATTGAGTGTCATGAGACAGCCACGGAAGAGAACAAGGTCACTGGTGCAAGACTTGCCCCATCAACTTGGTGTTTGAGGGCAAGCTTTCTCCTCCAGCCACAAGCCCATTTGCATGCATGCATAACATCGCAATAAAAAAAGCAAGCATCTGTGATACGCACCTGTGGTTCCAGTCGATCCAGTCCCGCCAGTCTGCCCAGTGAAGCCTGCACACAAAAGCCATTTCGTCTAAATGTTCGAACCAGATCCACACGACTCAAAGCTGACAGCCTATCTCGGTTGCCTGTTCAAGGCCTCAGAATTGGCCCATATGCGTACAGAACCTAAGTAAATCATGGTGGCAGGAACCCATGAAAACTTAAGTGTCTCGGTGCGGCCTGCAGTGGGCGCAGGCAGCAATAGTGGAGTGGTCTGCACAGCGTACCTGTTGCACCAGTGCCACCTGTCGATCCGGTGAAGCCGCTTGCTCCAGTGTTCCCCGTGGATCCTGCAGGACACCGGAACACAGCATATCAAGTCACTCGACCCAGATAGATACCTGCTTTGATGCTTGACACCGCTGGATGTGCTGTGCAAATGCAATGGCTGCTCTTCTCCAACAGATGGGTCTGGCAGGTGCACTGGACAGAGTGCATGCAATTTACACTGAGGTATCATGCACAACAAATAACAGCTCACCGCTGGCTCCAGTGCCTCCAGTGCCGCCTGTCCCCCCAGTGGTGCCGGTGGAGCCAGTGGCGCCTGCAGCAGAAATGGGAACGGCCAAAGTAAGTTCATAGCGTTTACTAAATGCGCAGAAGGCATGTTTACTGCTTGGAAGAAGCTTGCATGCATAGATCAGGTGCCGGATGGGTGCTGATGGCTTTGCTGAAAAAGAAATCGATAGGAAAATCATGTACCTGTGAAGCCTGTGCCACCAGTGCCTCCTGTTGCGCCGGTGCCTCCAGTGAAGCCGGTGGAGCCTGACAGGGCACACATCATTTTGTCAGGATCCAGCAACTTGTGCTTCTGAGAATGACTCATAGGGGATGACTATCAAGTGTGAATGGCAATACGGTAGCTGCCTTGTATATAGCTGTACCCTGGAGGTGATGTGACTCAAGCTTTGGAGTCAGAGACGCAGGCAGAGCTGTCCTAGTGAGGGAAAGATACCACTTCAAATTGGAGGAAGATGCAGCGCATGATTTGTGTTACTGACCTGTGGTTCCAATTGCTCCGGTGAAGCCGGTGGCTCCAATGAATCCTCTGGAGCCAGTGGCACCAGTGACTCCTGTGTCTCCACTGCTGCCGGTGAATCCAGTTGCACCTGCTCAGCATCACCGAGACATTGGTCATCGAGTGCATTGTCGGGTGTTCTGCAAAGGTATTTTGCATGTCAAAAATGCAGGCCAAACTCAACAAAACAAGCGTTGAAGGCACCTATGCCCGCCAATTCGAAGTGTGTGACTTGTTTTATTTTGCTTTCAGATTTATTTAAAATTCCAGGGTCCAAAAAGAGGGATGTACCAGTGATGCCAGTGACGCCAGAAGGACCGCTGAAGCCGGTAGCTCCAGTGGCGCCAGAGAAGCCTGCACAAGACACAAGATTAATCTCAGAGCAAAGATGCATCAGTCATGCTATCAGCTTGCCTTTGCCTGCTGTTGAAACAGATTATACATCTGTTGTGACAAGGGCAAATACAGCCCCAAGGGCATCACAATCGCAGTCCAGTTGTGCCGATGCAAGAGTCAAACCTGTAGCTCCAGTGATACCCGTGTCTCCTGTGAAGCCAGTGGCTCCAGTGGATCCCAAGGCCCCTGCACCACAAACACAAGAATCAGCACGCAGCAACAAATTCCCACTGGAATTCCAATTCCGACATGTGTGCTGAATTGAAGCAAGCCTGCGCACAGCTTTGCAATATAGTGTGCTTGATCATCATGACAAGTGGAGGCACCTGTCCCGCCGGTGACCCCTGTGATGCCAGTGCCTCCCGTGCTGCCTGTGTCGCCAGTAGCCCCTGGACGAAAGTGAGAAATGCGTCGTTTCAGTTCTCATGTAAATCACAGAGCAGCAGGCATGAGAATGAGGGATGGCTGCAGGCAAGCCTGCTCTCTTGCAGATCTAGCTACACCACATGAATTTGCATCTGAGAGTCTTCCTGGACGATCTTCATCCATGCAACTGGATACGAGCTCTGACTTTGACACGGGTGAAGCACAGTCAGCAGGAGTATGAGCAGAACACCTGTTCCACCAGTGGTGCCAGTGAAGCCAGTCCCTCCTGTGGAGCCAGTGGCGCCGGTGTTTCCAGTGAGGCCGGTGGCACCCGTGCCACCAGTGAAGCCTGTTGCTCCCGACCCCCCAGTGGCACCTGCAACACGAGAGACAAGGCTTCAGATTGTATATTGTCTGCCCCAACATTACTGCATTGACAATAAAATGTCGCTCTTCTTTCCTCCAATGTCCACAGGAAGTCCGGTCATGAGGCTTGACACACAGGCAGCCGGGCAAAGCCGGGTCATTCATAAAACAGGAGTTGACTTTTGAATGAAGCATTTGTCACACCTGTTGCGCCAGATGATCCTGTGCCTCCCGTCGATCCAGTGAAACCTGCACGAGCAAGCACACCAAAGCGCCATCACATCACTTTCAACGCCTATGATTTTTGGTTGAGATTCTGACAGCTGCACCGCATGATCACGCCAGGTCAGGAAGCTTCCTTTATGACTCTGCATTGCTCATAGACTAGTCCCACTTGGTCATTGCAGCCACACTGCATGAGAGTTGCAGGTCAGATCATGCCTGTAAATCCAGTGAAGCCGGTTCCCCCAGTGGCTCCAGTTTGACCCGTAGACCCAGTGAAGCCTGCACGCAAAAGGGAATGCCTCATTGCATTGAAGACTCTCTTCGAGGCTTTATGAATGTTATTTCTGTTGCACCCCCTCTGAGAACAAGCATAGAACACGTGTAGCTGTGAATGCTTTGTTCATTAATTACCTGTGGCTCCTGTGGTGCCTGTGCCCCCCGTTGAGCCAGTGAATCCTGCAGGCCACAATCAAACACTAAACCTTGCAAATTCATGCATGCAGATTTGCAGAAGTGGGAGTTTTAAAAGGCCATAGTGTGCAAAGGCCAGCAGCCGCTGTGGAAAGTTTGAAGGAAAGCACCTGTTGCGCCGGAGAAGCCAGTGTCTCCAGTGAATCCAGTGAAGCCCGTGGAGCCAGTGAAGCCTGTACACACAGCCCATCATCATCAGTATTGCAGCTGATATGCATGCAGGCCAGGAGAATTGTGCTTCTGCAGCATATCAAGAAGCTTAAAAATTCATGGTGGTCATGCCTGTGTAGCCAGTGCCGCCTGTAGCTCCGGTGTTGCCAGTGACTCCAGTGAAGCCAGTCGAGCCAGTTGTGCCGGTGTAGCCAGTAATGCCGGTCGGCCCAGATACTCCAGTTGCACCAGTGAAGCCTGCAGATGCACACACCATCAGCAAGAGTCGCTGTGCTCATTGCTGTGCACGAATCAACTGTGTTGGTGCTTCAGCGGATTCTGATCTGCAAAAAAATCTGGCAGATCAGTTGTGCTGAGAGCAGGAAGGCAGCTGTTACCTGTGGCGCCGGTGAAGCCTGTGCCTCCAGTGCTGCCAGTGAAGCCTGAAGCGCCAGTGGCGCCTGTGTTTCCAGTGAAGCCCGTTGCCCCAGTGAACCCAGTAAAGCCAGTGAAGCCGGTAGCTCCAGTGAAGCCGGTGAATCCTGTGCACACCAAAAGACCTTCATCAAACACCGTTCTGGAAAGTGAGGAATCACTGATACATAGGGACACTGCACAGATTGACTCTAGACATTGCCTCTGATAGAAATGCCAGACATCCAAAGCACGCACCTGTGGCGCCGGTGAAGCCAGTGTTGCCAGTGAAGCCGCTTGCTCCAGTGAGACCGGTGGCTCCAGTGTCTCCGGTGAAACCTGTGACAGAACAAGTCAGCACGAAGGAAACGAATATCCAATGACACTTGCAGAATCTCACTGCTGGTGTTCAAGACAGGATGCAATGTGCTGGTCTGAGGTGAGCCTGGTGTGGATCTGAACTCCACAGCAACTCTATATAATTCCACAGTGATGTAGAAATTCAGATTCTGAAGTTTCTTTCAATACCAGGATGGAATATGCTCACCTGTTGCACCGGTGAAGCCAGTGCTTCCAGTGAAGCCCGTGCTCCCAGTGACTCCAGTGGCTCCCGTGGCACCGGAGAAACCTGTCCAGTGGACAAAGCTTCACTCAGAAACTTACCAAGCATACGAGAAGCTTACCAAGCATACCGCCAAAAATGTCTACTTGTGTGTGCCCTCCTTGATATTTTAGGACTTCAAACAATTTCTGTCACCCACTCACTGCAAGGGACACTATGAAGCACCTGTTGCGCCGGTGTCTCCGGTGAAGCCAGTGACGCCAGTGAAGCCGGTGGCTCCCGTGCTTCCAGTAAACCCGGTGTATCCTGTTCCACCAGTGAACCCAGTGACTCCAGTCGACCCAGTGAAGCCAGTTGCCCCGGTGAAGCCAGTGTCTCCAGTGAATCCAGTAAAGCCTGTTGCTCCAGAGAAGCCTGAATGCATAAACAGGCAGTTAGTCACTCTGGCTCAAACAGTGTGGTGCATTAATGCTTCTTCACTTATGCCTGGGAGAAGACCAGAGAAGAAGCTGTATCATGAGTGCTTAAGAGGGTGCAGGCAGAGAGTGAATTTATCACCTGTTGCGCCAGTAGAGCCTGTGTAGCCAGTGCTTCCAGTTATACCAGTGTCTCCGGTTGTGCCAGTAAAGCCTGTGAAGCCGGTGGCGCCAGTGTAACCTGTTGCGCCTGTACCACCTGTGAAACCGGTGTTTCCAGTGAAGCCAGTGTTTCCAGTGAACCCAGTGTCGCCAGTTGCTCCAGTGGAACCTGCAGTGCATGCCAAAGAACCTGAATTCTGCCAAAGGTGTGCAATCCTCTAGTTTAGTGTCTTGCACGAATTCACTGTTGCCAGAGGTATGCATGCGTTCCCCTTTGTATTGCATAGCGACCTGGGCTCAAGAAATGGACTGTTCAATGCGAAAAAGGGAAGACTGCGTTCAAGGGAGGAGTTACCAGTGGCGCCAGTAAAACCAGTGCTGCCAGTAAAGCCAGTGCTTCCAGTGAAGCCCGTGGACCCAGTGAAGCCTGTAGCTCCAGTGACGCCCGTGAAGCCAGTTGCCCCCGTAAAGCCAGTACTGCCACTTGTACCGGTGGAGCCCGTAGCGCCCGTAAATCCGGTGAGTCCCGTAGCACCGGTGAAGCCTGATAAACACAAGCAGACACTTAGCAACTTGTTGCATGCTCAGGAGATGTTTCTCAGCCATTGGTCCAGAGGAGACTTCTGTATAGGGACTTCTTTTTCACAGAAGGATAAAAATTTGGAAATCTTCGTTCAGAAAACTTACCTGTAGCGCCTGTGCTGCCAGTGAACCCAGTGGCGCCGGTGAAGCCGGTGTTCCCGGTAAAACCAGTAAATCCGGTGTCTCCAGTGAATCCGGTGAAGCCTGTGGCTCCGGTGTAGCCAGTTGCTCCAGTGAAGCCAGTAAAACCTGCAAGAATACAGAGATTTATGCATGCCACCATCTCATTTCCGGGTGCCAGCAGCAATAGACTTTCAAGAGTTGCTGCGAGAGAAGAAGATATTTAACATGCAAGAGGACTTTTGGCGCACCAGTGGCGCCGGTGAAGCCAGTAGAGCCAGTATATCCAGTTGCTCCAGTGGTGCCGGTGAAACCAGAGTCTCCAGTAAAACCGGTAGCGCCAGTGAAACCGCTGTATCCTGCACAAGCATGCCACCACAGTAAACCTCCGCCATGCAGACTCCAGTGGAAAAGAGTGTGCCCATCAAGCGATACAACATTCTTCCAAAGGATATAAACCAACACATGTAGACTACGTGAAATCCTGCATTCAAGGATGGAGAGCATTGCACCTGTGGCACCGGTGCCTCCAGTGCTGCCGGTAAAGCCTGTTGCTCCACTGAAGCCGGTGGCTCCAGTGTCTCCGGTGAAACCCGTGGCACCGGTGAATCCAGTGAACCCTGCACAGAAGTGCTTGACATCATCTACAGCTGCTGAAGCGTCCCTGTCTGGTGAGAGGAAGGGCAAGTCTGCCGAAGTTGACATGCAGCTTCTTTAGGTCTATCCCACCTGTAGCTCCAGAGAAGCCAGTAGCACCAGAGAATCCAGTGCTGCCAGTGAACCCAGTAGAGCCAGTGGCACCAGTGAAGCCTGTGTCTCCGGTGAAGCCAGTGAACCCTGCATCACCAGTTGTAGTCTTCAGCATCCCCATTTAGCAGAAAGGCGCAACCAAGCAACAAGTAAAGGAATGTGGGCTAGGACATAACCGGTAGTGCCAGTGAATCCTGTAGCTCCGGTGAAGCCAGTGTTCCCAGTAGCGCCAGTAAAGCCGGTTGCTCCGGTAAAACCGGTGTCCCCAGTGAACCCAGTGAATCCTGCAACGCACCACTCATGCACTCAGTGGGACAACAGCGAGCCCAGAAAAGATAGATCTACCATGTTAGAGGCTTCAATAATCACACACTGTGCTCATCGCTTGATAAGCTGGCCAAACAGCGCACCAGTAGAACCGGTGAAGCCAGTGTCTCCAGTGAAACCGGTAAAACCGGTGGCACCGGTGAAGCCAATAGCACCGGTGAAGCCCGTGCTTCCAGTGAAGCCGGTGAAGCCTGCAATAGAATCCCCAATGGATGGTTCTCAGCATCCTGCTACTGCAGCACAGATCAGTAGACTGCTCTTGAGATTTTTGTGCATATGAAAGCTTCATGATGGATGCACACACCTGTGCCTCCAGTGAATCCGGTGGCTCCCGTGAAGCCAGTGGCACCAGTGGAACCGGTAAAGCCAGTGTCTCCGGTAAAACCAGTGAATCCGGTAGTTCCAGTGAAACCTGCTCACACACAATGATTGGTTGTTGCCAGTACTCTCCAAATGGATCTTCACAGCAGAGTGAGAGAACATCTTGTATACAAGATCCCTGTGCAAGGACACCAGCTGCCATTTCCGTACCAGTGCTGCCGGTGAAGCCAGTGGCGCCAGTGATCCCAGTGTCTCCGGTGAAGCCAGTGAATCCTGCATTCCATGACAAAGAACCCTCAGAGACGGATGCAACTCAGCATGAAAGAAGCGTGTGGCTAAATTGCATGCATGCAGGCTTGGAATAGGTTGCACGCATGAGAGTGAGTGGCCAATCAAAGTCACCTGTGGCGCCAGTAAAGCCAGTGGTGCCAGTGTAGCCAGTACCTCCGGTGAAACCGGTAAAGCCAGTGGCACCGGTGAAACCTGTTCGGACATCAAATGGCTTGTAAGCAGCTGTCACGGACACCTGTTGATACTGTCATAATCTGCAATGCAACTGCTGTGTACTCAGCATAAAGGAACATCCTGCCTTTGCAATCGGCAAACCAGGCTTCATTGATATCGAAATTAGACCAGACCTGTGAATCCGGTTGCGCCAGTGAATCCGGTAGACCCAGTGGCACCAGTGAAGCCAGTGTCTCCCGTGAAGCCGGTGAAGCCTGCGCAGGATCATATATTTGATGAGACAGCATCAAATCTGTCAAGCAAGTTTTCTTGTGTTTCAGTACCTCATATCGAGCGCTGAGAGACTCCGTTTGCATGCTAGCAGGGGCGGTGGAAAATATCAACCTGTAGCGCCAGTGAAACCGGTGTCTCCAGTGAAGCCGGTGGCTCCAGTGAAGCCAGTGATACCCGTGGCTCCGGTGGATCCTGCATCATGAGCATACTCTCAAATTTGTGCTTTTGTATTAAATTTGTATTAATATGGTACCTAGATAACTTTGTAGGCAAAATGGGGCAAGCTCTGATTGGTGATTCGCAAAGACTGCTGTAGTTCGTTATGTGAAAGGGTGAAAGTGCACAAGGCTAAGGCAACAATGAAGACATTTACCTGTGTTACCGGTGAAGCCGGTACTTCCAGTGAATCCGGTCCCTCCAGTGATCCCAGTGTCTCCTGTGAAGCCAGTGAAACCTGCACCGTGCCAAAAAAAGGGTCAATATTCAGGATTACCCTCGATGCATGCATTCTGTGCAACAATATACTGGATTTAAACCTTAGTGATATCATGCATAGGTGCAGGCAGTGTGTCACCTGTAGCGCCGGTGAAACCTGTGGTTCCAGTGAAGCCAGTAGCTCCAGTAAAGCCAGTGTCTCCCGTGAAGCCAGTGAATCCTGTCACAGCGCACATCAGCATGCTCTCATTGAAATGTGCATCTTTCTTTTGACTTGCCTGAGAAATCACGCTCAGAATGCCTGCAATGAGCAATGTAAAACTCAGTCAAATAGCTTACCGGTTGTTCCAGTGAAGCCAGTGTCTCCGGTAAAGCCAGTGGCTCCAGTGATTCCGGTGTCACCCGTGAAGCCAGTGAATCCTGAACATCACAGTTCAATCTCAGGCCCTGGATGCTAACATAGGCTCAAGACACCAACCAAAACATGCATAGGCATGGTGCAGCTGGAATTTAAAAGCACAATGAAGTCAGCTGAGAAAGGATAAACACACCTGTGCTGCCGGTAGCTCCAGTGAAGCCCGTGGCCCCAGTGAATCCAGTAAAGCCGGTAAAACCGGTGGCTCCAGTGAAGCCTGTGAAACCGGTGGCTCCTGTCGTGCCAGTGAATCCTGCATGCATGCCCATGAGTCAGCATGCATCCATATATTTGTCAGCTTGACCAGCTTTTGCAGCTGCACATATATAGTAAAGCAATTTGAACACGAAATTGAATATATCTTCGTGCATAGGCAGTCAGGAGAAGTCACCCGTGAAGCCGGTGAAGCCGGTGGCGCCGGTAAAGCCGGTGGTCCCAGTGAAACCAGTGCTTCCGGTGAAGCCCGTTGCTCCAGTAAAGCCGGTGAAGCCAGTAGCTCCCGTGAATCCGGTGTCTCCAGTGGAACCAGTGAACCCTGAAGAATGACACAAACAATTCTGAGCCTAGCCCATTGTATGTACTGTGGTGTGATATGCACAGAAGTTTGATGTCGAAGGAGCAGTGGAGACAGTAAATTTGTCACTCAGTATTGTAATAAAAGCTAAAGAAGCCTGTTCTATTTGCATGCAATTCATATCCCCTGCACAAGACTCACCTGTTGCTCCAGTGAAGCCAGTGACGCCGGTGAAGCCGGTGTCCCCGGTATTCCCAGTGAAGCCAGTGTCTCCAGTGAAGCCGGTGAAGCCAGTGGTTCCAGTGTAACCTAGAGTCATTCAACAGCACCCACCATGTTGCCTTGTGATGAAACGTGCTGTATACAGGTCATCACAAGTGCTTGATTTGATAGACAGATCGGCGTTTTGTCAATTGCCGCAAAGCAACAAGGGAAAGGTGAAGTGATATACCTGTGGCTCCAGTGAAGCCCGTGGCACCAGTTGATCCAGTTGAGCCTGTGTTTCCAGTGAATCCGGTGTAGCCAGTTGCTCCAGTGAAACCAGTGGCTCCCGTGATACCTGAAGGTAAGACAAGACACGATTTAGGAAACTGCAGTTGCTGCTGCAGTTGTTCTCAAAAAAGCAATGAAAGATTCAAGACTCTGTATTTCAAGTCTGCTAGAATGAGGGGCAAATTTTTACCTGTGTCTCCCGTGATCCCGGTGGCTCCAGTGAAGCCAGTAAATCCTGTTGCTCCGGTGAAGCCGGTGTCTCCAGTAAACCCAGTGAATCCAGTGAACCCGGTGAACCCTGCACATCATGCATCACTAAGACTCTCCTGCTGTGCATGCACAAGTCTTTGATGCACAACATTGGTACATCTGCTGGTGCCACAATGTTAGATTCCTTGTTTAAGAATTTCTATCTGTATAAAGCTCATACCTGTGTCTCCGGTGAAACCTGTTGCACCAGTGAAGCCAGTGGCTCCGGTGAAGCCAGTGAAACCGGTGTCTCCAGTGAACCCGGTGGCGCCAGTGAAGCCGGTGAAGCCTGCAAGGCAAGCAAAGAGAATTGTGCACTTGATTAATCGGATTGCATCTCTTCATATGCTCAAACACCCCTCTGGTTCTGTACGCAATCTGTATGCAAAGAGACTCGAGCTGTGATTACATTGGTGGAATCTCATGCCGGAGTTTGACTGTACCTGTGGCACCCGTGTTTCCAGTGTCTCCAGTGAAGCCAGTAGCTCCAGTGAAGCCGGTAAATCCAGTGAACCCAGTGAAGCCTGTGTCTCCAGTAAAGCCAGTGAAGCCTGCATGCAGAATCACATTGACTTCACATACATGCATCTTTGCAGACTTGATCCAAGCGTCCTCATAATAATCTCCAATGTAGACTTCTGCTGTTGCCAATGCAATTGGCAAATTGCACTCTTATCACCTGTGGTGCCTGTGAAGCCGCTGTCTCCGGTGAGGCCAGTAGCGCCGGTGAAACCAGTGGTACCAGTGAAGCCAGTGGCTCCAGTGAATCCCGTGAAGCCAGTGAAGCCTGCGCAGCAGTAGGATATCCTCAGCATGACTTCCATAAATACCACTTTCCTGTCTTTGAACAATGCACAAGCGCAGGATCATGGAATGCACAGCATGCATTGCCAGCCAAGAATAAAATGAAAGTATGTAGCTGGCAGGAATTCAGCACCTGTGGCCCCGGAAATCCCGGTGTCTCCAGTGAAACCAGTAGCTCCAGTGAAGCCGGTGAAGCCTGCAACGTGCAGCATATTGTATAAATGCATATGCGCAAAGCATCTGTCCTTGTGTGCAAGATGCAAAGAGAATCTGCACAATAGGCTTGAGAAATACAACAAATCAAGAAAAGTGCAATGCACCTGTGGCCCCAGTGAAGCCGGTGTCGCCAGTGAACCCAGAGACTCCGGTGAAGCCAGTGTCTCCAGTGAAACCGGTGGAACCTGAATGACAGATCATGTGCTTCAAACACCGCTCACTTTGTATAGATGCTGCATATTGCGCAAGGCATCTCCCACTGTAAGGAAGCACTTCAAACTGTGAGATTGCAGCTACCTGTGAACCCTGTGGCTCCAGTAAAGCCAGTGAAGCCGGTGGCTCCAGTAAATCCCGTGTCGCCGGTGAAGCCAGTGAATCCTGCGCACATAAAATCTTACACACCGCATGCAGCTGCAATGTGACCTCTTGAAGGATCCGCCAGATTTGCGCAGCTCTGAAATTCCCACGATGTCATGTTTACAGGGCTTCCAAAGCTTTCAGGTGCACTTCTCTCGGTTTGATTTCAGCAGGCGGCTCACTTACTATTCATGTTCACCAATGGAGATATGATTTTATGATTACCTGTGAAGCCGGTCGCGCCAGTGAACCCAGTATTTCCAGTGAAACCGGTGAATCCAGTGTCTCCGGTGAATCCGGTGGCGCCTGCATTCAAGCAAGGAGCTCAAACAGGCATGGCAAGAAATATGAAATGAAGAAGTCAGCTAAGGTCACAAAAGCCTGGACGTCTGTTCCTGACTGCTGGAGCGTAGCTCTTTGCACCTGTGAAACCGGTGAAGCCTGTGGCTCCAGTGAATCCGGGGAACCCAGTAAACCCAGTGTCTCCTGTGAAGCCGGTAAAACCTGCACAAATTAAAAAGGATATTAGGGGCCATTTCGTAGGTGTTGGGTTTGCTACAGGTATCTTCTTGCATGCCCGCATATTTGCATGCATGCCATTTTTGCTGAAACACTATCAGGACTCATCCATTGCTGCCTAACTGGACATATAGCCCACCTGTGCCTCCAGTGAAGCCAGTGAAACCTGAAAAGCCGGTTGCTCCAGTGAACCCTGTGTCTCCTGAGTACCCAGTGGCACCTGTTGCACACAATCACTCCATTCTGAGGCTCATCGTTCTCAGTTGTGCCTATGGATGAGTGTTGCATGCTTCTGAGAAATAGCCATAATCATAGGTATTATGTGTCTTGATAAAGCTAGTCATGTTCTGCGGTACGCAAGGCACTCACCAGTGAAGCCAGTGACTCCTGTTGCTCCAGTGAAGCCGGTGTCTCCAGTGAAGCCAGTGAAACCGGTAGCACCCGCGAAGCCTGCATTCAAAGAGAATGATCTTGTGCTGCGCGTGTCCAACAATATGAAGGCATACAACGATGGGCAGTGCCTTCCAAAGACACTCATGCTGATGTAGAGGATTCATGATCTGGCTTCACATACTTCAAGATGTGCTGTCCTGGTATACTTGCCTGTGAAACCAGTGTCGCCAGTGAAACCGGTACTTCCAGAGAAGCCTGTGGCGCCAGTGAAGCCGGTATCTCCAGTGTTTCCAGTGAAGCCAGTGTCTCCAGTGAACCCGGTGAATCCTGCAATTCACCACCCTTTAATCTCTGAGGGTTCCATATACAATGTACTCAGCATGCATGTGAAGGCGCAATCCCTTGATCTAGGCAGGAACAAGAAAATGAGACGTGCCAGTGTCCCCTGTGAAGCCTGTGGCCCCGGTGAAGCCAGTGTCTCCAGTGAATCCAGTAGCACCGGTGAAGCCAGTGTCTCCAGTGAAGCCTGTGAAACCGGTATCTCCAGTAAAGCCAGTGAAACCTGTGTCTCCAGTGTTGCCAGTAGCACCGGTGAACCCAGTGAAGCCGGTGAAACCCGTGTCTCCAGTAAAACCGGTGAATCCTGTGCTCCCAGTAAAGCCGGTAAAACCGGTGTCCCCGGTGAATCCTGCAGCCACACAATCACCGTCTGCAAGGTGTGTTAGGGAGCAGAGATACATCAGGCAATGCTAGGCAGCATGTCAAATCAACTGCTTATATCTGCCAAATGATTAATGAACCTGTGGCGCCAGTGAAACCAGTGTCTCCTGTAAAACCGGTGTCCCCAGTGAAACCGGTGAACCCAGTGTTTCCAGTAAAGCCCGTGAAGCCGGTGTCTCCAGTGTTCCCTGCATTGTGTCAACATCAGATGAGTCAGCCATGCAAGCCCCTAGTACATCTGACATGAGGAGTTGGCAAGCCAAGGTAAGGGCATGCAAGAAGTTATGATGGGTACCTGTGAATCCAGTGTCGCCAGTGGCACCAGTAAATCCGGTAAAACCAGTGTCTCCGGTGAATCCGGTGTCGCCGGTATTGCCTGTGGTTCCAGTAAAGCCAGTGGTACCTGCAATACAGCACGCAAAATTTGAGAAGCAGCAGATGACTCAGCATGTCATGCACCCTGATCAAGAACAATATGCTCTTTGACAAGACCAGCAATCTTTGACAAGAAAGCAGGCCTTCACCGGTGTCTCCAGTGAAACCAGTTGCTCCAGTGAAGCCGGTGTCCCCAGTGTTGCCAGTGAATCCGGTGTCGCCAGTAAAACCAGTGTCTCCCGTGAAACCTGTGGCGCCGGTGAATCCAGTGTCCCCAGTGTTGCCAGTGAACCCTGCGAACATTTGCCATGGGTCACATGTTGCGTTCAAAGCCCCGCATCTACACACTCACCAGCAAACTGCAGGCACACTCAAATGCTTGCTGCAGTGCTGCCAACACTTGCGCTTGCTATTGCATGCATGGAAAGTAAACCTGTGTCTCCTGTGAAGCCGGTGAACCCTGTGTCTCCTGTGGTTCCGGTGAATCCAGTGTCTCCGGTGAACCCAGTAAATCCTGCAGATGGGCACGCAGTCTTCACCCCAACACTAAGCAATGCAGAGCACATGTAACACGCATTGAGGAAGGCATAACCAACGACTTGACCAGGCTGCAAGCCCACCTGTATCTCCAGTGAATCCAGTAAACCCAGTGTCGCCAGTGAAGCCCGTGAATCCGGTGTCTCCAGTAAATCCAGTGAAGCCTGCACACCACAGGACTCCTCATGCCCCGCTCTGGCTTGCATGCAAGAGCTTGCATGAAGACGTTTTTTCACATCCACACATGTTTCTGTATTCCGTAAGTTCCTCTATATATTCTGTTGTTGTTTTGAATCCGAGTGACTCACCGGTGGGGCCAGTAAAACCGGTGAACCCTGTGAATCCTGTGAAGCCCGTAAAACCTGTGACGCCATAGGCCGTACTACCCGTAAATCCGGTGGCGCCAATTGCGATACCCGTGGGGCCCGTAGGTCCAAATCCGGTGGGGCCCGTAGGACCCGTAATGTACACCTGCTGTCCCAGAAAGATGGGCAGGCAGGTGTCCTCGTCCATCACTGGCGGCCCGTAGAGCGGCGGGCACGCTGCAACACACACCGATATGAGAAACTGTCATGAGCTGGCGGCACAAGTTCCTTATCTGCAGCACAAGCTGCTTGGCCCCTCGCATTTCACTGCACCAGAGGTGTTTTTAGAAGGCAGGTGAGGCCTTCACATTATTTGTGAGCGCCTGAGCTGCCCAGGACAACCAGACCATCATGCGCTTATAATGAAGCATGAATGAAAGCGGTACTCTGGGATGCAGGTTGTTTCTGAAACCTCTTGGCCAGCCAAAGACACGAAAGCCATCTCCAGAAAAGCATTTCCAGAGGGTCCAATTACTGCTGTAACCGTGCTTTTCATGCATCCTGATGACATATGTTGTTGGCGATTGGGCGGTGAATGAGCGGGCGACTCACCGCACTTGCCGTCCACGAGCTCGAACGGCGCGTTGCAGAACTTGCAGACGCCGGGGAAGAGGCAGGCGGCGCAGTGCGGCGTCGACTGGGGGTTGCACTCGCAGCGGCCGAGGCCCGTAACAGGGTCCTTAACAAAGTTGTAGGCCCGCCCGTACTGCCGCCGCTTGCCGAAATCTGCGCATGCCTTCAGGTTGGCCTTGGTGCCTCCCAGGGGGTTGCCGCAAGATCCCGGCACGATGCAGAAAGCGCAGCCTGGGCCGGCCGTCGTCGGGTCGCAGATGCACTTGCCCACTGCGTCCAGTTTGTAGCCCTGCGCAGCAGTAATAGTGCTTCTTCCCTTGATATCCGCTGGCTTGCTCTGACTTCCAATGCCTCGTCCCTAGCGGCTGCTTTGGCCTTGCATTTCTCTGCCATGTCAGCGTTCTCTGCCATGCCACATCAGCACGGATGCATGCATGCCAGGGAGGGCCTTGCAACCGCACGGACTCCGGCGGGAATCCATCTGGAAATTGCAGTTTTTCTGCCTCCATGCTTCAATGTGTCATTTGTGGATTGCACGCAGCAGCATCCAAAGAGCTCGCAGGCAGGGCCGAGATTGCTAGCAACAGGATTGCCCATCCGCTTTAAGCAATGGACTTGCTCTGTGCAGCGGAGGGTCGGAGGAGGATTGGCCATACAGGCTTGGCCTTGTAAACATCACTAAATGGGCCTACTGATCCTGTTGTGGGTCCTGGCAGGAGACATTGTCAGATCAAAGGTGAGAAAAACAAAGTGAGTGTCTGAGGAGCTTGCGATCAGGGCTGAAAGTAAGAGGGCGGGCGCACATCAGAGCAGACGGCGCAGGTGGCAGGGGAGGAGCAGCGGAGGCAGAAAGGGATGTTGGCCTGGCAGGTCCGCGACGGGCCGACCAGATGCAGCAGGGAGTTGACCCGGTCGGCCAGTGCAGCGTTCTGCTGACTGATGGCCAAAATAAGCTTCTCCAGCTGCGCGACAGCAAAGGGGATGCAGGAGGAGCCGTCGCTTGACACAAACGTGCCTGGCGGGCACGCTGCGAGGGCAGGCCACTTCTGTGATTAGTCATCTGCTAGAAACGATAGATTAATAATCCGCCAGTAATTACATCCTGCAATCTAGTGGCCACCAGCTCGACCTCCAGGTGGGGCAATCTGTTGCATGGCGTTCAAAGCAGGGGATGCTTGAAGACAATCCTGGCACGTTCCTCTTATGATGACATCTTTCGGGGGAAAAAACCTCGTGCCAAGTACAGTAAGAGTATTCACTTCATGCAGGAATTCTTTGGAATCTTGTGCTTGGCAATCGAGCAACACTGTCCTTGTCAGTGCAAGGACACAAAGGTCACGTCCATATTTTGATGGCAAGCAGAGGGATGCAGGGTTCACCGGGTTCCAGGAGGCAAAATATCTAGACAAAGGGAGAGTGAGGGGTGGGCGCACCGCAGGAGATGTCTATTAGCGTGAAAGGCGCCGTGCAGAAGAGGCATCGGTCAAAATTGGGCGAGCAGAAGCCGCAGTGGGTGAATTTCTGCATGCACTCCTCCCTCTTCTGCACATTAGCATGCAGGCAAAAGCCTGTCAGAATTGCCACCTTCCCGATTCCTCCAGAATTCTCACGAAATTTAGATTAATTTGCCACTCTTGATCTATCACCATGTCCTGCTGAGGTTCAGAAGGAATGCTCATGTTGGCAAAGGTGAGGCCTTTGGACTCCCTGCAGATTGTTTTGCCTCAGGCAGTGCCTGAAGCGACGCATGTTTAGAGTCCTTTCAAAGCTGCGAGAGTCAATACAACAGGCCACATTTATGGCACACACAAATTTGGGTGAACCATGCAGGGCAGGGGGCTTCCTTGCATGGAGGCAATCAGAATTGTATACAATATCATCAGGATCCAGAGGACTACATGCATTTTTCTGAACATGAGACCCTTGTACAAGTTGCATCCTTGACTACACTGCGCAGTAAAAAGTCCTGCCCCAGGGGCTGCACGCACCTGCGGCGAGACGACATTGGCAACGCCGGCTAAGGCCGGTGTGAGGAAGTCATTGAGGCTGCTCCTGGCGCGCTCCTGAGACTGGCGCCACCAGTCGCCAATTTGTGCGACTGCTGGGGCTAGCGCCTCCGACGCGCTTCCCGGCCGCAGGGGCGCCAACACCGGCGCAAACTGCTCCGTTGTGTCCTCTGTATTCCCACACCAACATTAAGGGTGAGGCCTCCTTTTGGCGCAGCATGCATGCATGCTGATGGCTTGGCGTGTGTTGCTGTGTCTTGCTTTACACTGGCGTGGGATTGCACGGCAATTGGGGTAAATAGCCACTCACCGATGCCCTGGGTGAGAGCCTGCCTGGCGGCTGCGGCGGTGGCGACCGTGGCGTTCGCGATCGGCGTGACGGCCGCCGCGAGGCCATCACGCAGCGTGCTCATATCCTGCGCCGCCTGCACTCCAGCCCCAGTCACCGCGTCATCCGCGAGCCCCACCGCCCCGCTTGCCCCGTTCACAACAGCCGCCCCCCCGTCCTGGAACGCGGACCCCAGCGCGCTGCTCCACATCAGGCCGGCCGTCGAGTCCCCGGCAGCCCCTGCAAGTTCGGCCACCCGGGCGGCGCTCCGCGCCACCCGGGAGGCGTAGGCCTCCCCGTCCGGCGCGGCCTGCTGCTGCACTATGGCGGCCTGCGCGTCCGTTGAGGCAAGTGTGGCCGATGTCGGCCGCGGCGGCGTGACGGCCGTCACCGGCACGCGCGTGACGCCCTTGCGGATGCTTGCCAGCGCGGTGGCTGCGAGAGTCTGGTCGGCTGGCGGCGCTGCCGCGCCGCTACCGCCCCTGCCGCCATCATCGGAGTTGGCCGCAAAGCTGAGCGAGGGCGGCTGCGCGGGCCACGCGCCGTCATTGGCAGCCGGGCCGTCCCCAAGGTGCCAGCGGCTGGAGAAGTGCGAGATTGGGATGGCGATGCCGGCATCTGGCGCCCGCGAGGTGTTGGCATTTTGCAGCCACCATCGCGTGAGCACGTCCGGTGATTGCACAACTGCGGTGCAGGCCACGATGTCATGTAGGACACGAGGTTCCAGCATGAGAAGCAGATAAGCCTTACTATAACTGCAGGTGCTCACCCTGCTGGGCAGATGCAAGTGAGAGGCAGCTGATGAGGACGAGAAGGAAGGCCGGCGTTTCCCTCCGTATTCCCTTTGTAGTGCTTCTAGCCATTTCACATGGCTCATACTTTGCCCCAAGGCATGAATGGCAGCACCACACCTCCTGGAGGACAAAGCCTTTTTCAGTGTTAACTTATTTCATTGCATCTCAAGGTGCGTTATTGCTCAGAAAGGTTATATTGAACTTTATATATCTTTCAGTACAGGCAATAGCCTCGTAGATTTACACCAGGAAACAGGTAGAAGGAATGACTCATATTCTTGCGGCATGCAGTCGATACTCCAAAATGGTGAGTAAAGCAAGATGATACCAGTGCGACGAGTTACCTAGCAGTTTAATTCAAAGCCTGTTGACGACAGCTGCGCAGTACTCAAGGCGGAGAAAGACAATGCAATAGATAATAAACATCCGTACAAATTGCGGCAAATGCGACGGGCCCAACAGTGAACGTGCAGTTTTGACCTCCAAGGTATATTTGTTCAAATCTATTGTGAAACTAAATTACAATATAATAAAGATGACACCGTCACATCAAAGAATTGCAGTTGTTGAGGCTGAGCAAGCTGTTGGCAAACTTCAAATTGTGTTTTATCGACGACCCTGAATACCCAAGGGGATTTTCTTGCACCAAGCAGCTGGAGAGTGAGAAGTTTGAGCCAGCCCAATTACAGTTATTATAAGCAGAAAGGTGTTCACGGCAAATCTGCCAAGCATCTACAGGTCACAAGACTTGCCACACGGTCAGCTTGCAAGGCAGTCCTTCAGAGTAGCATTTTGCATTTAAAGCCCTACAAAAGCAGCACTAAGTCTGGCCAACTGACTGATTAAAACAGGGATATTCATCGACATTTATACTCTCAGAACGGTGGCTCGATCATGCTTAGCGAGATTTTTAAGCCAACCAGACCGCTTTCTATATAGTACAGGCGGACAAGCAAGTGCAGACTACCCTGTCTCTCCCAGAACTGGAGAAATAGACATACAAGACATTGGCATACTTCAGTAAGCGAAAGGTAGAATTCACATCTACACTACTGCACAGTTCTCACTCCATCGTTCCCGTTCTGTCTGTTTGAGTTCAAGGGTCATTCACCGCAGCAAAGCAGGCAAAAAATGTACCAATGCCACTTCAGACACTGCTTGCAAGCGCAAGCAGGTCGAGTCAAAAGGGGCCCCTACTGCTCTGCATGAGCAGGGAGCCGCTTCCAACACCATACTCTTGCTTTGAGTTCAAGGTTGAGTTCAAGGTTCCGTTCCTGTTCAAGGCCAGCTGTGATTGGCAACCCTTGCACTCCAGCTAGCATGTCCTGTTCCCTGAGTGTCGCGCTCAAAAAAGCTTTTCTAGTTCCCATTCATGCTCAGCAGAGCTCAAGCTGCAGAGCTCAGGCATGCCCGCATGGCTCAGATGCCCAGCAAAGCTCTCACAGATGCACATAACTTAGGGGCAGAACTCAGAAACAACATCGCTTTGGCCAACTGCCCGGCAGGACAGCCCGAGGGCTGCCCGAGGCTAAGGGCAGCTGATTAGACCGCCAAGCTGACTGGACGCGCGCTCACTTGCTGCCGTCGGCGGCTTGGGCGAAGCCGATCTGGGCGACCTTGCTGGCCATGTCATAGGTGTACACAGAGTAGAACGCGCGCAGGAAGGGAGCTCCAAGAATCGTGTTGGATGCCATCCCCGCGCCGATGAGCACGCTGACGCACTGGCCGCTGAAGTCCGTGCTCGACTCGCTCGCCGCCTACACATGCAGAACATATGCATGTCAGTCTCGCGCACAGCACATGCCTTATTCAGTGAAGAGGTGTCAGGGAGGACTGCAGGTCACATGCATGCCAAGCTCATCACAGTGCTGCTGAAGCTGCAAGACTCAAATCTGCTATGTTTGCAGGCTTGACAGATGGAAATAGTGCGAACATGATAGATATCCTTGCACATGTCACTGATCAAAAGTTCCCTCAGCATTGTAATGCCATAACGCGATGTCAGTCAGAACATCCCTTGCACAGACATTGCTTCTCAGCGCAGAGCACCATTGGTACTCCTTGCCATGTCAACCACCCACCTTGAGGCATGCGCCCTGTATTCATGAACTCTACCAAACTCTATACAAACGCCTCTGGCACATGTGTCCTGCAAATTATAGCGAGGTCAGGTATTTTTCAACACGCACCGGCCGAGTCCAGAGCTGGGGTGGCATCGCATAGGGGGTCCCGCCGATGACAAATGTCACGGGCGGCAGGTCTGCCACTGCCGCGCAGCCGCCCTTGACCACCCAGTAGCCCGACTGCCTGTCCAGGTACATTCCTGGGATCGCCTGCACACATGGCAGGAGTCTGCTTCAGCACACATGCCTTGCTATGTGCCAATCTGGCAGTCCTGGAGATGCATGCCAGGAACAGTAATCAAGGCTTCTAAAATCTGCAAAGCATGTCTGGTCTGACGACAGTTTCCTGTCTGCATGATCCCCTTCCAATGCATGTCAGACAGCTGCTCAGACGCCTTTGCACAGAGCAGGACAAGGCTGGAAGGGGAGCTTGCAGATACAAATGTGCACATAAACTCTGCAGTTCTTCTCTCGCGGCAGATATTGCCCGAGAGAGGACAGTCTCCCCTACACCAAATGCACGGCATCTTTGCAAGTCCCACACCATCCGTGGGCCCGTAGCAATTATATCGGCCAGAGCATGCGCATGCGCACTGATGGAATTCAAGAAGATTTCCATCTGTATAGTTCTCTGCACAGTTTAAGAGCGTTCAGGCGCACCTTGTGGATGGAGGCTGCATCGTTGGCGCCCAAAAGAATCGCACTTGTGCCGCTGTCGATGACAACTCGCGTCGCCTCCATTCCCACATCCACCCCGCTCACAGTCACACCGCTCAGACCCACCGTCCAGTACCTGCACCAACAAGCAACAGCGAAAATTCAGCCGCCATTGCATTTCTGAGGTTGCTTAGGACCGACCAGAGCTCAAGTAGAACGCAAGCCCATGGCTGGCATGTGGTACGAATGTATTTCTTCTGCTACTGGCAAGAAGTTGGGATAACCCGGCTTGCAAAGCGTCGCCCCAGCCCTTGCAGCAGCCTCTTTGCCATCAATATCATGGGGTGCATCACTCATCTCTCACCTTTCTGCTGCAAGGCAGGCACCCAATGACGCCGGCATCCACAAAGGAACAAAAGCAATCGGGAACAGAAACAACAAGGCACATGTATTCACCAAAACTTGGAAGTTAAGGGCCCAGCAGCGCACTTCTTCTCGACGACTGGCGTGTACGTGAGCTTGCCCACGTATCTGCTGGTGTCGATGGAGCCAAACTCCAGCTCGCCAGCAGGCTCCTTGGTCACATCGGGGTTCAAGTAGAGGCTGAACAGGGGCTGGTCCAATTGGCCGTCACTCAGCATGTTGAAGAAGGCCGGCGTGGTCTGCAGGTTGCTGATCTGGGGGAATCCCAGTCCCTGCGGTAGCAGTGCACACCTCTGGTTTCAGCCCCTATGCTCATTAGAATGCAGCTCTCGAGGATGCTTTGAGGGCCGCGGAAAAATGCCCAGCAAGAAGAAGAGTGAGACCTTTGTGCTTACAAGCGCCAAGCCGGCTGTCAAGAGATGGCCACTAGAAAGAGGGCCCCAAATTCCGGCAGTGCTGAGGTTACAGCTGTGACCGTGCAGAGGTCCACAGCTCGCGGCCTCACGAACGGAAGCATCATGCACAAAAAAAAGACCAGAGGGCCGTCTCCAATTCGCAGCTGCATGCGTGCAGTGCGCTTGCATGCAAAATGGCTTGGAATTCTCAACCAGGAGGCAAGCACTACCAGGGACCTCACAGTGGCTGCTTGTGATAAGCCTGTGCTGAAACAGCTCAGCTGACAACCCGCTCAACGCGTTAGCCGTTTTACAGGATCAAAGTCACAATACAGTCTTTACTTAAATTCAGATTTGAGAGTGCCGAGAAGGGTGAAAGGGCGCACAAAGAGGCCGTCGCAGGAGATGTCGAGGAAATCAGTGCTGGCGCGCAGAACGAGGCCAAAGCCCTGGTTCTTGACGGTGATGTTGCCGACCGTGAGTGTGTCGGCCGCTACGGTGCCCGCCACCTGGCCGGTGCCGTAAGTAATCATGAACGGGCCCCAGCTGGAGGTACGCTGCAGAACCGCCTCCGCCGGAGTATCGGTGTTCGCCGAGCTCTGCGCAGCACACAGAAATTTAAAGTTGAATACGAGTTCAAAACGTTGAGGGACTCTTGAAGACTACGGCGTGATTTACTGTACACGGTGGTGAGGGCATGGATAGACATGGAGAGGCCTGGCCCCGCAAAGAACAAAAACATAGAATCACAAACGTGTGTAACAGGGTGCAGCAGCAGCAGCAGCAGCAGCATGGTTTGTTCTGGGAGTCTTTGGTGCATATACCGGTTCAGCGAGCAGAGGCAAGGGATGCCACTGCAAAAGCCTTGTGCAGCATGGCTGCGCTCTGCTCACTTCAGCACTCAAGCCTTGCCTAAATATCAGGGCTTTCATTGTTCTTCGTATCCTAGCAAGATGAGTGCACGTCCCATTAATTAATCTTATTTGCAAGGCATTTTCTTGCTCTAGGTGACTAGTACCCAAGCATCAGGCAAAGGGGTTGTGCCTTTGCCCCGTGAGGCATTGAGATCGACAATCACCTTGAAAGTCGATGATTGTAGAGGGTTGAAGCGATCGTGGGTCTGGCACGAGGGGTCCAGGCACGCTACAGATGGCACCCAGGTGTCGGAGCTTCCCGTGTCAAAGCAGCCGGTGAACTGCTTGGGCGGCGAGCCCAGGTAGAACTCGCCGTAATCTGTAGCAGAGAACGATTCAGTCAGTATAATCTCTTACGATTCATTGTTCAGCCACATGATAGCCCTGACGCTTTGCCCCGTCGGTGCATGCCGGAATACCTTCCTTTCAAATCGAGTTTGCAATGCATGCTCTCTCTACATAGAATCAGCTAAACATATCACATCATCTATACTCTAGAGTTCAGCGCGATCTTATTCCCGGCAAAGATTTCGAGCACCGGAGCGTCATGGTCCCGGAAAGAACCCCAGCTCGACCGAGAAAAGGAGTTCTGAAACTCCGATAGCGGTGTTGCGACTTGAAAACACTCTGATTGCTTCAACGTTGACTTTCGTATTAGCTACACCAGCATCGCTTTGGTAAATCGAAAGAAATCAGCAATAATGCGTTCGTGGACGGAGGACTCACACACAACATTTTGCGATGCTCGACTCGCCACCCCGTCGAGCTGGACGTTTCTCCTATGAAGTGCTATCGATGTCGAGGAGGCTCCTAAAGCGCTAGATACAAGGGCTGCGAGTTGAAGCGCCAAAATGATTCTGGGTCTCTGCATGGTGTAGTCCGGTCAGTCGGGCGCACGGTGCGAGACGGTCTTGATTGACTTGGCGGATGGCGCGATGCGTCCGACTCAAGCTCAAGACTCGACTGACCGGACAACAGAAGAAGTGAATGAAGGGATCGCTGTGAATTGAACCAGCCGAACGGATTTGATGGAATGGGACGCCGTTCTATTATATTATCGCCCTGCAAAACCATCCAACAGCCTGGCCCGGTCATCATTATGAAGAGGTAGTGGCACGCGCCTCGCGCCTCTGACGAATCTACAAGCAAGATGCTTCCGTCTCTGCATTGACGGTGGTAGGCAGATTCAGATTTACTTGTGGTGATCTATACCATGCATGATCATTTGAATTGAAGCTACATAAGTAATACTATGTGGAATATGAGGGTGCCACACCAGGGTCTGCCAGAACTGATGGATCTCTCAGAGTCTGACCTTCAGATCAGAGGGTCTAAGCTGAGTCAGTAAGGCCTCAACCCCACCATGCAATCAGGCGCTTGAAGCTCCAGCGCACAGCTGGACACAACTCACGCTCTAAAATGCTGATGTGCAATGATACATTACCATGATGCTCCCGCTCTGGGCAGCCCACCAAACTGTATGACGATGCATATTTACAGCTTGAAACTTGCCATCTGTTCAGCCACATCAGGAGTAATAGAACAACCTTTGGCCATTACTTTTGCTTTTCATTGGTTTCCGTTCTGGAGGCAGCGCATCGTTTGCCATGCACCCCACAGCCCCGTGCTGTGTGTCTGCATGACAAAACTGCACACCCCACTAGGCACATCGATGTGTGATTTCAACGTGTGCTACAACTTGCAGCTTAAAAGGCATGATAAGGCCTGTACCGCTCTCACTGCAGCCATATTTTTGTTGCCTGGCCCCCCCTCTCTCACACACTCCTATGCTGGCAAATGCACTTTGCAGATGCCAGCCTAGGCGGTTGCGGGTGGGGGAATCTTTGGGGCGGGAGCGGGTTTGTACTTCTTGGTGGCCTCAGTGTACAGGTAGGTTCCCAAGAGCGCAATACCAGTTCCTGCAGCCAGCATTATCCCCTCTTCAAGTCTGTAGGGGTAGGATAATGGGGGCCTTCACCTGCACCTTGTCCGCAGGACGAAGCTCGCCTCTTGGCAGAATAGCATGTAGTAATAATAATAAACTAATATGCTGCTTGTTTTGATCTCCCACACAGAGGACACAGGGTGCAAATAACAGCAGAAGATCAAGAATGCCATCAAGATGAAGTAGCAATGAAAATGGATTGACAGCCCTCGAAGCCACATCAATGGCGCCACTGTCTGCACACAAAGAACGGCTTCTGACAAGCTTCAACACGAGATAATGGGACAGGGGATGTACCGAGCTTGGTCTTCATGGTGAGGGTGGTGCCGAAGAAGATCACAGATGTGCCAATGATGACCACGCGCTTCACCTGTTGCACATTCCCCTATCACTGCCTCTGGCACAAGTTTCAGTAAGGCATATATGGTTCAATGGAAGAAAGGCATTTGATCCCAGAGTACACTATAGAGAAGCCAAGAGACAGACTCATCCGAGGTCAGATGAATGATCCTGCAGGACAACATGCACAGCATATGGGAGAGGCACTTACCACATTGCAGACGCCGTGGGACACAGGGCTGACACGCGACAGCGTGTTGAAGGCAAACTGCGCAGACACATGCACGGTCAGCGTGCACGAAGAGCAGCAAGAGCAGCAACAAGAATGTAAGTTTCATGGACACCACTGTGAGAGTATGCAAGTGACACCTTTGTGTTCTGTGGTCTTCCATTTTTTAGGACAAGTGCAGCAATATCCAGGACAGCATCATGAGATTTTAGAAGCCAGTTCCTGCAGTGTATTGGAGCATTGGTGCACAGCACTGAAAAAGCAAACATCCTGCCTCCAACCATCCCACATGCCATACTCTCACCAAGATCTTGGATTTGGGGTCCACTCATGGAACAACTTTTGAGCAGAGACAGGCATCCAGGAGACAGCTCAGGAGAAGCACAAAGCACTTGTGCTGTCACAGCAAGACACCATCAATACTTCTCGGCCTCCAGACCTGACATGTCATCCGCAAGCATTCATTGGCTTTTAGTCAGTGGCCTGACAGAGATTGTAAATACAGATTAGCACCCCAAAGAAGGTGGGGCGGACCTGGTTGTAGAGGTGGTAGAGGAGGCCGACAAGGAAGAGGGAGAAGTAGAAGTCTGGGTGGGCCTCGAGCGCCTTGGCGGAGGCGGCCTGCAGCTTGGGGCCCTCAAAGATGAGTGCGGCCGGCACGCAGATGAGCACGCTGATCAGCGTCGTGTACGCGTAGATCGCCGTGCTGTCCAGGTTCTTGATGTTTGACATCGCCCTGCGCATCAGCACAGAAGCACCCTGAAGATGACATCATCCTGAACTTGCCTCAATTGGACCATGTGCGCACAAAAAATGCTCAGAAATACATCATTCCAGGAAAGGGAGTTCTGGAAGCTTAACGCCTGTATTCCGGGCACTAGGCTCTCGGACTGCCCCTTCTGCCTTCAGGATGAGGGAAACATGTTACTCTTGCTTTCTTGCAGGAACGTGAATGTCGTCAATTCTTTATCAAAATATGCGCGGGTTCAAGCCATCAGAGAGTGTATCTGGTGGGGGAAAGTTCGGGCGCACTTCTTGGACCAGACTGCGCGGAAGCCGAAGGTGAGGTTGGAGACCATGGCAGAGATGAAGCCGGTCCAGTTGAAGGTCAGGTCCGAGGCAGACGCCAGCGCCACTCCCATCTGCGCACACATGCGCACGTGTCAAAAGAGCCGGTAGAAGTGATCCTTACCAATTCTGAATGCTCAAAGGGCATCCCTTTACAGCGACAGAGGGAGGTGAGGACGTCTCAATCTGTTCTGCAGCCTGCCAGGCATGTGCAGTGCTCACAGCAAGCCTCAGGATAGTGGTCATTGAGGGGCAAGTGCCCGTGCATCAAATCATCCATGCCAAGCCTGTCTCGCATCATCTTGTACAAAGCCATTCACATAATGGAAATGGTGGGATGAGGCATTGCATCATGCTCATAAGACTGAAGGGCAGAAAGAGGTAGGAGCAGCACCATGATGGGGATGAGGGTGCTGACGACGGGGAGGGGGGTGCCCACGCCCAGGAAGAGCTTGGACAGCAGCACATTGAAGGCCGGCTCCAGCGTCTTCACTGTGTGCGTCAGCGAGATAGCCACCGCGGCAAAGGACAGGTTGGCCGCAATGTGGCCCACCGCGTGCATCGCCGCGGGGCCGAAGATCTGCTTGAATTCGCCCTTGGTGATCGCCTGCAGATGCACACCCCACTCCACTCTTAAAGGAGACCCCCTTCATTCGAGCTGGGTGCCCTGCTGCAAGCATTGGCTTTGGAGCCATCCAAGGGACCTGCTGGGCATGCATGAGACTGTGCAGGAGCTGGACATGATGACAGGCACACAAGCTTGTGGGGATCCAGTATGGATGCGCCAAGAGAGTTGCAAATGCTGAGCATGAATGTCCAAAGCATGCAGGTGGAGTGGGGGCCGTACCCGGCCGAAGGAAGCCTTCTTGGCGCCAAGAAGGTACGTCAGAGAGCAGTAGGCGAGGCCGACCACCACGTGGACAGCGCTGACGGTGTAGGGGAAGGGGAAGTAGTTGAAGATGGTCTTGTTCAGCAGGTTGAAGGCCACGTTCAGGCCATACCACATCGTCACGAATGACAGCGTCACCACCGAGGGTGCTGCCTTCACGCCCACCACCTTTGACACAGCCCTGCATGCAAAATACACCCGACGTCAGCTTCTGCAGTTGCCCATGCAGAGTGACCCTAGGTGCTGCAGTGGGCCCTCCTGCACAGAACGCTCGTGGCAGCTCCATTCGGTTTGCTCCTAATGAAAATGCTTCGGAGGCTGCTTGGCCAAAGATCCGTTGGGTTTGGCATATTCAAATTTACCACGTTTGTCTGTGCATCGATCACTGTGGCAGGTTCTGCTTTGCTGGAGAAGTACGGTCGAGCATTCGCTGAGGTCGAGGGGTAGAACACACTTGCAACCACATCTGATGGACAACTGCAAAGCAAGGGTCTTCGCAAGTGAAGGAACAGGAGGAGGGCGATCTGCTTCATGGATTTGAACCTTACTTCTCATAGGGATCAAGCTCAACCGGGGCAGCTGTTGCCTTCACCACACAATTGTGGCGCAATTTCTGCGTTCTCCTTGCACCAGGGAGTCTAGACAGCTGCAGAGGCGAGGATACCAAGCCAGCCCTAAGCACGGAGCATCCCTGCGCAGACGGCCTCCACTGTGTGACACGATGTCAAACTTACCCAGTTCGATGACATAATGACATCCAGGGGCATCTGCATTGGAAGAATTATGCATCGATCTATGCGAGCCAATGCCCTACCTGCTTTGCAATGGGGCGCAAGCTGGGCGTAAGCCTGGCACTACAACTCCTCTGCACGGGGGTCGCAAGGGACGGCATCTGCATCTTTGCAACCCCTTGTGCCATGTTGGGCGTGCTTTAGAAGTGCTCGTGAAGCCTGGCCTTGGATTTAATTGTTGGGGACATCTTTTTGTCTCCCAGCGATTATTATCTGTTATGGCCTGCCATTCTCCCTGTAGTTTCATCAGCCAACGTCACGCAAAAGCGCAAGGAGGCTGTTCTTCTTTACTTTGATCTCGATGAAGTCCTGTTAGTTTGAGTGTCTTGTTGTCTTCTTGAAGGGGATCACACAATTAGTGTAGTGAGGCCTTGAAAGAGTCAGCTGATCTAGCATCGCGATCCTGAATGAGTTTCCAGCCGGAGTCTGCCCATGTTCCTTATGAGACTGCGCTACCTCCCGTCAATACTTGATCAAAGAAGTGTGTTGCAAAAGGGGGTGAAGTTGCGAAGCAGGCTGGCTCATGCCTGCTCATCCACGGATTTCGACCAGTGGTTGCGGGATAATCCAATTCCGAGCACTTCCCTAGTTGACAGAGATCGGGGCATATCGACACAGCAGGTGCGATGCCTGTGTATCGGCCCTCCAGTTTCACAATCTCAGATACAGCAGTGCACCAGGGGTCTCACCGAGGTTGCTTGCCCTTTGGCAGGAGGCTGCCAGCAGCAGAGGAGAAGATGCGAGCACATTCTCTAGAACGTTCTTGTGGAGGGAGACTGCTCGGGTGCTGCAGGGCCTTGTGCATTCTGCAGCTGGAGGCACCTGGCAGCCCACACCCAGAGGCTTTGTGTGCCTGCATGATGAGACAGGTCAGCCATGATGCGTGTGCCTCTCTTGCTAGCAGTCAAGCAAAAGGCCAAAGCCATGTCTAAGCAGCATCAACAGGAAGCCTGAGTCTCCTGCGCATGCCATGTCATGAGGCCCTATCAACCTCAACTAACAAACTTCAGCCTTGGACAACAGCTGAGACGGTGATATGGTGTGCCTCAGCATAGGAAGCAAGCTGCGCGAGATGCTGCTTCCGAGCGTCCTGAGGCCCATGCCTGACATGGAGGCTTTCTTAGCGACAGCCTTGAGCTCTGAGAGGGTTTTCGACCCAGGCAGGCACCTCACTTGACCAGCCCTTGCTGGCCCTTGTGCACCTATCACATGTCTTTCTGCAAAACTGGCTACAGTAGCAATCCTTGGACTGCTCTTGCCAAATAACATTCTGGAGCATACCGGCAGAGTTTCATTCGGTTAGAGACTCTCAGATGACGCGCTTCCGGAGTGATACATTCTGTAAGAGAAAATATTCAATAGCAGAATATTGCATGCATGCAGGTCCGACTCGGTGCGGGCGCCATGTGGCGGTGTTGCTGTCGGCTGACTCAGCGGTGCTGGGCATCTGGGACGATGGTGTGCTGCTGAGGCACAAGGTCATCACCGGCTACACTGTGCGACGCAAGGCCGGCAAGGCCCAGCTCACCTACCTGCGAAGGTGGGCCACTTATAAACATGCAGCGGACAGTCCTGTGCATCCCGCTCTTGTCTGGACATGACATGCATTGCCATTCACGGAAGCATGCAGCGTCGACATGTCAGGGAGTGTGCCATTACTGGCGGCAAGCGTGCATGCGGCAGGTTGGAAGCATATCCTATACAAGCTCTGCCGGCAAATTTGTGAGTGGGGCAACGCAGGGGAGGGAATGGCGGGACGGTGGGCGGCGGAATTAGGCTTCGCGAGACGCAGCGGCTGTTCCATGCAGCTGCCAGCAAACTGTGCGAGTGGTCGGCTGACATTGCAACCTGCGAGCAGGTGCGCTCAAAAGTGTCCTACGCCCTGATACTGCAGCAGGCAGCAATGCACACGTAAACCATGTGCCAGCACTGTGTTGAATGTAACATCTGCTGAGGCACTTGACATGCTGATTCGGCGGACACAGCATGAACCTGCCTAAGATTTTCTGCTGGTCTGCTACCTTTCCTATCAGCACTTGCTCCTAGCTGCCCTCGCAAGTCCAATATGCCTGCTGACAGTGCTCAGGATGGGTGGGTTGATATCCCAAAGGAGCACATTCTAAATCTTCCATGCTGATTGCGCCGCGCAGGCGCATGCAACGGGGACGGTGCGTGTGTGGAATGAGCTGTACTCAGCCAAGACGGCGCTCAGTTCTGTGCTGCCGCGGGACGACGCCCGGTGGCGGCGCGTGGGGTTGAGTGTGAGCAAGCCACGCATGGCAGACCTGAAGCACGTCTGGCGAAGCATCAGCACTGGTTCTGTTGTTGTCTATGATGGCAGCAGCCTGGAGTGGATGGCGTGCGTGATACGCTCTAGTAGAAAACCCATGGGAAGATTATGGCCATAAGTTTGCAATGAAGTACCCAGGGATAAAAGTACCAAGTTGTTGTAGAGCTCCAGGGCGCTCTTGATAATCAAATAGCACTTCGAATGCATGCAGTAATACATGCAGAGCTTTGAACAGCATTACACTCTGCTTACACCAATAAACCACATACTGTAATGTGTCAACCAGACTGGAGTTTCTCGGGAATGCAATTGAGCTGCTGCGTGTCTCACAATTTTCAATCATGCAGTCAATGCAGATGTCGTAGAGCACAAGTACTAAAATATGCACAAACGTGTCACGAGATCTCAAAGCAAGCTTGAGCTTCCACTGAGATTTCCTACCACATCTGCGCATCCGCCCCGCACTACAGCACTGCTCCTCCCTGACATTCAAAAAATTGCCCCAACACATTTCAATACAAAAAAAGAAGTCCCCCCACCACATTGTGGCTACAGCCGCCCTCAAGAAAATTGTAAGTTTCTGAGGCAACGTGCAAATAATCACCCTTGCCAGCAATATGCTCGGGCCACCCCTTCAGGCTGCGCTGAGCTAAGGGCTCAAGGGTCATATGCCTAGTGCTTGATGCAATCTCCTTGAACCCCAGCTCAACGCCCATGTCTGCTCACTACCTAAAAAATGGCATCGGCCTGGGTTGCTAAGCACGATGTGGACACAGCCTGCTTTCTATTCCCTCCTTGGTGGTCTCATAGCGAAGCGAAGCAGCACTGGTATGTGTACATGGTCTAGGCTTTACTTCAGCAGACTGCCCATTAATTTTGCCAAATGAACATAGACTCTTCCCAAGCACATGAAACGCCGCCGGGCATGAAAATCAAATCTAGCCTCGTGGAGCTGTCATATTTCTGAGCGTCATGTCTCCCCAACTAAAAAAGTGACAGGTAAACCATTAGTGATCCCCATACCAGCCCTTACAAGACTGCATGCCGCCTCGGCATCTGCAGCCACCAAAGGCGATTTCGCAATTGGTCGCTACCATAGAAAAAGGAAATCGCCAACTGAAGGAAGCTGCGCGGCGGCTGCGGCTAGACGCAGAGGTAGCTGACGTTGGTGTACTTGTAGGTGCCGGGGCAGGGGTCGCCGCCGTCGGTGTTGCCATTGCTGGCGGTGAAGGAGCAGGTATTCTTGCTCTGGCAGGCAGTGATGAGAGCTGTTGTGATGTTGCCCCTGCAGTTGGTGCTGCACGCGCTGCAGCCGAGGCCGGCGGTGCCGCCCCCGTACAAGGCGCAGGTGTTGTTCCCAACCACTGGGTTGCAGCAGTTGGGCCTTCCATTGCTGCTGCCGCACGCTATGCCTCCCGCGCTCGTGCAACTGCGCGCGCGCACCCCCTCATCATTTTTAAATTTTTGAACGTTGGTTTCGTCGGAACTTTCAGCTTGAAGCACGTGCAAAGCTTTGAAGCTTTGGTGATCTAGAGACAGTGTGACAGGGTTTCCATTGCTCTTGCTGGCCAGAGGACTGGTTTGCAAACGTGCGGGCTGCGCAGTCCCCTGGGACCCCAGCCCGATCAGGGATTTGGGGAGCAATGACAATAATGACCCCAGGTGGCGTTTGGCAGTGCAAATATTGAGCATTGTGCTTATGGATGATTGGGTCTTGTTGGGATCTGGCGAGTCCAAGAAGGGGTAGGTGTTGTTGCAGCTTTTCACTGGAGCCTGTCTGTGAGACGCACCTTGCTTCTTGGCAGGAAAGCACGTAATGACATATTTGATTGAAAACAATCAAAATCCAGGGCCGCAACGGCTACAGCTAAAGTCGAGCTAAAGCCCCCGCTACAAGCATGTGGACAATCCACATGGCAGGCAACTTGTTCTTGGATATATCTTTAGGTGTGCTGTTAACTCAGAGGATGTGGAAACATGCCAACTGGCAAGGCCACCGCAGGTGGCTCTGCGGCTGGCTCACCTGGCAACCCTGTAACAGAGGACAAGGGGAATAAGGGGTGGCAACGGACCTGCATCCGGGGCACACAGACGCGTCCGTCCGCCCGTACAGATTTGTCTGGCACACGTTGATGCGCAAGGTTCCGCAATTTATGGCGATGGCCACATTTTCGCAGGCAGTCACAAAGATTGGTGTTCCAGAGCACAGGCCCGGTGAGATGCCCTGCGTGCCGGTGGACCCTGCATGCACCGCGCATGAACCTTGAGCCTTCGATCTTGGAAATCAATTCGACACACGCCGGGGCGTGATGGCGATCAAGAAATTGTTGAGTGACTCATGAAGGATTTGGCCTGGGAAATTCAACAGCTGGTTACATGCAACGCACGTGAGCCTCAGGCTTGTTCTCAGTAAGATGAGCTCAGCCTGCCAAGAAAGATGCAAACTTTTTTGTAACAGGCAGATGCCTCCCGGACACTGTACATGTCCGGATGGAAAGTCTGCCAGGCGAGATTATAGCCTGGCGAGGTTGCTAGAATATTGGATCATTAATGTCGGAAGGATAGGGCTTCATCAGAAAGCGGGCGCAGGTTCAGACAGTAGAGAGACCAGGGGGCCTTTGCTCGGCATGCTCGTAGCACATGACCCTTAGGATTGCTCCCACCTGTTCTGCCGGTGCCGCCTCTTGCTCCGGTGACGCCAGTGGCTCCAGTGAAGCCAGTGCGTCCCGTGGGCCCGGTATTCCCAAACAAGCCGCTGAGGCCGGTGTCGCCGGTGAAACCAGTGAAGCCAGTGGCACCCGTGGTCCCTGTTGCCCCTGTGCGACCTACAAATGCAGCAAGACGGAGGTTTAGACCCTCTTTCATCTCCTTCATGGCACGTAGGCATTTTTCCATCTTATCTCATGCTGGGCGTGGACTCCCATGTGCAGCAACATCTGTGCTGCTACCTGCTCCTGCGAGCTTTGTGTCAAATCACAGAGCTGATCAATCACTACACGCCTGCGGCAAATTCTGAAGCAGAGTACATTTGGTTAAGAAGTTAGCCATAATAAAATAGCAGACTTGTGCACTGAAGTGATCTTCTGCATGAAGAAAGCAGCAGGGTGTGCCTGTGTTGCCGGTGGCGCCCGTGAATCCCGTAACGCCACTGGGGCCCGTAGGGCCGCAGGCCCCGGATGGGCCGGTGGCACCCGTAAATCCAGAGCCGCCAGTAAAGCCCGTGGCTCCCGTGGCCCCGGCAGACCCCGTAGCGCCCGTCGCCAGCGCCCCAGTGAGCCCCGTGGCACCCGTAAGGCCCGTAGAACCGGTCGCTCCCGTAGAGCCCGTATAACCGGATGCCCCAGTAAGCCCCAAGGCACCTGCAACACATTTCCCAAGTATCAAGATGCGCCAAACGCCACACAAATTTCCTCATTGTACATGTTAGGTTTGGCTCGTACCCGCTGGCACATGCAAGAGTGGGCATACTGCGCTCAGCACTGGCAATATGAACTCTTTTGTTACACAATACGCCCCTCCTCTTGGCCCGTGTTGTCTGCCTCAGTGCCTCTGAGCCTGAATATTATTGGAGTGGTCAGATCATGTGCGCACCAGTAACTCCTGTGTTGCCGGTGGCCCCAGTGCTCCCAGAAGTCCCCGCCGGCCCAGAAGCTCCTGCATCAATGCACCAGCCGACGCTCAGGAAACGCTGCATGGGTGTGATTCTAGACATTCTTGCCACACAAGCAAGGAGGGAGCCTTCAGGGCAATTTTGACATGGCATCAGCATGGGTTGAAGAGCCCAGACCTGTCGCTCCAGTGAGACCCAACTGTCCAGAAGCGCCGGTGCCCCCGGTAGCGCCCAGAGCACCTGCACAAATGGCACACCACACCATCAAAACACATTGTCATTCAAACATATCGGAAGACTTCTCACCGAAACAGTTTGAGTAGTGAGACCCATGATGGCTGAGTCAAGTTGTTGGGGCACCTCAATGTATGCATGCGTTACCTGCATTTGTTCATGATTGAACCTTGTCAATATGGGCTAAAATTCTACCTGTGCTGCCGGTAGTGCCTGTGGCGCCGGTGAAGCCTGTGGCTCCGCTCGATCCAAAACCACCAGAGAAGCCAGTTCCCCCGATAGAACCACTGGCTCCTGCACACATGCAGCAATGCCTTCTCAGAGAGGCGGCGCGCATGCAGCTTCTTCTTCATGACACACATTCCCTCCTCTTAAGTCCCCTGTAGTCCCCTTTGTTTATCTGCAAAGTCCCAGGAGCCCTTGCACATAGCAGCATCGACGTCGAATGACAGAAGCATGCTACGATTGAAGGCCGGCATGCCGAGATAGCACAGCATACCTGTTGCTCCAGTGAACCCACTTGCTCCTGAGGCCCCCGATGCTCCAGTGCCGCCAGTGGCACCAATTGTTCCCGTGGCACCTGCAAGACAGTAACACCAGATTGGCTCAAACCTCAGACAGATATCATGGTGTCAGCCAAGCTGGGAACAAAATGAAGGGCGGATTTGACACCCATAAAGAAGAGGGATCATCGGTGTATAAAGCAAAAGAAGCTGTGCCGCACCCGTGAAGCCGGTGAAGCCTGTCTCTCCAGTGGACCCTGTTGCGCCTGCTCCTCCAGTCGAGCCTGCACATGAACATCGAACCATGCTTGCACCGCCGCCTGACCCTTGCAGCATCGCCTCGTGCGCCGGTAGACAGTGCGGTTGTAGGCAAAATTGAGGGCTGTACAGACGAGACACAGCGGGGTAAGACAGCTTGAGAGGATGGAGCAGGCTGCTTTAAGGGGTTTGCACCTGTGCGTCCAGAGATGCCGGTTGCACCGGTGAGGCCTGTGACACCAGTGTCGCCTGTGGCCCCAGTGAAGCCGGTGGCTCCTGCGCACACATGGCCATAGCAGGTCAATGCAAGCTTTGCCGTCACACAGGCAACTCTGATGACTAAGAAACGTCTGGGGATGGATAACAGCATTGCAAGGTACATGGTTAATATAAATTTCACCTGTTGCTCCTGAGAGCCCTGTTGTGCCTGTGTTCCCTGTGGTTCCTGACCCGGTGAGACCTGCACACCCACAACCTCTGCTGTCAGCATGTGTGCCCTTGCTCCTGACTGTAGCAAATTCTTAAACTCGGGAAGCCAGGACACTCAGCAGGCTCTCTCAGCATAGAATAGAGGACTCATCAACAGGGAGGACTTGTGTCTTGTTCTGCAAGGCTAGGTATGCCAAGGACAAGAGCAATGGAGTGTGGAGGTGTGCAGCCGGACCTGTTGCTCCTAGGGCACCGCTGATGCCTGTGCCTCCAGTGAAGCCGGTCGCGCCAGATGCCCCTGCAGCAGAATCCCAAATCCTTGCACCTTGCAATTGTGCTTGGAGAGCAGCATGAGAGGAACTGAACCCATTGCTAAGACACCGTCAGCAGTGCCCACATCTCACAGTGACCTCATGCATTGATCAGAGCTCTAGAAGCTGGAAGAGGGACGCCCAGTTGCGGAGTTGAGGATTAACTCACCGGTCATGCCTGAAGCGCCTGTACCTCCGAGTGCACCAGTGAAGCCCGTTGGCCCCGTCACACCTGTTCCACGAACGACTCAGTACCCAGGGAGTTGTAAAAACATTGCATGCTTGTGACCATTGCAGCTCAATTTTTTCGCGCAAATCTTGACTTTCAGCTAATTCTGACTAATCTGATTCGATTTGCTAAATTCTGATGTGCGTTCATTGTTTAGTTCAAGATTACCTGAAGATCCTGTGTAGCCAGTGCTGCCAGTGGCGCCAGCAGTGCCAGCTGTGCCAGTGAAGCCAGTAGCTCCCGTGGCGCCTGTTACATGAGAAAATTTGCAATCAGTGGATCCGAATCGCACAAGCCAGTCAGCAGATTTCTATGACATCTGCTTCATTCAGGAAGGAGATTAAAGAAGGATGCATGAGTACTAGTTTGGCACAGGAGAATCAGTTTATCCAAAAAAACAAGAGAGGTCACGCATCTGGTTGAAGGACCCCCAGCATGATGCAAACTCTACAAATTCCTTTTGAAATGGCTTGCATGTTCACCTGTGGTGCCAGTCGCTCCTGTGCCGCCAGTGTCACCCAGAGCACCAGAGCTACCAGTTGAGCCGGTGGCTCCAGACCCACCAGTAGCGCCAGTGCCCCCAGTGTCTCCAGCGGATCCCTGAAGCCCTGCAAACGTTTTGGGTTTGTCAGTCAGCATGCATATGACTCAATGCTGATCACCTGCATGCCACTGCGGTTGTACAGAACAGAGACATCCTTTCTGTGCACATGTTCGCTCGGAGGTCATGGTTGATGGCACCTCAGAACACAAGTATGCAAAACAGGGACCGAGCTCATGCAACTCGCGATACAATAAGGTCAGCAGAAATGATGCTTGCCTGTGAAGCCTGTGTTGCCAGTTGCACCCGTCTTTCCTGTACCTCCCGATGCCCCGGTCCCCCCTGCATGCAGACATCTTGCTTCAGCACCCACTTCTTCTGCTTCTGAATACGATATTGCGTGAATATATGCTTTGTTTGCGGTATCACTGCAAGCCTTGCGTAGTTAGATTAAGGGAAGTGTACCTGCGCTGCCGCTGGCACCAGTTGAGCCAGTGGCGCCTGTGGGACCTGTCCGGCCTGTGACCCCGCTTGCACCAGTGAAGCCTGCTCACACACGAGAAGCAATCATGACGAGGTAGCAACAGCATGATGGACCTGTCTCACCTTGCATGACGACCTTTAACACTTTTCCCTGAACAACCCCTGTGTGACAAAGGCGAAGGCCAATATTTGAAGTAAATAGAACAACAATGAGTGGCACCTCTTCTCCCCGCGTTTCCCAGTGCGCCAGTGAGCCCAGTTGCACCGCTTGCTCCTGTCCCACCTGAACATTGCAGCCAGCAAAAGCCACTCATAATCTCGCGTGGCCGTTTGAACTAACGCTGGGCTTTTGTCAAGACGATTCTTCAAGTCAGCTTCAAGACAAGCGCCGCCTTGCATGCACAGACGGTTGTTTCAAACATGCTGGGGTGATTGCGCAATAGCCAAATTTGGGAATGCAGGGACCATCACACTTGCTCACCCGTATCCCCTGCCGATCCGCTGGCTCCCGTTGCTCCAGTCCCCCCGGTGATTCCAGTGCCACCTGCTCATGGCAGCGCAACAGAACCGCTCCTTTATGGAGTAAACGACACAGCAGAGCTTCAAATTTTGGCATGGGGAGCGAGCTTCTTGGCAGCTTTGCAGATGACGCGGAGCGGAGTTGTTAAGGGTCGCAGTGAATGCTAAGAAAGCTTGTGTGCAGTCCCACCTGTGTCGCCTGTGAAGCCTGTGGCTCCTGTGGCGCCAATACTGCCGGTGCTGCCAGTGAAGCCTGTGGCAAAGACATTCTCAGATCTCCGTTTTCAAGCTTTCTGACAGAGTCATAGAATGAACTGCTTGGTCCAGAATTTCGTCTTCATGTGACCCTTGCGGCCAAAACAGAAAGCTCAGCGCATTGCAGAAAAAGTGCATTCACCTGACGACCCCGAGCCTCCAGTGGCCCCACTTGTGCCAGTGACTCCAAATGCGCCAGAGATTCCTGATCAGCACAAGCGTTGATGTCAGCAGACAGGACTGCAATTTCGTGTAGAATAGTTTAGACAGCCGGACAGTGAAAACTGGTTCTCCCACCTGTGCTGCCGGTGAAGCCAGTGGCCCCAGTGAAGCCGGTTGCACCAGTGGCTCCTGTGACGCCTGCACAGCACAGATGCTTCGTCATCAGACACCAGCCTCCTTACAGCAAGCGCATAATCAGGATCAAAGCCAAGGAAAGTCCCAGTCTGCCTCAGCATACGGAACGAGAGCATACTGCACAGTGAATTAGCCGGAGGGCATTCATGCAATTGCACCTGTGAACCCAGTGCCTCCTGTGGCTCCTGAAGCGCCTGTTGCTCCAGTGCTGCCAGTGGTACCTGCATTTTCAAGGCCCAGAACTTCAGTAATTCTCCAGAAGGTCTGTGCAGTCAACAGACTCAGAGAAAAACGGGATTCCAAATACCATAAAAAGAGAACAGCCTCTTTTTGTCAAAAAGGTGTTTAGTGCTGTTGGAGGTGTTGGGACCAAGATATGTGCGGCTGGTACTTTATCAATGTGAGTCACTGCGAGTCACCTGTCGCTCCTGTTGGCCCTGAGACCCCAGTAGCTCCAGTCGTGCCAGTGGCGCCGCTTGCACCTGAACAGCCACGCAAGAAGCATTCTCAACATTATGGGTTACGGCAGATAGTGCAGCTCTATGCACAGCCTTTGAACATGCCAGTCTAATCTTGAATTCTTCTTATTTTATGATTATCACACGCCTTTCCTGCCACAGGCAGGTGCGTCTGCAGACAAGCTGCATGTAAAGGCTACCAAACTCTCAACCCTGATTGCACACGTCAGATCCAAGCAAGATCCAATCAACCGTGGCACGGTGCTCAGTACGTATCGGCCCCCGCCAGCGGGGGCCTGAAATATACAGAAATGGTACACTACAATTTTGGACACAAGCGGTGGTGCAATCATGAAGCGAGTCAAGCCATTCACCTGTGGATCCTGTGTCGCCTGTGAAACCGGTGGGTCCAAGGTTTCCAGTGGGTCCAGAGGCGCCTGTTTACATTTGCAAACTTTGCTCAATAGCTGTACAGAAGGCAGGGCTTCCGCTGCACATAAAGCATGTGCATGCATGCGCGCAATGCTCAGCAAGCCTCATCAACCAATGCAGCATGACAAGCAGCAGCCTGTGAGCATCTCCATGCTATCATCCTGCAGTTGGGCTTCAAAGGTAGCATTTCCAAGCCATCCGCAGAAGCGCAAAAGGAGAAATACACAATTGTAAACACCTGTTGCGCCAGTGTCTCCGGTGAAGCCAGTGGCGCCAGTGAAGCCGGTGTTGCGCATGCTTCCAGTGAGGCCGGTGTATCCTGTTCCACCAGTGACCCCAGTGTCTCCAGTCGACCCATCAGTACCAGTGCTGCCGGTGAAGCCACTTGCACCAGTGAAACCTGTGAAGCCCGTGGCCCCAGTGAAGCCTGTTGTGCCAGCGCTCCCACTGGCACCTGTGCAGCAATGGCAAAAACTTAGCAAGTCTTCTCTTAAAGCTTCCAAACTTTCCCTGCATGTTTGACTTTGAAAGTCCCACTGACAGAGCTTCCAGGCCACGAATTGAAGTGTGCAGAGCATAGACATGCAGCCATAGAGTTCAGAGCAGTCAGCAATGTAACTAAGATGGGTGTTGGTGCTCTTACCAGTTGAGCCTGTGAAGCCGGTGCCACCTGTCGCTCCCGTTGTGCCAGTGCTGCCAGAACTACCTGTAAAAGACACATTGCAATCATCTCAGCACAATTCTTCGTATACTTGCAGACAATCACCTTCTGAGACCTTATGATGAATTGCATTACAGCAGGAGAACAAACTGCCCCATTATTTTATGGTAGGCCGCTGGTATGAGCATGTATCTGGCAGGTCAGTGAACTTTATTCGGATTCAGGAAGGGGATTGTACCGGTGAAGCCAGTGGCGCCAGTAGCGCCTGTGGAGCCCGTCTGTCCAGTATCTCCAGTCGCCCCTGAAGCACACAGACATTCAAACACTTGGCAAGAGGACGAGAAGACGTGAAGCAAGCAGGGACATCTAATCAGAAGCCTTCAGCAGGTGCGATCACGAAGTAATGGGTTTCAAGAGTGCTCTGTTTTTCAACAGCACATGACTAAGGCCTTGTGCTGACCTGTTGCCCCACTGCTCCCTGTGGCGCCGGTGAAGCCGGGCCCTCCAGTGCCACCGGTTGACCCTGCACAAGCGCGCAGTCCAGTGATCCTCACAGAATTTGTTCCCTTCTGAGGTCTCGTTAAAGAAAGCTGCCCTCCTCTCAATAGAAAAACATTGAGGGAGATCGTACCAGTGAAGCCGATTGCTCCGGTGAAGCCTGTGACTCCAGCGGAGCCAGTGCCTCCAGTGGTTCCTGAAACAACCACAGTGCAGCATTGGCTTGAAGGGCACCTCATGGATAGTCACACTGCATTTGAAGTGCGCAGCAATACTGTATGCTACAGAGAATGGTCTTCAAAATAAATGTGACATGCTGTATTCTGTGGTCAAGTGCACCTGTAACTCCCGTTGTGCCTGTATCTCCGGTGAATCCTGTGGATCCGGTAGCGCCAGTGGACCCTGCATGCATGCAGTCCTATTTAGCAAACTGTCCACTGCACTCGATGAACCCCTGACCTTTGGTTGCAAAACAGGGAATTATCAAACATTTTGTCCCATTAGCTGTGTTGCCTGATTGTATCAAAAAATCGAAGACAGTTTCTTTCTTGTCGTAGGAATGGACTGTGGCTACTCCCTTAAGAATGCTAATGCCGTAGACGCACAATGGCGCGAATCATTTCTTAGCGATGAACTCATTGAGCTCCTCTGCCATGCCTGACTGGACTGTGAAGTCATCTATTCGACAAAATGTTCTGAGAATTGCCGGAGTCAAGGCAGGTGCACCTGTGATTCCTGTGGCGCCTGTGCTTCCAGTGGAGCCTGTCCCTCCAGTGTTGCCCGAGAAACCTGGACAATATTCATTCTGGGTCAGGATATTAACCGTCATCGGCTAAGAATAACTGTCGAGATGGAATTTAGTTTGGCACAAGAGGAATGCAAGCTTCCAGATTTGAAATGAGGATCTGTACCTGTGTCACCAGTGATTCCCGTGCCTCCAGTGGCTCCAGTGGGACCTGCAGGGTGCACCAGCAAATTTTCAGCAATTGCCAAATATCCTAATAATTTACCAAGGTTTGGCAAGGACCCCCCGTCATGTTGGATCGTTTTGCAGGATTTGGATCTGAAGCAACTTGTTCAAAACAGAAGAAGAGCGATGCACCTGTGTCTCCAGTGAAGCCGGTGGCGCCAGTGCTGCCGGTGACTCCAGTGATGCCAGTGAACCCTGGTACACATTTTGGGTGTCAGTCAAGGGTCAAGGGAGCGCACAACCAGAAGGTTCCGGGGAAGTGGCTTTGGACCATAATCAAATGAATAAACGATGCAAGGATTTGCAGCACCTGTGGCTCCTGTGGCGCCTGTTGTCCCAGTGTCTCCGCTGAAGCCAGTTGCACCCGTTTGACCTACAAATCAATTTAAATTCGAGTTAATGACCCAGAAGTCTGCAGCATGTATTATGCCCGTGCTCCTGGAAAATGTGCACATGAGTACACTCTAAGTCAAATATGAAGCGGCATTCTCACACTATAAAGATCTTTGCAAAGTCCACCTGTGAGGCCTGTGAAGCCAGTGCCACCCGTGGCGCCGGTGTCCCCGGTAAATCCTGTGTCTCCAGTCGGACCACTGAAACCTGTAATTTGCAAAGGCCGGCCATCAGTCATGCAATGAATCTGGTATGACAGATGACAAGATTGCAAAATTGGTGGAAGCTTTCAAAAAAGCAATAAGGCATCTGCATGGTCCAAGGTACACCCACCTGTGGAGCCTGTAGCGCCAGTGCCTGCACTGAAGCCAGTGGTGCCAGTGAAGCCAGTTGCTCCAGTGGCCCCAGTGGATCCTGCGCGATCCCCAAAGCCACATTTTAGAAGCGCTCACGACAGTGTTAGATGATGCTAGCATGGAGTGTGTTCTGCAGCTGCGCAAAAGCGGAGTCATTTGGCATGTTGAGCTTGCCTGAGGCGCCGGTGAAGCCACTAGCGCCGGTGAAACCGGTAAAGCCGGTGAATCCAGTGGCACCAGTTGCGCCTGAGAAGCCTGTGTCCCCGGTGAAGCCGGTGGCTCCGGTGATGCCTGTATCTCCTGTGGCTCCTGTTGAACCGGTCCCTCCAGTGCTTCCTGCAGGTATCAGCATCAGCGGATCACCGAGTAAATTATTGTGAATTCACTTCAGTGGGCTAGCATCTGAAGACACAGGCGTCTATATTTGCATGTTGCCGCTCAGGTTTGACAGATGGGGAGCAGCATGAGAATAGTGAGAGTGTTAGGACCTGTGGAACCAGTAGCTCCAGTGAAGCCGGTGTCGCCTGTGCCGCCAGTGAAGCCAGTTCCTCCAGAAGAGCCAGTGAAGCCTGCGCAAAAGAACATCTCAAGCTTATGGACAGCAAGTGGACAAAGGACATGAGATTTGCCTGAAAGATGATTCAACAATGATCTTGTTTATGTAAGTTTGAGCGAAGTCCACCTGTACTTCCAGAGGCACCGGTGAAGCCAGTGAAGCCCGTGGCTCCGGTGAAGCCAGTGTCTCCAGTGAAACCGGTACTTCCTGTGGCTCCAGTGGGGCCTGTGAAGCCTGTGTCCCCAGTGCCGCCAGTGAAGCCAGTAGCGCCGGTGAACCCAGTGAGACCTGTGGCAGGCATTCACAGTCAAGTTATGTCGGTGATCACGATGAATGTTTGCGCCTGCAAGGGTGAGGATTGGTCTGTATATCCCTGAGCCTTAGCATGCAAGGTGGTGTAGTATATCTGGCAGGGCTTGTATGCAGATGGTGATGCCATGCACCTGTGTCTCCTGTGAAGCCCGTGGCTCCAGTGTTGCCGGTATCTCCAGTGAAGCCAGAGCCACCAGTGAAGCCAGTAGAGCCTGCACATGGAAAGGCACCTTGGTCATCCTTGTCTTGCATGCAATATTGCAAGGATCCCCGTGATTTGCACAATTAAACATAGTTGCAGTTATCTTCTGTTTCCCTTCAAGCTTTACAGAAGGAAGTATGTCACACCTGTTGCTCCAGTGGCTCCCGTAAATCCAGTATCTCCAGTATTTCCAGTGAAACCGGTGGGACCAGTGGACCCAGTGAAGCCTGCAGCCACACATGCACAGGTCACCGACCACCCACACTAGTTTTAACAGCCTGTCCACAACATATATAATATCTGGCTCGCACCTGTTCCACCAGTGTAACCAGTGATGCCAGTCGCCCCAGTCCCGCCAATAAATCCAGTATTGCCAGTGAAGCCAGTGAATCCTGCATTTGCTAGCATATCATCAGTGCAGATTTTTGAAGTGCAGAAATCAACACAGTCCTCACATGGCAAGCTTTGGCGCAGACATTACAGCTCGTTGTTGTATCAATTTATAGACAGAAGAATTACTGACAAGAACCCCGCACCTGTGCCTCCAGTAAAACTTGTGGCGCCCGTAAATCCAGTTGAGCCTGTGCTTCCGGTGAAGCCAGTGGTCCCAGTTGCTCCTGCAGTAAAGCACCAAAGATTTGAGCAAAATGTTCTCCACGGGAATATGATTGCTCCTGACCTGAGAACTAGCTGCCAGGATGCCAGGGTAGTGATACACAGTAGCATTTTCAACAAGTGCAAGATTGCATCAGCATGCATGACAATGACTCACCAGAAAAGCCCGTGACTCCAGTGTAACCAGTGAATCCAGTGCCTCCCGTGGCTCCTGTGGAGCCTGTGTCTCCAGTGAATCCTGCATGCAAGCACGGATGTCCTCAAAGACAGCTCTTTTGCACCTGATAACCACGTACACTTACTGCATTTCGTGGTAGCATTCGGAACATTTCTGAGAAGTTGCCTGTGGCTCCTGTGAAGCCAGTGGAGCCAGTGAAGCCGGTGTCTCCAGTGAAGCCGGTGTCCCCAGTGAAGCCGGTTGCACCAGTGAAGCCAATGTCTCCTGTGGACCCTGTGAAACCTGTGGCTCCCGTGTCTCCAGTGAAGCCGGTGGAGCCGGTGAAGCCTGCAGAACATAATCTCATTGAATATTGTTAGATGATCATTGCAATTATCATGCTTGACATGTCATCGCCAAAAAAGATCCCCTACACTGTTAGTAATCATGCAGTTATATGCATAATCATAATGGATATGATTACATTCCATCATGTAATGTAATGTAATTTTTTGTAATATATTTTATATATAACATATTATGCAACTATGAACCTGCCTCTGTGCAGGGACGGCCCAAGGCACACCTGTTGGTCCAGTGAAGCCCGTAGTGCCTGTCGAACCCGTGCTTCCTGTAGTGCAAAATATAGTTGTCAAGTATCAAGTCAAATTCCTTAGTCAAGGGAAGGATTGCAGCATAGTGTGTCAATTTGTGACCTTACCTGTGAAGCCTGTGGTGCCAGTAAAGCCTGTCGCCCCTGTTTCTCCAGTGGGTCCACTGAAGCCTGCACACAGCAGCATTCTAAGCTTTTGAAAGCACACCATAACAGCTGTGAGGATCATCCTGATGTCCCTCTGATGTGCTAGCAATGCATCCAAGTGACATCCATACCTGTGGATCCTGTGATTCCAGTGGCTCCTGTGAATCCACTGTCTCCAGTTGCCCCGGTAACTCCTGCACGAAAATATTTGAATGCTAAATTGAGTGCATGCATCACACCAGACACTCGTGTAGCGTACCCACACATACAAGCAGAACAATGGGTATTTCTTCAAATATTATCCCTCATAATGGCTTGCCTGAGGCTCCACTGAAACCAGTGCTGCCAGTGGCACCAGTGAATCCGGTGTATCCCGTCGTGCCAGTGAAGCCCGTTCCTCCTGTGACACACAAAATCTCACTCATCACGATCTCATGCATGCACCTTCCCCAAAGCAAGATTCACAATCACAGCTCGGACTCCTATCTTACAGAACCTTTCTCGGGCCCTTGAAGTGAGAGCCAGATTTGATTTAAATGTTTGAGCCATCGGCGAGCATCCATGATGATGAGAGGACCCAAAAGGCAGATAGTGAGAAAGATATACCCGTGGATCCAGTGAAGCCGGTGAAGCCTGTAGCCCCAGTGGCCCCTGTGAATCCTGTGTCCCCTGTGAAGCCACTTTCGCCTGCAAGAACATAAGCCATGTTGAAGGCCTGTGTCTAGTTCCTTTCCCTGATGAAGCCAAATATTTTGAGGCTTGGTTTGGTTGCCTTTGGCTAGCAAAAGGATGAATTGCCCAGCAGCTTGAAAGGGAGGCCTGCATTTGAGAGCAAGGTGCACATTTTGCTAGCATTGCAAGTCATTCAGATGAATGTTAATGGCAGTCTTACCTGTTGCTCCAGTGAGGCCAGTTGACCCAGTGAAACCGGTCCCTCCAGTGATTCCAGTGTCTCCAGTGAAGCCAGTGAAGCCTGCATGGACGAGGAGACATTGGCTCTCTGACAGGACATTCCTTCTTCATGCAGATACGCAAAGTACTTCAAAACATCATATAAAAAAGCTAAATGTGCATGCATGACTCACCCGTTGCCCCAGTAGAGCCAGTGAAGCCAGTGAAGCCAGTCTCCCCAGTGAAGCCCGTGCCTCCAGTGCTTCCAGTGAATCCTGACAGGCATAGCAAATTATCAGGTGTTTGTGCAATATTGCTTGAGAACATCGCAAATATCTTGGGAAGGTGAGACTGATTAGCAATGTAGAACCGGTACACACCCGTTGCTCCAGTGAAGCCAGTGTCCCCAGTAAATCCTGTGTCTCCAGTGAATCCAATGGATCCAGTGAAGCCAGTGGCACCAGTGAAGCCAGTATTTCCTGCACAAGGCACAGTAAGACGAGGCTTACAGTCTTCCAAAAGAGCTGCATCTGCAATGAGTAATCGCGGATATAAATGAAAATGTGTGGTGAGTCAATGGGCAGTAATGGGGCTGAAGTTGACTAATGCTTGACTGTCATACCAGTAAAGCCGGTGTAGCCAGTGGCACCGGTGATTCCAGTGTCTCCAGTGAATCCAGTGGTACCGGTGAACCCAGTAGCTCCAGTGAAGCCAGTAAATCCTGTGAAGCAAGTCCACTTCAGTGCAGCCTTTCCTTCTAAGTATTTACTTATAAGTATTTGAAAGTATATGCATGCCAAAGCAAAATGCACATCACATCATTGTAGTGGCAAAGGGCGCTTCAAATCAGGACTGGCTGCACCTGTGCTTCCAGTAGCGCCAGTGCTCCCGGTGAACCCTGTAGCTCCAGTGGATGCAGTGTTCCCGGTGAAAGCTGTAACACCGGTGTTTCCAGTAAAACCTGCAAAGAATGGCAGTGGAATCCGTTAAATGCATCAAATATCTCCAGAGTGCCTCTATTGGGTACGAATTGTCCAAAGAGTTGTAGGATTGATGTGGTGAGGCGAGGTGTCAACCTGTTGCTCCAGTGAAGCCAGTGTCTCCCGTGAAGCCTGTTGTCCCAGAGAAGCCGGTAGTTCCTGTGGCTCCCGTAAAGCCTGTCCAAGGATAAAAAGGGGACAGCTTAGACAGCAATTGCCTGCTCTGACACCACATTGCAACAACTATGACACATCCTTGACTTCGTCTTCTTGGTATGCACAAGAAGATTGAGGGGTTCTGCAGTAATTGAGTGCACCTGTACTGCCTGTGAACCCGGTAGCACCGGTGAACCCAGTGAAGCCTGTGTCTCCGGTGAAGCCTGTGCCCCCCGTAAATCCTGCACAGACAACAAGCACTTCATATATACTGTTGTATAGGTACAGAATTTCAAACACAGGTGCGTGAAGTTGCACGGAGTTCGTGTGACTTCTCATGGGACAGCTATTAGCAAGAGAGATGCCAGTAGGCTTGCCTGTAGCTCCAGTGGATGCCGTGCCTCCAGTAAAGCCAGTGGCACCGGAGAAGCCAGTGAACCCCGTGGCCCCAGTGAACCCTGCATCAAAATTCAAGCTCTCAATGCCCAACATGCATCTTGTGCCACATTGACCAAGATTGATTGCAGTCGATTGCGGTGATTTAGTGGTGTGAGTCTGCTGAGGAGTAGGAGCGCGCCTGTGTCTCCAGTGAAGCCAGTGGCGCCGGTGAAGCCAGTAGATCCAGTGAACCCGGTTGATCCAGTGAAGCCAGTGAAGCCTGCATGGAGAGATATTGAGAGTTTGCAAGACAACCTGGCATCTTAACAAAAGGATAATCAAGAACTGAATAGCAGCCATCATTCTTTCTGAAGGAGTGCATTTCCTTGATTACATATACATACCTGTCGCCCCGGTAAAACCAGTGGCCCCTGTAAAACCAGTAAAGCCTGTGTCCCCGGTGAAGCCAGTGAATCCAGTAGCACCTGCAACAAACATGCTTGGTCATCATATTCATGCACATTCTTGAAAACCCCTGCAGGGCAGAATGTGCAACACTTATTCTGCTCAATTATTTTGTACGATGCATCGCAGGATGGGCATGAGATAGCGCATGCGTACCGGTAAAGCCAGTATCGCCAGTGAACCCTGTGAAGCCGGTGCCGCCAGTAAAGCCAGTGAATCCAGTGTCTCCAGTGTTTCCTGCACACAGAAGTACACAGAAATCTAAGCTCGTATATCACTGAAAATCCAGGGGACAAAACCAGACATGCAGCATGAGCTCTTAAGAGCAAGATTTTCACAAGACATGAGCACAAGTACGAGACCTGTGAACCCGGTAAATCCGGTGTCTCCAGTAAATCCTGTGGCACCCGTGAAGCCAGTGAAGCCCGTTGCTCCAGTGAATCCTGCAGGAGTCATATGTATGCTCTGAGTTATGCAAGTGGTATCTCATGGGACAAGCAGACATCAGGAGAACATGCATGCAAATGGGCGCTTTGCATGTGCCAGCATACCAGTGAAGCCAGTGAAGCCGGTGTCCCCAGAGAATCCTGTGGTGCCAGTGAAGCCGGTGGCTCCAGTACTCCCAGTGAAACCTGAGCAGGCACATTAGCAGCATTCTCAGCACATTTCTTGATATTCAGACTGTTGGGAGAAATTTTCCTACAGAAATCTAGGCCGTCAGCTAAAATGGCACCTGAAGGCCCTGTGAACCCGGTGTCGCCGGTGGGTCCCGTGAATCCAGTGAAGCCAGTGGCGCCAGTAAATCCGGTGGATCCTGTATCTCCAGTGAATCCGGTAAATCCAGTGAAGCCGGTAGCTCCGGTGAAGCCCGTTGCACCAGTGCCGCCGGTGAATCCTGCACAGTCAGCAAAATTTTCCATTTGAGAGACACTGGCTTTTCACAACCTTCCGAACGGCATTGACCACCTTCACAAAGCAAGTGCACAACCCCTGCAGTGTATTAGGGAAGGCACTCGCCTGTGAAACCTGTGCTGCCAGTAAACCCAGTGTTGCCGGTGAACCCTGTGAAGCCAGTGGCTCCAGTGGATCCAGTGAAGCCTGCATGCGCAGCCCCAATATTATCATGTGTCCAGCGTGCACTCCAGAGGAATCAAGCAGTGCGGCCAAAAAAAATGATATTGACAGCTGGCAACAGGGTCAAATAGGATGCTAATTTTATTATCCCGCACCTGTGTCTCCTGTAAAGCCGGTAAATCCAGTGAAGCCAGTGGCTCCAGTGAATCCAGTGCCGCCAGTAGACCCAGTAAAACCTGCGGCATGCCAAGAAGTAAATAAGATTTCACGAATGATCTGGGAGGACTCAAAATGCGGTAAAATATATGCATCTGCATGCAGAAATTTTCATTATTGTGCCCATTTTCAAGTGCAGCAGACAGAGCACCTGTGGCTCCAGTGAAGCCGGTGAATCCTGTGAACCCAGTGTCTCCTGTGGAGCCCGTAAATCCGGTGACACCAGTAAAACCTGCAAGCAATCTCTTCTTTATTGTATCAACACATATGCGACAATAACGGGATCTTCTACAGCTCCATGTGTCCATCTGAAATGTCCATATGAAAGCTAAGCACACATATACACATAGCCTGCTGCCATTCAGCGTACCTGTGTCTCCAGTGAAACCAGTTGATCCAGTAAAACCCGTTGCACCGGTAAACCCAGTGAACCCAGTAAATCCAGTGAATCCTGCGCAGGTAACAGGAAGGAGGTCTCAGTATTGCAGATGAGTCAGCTCTGGTCTGTTCTGAAGATAGCGCTTAAATATAGACCACTTTACTGGCTGACCCATTTTGCCTGAAGACTGTGCGGCCAATTTGCCAGGCTTACATGCCCGCTATGTGGAAGGAGCCAGTAAATGCACTCACCAGTGAAACCAGTGAAGCCGGTGTCTCCAGTGGATCCCGTGGCTCCAGTGAATCCTGTAGCTCCCGTTGATCCAGTGAAGCCGGTGAAACCAGTGTCTCCTGTGAAACCGGTGAAGCCTGTGGCTCCAGTGAAACCAGTGGAACCTGCAAGCATGCAGGAGTAAGTCTCAGAGACATTGCTGTGTGCAACTATAAGCTCCAGGCATGAGTGCTTCAGTTTAAACCAAATAAGTCCTGGCCCATGCCTACGCTTGGTTGGCTCTATATTACATATTTATACCTGTGTCCCCGGTGAAGCCGGTGGCGCCAGTGAATCCGCTGTCTCCAGTGTTTCCGGTGCCTCCAGTGAAGCCAGTGAAGCCTGTATGCCCAGCAGCCAAAGCATTCAGGTCCTGCTCTTCTTGGAGCCTTCAAATGTTGGCAGACTCTCTTGAGACCATTAAGTCAGCGCTTCAGGGTGCTGATGATTTGTGCAGAGGTGTCACCTGTGGAGCCAGTGAGGCCAGTGGCCCCCGTAAAGCCACTGCCGCCCGTAGCTCCAGTGAACCCAGTGAATCCGGTGTCACCTGATTGGCACAAGCATGCGAATGTCAGACAGAGCCATCTGGCACCACATATTGCAGAATGCCTTATAAAAATGCAGATGCTCGAAAGTAAACTTATGGGTTTGCAGAAGAAAGGCTTGTGCTACGCACCCGTTGCTCCAGTGAACCCGGTGTCGCCAGTGAATCCGGTGCTGCCAGTGAAGCCGGTGGATCCTACAGTCCAGGCATGTTAATGTTATCGACTCCCTTAAGCTGCTGTCTTGAATAGTTTCCTCATGTTTTTGGACCAGCTTTTGGACCTGAGGTGTACATTTGGCAGAGTGTGGGCAGCAAATCATGCACTGATATTCTGAAGCAGACAGCACCAGCTTCAGAAAATACCTGTGTCTCCTGTGTATCCTGTGAAGCCGGTGTCTCCGGTGAAGCCAGTGTCGCCAGTAAAACCAGTCTTCCCAGTGAAACCTGCAGAGACCAATGCCCAAAATCATATTCTGTGCACCGAAAATGCTCCCATTGAATGGGACATATAAATGGTTGCCACCACTGGGTTAAATCGACACGACTCGTCAAGATTTTCCATCAGGCAAGACAGCTCTGTGGAATTATCATGTGCCTGTGTCCCCAGTGAAGCCTGTTGCTCCAGTGAAGCCAGTGGCCCCGGTGAAGCCGGAGTCTCCTGTGGCTCCAGTGAAACCTGTGCACATGACATCGCATATGTTGGCTTAACCTCTCAGTGCTGTGTGCATAGCTCATGCTACATGTCGCAAACAGTAATTCTCTCTGTCACATAATAAAGATGGCACTTGCCTGTGAAGCCAGTGTCTCCAGTGGTTCCAGTGAAACCGGTATCGCCCGTAGCTCCAGTGAAGCCTGCAGTGCGCCAGCAAACATTCTGAGCATGATCACATGCATCCTTCGTTTCTACTGCCTTTATTTCCTGGACATCGCCTGAAATTTCGGTCAAGATCAGTGCCCACCAGTGTCTCCTGTGAACCCAGTGTCGCCAGTGGCGCCAGTGAAGCCAGTGTCTCCAGTGAAACCGGTGCCTCCAGTGAACCCAGTGTCACCGGTGTATCCTGCAGAAGCCAGAAGCTGCTCAGATTACACAGAATCCCGCACATCTCGAGATCTCCATCCAGTCAACTTGACAGACAAGCATGCATGTGCAGGGAAGGGGTACAAGTCTGGGATTGTTGACAGAAGAGGTCACCTGTGTCGCCAGTGAAGCCTGTGAAGCCTGTATCACCCGTGCCTCCCGTGTAACCTGCACAGCAGTCCCACCCTCAATACAATAAATCTTAATCCCCAACTCCCTCAGCAACAATCTCCTCAGCCAGGCACTGTCATGAACATGCTTTTCAATCCCCATGAAATGTAGCACTTGCAGGTGAAGATATATCAGGGGGCGAAAGGGGGCACACCCGTGGAGCCGGTGAAGCCGGTGGGACCCGTGTCACCGGTGAACGCCGCGCCGGTGAAACCAGTTGCTCCCGTAATGTTGACCGTTCCGCCAATCTCTCCCGTAATCCCCGGCCCCTGGGGTCCTGTCGGGGAGAAACCTTGGCCGTTGCTAATGCCTCCAGTGGGGGGCAGCCCGATACCCTCTGGCAGGCACGTCTGCAGCCGTTCTCCGAACGAGTCTGTGTAATCGCTGTAGAGCGGCGGGCACACTGCAGAGTGCACCGAGACCCTCAGGCACCTTTTTCCCAGCGTTTGCAATCCCACCGCGACTTCTGCTGGGTTTTGTCAGGCCTGCTTTTGACTTCAGAGGCATGCATGTCGCCTCATCATATCACATGCAAGATCCCACCACTGGTAATGGCTTTACATCAGCGGGCACACTGTAACGTGCATTAAGGCCTTCAGACTCACCCTTCTCCCCAGGCACCTTTTTTAGCAGCACTGGCGCGAAAGCTACTTCATGTACTTCAGCTCAGCCCATTGCAAAGCCTTGCTCTTGACAAGAATGTTGCTGGCAATTTTCAGGCAAGCAAAAATAAAGTCGGCTTTTGACTGAGTAGTTGTTGAGATGTTCAGTGTGCATGCAAGCTCCTAGGCGTTATGTCGGCTTGTGTCGTCTTCCACAGTCAAGGCTGTGGGGCAGAAGAGCCAGGCCCACAAATTGCTTTTTGCGGAGGCATTGACAGGGAAGTACAACGGCGTATCATGAGTACTTACTTTTTTCAGGGACTCCTGACAATACAGGATGTGGGAATGAGATCGGCGGCGGCGCACCGCACTTGCCGTCCACGAGGGCAAACATTGGGTTGCAGGCGAGGCAGGTACCGGGGACCTCGCAGTGCACGCAGCTGGGCTCAAAGGAGGGGTCGCACAGGCACACGCCCTCCAGCGTCAGCGCATCCCTCAGGAAGAAATACCTGTCACGTGACAACCGCACCTAGATCAAGTGTTACTCCACTACTCCTGTCGTTCTTGGTGATGCTTGCTTGACCGGCAGAAGGTGCCCATGGGCCCGCCAGTGCCTCCCATGCAAGCATGCATGCATGCAACCATGTAAGCCATGCCAAGCATGCTTCAGCAGCGGAGCAACAGGCAGAGAATCATTATCCCGCCACACAAAATAATTGGTGGAGCAACGCAAAATTCTCGTTAGGCGCATGGCAAGCAAGCAGGGGAAAATGCATAGATTTGTCACTTTATCATTGATTACCCCCCAAATGGCAAATGTGATACTAATTGGCTACTTATAAGTTGGATCACCCCTGACAGTCATGTCGCTCACCCCTGCGCGCAGCTGGCGAGGTCCAGGTTGTCGGGCGCGCATGTGACGTTGGCAACGCCAAAATTGACGCTGGTGGGCGCCAGTGTGGCGCACACCCCGGGGGTTGCCGCAGATCGGCCGCAGGAGCCGGGCGTCTCACAGAAGCGGCATCCAGGGCCGGCCGTCGCCGGGTTGCACCGGCAAGTTCCCTTCTCCGTCACCTCCATGCCCTACAGCACAAGTATTGGTCCTCAGTTCTGAGAAGGCATACAAGCACCAGAGAGGTAGTGAGCCACTTGCCTTGTCAAGTAGAATATCAGAGCGTGGTTTTGCTACCTGGCGACACTGAAGCCATAGCAGCTTCTGAGGCATGAGTGGGACGGTGATGCAGCCAGAGTCCAGACAGGGAAGACGAGGTCCAGATGGGCGACAGCACTTTTTGTTCACCACTGTGGACCAAGGACGGGGATGTTAGTGGGGGATAAGAGAGGGTGGGAGGGAGGGTGGCAGCACCTCTCCGCAGGCTTGGCAGGCAGTGGAGTTGGCGCAGAGGATGCAGTTGGGGATGGTGGCCGAGCACTCGCGCTCCGCCAGGAAATAGGAGTACAGAAAGTCCGTCTGGCGGCTGATCTCCAGGCTCTGGCTCGCCAGCGTGCCCAGCTGCTCCGTGATGCGCACCAGTGGGCCCACCACGCATGTCCGCCCGCCAAGCGCCGGCTCGTGCCCGGGTGGGCAGCCTGGGCAGCCCACCAGATCCACTTCAGCGCAAGTTTGCACTACGAAACCCTCAAGTATGTGGCAAGTATGAACCACATCGAGAGCAGCGATGTCTAGAGCAAGCTTTTGATCCAGCTGAGAGTCCCCTGCAAAGCTTATGTACATGGTCATTCTATTAGGATACACCGTGTCTGCTTATCCTGTGTTTAGTCAGGGTGGCTGCTATGGGAGCCTCTCCCGGGAAAAAAATAAAGACCGCAGGGCTGAACGTAAAAGAGGCATGCATGCCTCTTGCGTGAGGATGGTCTGCAGGTTGACATGCGCACCGCAGAAGCCGTCCTGATCGACTGCAAAGGGCGGGTTGCAGACCAGGCACTGCTTCAGTGTGCTGGAGCATAGGCTGCAGTGGGGGATCTTGAGCGCACATAGCCGGTAGAACTGCAGCAGCATTCAGAACTCTCTATATGGTGCAGCCAAAAGGATTGTGAAGTCTGCAGCACCTTTGATGGGATGTGTCAAGCAGAGATCCTTCAGAGTTGGCTTTATCATCCGGGAATTGCGTTGAAGAGCAAGAAGGCAAGTCTGCTGCGCACGTCTTGTGGGGTGGAGTATCCCGAGTCTTGAAAGTCCATACTCTGCTCCCACTGACCCTCAGTGCTGGTGGGAAGGAATGCCCGTGGGCCTGTCCTGGTCTCTTGCTGCAGATCGGCTCCTGCACCATTTTGTGAGACGCACATCCTGAGTGACTAGAATTTATCATTCCCATCCCATCAAATCAAATCAATCAACCAGCTCTGTCACGATGGATTAACCCATCACTGCTTACTCTCATCATCCTTTCCAGCTCCATCCTTGTCTTGCACTAATCAATGCTGATTAAGCTGGGCTGGTGATCCATGAGGACGCACCTGAGACATGGCCAACCCAAACAAGACAAATAAGCGCTAATGCAGCGCTGAGCTCCCAAGGTCGCAGTTTGCGCCTCTCTCCATTATTGCTAGAGATCATTGCTATTCATTTAGTGCTTTGCTAGTTGGTCTCGCAGGGATCTCATATAGTAAGATTGCCCATACGAACAGGCACGTCTTGCTGCGCCTGCAGATTCCATTGTGTACTTGACAGATCTAAATCTCTGTTTTCTGATTTGGATCAAAGCAAGCTGAGAAGATTGAATCAGAAAAGACTGCACGACTGATCGTCAGGGATCCTGCAGGTGATCGACGGTGTTCTTTGGGCGAATCAAATAATGTGTACCCTCAAATTTTTGGAATGCAACAAATGTATCACAAGTCTCATGCGATCAATATATCGGCCACTGCCTCCCGCGCGTTCCGGAGGCCCAGGATTTCGCGCCATTGATCGTGCAGGGACGTGGCGACACGGTGGCAGGCACCACTATCCGGCTTAGAGGGTAAGCAATGTTGCTTTGATGTCAGCATACCATTTTCTCTAATGTTCCCATTTAAACCCCATAAAAGTATAAATAATCTAATCTTTGTGAGTGGCGAACCCAGAGCCCAGAGGGTCTAGGGCATACACAGGTCCGTCTGCAGCCGGAACCGCGTCCAATATGCACGTATTAATTCTTTTACATGCTTTGACATTGCTGAATAGATTAAAGGGCTTCTTCCTTGCATCACTGAGCAGGTGTCGCGCTGGCCAGCCGGTCAAGGATGTGCCCATCAAGCAGGATTGGCTCCAGAGAACGCTCTACAGCTGCAGCCACAACTTCATCTAGCAGGTGCGACACCACTGCTCCCTCAGGTCCCTGCGCATACCTGCACATCCCCACCACAAACACGCTTTCAATCCCCGCGCATGCATGCATGCATGCATGCATGCATGCAAAAATTTGATGCCAGCACAGACAAAGCACAGTCAAAGGTGTACGCGTGTTGCTTAACGCAGCTCACAATGGTTGGATTCCATGCTGGACGTTGATTCTGAACAGCATCAGATCAGGCATCGGAAAGCCCTAAGTTTGCTGGAAGCGATGCAATGTGACCGACTGACTGATGATTTGACGGCACTCTGAAGGCCGGGTAAGTTGTTATGTGCATGTGAAGGCGGAAGGGCTGGGATCTCACCTGCGCAGTTGCGGCCGCAGGAAGTGGACATCCACCTGCAGCTGCTGCAGCCCCTGCCGGTTCAGCGTCTGCAGCCGCACAGACTCCACAAACGACTTTATGCCGATCCGCGTTATGCCTGCACCCGACGCCATGAATTTCCAGTCAGCACTCCCGTTCAGGGATTTCTGCATCGATTGTGCAACAACCTCAGGTACTCCATGCTAATGATCATTTTCTGCAGCCACAAGCAAGAGCCCAGGGTGCATTGGGCAGCGACCACACCATGTGGCAAGTCACATACCCCTCCAAACAGGTAGCAAGCGCCGATCAAGCAAACGGGGTCCTCAGAAACCAGTCAAGCTGCCAGGTGTTGTCTGCAAAATTCAATATGAATAAGTCTCTGGGGAACGGTGCAATGCGCACCTGCGAGCACGCTGGCCTGCATGAGGTCAATCTGGCCGAAGATGGGCCCGCGCTCCTGGAACAGGCGCGCCACGTTGCGCTCCATGCCCTCCCGGCTGCCCGCCGCCGCGCTGCTGTACCACTCCTCACCGCGCCCTGCACTCCCGCCCACACAAATATTTCTATACCACCGCTCCTGAGACCAGCAGCCTGCTGTACTTGTTAATCATGGCTAGAAAGAGAATCTCTTTCTGGCAACCACGTCCTCTGCAATGGCACTCAATGCTGTGGCAGCAGAACTTTTACGCTCATCAGAATCAGAATGGGACCCCCAAGCTTTTTTTCACCTGCCACCCCTTCCACTGCCTACAAAGACATTATGCAACACGCAGAGGTACATCACCTTGTATGCCTTCAGCATGATGCCAGATTCAGATAATGCTCCTAAGTGGGGGTCTCACCGCTGGGCTGCGCGGCGGCGGAGTCGTCGATGAGCAGCGCGGCCTCGTCGCGCGCGGCTGCGAGTGCCTGCAGCATCTGGCCGCACACCGCCTGCGGCGCGCGCGGCTCGCGCTGGTCGGCCGGGTCCGCCGCATCGGCCGCCGCGCGCACCGCCGCACTCAGCCGCCGGCCGTGCGCCTCCACGTAGCCGTCCACCAGCGCGCGCATCGCCATGTGCAGCCGCCTGCAACGAGCAATTGAGACCCTCTGAAAAGCACTGCTTTCACGGGCAGATACACTGGGACGGCAGCAGAAACTCATCGAAGCCATGTTAGCTTCCGCAGTAGAAATGTAAAGCGGTGTTTAGCACAGGATAAGTATGATCAGAACATCCGCATCAAATTTAAGTCTTATAGTTAGTCTTTGGTACCCTCAAAGAAAACACTGCAGAATACAGCTGGTTGATTTGCAGAGCCTGCATGGATGAAAGGAGTATCACTGTCCCGGGCGCAAGTCCCAGCCATAACAAAGCAGACTTGCGCAACATGCTGGCTGCCTCAAGCGCGCGTCCCGGCTTTCACCATCTACCCAGATCATGATGACAGGCGCGTCCCGGCTGAAGTATCAAACATCCTGCTTGTGAGCGGCTTTGCTGCGGCAAATACCCAGGGGGCCGAGACTGCTGACCATGCGTCATGACCTGCATGCAATTTGAAAGGCGTTTTGAAGTGAATAGAGCCCAACCTGGCCACTTCGCCGGCGACGAAGGCGGGCGGCTGGCCGCTGCCGGAGCCGCCGCCCTGGCCCGGGAAGGTGGCGGCCAGCGTCTCCATCACATGCACCAGCGCGTTGCTCTCCATGAACGAGCACACCCTCGCCAGCAGCAGCAACACCCCTGCCTCTGGCGGCCTCGCCTCCGCCTCTGTTACACCAACACACAGCCTGAGCACACTTCCCCGCACCCCAGAAAATCTATGATTAAACCAACCCACAGACCTCAACATAAGCAGAACATGACCACATTTAGGTTCTGTGGGATTCAGATGAGCACTACAGTATCTGGCTAGATGTCCCCTCTTTGCATCATTGACGCGCAACCACCGTAGGATCGCTCTGATGGCTCTTGAACATTGACAGCTTCAGTTTTTGGGCCGTGCTGGCGTTGGTAGGTCAAAGGCAGGGGTGGATTTACCTGGGGAGGGTGGTCGCGCAAAGACGTCCCAGGCGCCGCCAGCAGACGGCGGCGCGAGCCCCGGCTGGCCCTGGAGCCCCTCTGATCCTAGTCCTGACAAGCTCCAAAATCCTGCACACCCACAAGCTTCCCTTCTTGTCAATGTAGGCCCTATTCTTCCCTATTACCTATTGTAGCTCCCTGTTGTCACTGCAGTTCCCTGTGGCAGTCTCAAGATGTCTCTCCCGCTTTGAATGCTGAGCACAATGTCCCCTCACTGCCTCTTCCAGCATTAGAGAGGCTTGCACCCTGCTGGCAATAATAAAGTCCAACACAATGGTTGGGGCCGGGTGGGCTCACGTGAGAGGAGGGAGAGGAAGAGCTGCTGCAGCTGCCCCTGAACCAGGTCCACGAAGACGTCCTGCCAGGCGCGCAGCACCCAGGCGCGCTTGGTGTACATCTCCATCGCCTGCAGCACCGAGTCCGTCCCCGCCAGCAATATCTGCGCGATGCCCTCAAACGCCTGCATAATCCCAACACAACCCCCGACTGAGCATGCAAGGAGACAGCTGAAGTACTTCAATAGCCCTGCAATATTCTGCTTTATAAAAGGGGTCTGTTGAGCTGCGTGTGCCTTGCCCTGGTGCATGCATGCCGGCTGCATGACAATATAACCCGTGTTGATGGAATATCCCTTGCACAAGGCTGCTGCAATGGGCACCCTGCAGAGCTGTGCGCGCTGTTTTGTACACGTTATTTCTTCAAAGTTGCTACCGCAGAAGCATCAGGCTTGCTTCTCTCATGCCATCAGCAGGCAGGGGGAAGGGGATGGCTACCTCCACAAGGGGGTGAGTCTGCTGCGAGCCGGGCATGGGCTTCTTCTTGGCTGCCTCGAAGGACTTGAGCCGCGGCAGCACCTCATGCAGAAGGTCCAGCACCCGCCGCTCCAGCGCTGCAAAACAGGCCCCTATGTGGTGCCGCAGCACACCCTCCACTACCTCTGTTCCCCTACGCCATTCCCGAGCAGTCAAAACTCAGCACGGCCTTCACACGAGAGGGTCAGCTGATGAATTTCCCATAATGTTCTATATGTGGTGGAGGGCCAAGCACGAGCAGTTTTGTCCAACAGCAAAGCATCCATAGAAGACGGAGTCCGTCTGTCAGACTTACAGGGTTCAAGATTGCCAAGGATCTGCTGAGCTTGGACGGTGGCACGAAGGAAAATTGCGAAGAAGTTGGCTTGGAAGATTTATGTGGACTGGTGCACGTACCTGTCAGCAGGGGAGAGTTCTGGTAAGAGGCTTTGGACGCGCGCCACATCATTGGACGCTGTGTACAGCGCTTCTGCCAGTACCGTGGCACCCCAGTCCTCGCTCGGATCTGTGCAATCAGCATACAACACAATCGGAACCCTCTCATCCAAAATCTCCATGATCTTTGCCCAAGATCAGTCTTGGCCATAGTGTCGATCATGTGCTTGTGTGGCACGCTGCACCAGTGCAAATCTGGGTGTGGTTTGACTGAATCGATTGTGCTCTAAATTCCACATAGCGATTGCTTGGGGAGCTTGCCTGGAGGCGGGTGGGCCTGTGCAGCGCCGTTGCTGGAAGCATCCAGCAGCTGGATGCCCGCCGAGTGCGCGGCGCTGGCCTCGGCAGCGTCCCTCAGCGCCTTCTTCATCACCGCAATGTACTCCATGAACCTCTCCCGAGTCGCCTGCAAACGCACGCACACCAGCGTCTGGCAAGTCAAAAGAAAGTCCTTTGTCTACTGATATCTCTCAGCAAGGCTCGCCTGGGATTGTTGAATGTGCCATGGGCTTTCCTGCCATTAGCACAAATGGGTCTAGCGTGGCTTGGGGACACGAGAAGAGCCGAGATGTACTGCCTAGCCTCCACAGCAAGCTCCTGCAAGTGCCTCGCCTGATAAGGGCCTGATAGGTGGGAAAGGCAAATGGAGAAAGGAGAAGACTTGCCTTGAGGAGTTGCCGGCGGCCGGATTGGTCAAAGAGTTCATTGAAGAGCACGGTGGTGTGCGTGAGCTCTGTGAGGAACCGCTGGTCCAATTCCACAGCAAACCGCGTCACGTTTGGTGTCTTCCCCGGCTCCAGGCCCCATGCGTCCGCATGCGCCACCTCAGCAGCCGCACCTGCGCGCACATGCACGGACCCTCACATAAAGGAGAATTTCGTTTCTGGCCGCACGGCGCACATACCGATACATGCTCCAGCCAGCTACAGCCATGACAACCCCTCTGCTATAGTATCTCAAGACCCGCAGAGACGCAATAACAGAGGTCATCGTCAAGCTGTTGCTGACTGGTGCGGCCCTTTTGCTCAGCTTGCAGCCGGAAAAAGCTGTGTGTCCACTCTGTGACACCTTGCGCCACTCCATCAAAATGCTGTAGTCATGTCCATGCTGATCCACAAGTATAGGGCGATTCCATGGGCTGGGTGCAACACATTTACTGCTGAAAGCCAGCAAAACCAATTTGCTCGTCGTTGATCAGATGTGTCTGTGGCACCTGACTGCCGCCTGAGCCCATTCTGCACAGCCATGGCCGCCACGACCGCCTCGGCCTCCACCAGGATGTTGGCCATGCGCAGCTTCATGCAGGCCAGGAAATCCTCCTGCGACCCCACCACACAACACCGCCTTCACAAAACAATGAGCATAATGTATCGTTCATGTCTGCGTTGAGATTCATGAAGTGCAAAGGTCCACCTCTGTGACCCTCCCAAGTCTGCAGAAACTCCTCCTCATTGAAGACAACAATTTTCAGACATTTGCACACGGGTCCACCTCTCTGACCCTTTTGCACCTCCTCCATGTCACCCTGGCTGTTGCATGGCTGACACATGGCACTGACCCGTCACTGCTACAGTACCGAAGCTACGTGCGTCCAGGGTGTGCACATATTGGTCCAGGCTAGTGCTTCACCTGCAGGGATTCCACGGGCTCGCCCAGCTTGCGCAGCATCTGGATGCACTCGGCCGCCTCCTCCTTGTGGTGCAGCATGCGCTGCTTCAGCGTCCCCGTCAGCTCCTTCGCACACGCGCTCGCCTCCACCGCCACCTTCCTGAACGCACCCTGGCAGCACAGTGCATATTACATTAGCTCTGCCCATCTGGGCTTTTCTGCAGAGTAAATTGAATCTGGAGTGCATTGGTGCACAAGCAACTTACCCATTAGCTCTGCCCATCTGAGCTTCTTTGCACGGTACGTACCACCATGAATGCAATGGTGCAGGAGGGCATCCATCTGCCTTCCACGGCAGCACTTGCTTTTTTGATTGTGAACAACAGGAATATGGGTCAGTGGATGGATATAAATACTAGGTTGTTTGTTTACAAGGCTGGCTTGTACAGCGAATCTTGTGATATGTGCTCCCTTATATTGGATCCTGATCTTAGACAGAAACTGGAGTGGTCCGCGCATAGGCAGTTGTTGCACGCTAATCCTCATTCATGTGTGAAGTTGCTGTTGTCTCGAGCTCCCCAGCCCCTGATTTTGCTATTCATCTGGGCAGGCCATAACAATGACGGCCCCAAATTCTCAGGTGCTCCTCTAGATGGGGTGGACTAATTAATTGGAAGCCATACTGATACAGGGAGGCAGACCTTGTGCCCGTAGCGCTTGAGCAGGGGTGCAGCGTCGGCATAGGCATCCGCTGCAATCTCGAGGGCCCCTCTGTCCAAGGCGGTGCGCAGTCGGCGGGGCAGGTCGAAGACGGCCTGCAGCTTGGTCAGCAGGTTCTTCACCTGACTCAGCTCCTCGATCTGGTCCCGCCGCAGCTGCAGCTTGGAGTTCACTGCCTCGCTGCGCTCCGCCACGCTCTCTGCAGGTCCATAGATTACAAATATCAGCCATTGCAGTAGCACATTGTGGCAATATGGCAAATGACCTTCGGCTGTGTCCCGAATTGGCCAGAACGCATGCATACTACATGCATGCTCGATCTTGTTGGGGAATGCATGCATGATAACTACAGCCGGCCCGGCTGTAAATTCGTCGTGTGCGAACACTGCGGAATGATGCACATATTGGGATGAATTGGAATAAGAGAGGTTTTTCAATATACACATAAGGTAGGGCAGCAGGCGACCTGTGACTTTCTCCAGCTCCTGCATGCTGGAGTCCATGCCATCCACATTGGACTTCATGGTGCGGATGGTGTCCGTGGCTGAGATGAAGCGGTTGTAGTTTTCATACACCAGCATCTGCATGTCTGAGTCCAGGTTTTTTATCTCCGAGGACATTTCCGTGTGCTTGGCCAGCAGGGCATCCAGCCGGGTTGTGCGCAGGAGAGACTGCAGATACCTGCCCAACCCCAGAAGCACAAATATGTTCCTCTTGCCGTTCTTGAACCCAGCGTCCAGTCAAACAACATGCTTCAAAATCTGAGATGATTTTGCACATATTGCTCTCAACCCATGCAAGTTCGACGAGGTCCCAAGACGTGTACCTAACCTGCGCTATCCTGGCGAGCAAATATTACTCACCTGTCCGTATCAAAGGCTGCAGAATCCAGTCCGGCCAAGGCCCTGCCACCTCCCAGCCTGCTTGCGCTCCGTGTCGATGGTGTGTCTGATTGCTCACTTCTTGGGGACCCGCCCTGGCTAGGGGCACCTTCCGCTCCATAATAGCTGCTCAGCAAACTGCGCACTCTGCGAGTCTTCTCATCCACATTCGCTGCTTGCTCAATAGCTGCCATGCTTGTGGAGCCTAGGCGTTGTGCTAGGAGCTTAGGGTGGGTTCCTTCACCACTTGAATGCTCAAATTTGATATATGATTTGCGATTTTTACATCAGGAAAACTAGAACATCAATACTATTATTCTTACAAGGCTTCCTCTCAGATATAACAAATGCGGATGGAACAGTGGGGTTAGAGTTGTCATGGAGCACCTCTCTTTTCGCATTGTGATGGAAACTACAGCCGAGCTCTTTTGTATTAAATCGTATCTCACGTTTGAAAGGATAGATTGATTGCTTGCATGCTGGAAAGAGTTTCGTTGAAAGTCAACGAATGGGATCTCGATATCATATTCCCCTGAATCTGACCAGCTCAAAACATGTGATCAACAGCCACAAATTATCACATCGGTCCCAGATTAATGCCTTTAAATTTCATTGAGATCCCTTGTTCTGCTGGGTGACTTAGTTTCTAAGGCAGATATTTTAAGTATTGCAATCGGTGGATCCCAAAGCCTCTAATAGTTTTATTTGATTGTTTACCTCATCGCACACAGATTGTTTAACACATCTTAATATTTCAAAGCGTTCAAATTTGTTGGAAGGAAGGAATCATGGTGTCGGAACTCTGGAACTCGGACGACCCGAAACTGTGGCTGGATCACCTAGAAGCTGCACCGGAAAGAGTGAAGACACTCCAAAATGACAGGCTGACCGAACTAGACCAGTAATCCTCCTTTTCCATGATGAAAATTAAAAGGAACACGTGCCAATAGCCTTTGTTGGGCGCCTCTGCCTTGCTATCCAACAACTGTATTTCTCCATGTAGGTGGTTTTATGATGACTTGCCCGATGCAATCGCAGACAGATACCCAAGACCAGCGATCAACGCTGAGGATTTGGTGAAGCTGGTGCGTCACGTTTTGTCATCCTGAGGTTTCTACCTGCACCCCAATAATATTATATGCTTTGACAACGGTCAAAAGCCTCTCAACTCATCTACAGGTTGAGTGGAAGCTGAAGAGGGGGAAGTGGCGACCAAAACTTCTGGACTATGCCAAAGCACTACAGGATGACCTTGTGGAAGAGCAGTCCTTTGCGGCATTTGAACAATCAAAGAAGATCAGGGACTTGGCCCCCTATGATGCAGACGATGATCGCGTAGCAATCCGAGATGCAATGCAGCCCTTAATAGAGCTCAAGGTACGCACCGTGTCCTTCCAGGAGTGCCACCGCGCGCATGGAGTCTCATGTGTACTAGGACAAATCCATCATGATCACCATGAGATGCTGCTTCAGTCATCACAGTAAAGTAAAGTGCATATTCGACAGGGCGTGGGCCCAGCCACAGCATCAGCCATTCTGACAGCTTACTGTGAGGACGTTCCTTTCATGAGTGACGAGGCAATGGCTGCTGCTCTGACGTGCGGGTCCCCTTTGTGCAAATCATGAAAAAGCAATCTGTGTGCACAACACCCATCTCAGATTTGCCTGTGGGATCCCAACTGACAGCTGCCGAGCGCCTTGCAGGGGTCCGAAGCAGTACACGCTCCCAAGATACCTCGAATTTGCGCACCTCTTGAGGTTCAAGGCGGACCAGATCTCAGAAAAATATGCTGAAGGGAGAAACAGACAAGACAGTGCGCACCAATCACCAGTGTCATGTATCAACCACACCAATGAGTTCTGTATGCATGCCTGCACAAGAGCTTACAAATTTGAAGGAGGCACTTTCTGCTATTGTGCCTGTCTAATGCAGTCTATGCTGTGACGCGCAGGCAGGGTGCTGAGAGCCAAGGACATCGAAAGGGCACTCTGGTCCGAGTCTGTTTTGCAGAAATCACACTCTAAAGTGACTGGCAAGCGAAAAGCCAGCGAAAAGTAGTAATGTACGTGGACCACAGACCAGTCGGTAGATTAGGTGCAGGTCAGCTCTGCACACGCTGCATCGTTGGCCAACAATTGGGGCCATTGGTTGTGTTATGCTTGCTGGGTGCTTCAAACAGATGAGCACAGCTGTGTATCCGTGATCACGGTTACCTAAGTGGGAAACCTCTGTTGGTGAACCCTGATGAAAACATTTGTCCCACTGAAGATGATTTTGAGCCTGGCCAGCAACCACTGATCAGTATGTATTTTACAATTCAGTACAGTAAATCACCATCAAGTTCCCACTTTCAAGTTCTTTCTGATGGCAGTAGCTCTCAATGATAAAGCAAAATAGCAACGGTATAGCTGTACATGGTTTCTGCATTGTGTGCCCCAGCTAGAGCTCATCTGGTGACTAATGTCCAGTGAACTACCCACTGTTGCTTAGCTGTACAACGCCCTTCAAAGGGACGATCTGGCTGGCAGCCTGTCACAGACACCACGTGAACATATCGTTAGACCCTGCCGACTCTCCTGTGCAAGGCTGATCACAGAAGGAGCTGAATCGCTGCGGCGTGGCAAAGTCAAACGGGTAGCACCGCGGCTGCGACCTGCCACCCGTGAAAGAACGGCTGCGCTGGCTCCCTCCTGTCTAGAATACCATCGGAACACACTTCAGACACCCAAGCATCATGCAGCATGTAAACATCTCCTTCGCCGTAGAAAGCTTCACTCTCAGAAGGCGCCCTCCCTGACTCTTACACAAACTTCACAAAAGGCAGCGGCAAGCTGCACATGTCCCTAGCATAGAGTGTACATTTGCTTCAAGCGAGCCTGCGCAAAGAAAGTATCACACCTGACATGTGCTGAGTCTTGTTCGAGCTGGCAGCAGCCTCAAAGGAGGCCGTGAGGCTGCGGACACGGCTGGCCCCTAGGCACCCGGCTTCGAGCGGCGCCGGCATCAGCTGCGCAGCAGCGCCGCCCGCCGCAGACTGCACATCCCACGGCCCCACACCCATGCGCCCCTGCTGCAGCGGACCCCCCGGGCCTCCACTCCAAAACCCCTGCAGAGCCAGAGCATCTGCACCCTCTCGCCTCATGCGCCGCGGGCTGGGCAGTCGCTGTCCTGTGTCAGGTGCCTGGCAGGTGACCGCAGGTGCTGCCATGCAGTCGCTGGGAGGGCAGGCCATGATCGAGCGGCAGTCGACGCTGTGGAAGAGGCGCTTGCGCAGCCGCTCCCGGGATGAGTCATCCGCTGACTCATCGCCGGAGCAGCTGCCCTGCTCCGACGACCACCCGGAGCTCTGCGACAGCCGCGCGCCGCCGAGGCGACGCCGCTCAATGGGCGCCGTGGCCGCCGGGCGACCGTCCCGGGGCGCGCCCTCCTTCGCGAGGGTGATGGGGCTTGCGAGCGCGTCGGCATGCACAAAACCGCCACTGCCGGGGCCAAACGCTGCGCACACCATCGGAGCAATCTGCATTGATGGCGCCCCCGGGCTGCCCAAAAGGGCAGCCACCGCTGCCCGGGTCTGGCAGTCTCTGGGCTGCTGCAGTTCTGGAGCGTGCTTGCCCTGCGGCTCTTCATCCCATATGTTGCTGTCGACGGGCCATGCATCTGCTGATGCGCTGCCCACAGGCGACTGCAGACTGATGTCAGACGCCGCTGCAGACAGGTCAAGGTCATCTGCAGGCTGCAGCAAGCATGCTGAGGCGGTTGATGCTGCACCTTTTATGCTTGCAGCAGAGGTGAATGCGGTGGGCGGGCCTGCTGGACGACTGCAGGATGCAACTACCTCGGTGTAGCCTTCCGCCAGCGCTTCCTGATGAGCAGCCATTAGGCGTCCGCATCCACCGGGAGAGCCCGGGCTGTCCAATCCGCGCGCAGCGGCCCACTGCTGACCGAAGGAGGTCGGCTCAGGCAGCAGCATGGGGGCGATCCTGCTGGCAAAGGAGTCAGGCTTCCGTGCAGCTGCTGGGCTGTGGTACTGTGCGGCCGGAGGCTCCTGCTGAGGTGCATTGCAGCTGGCGGCAGCTGTGGCCTGCATGTGCTGCTCATCTGACTCGGTAGTCTCCATGGCGCAGCTCCCGATGCCAACTGGCGCATTGCTGCAGCAGCTGCTGCTCACCCACTCCAGCAGACCATCGTCATCTGGGTGCAGCACATCTACAAATCTCCCTGCATTCGTCGCTGCTGCATGCTGTGGGGGAACCCGGCTGGCCACGGGGCTGTCCGCTCCAGCGGCCGGCTTGCATGCACCACGCTCTAGCGCCAAGTCACCGGTAGCCTCTGCCGCCCATCGCCGGCTAGCCTGGCCGCTGACTGCCCCGCCATCCCCGCCCCAGGCCTGCAACGGCTCTGAGGCGTTGTCTGACTGGTCTGCACCGCTGATGTCCATCAGTGTGGCTCCAACAAGGGCTTCACTGACCTCCCTTGCTATGTCAGCCACCTGCGCAGCTGATCCAATGACCTCTGCTGCAGCTTGTGCATCTGTGAGCGGTGCCTGATTGCTGCCCTGTTCGCTCCCCAGCCGCTCATCGCAGACTGGTGGGCAAGGAACCTCCGCTGCATGTGCCGGCACCTGCCGCAGTGCGAGCTCCATGTTGGCAGCTGGTGGGAACTGTTCCTGTGCATTGGTGGCTGATGTGGCATTAGGGGCTGCTGCGCTTGCTGCTAGCGCCAGGGTGACCGAGTGCAGCTTGGACCTGAGGCTCTGCAGCTGCCACTGGTGGAAGGCCTGGCACAGCCGCCCTCGCTCCCTTGCCCCTTCGACCTGCAAGAAACTAATAAAATAATACTCCAGTATCACTTGTTTGATCTTGTGTGACAGCGCCCCTCAAATTTTGAGTTGAGACAGGAGCTTTGCTATGCAAAAACATTACAGACTGCCTGTGCATGACGTAAATTGCCATGTGAGTAGCAGCTATGGAAAGGGATTGCAAAGTCCAATATAACTTCATTTTTATGCGCACCTCCTGAGCCGCTTTGCTGAACAAGACCAAGCCCCTCCAGCTGCCAAAGAGCTGTCTCAGGCAGGCATGCTGCTGTGACTGGCTATGCATGCTCCAAGCCTGGAAAGCCTGCACAAAAAGTCACTATTTAATCTCACGCTGGCCAGCAGTAGTTCATCTGGGGACCGTATGGAGAATAAGAAAAGAGACAACAGTGAAGTCCAGAGCGGAATAACAAGTAGTTTCCCAAGAAGTCAAAAGCGAAGAAACCATGCAATGTATGGTAAAGGGGTTGGAACTGAAGGGCTCAAGACATGTTCCGTGCAAGATTTGCATGCGCTACACACCTGCAATGCCCTCCTGCACAGGTCCTCTGCATACAGCCGGCTGGATGCCTTTTCCTCAATCCTGGAGACTTTGTCAGGGGTATCTGACAGGCCAAGAAACAGGATGAAAAATAAGTGAAATTAAGAACAGAAATATGAGGTGCAATCACGTGCAAACAGCCTGCATGATAAATGAGAAAAGAGAAGGAGCAGCAAAGGTGGTCTGAGAAGAGCAGAACGTGAAAGAGGAACCAAATCAACAAACAAATCAGACAAAGAGCACAAAAAGGAATAAAATGAGAAAATACATTAGATAAGGGTCGGTGGTGGGACCCCTCCCTCACCTGTATGGCGTGTGGACGTCCTGAGGCCGCGCTGCGCCTCGACCCGCAGCAGCGCCGCCAGCCGCGCCTGCAGCGCCAGCTTGCGCCTCGCGTCTTGATCCCTCGGCCTCCCTCTGCCGCTGACAGCCGCGCTGGCCACTATCCCAGCAACACCACAGACACTGACCCTCTCCAATGCATGCTTGCTGTTGTGGCTGCTAGATACTGCAGCGACAGGCACGCCGTCGCACGGCCGTCCCGGGACCGCGCTGCTGGGCTGGCTTGGCGCGGTGCAGAGGTGGCCGGCGTCTTGATAAGGCGCGGCCGGCATGCCGGGCTCTGATTGGCCGGAGGCGGCCGCAGCCGGCGTGCGCATTTGCTGCAGCTGCACTGCCGGTGTAATGCTGTCTGTGTGTGCTGGGATGGCGTGGCTTGCGCTCCTCACGTCAACTGCCAGCGCCTCAGAGCTGCTGCCCATATCAATTGGACTGTGGCTGGATGCGCACTCACCCTCCACATAGCTGCTCGAGTGCGCTGAATCCGAGCTCGTGCACGATCTGTCCCCCTTGCCTTCCTCCAGTTCAGCCTCTACTACAGCTGCTGGCAGCCCATTGCTCTGCTGGACAACTGGCCTGCGCCCCCGCCCTGTCAATCACAATCAGAGTTGACCTCTGGAGGTCTCTGTATTGCAGAGTGCCATCAGGGGGTACTACATACAATTAAACAATACCACCCGAGTCCACTGCACCAGGAAGACGCTAAATACACATACGATGTGGAGTAATACCCTGACTGCGCAAATCAGGGGTATTCAGATATATAACACAGCAATGACATAATTTGTTATCCTGTGCCTGGCGGACCTGCAGTGAGGCGCGCCAGAGCAGCTGCTGGCGAGGAGGTGCGCTGCAGCTGCAGCTGGCGCTGCTTGCGCTCGGCCACCCGGGCCTGCAGCAGGTGCAGCAGCGGCGCCGATTGGCTGAGGGGCGCTCTGCGGACGCCAGCTGGGCTCCACGGCGGCTGCAGCGGCGATGCTGCCTCGCCGGATGCGCTGCTCCTAGCACGTGGAATTTTCCCCATCTCAGACACTCTCTATTGCTTGTTTTAAGCACATCTTTGGAGCAAGGTTTTGACTGTTGATACCCATGGGACAACATCAGTCACTGCCTGCCAATTCTTATGCAGTAGAATGATTGAGCTTGTTTGCATGCAGGGAAGAGTCCGCCATGAAATGCCTGCACTAACCTGCACATCATTACGCTGGACCTTTCTGCGGCTCTTCGCAGTGCGCTGGAAGCCACCCGCACGCCCCTGTACGTGTGTTGTTCCATACTCGTTGTGCTCGGCAGGGAACTCTCGCCGAATGGCACCAGGGCCAAAGGTGAATCGTCAGCAGGTGGCGTTGATGGCTCGCTATTGTCCAGGTCATGCCCAGCAGCACAGCCATTCTGATGCACAACCACCTGCACGATTTTATCTTGCTTTACAAATTGCCAAGTGCATATGAACGTTCCAGTGTGCGCATGAAAGTTTGAAAAGCTTCAAATCTATGCCTCAGATACCCTCCTGTACCGCACAGAAATCGCATTATTTCTGGCACGCCACACAACCATTACAAAGAGCAGAAGGTTGTCCAGAGTTGTACCTGGTCGCTTTCTGACTCTGCTCTGAAGCTGGTCTCGATGAGGAACAAGTCCTCTGAGGCGCCATGCTGCGAGTCTTCTCGCCACCCTATCGCCAGACGTCTCTCACTGTGATCGCAACTCCGCCAGGCAGCAAAGGCAGAACTGAGCAAGCAGTGCGTGCGAAGACCACGCGCCATTGCAGCACGGAACGTCTGCAGCAAAACAGAATAATACTCAGAAATGGGGCAAATTCAGCTGGCCCTCTGTGGTGCAGATTGCACTCCTGGCAGTGTGGCTGGGGGCTGTCAGACATGCTAGTGATGCGTACCTGTGCTTTGCGCTGCTGCACGTATGTGGACCATCGGCTCAGGGCCGCGGCCAGTGTTCCCATGTTCTTGCGCGTGTAGAAAAGCATGATCTGAACTGCTGCCGCGCATATACTGTCGCCTCTGCGCTTGCATGTTCATGTCAGTGTCCAACCTCGTCCTATTCCAACTCTCTGAATAGGACGTTTCATGTACGCAACATGTGCACAGCAAAAAAGGGGAGAGCCTGACCTCAGCATGACCTGGCGCCTCAACAGACGCAGGTGCAGCATTGCAGCATGCTCATGCACGTTATGCAGATTCACCTCAGGGCCCACTGTTGCAGAGAGGTACTCACACAGCCGCCATGTGCCTGCAGAAGAACATTTTGGTAATACAGTAGCTATGCTTGCAAAGTCCTGGAGCACCCAGACATCTGTATATAACGAGATGGAGCACTGTTTATCGCACCTGTGAGTCTCTCGTACAGCGCAAGTCTTGCTAGCGCTCCGGCAGCTCGATTCAAGAGACTCCATTGCTTCTGTGGAACAGTCCTTTGGCCGATTTGCCTATTTCCGAGAGAATTCATGTCGAGCATACATCTGGTTACTTTCCTGCAGATACACGGGCAACACACTTGTACATGCGGAAGGGAGACACAATCTAGGATTGTCCGATGAAATTTGGAATATACGTATGACGAATCTTTCGTTACCTTTCGAGGCGTGCGAAGAGGTTCTCTTTCAGTGCCAGAGGAGCAACAAGGGTCTGACTAAACGCTGCAAAATCCCCAGCTGCAGCCATTTCTAACTGTAGTTATGTGATAGTACTGGGTACTATCTGCTCAAGCCCGACCAGGACTGCAAGATACCTTTGCGAGATCTAGATTTCGCAATACACCAATCGGGCAACGTACTCATTGCATTGCCTCATTGGATGCCGACATGCAGCTAACACTCGGATAACTACCCTGTTCATTGTGATCTTGCAAATTCGGAGCCCATGCGTGCCAGGTTGGCACACAGCGTCAGAGAGGTAAGAGCAACGGAACATATCCACGGTCTCCGACGCGTACCTGCTAGCTGCCCCTCCAGACGAAGCTGCATCGATGAGGTGTTTGCAGCGTTTCACGCAGCCAGTGATTTGCAAACATGCGCCAGAAAGTCTCCAAATTGTTGCTATGAAGAGTTGCATCTGTTAGCATGATTTGATCATGCTCTGATGTGGCTTTGAGGAGCTGCGCTTGTGATGATCGAGGAATCCAGGACTGGAACTCTGGTCAACAAGCGGAAATTGAGTCGTAAATTGGTGAATCTAATTCTCAGATCTACGTATGTGCTACGTGCTGGCCACTTTTGCATTAATCCGATGGATTAATGCCACCTAAGTCAGTCTGGCTAGTCAAATTAATTACCACCCTGTCCAAATGCAGGTCTTCTTCGATCTGGAGGAGAGTGGCGGTGGCCAGGGTGTCGAGATCCTGATCAAGGCGGGGCCAGTCTTCACGGAAGAGCAGGTGCATGACCTGAGGGACACACTGAAGCTGGGGGATGTCGTGAAGGCATCCGGCCAGCTTGAGCATGCAGGCAGCCACATCCTGCACCTGACCAGCATCGTCGTGCTGGAGCGCTGGCGGGACACGAATCCCAAGCGCCACTTCATCCCAAGATGCCTGTCTCATGGGAGCGAAACAGCCAGCCCTGGCATGAGACCTGAAACTCAGCTAGCAGCAGCGGAGAGCACGCAGGCAGCAGAGGAGGCCTCTCAGACAGCACACCCCACACATGATCAAGGGGACGATGGGATTGCTCTGCAGCACAATGACGAGGCGCAGCTGATCGGGACGCAGCCGTCAAAGTTGCAGCTGTGCAAGTTTCACATCAATGGGCGCTGTGCCAAGGGCGCCAGCTGCCCCTTCCTGCATGTGGACGTGCATGCGGCGCCGAGGGTCCGGCAGGCATGGATCGCCGACAGGTCTGGACTTCATCCGATCCAGCTTTTTTATCATGTGACCGGTGCTGTGTCACAAGTCTGCGGACAAGGCCCTGCCAGAGAATATGAAACCGTTTCATATGTGATGTGATGTGATGTGACATCATGAAGGAGATGCCTCTTCCCCACAATTTGAGCGATTGGCATGTTTTGTACACTATAAAGACACATTGCTTTGGGACAAATTCTGTCGCAATGTCATGCATGCCATGCAGTGCTGTTCATGTGTCCTCGAGGAAGCCCTCAGCCTGTCTGTGAGTTCTACTTGGGCATGGCTTGGTTGCCTGTTCAGGCGGCAGCACCGGCACAGGATGGCGGCGCAGGCAGGGGACCCGCACGCGGGCGGAGCGCAGCGCAAGCGGCAGAGGGCGGCGATCTTCGCGCAGTGGCTTCTGGACACCTACGGCCGCGATGCGCTCAACCAGGGCTCAGGCACGCCTGCTTCCTGCGGCACCCGACCATTGTGGCATAGCCATAAACGCACCTGTGCACATTACCATCATCACCATTAATCTGTATGAGATGAAAAGAGGGCCAAGCATCCACCCTTGGCCGGTGAGGCCTGGGCTTGGACATATGCTGGCTCTGTCTGCAGGTCAAAGCATGGTTGAAGATTGTAAAAGATCATGCCCCTGTGCAGGCGTGCTGGACATTGCCGGAGGGTCGGGCTCGTTGTCGTTCTGCCTGCAGACAGTGCACGGCGTGCGCTGCACCACGATCGACCCGCGGCCGGCAAAGCTGTCGAAGGACGCGCACCGCCACCTGGCGCGCATCCGGGCGGAAGCTGCCGCTGAAGCTGCCGGCAGCTTCCGGTCCCTCCTGGACGCTGACGCCGCCTGCGAGAGCCTGTGGGGCTGCCTGGAAGAGGATGCCAGCAGCGCTGCAGATGACCTGAGCAAACTACATCTCAGCAATGGAATTCTAGAGCTGAGCAGCAGGTGCCTGTCTGACAGTCCCTGATTTATGTTTTGAAGGTGTCTCGTGACGTGGGTGCTATTCTGAGTTAGAAGTCAGTGTGTGCATGAGGCCAGCCTGAGGATTTTGGTTGGTGGTCAGGTCTGATCTGGCCCAGGATTCCCTTGAGGGGACCCTGCCAGATCACGTTGAGGCGGAGTTCAACGAGGAGCTCTGGGACGGGGGGCATGCAGCCCGGCTGCAAGCATCATCGTTAGTCATTGGTCTCCACCCTGATCAGGCACGCTTCTCATTTGTGTGCATGACTTTTGATAATTCAAGGAGTTGCTTTTTGGGGACCCCCACCATGGCCGATGGCTTGTGCCGGTATATCGAATTTTCTTGCTTGTACTGAGACCACTGGCATTCAAATGCTTTTGAGCTTTACATGGCTACCAGCTTGTGGATGGGTCTCTGCTGGTTGTGCAGGCTACGGACAGCATTGTGGAGTTTGCAGTGAAGCATGACAAGGCGTTTGCTGTGGTGCCGTGCTGTGTGTTTCCGCGCCTCTTCAAGCACAGACGCTTGAAAGGCACTTCCCCTGTCACATTGTATGCAGAGCTGGTTGAGTACCTCAGGCAGTTGGGAGGAGATGGTAGCCAGCTGGACCACTTGAAGTTTGAAGGCATGAATAAGGTTGTCTTCAGAATGCAAGGCCCCTTCTTACTGTAATGAAAGAATGCCAGGTGTTTTGTCTGTACTTGAATGCAGCATCCTCTATTTGCACTCTTTTATGTTACAAATCCACTTCATTCACCACATGTGGCACTCCACAAACCAAGTGTACTGCTGGAACAGTTTACATCACAGGATTTTCCCGAAAACGTAGAGCTGATTCCTATGAATAATCTTCTCAATGCACTGCTTCTGGGCAATTTGCCCCTTTCCATCTTGTGACGCTCATCGGGGTAGCTTCTTCAGAGTGCGCCAATGGCCTGCACATGACAGCAGATATGTCAAATCCTGTGCATAGTCACACCTGGTGAGGCAATCTATGCCGAATTTTTGACGGAATGCAGACACAAGAGAAGTTTGTGATATGAAGAGGGGCAGTGACAGACTGCCTACAAGGCCAATGAGCCTCAGGTGCTTCACAACAGGTCTCGAAATGGAATAATATTAATAATGTGACCGATGATTGATTGTTAGACGGCAAGTTAAAAGTCAGTCACACACCTTGAGGCCCAGGATGCTGCCAATGCCCTGCACAACACATTCAACAAACCTTTAAGATTGGCAGCGACTTCCTCACAACAAATCCCAGCTCGATAAAACAAGGGTTGAACCTCACGTAATGGATGCATTTTGAGTAGACACTCACCACGACGTGTCCAATGGTGCCCAGGTAGAGGACATCGGTGGCTGTGAAGCCTGCACACCAACACCGCCATTCATCAGTACTTCACCAAGCAAGACAGTTTGTTTGAGGGTCATGACAAATAAATCAGGTATTTACCTGACCGTTCTCATCATGCTAAGGTTCTTGGTGATGATGATGATAAAAAAATAGGGCAAAGTGTGGACAGCTACAAGTGGATCAACACCGATCCTTTGGGTGTGTGGGTGTCTAATGATGTGCACATCATCATCAGCCGTGCCATTTGTGAGCTGATTTGCACAAACACTGCTATTCGCCATTGTTCACCAAGCAAAACAGCGCGTGCACATCATCTGTTGCCATGTACATTCAAGAAGTTGGGATGCATCAGACAAGCGCACCGGCCGGGTCTCCGGTCTGGAGGCCGGAGTTGTTGGGAGACAGCTTCAGGCCTGGGGAAGCGAGTCTGTTGGCGCTGGGGGTCAGGCCAAAGCGCCCGGCTGCCAGGAAGATGGCAGTGGAGGAGCAGATAATCTGCACAGCACGCCATCCTCAGTCAGCGCCCATACACAGAGACATCGTGCACCGGTACAGGCCCTGCCACTCCTGAAGCAGTTCGATAGAATAGCATCCAGCATCCAATCAACAACATTATGGAATGTCAAGTTGACAGTCCTTAACTTCTCATGTCCAGAAGCTCACCAGGTTGGTGGTGGAGCCAATGAAGCCATCAGCGCGCACTGTGAGGTTGGAGCGCCTTGAGAGCCTAGGTGCGGCAATCTGCATTCCATCATGCCAGGTCATAAGAACAGGTACCGAAAGCCATTCTTTGAGATGTTCCAATGGCCCAAATTGAGCAGATAGTGAGCTACAAGCAGGCAGGCATCTGTCCTGCCCAGTAGCCCAATTTGCTCATGGCTCCCTGGGGGATCGCATCCAATCTATGTACACATTGCTCATAAACCTCCTCTCCGAGTCATCCAGCATGCATTGCTCGTCTCCTCCCCAGGCTTGCAGGGGCCTCACCTTGGCCGCTTGCACGGGCCGCAGGGACGGCCTCATGCCTGTGAAGCTGCGCACTGCGGAAGACTTCACGGACATGGTGGAGGACGCCATTCTTACAGTGCTTCCAAATGTAGTCGATCCTTCAATTCACTCTGAAACCAGCAGAGTCCCGACAAGATAAAATCCAGATTTCGTTTCCATTTACGGGGATTGTTGGCGGGACAGACTCTCCCGTAGCATTTTATTGGCGGAAATTCCACGGCGCCAATGCGCTGTCAAGAACATCCAAGACAAATTCTGGGAAACACAATTCATAATTTTCAAATCATAATTACTTCCTTGCTATTGGCACTTGTCTCCTGTTGAGAACTTTAAATTGTGGGTGGTGCTTATTGAGGGTTGCACCCTATTGTGAAGGTGCCAGGATGTCCTTCAGAGCGCGCTACCTGCAGCAAATAATTAGGCAGCTCAGATGGACGGCTTCTGAATGCAGCAGCAAGGTACAGCAGGCTGCTGATTTAAGATCTATGGCGTGTGCCTCTTGTCTGCCCGTTCAGTCCAAGGTGAGATCTTGTTTTATGGTCCCTTTGTTTGTATTGTAATCCCAAAAAGGGGGATCGTGCAGTGCACGCTTTGTATGTAACAATATTATTTTGTTAAAGCCATTGTGCTTGGGGTGCACAGCGAAGATATTGCCGTACCCCCTTTGTGGGGTTTTCATGCTGTTTGCCAACAGCCTGTTGTGCGTGCAGAGAATGCCGTGGTCGCACCTCGGCCTGGGATTTGCCGCAGCGGGCCTGGCATCGGTGGCCTTGCCCACTGAGGCAACATGCAATCCTTCTGCAGCTTCAGTAGACACAGCGGTGAGCATGCCTTCACCCTGTCACGCACTTGGCAATCAAACTCCTGCATGCGCAATTAGCTTATCCCAGAGTCTAGAGATAGTCAAATATGAGCTCTGAGCCGGTAGTGATTTCCCATGCAGGGTGGCATCAACCTGGCCAATGCAGGCATGCAGGCTGTGAAGGCAAAGCCGCAGGTCATCTTCGTGCTGGGCGGGCCTGGCAGCGGCAAGGGCACCCAGGTCCGCTAATCAGTATCCTTTGCAAGACAGTTCTGTGTGATCATGATTTGCAGATCGGTTTGTTGGCATGCAGGGAGATCCCATTTGATGAGTTGCACTCCATATGGTGCATCTGTCTCCAGTGCCAACGGTGGACGATTCAAGTAGCGGGGAAGTGCACAGACTAGGAATACTGGTGTGTATTGCTGCTGAGTGGTGGTGTGCTTTGCTGAGCAGTGTGCAAAGATGGTGGAGGAACTTGGTCTCCTGCACCTGAGTGCTGGGGATCTGCTGCGTGCTCACATGAAGTCTGGGACGCCGGACGGCAACATGGTGGCTGAGATGATCAAGCAAGGCCAGATTGTGCCCTCAAGGGTGTGTACTCCCTTCCTTTGTAATGCAAATATCAGATAATAACTTTGTTGCTTACTCAAATATATTCCCGATCGATAACCCGGGTAATATCCTGGCCCAACAAAAGAAACGAGCGGTTTTCGGCAGGTGGCTGGCACATAGACCTCTGGGACGTCCACAAGCTGCAGCAGCATCCTCTCACACGATCAATGCTGTCATTGCAGGTCACCATTAGCCTGCTAGAGGAAGCCATGCTGAAGGGAGGCAAGCAGCAGGTTCTCATAGACGGGTTCCCGCGCAATGAGGAGAACAGATCTGCCTTCGAGAGCCAGGTGTCTGGCTGGTTTCTTCTGCGCAAACACCTTGTTTCAACTTGAGCAAAGTGGTCTGCTGTCCTGCAGCCAAGATTCAATGCATCATCGAGGTTAGCTGAGCCATAATTTCTTGTGTAACGCAGACCGGCATTGAGCCAGAATTTGTGCTGTTCTTCGATTGCCCCGAGGCTGTCATGGAGCAGAGATTGCTGTCACGCCAGGCGGGCAGGACTGATGACAATATTGAGACCATCCGCAAGCGCTTCAAGGTTGGCCAGCAGCCTGCAAATGACCACCTTGCAATACATCGGCTTCCTTGAAGTCCCTGACGTTGCTTCTGCTATTATAAGTAATTCAGCACATAGTTAGATTTTGCATTGTCATGACATGATGGCTTGCAGGTGTTTGTGGACAGCAGCATGCCCATCATCAACTTCTACGAGCAGAAGGGAAAAGTGCGGAAGATCAATGCTGATCGCTCTCCAGACGAGGTGTATGCGGATGTGCAGCCGCTGGTCAGGGGGCTGCAGGCATCAAGCCTCTGATAGGTCACACTACCGCTGTGTCACTGAAGGGATTCTTACTGAAGGGATTCCCTTCAAGGAAACTTTGTTTATCAGACTCAGCTTGCATTGGATGCAACATTGCGCATATAAGTACTGTTTCACATTCCATCAGGCCACCGTGGATTGACTCCCGGATTGATGCGGCCGGGAATACTGTGGACGAACAGCAGCTGTATCTTCACATGAAATACGAAGAAACGATTATCTCAAGTACTGTTGCAGCTTTGTGAGCTTTGGGGCAATCCTGCAAGCAAGTTTGCAAGTCCCTGCATGTGGCTTCTACAAACTGTAATCTCTTAGTCACTGCATTATGCGGGTTGGCTTGATCGTTGCTTGCACAAGCCTTGCACAAGAGAAGCTATTTCAAACTCCTCTTAACAAATAGAAGAACCGGAATACTGAGCCATTCTTAGACGAGCTGGTATAGCAGAGTACGTCAGAAAGAAAGAGAAAGCATGGCCCACTTAGAGGCAGAGCTGGCGAGGTTCGAAGCGGAGCTTGCTGGTTCAAATGGTTTCCAGGTATGGTAATAGGAGAATAACTATAAGAATCTAATTTGATAAAAGATCTGGAGATTCATCGAGCAATTCGCAAAATGAATCTGACCTGTGAGATGTAAAAGGGGTATGCTGATTGAACATGATGCGATGGCAAGCAAGGAACCAGAAAATGCAAAACTTGGAAATTATATGCACAAGCAATAACGAGCCACCCAAAGGTCAGTTGCTGAAGAAATATGGGGTCTGCATCACCAGTCTCAATCTCGTGGTGATGACACGCAGGCTCAACCACCGCTCCCTGGGCCACCAGGAGTATCCTCTCAGCCACGTCCCGCCGCATTTCCACCACCACCGCACTTTCATGGTGAGCGTCCTGGAACTTGGCTCCAAACCCGATCTCAGATTACCCTCTTTTTTTCTGTCTAAGATCTTGCTTAGTGTCATCCAAGGCAGATTAATGCGATTGCTGGTGCAGGCTCCGCTCCATCCAACCTGCAAGCACCACCGGCATCTCTGCACATGCCACCTGCTGCCCAGGTAAACTCTGAGCCTCCTGCTGAGAATTATGTGACCCAGAAAAGGCTCTGCCGCTGCTTTTCGCACGGATCACATGCATGAGTGAGAATGTAGACCAACAAAATCTCAGAATGATCAGAAGGAGGCGCCACTTGCAAGCTGCTGATGTTTGTGTGCAGCTGCCACCACCGCCACAACAGGCTGGCCCAGCATACCCACCACCAGGCGCAACGCATTTGCCACCTCCCGCAGCAGCCTACGCACCCCAACCTTACCAGGCCCCACAGCACAGCTACGCGCCACCCAGGCCTGTGGCTCAGCAGGTCAGCCCGATTGCTGCCCCGTTCCCAGTCATGAAACTTCTTTCTCGGCCTCTTCATTGCATCTGGTCCTTCACCTGATAATGCACACCGCTGTCATCTGCTGTGCTCCAGAAAAGAAGCAGGAAGGTGTCCTTTTGCTGAGTGATATTAACTTTAAGTGTTGAAATTTTGCTTCTTGGGGTGCAGCCGATGCCCTCCAACTACTATGCAGCGCCCCAGTACCCGCAGTACGCGTCAGCGGCCAGCGGCGCTCCAGCAGGACCGATGCCGGTCTACGCATCGGCCGCGGGTCCATCCGGCGGCGCCCACTCGCAGCACGATGCACTGGCTGGAGTGAAGGTGCTGCTACATCTTCTGCACATGCATATCAAGTTCTTAATTGTGTTGGCTTGAAGTTCTGAAGCGGTGCTGTTGCTGAAGCGGTGTCCCAAAATGCTTATGCAATCTGCGGCTGTGCTGTGAGACTCCAAAGCAAAGAAAAGCAGAAATGCACAAGCTTTAGTAAATGCGCCCTCAAATATTACAGAGCCTGCAAAGAGCCATGGAACTTGTGAGTGCAGCTGATAATATTCAGTCTTGAAGTCTTGAGGATGAGGCCAGATGTGATGGTGTGCGCAGGCGGCATTGGAAAAGGAAGCGAATGAGAAAAAGAAGAAGCCGCCGGCAATGCCAAGGGCGGCCGGAGGGGAGAAGTGGTGGGACCCCACGCTCACAGAGTGGCCGGAGAACGACTTTCGCATCTTTGTGGGCGATCTGGGCAATGAAGTGAATGACGATGTGCTGACAAAGGCGTTCCAGAAGTTCACGTCCTTCGCCAAGGCCAAGGTCATCCGCAACAAGCACACCAACAAAACCAAAGGTGCGCGCCTGCTGCCTCCGTGGCACATTGGATGCCACGCTGCTGGAAGCATCACATCGCATGAATGCAGAGCGTGCTGTGTTCTCATGTCATGTGATTCACTGCATTTTCACCTAGCCTGAAGAAATATGCAACTGATTCGGCTTGCGAAAAATGCTGTTGTCATGACCAGTGAGAGAGTCTCACATACGGCAGAGCAGAGAGCGTCATCATCATGCATGCATGCTTGGCTATAAGATCGCTAAGTCAGACTTTGCGGGCTGTGGTGCAGGGTTTGGGTTTGTAAGCTTCACGGACACAATAGAGGGGGTGAAGGCGCTGCGGGAGATGGACGGCCAGTACATTGGCAACAGGCCATGCAAGCTCAGGAAGTCCACCTGGGACGAGCGCACCAATACCCAACAGCTGAACAAGAAGCGGAAGGGCCATCACGACGGCAAGCCCGTGCTCAACATGAAGAAGCACGTCGGCGTGCTGCACAGATAGCAGCCGCTGCGCCGCCGGCAGTGGATGGCGGCCTCCTGCTGCATGTCTGTTCAGAGGTCTCATTATAAATTTCGCAGGACCTTTGGGGTTTTTGCTTTGGGGACCAGCATCTCTGCACAAGTAGTCAATGCTGGGCAGGTTCGGACTCAGTATGGGACATAGTTGCTACATTGCAGGTGCCTCGTCAGCGATTACTAAAGAATTGAATATGCCTCCAGCTTGACCAACGTTTGAGTTCTTGACAATTGTCCGTTGTGTGCCGTTCTAATGTAAGAAAATGAAACACATATTGAGCATCAAGCAAGATCCAGTTGATCAATTGTGCACGTTTTTCCCAGTTTCTCAATACACACACCTAACGTTTTACTTTCTTTGCAAGCAAAGCTGAATTGAGGGAACTGCTGGTGCAACGTGACAATGGGTAGGAAAGGTGGTGGTCGGAATGCTTTCGTGAAGGCTACATTGCACAAGACTGAGACTGAAACTCTTGAAGAAACGACCGATGGAGACTTGCAGAAGCAGGCAGAGCCTGTTGCTCCGCAGATAAGTGACGATGTGTCGTCAGGTGAGATGTAAAAAAAGTTTATATTATGCCAGCATTTCATGTAGTGCGCATCATTCTGGGAAAGAGGGATGGCATCTGATATGGTTTCATCAATGCAGGCAATCCGCCGAAGCCAAGCAAGACAGAGGAGAAAAAGTTCCCCGCGGTTGCAGTGAGTGCCTTAGATCATGACGAAGAGGAGACCAAGGGTCAGATGACACAACGACACAAGAGGGTGCGACTCCATGCCAGCATGAGTCAGCATGTCTGCTTGACTTGGAGTCAGTGTTTATATGCATGATACATTCTCCTTAATTAAAAATAATGGCCAATATCAACACCTGACTGTCGCAGGAAATGAAGCTTCATAAAGAAGCCATGAAAAAGCTGGGCAAGAAGCGCAAGGTGAGCAGGATCTGTGACTCTGGGACTGGTCTGGTGCTTCAGCACTGATTCCACGTGCAGGCGAGTTAAGTAGCTACCGATTTCATTAAGTCTCATGCAGGATGACATTGAGAAGCTTGACAAGGAGATCAGCGTCCGCCACGCCGCCGAGCTGGCCGGCCTCGAAGAGCGGCTGGCTGCAGAATCATCACCCGGCGATGAGACGGTGCAGCTGGCCGAAAGCCTGTACGAAACCAAGCTGAACAACGGCCAAGAAAGGGTGGGCTGCCACTATCACCACCACCGCAGCCGCCATACCCCACAAACACTTGTTTGGTGCGGGCAGAAGTGCCTTGTGGTGGATGCCTGAGGTGATTGAATGGCAGTTAGTGTTGGGCAGCAGCCGGAGACAGAGCAGCCGGACTTGGAGGCATGCAGGTGGGGCTAGGCCCTGGAAGGGGCACACCTGGCGGCTCAAGCGTGCCCAGCAGACTGCATGATGCACTGGCCAGCCTGCCAATTGCTAGCGCCCTCTGGAGAAGTGACCTTTGGTGCTGGGAGAAATCTCAGATGGTTACGTAATGTGGGCAGAAGTGCCATAAGGTGGATGCTTTATGCGGTCAGATGGGAAATTGCACTTGGATCGGCTAGCATTATCGGCCAGGATTGGCCAATAATGCTAACGTTGATTTGTCTTCGACTTGGTGGAGGAGAGCCCAAGACAGAGAAGTTTAAAGGCTGTCATAGAAACGCCGCTGTGACGCACCTGATCCTCATGGGTTGGAAAGGCATGTAATTATGATAATATTAATATTAATGCTAGCGTGTTGTGGCGGCAGGGCGGGGCGCAGCCGTCGCGGGCGCAGAAGCGGCGGGACGCGAAGGCGGCGGCGGAGGCGGAGCGGGATGCACGCATCGCGGAGGAGCAGGACGCCATGGGAGACAGCGACCGCGTGATCGAGGAGCGCGAACTAGCCGCCACGCTGGCGCCGCTCGGCCTCGCCGTGCGCAGCATCCCGGTGCGCTCCTGCCGAGCACTGCATTGCAATTTGTGAACGCATTGTGCCTGAGATCTACCGCTCTTCTGTTTTAAAGGGCCATCTCATCCCCTCCAGGGACGGTGGCACCTGCTGCCCCGCCCTGGATGGCGTCCCCATGCAGCTGCCAGGCTTGTACTTCGCAAAGGAGAGTACAGATCACAAAATGAGAGTACAGCATCTTGAGCTGCCGAGAAGTGTCGGTGTGTCTCGCCAAAATCCTACCCCGTGTTGGGACTTGCCAGATCCAAGCAAGGCGCAATGGACCGTGGGCTTGGCGCTCAGCCTTTGTACCGGCCCCCGCCAGCCAGGGCCAATACAGTATGCTGGGAGTATGCACTAAAAGAATATGTCTGGCGCTCAGGCGGATGGGCACTGTCTGTACCGGGCGGTGGAGGAGCAGCTGGGCGCCGCCGGGTGCGAGGAGCTGCTGCCGCCGCCGCGCGACTACTGGGCCGTGCGCGCGAAGGCCGCCGCCTACATGCGCACCCACCCCGACCAATTCCTGCCCTTCATCCCACAGGTCAGGCCCAATAGATTACAGAATTACTGAAGTTTTTGCCAGCACTTGTGGAAGAGATGTCTGAAGTGCTACCTGCTGGAGACATCTGGTGCCCAAGGGGATCAAAGGTGCCAGAGACATGAAGGTCCATGCTCAATTTCAGTCCTCATGCAAGTGCTAATCCTCTTGGAGATCTTTCGCCAGACGCAAGTCTCAGCACTCCGCCAATGCACTGCCCAAGCTGCGGCCGCCTAAGCTTAGATTTTCCTAAAGTATCTAGCCTGGTGGTGCACCGGGATATGTCTACACTGGAGCGTGTATTTTAGAGCTTGGCCAGCCTCCTACAGTTATGACTGCGGAGCTGACAGGCAAGTTGCTGACTTTCTGCGGCAGGAGGACGGCGAAGACGTGGGGGCGGCGTTTGAGGCGTACTGTGTGGCGGTGGAGAACAGCGCGGCGTGGGGGGGCCAGCTGGAGCTGGGGGCTCTGGCACAGGCGCTGCAGCGGCACATCGCGGTCTACTCCGTCGGCATGCCCCGCGTCGACATGGGCGCCGAGTTCAAAGGTGCACGCGCCTGCTTCGGCTTGTGGCCTCTCCTCGCGGCTTACTCTTACCACCACTTTTACTATTACTGTTGCTGTAAAGTTTGCATAGGTGTCATATAGGAGAGAAAGGCCTCTATGGAAACTCTTCCCTTTTCATTACAGTTGCTCCGTGCTTTTCCTGCCATGAGGCAGAGCGCGTCTGCAGACGAGTTGTAGAGTAGGTGCTAATGGAACCGCGCTTTGCACCCTTAGTCTCCTCCTTGATCTTGGTTTCGGCTCTGGCGGCTGTGAGCTGGCAGGATGGGCGGCTGCTGTGCAGCTGCTGGCTGACGTGTTTCTGTTCTTGCTGGCTTACGTTGCCACCTGTTTGGTGGAGTTGATGTGCAGTAACAGATACCCAGTGCATACTCATGTCCTTGTATACACGTGCGGAGAAATATGGTGACACATGCCAGTACATGTTTCAATCAATGGATCTGCACAGTGAACTCAAGACAGGACCGCCTGGTTGCAGGCGAAGGTGACGAAGGGAGAAGCCTGCGATTGTGTTACCTGAGGCATGCGTTTGGCCTTGGGGAACACTACAACAGCGTCACCAGCTTGACTGATGAAGAGGAAGATGACTGATTTGCAGAATCCCTTGCACCTGCCTTGATCATGATGCTGATATAAGAGGCGATTTTGGCCATGGCACAGTCCTCAAAGTGCGGCTGTAGTTCTAATGGGAATTGTGTAGCTAGAGAATAGAGGGGTTGCACTTATCATGCAGATGCCTGACCAGTAGCTACTATGCAAGTGTGCGATATGTTTGTGCTCCTACTTGATTGTAAGGTAACTTGTATGGACTGAATGCATGTGCATTACTGTGTGGTGCGAGACGAGTCCGTACAGGCAAGGATCTTGTGCTATCATAGCAAATTGCCTTCATGACTAATTACATGTTGGGTCACATGCACGCTTTCCAGCAAGTTCGAAGTATTATTTATAGCATTGCAGCAGTGCTCTGCAGTTCTGCAGTCTCAGAATTGGGCATGCATAACTCATATCATATGAATGATTTGTCCCCACAGGCTGCTCTTTAGTCCTTCTGATCTATATCCACCGTCGCTGAACTGCACACAGCTCTCCTATGAAATGTTCCAAGGGAAAAAATATATAACGTGCCGACAGGCATTCCTAAATATTATACAATTTTATGCCCAAAGACAGCCAGAACATAGTGATGACTCGATGCCGCAACAAAAAAGCAGACCTAGGGGAGATTCCTATGATTTTCGCACATCATAGACACAGAAGCAGCTAAGAAATGTCGGATAGTCAACACATAGAAGTGTCCTGTTATAAGTGCCATAATGAATGCAGGCCTTAAAGCTCTCTAAAAAGTTCAGGTGTTCCTAAATTTCCATTGAAGTATACACCCCGTCCTACTCCCACAGGCTACTCTGCTCTCATCCTTCACCCACCAAGCACTCCTCGGAGATGGTTTGCTGAAATGGTTTTACAGTAGGCAGCTTCCTTTCTTGAGCTTCTCACAGCGCAAGAGCAGGATCCGAGCGCGCTCAGTGGCTGTGCAGCCTGAAGAGGGCGTAGACAAGCAGGAAGGCTGCGACCTCGTGCTGCATTTGAAACGTCTGGAACTGCGCTCGCTGCTGCATCAGCTGCTTCTGCACCGCAGCCGCTCGGGTCTCTGTCGCCGTCAGCTTGTCCTGCAAGCCACAGCCCCCGCCGGTTAGAAACGCTTGATCGCTGGTGGGAAGTTGCCGTTATCAACCTATAGTCGTGTGAACGGTGCCTTTAAAACGGTGCTCTCGACGTTCCAGTCATGTTAATGCCAAAAATTCGAGTGCATGTCTTGAGGTGTCTACTTTCGAGGATGTGGCAGTCAAGGCCATGTACCCTCAGCAGGAAGTGATTGATATTTTTCCACCAGAAGCGGAACTCTCTGCAGATGTGACAGCCCCACTAATTCGCAAAGTTCGATGAAGGCATTGTTCCCCACCTGCAGGGAGATGATGCGGCGCTTGGACTCGCTGAGCGAGGACCAGAGCTGCTGCTTCTCGGTATTGCCGCAGAAGGCCAGGTCCGACTGCGCCCGCTGCAGCGCCAGCTGCTTATCGCGGCTGGCCGCCTCAAAGTGCCCGATGCGCGCGCGCAGCGCCTCGTTCTCCGCTGCCGTCCGCCGCGCCGTCTTGCGCACATCGTCCAGCTCCCCCTCGGCCACGCTGAGCTGGACCTGCGGCCAGAACTTCTTAGTACCTTGCCTCTAAGGGGCGAAGATGTCAGGTCCTACTCGCTCATAATGGCAAGGGTGAGTTGGGCATCTAAGTGGCAAAACAAACATGCTGATCAATGCCTCGCCACAAGGGGTGGCAGGAATTTGCATTCCTCTGGACCCTCAGATGACCTCGTAAGTGGGGCACTCTATGAGATCTTGTTGAAAAGAGGGACGCTTGAAGACAGTCCTGGCAAGGGTCGAGTGTGGGGATGTGGCGAAAGGCTCGCCTGCCCGGCTCTGCTGTGCTTTCATGCATGTGTACGCATTGTGCAGAGCGCATGTAAATAGAGAATGATGATTATGCAGTTGATTTCTAGAGAGTGGGGCAAGAAGTGGGGTGAAGGTCAGGCCCACCTGCAGGGCGGACACTTGCTTGCGCAGCACGCGCTCGGAGCTGGATGGCATTGCCTCGATGTCGTCCCTGCCTCCGGTGACGGTCGCGCCCCAGAGTCCCTCGGACATGCCCTGCACATTGATAAAGGGGGCATCATGCATTTGCAAGGGGACGTGTACTGATGACAGTTCCAATGGAGCAACATCCAGACAGTGGGCATATGGACTTGTAGCCAGGTGGCTCACCGCATATCCATTGTCGACAAGACTCCATCCGTGAATGGTTGTTGCGGTGCTCTGGGATGAGGATGCCTCATACCCACTGACCTCCTGCACAATACACCAAGATGCAGCGTTCAGGTGGGGGGGCTCTCCCTGCTTTGACACAAGGCAGAGCTTCGTCATTACAATGTATCCCTATACCCTACGAGCGCGCTGTGAAATTGGCGCCAGATGCCCTGTCCTTCTAGCACGCTGCTGACGGGGACCATGCGCCTGTGCAAGATTAGTGCCAAGTCCAGCTCAAGGTATGCTCCCACCTGTTGGCCCCTTCAGACTAGCTTCCCTGAAATACTGACAGCTATACGACCCACTGTGGGGAAGGAATTGGTCCCTCTGGACGCGCGAATAACCTCATAGACCTAGATTTGACGGTCGACATGTGGCCTTATCCCAATGGAAACAACAAGACCACTGAATCCAGGTTTGGATGCTGGGACAGGTAAAAGTGCAAGACCGCACCCTCTGTGCATCGTACAGCCTCTGCCTTCTTGTGATGGTGGTCCAAGATGGGCCGACCGTGCCGGCAGGTTGTGAGTGCCCAAGGCCCCTGTGAGGCGGCTGTGTTGCGAGGGCAAGTCGGGACCCCAGCCCGGTGCTCAAGAAAGACGCCATCTCAAATGAATACAAGTCTTTGATCGAAGGCGTAAACCTAACCGGTGCAGTACAAGCTAGTCCTGGTGCACGACGAGATATATGGGAGGACAGGACTCGTTGCTGTTAGGTCTCAATCTAACACCTGTGCCTTTTCAATGCAGTCAGCGAAGGTTTGGGGCTGCGAACCACCACCAACAAGGCGGCAAACACGCCCGCAGATCTCCTATGAATCTCAAAAAGTGCAAAACAGATCTGCTTATTATTGGCTTCGACCCAGGCAATGCACCCTTGATGTACCCAGGGATGTTGACATCACCATGGAATGGTGGCCATTCTCAATCAAGTAGCTGGGAGAACTGAAGCGCTGTCAGTCCTGTGGTGCGTGGGAAAGTCAGCACTATACCTTTGCTCTTATCCTAGCGACTGGTTTGACATTTCTTGGGAGTGTGTGATACTGTCTGGCGTATGCAAGAACATTGATCCGTTGGCTTGAAGGATATCTTGCTTGAAAAGGATCAGAAGACAGCGTTTCTCAACGATCTTTCTTTGATGGTATGGGGTACACTCGGAGGCTTTCTATCTTTAGTCTTCTTGCGAGCACTGACCATTCGACCCTTCTGATCTGTGATTCTCATGCAGACCCTGCAGATACATGTGACCTGTTGGGTGCATCGCACTCCTCTGATATACTCAAAGTGCTTGAAACTGCTTGCAGGAAAAGTCTCACACCATCGTCCTCATCCAGCGCACTCAGGCGAAGAACAGCCGAACCTTTCTAGATTATGAGAGCCTGAGTGGAGCTGTGGACGGTGTGCTCTTGTGCAGACAAAGTTCTCTGATACTTTATCTAATGCATCGCCTGTGTGGGATAATACTGCAGCAGCAGACTCGGTCAACTGTGAGTCAAACAGCTGAGTATATCTTGCAGGCATATGCGCCCTGTTTGAGAGAGATCTTAAGGAGAAGTATCCCCATCAGAGAGAGCTGACATATGACGTTCAGCAGCTCTTCACATGGCTGGATCGCCTGGTGACCTCCCACATCCTCTGTGTCGCACACTGTATCCTGCAATGTTCCGGGTTTGCTGAAAAGCTTCTTTGTGGAATGATGCCTGACTGGTGTGTGCCTGCTGTGCAGCATGATCTGAGCGCGCTAGTGTAAGTTCCCAAGAGGAGCCTCCCCCCTTCGCACTCAATCATCCAACACAGTACATGTCCCAAGACTTATTCGACCCTACTAATCGGCAGGAACTTCCGTAACATGCACCATAAAATTGAAGTGTTTTCACCCGCAGGTTTGATGCCAGGCTCACAGCATATCTTCCCTTCAACAAGGCATGGGTCAAGGAGAAGATGCTGAAGCAGTTGCAGCGCCAGGCAGGTGTCCGATAACTGGGGACAAGGCAATTTCTCTAGTGGGAGAAGAGGAGAATCTGCTGGGGCGTCATAATTGGCTCATCCGTTGATCTGAAACGCAATGTCCTTTGCTGCTTGCTGGATGTTTTCAAACTTAGGGCTGAGAGGACAATGGCACATTGTGAACCGATGGCATTGCTCAGCCACCGTGCACCAATGTCTCAATCTCAAATATCTGCTACATCATTGAACGCAGGATTTATGTCTCGATGAGTGTAAGAGCCTTTGTGTAATGCTCTGATGCTTGAAGCACGTTCTCCCCGGCTTCATGCACCAGCTGTGCAGATTTGTGTTATAGGTTGGAATGAAAAGTAGTCATCAATTTTGCATGTGAGCTGTTCCAATGAATAAACCGTGAAGCATGTGCCACCTGCCAGTGGCCACTTTCAGTATTCCTACATTGCCTAAACATCCAGGGCACCCATGCACGGAATGCCTCATCTGGATACTCTGTCATAATCTGTGCAAATGAGTCAACAAGCCAATCAAGCACTTCAAACAAGCTGTTCTCCTAGTTTCGATACAACTCTCAGTATGCACTTGCCAACACACGTGCCACACAACTTCCATAGGGACAAGCCGTCGCATCCAAGCCTGGAGTCACTCTCTGTATCGTTAGTCTTCACCTGGCTATTACCTGCACCTAACTGGAAAGACTAATGATGTTAAGAAGTGCAAATCCAGTACAGGCCATTGAGGCGCCAGAACGCTCTCAAGGCATCTCCTTCAGAGCTCATCATGTGCACGCACGGCCTGCTCAGCCTCCTCCACCTGCTGCTGCAGCTGCCGCGCAACTTCCTCTGAGCAGGCCGCCGGCGTTGTGAGGTGCGCAACATACTCACACCTGCTGGGCTCTTCCACGTGCTTCAGCTTCTCCACCTTGCCGCAGGAGATGGACACCTGCGTACGCATGCGAGCACACTCAATGCTAGCCAAAGCCACAAGAAAGTATTCGATGTCATATATCAACGTTCAGACGGCTTCATGTACAGCAGACCATGACCCCTTGCGAGCACAGAATGCTGCCACAGGAACAGTGTACAGAGGGAATAGCTTATTACAGGAGGGATGCCAGTGCAGAGACAGCACCAGAGATCCCCTTTTCAATCCTCCTCCAAAGTGTTTTCAACTGTCTTGAGCTGGATCCTCCCCATGATGCAGCTCTTGAACCATGCAGCAAAGGAAACTATCACCTCAAAACAGGGGAGAACCCTCAAGGGTGGGGCTGGTATTACATGTGGATCAAGTCCAATCAGAACACAGACCTTGGCCAGCCCATGGCCTGGTATGATGTAGATGAGCCACAACGATTGACAAAGATCCGGACAGAGCCAAATCAATTACCGATAATGCACACCATGTGGTGGTTGGTGTCTCACACAATTCACCGGGATCTTTCATTCACTGAGTTGAGGGAGGCGCTATACATTACACTAGAGATCTGCATCATAACAAGCCTCTGTCTTGTGCTCTCGCAAGCGCAGTAAGGGTGGTTCCTTGCAAGGCCGTGCTCATGCTGCTGCGAGCAGCAGCGAGCGGAGCAAGAGGGGGTTTGACGGCCACCCGCAACGGAGAAACAGAGCAATGACTAAGCGCGCACCACCATGCTGCGCTGGGGCCCGTTCCAGCAGTGCTGGCCGCCGGTGAAGGCCATGACTGTGTGGCCCTCGCGGAAGCCCTCCCAGTTGCCCAGGCTGACGCGCGCGGCGCCGTCCTTCTGCACCGCGCTGCCGTGGGGGCATATCTCGTACACATACTTGTCCACGTCCGCCTCAAAGCACCTGCGCCCAATGCACACATCACTAAACTACCGCCACAGAAAGCCGACAGGAGACACCGCGCCAGAGAGGCCAGCCTTCAGCACAACAAAGGCAAGGGTAGTGTACAATCACGGGTGACTAAACCACAATAAAGTCATCTTGTGGGCAATTATGGTGTTTCTCATGGCTATTGCACAGCTGCAGCAAGAGCGCTTATGTTGCTCACGAAAATTTTATGTCCGTGGGTTCCAGGTGTGCAGATGCATGCAGAGCAGGAAGATGGGTGTAGATGGGCCACTCACTTGCCATGGAGCGGCAGGAACTCTTTGTTGGGCCCAAAGTCCAGCTGCAGCTTCTTGTGCACCTCGGCGTGCTGCCGCTCCAGGTCGGCCAGCACGTTGTGGTGCTCCCAGTACTTGTCCTTCACCGCCTGCCCGTCGGATATGTGCTCCGCTGGCCCAAAGGGCGTGGCGTTCAGGAATGATAGCACCGCTGTCTTGATTCGGCCTAACAGGCTGGGCGGCCCTGCAACACATAAATGTTCTGCTTGCCAGGTGTTTGTTCAGCTTGAGACAGCACACTCCAGTTGCACCTGTGTCTCAACTCCATACTCAGTTGGCTCTGTGTCTCAACTGGGCATCCAAACTTCAATGAAGAGGAGGATGCCAGATAGATCATGTAGTGTATATGGTGGGCAGCCTGCCAGATACACCACAAGGTCTTGGAGGGCATGACGGGTTGTGGGTGACAGACAGAGGGTGATGTCATCTCATGTTGCCCACCTGACTGCACTGGAGTTTGGGGCAGGTCCTCATCAGCCGCAGCCTCCTCAACAGCTTCTTCTTCGGCAGCACCACCTTCGGAGGCCTCCTCGGCCTCCTACAAGGCATGCGCCCGCCAGCATCAGTGCAATGCCCCACAGTACACAGCATCCATAAGATGCAGAAATGAAGACCAGACATCCTTTGGTGAGCACAGCTGCGCATAGCGCTCCCAGCAGGTCAAGCATGTGTGTAATACGTCTTATACTATTGCAGCAGTCCTCAGGGTGATGCCACGCGCAAGAACATGAAATTTGGATAATCCTGCCAGGCTGCCTTGCCTGCACCAGAGAGGCGTTGACCAATGCCCTGGCGCACCCTCTGCCACTCACTTTGAGACACAAATCTCCTGACTGTCCATACGGGACAGACCTTGGCATTACTACATGTGTGTCCGGAATTCACTTTCCACGGCGTGCAATGCCAGGCACACATGCAGGCGTCCACAGGCTGTGCTCTCTGACCAGGAGACTCATGTCATCAAGGAGGTAACGTGGCATCCACGCAACTTATGTTAGCTCCTGAACACACCTGCGCATCCTCGGCGGGGGCGTCGGAGGTTTCATCGCGGATCCACTGAGCGGCCACACGCTTGGCGCGCTCCTCGGCTGTCTCTCCCTCCTGCTGTTCCTGCTGCTTGGCGGCTTCGTGCGGGTTCATGGCGCGCGTGTCAGCCTCCTGCTCGACAGCTTCCAGGGGCACGTCTAGCGCCTGCGCTGTTCCCTCCGCGGCCTCCTTGATCGCGCCCTTCATTATCTCGTCCGCTGCATCCACCGCACTCTCCGAGCCTGCCATGCATCCATTACCAACAGCTTGACGTCTGCATACCTGTATCTCTAATAACATCAACATCTCACCCAGTTTGCAGAGAGCTCTGAGCTCTGCCAGAGCGGTACTACTGCTGGGGGCTCGAAAAGAGGGCACACAAGGGAGGTTGCATGCATGCTGGGAGGGGTCTGGCGAGCAGAGAAGATGAGAGCTCACCAGTGAGAGCTGGCTCCATGGAAGTGATGTGGTCGCCAGCTGGCTCTTCTGGGACCGCGGCATCGGCCGCCCCGTCAGCGGCGGCGGCGGTTGCGGTGTCCTGGCCGGCAGTGTCGATGGGTGTCTTCGCGATACGCTCGGCCTCTTGTCTCGCTGCCTCGTCCTCCCTCTCCTTCTGCTTCCTCTCTTGCTCCACCACCGCGTCATGCTTGACTGCACATAACATACACTCGGTCCTCTCAATTTCAGTTCTACAGGCTCAATTAAGAACCCGACAGAGCTAGGTGCATCGCAGCAGCCTTTATATATAGCATGCTATGCAGATTCTAATGCATGGGAGGGTGCAGGCAGGGCCATCTAGCACACAGGGCATGGCTGGACCCAGCAGGGGCTCACCCTTCCACTTGTCTGTCAGCGCTTTCTGATCCGCGATGGACTTTGCCAGCTGGGCCTCCTCTGCCGCCCACTTGGTCATCATTTCTGACGCCTGGGTGAAGTACGCCTCCCTCAGCTTTGAGCCGGCAGCCTCTGCCTCTGCCCGCTCCTTCAGCGCTGCGCGTGCTGCTGCGCCTACCTCAGAGCATGTGTTCTTGCACACGCCTGGCTGCTCATCAGAGCCGTCGCAGCAATCTGCAAAGCGGCACATGCAATCCCCTGAGATCGCTCTCAAGCTTGCAAAAATGACAAGAGCTCTTGCTTCTAGAGAAGTCTTGTGCACAATGCCAAAATGTGTGGGGAGGTGGGACGTTGTACTCACCACAAAAGGTATCGTCCACCATTGAAGAATTTAGATGCTGAGGATTGTATCCCTTGTTCGCGCAATAAAATTTTCCATTGACGCAAGCCGACGAACCTGCAAGACTCGGATGGTGTGTAAGTCCGTGAAGAGAACTGATTGTGTCTCCAAAATGATTGAAGGTGTGAGTTCAATGAAACCTCGCCACGTTATGCAACGAAACAGTTGCATTGGCTTACCTGGTTCATCGCTTCCATCAAAGCAATCGCAGTAGTTGTCGTTGATGTTCTCATACTTGATGGTCTTGAGACCATCCAGACAGGCAAAGGAATCGCCCTTTGTTCTGTAATATAATTCAAGAGCTGGATCTAGGCCTCTGAAAGAAATGTCAGAACAGTGGACGAGTGAAGAGGCAGACAGTATGAGAGCTGCAAAGACATGCCAGATCCCCATTTTGGCACGTGCAGTCCTGCCCTTCACGCACTACCCTACTTTCTGGAATTCCTTTCACGTATCATGGGTGACGTTGAGGGACCGGATGTAATTCCTCTTGGAATGGAAATCAATGTCTGATGGAAGAAATGCAGGTACAAAACCCTACACGGCCTTGATCAAACCCTGATCAACCATGCAACTTGGAATTGCTTCACTTTCCTTCTGAGGGGACTATGACTCCATAGTTGTCTGAAATAATATCAATCACACGCGGCAAGGCTGCATGCGAGTCCAGCAGCAGCGCATGTTGGAGAGTCGCTTGCCATGGTGCAGTGCAGTCCTCAGAGAAGACGCCTGTGCACTAGTTTGATCAAAGAATTCTTTGGAGATACCGTAGAGGTACGAGATCCTTCTGATCCTGGTCGATTCTGACGTCGGTCGTGACTGTCGACACTTGCAACATCGGGCATCGAACCCCTCAGTGTCTCCCAAACCAGCTGTTCTGCAGAGAAAATTCATGGCCGACTTGTCCTTTGGTGCAGAGAGTCTGCAATGTGCTGACAGCGCGCGGCCAGCAAACTTTGCCAGAGGTGGTGCGCGCAAGCGGCCTGCCACCTTCTGCAGTGCGCAGCGCACTGCTTGTGCTGCTGCAGCACAATTTCGTGATCTCTGAGCTTGTGCAGCCGGACACAGGCCTGCGAGCCCCCCAGGCTCCGTACTTCCTGTACCATGCAGACACAGGGGCCATCATTCAGATCCTGCGGTGGGTACTCTGCTCGTCTGGAATGCTGCATTGTTGATGCATGCAAGCGCTTTGCAGAGGCTCGCGACATTTGTTCTGAGACAAGTGACATGCCTGCAGGAGACCTCGTATCCTGCAGCATGTGCAGCGAGAATATGGAGGACCCGGGGAGAGCGACATGGCAGTGAAGATCATCGAGGTGGGCGCTCATGCTCTGGCCATTACCCAACCTGCAGACTAGCATTCTTCCTGCTCTCATCTCTGCCTGGTGGTGCCGAGACTCGACTTGAGCGCAACACCACAATCAGCAAAGGTGCAGAAGGAAAATGCAGCAAGCCCCAGCTGCCGCTTGCAGTGACACGGTCAAAGTAGGGAATGTGGAGAGCCAGACATGCAGACATGAGGCACAGCAACCGCTAGAGATCAGAGGAATGTAAAGGCGATGGAATGAGGTCACATTTGGCGTGCGGAGCCATGACATGTGCCGGGACGTGCGCGCAGGTGCTGCTGGCGCATGGGCGGCTGCGGCTGGACCAGGTGGCGGCGGCGGTGGCGGCACGGATGGAGCGGCCGGAGGGGGAGGTCCGGGGGGACCTGCACGCGCGCTTCATATCCCTTGTCAACGGCCGCCACATCGAGCGCGTCCCCCCGGCTGACATGCCGCTGCGCAAGCCCGTGGCCTTCACCAAAGCGCAGGTGCAGCTCCCGGCACCCGCCCTGATCACAGCCTCACCAGGGATTGGTCTCTTGGTGATTATGGATGGCAACGAGCAATTATGTGTGAAAATGCTTGCTTTACTGTCATAAGAAAGACAGCTTTGTGTGTCCAATTGTCACAGCCAGTAAACTGTACAGGCTGCTTCGCAGCTGATCCCACAGCTTCAAAGAGACGTACATGCAACCGCTGGACCCGGCACACAAACCAATTACTGCAGCTCCCCGCCAGAACCAAACCTTAGACAAGTGTCCTCTTGAGCATCCCACAGCACGTGCACGGATGCACAAGATTTCCTAAGGAGATTTTGTGCGCCGTTTGAGATTCACCTCTTCTGCGGCTCAGGCAAAGAGGGCGGCGCCGAAGCCGGGCACGCCGGAGGCGGCGGTGCAGGAGGCGGAAGCTGTGCGGCAGCTGGCGCAGGACTCCTACTCGGCCGAGCGCTTCCGGTTGCCACGCGATCTCACCGGCGCTCCCGACACCACCCGCGACCCCAGACGTGCGGCCCTACCCAAGCCAGCCTCTGTCAACAGATTCTGCAAATTAAAGTTTCTTGTGAAGTACCAATGACTTCACCATCCCCGACCACAGCGTGCGACCCTCCCTGAGCCTCTGTAAACAGAATCCGCAACGTCCAGTCTCTTGTGACGTACTAGGGAGTTCACAAGAGACTGCATGGGGTGTCTGGTGCATATGTAGATCAGGGCGTGCAGCATGTACAAGATGTCTGCCGCGTCCGTGCTTTGCAGGTCATGTCGTGAGGTGCCCCATTTGGATTTCATCTGGTGCTTGGCTCCAAGGGGATATGTTTGCAGGACATTGTTCCACCCCCAGTGGCATGTTCGGCATGATTGGCTGAGAGCGGAAGTTACATGCTTCTGCTGCCATGCGGATTGGAGAGGAATCTTCTTTAATCACATCTCAACTCTGTTCATGGCTGTGTAGTGTCTGTGGTGATCGGGGCACCGGACAGATCCCTGCTGCTTTGCAAGAGACGCGCATGTGTGCTATGAACTTCCTGTCAGGTTTCCAGCACTAGCACTGATAGACTGGTGTGCGCTTTGTCAGTCTCCAAGCAGGCGGGGCGGGGAAAGAGGAAGCGCGATGATGCAGATGCGGCCAGCCAGCGGTCAGATGCAGCCTCAGCACAGGAGTTGTGGCGTGTCAACTTTGAGGAATTTAACTGCAGGCTCAGGTAGCCTTTCTGTCCTTCAGCGCCATAACAAGCTCTTGCTCACATCCAGATTGTGGCGATGCCATCCTTTGCTGGGGACCAATTTCCAGACGGACTGCAAAATGCTCTGCACGCTATCGCAGGTTGCCCTCCATGAAGATCCCTAGTTACTTAAGGCCAGAGAACCGCCAACACCTTGAAGAAACCCCTATCCTGCCTGCCCTTGCAAAGCCGTGGTGCACAGACCTGTCTGTGAGCTGCAAGCTGTGGCAGCCAAGCTACCTTTGTGTATTTAGTATCTTTGTGCGGCAGGGACGAGGCATGCGCAGAGTACGTGGCAGTGATATACGGGCGGGAGGCGGGCGCATTGGTGGCGGCTCTGCTGACCTGTGCTGCGCGGCAGCCGGGCGGCAGCCGCCTGGACAGCGGCGCATCGGCCGCCGTGTCGGTGTTGGCCGCCGCCGCCGCGCTGCCGCAGATGCGGCGCTCCCGGCCGGACCTCCCCGTGCTCACCGGCGCAGCCGCCGCGCGCGTGCTCGGGTACTGCCCGGCCCTTGAAATTAGCTTGACACTTAATAGGGTAGAGAATGTTGAATGCTGTTATAAAAATACTGCTGCGACGCACCTGATCCTCAAGGCTTGTAATAATAATTAATAAAATTTTGACAGGAACAGTTTTAAGACACATGTGTGGCATCAAGCCCTGCGTTGACCTTCTTGAGCGTCCTTTGCTTGCGGCTGCTTTGATCTGACTCGCAGCTTGGTGCATGAATGCTCGGTGCACACCTGTCCCTGTCCAGGAGAACATTTCTAGTTGCCGCGGTGGCCCGCAATTGGACCCTCCAATTTTAGTCAGAGCAGTCACTCAGCAAGAGCATAGACCGAATGCCCTGTGATTCTGCAGTGAGCTGACGGAGGATGCCAGGAGCGGCGTGACGCGCAGCGGATCGTCTGGGGTTGCAAACGAGGCGTTCATCGTTGACACTGGCGCCATCACCCGAGCCATACGCCAGCAGCATATTGAGGCCCTTGTTCGAGAGCGCTTCCCTCCCATCGGTGCGCCGCCCCCACCGCCCACTGCCTCAGAATGCATTATGATCCAACGAGGGGATATCAGGAAGGCTGCACACGCTCACCTTAGAAGAACAGAAGTGCTCTCTTGACCCTCCCCATTTTGAGAGATCAAGGCGTTGATTGGATGTGGTTACCATCGGCTTTCAGGAATCGCCAGCTCGTCTGCTATCTGCATGTCCTGCACAGAGTGATGTTCATTCCTTGGGCTCTGCTGAGAGCAGGCATTGCATTACCTTGGTGGGCTGGCCATCAGTGATCATAGTGACAGTACCCTGGAAGCGCTGTCCGATGACTCGAGTCTGGGAACTTCTCACTTCAGGGACACCATATCCTGAGGTCCTGTCCGGGTGGCTCTGCCCCATGCCAGTCTGACACCCGACACCCTTGTTCGCAGAGCATATCCCAAGCAGCGGTGGTGTTGGCTGCGCAGGCATGCGCGTGTTCCGGCTGCTGTGCGCAAAGAAGCAGCTGGAGCAGAAGCAGGTGGCCGACTATGCGATGGTCCCCGTGCGCGACGCGCGAGAGCTGCTCTACCGCATGCTGCGCGCCGGCTTCCTCACCCTCCAGGTGCGCAGGATCCAAGCGCGACAGATCAAGGGTTGTGACAGATCATGTAGTGCCGCAGACAAGGGTGTGGGTCGCTTGAACATCTTTCGTGGCACGCCAGCCTTGCAAGGCCCAGATTCGACTTGCAGGGACTTGCCCTTGCTACAGCCAAGCAATCTTTGGCACCCATGCACAGTGGTTGCTCGGACCCTTCTTGAATCCCGTGCACACTGGGCGCTTTGTTGCTGCATTCGAGGTTGGTATGTTCCGTCCTCGATATATGGTACACCAATGAACCCAAACCACAGGAGATTCACTGTAGAAGTGTTGTACTGCGCCCTTTTCAAACCCGGTGACGGCTGGCGCAGGACGTGCCGAGGACTGCGGACCACTCGGCCTCGCGCACGTTCTACACGTGGCGTGTGGACAGCACGGCAGTGACGAGGCGCGTGGGCGAGGAGCTGCTGCAGGCGGCCGGCAACCTCCGCGCGCGCCTGCACCACGAGCTCTCCGAGCACGCCGAGGCACGTCCTTTCTCTCTCTCTCTCTTTCCCCAAGTCTATTTTCCCCTGCATGAAGCCCATAAACTGGCCATGCATTGCTGCGTTGGCTACCTTGTCGCAGCCTATTTTTCTTGCAGGCACTCGTGGTCTAGGTGCAGTCAAGTCCAAGCAAGACTATTGGCTGGGCTTCTGCAGCCACTTCACTCATATGGCTGACAAGAAAGGGGTGCCGTTTCCCGGCCACTGGCCACCGACCCCTGCCTGTGTCTGTTCTATGCAAGCCTTCACTTCTGCCTGCACGTAGTCAGTGCTACAGCTGCACTGCAAGGACTAGAACCGCAAACACAATGCGCCATGACACCTGTGAGGCATCTCTGTCCTGAAAACAAGTGCGGCATGCGGCCGCCCGGTGGCGTCCAATAGTTGAAGCTGCTGATCCGCTGGCGGCAGCAGCAAAGGTATGCTAGGACGCGTTGGGCATGCCCAGCCACACCCTGCACCCAAGGGATGTACCCAGAAACATTCAAATTCAAAACATTTGGTGTCGCAGGTGCTGAAGCGGGTGGAGGCTGGAGACACGGCGCTGCAGCCGCACGATAAGGCTGAGGTGGAGAGGGTGTGCCGAGTGAGCGCTCTGCTGGAGACGCGGCTCATCGCCCTGGACCCGCTCATAGCGCTCTTCCACCAGAACTGACCCCATGTCTTTTTGAATTCGTATTTCGTTTTTGTGGGCTTTTTCTTTAGTGAGAAACCTCGAGAGGAGGATCCGGTGTCGCAGGGGAATGTAATGGTGTTTCTGTGCTGGTGGTGGTGGTGTGAAGATGTGCGAGATGCTGCAAGCCACTTGTTGTCTGGATGAGGACAGCCACAACTGTAAAAGAATTGATCCACAATATTGGACCTTAAGGCGCCGGATTGACCTCTAGGTGGGGCAACCCACCCTTTTGCAACAGGGGCCAAGCCTGCTGCAAAGCGTCCTGCTTCTGTATCATGGCCAATGCTGGCTCTTGCTCATGCATCTAGATCTATGTGTGCACGTTTGCAAATGATTGCACGTGCACCTCCATATAGGTAGGCCTATTGGACAGTACAGTTACAAAGGAATAAAAACTCCTGAGCATGACTCAGGACGCTACATTAAAGAATCGGCTTGCAATGGCATTCATGCAGTAACACAGTACATAACCTGATCAGGTTGACTGAAGAGCAGAGCACTCAGAGCAGCGCAATGGAAATCATAACTCCCAAGATAATGGGAAGATACCCACTTAGCATCCTGAATGTTTCTGAAGCTAGTGGTCATAGCCTAGCTTCAGAAACATTATGCTCATCTTGTCACACAGGCCAAACAAGTCATGCAGCCGATATGCATCTGATTGCTTCAGACGCATGCAAGCCCAGGCGGCTTAGTCACATACCTGACCCTGATTAGTACCAGAAAACCAGTCATTCGCAAAAGGCTGTCCGCAGCAAAATATGAAAACCCAGACGAAGTAAAGACACCACGAGAAGACAAACCCAGAGCGCTCTATCCCTCTTTCCCAGAACAATTGCGAGCTTTGCATCAAAGCCAAAGAATAGGTTGTTCACATTCAACCCATCCACAACTGGCCATCACCGCATGCCACTCGAGTCCAACTATTTCACGGCATGGCATGGCATGGCATAGATGGCTGTCATTTGGGAACCAGTACTGCTAGCAGAAAACCCCACCTTTTCAAAAGAAACATACACCAAGTGAGAGTCAACAACGCGGGCACCGGCAATGTGCACATTTTACTGTGCATCAAATGCGGCACTGTAAGTCACCAACACACTGTCACGAAACACTGTGATTCACATGTGTCACAGTGTTCAAGCAGCCGGAACACTACAGCTGGCTTGCACAGTACAATTGTGCACAGCTACCTATGTACTTGCAAAGTGACCGGCCTGCTTGTCTGTGCACACGTAATCTGCTGTCAGCTGCCAGCCCTGCAATGTTTGCAGTCCCAGCAGCATACTATCCTGTAATACTTCACTTATACTTCGAAGGAAAATTCGACTCCGTGTCGGCGCAGTTCTGACGCAGCGGATCAGTGTGAATCTCCCGGCATGTGTCACTATCCTCTGGCAACAGCACATTGTCTGAACTACGCGGAAACACCAGGAAGCATTTTCAGTTTGGCCATGAGGTCGCCATAATCATCCATATTTGCAGCTAGTGGGCCGTATTTCAAATTCTGAAAAGGTCGCCGCGAAACTGCACCTCAAGCTGCATGCATGCAGCGGCTAGGCTGCCGGCATGTGCGCGCATGTGCCCGCAGTCAGCGCGTATGCAGGATGTTGAGGTAGTTGTGCGGCGGCTCGTTCTCTGATATGGCGTTTGGCCCAAGGCCGGCCCTGGCAGCAGAAATACGAGGTCACAGAGCATGCTGTGGTTCTTATACAGCGCTGTGTAAGATAGCCAGTCACCCCCAAGGCCAGCAGGCTTGGCATGCAAGCAGTCTTCAGCGGTGCGTCACATTGTCTGACTCCCAGTGTTCACAGTCGTGCTCTACACGTCTGCCCTGAGCAATAAAAAACGCAAGGCAACTTCCTCAAAAGGTCTTAAAGTCATTAAAGAGGCATGCGTGCTGTAATAGGGTGCCCCCTCTAGACGTCGTATGTCAGTCAGGTGAGCAGGAAAACGGGTCCCTATATCCCTATCTCTCCCCAGTTAAATTCTTTCAGTTACTGACGACCAGAGGAATACATGGAAGAGGGTGGCATGCAGGAAGTCAGGGGAAAGCTGCTGACCTCACGTATGACACATCCTCGATGTGTGACCCGTCATCGAAGAGGCCGAGCGCGGAGGTCCAGAACTGCTCGTCCCCCCAGCGGTACTCCCAGGTCCCCCCGGGGAAGCTGTTCCAGATCAGGCCGTACATCAGCACCTCCGGCGCCGTCCAGAATCCCAGCCAGCCGCCCGCAAAATCCACCGAAAACACCTGTGCCACCTCAGCGCCAGCTCAACACCAAAAATCTTCAGATATTTCATTTCCACTAGATGAGATCTATCCTATTTCTGAGCCGTGATTGGGGCACATGCTTGGCTGTCTGAGCGTACTTAAGAATTCTGAAGGTCACGGAAGGCAAGCTGAAGCTATCTTCCTCAGGCACGATGGTGCCAGGATCATCCAGCAGCCGCCGCATCATCTTTAGTGTTTCTTTTCTGGCGGGCGCGTCATTGTGTGTGCCCACCTCACATACTTTGCAACGGCATGCTGCGGCAGATCCCCCGGGATATGAAGGGGTCATGTCGCTTGCCAAGCTGTGCCATTCCCACAAGTGCTGCAGAGACCAGGATGCTTACATTGGCCGGCACCGATTATTCTGTGACACTTGCCAAGCGCGCACCTGGGAGTCATCGGAGAACCAGGGCTCGCTGAGAGCGGCGGGCCACAGGATGCGACGGCAGCGATTGCTCTCAGAGTCCAGGTACACCTGCACTGGTTTGGAAGCGCCCTGTTGCCACAAGCCTATGCAGTCCAGGTCCGCCAACCGCTGCAAGCCTGTAGCGCGAACCCGACCCCAAAATCAACCCCTCAGATGCACTCACAACTCACACCCCATTCCCGCTGGCACCAGGAATCTTCAGCGGCTTGAAGTGGCTCACAGGCGGTAAAAACACACTGCTATGCTCGAAAACAAGGCGCTATCACCGCCTGTGGTAGGGGATCCCACCTGTTTGTGACCCAGAAAGGCCTCAGCAAGCCAAGAACAGTGGTGGGAGCTGTAAGCCTGCTGGCAATGGGGACGTGACTAGCAGAATGACAACAGTGAAATATGAAACAATAACGGCAAGAGATCTACCCTCAAGGCATCGCACAAAATTGACTGATGTGTCTTCAGGTGGCCATTGAGCCGCATGCAGGACAGTAAAAAAACCCCTCAAGGAGATGGGGCACATAAAGCGGGCCGAGAGGACGGTTACGGCGCGCACCAGTGTGGAAAAAGATGCGGTGCTTGCTGACGAGATGATGGGTTATGTCACCAGGGAACTTGCCGGCCCATCGCGCGTCATCGTCCAGCTTCATCCAGAAGTCAAAGTAGTCCAGCACATGCAGCTGCCGGAACATCTGGTGCGCATGCCTGTGCCACCAACCCCCAGGCTCACGCCATGGCTGTCATGATGCATGAACACATCATTGGTCATTTCTGATGACTCACTCCCTAAGACCAAATATTCTGGGGGAATTCCTGAGGGACCCATAAAGCCAGTGCTCATCAGTACCTCCCAATGATAGAAGGTAAAACATTCCCAGCGGAATTATGCGTTGACACAATGGCACCCAAGGCAGAATCTGTTATTCGCTTGCCCTGCTGTGACAGCCCATGCCATTGCTTTGCATGCAAGAGGCTGACGTGACTGCAGGAGCATTGCGTAGCCTGGACTGATTCCAGCAGTCCAAGAAATAGGCAAGAGACAGGCAGGCCCGCTCTTCAAGTATGTTAACCATGCCCCAGTATGGCCTCTGCCTTGTGCAGGAGTGCACCTCGTACGACGAGAGGGTGCCTAGTATAACCACAAAGGCGGCCAGCGAGGGGCCACACCAGTTTAAGAACTTTGTCTTCAGGTAGGAGGTGCGGCAGTGGGGGGTCTGCCACCCAGACGCGATCATCTGCTCCTCAGTGGTGCCGTTCCTGGCCATTCACACAGAGAAGAAGTCATAACAAATGACGTCCCTTCACTCCCGTACAGCTTAATAACATAACAAACAGTAACAAGACAACAGCTTTCTAAAGAGCTGCTCGTCTGTATGTGTGAATGCAGTACCCTAGCATGACATAAGTACTCAGTAGGCCAACTGTTTGAAATTACAGTCTACTGATCTTGATGCAAAAGTTTCACGTGAACATACTGCGATCAATGGTCGTGTATGTCAACAAAGGGAAGAGTCAGGCCATGTACCTAACCATCCACCAGGGAGCTGGGAACGACGCGCGGCCGAGCAGCACTATGATCGGCCGCCGAGGCCCGGCGGCCGGCAAATAGTACAGAGCGTATCCGGCGTCCACCGCCGCGGCCGCCAGGCACGCCTTGCTGTGCTTATCGCAGTCCACTGGCACCAGCTGCACCCATTTCAACAAAATTGAGGGGATGTTGGGCAGAAGTAGTGCTGCCATAGGCGCGTATGGACTGACCAGATCATCCACTCGCATATGACTTGCAGGATTTAACTGTCTGGGTGTTATCACATTCACACTAGCCCATGTCCTGTGCATCAGGGTTCGTCACACACAGGCACCAGAAAGTATCACTCCATGCAAGTTCTGTGCTGTATTGTTTTTTAAAGGACTACAGTCAGAGGGGCGGACCTCCAGACTGGCGACTAGCTCAGCAGTGCTGTTGGTGTAGTCAGCATCCAGCAGCATGACTACGCTCGTGCTGTGCGCCAAACGCGCCAGGAACTCCTCTCGCCACCCGTACCATGCTTTCTGGCCCCCGCCAAAGCTTCACATTAGCTACAGCTGAATTTCATGCTTAGCAGGGCAAAGGGGGGCATGTTGCACCCTGATCACTGATCCGCATCTGCAGTCCTGCCGCATTTGACAGGATTCATGCACAAGGTATGCTCTGGCAAATAAGAACAGCTTGTATGAGAGTTGCACGAGCCCACCTCCATGCGCTGCAGGAATCGCTGCGGTGGGCCCCCAACAACCACCACGAGCGCGGTGCGGCCGTGCTTAGCGTCGGACGGCCAGCGCCGGTTTGGCGTGTAGGTCAGGCGATCAACCGGCGCGGGCGGCTGCGGCCGGCCCGGCGAGCATTGGTGCCCCAGTACGTCAAAGACCCGGTCTAGACCCAGGCTCCTGTTGCGGAAGACAACACCGTCCACCTCAAAGTCCAGATTGGTGGAGGGATGCCCGGGTGCGCTGACCGAGACATTGGCCGGGCCGGCGGCGGCGCGCCAGCACAGCATGCCCAGCAGGCACGCCAGGCGGATCATAGATGCGGGGAGTTTGGCAGGAGCTTGGACCGCGCCATGCTGACTGTGCATGTGCAGCTGCTAGAGCCCTGGCTGCAGGAGCACAGCTGGCTTGCGAAGCTTGGGAGCTGCAATTGCTGTCAGGGTCCGAAGGCCGCGACCCCAAATAGCCTTTCTACGTTGTCCATCGCGGCTTCATCACGAAGGCCACCCCATCTGCGAGGCACATCGTCTTGTGGCTGCAATTCTGTATTAGTCAACCTTGCAGATGCTGAGCATAGCAACGAACGGGATGACCCCGCATCTCAAATCTGCCTATATACAATTTATCGCTTCCGTCAACAATAGCGATGCAACGAGATCACGGTGGGATTATGCAGATGTCAAGTAGTCGCAGGGACATCTACCCAGAACTATCGACGTTCGAGACCAGCAGTCGAGGTCAACTACCACTTACTGCGTCTTGTGGCACAAAGGTTGTATCTTTAAGTTGTCCAACCCTCACCTGATCGTGTCGTTTTTCGTCTACTTTCCCCATAACCCTCCCTCCCCGCTTGGCCGACCAGCAAAAACCCAGTCGTCCCGTGTCGAACGCACTACTTTGGATGACATCAATCGCTACCTTCAAAGACGACCTGTACGTGGCTCATGTCTCCGCTGCAGATTGGCGATCTGCACAGCTTCTCCGCAAGAGCGAGGAAGTGTCGGAGAGTTGATCAGACGAGGCGAGGAGCGTATCGACCGTTTCTTCTAATTGGGAAGTTGCAATAGCTGAGGTCTAGATGCGTAACATTTCAAGTAGAGAAGATGTTCAAATGAATAGATGGTTGAATATCTTGCATATGAGATTCTCTATTCACAACGCAAGAAGTACTTAGCTTGCTTCGTGCCATATTTGACCGGTTCCGAGGCCGGTCTATTGATTATACAGAATTGATGAAGAACCTCTGGGCGTTCTTCTGGACTCTTGCAACATGTGCAGTGTTCATCAGCAGTCTTGGGCTTGCATCACGCCGGAAAGTCATGGATCAAACCTTGTCCAGGAAGGTCATGCACATCGGTGCGATCATGTCTTGGATTCAGCGATATCGAGTCTTTGAAATGGCATTGACAATCAGTATGGAGATACAAGCTTACAGGGCCTGGCACCTTAGTGCCCTAAGGTGCCAGGCCAGGCCAGGCAAGGCTTGCAACTCACTTAGAATGCTTCACTTGCAGGCAACGGCATTCTTTTTGTGCTATTCTGGCCTTGCTACACGGAGCACGCCGTCTCGAAGTATCTATGTGCTTCTGTGCCCCTTGTGGCTGCTCTGCACTTTGCGATGGTCGGCTTGGGAGCAGTCACTGACGAGTCCCTCGTAGCCAGTGCAACTGTGTGCCCCCAAGACTGAGTTCAGTGGAAGCCTTGGATGGTGCACTAGGGCAGCGATGCCACATGACTTGCATAGTGTACTGTTTTACAGCAGCAGTGCATCACTTGAGTGCAACATGCATACAAGTCTCCAGCTGTGACACTACATTTATGGGGCTACAGAGGACAGGGGATCGCAGGGAGCTGCTGCGAGGGCCTCTGCTGTATGGCACCATCATTGGAACGCTGACCATCATCTTCTGGAGAGAGTCCCCAAGCGGCGTCACTGCAATTGCAGTGCTGTGTGCGGGGGACGGATTGGCCGACATTGTGGGTCGAAGACTGGGGGCCGCAAACCGGCTGCCGTACAGCCCCGATAAGGTGTGCTCCTGCTCTTTTTCAGCAAACCAGGGCCTACAGCTGTCCTGCAGGGCAATCTGTCTCACAATGCAGCAGAAAATCGTTTTGGCACAATGCATACACTCTGCGACTTCTATAGGAATGGTGCATAAGCGCAGGTCATCTTTATATATCAGCTATGATTGAGAAATTGTGAGCTTAAGAACAACTTCCGTGTCTGGAACAAATAACTGGCACAGCTTCTGATGAAGTGGTGTTGTGTTGGACAGAGCGCAGCAGGGTCAATGGCTTGTTTTCTTGGGGGAGCCGTGGCTGCTGGGGCGTGCCTGGTGTATTTGCGGAAGTGGAATTGCTTGAGTCAGGAGCTTGGGACATGGGAAATAGCGCTTGGCTCGATCATCACGGCGGGTGTGGGAGCAGCGGTTGAGAGCCTCCCTCTTGCCGAAGTGGACAATTGGACAGTGCCTCTGGCAGCGGCGCTCACTGCAAGGGCCTTCTTTGGCTACTGATTGAATAATGACTTACACAAACTCTGGAACTCAACAAACTTTGAATCGATTGCCTTGAAGCAGACGTTCTGCAATTTCAAATGGACCAGAGCAGAAAAAAATCCTCTTGCGAATCCACAGGAATTGATGGGAGGCTAGTTGCAAATTCTGTAGGTTCAGATTTGATCCCCTTTACCAAGCCATTGTTTGAAGTGTCCATTGACGATGCCAGCATCATTCACACTTCAAAACTTAGACCAGGCGACAGACAATCACAATATTGTGCCCAGAAGTATTCAAACCATCGCTGGAAGGGTCCACTGAGCAAGCAAGTGATGAACTGCGAGGCACTTCATCACAGCACTTCAAGATCAACACACTAGTTATGATTACTACAATTCATCATCTCCCATTATGTCATCCAAGCTAAACTCCTCCTCTTCCTCCTGCAGCACTCCCTCCCCGCCATCCCAGGGGCTCACGGACACAACGCTAGGCAGGTCACCCTGCAGCGGCTGAACCCGCGCAAACCCCTGTGTGCAGCGACAGAGGCAGATTTAAAATCCGCGACCAGGTGAAAATGCATGTCTGCAGTCTGCACGCATTACTATATACCCTGATAGGTCCTAGTGTCAAATTCAAGAGGGAATGTGGGGCAGCTGATCACAGATTTCTGCAATTTGCTATGGCCAGCACAAGGATGGTGGATTGAGACACACGGAGCATTTGATAGAGGAGCAGGTGCCCAGGAAAAGAGCCAAACACCCGCAACGTGAAGCATGTCGGGCACTTTCCTAGAGCTGCTGTATAACAATCAGTACTCTTGATGAATAACAGTCCCCACACTTGATTGATAATAAACTAATTGGTCAAGAGACAAGGGACATCACCTGGCGCAGGCCCTCGATGAACTGCACGAGCGGCTGCGGCTCAAAGGCGCTCTTCAGGGGCGCGAACTTGCCGTCGGCCGGGTTGAGGGCAATAAGCGCAGGGTATCCGTAGCCGCCCACCTCAAAGGCGGCCTCCAGCTGTGGCTGGGCGCCACCCTCCGCCCACAGATACGAGAAGGGACGGTCCTTGTACTTCGCCGCCAGATCAGCCAGCATCTGCACAGGCCCACACCGGTGTAAGCCACAATGTGGGCGATAAACCCTGGTGTGGCATGGTTAAGGGGGCTAGAAGCAATCGTCATTCTCCCCACCGACGTTCCACAAAGCACGGGGCTAAACCCCGTCCAAGGGGTCTTGAAAGAAACTTAATTTCACAGACCGCTGAAAGGTCAAACTCAAGCAATGCAACCCTCCTCTGTGCCTCAACGAGCAGCCTCTGTATGACCCAACACATGCACACGCGTGCACGCTTTCCCGTGAATGAATGATGGAGTCTGCGCAGACTTCCAATCACAGGTGCTTTCAGAGACCAAGCAGCAAGTGGAACCTGGATGTGGGCCTTTCGGCCAACAGCCTTGTCATCGAGGATGTGGGGCAAGAAGGCGATCAGGCAGAGCTTCTTGGGTGGCGCGTCAGAGTGGCCCAGGCATTGGATCTCAAATGTGTCCTCGTCAATGAGCTCCTGTGCCTGTTGACAGGCGCCCTAATCTCAGTGAATCAGTTGATTAATGTGTGACTGGAAAATGTGTCCAGCCAGGTGGCAGATTGCATCGTCAGTGCCCACGGCAAACCGCACATTGCGGAATGACAACATGGCAGGCCAGTGAGCAAGAGCAGTGATCGAGGAGAGAACCTCTTGGTCAAAAGAGTGTCTGCAATGTGACATTGGGAGGAGGAGTGCAGCATGCCTCTGGCGGCGGCTGCAGACTGGACCATTGCTCAATGGCATAGGCTGCCATGCTGCTCGAGTCGCGGGCGCCGTTGTAATCTGTTGGCGCTCCTTTGTCGGCCCCAAACACCTTGATGGTTGGGTACCCTTGCACACCATGCTCCTGAAGCAAGCACTTGCACACACCTTAGCTCCCTCTTATTGGGCTCCAGCACTATCACAGTGTCAGCCTCGGAGATATGTTGCGTTGACACGTTCATAAAAGCAAAGAAAAGCATTTGGCGGCCAAGAACCTGGCAGATTGCTGCATTGCCAGTACAGTCCACAGCGCCAATTTTAATTCCCTTGAAGCTCTTCAGGTCCCTTGCCAGCTCCTTCCAGGCCGGCTTCAGGTTCTTGCAGTGCCCGCACCTGTGCACCATTCACACCAACACAATCATCACACAAGAGTCTTCGATTGGTTCGAATTAAGTCCTGACAATATTGATAGACTGTGTAAAGAATGTTGCTCACCAGGGCGCAAAGAACTCAACCAACCACAGGCCGTCATCGTAGACCACCTCGTCCTGGAAGGTTGCATCTGTAAGCTCCACAACTTCTGCATCACATCACTAGCCCTCTTTGTCAGCTGCCAAGCCTCCTCTATACACCATAAGAAACGACATGCCTATTTGGCGCGAATGCTTGGACATGTATCCGGCATGAGAGAAGAGACCCGCTGCATGCTGCCAGGTGTTAGCATGCACAGGGCGCACCGGATCCGCCATAGAATTCGCTAAATCCACCGCCGGCGCCGCTGGACCCCCCGGCCTGGCCCCCGGCGCCACAGCCGCCCTGAGCGCTGCCCCCACCGGGGGGTTTCTGGTAGCCGCCGGACCCCCCGCCCCCACATGTGCCTGCCCCTTGCTGCCCTGTAGATTTGCGCAAGAAACACTTTTGAAGGTTACATAGATCAAGGGGTGGAAAACGCGATCTGAAAGTGATCGTTGTAACCAGGGAGACTCAGTGGGTTCATCTACTGGGCTTTAAGAGCAGGGAGTGGAGGGAAATGAGGTGACACTGCGGACCTACCTCCACTGTGGCTCTTGCCCTTGCTCTTGCCCTTCAAGCCAACTCGTGACAGGGCCTCAGCCCTCAGCTGATCAGTCACCCACTCAATGATGTCTTGCGCTGTCCTGCCACCCTCGTACTCAAGTGTCTGCCTCCCATTGCTGCCCGGAAGTAGGAGCTTGATTGTGGGGAACCCGCGGATGGCCAATCGACCTGCGGTGATACACACATCTCCTGTCCAGTGCTGTGAAGGTAGTCTGCACATCAACCAGTCAATCGAGGTATTGAAGAATATCTGATCAATGGTCTAAAGGCTGTACCAACCAGCTAATGCCTTCTCTTCATCCCCATCAACGGCGCCCACGTGCACTATCCCCTTCAGTGCTTTAGCTACCTTTTCCCTGCAGGAGCAAGAGCATGGCTAAAACTGCGCTGTCGTCGACATCCTTGCTCGTGTTTTGATGTCGTGTACTGGACAACACATCAGACGTACCATTCTGGTTTGAGATTCCGACAATGGCCACACCTGCATGTTGAGACACCATAATCACGCAATGATGCTTTCGACACGTTCAGGGTCGACAGGGGATCTACCGGTCAGAGCATAGAAATTTGGAGTGATCAAGATGGTCACTTACCAGGGTGCGTAGAATTCCAGCAGCCAAGGAGTGTGCGATCGCATCACGACATCATCAAATGACTTCGACTCTATCTTTGTAATGAAATCATTTCCATCGTACAAGGCGTCCACTCTGAGAAAGCATAAGTAGGCAGCAAGTGCCAGGAAAATGCTCGGGGACCTCGACATCGCTGATTCGATGCCACGGATAGGCTTGGGAATGTCAAATGCTAAGAAATCAGATGGGAAATATATTCTTTTATCCTCGGCTCGTTGATTTCTTAGATCAGCAAGTGGGTATGATCCAAAAGTCGATGGTGGACCAATAAAGCCAAAGCCTGTCAACAATCAGTAAGTTGGGACTTCAGCACGCTATTTTAATTAGCTGGAGGCAATACTGCGCGCAGCTTGTGCCTGAATGTTGAGCACAATTCTGGCGGGGTTTTGAAACCGAAAGCGAAAATTTCCTCAATTCCCTCGAGCGAAGGGTCCGAAAAAGAAGCCCTTCGCTTGGAATTTAAGAACTTCGCACGATCAGGGCTGTGGTTTGTCCTTCGAAATTGTTGGTGCTGTTGTACGAAGGTCCGAAACATAGGTCTTCCGTAAGTGGCGTCTCCAAGTGCGCGTGTGGTTGAGCAAGGATGCTTGATATCCGGTGTAGCCCACCCATCCTGGGGCCGACGCGCTTGAGGTTCGCCTAGAGCGGGTGCTGGGCGCGACTTGGAGGCAGATTTACATGGGAGGGGTTCTTGCCTGCCAGAGGCCTCCCGTCGAGAAAGAAGATGCAGATGGCGTGTCTGTGCGAAGCTGCAGCACTCAACACACAATCGTGAGTGTCACATGCACTGGGGCCTAGTAAAGGGACCTTGTTTGATGAGGATAGGCAGCAGTGCAAATTGTCACGTAAAGGGCTGCCAATGCATTACGTTTAGAGCGCGTACTTTGTTGGGAATTTTGGCAGTCGTTAGAAACGTGGATCACAGCCTTTAACACGCTTTTACTTCCTCACACTGTCCTGTCTTAAACGCATGGGCCATAGGTGAGAGCGAAAGTGTCATTCAGAATTACTTCTATTCACAGGGTGCCGATCGATCATCGACGGGCAGGGTCAGTCACTTTGCAGAGCGGACTACTGCCAGGTCCATCGACTGGGGTGGGCCCACACCAGTGGTCAAGATAGCTGATGTGGTAGTGGAGCTGGCAACCTCGCCAAGGGAGCTAGAGAACGGGGTGGTGGAGTGGGATCATCCCTATCAATGGCACGAGCAGGGGCCCCCCATCCCCCCCTGCCAGGAAGAGCGCCTCACCACCGTGCGAGCCATTGTGCCTGGAGCCTATACAGATCCGCCGTACCCCAAGCTTGGTGGGCATCCCTCGCCTCAGCAGCTTCTCAAAGCAAGCAGCAGAGTTCCTTAGGGCACCAAGCCTGACTGCAGTGCATCAGCTATTGCAGGAACTCAGATGCATTTTCTGCGACAGCCTCACTTGATCGAAAGCCTGCACAGCATCGGCAGCAGCATGCAAGGACACAGGCCGTTTAAAATCGTTGTGCTGCTGCATCCTGCCATGCTGGCATGCATGTGCATGTGCATGTCATCTTGTTATATGCATGTCCATGAGGTGACAAGCGCTCAAGTGCAGCATGTGACTCAAGACTCGGCTGGGGATAATTGAGAATCCAACTCCTCATTACTCCTAATTCTGCTGGTGCAGGCCCGCTGCTGGACCTGGCCTGCAAGATATTTGGCACGGAGTCGGCCGGGGTGACAATCTTGGAGAATCGCAGCATGTTTGTGGTAGAGGGCCGGGGGCGGCTGCCGCGCGGCCGCCTTGGCGAGGACAATTGGTCGTCCGGCTTCTGCTGCTGGTCCACCGCGGGCTCGCACCCCACCGTGCTCACAGTCGAAGACTCCCACAACGACGCCAGGTGCTTCCTGCCCCGATGACACCTGTGATTGCCAGCTCTCAGGCTCCAGAAACCTGACAATCGTGACAGCCAGTTCCGGCAAAGAATGAATTTCACAGTCCTTGCTATGGGGCACACTTGCTTTGGACAGAAAGCCCACCGAGCTTCACCAGGGCATCAGGCATCCTCACATTTGCTGTGGCAATCTTTCTTTCTTGGGAATGAGCACTTACCTGGGAAAGAGCACCGACATGGCATGAGCCGCGAGGAGTGTGAATGAGGAGCGGTGCCACTTAATCCACCTCTTAAGGCTTCTGAGCGGCCGTTTGAGGGACACGCAAACTTAGAACGTTCTGCACATGTCATGCTCTGGTACTGGATGTCACTCGAGACAGTGTGCTGCCTGACCTACCAGATGCAGGGGACTTCTTGTGGCAAGTGTCAGGGAGGCTGAAAACTCAAGTTGTTTTTGCTGAGCGCAGGTTTCAGCGCAGCAAAGTGGTGACAGAGGGCTTGAAGCTCCGCTTCTACATGGGGGCTCCACTCGTGGCCAGCAACGGCCACAGGATTGGCACATTGTGAGTCTCATTCCTGTGCGCACGGAGACAACCAAGTACCGTATTTTGTCATGATATACAGCTCTGCTCTCAACTCCCATGGAGTGCACCTTGTGGCAGTACCTTTAGATGCCCTGCAACATCAAAGCATGCATGCTGCCAGGGAGGTCTCCTCCAACCAATTGCATGGCCGAAAAAGCAGCCGGTCTCACTCAGCAGCGTTGTGCTTCAGGTTGTTTCGCACATGCATTGCCGTGGGTCCCGCAGCGCGCTTGTGCATCGAAGCCGGCTTTGGAATCAATCATTTATAGGGGTTGTTGAAACTAAATTCACAACTTGAAATTCTTGAAACCAAAATTTTAAGACTTGAATGTTAATTTTCAATTTTCAAAAATTTGAACTTCTGTCGGGATTGATGGACTGTGTAAGCGCAGCTGCGTGATGGACCCAAAGCCGCGCAAGGTGGACGCCACATCGGCGCAGATCCTGAGCAACATCGCTGAGCTGGCCATCCGCGAGCTGGAGAAGAAGTGGGCCATGCAGCTGGAGCGCGCCTGCCTGGACCACGTTCTGCGCTCACTGGACTGCTACGACCAGGGCTTCCTCTTCGTCGAGGCCTCGCGCGCAGACTGGCAGATCATCCACGTCAGCCCCGCAGCCGCCCAGGAGACCGGTGGGCGCCCTTCTTTGTTTCTTACAACTAAGAGTGGGAAGCGCCTACTATGATAGTAGGAAATTTCCATCCTTGGCCGTATCCTTCAGGGAAACCGGGGAGTTGTTGTGCCCTTCCTTTCTAACGCGTTCAATGCCTGCCCGTCTGGGTTTCGCTGGCTCCTCCTGACGACCACCCCAAGAAACACTCAAGATACATGTTGGCCTGAAGATGCATTTGGACTGTGGCGTGGCATCCGCCCTGCCCACAACCGCCAAGTGGACAGTGCACTCTCAGCAATCAACCATTTGTTTCCTGGTGTGCAAGCTTTACAGAGAGGGGGATCTGGGATGTCCAAGGGTCTGCATCCTTTCTGAACAATCTTGTGATGCTGTGCAGGTCTGCCAGAGGGCACGCATGACAACATGCCCTTCTGGGACATGTTTGAGTTTGACAGCGGCATGGAGGTGCGTGGCCTGGTGTATCAATTGCCTCCCTCCCCTCTCCCTTGGCAGCTTTGTTGCTCTGGCCAGTGGGCAGATGTGTGGATGATGCATTCGAAATAATTACATGCAAGATGTTGAGGGCTGACAACACTGTGATTGAGTGGCCATTGATGAGCATGCATGCATAACAAAAATGCAAACAGCCATTGAGGACCAGCACAGTAAGCTGGTGCAGACAGCAATTGGGAGGAGACTCACTCTGTGAGCGCTGGCGCACAACAGGGCGCTTTGGAGGAGTTCAGAAAGGCAGCAGAGTTGTGCAAGCCGTTCACAATGGCAGGCGTGCGGCTGAAGAAGAGGGGCGAGGACGGCGAGCCCTCCCTGGGACTCTGGGACCTGTCCTTCAGGTGACAAATCCTGGCATGTGAACAAGGCTCACCCACCGGACTTTGCATTCCCTAACGCCGCCGACCGGTGCTCTGGATCAGGACCTGACCCGTCGGGGGAGCACCTGCCTGCTGTTGTTTTCCAAGTGTTAAGCGCTGGGTCAAGATGCTGCCATTCCGATTGCCTCAGCAGGCTCATCATGCATGTTTATTGGACCAAAGGAGGGGACAGGCAAGAGCGGCAGCTCACACCCTGACACAGCCCAACATGTGGATTGCTCTAGACATCAGCTGACCTCTAGGTGGCATCATGGCATCGCCCTGGCTGATGGGGCGTTCCCTGCCCTGCGCATGCCGGCCTGCTTGCAGTATAAATCCACGAATTTTCTAAAGCGGGGGCCCGCCGTGGCTCTGAGCATAGCCAGGGTGCCTGTGTGCCTTCCCACACAGCATGACGGTGTTGCTACAGAGGGACACAACACATCCTTTTGCTCGCAGGCCGGCCACTTTACATTTAGAGGGACCATTTTCTTTGCAGATTAAGGTTGCAAGCCCAGGAAAACCCAGGTCTAAGAATTCCTTTTGCGCTCAGGCCGGCCTCGAAGGACACGCTGTCGCGGGAGAACTGCGCGCCCGTGGGCATCCCCTGCACGCTGCCGGGCACGCTGCCGGGCTCGACGGCGCTGGCTGCGCTGTCCATGTTCTTCGTGCAGGTGGAGGCCAGCTACGAGGATACGCACGAGGTGGCCGCGCCCTCGCAGGACATCCCCACCTGCGCCCCCAAGCACCTCCCCTTCCAAGAGTGCGGCCCCCGCATCTCTCTGCTGCACCGTGTCATCCTGCCTCCTCAACGCTGCCTTGAATTGCAATCTTGTGTGCAGAGGCACTCTTGTCTCCTCTGGCTGAAGAAGCGCGCAGGAGCGGCAACGATGGTTGCTGCTCACCATATCCCTTTTGATGTGCCAGTGTGATGCACACGATGATGGTTGCTCCCAGAGAGGGCAGTGCGGTGTTCAACAAGCTGGGGCCTGCAGTCTGTTGGCAGAGCTGACCCAGAACTGGCTGTGCTGCTGGCAAAGTGTCTACGGTGCAAGTCGTGCACACAGATTTTATATCGATCACGAGACGTGGTGTGAGTATGTGTGGCTGCTTCTGCGCAGCCTGGAGCTGGGGCCGCTGATCTGCAAGGAGGACCGCATCCGCTTCTACCGGGGCACCCACCACGGCAGAGACGTCGTGCTCAAGGTCAGCGACACTGCCGAACCCATCGCACTACTGCCCACCTGCAAGACCTCCTGTGTCAATGGGTCGTCAATGGCGGGCAGAGAAGCAATCTGGAAGAATTGAGAAATCGCGAGGAGACTCGTCAGCCTCCTTGGGGCTCCGGCATATTAGAGAGGTTCAGAGGAATATTCACATGTGCAGAAAGCCAGTGGGAAGTGAGCAGCACGACATGTGACAAATGCGCAGCAGAAGGAGGCGTGTTGGTAGAGCTGAGCATGCATGCATGTGCGCAGATCATCGACAAGGCGAAGGACGGCGGCTGCGAAGAGGACACCCTGGCGCTGACGGGGGCGGTGACTACGCGGTTACGTCACCCCTGCATCGTGCGCGTGCTGGCGCACTGCGTCACCGACGCCGGCGCCGGCGTGAAGCCGTGGGACTCGGCGCTTAGTCAGCAGGGGGCGCGCTACGACAACGCCTGCTGGATGCTGCTCGAGTACTGCGACCGGGGCACGCTCGTGGTGCGGCTGCGATTCTCAGCAGACTCACGCACATGCACTGCTGCAGTGTTGAAGTCTACAGTGAGCCTGTCCTCAGGGGCTCTATGATGATTGGCTAGAATGGGCTGACTGGAAGTCCTCATGCCTCGGGCTGGTCCACCACTGCGAGAATGTGGCCTGCCAACTGTCCTTTCACCGGGCTGAGTCAGACCAAACACCAGCTCTGCATAAGAAATGCAAGTGTCAAGAATGTTGAGTCCCCGAGCGTGATCACAGCGATGCCAGCGTTGCGGTGTGGCAAATCTTGACCATGGGCCTATGTGTGCGTGCGCGCAGGACGCAGTGCAGCAGGGATGGTTTCTGAGGGGCGGCGTGGCCGGCGCAGATCCGAACGTTGCAGCCATCAAGACGGCGGCACTGCAGATCGCCACTGGGATGGCCTACCTGCACGGCCGCGATCTCATTCATGGCAACCTCAACGCAGGTGCACCATCACTGACGATCTTCTTCCTGGCTTACTTCTGGTCATTTTTTTAGCTTGTCGCCCTCCGTGAAAGTCGGATCGGCGCGCAGAAGGCTTTGGGAACCCTTGCCCCACGGGAAATGTCTTCCTAATCACTAGCCCAAAATTTGCTGGCTGTTTGCGCTGGTATGAACGACCTCAAGATGCCCTGTCATCTCATTGCTAATTCTTGTCAGTGCATGCATGCCCCACCGCCTTCAAACTCACCACCACCAGGCTGCACGCTTTGAAGCGCCGCTGCACTATGCTCTATGGCACCCTCATGATATTGTCCGACAGAGTACTGGGTAACTCCTGCCACAGCCCACATTGTATCTGCAGCCGACATGCTGCAGGAAGTGGTGGGTAGTGACTGATGGGGCTATGATATGTGCAGCAGACAAAGAAACAATCATACAATACCGTTAGTGAGACTGATGGGGCTATTATGTCTGCGCAGAGAGCGTCTGGCTGACATCTGTTGAAGGCCAGGCCAGCGGTGAGGGATCACAGCAGCAGCAGCAGGAGGGCGGCGGCAGATGGGGCGGCGCTTTCAACTGCAAGGTGGGCAATTTTGCACTGGCGCGCGAGACCATCCTGGCGCGGCTTTCCATGGACTCCTACGCGTCCATCTCCCACCTACCCCCCGAGCTCCTCAAGGACAAGACCATCACCAAGGTAGGGGGCCCCCAACACCCCACCACCTTTTTCTCAGCTGTGCTGCACACCAAGCTTTGAAAGCTCCGGTGGCCGTCATACCTCCCTGTGCCCTACTGTTATCCATTGACATGGCCCCTCTGATGGGCATGCATACGCTAATGAATCGCTCCTCGCCCATGGTAGGTTGCGGTCATGGCCGGCAGTTGCGCTGCTTGTCCTTACCTTGCAAGGAACACTGCATGGTGCATGCGAGTAATGAGCTGAGGAGTATTTGTTGCGGTTGCGTTGCAGGCGGCGGACTGCTATGCGTTTGGGATTCTGCTGTGGGAGATGTACACCAGCAACATTGCCTGGGCTAACATGAGCCACGCGCAGGTCGTGCGAGCAGTGCTCACCAACCGAAAGCTCGTCTGGCCGTCCCACGTGCTCGGCCCCTACAGGTGCGCTCAACAGGGTCTGCAGCTGTGTCATACCTGCATTGATCAGAGGGCACGCAGGGGAAGCTTGGTGTCCACAAGAGGTACTTTTGAAGTGTCTCTTCGAGAGTGACAACGAGCGCAGTGACCTGCCTTAAGTCAGCATGGCGGCACTTGTGTCAGGAGGACATGCGCAATGTGGGATCGGCAAAGCCGATGCCGTTGGCGTCGGGAGAGCGCAATGCGTAAAGTTTGATCTTATGATCGTGTGACATATTGTCAGGGAGGTGACTGGACTGATTTGCTGTGCAGGGATCTGGCGTGCGCATGCATGGCATATGACCCCGAGGACCGGCCGGCCATGTCGGAAGTCGTGGAGCAGATACACGCCATGGGCACCCAATAATCGGCGGCTGCGCGGCAGCTGCGGGAGCGCCCACTCAGTCAGCTCATCTCTGCCCGCTCAAGAATAAATGATGCCGCTCGTCGCAGCGGCAGCCTCACTCAAGAATTGTTTTGAGGGTGCAAGCGGGCAGCTCCCTTGGCATGCGCAGCATGTGTTTGTGTGCCGAGGGTGCAGCGTCGGGCCTCCTGTCGCCGCGCAATGTGCGGCGCGGCTCATCGCGGAGATGCATCTCAGACGGAGTGCTGCATTTGCTTGATGATCTGGCAGTGGTGCTGCTAAAGCCATCTCAAGTCTGGGGGCTCTTTGAGGACAAGGCTCCCGGGGAGGAGAGGTTTCTCCGTCCCTCGTCACTGCCGCCCAGAAGCAAGGTGGCGGCACAGCAGCACCCGATCACAACGCTGACGATGTTCTAATCATTTCTGTGGCTCTTTCTGGGGCGGCTGTCAGGCCGCAAGCTTTCTGATGTATTCCTTTCGTGGCCACACCACCAAGCGCGATGAAATTGCTGCAGGGCCGAGGGGCCTTAAGTGGGTTTTTTATACTGCGCACGGGGTGACGTGAATCAGCAGCCCATGCAGCGGAAACTACCGTGGCCTTCAATTGCCGCTCTCTGTCACCTTCCTGTGTACTTGTGCATCAAGCACTTTGCTCCTCAGCAGCACTTTTGACCGAAAGAAGTGGCGCCAAGGACGTTCCGTCCACCCATTGATATGTCTTTTACTTATTTCCTGCCGGCAGAGGGTGGCTGTGTACCCTCTCATTCCCGTTTGAGACCAAGTGCACCAGGCTGTTCCCGCTGTGCATCAGGCATTGGTGTGCTTGCAATGCCTTTTTTTAGGGCGCCTTGGTGCGCAATTTACGGCTCCAGCCAACTCCAAGCGCGCATGCGCTGCGGGTGTGGCGATAATTGTCTGGTTGCCGCCACTTTTATGACTGATGACTTGCGTATGAATTGATTGGGTAATCCCTTCTGTACTGGGTTTGCTCCAAAGAGGCTGCTTGTGCAGCCACATAGGAACAGCCCTTCGGATGTTTGTGCGTCCGAGTGATGTGGCAAGCATTGTACTTCCTGTTTCAATTTTCAAAGCACTTAATGACGATGGGTCGTGTCTGAGGCCTTCTATACCCTTTCTTCTTTCTAATGTCCTATTGATGATGGCGCATATTGATGATTCCCCCTGTCCGATTTGTTCAAGACAGACTGTTTGCCGGCAGTGGCTGATCAACCAGATTGGCGCAAGCGTCCTCAAGTTGCCTGACCAGCTTAAATGTGAAACGGGCTGATATTATGCAGATTTGGCTATCATGGCCTCGCATTAGCAAGCCCCCAAGGCACGTGCCAGGCCTGTGCAGCTGTTGATCAGAATGGTTCTGTGGCATACCCTGTGGGTGTCAGGTCAATTGAATCGTTCAGTGCATTCGATCTGTTCCTGGAATGCTGTGGTGACTGTGGTGCGGAATGCATACGTGAGCAACAGACTGTCCTGCTTCCAGTGATGTGTCTTCCCCGTGGTCGTTGGGTGTCCGGTGTTTGGATGTATGTATGTGGGTCGGCAGTATTGTGGAGGAAGTACTCGCAAGACTCGGTGTCATGTATGTTGCAGATGCAGAGTGTGCTTGCATGTAAGAATTGCTTGTGTCCCGTCCTGTTGCTTGCTGCCCATTTCTTTGACTGAGACACAAATTATTATCACGTTTCACAAGTTCTAAAACCTCTTCCATTCGATATACTCTTAACCGCTGTGCAATGCACAAGAAATGTGCTATTCTGCTTCTCAGCGCATGTCCTCCTCAGCCTCAGCACAAGCCACATGCACCTCTCACCACATGTACACATCCTCCCAACACCCGCATGCTCCCACCACCTTGCCAATTCTGCTGCAGCTCAACACTCGGCAATCGCTATGCCACTTTCATTTTCTTGCTCTGCTGTGATGTGTCTGCATTTCTGTTCCCCTCAATCCAACACAAACAGCCGCACAACGGCGCTCCCTCTGGGCGACATCCCTTGGGCAGCTGTCAACATCGACAGGGCCAAGCGAACCTTTTGCTCCTTTCAAAAAGCTCGGGGCTCCAGAAGATCAAGAAAAATGCCTGGAAAACGCGCGGTGGAATTTCCCTTCGGCGCGGCACCCCCGGGGATGCGCGTCGCGACCGACGGGCTGGCGGCGGCGGCCGGCGCGGCTCAGTCGCACTTGATGTTGCGGTAGATGCGGCGCACAAAGATGGCGCTGCCGAGGTAGCCGAGCGCGCCGGTCATGATGGACAGGCCCAGGCAGAACATGAGCGTGTACCCGAAGTAGAAGCAGGTCTGAAAGAAGCCCGTCATCTTGGTCTTCACGAAGAAGTAGTGCACCGCGTACAGGAACACGTACCTGCGCAACAACCCCACAACTCTCAGCACACAGTGACCGTGCAGCCCTTGCCTGCCTGGCTGAGCTAAGGCCTCAAGCAGCAAGCATTGTTTAAGATCACATACAGCATGGAAGGACTAGCGCTCAGCGGGAACAGGCTAGTGGACACCAATGCTTTTTGGAATGTTTGGGCGACGGTCATGGCGTTCTTCAGAAGCGTCTTGTTGCCGCTAGCTGCTACTCCAATGAATGCCAAGGTTAGTGAAGCGCTGCATTCAAGAACACTGATAGTTTTTGTTGACAGGCATGGGGCAATGGTAAAGCTACGAAGAGGGGAGTAGGAGCGCGCACAGGGCGGTGGAGGCGGCTGCGCAGAAGGAGGTCCACTGCCAATGGTAGTTTTCGGCGTTGAGTAGGAAGTAGGTGCCCACGATGGTCACGCACACGGTCATGATCGCCAGGATCAGGAACACCAGCAGCATGAAGCCGTACACGTAGTACACCTGCGCAGCAGCTGCTTTGTCAACACCCCTGAAGATAGCAGACGTTCATGCTCCATCATGCTTCCTGTGCCTGTACGTGGTCTCTCCGGGAGCATTGGCAACTTTCTGTAGGCAAAATGGCTGCAAGTGACACCCCAGGGTGCCGGCAGCCTCGCGGAGATTGTCTCTTCAGTCCATGCAAGGCCCCAAAGGAGACCTTCTCGAAATGCAGGCGGCACATATCAGAGCTTCCACAGGTATGGCGGGTCAACAAGAAAATGAGACAACGGGCGATGCGCAGGACCCCACAGCAAGAGTGAGCAGGGTGCGCATACCTTGTAGTTCCAGAAAGAGGTGAAGATGAAGTACATCTCGATGAAGATGGAGCCGAAGGGCAGGAGGCCGCCCATGAGCGCGATGACTGTCGGCCGCAGGTACCACTGCCGCGCCGGGATGGGCGACGGAATGCGCTTCACGCGACACGGGTTGTCTGGCAGCCCATTCCAGTTGCGGCCCACCACCTGCGTGCGGGAGAACGGTCATCCTCACCAAAATACTCAAACAATACTGTAGATAATATCTGACGTACTGAGGGGAGCTTGAATCACATTGCTGTAATAGTGCCCAGGGCATCACAGCGGCGTAAGGCAGAGAAATGAGGCAGCAGCAAGAAAATGGCAGGAGATTCCTGCAGGAAATTTGCATGCCCGGGGGCAACACCATGCCTAACAGGCAGAGCTAGAAGCCGCCTGTCCTGTGAATCTTTGTGTGCATAAGACACACAGGGTGTGGAGCTAGAGAGGCAAACATCCGAGCAGCACACTCTGAGGGGAAGTGGAGAGCGCACCGTGCCGAAGAGGCAGAGCGGGAAGGAGAGGAACATCCAGATGAGCAGCACGACGACGATGGAGCCGAAGGGGACGGCGGCCAGGGAGTGGTACGCGATGGCGATGGTGTTCAGCACGGACGCGATGCTGAAGCACAGCAGCGGGAACAGGTTTGCCGTCAGCAGCATGGTCGGGATCCATGTCTTGCCCGCGTTGCGGGCATAGAAGCCCCCGCTGCAGCAGCAGATGAAACAAGGCGTCAGAACATGCAACAGGCGTAGTGCTCGACCGGGGCCCGGGACTCCTGTATCCCGGGCAGATTGCATGGCCGTCAGCGTTGCTGCAGAGCAACCCTTTCTAGAAGCCGCCGCTGCAGCGCACAGGGGATGCGCATTTCCTCAGTACACACCAGGGCCCCTTGGCTTGAAAATCGAGCCCGTGCCCTCTGTTGAGTGAGGCTGAAGAGCTTCCAGCATGGTGGATGGCAGGCAAATGATCCCTGTCTTGATGACAGCCAAAGAGAGGCTAATGGGTTGATATAAGGAAGCTGCCAGGTCTAATACTAGCTTGTTGCAAGGGTTGGCCGGGATGCTTGTGTGATATGTTTTCGCATGGGTCACATGGCTGCAGCAATGCACGGTGTGACAGCAGTGGTGTAAACAAGCTCTCTAAGGAGGCGCCACAGCTTCCCACCTGACGTAGCCGGCAACAAAGGAGGTGAGCGCGTAGCAGACGATGAACACGGTCACAATCGTCCCTCTCTCCGTGAAGAGCGTGCCTGCACCCCAACACTGGTGCTCGACTACATCCTGCAAAGGTCCAGATACATGACAAGTTGCACGGCAGTAGCATCCAACAGCAGGACAGCTATACAGTTAAACTCCCCCAACATTCCCTGATAATCAGAGCAGCACATGCGGTGAATCAAATCTATTCAAACAAAGCATCGTGAATTCACCTTATACTCAAAGGGCACCACTCCTGCATTTCCCAGGTACGGGCTACACACCAAATCGTGCACATGCATGTGGTAAGAGGTATGGCGCACCGGCGATGGTGATGAGGATGACTGATAGCACCAGCAGCGCCAGCTGCACGCCGGTGCCCACGAGTGCAGCCAGCAGCTCCAGGTAGCGTGGCGGCCGGAAAACGTCCCCATGCACCAGCTTCCACCTGGGCGATCCACCCATATACACACCCCTCAGCAATATGCCCGTGCAACCCCCACTGCTGGTGATGGGACGCTGGGGGAGCATCTGAAGCCCTGTCCACCCGAGGATATCGGGAGGCCATATTACCTTGGGCAGGTGATCAGGCAGAATGCCATGTGCACATGCTCAAACCGCGGCTGAATGAAAGCAGAGTGAGCCAGACCCAGCACAAAGTTGTCCATGCCAACTATCCATCAGAGTGGCACCCAATACAACCCACCTCCTTGCAAGCTTGCAATGCGGAGACGTCCAGCTCCAAAAAGAGCCCAATAGCCACTGAGCAAAGCTATTGCTGGGATTCCACTTGGAAAATGATATATACTGCAATGCTCCATTGAGTGTCCTGCAGGATAATTTATGAGTCCTACAGTTCTTGGTGCGGGAGGGAACGCGCACCCGGACTCCTCCCCGACATCGCGCTCGAGGGCCTCCAGGTCGTCGTCGTCGCGGGCGGTGTAGCGCGCATAGTCGGCGCGCAGCGTGCGCATGAGGATCATGGACACCAGGCCCGTCAGGAAGATGACCATCATGAAGCTGTTGAAGATGGAGAACCAGTGGATCTGCGCGCCAGCACACACCACTCAGGCAAACCCCACACCCTCCGGGCCACGCCCCTTGCTTGCTCTCATACGGATCCGCTGGCTTGGCAAGTGCGCGGCTGCAAGCTGACACCACCGCCAAGCGCCAGGGGCAGCATCTAATGCAGATGGATCGCTGTGACTTTGCTGGACAGCACAGGCCGTTCTCTGCAACAGATATTGTGCTGAGATTATGCATTGTGCCGCTGTGAGGCGCATGCTGCTTGAGCTGGATGGACGACCAAGTATGCATGCCACGGAGAGGGATGAGGGCTTGAAGGACGCCCTCGTCTCTCGGCCTGGCAGGATCAAGGGTGGAGACTTTGCTTCATACCCCCCAAAATATTGATTTTTCCCAGGAAAATATGTGTGCCGTGGGGAGGACCGCGCCTGGTGCTCGAAGAAGTTGTAGTCGAGATAGCGCTCGAAGCGGCGGGGGAAGGGGATGGCACTGGGCGCCCAGCGGACGCTGTAGGTGAACTCCACATTCATCCCCGGCACAATCGGCTGCGGGTTCTCCGACGTCAGATTCACCTGGATGATCTGCGCACACAGTATCGCCGTGTATCAGCGGTGTCCAATTTGACAGCCCCAGCACTGAATCTCTCGGTCCTGCTTGCTCACAGCAGGCCCAGCACAAAGAGCAGATGCAGAACACATAAGCGTGCTGATTTCCAGGAAGGAACTTCTTGCCTCCAGACAACTCATACAAGCATGCAGGCATAGATGGAAGTTCAGACCAGCAAGACTCTGCATACAGACGGGCTGCCAAGGCTGTTGCTAGAGTAGTCGCTCGGCACATACCACGGAACCCCGCCTTTCATGCAGAGGTGTTGCGCCCGCGAGGTTAAAAAGTGCTGGCTGGATGAGAAGTGCATGTGGAGGGGCAAGCGCACCCTGTTGTCATTGTAATTGATGTCAAAGCTCTTGTGGGTGTAGATGTAGATGTGCTCCTCATCCTTAATCTCCTCAGGTGGGGGTCCCACAAAGCCCCACACCGGCAGGTCATCTATGAAGAGCTCATACCTGCGTCGCCCAAATGTCAATATTGAGATCATTTGCAACTCCAGTGGTGCGATATGTGACTGCATTTAGGTGATGGTAATGTAGATTGCCTGACTGCATGGGCACAGTGGAAGGAGTTCATACCAGTAGTGCTTCTGGACGGCCTTCCTGAAGGTCACTGCATTTGGTTCCGACAACCTCTGGGAGCATATTGTCTTCTTGGGGACCTCAGCTGCACCAGACAGCCAACGATTCAGACACCTGAAGATGGCGAGTGTTATAAATATTGTTCAGCATCGAGAGAGTTGGCATTCATGAATACAGCTCTGCTGAGGGATCATCGGGCTTACTTCTGAATTTCATGTCCAGCTGGGAATCGATCAGCTCGTTGCCCTGCAACACCTCTCCCAGGCCTCCCCATTTGTGCACTGCCTTGTCCGCCTGCTTGGGCTTGCAGAAGGGCAGGTAGTAGTAGTTGTATGTCTCTTGAGGGTTGTTGTATGGGCCCACTTTGTTCACCCACAATCTCACTTGCTCCCCAACATTGTACTGCACCACCACACTCAGCGATCAGACCCTCTCATCTTATCAGTTGATTAACATCATCACGGCATTTCCTGGCCCTCTCCGACGAACCTTATGCGTTGACTCATTCGCGGCGCTCTGTTCACAGCCCAGCAGGGCTGCAATCAGGAGGACAAGCGCAGCTGCTCCGCCACGCCTTCTCTGATGTGTCATTGGTCCATCTAATCTGCTTCTGAAGACTGCACTGCCAGTGTGCATTGACAAACTTGTGCCAGTCCCTTTGGTTTGGACTACCCCACAGCTGTGTTTTATTGTGATGGTGCAGATCACTGAGGCGATATGCTTTTAAACCCGTGACTTTCAAAAAACAGCAGCTTTTGAGTTCGTGCTTACAAACACATCAAATTTCTAGCAATCCCTCTCAACGAGTTTGCTTCCTTGCACATCCAGAAATTGACGTGATGATGTGAACTCCGCCTGTGAACCTCAGCCTGCGCTTATTGTTGCACAATGCAGCTGTAGAATGCGGTACAGCCAAGCATATACGGGCATCTGTTCACTGACTTTCTGCAGGATGGTGAACATGGGCCTTCAATCAATTTTGCAAATTCGCAAGGGGATTGCCGGATACAGAAAGGGGCTGGATATATACACAGGGCACCCACACCGAGGAATGAAAACGTGAAAGAAGGGATTGCAGCTCGTGGAGCATCAGTGTCTCACCCTGCGAGTCGTTCCAATGGTTTCTCTTCTTGCATTGCAATCGAGCCTGCTTGCGCGGGACGCTGCCGATGTGCGCACCGGAATATCGCCCCAACTCCAGCCTATCCACAGCAGGTCCAATAGCCCACCAGTCCCAATTCCTGTTGTTTGCAACATCTCGATTGCATGTGCTATTTAAGGATGTGATGCATCAAATTGATTGCATACGCAAAGACATGCCATACAGGCCCTCAGCTCTTGAAGTTGAGGCCTTAGAGTGAGAGAGGGTCAGGCCATCACCCAACTGATATGTGTGTCTGGTGTCATGCAGGCAGGCTAGATTAAGAAAGGGCGTGACGCCATCAGTCCGGTTGCGAGGCGGGCAGTGCAGGTGCCTTTCTTTGCCCTACTAGCTGTGACCTGTTAGTTTAGGTGGCCTCTGCCTTCTTCGCAATATGAGGTTCCTCTGTGAAGTATGTTCGTTGTGACAGTACCCTCGGGCTGCGAACTTGAATTTATTATACCTCTATGTCTCTTAGTGTCTCTCAGCCAAATTGAACCCTGTGGCCCATGCAAAGCCCAGTTTTTGGTGATGAGAATCTGAAGGAGGTTACTGAGCAATCATTGCCATTTTGTAATTTCACAGGGCACAGCAGGGAGTCACCAGTCCCCCGGCTCAGAATGGGGCCGTTGGAACAACTGAAGAAGTGCCCATGCCCATTGTGAAAATTGACAACCAGCACGACCCCTTCGCCACCGTTGTTACTATTGAGTTTGGCGATCGCCTGGGGCAGCTCCTAGACACAGTGAGGCCCTTCTCACGTTCTTCACTCCGGCGATGCTGATATTCTGCTGTTTCCAGAACTTTCAAAGTCTTGTTGCCTTTGGACCAGTGGATATCTCTAGTGCATGCATGTCCCTGAGAGAAATTTCTTCCAATGGAAAACTTGATGATGGAGCTCACCTGGTGCATACTCAGCTGCCACTGCGCTGTGGGCACTCACTGTTCTGTGGCCGCAGATCGCGGCGCTCAAAAACCTGAAGCTGAACATCCGGCGGGCGAAGATCAAGGCCGGCGCGGGCGCGAACAAGTTCTACATCACGGACGCGCTCACGAGCGAGAAGATCCTGAAGAGCGCGCGGCTGGAGGAGATCAGACTCACCATCTTCAACAACCTGCTCAAGTACCATCCTGAGTCGGGCGCTGCCATCGGCTGGGGCGCGTCTGCCAGCCCTGTCACTGAGGCAGACCCACTGCATCCCTTGGGAACCCGGGACACGTGCGCACCAATTCTCCATGCATCTGCCTGCACTGCGTGTGATGCAAGCAGATTTTATGTCCAACAGACAATATTTGATCACCAGACAGGGTGAGATTTCCTTGTAAAATGTGTATAGAGTAGCTTCTAGTTTCTCCCCTGCACCTCTTCCTGTGGTTAACCTTCTGTGGTACAAGGTGCAGCTGTTTCATCACAAATTCAGGCAGTCATAGGGCAGAGATGGTGCGTCATACCAGACTTCGCCATTTAGTCATGTGCGCGATGTTTGGTGCGCCGTTATACGTGTCTGGACCTCTCTGCACATCTGGGCGTACTGAAAAATTCAGCACCGTCGGTGATTGATGGGTGTCAATCTGCTGGCAGGCCCAAGATCAAGACGAGCGTGGAGGTGAGTGAGGAGGAGTCGGGGACGCACAGCAAGGTGTCCATCCGCACGCGCGACCGCCCCGGCCTGCTCACAGACATTGTGCACACCCTCAAGGACATCAGCGTCAACGTCATCTCTGCAGAGGTACGCCCCCGCCCGGTGCTCTTGACACCCCAGCTGTGCTGCATGCATGGATTTGTCCATTGATGCATTTGCATTAGCATGCATGCATGGATGTCATCTGTGGTGGATCTGTGGTTGCATGAATGCTGAGTCAGTGTCCTGTCCTTCTGTGGGGTTGAGGGAAGCTATGGATGCTGGGTCAGTGTCGTGTCCTTCTGTGATCATAGGGGACAGATGCACATATTATTATTATTCTTATTATTATTACACGCTTTTCCTGCCAAGAGGCAAGGGCGTCCTGCAGACAAGCTGCAATTAAGGGCTGCCGCAATCCTACCCCTTGTTGGACTCGCCAGATCCAAGCAAGACGGGGCTCGGTGCTCAGCACGGTGCTCAGAGGTCGCACTGGTTTCCACCCACCGCCCCCCGCCAGCCGGGGCCAATGCACATATATGATGCACGTATATGGTACCAATAATCTTTTTTTTTACAGAGGTCTGTTGCTCGTATGGATTACGATAAGCAATTTTTGGATGGTACAGACATATCCAGCTTGTATATAGCAGGACCAAGCTTATTATGTTGCTCTTCTACTGATGCAGGTTGACACAGAGGGTCCAGTGGCAAAGGACGAGTTCTATGTGACTTACCACGGGGAGCCTCTAAACCCGTCAATGGCCACGCTGGTGACAAATGCGCTGCAGTACTACCTGCAGCTGGCTGAAGTGGAGAGGGAAGAGTCTTACTAGGGACCAGGCAGGCCCATCGATGCAGCCTGCCAGCATGCTGTGTCGATGCAGTGTCTCCCCATGTTTCTAGGCAAGCCTGTGGCCAGTCACAGGTGCTACAGTGACATTCTTTATGGTACTGTGCTGCTAGCAGCTGAGGCACCATTGTTGTCCAGTCTTGCACGGCAGCTGCTTCTCTTTAGGAGGGTAGCAATTGTCGTACTTGGACCAATGTTGTGCAATGCATAGTGCTAGGCATTACACTTCGTTCACGAGCGGTTGCAATTGCATGCACTTGAATGACAGCACTGCGGAGAGGGGTGATTGGTGTGAAGCACATTTGAATGTACACTGTCATAGATGGAGAGTCCTCTAATGATCTTCTGTGCCTTCTTCTGTCACTGTCAGGATGCCTCATTTGTGAAGGTGGTGCAACAAACTCTGATGACAACTTTGCAATCGACCGCCCTTCACTGAGCTGCAATGAAGTGGCCTCTCTACGATCAGATGCAAAGTACCAGTTCCCATGAGTGATTGCTAGCATGCAAGTGACACTGGCTGTTGTCTTGCGCAGCGCATGCAGCACTGCAGCTAGCTTGGAGCTGCTCCCCATGACGTCGGAAGACTCAGTGCCCGATGGAGAAGTGGGGTGCCTTGAAACTTGCTGGTGATTCCAATGAGCGGGCTGATACTCCATCATCAGTGCTGCAGAACAGAGTCCATCAGTTGTCATCAGGGTCTGCCTCAGTGAGGCTTGAAAGTTTCGATTACTGCTGATCAGTAATCCTCTCGTAATACAGACGACTGGCTTGAAATGCACTGATCGAAGGCATCAATGCGCACTAACGCAAACGCCATGTCCCGGCATTTCTAAAAAAATTACTTGATCCAACAGGGTGATGGCGTCCTCAGCAATCGCCTTATCGTGCTCCCTCCCACACCTCGCCCTAGTGGGCAGGCAGGCAGCTCGATATGCGCACAGGCTGAGATTGCCTGCGGCTCTTCACATTCACATCTTACAGAAGCAGCAATTGCAGAGTCATCGTTCTACTCAAAAGATGGCTGCGCTCTCCACCGTCATTAGGTGTGTACTCCCTGTGAAACACGACTGGCGCCTGCGCCAAAGCATATCTGACACATCTCGGTTAAAAGCGGCAAAGTATGTCAACACTCAACACTGACGCACAGGAAAGGGTGTTTGAATATTGATTATCTCGTCAGCATTCAACAATTTTGGCTAGTAAAAATGGTGAATGTACTACGAGAGTCAGCTAGGAATCGACTGCAACTGTTACGTCAGTCAAGGTTCAACCACTGCCTACTTACCATTCATTACGAAAAGCGCAAGTAAGGGCTGGATCTGCCTAAAAAGTGTGAGAAAGCTTGCACCTGACACCTGGGGTGCGACTTGCAGTGCGGTGGCAACCACAGAGCAGAAGCTGCAGGTGCCCCACGGCGGCAAACTCGTAAATTTGATGCTTGCTGACAGCGCCAAGGAGCAGGCAGTGGCCAGCTGCAGCAAGGAGCTTGAGCTCAGCGACAGGAATGCATGCGATGTGGAGCTCCTCTGCGTCGGGTGAGAGCTTCTCTGGGACCGCCACCTAGTTGACAATCATGCACACGCTGCAAGGCTGTGGTCATCATGCATGAATAGGACATTGGCGTGCGGAAGCCGATTGAAGTCGCAGAGCACTCTGTCATGGTGCGGCAACATGAGACTGGCATGCACATGCACATTCTGCTGAGCAGCAGAATCATGTGTCCCTAGGGATCTCTGATCATGTGGGGGAATCTGGGTGTGTATGCCAGGGCCTTCTCACCACTGGAGGGCTTCATGAGCGAGCAGCAGTACCTGTCAGTCGTCCAGAACATGCGCCTGCCGGTGAGCATTGCCCTTCTCACATTTGCTGCCATGCTGGATGCTTCCAACCACCTGTGTGGGCTGATGGGTCATATTTTGTACTGTAAAAACGTGCTACTAGGTGACCAGCAAAGTGGCTTTGACCTCGATCTCAGAGAATTTGCAGCAGCTAATACTGCAATGCATTGTCCAGCAGTGAGGAAGGAACAGCCTGCCATATTAGTGGTAGCTCCAATGCTGAATACCATCTGTGGACGTCGTGCAGAACGATCTGCTCTTTGGGCTTCCTGTGGTGCTGGACACAAACTCGGAGGACTACCAGCCGGGCGACAGAGTGCTGCTCAAGTACCAGGGGCAGTCGCTGGCCGTGTTCACAGTGGAGAGCAAGTGGGTGCCCAACAAGCCGCTCGAGGCCAAGAACTGCTATGGCACCACCTCCATCGAGCACCCCGCCGTGCAGATGATCTCCATGGAGCGCGGCAAATACTACATGGGTGCGCGCACATGATCCCCCCTTCGACCCAGATCAGACCTCTCCAAGAGTTTTGTTGGTTGCCTGCCCAGGTGGCAGCCGCTTCTCGTGACCAGGGACCTGGGTGGCGCTTGACACGAACGTCATACGTCGCAAGAGGGATGAGTCTGTCAGTCAGTCAGTTTGTCAGTCATATTTCATCAATCTAAGCCAACTTAGGACTGACTTGACGCCTGACAGTTAGGAGGGATGAACCGGTCATACCTTCTACTTGTAACCTCACCGCCGGAGGATCAACTGGGACCTAGTAATAATGTGGTGATGTACATTAGTAATCTCCGCGGCGCAAGCGGCAGGGTGAGGCCCTCACCGCGAGGGCCTTGTGGTGATAGTCATGTGAGTACCTGAATCATTAATCATGAGTAATGAATTACCGCGGCGCAGGCGGCAAGGTGGAGGGGCTGGAGCTGCCGAAGCGCGTGTTCCCGTGCGCGACGCCGGCGGAGGTTCGCGCGACGCTGCCAGAGGGGCGCGACGTGCTGGCGTTCCAGTGCCGCAACCCCATCCACCGCGCGCACTACGAGCTCTTCATCCGCGCCCTCGACGCCCCCAACGTCAGCCCCGACTCCGTCTGCCTCGTCCACCCCACCTGCGGGCCCACCCAGGTGATCCCACCCCCTGAAATACAGTCCCTTACATACCCAACTACCTGCCCCACCTGCGGGCCCACCCAGGTCTTTGAATTCCTCCCACCCCCTCCCCCCCCTCCAACACACTCCAATCGCACACATCGTCTGCCAGAGGGACTGAGCAATGATTGCCCTTCTGCGCGGCAATTTTTAGAACAAGAACACGTTGCCGTGGGTCTAGGCCAGCTGATCAATGGCAACTCCCTGTCCCCACGAGACAGATCAAGAGTGTGATCTGCTGTGGGTCTGACAGCAGCATTGGTTGCTGGCACATGGCATGTGCTCTGAATACCTAGGATTGGGCGCTGACTGTGAGCTGAATGTGGGGATGTAGGACGATGACATCCCAGGCATCGTGCGCTACCACACGTACGAGGTGCTGAAGAAGGAGGTGAACAACCCGCGCCTGCGCTGGGCCTACCTGCCCTACTCCATGCACATGGCCGGCCCGCGCGAGGCCATCCAGCACATGATCATCCGCAAGAACTACGGTGCGCCGCATGCCGCTTCCATGCCCCGAACCCATATGCATCAAAGCATTATGAATCAGCCCTTTTAAGTGAGGCCTGGATGTGAAGGCTTCCCACCTCCAGAAAACCCACCTAGACGCCTGTCTTCCATCCAAACCTGTGGCAACTAAAAGCTCACGCAATGACGTTGCATACCTTTATTTCCTGGGTGCCCCTTTTGTGCGATTTGGATGCAGTCTGCTGGGCAGACTTCTGCCACAATGGAGTGTGTGAAATGCCAGGGGTATTGAGGGGCTTTGTGGCCAAATTTGGCAGGGTGCACGCACTTCATCATCGGGCGTGACATGGCGGGCTGCAAAAGCACACTTTCAGGCGAGGACTTCTACGGCCCCTACGACGCACAGGACACAGCCAAGGCCAATGCCAAGGAGCTGGGCATGGACACCGTTCCCTCCCTCAACATCACCTACACTGAGGTACACCACAGCTACATTCACGGCCACATTTCTGGATTGCTCTAATAGGTTACAGGCAATTTGATGGGCGCAAGACACAATGCAGTTGGCTGTGGAGTCATCTAGCCTAGCAAATGAGGTCTGCGCAGCTACTTATGCAGCAGTCACCAATCACGTAAAATGTCATTTCCTAATGACTCGATATGTGATGATTTGTAACAGTATAATATCACATCGTATAACACCCTGCCATGTTAATTTGGAGACATGGCATGTACATCAATGCCTGTGAACTCTATGTGCCAGTATCACCCCTTGTGAAGCTTATTGCTTGGTGATTGGGCTTACCTTCCAAGGTATTTGTATTTCGGTGCAAAGCAAGGAAGGAGGGCTGAGCGATGCCGGTGTATGGTATGACAGGAGAAGGGTTATGTCACTGCTGATGTGGCGGATGCAGAGGGGCTCCACCAACTGAAGCTGTCGGGCACCAAGTTCAGGAAAATGCTGCGGGCAGGAGAGGACATTCCTGAGTGGTGAGACTCAGCTCACTCTTTCCACATGAACCCTGTGCACCACTGAATTGACATAAAATCACAAAGTGGGCATACAAAGCATGGCACTTGCACGACCTGAAATCTGTAGAAGTTCAGCTCGTTCAAACTGTGCCCAGCAGCTCTAAAGCATGGGGTCTGTTGCAAGTGCTTGTGTTCACAAGTGGACAAGCTCTAGAGTTACGGTGCTTGGAGCTGACAGTGCTGCTTGGCTGCCGCAGGTTTGCATTCAAGTCGGTCGTAGATGTTCTGCGCAACGAGACAAGCAATTGAGAATGGGCACGGCTGTGAACTTATCTTTTGTTGGCTGAGGGGCATTGCGGGTACAGTTGTCTGACAGCAGCAGTGTCTTGGGTTCATGGGATGTTACAGTATTTTTTGGATAGTGTTCCAACAAGTTGCCAGTTGGGTCGTGCCAAGCATGCACTGCAAGCGGTGCAGGACAGTTGGGGTGGATCTGCACTGAAAAACCAAAGTTCTCATGCCCTTCTTTTTCCTGGATCTTGTTGTGTCTGGCTTCGATTCAAGGGCTCTGGCCCCTGAAACGTGCTGTAGGCACATTGAATACATACCAAGAGATATCTCAGGCCGGCTGTGATGTTGGGACACAAAGCTGGACATAAAAGTGGCAACCTGGAAATATGTCAGTGACGCGACTTGCCATGCAATGGCCCATATCTTGACCAGTGGAGCTAGAGCAGCTTGCATCGGACTGCACTGCCCGCCGCTGCAGCTTTGCATGCCGTAGCAATGACTCATGGTCGGACCCCACCGTGGGCGTGACGCGGCTTTCGGGATCATGACGGCTGCATGCCGTCCACATGTACATCATCAAGAAGTCATCCATGCCATGATGGGGCACGATGACATTCCCAAGGCCGGACAGGGATGATTCCAGGCGTAGAAACTCCCTTACAGGGTCATGAAGTATCATGCCCGGTACCGGTGTCATGACCGGTGTCATGACCGGATCACAGTGTCACATGCGGGTGACCCGCATCATGCATGATGCACCGGCCTCAAGCTCGTAGCTAGCTGCAGCTACTTGCCCGTCACTTTCAGCTATCCTGTGCCTTTGCCCAGAATGCTAGACTCACGTGTAGTATTCTACAAGATATTGATCCTGATGGCACTGGCCTCTGCGATCGAGGAGAGTCAGATTAGGCTCCCCTCCAGTGGTTGTGTGCCATGGACCCTCTGGCTGAATTGACGATGCAGAGCACTACCTTCATCACGTACCTTAAACGCATACTGAGAACTTGGGTCTCGTCGAAGCTCAATTGCCCTTCACATCAGAGAATCTAACAAAAGACGACTGACCAGGGCAATAATCCAGACAAGCAAGACCCAGCTTCCTGGACAAGGACAAGCAGACAAGGGTGACCAGAGTGCTTAACTCAGGACTCAGTATCTGTCTACCATAGAAGCGGTGAAGTAGCGTGGTTGACCTTTGCTGTCAGGGCACTGCTGCTGGCGTATTCTCTGTTTGGCGCCCCTGAATAAGCACTCTCAGGTGCAGTCCCCTTTTTGCACCTTCAACTTATTTGAACCAATCTATAATAAGCACCAACAACAGTTTGGGGCGCAGCAGCATCCGTCTCCTTCGAACATCTTGCTCCAGGGTTCCATGAGTTGTTACTGCGATCACGACTGTTGTGATGTTTTGCAATATATTTGGAATTTGAAGCCATGTTAAACACACTTGCTCTACAGACCATCCGTTGCCCTGACATTTGTGCTTTGGACTTGTTCCATCGGAGTGCAAGTTGTCTGCTCCCCAGATAGCAGAGATACATCTCAGCACGTCAACTGGGTGACATGCTGTACAATATCTAAGGAAATTGATGCAAAGAGACTGCAAGATGCAATTGCAACATGCGGTCTTTTCTGGTTTCTGACCGTAGGCTCTTCACCATCGACAGCCCCGAACTTGGGGTTGGGCAGGAAGCTGCAGGCCCATGTTTCCTCGCAGGAGGCTGGTGAGGCTGCCCAGTGCAGGATTTGCAGGACGTGAGCCTGAGCTTGCATTTGCAGGGAGAGGCCAGGGCAGGATGTTTTGGAAAGTAGCGGGCTACTCGCAGCCCTCTCCTCTGGAGGCCATCCTTGACATGGATGGGTTCAGCCTGGAGGATGTGCTGGACGAGGCAGACCTGATACAGGAGTGCAAAAGCCTAAATGGGCGGCTGGTCAACTTTCTGAAGGACCCCTCCACAGTCCGGTCCCTGCTGAGCTACCTCGTGGACATGCCTGGCCCAGGTCTGACCCCTGGCATGCTTGCTTGACACTTGTTCTAAGCAGGCTACCAATTGTTTGTCCAGATGCCCGTTGGCCATGCGAACCGTTAGGCAAAATTCCCAGTGGCCTAGCCATTAAGCCATTCTGAGCTGCTGCCTTGCAGCAAGCTCAGCTCATGTACAGCCTGCTCCATTGAACCATAGCTATTGCTTGTCGGCAAGAGGCAGTGTTGGGAGTGACTGCACACCATCTAGAGTGCTGCGTCAGAGGCCCTTTTCAATAGATCGATGGGGTCTGTCTGATTAATGCTGCTACCGGCAGATGATGCCTCAGGTCTTATGCATGGGGTGCTGTACGCAGGTGCGGATGAGAAGCAGCACTTCAAGTACGCCTTCACGTCGTGCGAAGTGCTCTGCTGCGAGGTGGACCAGATATACAGCGCCTTGCTGGACGAGGAGGAGCTCGTGGCCAAGCTCTTCTCCTTCCTGGACGCCCCCCGGCCACTAAATCTGACCAAGGCGGGGTACTTTGCGCGCGTAGTGCTGTGCCTGCTCATCAAGCGCGCGTCGGAAGTGCTGAGCTTTCTGGAGGCGCACCCGGCCATCATCGAGCGGCTCGTGGAGCACATCGACACTACCTCCATTGCCGAGGTAGTCTCTTCAGTCCGCTTCGTTGTTATCTTTCACGAGTTTGCTTGGCTTGCATTTGCATGCTGATGGCTGCCTGGCGCATTTGCTTGGTAACGGTGATATGTGGATTGCATGCCAAGGCTTTGAGCTGTGACATTCCATCTGTGTGCAACTAAGCCAGTCTATTGGGACTCCTATTTGTAGGGCATACCCCATACTCCTTGTGAGGCTCATGGGTGCAGAGCAGAGGGGTGCAGAGTAGAGGGGTGAGAGCGGGAAGCTAATGGGTGCCACGTGGCCTGTCAGGTGCTTTGCTCGACGATGGGCGCGGACGACCGAACGAACAGCGGCATGAGCGCCGCGCAGCTGACGTGGCTGGCCGACACGCGGCTCATGCCCGAGCTGCTTGCGCGGCTGGCGCCCGAGGCCGGCTTGGATGCGCAGAAGAATGCAGCCAGCGTGCTCGTCGCCATAGCGCGCACACCGCTGGCCGCGCCGCTCGCGCAGTCCTTCCTCGCGCCGCACTTCCTGCAGAAGCTTCTCGACTGCGCCTTCGTGCCCTTTGTCTCCGTGCAGGTGCGCGCCTGCTCTGGTACTGTGCCTCCATGAGGACTGGACTGGAAAGTCAGCTGGATTGTTGCGTATCCAGCTGACACTATAGCTGCCCTGCATGGAGGGAGAAGTTTGCATAGAGCTGGGAGACTTTCCCTCTTATTGGCACGTTAATTGTTGCATGGTCTCGGGACATGTTGAGCGTGGTAATGGTCACCAGCCTGCGGAGTAGGCATGCATGATATGAGATGGGGACGCAAGATTGAGATTGCGCGCATTGTGCAGGTGCTGGACGTATTGATAGCCTTGCTCAAGCCAAGGCTGGCCACTGAGAGGTGGACTAGGCAGGACGGCACGCAGCACGTGGATGCCTCGCAAGAGCTGGACTCCAGCATCAAGCAGGTTGCAGTGCAGGTGCTGCCTTGAACCATGTTTTACCCCCTGACCACTATGTACCTGAATTTGTGCTTGTCACGGCTAGGGCGACACTTCTCTAGTGACGGGCAACAGCTCACTCCTGATTGGGCAAGCGTCAGCTCTACAGCTGTACCGAGCTGTTTATCTCACTTGTCAAAGCTCACATGTGCGGCATTGGATTGGGATTCAGCCTGAGGTGTAATCTGCTATCTGATGTTGAACCCCCTGAAGTATCAACTGGATCTAAGCTTGAGGTAAAATCTGCTATGTCATGGTGAGTTGATGATGTGGGTAATCGTCATGTGCAGGGCATGGTGAAGCAGCTGCCGAGGCTGGTGGGGCTGCTGGAAGGGGGACTGGGGGGAGAGGAGGGAACGGCGCAGGAGACGCCGTTTGGCCGGCTGGCACCGCCGCTGGGCAGCGCGCGGCTGAAAGCGGTGGAGGCGATCTACGCGCTGCTGGCCATGGGCGACCCGGCAGCTGAGGAGGGAGTCATGGAGTCCGGCGTGGCCATCCGCTGCCTTGATCTGTTCACGCAGTTCCCCTTCAATAACCTGCTCCACCACAGGGTGCGGCCCCAGCATATTGTTGACCCTTTTCCTTGCTGATGTGTTGCACGTTGTGCGCCTGCCTCAAGATACGTGTGCCGATTTGAATTCCATGATGCAAGCTTCTTATGTAGCACTGCGCATGCAAAATTTCAAGGGCACAGATGCGGAGGTCTCCAAGGGTCCTAATGCTGCTCTTAGTTGGCAAATGCAAGAATGCTAGGCATCAGGAGGTTGGGGACCTTGACAAGTCTCATTCTCGCCAGTATACTCTCTCCATGCCAAGGATGACCTACAAAAGGAGCGCACGAAGATTGACGGCCGTGGTGTGTGCACAACAGGTGGCGGGGCTCATAGTGACGGCGCTGGAGAGGGGGAGTGACCGGCTGCTGCAGCATCTCATAGGCCCTGGGCAGCTCATACACTGGCTCACTAGCGCCCCCGAGCACGTCATGCCGCTGCCGCGCGCCTCTGACTCTTATGCAGGTAACCATCACTGATCAGCCCTGGCTACTCATTTTGCCTTGTTCTATGCATATAATGTTAAGGGAGATGAGGTGCCGGCTCGCGCACTGGAAACCACTTGGCAGCGTACATGCAACAACATGGCAGCGTACATGCAACAACATTAACTGGCAATTTACATTAAATTCAGAAGCCAAGGCATGGGAAGCAAGCCCTGCTTGGATCTGGCACTTGCAGCAGCAGCTGCTCTGTGACTTAAACTGAGAGGCTCCTTCATTCTATCAGGAGCTGTCCAGTTTCTCACAGCAGCATTTGTTGTGCGCACGTTCACAGGGCAGCGGGGGGACCTGCGGGCAGGCTACATAGGGCACTTGACGGCGCTGGGGAATAAACTGGGGGAGCTGGCGGGGCAACGAGAGCTGATAGCATCGGCGCTGGCGGGCAGCACGGAGTGGTCGATCTGGCTCCAGAAGGTTCTGCAGCCGCGCAACGAGCGTGAAAACGTGCACCGGTGGGCGTGCGGCCGCCCTTCGCAGCAGGACCTCGTGCAGCGGGGCAACTCGGCCGATGACTCCATGCTGGAGGTAGCCCTGAGCTTCTCTTCCACCCGCGTCAGCTAACGTTTTTTTAGGGTGACTGCATGAAGTGTTCAGGGCTGATAAAGGGTCGAAATAAAATAACCTAGATAGTGGCGAGGAGAATGGATTTCGAGAGGTTAGGCGCGCTTCAACCTCTCTGCATGTTCTTTCTGTTTCAGCTGGCTCCCATTCGTCTGCATTGCGGTGCCTCCATCTGTGGGAGTCCGGCATCTTGCATGCAGCCAAGTGTGCATCCCGCACAAGAGCGGCTTCACGTTCTTGCGTAGCCAGGCCAGGCTGGGTGTGCGACACTCCTGCGGCCGCACATCTCCAAACTCTGAAGTGCACACCAGCGCAAACCAGGGACTGCCGTATTGTCAGCACATTCAGTCACTGGGACTGCTTGCAAAAAGCTTGTTGATAGCGTTGTGGGGGTGCAGCACAGTGCAGCACCGAGGCCTGATATTGAATTCGCGTGCATCACTGACAGTATCATGCCGGTCCTGCTGCAGGATCTGGAAGGCTTGCCGGGGGACGTTGCTGGGGGCCGCGCGGTGCACTCGCACCGATACGCCGGCTTTGACAACGGCGACGAGGACAGTGATGACGATGATGACCTCGGCAGAGCCTTTGAGTCGGTGAGTCACCCCGTTGCTTGAGTATTTTTAGCCGTGTCGCATAAATTGCATCTCAATTCTATGTTTTTCTATGTCTTGAAGCACGTCCCCGGCTTCCCCTGATGGTGCCACTGCAGAGCAAGCACTTCAAAATGTCGCCACTGTCTTGTAGATCTTGGGGGACGTCTGCTTGTAACTGGCAGCATTGCCTCGGTGGCTGGTCGTCCAATTCACATGCTCTTGAAGAAAGGGGCCATAGTCACCTGAGTTAGTGCATGCATCATGAAGTGGCAATGACGTGGCGCCTGATGCTTCACAGGGGGATGACTACTTGCACAAGGAGGGCGTGGGCAACTTCCGGACGCTGCGGCTCTTAGGGGACGGGGACGGCGACGACTCATCCTCGTCCTCTGATGACGATGACAATGTGACCTCCCTGCACATCCCCCAGGACCTCATCCTCAAGGTGAGCCAAGCACTTTCATCCTGTTCTTTGAACACTTTTCCACTTTTCCATGTGTTCAAAGCATGCAGGGAGGGAATGCAATCAAGTCCTTGAGCAGATTTGCTCTCTGGGGGGCTCAGGATTGACTAAGTTCATGTGCTGCACTGAGCGATGGTTTGTCAATCAATCACCGTGATGCATTTGCTTGGGCAGGGGCATGATCACGATGACAACATGGTAATAATGGATATGGACGATGATGCGGTGGTTGTGGAGGACCCCTCTGCACAGATGGTGAGCCAATAATGGGTCCTTCTGGAATAAAAGCCGGCTGATCTGCCACAAATGTGCTCTTTGTGCGAAATTGGCATGACACAATCTGGTACCTCAACGGCCGGGAAGGCAAGTTGCCTTACAAGCATTCTTGCAGCACGGCAAGGGGAGTGTTGTGGCCTAAATGTACTGTTGGGACAGATGACATGTTTGCAATGAAAGAAGCAGGCCTGGCTTGGTGTGGGGGTAATTATGAACGTATTGAGCCTTAGGTGCATGGGTTAACAATGTTGTGTCCCGGTGTGCAGGAGTACGAATTCGATGCACTTATGCGAACGGCAGATAGCGAGCAATCAGGGGAGCAGTTTGAGCCATTCACGCAAGGGAGGAAGCAGGCGCCCTGGCAGGCATTCCCAGAGCCCTCCGCATTTGCCAGAGCCTCCGGCGGATCAGGTGCTGCACTAGCTCCTGCACTCGATGCTTCTGCAGTCGCTGCTTTGCTTGAAATGCCTGCGGAGATGCTCGGCGTGGTGTGCATGCTGGAGCTGAGTGTACCTGTGTGCGCGCTGCAGAGTGGGCTGCATTTGAGGACCAGGGTGCTCCTGCCGCTGCACCAGGTGTGAATCTCAGCTTTGAAGGGTCCACCACATAGGAAGAAAAAATTGTTGATCAGTCTCCTATCACCTGAGGCGTACCTAGAACCGTGTGACGCCGTGCGCGTAATGTTTTAAATGTGATGGGTGCAGAATCCGGGTTGGCGGCATTTGATGAGCAGACGTCCTTCTCCGTCGCAAATACGGCTTCGTCGGCAGCCGCCGCCGAGCCGATGCAGCTGTCGGCGGCAGCCGGCCCCGGCCACGGCGACGCGCGTAGCCACTCGCCGCCGATCGACATTCCCCTGGCGGCGGGGGGCGCGCAGTCCCCTCCGGGGGAGGGGGAGGACCCCGGGCTGTCGGAATACTCATCCTTCCAGTTCTGGCGCTCGCCCCCCGCCATGCTCAGCATGGCTGACGAGGCCGAGCTGGGGGACCTCCGGGAGGACCTGGAGGGGGGTCTGCCCCCCGCTGGCCCCTCCAAAGCGCACACCGACTGACCCCGACCGCCCCTTGCGCGCAGCCGGCTGGCCTGCAGCGCAGGGTGTCTCTTTGCTGTGCACTGTTGCGTCACGACAAGGTGGCGTGTCCGCCTGCATTGCTGTTGTGGGTGGCCCGAAGGACAGGACACTGGTGTACTGCAACGCTTGTGGGACTGCTCTCAGGCCTGCAAATGCACCGAGACTTGCTTGGGCATCTGTGACCAAAACAAAGTTGTCTGAGTCCGTGCAGCATTCTGCACTGTTGCAGCTCCTTGCAGTTCTTTCGGCGAGCATACAGCAGCGCTGGCACTTGCGATAGCTTCTTGCACATCTGATGGAGGGGAGCTTGTTGACCTCATTTGTCACGGTTTGGATGCTTGAGCTGTGAGTGAATTGGATACAATTTTGCCGAGGGTTTGCGAAACAGGCATGCTTGTATCTTGTACATTAGGGGTTGTAGCATGGAAGCAACTGAGTGCATCTGTTGCAGCCTGCGTCTTGTATCAAACAGAGAACTGCCTCCATTGCTTCATTTGTTGCTGAAGTGAGTTTTGTAGGAATGCCTGACAAAGGGATATGCTGGTCAGGATGTCTCATAAGTGTAATCTTAACACTTCCCTGGCTGGTGGACATCCTAAGTCTTTGAACTATTTCGGGAGGTTAGCCTTGGAAGCGCTTGAAAGGAAGCTAAATGCACACGGAATGAACACATGAGCAGATGAGAAAACCATCAATACATTGGCACTGTGTACATGTGCACTCATAACATCACTAATCAATTATTGCTAGCATGAAACGCCGCTGTGGATTTACTCCCTGAGGCTGGCAACAGATGGACAACACATAATACAAGGTATGCTGGAATGGTTCTCACCCCTTTCACTTAGAAAGTACGCCGGCTTCTTTCCCTCTGGAACATTGACATTTTGCTCTATTGGCCTTCACATGCAGCCTTTAAGAGATGAGGCATTCGCTGTCTAGTAAATTTTAGCCTGCATCTTCCATATACAATTTCCAAGCCAGTGCATGATTTGTCCTTGCCGTGCATAGGACATTTATCTAAAGCCCTGCCTTAAGTGTAAATGTCATTACCACGTAAGCTGGGTTGCTTTGAAGGTCAATATGCACATTGTTTTATTTTTGCCGCAGGGTCGAGGGAGGAGGGCTTTGGCCTTGATATCGTCCCATACTTTACACTGCGAGCTGAGGAGCAGGCAGCCATGTTTATTTATCAAATGTATATTGAGGACATCGATGTGCCCAATTGCTCTGGGTCATACTAATAGTACACACCACAATTCACTCTGCCTGTTGACAAGACCATCCAAGCAATGTACCAGAACAGGATGAGAACAGAGCAAAAATGTGATATTTGTATGTACATAGATCAGGAAGAAAATCCTGTATTTGCGGTAATCCAAATGCATGCACGCTACAAGTCGAGCTCTGCAAAGTCCGGGACCACATCATCTGCTGCAGGATTCCTCCAATTGCTTATTTCAATGTCCTGCATCGCACCCACAGCTTGAGTGATACCCATACACTAAACACTGTCAGGGTTGCCAATAACTGTACAGATGCTAGTCACACCAATGTGCTTCATGCAGGGCGTTGTCAGCCAAAAAAACTCCAATAGACAACAGGAATGAGGGATAAAAACCCACCTGGCTCAATTGACTTGAAAACACAGGTGCAGCGGTGCTGCCAGCCTCAAAGGCTTCCAGATGGGACCTCAACCCATACTCTGCTTGCTCGCGGGATGGAACGTTTGCAGCCGGGGCTGCTTGCTGACGCCGCAGAGAGGCTGCCTGTGCCTCATCGTTGTGGCTGCCAGCAGATTCCTGTGAAGCTCTTTTCGCTGTTGCGAATGGCTGTTGCTCAGAGGTCTGCTCCTCTTCGTGCCTGCCGTGCAACAATGTTGAGAATGCTGTGCACGGCACACAATGCGCGCAAGAGATGCACCTGTCAAGATACATGAGGAAGGTTCTTACACAACCTGTGGGACGGCTTAACAGAGAGACGCTGATATTCACCTGGGTGCTCTCTCAAGTGCGCTCAGGAGCTCAAGTGGACTCTTTGGAAGTGCTGCAGTAGCTTGTGATCTGCAAAATATGGCACTGGAATTACATTTCGCTATTGACATTTGAGCGTCCCACTACCATCATTTGATCAAGTTCACAAGAAATCATCTTCGGCTTAAATTCACATGCAGGACTCAGAACCAGACCACAACGCAACATGCACAAGACTTCAACACATGAGGATCGGATATCAGGGATGCGAAATGGTGCCCACCCTGTGGTTGTTGAGGCCGCCTGTGCAAGAGCTTCTGCTGCTGACCTTGCCAGTCTGGCGTGGGAGGGGTGTGGTGGCTCCAAACCATCGGCAGGATCCCTGACTTCAGGAATTGCCCCATCCTCCAAGGGCAATGTTGTGTGCTGTGCAGACTCTGCAGATAACGCATTAACCCGAGCAAGATTAAGTTTTGATACAGTGTACAAGCAATGCGCACAAGCAATACAGGAAGTGCAGGACTGTGACGCATCATTGCATAGCACGAGCCCTACACATTGACAGAACTCCCACCTGGTCTTTGATAGTGATTGCTGTTTTGATCACCATTGGCACTGCCTCGCTCTTCCTGGTTTTCTTGACTAGCCCAAGTGACCCCTGGTGCAAGAGTCATGCTGTCCCACAGGCCCGGCGCGTGTGGCTGTTCAGCCCACGAGTTCATCATGCAGATCACATCATCCTGACCTTCGCTATCTCGCTCAAACATCGCGTCACTATGTTCAGGGAAGTCTGCTGCCCGGGGCAGCCCTGTAAAAAAAGATTCCCTTCAGAAAAAGAATGAATTGTTTATGAAAGCAATTGCCTTTTATTCGCCAGAGGAGTTCCCAACCTGGCACGCTGGTATCAGGCGAGTCTGGAATCTCAATGCCCGTGCCAAAACTGAAATCAGAGGACTTGGGCATTCGACCAAACAATTTGTAAAGGTTGCAGACCGAGAAGGCGGTATGCTCTAGAAGTCCAAGCTAGCAAGATAGAAGTGGACAAGCCCCATCGATTGTTGCAGCTTCTTCAAGCGGCCTGTAGCTTCCTTCCAATTGGGCGGGACGCCACCGACCGGTTGGCAAGATGCCCATGTCCTTCCTTGGCCCTGCACACTCGTTGAAATTCTGCAATATTCATCAATTGTGATTAACGAGGGATTTGGGTGACTCCACAAGGTTCACACTTGCTCTCCCTTGAGATTGTCTTTCTGCCTTTGTCGTGATGACGTCTATTCAGGAAACAGTGGACACGCCAGCACCAGGAGGTGCGTTTTTATGTCATCATTTGTTTGTATTCCAATGTATATGTACAGATGATACCCTGATAGTGATCTTGGCTCTCTTCCCTGTCAGTTGTATCTGCCGGTGATGCTGACACCTTCTTTGTGTTCAGGGCCTGACGCAATCTCAGATTCAGCTCAGAAGGTAACCGAAAATCCCGATGTTCCTGCAATAGAAGCGGATGGCAGTGAAGACACACAGCCGGAAAGCGACAGCGAGGATGAGTTTTTTCCTGCTGACACTGATGCTACCAGCGTGAAGTTGGAGGAGGCAGGCACGGCCTCTCCTAAATGCAGCACCCAGAAGGGGCTACTGACAGCTGAAAGATGAGACATGCATATCAAAATGTATCTTGGGAAGTTTAAGACTGAGGGGTTCAGAGCTGTTGCAGAGAGGACGCAAGAGGAAGCCTTGAGCAAAGAGCAGCTCATACAGCGGCGACTGGATCATTTGCAAGAGCTGCAGGAACTGTACAAGGTGCGCTGACTTGCAAAGACCAAGCATGCCAGCAATGAGTGACAAGAAGTGTCTCATTAATTTATCTCAATATTTCTGTCACGCCTGTCGAGATGAACACTTACTGCGTTTCAGGCTGAGTTATGGGGCACGCTGGAGGAGATGCGCGCACGTTACCACCACTTCAAGGCCCCTGGTGAGTTGTTCTGCCCATCGGCTCCGTCACTGGCAGGATCGCTTGATTCACTAAGATCCTTCTGCGCTATGGCTCCCGCTGCTCACACAGCTCTGCGTTGCTGTGTGCAGATGGTGCAGCAGATGCAGATGGGTCTTCAAGTTTTCAATCCCTCCAGACGCTGCTGGGGAAGCGCAAGGCGCAGGAAGCCCCTGCGGCAAGCACAGGCGAGCCACAGGCAGCTGAAGGGGTACATGAGACAACAGAGGTGGATGTGGTCATGGTTGAAGCAGAGGCAGCGCCCAGCGACCAGTCGTCAGGCTCAAAGCAAGATGGCGATGGGACAGAGGCTGCGAGGGATGGCAGTGCACCCCGTGGTGATGGTGCAGAGGGCAGTAATCGGGTGGGGCCTCTAAGCTTTGGCTTGTGGCTGGACCCTGCTGCAAGCCTCCCCCAAAAGGTTAGCATGATGCACCTCCCGGACATACACTCAACATCCTGGAACATCTGCAACCGCAGTTTGCTCTACAGCTCATCGTTGTATGCTAGATTTGCCAATCAAAACACGGTGGTTTGCTGAATGCAGGAGATGAGGGGTAATAATGCGGATGCGGGAGATCCTCCGACATTCTCAGAGGCTGAGGACATTGTCCTGGCAGACAATGGCACGCCAGCCGATGCAGAAACTCTGACCACGCTGCGGCGGCAGACGCGCGCGCGGCTGGGCCGCATCGCTCGCCTGGAACAGGCGTGTGCTTCCACAATCACTCTTTTGCACAGCTTAATGGTGCATGCAAGCATAATAATTTGCGCAGCCCTTCTCAGCATTCGACCTCTTTTCCCTGCATGGATGAAGCCAGAATTGGGGGTTTATAGGAACTGTCCTGGATTATGCCTGGATTTTCCAGAAGCACTCACCACAAAGATAATGTTGGTGCTGTGTGAGCGGCATCGACAACTTGCGATGTCCTGACCCTGTCATGGGGATGCCAGTGTGGAGCCTCATTAAGGGATAAAAAGCATCACAACAAGATCCCCTGGTGCGCTGGTCAGGCGGCGTCTGCCAGCACAGCGCGCCAGCTGGACAGGGCAGGCGCGCTGGCAATGCTGTCAGGCAAGCGCGTGAGGTTTGTGATCAAGCGCTCGGCCTTCTCAATCGGCCGCCCCACCAGCTCCCACGGCGCAGTGAGTGCTTCCCATCCAAGCCACTCTTTGCTGCAATTCACCTGTCAAGCCAAAGAAGCCTGCGCGCAACATTAAGCTGCTTTCCACAAGCTGCTCAGCTTAATTTGGTTTGCACGCCCCACACATATGTTTCAAAAGCCTCCTAGCGCCTCCTTTGGCAAAACTTGAGCATTCGAGCTGGTTATTGTGGGAACAGTCCTGCCCTGTTTACCAATTGAAGCCCCTTCCCTTGTCTCCACCAACCACTGTACCACCCCACTGGTCAGGAATGGCTCTCCAGATGCGGTATTACCCAGAATCAGCGCTCCTTTGAATTTAAGCCAAGAGAGAATGCAGACAACAAAACAGAGCGCTAAGGAAGAGTGGAAGGGCTGCCTCGCAGGTGTAACAGAATGCATCAACATTTAAATTTGACAAAGCACTTCATGCAGGTGGATGTGGATCTGGGGCGGGAGGGGGATGCCTCGCGCGTGTCGCGGCACCAGGCGCGTGTGGCGTTGCGGCCAGACGGAGCCTTCGCCGTCACCAACTGCGGCCGCCGCAAGCTCCACATCAACGGCTGCCAGGTGCGTGTCATTAAACTCTGCCACACTAATGCTCATCTGCTCCTCGCCAGTGGCCGGGGGTGGCCGCTGGCAGGGGCCACCCCAGCCAAGCCGCAGACATTGGTATTCGCAAAAGACACAACAGACACTAGACTGGCTGGACTCATGCAGAGAAGACGGCATGTGCATTGCGCTGTAGCCTAATTACTTACTTCGGGATAGGAGGCTCTCTGTTTCACTTGCTGGGAGCCCATTCTGAAGCACTGTGCCGTGTGAAATTTGCGCAGGTGGATCGGGGCCAGTCGGCGGTGATGCAGCACTTGAGCCTGCTGGAAGTTGGGGGAATCCGCCTGCTGCTGCACATCAATCACAGCGCCGTGCGCCGCCTCCTCGCGCGCTCATCCTCCTTCGGGGACTTCCCCGGCAGCTGACCCAGCGACAGGCTTTCTGAATGACTTGAAGTGTAGTTTGAAATTTGAAATTTGAATAGTCATTCTGCAGGTTTGTGCCTTGGTTCAGCTGCAACAAACCCTTCTCTGGCACTTTGGCAAATGCATGCGTGGGTGCTTTGGGCCTTTTTTTTGGCTTTGTCTGTTGTAAGCCATTTCTTGTTTCGCAATTGAGGACTCTGAGGACAAATCTACAAAATGTTCTTTAGGTTTCTTTAAGTTGCAATTTTCGCCTCGGGCAGACAGTGAGTTGGCGGCCACAGTATCTATCATAACTCAGATCTGTCTCTTGAGCTCTCTCTCGAGCTGTAGCTTGGAAGTGTCAGCAATGACAGAACTAGCTAAGGAAGGCTGTTACCTGTCCTCTTTTCAATGCTGTAAACCTGTGGACATCAAAATAATCGTTCACGACAAACCAGTACCCCTAGCACGCATGGCAAAGTAGCAGCTCTTCCACAGCATGAGACTGAACAAGATCCACTACAGGACAGCCCAGCTTGAGCTAGACTGTTCATCAGGAGCTGAGCAGGCCCGCCTTCAGGTGCTGCAGCGCGCAGCCGAGCCATGCCAGCAGATGCTGCACCTCCATCTTTACTGTTGCGTCCTCCTGATGCATCGGGTACTCCCCATTCGCAATCACCTGCAGGATCGCCACAATCACTTGCAAGCTTAACATGCAGATATCTCCGTCCATGTATCCTCTTCATCTCTGCTTGCACTTGTGCAGAATTGAATTGATGCAGGCATGGACAGTCACCAAATCAAATGTGGCCGTGATGCACACAACACCTCTTGAACAGATTTTAATTCAATATCTACAGTCTTTTACGACATGTACCAGTCTCTTACAACATCTAGAGTCTCTGGGAACATCAACAGTCCCACAAAATAGTGAGTAAGTAAAGATATCTGCATCACCTGGTGCCCAGACACAATCATGGTCTGCCGGCTGAACATGAGCAGCCCGTGCTCGCGCGCCAGCGCATGCGCGGCCGCATTCACATAGAATATGCACTTGAGCGCGGCCGCCCCATGCACGGCGTAGGTGATCGGGTTCGCGTCAATCCAGACAACTGTCTGGTGCTGGAGTGATGCCATGTGGCGCGCCAGCCTGGCGAGCTCCCTTGCATGGTGCTCATACTCCTCTGGCTCATGGTAGCAGTCGTGGATGCCCGGGCTCACGAATAAGAAGTGTGGCCCTCCGCCCTCCGTCTGCCACCTGCACACCAGAGCCTTATTATTACTATCACATGCGTCCCTTGCCGAAACACAAGGTGCGTCTGCAGACAAGCCGATAGCATGACAAAAGCCTGTTCTTGTTGGACTCGCCAGATCCAAGCAGACCCAGTCAACAATGGGCACGGTGCTCGGAACCTATGCCGGCTCTTGCCAGCCAGGCTACAATCGTACATGCACAGAAATTGCACCCAGGGTGTTGCGCAAAGATGTCCAGAATGCAGACACCCCTTGTGCGGCACGAGCCTCGCACTGTTCTGTGTCCGCAACACGGATGTTGGATCTCTGCATTCTGCTCCTCAATATATACTGTTTTGAAAGCCATTGTGAATTTGGCGTCATCCTCTTTGCATGGAATAAGCTGGGTCAAGGAATCAAGATCTGAAGTTCAAATGTCTAGTATTCATGCCGGGAGAATGGCTCACTTGTTGTACAGCCACCTGTCGTAGTCCTCATAGATCAGGTGCTTCCAGTCATAGGTGATGTCGATGTTGTGGCCCATGCCGGTGTCGTTGTAGTGGCTGTGGCAGGTCTTTTCGTTCAGGTAGCAGGGAGTGGTATCCCAGGGCGGCGGCACATAGCTGTCCCGGACCTGCTCTGGGCACTCCTGCCGCGAGTGGTGCTTCAGCTCCGCATAGCCCGGCGCCTGCACAAGATCACATGTCAGGCACCCCAATGACGATGCTACTGCTACTCGTACTGCATTCTATCGCCCTAGCCTGCCTTCACATGCTGCAGGCTTGCCACAGCACACAGTTGTGATCCAGCACTGTCTCAATACTGTCTGCCTCTCCTCTTGCATTTCCAGCATGCAAGCGTGCATTTTATTTGCCGCTGCGCTGCCCTTGCAGAGCTGCTCTGATGCGCTCATTGCATGGCCGCACAGTGCGCGCTTTGCTAGGGAGGAAATTAGGATATCTGCCAGATGACAGTGCGCCCGCACCTGCGTCCTGTGAATGATGCCGTAAAACTCCCCGTAAACCTGCCGCAGGGTGGAGTCCCCAGCAAAGTAGATCCACTGGTTGGTGAAATCCACCGGCTTGTATTTCGTCAGGTCCAGGCTCTGAATGTCCGGGTACGTGGGGAAGAAGCAGGTCTTGCAGGGAGCCACCCCCTCAGGCGCCTGCTCTGTGAAGGGGCTCATGTCACACAGGGGCTGCTCTGCTGCGGCTGAGGTTGATGCATAGAGCAGCAGCAGGAAGCAGAGCAGCTGTTGGGGGGCCTGTGCTGCTGGGGAACTGGTGGGGCCCTCTGATGGGCACTTACCAGTCCTCCCAGCCCTGCACACCATCCCAGGGCGCAAAGCCCTGCAAGCAGAGGGGTATGCATGTGTTAGATCATAAGCAATGATGCAGACGTTGCTTGTTGGTGCATGGCCAGAGCCAGGGAGGCCCATATTAAGCAGAACGATCAAGCACTGGATTCCTCCTGATGAAGCAATCATATATTTTACGATGAAATGACTGGTAGAGCTGGTTACCTGCTGTTTAAAGATCTGCAGCCCACACAAGGTGCTCCGTTGAGAGCTGGGTACTCTTTTCCTTTCCGCCCGGATCGTCAAGGGGATGTGCGTGATTTCATATCAGTTATTATTTGGAGATCATCCTTTACATGTATCAATTGAAGTGATAACCCGAAGAGGTCAGGTTAGTTTCTAGCTACACGAGCAACTACATCCGTTCGGCAAACATATGCGTCTGATGCAAGAAGGGGCCGAAATATATGTAATTCAGAAATACAGATTGATATTGTCGCATCAGACATAATTCAATTTACGGACTGAAACACGCAGTGTCCAAAGCAAGTGCCAACCTGTCCGCGCTCTAGCAGGGTTACTAAGAGCCGCTATGCTTCCGACGGATTAAAACCGATCAGACACTGCCACTTCATTTCTGAGTTGATTAAAGTCAATTTATCATCATACCGTCATTCTCAAGCAAGACAAGATTATTTCGGGGTGCTCTTGGCTATCCTTCGAATACCATTGCTCGGTTTTTGCACTGTTTTCCCAGATCAGATTAATACTTGCACATCAAGGCCGTTGTATAAACAGCTAAAGAAACTTTCAATTGAGCAACGTGCCTCGCAAGGCTCTCTTCTGCGAGAGAAACCCAAGGCACCTTTTGGGCCTTCCCTTCTCAGGAGAATTATTCAACAGCACAGGTAACGGCTCTACATGGACGTGTACAATGCTACTCAAAGTAGAGCACGTCAACATTGCTGTGTAGCCCACAAGTGGATCCCTGCCCTGATGAACTATCTTTTCCTGCAGGGCATGACGCCTTGCTGGCTGTGAGGCACCCCAAGAGGTCAGGGCGCCTCAATGCACCTCGTGCATTGAAGGCAGCCCCTATGAACCACTCAAAGCACTCCCTCACGCATGCTCTCTTGCTGGCAGCTGTCGCGCTCAGCAGTGTGCAGCACAGCACAGCAATAGCCGCTAGCGGCGTCTGTGATCCCAAGTCTTTCGCGCCGTTCCAAGTGATCAGTGGCACGGCGGAGACTTGCGCAACGTGCCTCTTCCCGACCTACCCCTATGCCAGCTCCATTGACGTGGCAGCCTACCCCACCATGGACTTTACCGACCGCTGGATCTACTTCCTGGGAGATGTCACCGTGCGGCAGATCTACGGCGAATTTGCCGCCATCGTGCACAACGCCCAGGTGCGCCAAGCTTTGACCTTGAGGCTCCTCTGCAATCCAGGATGTTCTGCTTCTGCCATCCAGGTCCAAGAGGCGCCATTGCAAGGTTTTTTGGAAAGGGGTTGCATGCTTATAACGGCCATCAGTTTCATATGCGATCGGGTGCTGTCTCTTCCCTGATCCAGGCCCTGTGCTTGCCTCCCCCGCCCAGCCTATTTTGGGGGTCCATGGGGGCTTGCTTATCCAGGAACCAAGGCCCAAGTCACTTGAATCTGCAGGGCTCAACACATAGGCAAGCTTTGACAAGCTTATGTGCGCACACTGCAGCTGGGAGACAAGGTGGGCCCGCCACTGCACCACTCGCAGCACGACTGCACAAACCAGTCCCGGCGGCTCGGCTACGTTCCTCCGCCGCACGATCGCACGCCGTGCTTCCTCAACGAGCGCTCCTGCAGCAGAGCCTTTGCGCGCACGGCCATGGGCCACAACGTGACCCTGACTTATGACTGGAAGCACCTCGCCTACGAGGACTATGACCGCGCGCTGTTCAAGTCCTGGGCTGCTGAGGGCGGCCCGGACTATGTGATTCTTAGCCCCGGCGCGCACGACTGCTTCCATGAGCCCGAGGTGAGCGCAGCAGAGATGCATTTTGCCTATTCAGTTCGGCGCATATTCACGATTTTCCCTGGTGGGAGATGTGTCTGAGTGTAAATATGACACTCTCAAACACAATAAAAGCATTGTCTATCTGATGGCTGTTCAATCTTCGTGTGACAGTGCATCTGCTCGACAGAGTAATGCACCGCAGCAGATTGTCTGAATGAAGGGTTTCTTAGGCAAAAGCTGGACTGGCCTGAGTGCGGTGTCACGGCTACTCTACAAAAGTGCCGCTGCCTGCTTGGCAGCATTCAATCAAGGGATGGAAGCCAGGTGTGCATGTGCGTGTGCAGGACTACAAGCACCACAGCTTGCAGCTGCGGAGGCTGGCGCGGCACCTAAACGAGCTCAACCAGACGGTCATCTGGGTGGACATCAACCCCATGACATTTGCAGTACACGGCGCGCCCGCCCTCAAATGCGCGCTGAACGTCAATGCGGCTGCGCATGCACAGGTGAATCTTTTGCACATAGAAGACGGGTTTTATTCTTTTCTATATCATGTATGAGCCAAATTTTGTTGATTGATGCCATAAGTTGATGCACATCTGATGCGAGCACTCTTCAGCACCATGCATGCCCGCTCGAGGAGGGATTATGAAGACTGCACGGCAGTGTGCAAGACTGTCCTCTGCAATGACATCGTGGGCTAGATTGGGGATGGGACAGGTGGGATCATATACCAAAGCCCGAAATCGTCAAAATCACCGAATTTGGTTGGATTTGTGCGGGTGCAGGCGAGGGAGCTGGGTTTCTACATGTTCAGCCGGCAGACCATGATCACGTCAGCGGGGCAGCTTGATGAGAATGGGCACTACCCGATGCACCAGCCGGATGCAGTGGTCAAGGAGGAGGTGGAGCTCATGCTGGCCTGGCTCACTTGCATGGAGGAATCTAAAAGGAAACGATAGCAGGCCTTGTCACAGCTGGCGACAGCAGCTGATATCGACCAAGTGTGGAGATAGTCAATCGATGTTTGAATGATATGCGTGTCACTTTGATGTCGTTTTGTGGCGTAGCTTCAGTGACGTGTCTAGAGAGAGAGGATTGCAAATGTCAAGGCAGATCGAGCGTCAGAGATAAGAGAAAGGGCTGCCTTGCAAGTGCACACGAAAATACAACAGATTCTTTTCGCTGATGCTGTTGAGTTAGGATAAAGGATGTGTCATTGCACAGTAGACATACTGAGCCCGGTACGGGCCAGAGTGAGAGGCAAAGCAGTGTTACAGCACTGCTGATGTCTGGGTGCCTTTTGGTTGCTAAATCGATTGGTGACTGCATGACTGCGGACAGAAGAGCATCCGGCAAGTTGCTGCCTGGGTGCAAATGAATAACTTCAAAGCTTGATTGCAGCAGCACTGCAATGGAATATGATACACTGGGCGTAATTGCGCCAGGACTGTTCAGAGCTAATTTCAAAGTCAAATGTCAAACCGCATCAAAGTCCAGCGGTCCGCTGTGGTCGTACACGCGCATGCCCATGGAAGCCAGAGGGTGCCTTTTAATAAACCTCCCAATCTGCTTGAGCATTTCCCTTGACCCCTCATTCTGGGGCGGAGGGAAGGGTGTGCTGGGCACCGGCATTCCCAGAAACCTGTAGCATCACAATTGCTGCTTCAAATTTCTATCTAGAACGGGCGTTTGTATCTCTTTTGTCTCAAAGCCAGCAAGGCAGCTGCTATGCTTATGTGGCAATGCATGCTCTGTCTCAGGCTGCGATTTCTAAGACACTATACATGTCTGCTTCTGTCATTTGCAAATGGGGGCCTGAGAAGCGCACTTTGCAAGAGGCTCCCAGCCATCTTGAGGCCTCCAGATGAGCAGCCGCTCCTCTGGTATTCGTGACTTGACCTCCTCAGTGTGCATATTGAAGGCTCGGACGCAGTTCTCTTTCGAAAGGTCCCCCTTGAACATGTAGTCGAGGCCCCAGCCAATGATGGCTGTGTACTGGCGACCCAGCTGAGTGGTCCAGAAGAACGGACGCAGCACCCATCTGTGCAGTCGCACAATGACGTCCTGCACGCTCGCGTACCATGTCTCCGGATTCCTCACTGTCAAGATGACCTGCAAGACAGGGACGACAGTGCAGACTTCAGGCATCGTGTTATTCAGGGGTGATGCAGGATCAGTGAGCTCCCCAGTAAGGCTCATGACCACTAAGAGCAACATACATGCATGGGATTTCTTGCTTCATCTGCATTCACGTACATAGCTTGAGGTGAGAATGCTGCTGCCCACCTTAGCTGTTGGGTATGCGTCCAACAGGACGGGGATCAGGCCCGCTGGGATGTCTACGGCCGCTTTGTATTCGTCAAAAAGCTGATGTACAGGAAAATCTTTTCGTTGTCCCACACCATAGGCGTAGCACTGCTTCCGGAACTCTGGGAGGTAAGGGATGAAGCGCCCGTGGAAGCACGGGCCGAAACCGAGGATGTCCAAGGCTACTTTCAGTGATGATGTTCCTGTGCGACACCATCCCACACCCAATACCTCGGGACCGGTATTGTCCGCCATGATCACCTGTACGTGTCCATCTGCTGCTAGCTTTGGTCGGAGGTTTGAATCTTCCGACACACTTCCGGAACCGTGTCGGAGATTACTACAGCAGTACTAATATCTGGAAGCAACATTCAAAGCTCAAGCTGTCAACAGACTCAATCGGATTGGGTGAGAAGCTAAGCAATAACCTACTCAATCTTGATCCGGCATAGGGGTGCCGCCAGATCGAACATTCCCCAGAAAAACCCGCTCGTTGGCTTGGGATTTCCGTTCAACAAAGCCCCAGGTTTTCAAACAATCTTGATTGGGCTGATGTCCAACTAAGATCATTACAGAAAGCATTAATGTACAGTAGAAGACCCCATCGAGCGCTGTGTGTCTCACACGGCACCAGGTTAGTCGTCCTAGCTAGCCGATCCTGGCAGGTCCTTAGTGGTTTGTTGTGGATGCTCGCAATGTCAGTCTTTCAAGTGTAGTTCCAGTTTTTGTTTAGGGTGCTTCAGTACAATACATGACTGCACACGCTTCTACATGATCGTTGTGTGCGCCTCACGAGTGTGCCTTCCTCTGCAGCAATGTGTAAGGTCCTGCACCCGGGGGATCTGCGGTGGGACAGCGTCTTGGTCATTCTCCTTGTCGTACTAACAGGTCAGTCCTTGCTAGCTGCACGGCAATGTTGTTTTGCTCGTTCGCCACTGACCGACCTGTCATGAGATTGGGTTTAGAGAGCCACCAGGCTTATGCCTTTAACTAGCAGGCTGACTGCAGGCACTGAGGCTTCACGGACACAGCAGTCCTTGAGAAACCTGAGGGACTTAAACCACTATGGCGCGCAATGGCCAAATCGCGCTTCAGCCGAAGAGTCCCACAGCTCGAGGACGCTTCAGGAGGTGCCAAATTTCCAGAAGCCTGCAACGCCCACCTTCGCGGTGTTCTCGGCCCTGCATGACACCATCTTGGGGGAGGTGCGTTGACCAGAACTTTCTACCAATCTTGCAGTGTGATCTCCATGTGCCCACATGCTTTCTGCACGATTCCTGCAAGTCTTCTGATTTCCCATAGACTAGACTCCCTTCAACAGCATGATACCTTTGACCACAGGCTAAAGGCTAGCAGGCTCCCATGTGGAATCTGCAGAATAGCACATGGCCCTGCTGCCTGAATCTTTGAAGTCAGTAGTACACCACGATTGGACGTTTTAGAGCCATCTTATTTGTGTCAGGTGAGGGTGATAGCGGAGGTGTTTCCACTGGAGGTGTGCGCGTCGGTGGCCACCTGCCAGCTGGACGGTCCCTCAGGGCACCACGATGTTGTGGCGATGGTGCGGGCCCCTTTCGACACGTGGAGCGTTTCACAGCCGCAGCTGCGCGAGTGCTTTGTCGCCTGCCCGCTGCCCAAGCCCGGCCTCAAGTTCAATTGGGTGCACCTCAGGCGCGCCCGCGGTCTTCCCTGTACCCACTTGCACACACGCCCTCGCTGCTAGCGATCCATACGAGGGCATTTAGCATGACTCAGCCAAAGAGCTAAAGAATTTCCCAGACCTTGGCATTGCTAAGACACACGATACTTTATGAGCCGTAGTCGGGCGTTGTTCAAGACTAGCTCACACTGCTGTCTGAGAGCTTGTTGCACCCACGTGGGCACAGACTCACAGATTCTGATGAGGCTTTGTGAAGACAGACAGAAATGAGGGAAGGGAATGCCTCTGCAGGGATGCAGAGGATCGGCTGGTGAAGTCTCATTTGTTAGAGGAGCTCGAAACGCCGCGCAACGCGACTCATGAGCACCCCAAGAAGAGCATTGGAGTGTGCGTGGGACCGGTCTTCAGCGCAGCACCCACCTTCCTGGGTGAGCCAACCAGAGCTGCGTCTAATTCGGCCGTTTCCTTATTAATCGACACATCACTCCTACATAATAAACAGCATGCGCTGTATGATTGCCGAGTCAGAAGGAACAGCTATGCCGTCCTTTCTTTTGCTGGTTACTGCCGAAGTGCCAGATGGCTTTGCTTTGCAAGCCCCCCGGAGACATGCTTTGAAAGGAGCACCTTGCCCCCTGCCGAGTGCCTGGCGGGTCTTCAGGCATCCTAAGGCTGAGACAGCAGATGAGACCTCAAGTTTTGGTACTGCATGAATCTTAAAGGATGACTTATTGTGAACATGGGTGACATCATGTATTGCCTGGTGTGCGCAGACTGGGTGCAGTACTATGCGGATCTGGGGGTGGAGGGCATACACATGTATGCGGTGGTGGCAGATTTCATCCTGTCGCCAAACGGCGGAGGATACATGCACAACCCGGGGAATTACAGGGCGCTGAGCATCGAGAACCACCGGCTGCTGCGCTGGAAGATGTTCCACCCGTCCCCCTGGAGCTTGCACTACTATGGCCAGTGGCTCATCTACAATGATTGCGCCTTCCGCTGGCGCCACTACTATGACTATTTGCTGTTTGTAGACCGGGACGAGTTCCTGCACTTTGCCGGCAAGCAGCCGCACAAGGTGCGTGCTCACATATTGGGTGCTGCAGACAACTGAAAGGAATCCATGACCGTGTTTGTAAAACATTTAGCTGCCTGTGGATTGTCTTGTTTCGGTCACCCACCTATCAATGGTACAGTGCACAGAGAAGCCAGTCTGAGACTGCAAAGACTAGCAGCATTTTGGTGGTGCATGCATGCATGCAGACGTCTGTGGTTAATTTCCAGGCGGCTCCAAAATAGATGGGTGTCTGCAAATGCTTGGAGGACAGCTATGTTGGGATCTGGCTTGTACGAGAACTGATCGCCTTGGAGTCAGCGAAAGGCTTATGGGGCTTGCGGCTATGACTGAGGACTTTAAAAAAAAATTCCACCAGACAGGATATACTGAGGAGTGTCATGCGTGCAGGTGAATCTAGTACAGGAGATAGCGTCGCAGTTCCAGCCCAAGACGGCATCCATTGCATTCTTTGGTGCATTGTACCCAGTGCGCTGCCTGACAAAGCGCGTGCAGCTGCTGGGCTCGCACGGCTCGGCCGACGGCAAGAGCCCTCTTGCCGGCCTCGACGACCTTTACACACAGGTGATTCACCGTTAGTGATTTATTTCCCAAGGTTGACATGACAAGACTGTTGCCAGAGCCCATGACATGCAAGGACATGGCCAATTCCAAAGGAAGTGAGCGCTGCGATCCTTGAAGAATGCCTGGTTGCTGGCTAGGCCAGGCTTGCCTTCTCGCATGCTCGCATTTTCTTGAAAAATTCATGGCTCAATTAGTCATGCATGTGGCAGGTGTACGAGGGATATGATCTGTGGGGAGAGGACAAAAGGCAGCCCGATTTTGCCAACTGTTCCACTACATATCACGGCCCCAAGGCCGGCCGGGCATGCCACCCCAAGAGCATCATCCGGCCGCTCGCCATCAAGGACATGAACGTTCACTTCCTGGCAGGTGCGCATCTTTTTCCTTTCCCTCTCCAGTACTGTAAACCACAATTTACACACCGCCAGTGCCTTGCAGGGAAGCAGCCTAAACTTCTGTTCGATCTTTGCTATTTCAAAGCTCTGATTGTTGTCTGAGCATGAGCGAAAAACCTTTAGAAAGGTGTTCCAGTGGCTGATTTGAAGTGGCGGGGATTGCTGCAGGGGTCCAACCTGGGTTTGATGAGCAGCCAGTGGCAGTGGATCCCAAGGTGGCATTCTTGAAGCACCTGAGGTGTCTGCTCACGCCGACTGGCAGCGAGTGGGAGCAGAATGTGACTGCACCGCTGTGTACACCGGAGGCGAAGCCAGACCTCAGTAAGAGCACCAGAGGCGGGGTTTCCATGTGCTCTGCATGACTCTGGGACCTTTGTGGGTGATCGGGAAGAGTTTTGCCTTTTGGTGCACATGTTGTACACCGTGTGTCACAGATCGGCCCCGATGGCTGTCATTCAGGTCCCAAAAAGACCACCGATTACCGAAATGTGTCTCTCTAGCCTATATCTCACACCGACACCGTGGTGACGAGAATTGTTGGAGCCCATTGCCATTGAGTGATTGTGGTTTTCTGGCATGACAATCGCAACAATGCCACACTATTGTGACCGAGTGCGCTCTGCTGAGTCAAAGTAGATCAAAAGCCATGACAGACTGCCGGGGCTAGACAGGGTGCTTTCCTTGGCAGCCTTGAGCTGTTTCAAGGATATGTGCGCGCATGCGCGCTGCAAAGGAGGTATTGAGTAATGAGGTAAGGAGGTATTGAACCCCCCTTTGCTGGTTGAACTCTGGCCGCATTGCAGGTCCACGGTGCTGGGGAGGCCCGATAGCAAGGTTCTCGCAGTGCGCAAGTATCTTGGTGTCACTATTTGTGGTAGCGCCGAATGACCAGGTGACTGGGTCATTACTGTCAGCACACTGCCAGCTTGCACCGCCGGGGCAATCCATTGAGTAAGGCTGATTGGCACTTCTGCTTGACCCACAAGGGTCTTCCCTGCCGCAGTCATCTCCCACACACCCGGGGGAACCACTTGACGGCTATAGCAGCTGCAACTTTGCAAGGGGATTTGTACGTGTTGCATTCTATTGGTTCTCGTAGAACCCCGCACTCAAATGTGAAGCGGTAGCGCCCCCCAAAGTTGGCAAGGCCAAGCTGGCACAGAGCTGCAACTGAAAACTCCTGGGAATTTGAGACACTTCCAGTAGCTTTTTGCATCGGTGTCCAAGCAGGTGAAGTCTCCGCCACCACCACAGTTGGCAATCACTTCTTTCCCTTGAACGATGCTGCTTGAACATATGTCCACACCTTGGCAGCCGTTATTCCCTGTGCAATCGGCCGCTGCACGAGTGCTGCCAGCAGAGCGGTCCCTACTCGATAAATTATGCAGCACGGCATCGCTGCAGATGTCTTGATCGTCCTGTCGTTTAATCCGTGACTTCAAAAGCAAACAAAACGGATGTCAAACGCACACTCGAAACCCTTTTCCAAAAATTGTCGCGAGAAACCTCTCGTCAATTGTAGCTCGTGAAATTCTGTGCTTCCTCGTTGGTCACTCTACATCAGGCAATCTCTTTTCACGGATGGCTACAAAAAAGTCGCTGAAGGGCTTTCCATAGCTTGCGATCGGCGTCAGGTCTACCTGACTGATCTCCGCTGGAATTATGCAACGCTCAAGAAAATCGCGGTGGTCAATTATGATTCAGATGTTATTATGCGATATACCGACTCGACGGTCGAATCCAAAGCGAGAAAGGCGACAATGATAGACGTCCGAACAGTGGAGCAGTACAAGTTTGCAACATAGTCTAGCTTGAAGAATTAACGTACCGATACTTCTGAAGATCCAGAAAAGCCTCCTTGCTTTCAGAATTCTTATCCTGCAGGGAGCTCGGATTCAGGGACAATCTTTCATCAAGCACCGGCCGTACGCGGAATACTATCAACGTGTTCCATAAATCTGATCCAGTCCTCTGGTCCTAAGTCTAACATTCATCTTGTCAATTAAGAATAATTGACCAGCCTTGACGTCGGACAGAGCACATGAAGAGAAGCTTGCGCCCATACTCGGAAAACCTTGTTTCACGATAAGTTTAGGGCAAGATGGAGAAGTATCGCACCAGGCGTGGCTAGAAAGATGGATCGCAAAATCCTCGCCGACCTCCTCAATCACCTCTACCCAGTGCAGAACGCACAGTCCTCTGAGAGTGCCAATCTGAAAGGCCATTTTCTCTCGTGACGTCTGTCCTTCGGACCTCTCGGCTGCGCCCGTAGCACTTGAGGAGGGACCCCCCGGGGTAGCGTAAGACAGAGCAATTGTTCTTGAGATCACTTTCCCTCTTTCATTCTCGTAGCAACGAATACATTGTTCACAATATTGAGAGCCACATCAAAATCTGCCTGTGTCTGTTCACACGCGATCGCTGCACTCTTTCGGAAATTTGTCGGTTGACTGATCTGGTTTTGATCGTCCGCTTAAAAGCACTGCTTCAGCATCATCTGTACAAAATGACATTCAGATGTCCATTCGCTTCCTTCAAAGAAGGCATTCCCGGACAGCTTTGCGGAAAAGGTGCAAGACAGGGGAGGCTCGGCCAGAGGTGAAAAGCCAGGAACCTTTTAGGAGCACCTCGACATTAGTTCTGTATCACACTCCAATGTGTTTGTGTCATGAAGCAATGGAAACATAGGGAATCTTGCTTGCCAAACCTGAACATCAGCCCAAAAGCTGCTTGCATGCCGTGCAGGCAGCGTGTCAGCTGTGCAGCTGTGGAGGAACGGACGCAGCAGGGGCGCACGTCTTTGATCCCTGAGACCCTGCGGGAGCTGGCTGAGGACAGGGAGCAGCAGGCTCTCGTGCAGAGGCTGCAGCAGGAAGGCCAAGCCAGCCTGTCAAGAGAGGAGCGCCGGAAGCGACAGAGGTCCCTGGACAGTATCGGCGCTCCTCCATTCCAATCCGTGCTCAAAGTGAGCCCCACCATTTAATAACCACCAGTTCTAGTCTGCTCATTTTGCTGGTGCATAGCGCATGAGCAATCTAGACAAGAGGGATTGCAGACATCCAGGCAGGGCGAGCGCCAGAGGAAGGAGAAAGGGCTATCTTGCCGTGTCTCGCAATCTGCCAAGCTGGCTGGTCCTTTTGTCTGGACTTGTCTCCTGCTATACACCTGCCACGTGAATCAGTGCCTGCTTGCGTATAGACACGTGCTATTGAGAGAGACAAACCAGCAACACAACAGTGCCTTTGTGTCGGCAGGAGGCAGGGGTGCGTGCACTGAGGCGGGACCCCGCAACAACGCTGCAGCTGAACATCGGCCTCTACTGCAACCAGGCCTGCTCGCACTGCCACGTGGAGAGCTCCCCCCTGCGTAAGGAGACCATGGACAGGGAAACTGCCCAGGCCTGCATGCGGCTTCTGGCTGCCAGCAGCGGCAGCGTCCGCACCCTGGACCTCACCGGGGGCGCACCTGAACTCAACCCACAATTCAGGTACCCTTGTGATCCTGTCAAAGAAGTATTTTCTGCATCTTCTTCACCGCTTCTGGAATGCTCCATGCTGCATGCTACCTGGTGTCCTGCAGAACAGATCTGCAGCGCGGGGATGCAAATGGGCAATGTACCCAGGTGCTGGTGAGAGATGAGGAGGGGACACACCAGTAAAGCCAAAAGCATATGTGGTGCAGGTTTCTTGTGACAGAGGCAAGGGCGCTCGGAGTGGAGATCATAGACCGCTGCAACCTGACGGTCCTGCAGGAGCCTGGGCAGGAGGACCTCGTAGAGTTTTTGGCTGCAAACCAGGTGAAGCCCTCATATCCCTCACGCATTGTCATAAGGGTCCTGACAACTTCACCATTCTTGACATGCTTTATTTCGCTGAGCATGTCTTTGCTCCAAGTTGGCCTATTTTTCCTTGGTGCAGTAGGTCACCGTGCATCCTTAGCCATGTATCAATGTCAGCGCATTTTTGTGTTCTGATGGCAGTTAATGGTTGTCATCGGTGCATGCTTATTCCTGCCCACAGGGCCAGGTGCAGCAAATTTCGTTTCACAATATCTCTTGAAAGGTATGAGGGAAGTAAGACACCAACTCGCAAGGGTCTGCCCACAGGTTCGGGTGGTGGCGTCGATGCCGTGCTACAGCGAAGGTAACGTGGACGAGCAGCGCGGCCGCGGCGTTTTTGAGCGCAGCATAGCCGGCCTGCGCGCACTCAATGCGGCCGGCTATGGCATTCCCGGCTCCAGTCTTACATTGGATCTGGTGTACAATCCAAATGGGGCGTTCCTGGCGCCGCCCCAACAGCAGCTGCAGGTCAGATCCCCCTACTCTCTTGCTGGCTTGTTTGGCTCCAGGGTTGCACCAGTACCTTATTTTTCAGGAATTTAGAACCCAGTCCTTGTACTGGGAAGACGTACTGGCGTATTGGCGCTAGTAAATGGGGTGCTCAGGGCATTCTAGTATTCCAGTACCTCGCTTACTGGGGCGTACTGGTTCAACCATGTTTGGCTCCCTGTCCGATGTGGGCGGCTTGGATCCAGTACTGTTTTCACTTATGGCCCAGTCAAGAGGGCCATGTGGCTCCTTGTCTAGCAGAGGAGTCACAGGTGTTCCAGCATTGCCCAGTGAAGAGGGTTGGCAGAAGAGGGACCATGTCTGGAGCAAGATGACAGATCAGTGCCTGTCAGAAGACAGCTTTGAGACATGGAAATTTCCTGTCCTAACCCTCTTGTCTGTCATATTGCCGGTGTCAGACGCCTCTGTTGCCGTTGCAATTAAACGCATTCTGCAACCCTGCCTTAATTGGTCTCACGGGGGGATCTACTGTAGTAGTCATTCTAAAACCCGCAATAAATAATTATTTTTTGCAGGGAGTACTAAAGACTACCTAGTTGTCTTTAGTACCCCCTGATTTTTGGCCTAAAAGGGTGGATAATTGAGACCCTATCTCCCAAAATATGAAACCTATGATAGTTTTGAGACCAGATTCGGAAGTCTCTCGACAAGCCTAATCCAATGGAGCATGACCCTGGTATGTTTGATGTCAGGAAGACCCCTAAAAGTTACCATGAAAAATTTCCCGCACCGCCGAGGGTGCGGGTTCTAGGATGACTACTGCAGTATATCTGACTTTGGTCTCACGGTGCTTGAAGTGCAATTATTATAAAGACGCGCACTTGGACCGGGAATCTCTTGCTTCATATCTTGACCTGGGCGAGGAAAGCCCAAGAGAGAGAAGGCTGGAAGGCCGTCATAAAACGCTGCTGCGACGCACCAATCCTCGTGGTTTGGAAAGGCGCGAAATTACAATAACTTGTATCAAACGCTGCAGGGCCCCGGCTGGCAGGGGGGTATAAACTGAGCAGCCTATAATTGCAGCCTGTCTGCAGGATGTACCTTGGCAGTTGGCAGGAAATGCATGGAATAACAAATATAAATGCTGCAGGAGGCGTACAAGGCGGAGTTGGCGGAAGCGTACGGCATAAGCTTCAACGGCCTGCTGTGCCTGAACAACATGCCAATAAAGCGCTATGTGGACTACCTGCAGCGAAAGGGGCAGCTGGCCGATTACATGCAGCTGCTGCTGGGAAGCTTCAACGCAGCTGCCGCCGAGGCCGTCATGTGCCGCGGCACCGTCAGCGTCGGCTGGGACGGCCGCGTCTACGACTGCGACTTCAACCAGCAGCTCGAGCTTGGCCTCAGGTCCGCCGCGTTCCTGCTCTTTTCTTTTTGTTGCTGTCAATTTTCTTTGGAGCTGGGCTATGGGGGGCGTATTGGCTGCGGCTGCCTCTGCAGCTCCATCACCCTGATTTGGAGTAATGCAGCGGCTGCAGGAATCACCGCTGCATTTTTGTGCACTTTGAGCTGTAGGGTAAAGTAAGCCGGATTACTCCATTCAGGTTGTAATGTGTTGTGCAGGTTGCCTGGGCGGAAGCAGGACTTTGTGACTGTGTTTGACATTCAGAGCTTGGACGAGCTGACGGGGGTGCCCATTGCATGCGATAACCACTGCTTTGGATGCACTGCCGGATCAGGCTCCAGCTGCCAAGGAGCCACTGCTTAATGCATGGAATATCACTGAATGCTAGACTTCCATATCTAAGTTTTCATGAACATCCTGAAACCGTCCAAATAGATTACATGCGGTTTTATGTTGTTTGTAATGCCAATATCTTGGCAGCGTCACATGGACGTGATGAATGGAGGTGTAAAGTAATTGAAGTCATTAGTTTTGCAGTCTCCAAATGTGTGCAGAGTCCATTAGAAATATTGAGATTGTGGGATGTCCATCCTACAATGGTCTTTACATGCAAATTGATGCAGATGGGCTGAACTGGTCTCATTCCGGAGAGATTTGCACTTCCTTTCGCCTAGCTAGCAAGATCTTGAAGCTACCTTGGCAATGATTTTAATCCCAATACTTCGGCAGCAATAGCAGCCCTAAACCAATTCCAGAGCAGGTAAAGCAATGCGCCCTGAGCACTCATCCGCTCATATTATGTTTGTAGCTGTGCAATACCAGCATCTCTCCTCTAAATATATTGTACACCCTCCAACTCTCATCTAAGTATGACTACAGCTGGCTCTTTGCAAATATCACACCCTCATCCAACTCGCACACCTTGTCGCTGTCTTTGGCCGCCGCAGCATCAGGCAAGACAGGCGCCAGCAGCCGCAGCAGGAAGTCCTCTTTAGCACTCTGGGCGCGGCGAGACTTGTCAGATCCGCACAGTGCGACCCACTCGTGCCAGGGGACGGAAATGATTGCGTAGCCCCACGCCCGTAGGCATGCATTCCTGTACAGCACCCGACTCACCGGCTGGTGCGTGTTGCGCGTCATTTTGTGCGGCGTCAGAATCTCCACAGCCACCTGAACACCACCCGATAAGACTTTACTCCACGGTTTCGCACAGCTTTACTAAGGTTTGATCAAGCTTCTGCTGCTGCTGCTGCTGCTGCTGCAGCCTCGTCACCATGCACAGTTCTGATCAACTCCAAAAGGACCACCCAGCATGCTGATTTTTAGGAACCAGGTCTGTAGATATGGCTTTCTTTCATGGTGCCCAGGAAGCGGGAAAAATGTCATGAGTGTCAAGAATAGAAGGCCAAGGATCACCTTGCGGCCGCAGCGGTCTCGCAGCTTCAGGCAGATGTCCATTTTGAGCACGCCGCCGCCGGCCGGCGCGCCGCGGCTGTTGGCGAGGCCGAGCCGCGCCAGAGAGTCAGAGACGTCCGCCAGCATTCCCGGCCGCTCGCTGCCGCTGCCGCCATCTCCGGCCGCGCCGCTGGCCGCCCACGCTGCGCGCGCTGCGGCCTGGAACGCCTCCGGCAGCTGCGCGCTTGCCGGCCGCCGCAGCGCGCTTGCCATCAGGTGCGCCTGGCACGCATTGCGTTGACGACTTAGAGAATCTCACTGCGTTGACCACCAGGGGCCAGCAACACTTGCATATCCTAAATGTAATTGGTCATGACATGTAAACTTGTTGGTCGTACGGTAGAACAGGGACTTCCTGTACTCGTGAGGGACGTATGATGAGCCGCTGAGAATGTAGGTCATGGAAGGTTGCAGCAGAACATGGCGGGTGAAGGCCAATATGCGACCATGTTAATGTTGAAGCCTGCCAGACTACATTTACTGCACTTTTCAAACGCACCCAATGAGCAGCGCTGTCACCCAATTTTATTTCTCATTATCAAGACAATCAGCTGCACACCTGGTAGAGGCGCCTCAGGCACTCAGCGTCGAAGCAGGAGAGGTCCCAGTCCTTGAGGCTGCGAATGACTCCGTCGTACAGGGGGGACTCGAACGATTGGAAGATGGCCAGGCTCCAGATGATGGTCGACATTAGTTTGGGATCCACCGCTATGCGCCCCTCCTCAATCTGCCCAGCCACCAACACAAACCCTTGTCAGGATGCAACTTGTCAAATTCAACACAGTGCCCTTCTGCAATGATAGTGTCATGTAAAGGGGCTGCACACCATGCAATTGCTGTCCATACACCACGAAAAGCATGCTGACAATACAAAAGGGCAGCACGTGGCAGTGAGGCACTGGACAGAAATAAAGCATGGTTATAAATCTTTCCCCACTTCCAGCGCGTTAGTGCGAAGCCATCAGTTTTGGAGCTGCAGAAAGCCCAATAAGAGAGGCACCACAACTCACCTCGTCCGCGAGCAGGGCGTAGAGGCGTCCCGGGGACCGCCCGAGGCGCGTGAAGGCCCAGATGACGTTGGTCCAGTCAGGCTTGCCGTAGTCACTGGGCCGGCGTGCCACGTCAGCCGCAATGGCGTCCAACAGCTCTCCTGGATGGTGCAGCAGCGCAGCACACGCCCATGCAATCGTTGAAATGCCCTGCGCGCGAGCGGAGAACGGGTGAGGTAACCTCAGGGCAACCTCAGGCAATGTCTCGGTCTCGGTGCATGATACCCCGGGTGGCAGTGCAAAATGCAACAGAAGCGTGCGGCTGCGCAGACTCAAGTGAGGCAGACTCAAGAATGCTCCGGAGCAATACACCCCGGCTGGTTGCGCACAAATGCAGCAGGATTGTGCAGCTCTGCAGCAGCGAATTCGCATGGCCCTTTGAGCATATCTCTGACCGCAAGAAGCAGGATGAAAAGCAGTAGCAGGAGACAGTGGGAGCAAAGAAATCAAGGAATCTATCCATGCGATGGGCTTGGGTAATGGCGAAGGAGGTGGGAGACTGCGCACGTGGGGGGCGTGCTTGTCTAGGGACAGCCGAGCACGCATGACAAGAGTTTCCATGATTTCCACGCCGGGATAGGCCTGCAATTTGCCGTACGCCCACAGCAGCGTTGAAAGCTCCCGCGGCGCCAGCAAGCCGCTCAACTCGCCCACCCGCGCCTGCCGCATGCGCGCCACCCGGTTGATCAACCCAGAACTCACCCAAATCTCACCCGTCATTTCTGAAGTTCCAATTAGGGCTTTCCTGCCGCATGCGCGCCCCACCCGGTTGACCAACCCAGGAACTCACCCGCACCTCACCCGCTACTCTCAAGCATGAAAAGATCTCTATGTCAATGACAGAAACATCCGTCAAAGGGACGTACAAGATCTGCAAGGCCCCTTTTGTGGTAAATTGCTGTATGACAAGGCAGATGCAGATCGACCTTCCAAATTTAAATACGAATTTCCTGAGCAGTGAAGGAATTGCAGCAAGGACTCAGCAAGGAGAACGCATGCTGCAACAAACCCGCCAGCTGCTATCAGATTGTGGCAAAACAGAGATCAACAGGAGCGGTCTCGCACCGTGCAGAGTTCAAGGAAGGCGGCTGGAGTGGGCACGCCAAGTTTAGCAAAGCCCCAGAGCAGATCGGTGAGGTCCCTGCCGGTGGCCGTCCCGAGGCGCGGCTGCACCACCTGCCGCGCAGCTTCCAGGAAGCCGGGCGCCGGCTGCTCCAAAACCGCCAGCGACCACACCATCGACGCCAGATCGCGCAGAACCCACGGCCCTGCTGCAGATGCCCTTAGTTAGTTCCCAAAAAGAAAACGTACACAAAAAGCATCTTTGCCTGCACTGCATCGAACCTCTTCCGATGCTTCTTGTGCTCATCATGCCTGCAATCTGTAGAAATACCCCTGATTCATTCAATCAGCAAAGTCTCACGGCAACGCCCAGCTTCAGAAGCCCGGTGCCAGGATTCAATGTCATTTTGACTTGCTAGCACTACAAGAACAAGCATAAGTGATTTGAAAGGGCACTCCAAGCCACTGTGCTTCTACAAGTGTGCAGAGAAATGAGGTCCCTAGTGGACGCGGGGTACAGTCTATTGTGTCTATCTCGTGTTACACAATCAAAGATCTGGAACCACAATTGCACAGGCGCAATGCCCCTTGATCGGTCGGAGACAAGGGGAGGCCATATTCTACACCCAGATGGCTTGTACGTGGAAACTTCCTTTTTGCAATGTCTGGCGCACCTCCTGAGCGGAGTATGTATTCCATGCGCGCGATCAGCGCCTCCACTGCATCGGGCGACCCGTTATGGCCGAGCTTGGCGAATGCCCAGAGCACCTCTGCCATGTCGCGTGCACTGAACTCTTCCGCCCGCCGCACCACCTCTGCCCCCGCCGCCTCCAGCAATGTTGGCACACGTGCCTCCAGCTTTGCAAACGCCCACAGGACGTTGCTCACCCCCTGCAGCAGTCACTCAGCACATCAGCACATGCAGCCAATGCCTTCATAGACCATCCAGCATGCGCAACTGTTGTACTGTGTGTACCAACACTTGATGGAGAAGAGCCTCATGAATTTGCCATGCCGCCGGTGCGGATGTGGCATGCCGGTCGGGCAAATGCGCAGAATTTCATGCACATCAATTACATAAGCCAGGTTTGATGGCTTGTTGTCTCCATTAATTTGGGAGGTTGGTTGAGCTTTTGCATGAGTAGGGGCTAAGAGGCACCTGGGGGGAGAAGGCAGTCATCATGGAGCAGGCATGCAATTCGGCGCTGGCGAGCAGCGAGGGCTTTGCCAGATCCGGCCGCTCGCAGGCGGCCAGCCCGCACAGGATGTTGGAGAGGTCCTGCGCGTTGCACTGCTCTAGGCGCTCCTCTGCCAGATCCATCAGGATGTGCATGCGCGACGGCGCATAGCCAAAGCTGCCAAGCGCCCAGACAATCGTGGACAGGTTGCGCGGCGTCAACCGCGCCTTTCTGTCTCCATGCCTCTGCGCGGCACAATTACATCTGCTGTCAGCAGCCTCTAAGGAAAGAAAGCTTCCCTGTGACACCGTCGGGATACACGCTGCTGATAGTACGAAATCAAGCAGCCATCATCACAATTTTTGATTCAGATCTGAACAAAGGAATACAAGTGCCCCGAAACATGCACACCAACACATGGGCAGGGGAGTGGTCAAAGCAGAGGTGAGTGGCTATGCCAACCTGCAGGCTGTCCCTCTCACGGCGTTCCATGACCTCGGATGCCCTGTCCAGGTAGGCGGCAGGCGGGACGACGCCCATTCTGCTGAATGCCCACAGCAGGCTGGAGAACGACTGCACAAGACACCAGAATTCTTTCGTAGACCGACGTGGCTCTCAGAGCAGTATATGGCTGTTCTGCAGAAGTGCGTACTTTGTGCCTCAGCTGATCAGAGATTGGCGGTTGAGCAGTCAAGTGGCTTTTGAGAGACACCAAGATCCTTTATACTTCAAGGTCCTCCCAACATAAAGGCGTGCAAGGGCGGCGCCTCAACAAGCAAGGTATTCGGTCAGGTATTGGCAGTTGTCAAGGGAGTCTGAAGAGGCATACCCTGGCATCAAATTGGTCAAGCCTCCTCTCCGTCTCCCGGACCATGCACTGAGCAAAGCTGGGCCGCGGAACAAGGTTCATCTTGGCAAATGCAAATAGCGCCATAGACAGACGCATGGGCCTGTTCAAACAGCAGCACACAATCAGCGCCATGCAAGTTACTCACACGACAAGGTTCCGCTTGGATAAAATGCACAAAATGGCATGGAGGATTGTCAGGCACTCACGTCAGAGTGTGCAGCTGCCTCTCCGCTGTGTCAGCGAGGGCCGCAGCCAACTCAGGCACGTCGAGGTTGTACTGCGCGAAAGCTTGCAGCACAATGACCAGCGTGCGCGGCCTCAGCTGCGGCGCTGCACGCTCCAGATAAGCTGCCAACACCTGCAGGAGCCACATTTTCACCCTTTACGAGAGCAGGGTGGAGCCATCTTACTCCATTTAAAGACTTACGAGCTTGGTGGCCAAGCAACAGGAATACCTCTTCCCACCACAAATTGACGATTAACTCAATCAGTAGCAGCATCTGTTTGGATGGTCAGCACATGCGCATGTGTTGATGCATGCCTTTCATCGGGCAGGATGCCGCTGAAATGATACCTTCCAATTGTCAAGGTCACTGCAGAGTGACGTCAGGGAGTCCCCTCAGACCAAGGAGGAAGTGCAGGATACCAATCTGCGAAAAAGGCAGCAGTGCACGCACCAGCATGTGGGGCTTTGGCACATTTCCCAGCACACCGCAGGCCTGTGCAAGGCTTGCCAGGTGGCGCGCTGACATGGCGCTAGCACCCTCCAGCGCCAGCTGGACCGCCCTGCGCACCAGGGGTGCATGCTGCACATACACCCCCAGATTGCACAGCTCCGCCGCTAGCGTGCTCAGATCCTCCGGCCTGCCCAGGGCACACCATGTTTCTGAAGACGTCCATTGAGAACGGGTTCCTGTGAGAGTGACTACTTATCTAATCGGAGGCGCAAGGGATTTCATTAAATAATCCGCATGCCGCTCTTTATAATCGTCCTCTATCAATGCATTGCGTGTCACAAGAAGGCCAGAAGGACAATGATGGCAGCAAGAGGGGCAGGGACGTGCAATTTTGGCATGGTGAGAGAGGGTACCTGCAGTGATCCAGCTGCGGTTCCAGCATTTGTGTGATGGTGCTGATGAGGCCTTTGCACTCTTTTTGGAGTGCCTTTGACAAGCTGATGGCTGCCACTGCCTGCACATGCAATCTCTAGATATCTATAATTCAGGTCACCAGACTCCCTTCAAGTGCCCCATCTCCCCCGTAATCCCCTCGAAGCAACGCCCTTACTCAACATGGCCCGTTTCTCACCCACAACGATCAAGGTGTTGGAATCTTTACTAGTCCTCGGTGATTATTCGAGGTAAGTGCAAAGCAAATGGCGCACCCTGCAGAGATCAGATGGCTGGAAGGGTTGGCCCTGGGCGAGGCGGGTGGAAAATTCCTCGGCAGTGAAGAGCAAGCTCTCTAAACACCTAGCATCAGCGCTGCAGCTGTCGACCTCCGCCAGAGCTTCCATCATGATGACAACGCCCTGCCACATCAGCACATGGCCGTTGTAACCATTGCATGCCATGAGTTAAAAGTAATTGAATAGCATCCCCACCAGAGGGGACAACGCAGCATGCAGCAGGCATTTAGGACAGAGAGTCTCAATGGAAAGCTGCAGAGCCTCGAAGGGCAAGGGTGTGCACACCGCATGACTTGCGGTTGGTGCCAGGTCCACAACTCTGCGCATGAGAACAGAAACGATCGGCTGCTGCAGCTGCTGAGTCTTCTCCGCTGAGCTGCGCGTGCCTCGCAGGATGCTGACCAGCTGAAGCAGGCCCGACACCAATGCAGCTGCATCCCAAGTGTCTGCATCTCCGAGCACCTGCAGCCAACAAGTTTTCATTTGTCGCCCAGCACTTCGAGTGCTCTTCAGGTTTACATCATGTTGTCATCCTCTGGCCACCAGCACCAGATGAAATATAGTCAGTGATACCTACTGCAGCATGCAGCATGCATAACATCATGTGCAAGAGGCAAGCCTGGCTCGGGCAAAGCCTCAATAATGCAATGACCACCATCCAAGATTTAGAAAAGGCTTGTGACTTGCATGCGGCGTGCTCACCGATGCCAGGTCTTCCACTCTGCGTGCATTGCTGGGGACCTGTCGCCGTTGCACATTGCGAGGAGGCTTTCGGTTCCTTTTCGGCTGGCTGTCAGGCCTCCTCTGGCTCTCACTCCACTTGGACTGGCCGCTGCCGTTGGACCTGGTACTGCTGTATATCTGCACTGACTGCTGCTGCGCTTCCTCTGACCTGCCACTCGTGGACACCTCGTCTGTCCTGTTCACCTGGCCCAACATCAGAAACTCTCAGTGCAGTGCCCTTCAGTTGCTCTGCTGACGCCTTTCTGCTGTAAGATCCCAGTGAGTGATGCTTGCACAGGGAACGTAGGCATTGGTCGTACCCAGCCAGCACTGAAAGTCGTGGCATTGCAGGACGGCCCTGTGTTAAAGTGCTTACGATCGCGAGCAGTCCGTGTCCTGTTCGAGCAAACAAAGCATTTACAACTTGGTGAGCATTACATTCACGGACCTTGATCACGCATTTCTAGAAGCAGGCGGTGTGCACTGCGATTGGTATTATGCAGGAGACGCAAGCTTTGAACGGGGAAAGCAGGTCACCTAAATCCAAGAGGTGATACGGATGAGCTTAATGACTCAATCCCCAGGCCTAGCCATATCATTCTTATCGTACAAGGCGAAGTTGACTTGAACTATGGCCTCAGGACCTTCGATGTGAGGGTGAAATGGTATTCAACAAAAGAAAATACTGGGCTGAACTGACGACTACTTAATCTACAATAATTCAATATTACTTGAGTGGTAGGATGGGATCGCATTGACGAGATTGCAATGACTATGCAGAATGATGCATGATGCAATCGGGCGGGGCACGTTCGCCGGCGGTGCCTCACGCAGATCCTTATCTGTTGCAATCTTGTTGCAAAATTTCAAGTTTGCGAGTAGATCTCGCCCCTTACAGCTTTCATTTGGTAATCAAAGCAGCCACCATGATTGCCCAGGCATCTTCAGCCCTCGTCCAGGTCCCTCTGGTAAGCCCTCAAGCCCCAATGCCACTGACTCAGCTCGAGTTCCTGGGTAGACCACGACCCTGCGAATCTCGCGATTATCGTCTCGTGTGCCAACTCGCAGGTCCAGGCCCGCAAGGCCAGTGTGCCAAAACCCGCAAGGCAGCCAGTGCTCGTCTCTGCCAACGCGGAGTCCTCGCGCAGGGAAGCCATGGCCTTTGCAGCTGGAGCCATTCTTCTTGGCCTGACAGGTGATGCAATTGCAACCATCACGCATGTTATGTATCGCTGCAGCGGCAGTTGCTGAGGAATGGAGGGCAGCAAAGCGCTCAAGTAAAATCGAACGTGATGATTGATGCTAAGATCTTGGAAGGGGAAACTGCCCAGTAACCTTTCTAGCTCCTTGTTGGCACCTCTGGTATATTGCATGTTCTGAATTTGCCCAGCTGCACGTTGTCCAGGCAAGGCCAACGCCAAAGTGGAGGTCCCCTTCCATGCTTCGGTCCTCAGGGGTGGCAGCTCAACTGAGGCGTCACAGTCTGGCTACGGCATGGAGGGTGCGTCAACTCTATGCGAAATTACTGTCAAGTCCTGTTGGCATGCTTGGAGGTCCCAGCCATGCCTGAGCGCCCGTTTTTGAGATCCTGATCGTCAATCTGTCTGCAGGCACCAAGAAGCGTGGAATCAACCCTGCCCAGCGCAAGAAGCTCCTGGCAGCCATCAGAGAGAAGCTGCCCACCAGCAGCTAGATTACCGCGGGTTGGCCATTGCTCAGCCCAACGTGCACACCCATCAATGAAACTGCTATTGCGAGAAGAACATTTGGGATAGGTGGGAAGCTAGGGTGTGAGAGCTGCTTTTAACAGAAAGGGCTCACAGTTCTCTGCAGCCGAAGCCCTTCCAATGTACAATACAAAATCCATGTCCGAGATTCTGACATTCTGAGGATTTGGTCTTACGTTCTCCCAATTTTGAGAAGAGAGTGACGCATTGTGAGAAGTGAATCAGCCAAACACGCAGTGCAAGATTTCCATCTGTCTCATGATCTGTACAGGATTTGTTATAGAAAGATTAATCCAGTGGGTACATCGAAAGCCTGACAAAGCATAACGCAAGTGCAAGCTTGAAGCACGGCACTATCCTGATCAGACCTGATTCATGAACAGACTTTAATGTCTTCCATCTGACAAAAATGTGTAGAAACAGCACCACGCTATACAGCTTCATAATGCAAACTACCAGCTAGGTTCTGCACAACAGCTTTAAAGCTCCCATGCAAGAGCAGGATCTGACCAGGAGCAGCCAGGGTGAGTCACCTGGGTCAAATAATAATCATGGTCACTTCAGTGGCAGTCAATCTTCAAGCAGGGCATCAATATCAATCTCCGCAGACAATGTGCTTTCCTTCTTGTGCCGCCTTGGCAGCCGGCCAAAGGGTCCTCGCAGCAGCAGCTTCCGCCGCCTTCTCATGCTGTCCTCATCCTGAAATACACATGCATAACATCACCTTCTCGCATTCCCATCATCAGTGCTGCTGTATCAAATGCACCCTCAAGAACCAAGTTAATTACCACAAATATATCGCAGGTAACTTGCCAAGAAGCTTAGTAAATAGGCCCTCGTGTCAGGTTACAGGAGAAAGACTCCCTTGCCAGACCTGACAGAAGATGATTACACATCTTTCCAGCCATCAAGGACACCCTGCTTTTCCATCAGGAATCCTCAAAGAAGCTATTCCCCGGTCTAACAAATGTCATTAATTGTGCTCCTGGGGCGGGTTTCATGTATGTTGCATGCATTGCATTTACACGGCGAGGCACTCCTTTATCCTTTAGGCGCTCGCTCCGCTTTGATGTCTGCATTCCCCTTTCTATACTTAGAGAGAGAGAGAGAGAGAGGAGATATGAGCAGAACACGCACCTCCTCTTCGTCTTCACAGTCAGGGTCTCCTTCTGTGCACTCCTCTTCCTCCTCTTCTTCCTCTGCTGGTGGGTGGAATAGGTCGCGCACTTTCTGCCACCAGTCGTTGTGCAGGAAGCTGGCGTCCACAAAGCTGCCGCGCTCCTTGTTGTACAGCGTGTACCGCAGCACCTGCCGGCACATGCGCGCACACCGTCAGCACATGCCCCGACCAATACACAACCTTGCTGCATGTGTTTGGGCGGGCTATCACTGCTTTGATGACTAAGAGAACTACCCTTTGTCAGTCGATGACCCCTAAAACACCCTCTGTATCCTGTCCCATGGCTGCAGGCCAGACAACAGCACCCCAAAGAGACTGATGCTGCTTGACGCATGCCACAGCTTTAAGAGCTCTTTGACAAATAAACAAAAAAAAATCACTGTGCAATCACTGCACAACAAGGAAGACTGGGCACTACGTAATGTGGGGTACTGTCCAGCAGAACCTCCATTCGGCGACAACAGCAATTTGCAACTGCACAGCAATTTTCACAGGTGAATTTAAATTCGAATGCGGTAACCTCTATGAGGTAAGGGATGCCAGAGTTAAGGGTGCCGGTCATGTAATCGGTGTGCGCGAGCGTCTCAATGTCCAATAACAGCTGCACCGTGCTCATGCACCGCTTGTCCAGAGTCTGGTTGTTGAACTCCACCTGCACAAAACTTTCCACCTCTCTCTCAGCACACCTTCTGATACAGCTTCCTACCAATTTATATAAATGGTGGCAACTCTCCAGCAATTGCTTTTTTTGTTTGCCATGGGCCAAGGTGTTCTCTGTGTTCTCTGACCGGTGGCTCTTGCAAGACTTGGCTGCAAGCTGGGAGATCCCAGCTTTCTGCTTCTCTGAGAATAGCATAGGAGCAAGGGAGTTGTGATGTGGGACCCCCTTAGGTAGGAGATTTGCAAAGGGCTGTGAAGGCAGGATCACACTGTAAAGCGAGAACAGGTGTGCAAGTCTGACCTGGACGTGGCCGGCAGTTCTGTAGTAAGGCTTGTTCTGCATAATCTTGCAGCCGATGAGCTTCTTGGCATAATCCGCTGCCTCTGCCACCTTCTTCACATCATCGCCCACCAGCACACAGGTGCCACCCTGCAGCGCCAGCCCATTTCTAATTCTCTGGACCTCAAGACCTCAGATGACCCCTAAATGGAGCACGTGACATGCAAAGCAGGTATGCTTGAAGACAGTCCTGGCTCGGTATATGGGTCTCTGAGTCACTTTGAGTTTTGGGACTCTCAGTCACTTTGAGTTCAGAAACTACAGGAGATTGCAAGGCATTTGCTTTTACATCAGCGGTTTGTTTGCAAAGATCTGATTGAAACACCGGCAGTTTGCCTATGGTTACTTGGTCTATGAGCATGCAGTTGTCACCTTGACATCTGGGAAGTTCTTGGTGAAGGACTCGATGTAATCCTTTGGGTGCGTGGTGGGTCGTTTCTGCGCACACAACCTCATAAGATTATGGACCGGGATAGCTAGGACAACAGTGAAGTGGGTGATGGCAAGGGAGCTATGACTGTGACAGGGAAGTGGCTTACAAAGAGGATATCTTCTTCTATTTTGTCTCCCCAGCGCACGTGAAAGCCCATGGTCGGCCCCGGGGCAGCAGCCAGATCCTTTAGCTGCTTGTCAATCACGGCCTGCACCCATGGTTGGAATACCCACGCCTGCAATTGCGACCAGTGGCAGTCAATCTACCATCCGTTCAAACGTGTATGACTCTAGGTAGTAAAGCAGAGGATCTAGTCAGACAGAGCTTGCCTGGGACACGCCCGCCGCGTTGTACGGCTCCCATCCGGCTTTGAGATTCATGTGGAGCACGTCATCAACGCCTCTGAAGCTGTGACGGATGCATTCCTCCCCACCAGCGCGCTCCTTGGCAGCAGACCAGGGGACCAGATGGTCTTGGTATGCAAAGAAGTCATGCCAACCGCCCCCCTCCTCGCATTTGTAGGCGAATTGGGTGTTGTCCAGGAAGAAAGTGCCATTGTTTCCATCGAATATTGGCACAGCATGCATCAAATGGATTGCATTTGCTGCAAAACCCGAGTCTGCAAATTCGAAGATGGTGCACGGCCTCACGACCACAGCGAGCTGCAGTAGCCCTAATGACACCAACAACAGGCTCCTTTGGGAAATGAGGTGCTGCATTCAATCAACCTATAGCTTCTGTAAGGGATCCAATTAGTTCTCTTGTGTTTTCAATGCTCACATTCTGTCTTCGGAACGACCCGGAACTGCTCGGCTTACGACACTCCCTCCTACCTCCTATACAGTCCAGAAATACCTTTGTACCACAAAATTGCTTCTTGTGAAACCAAACCTGACCCCTGCTTCCTGTCTGCGCTTGATGATCACCGAACGCGGGCCTAGTAGTGAGTAACCCGAGATGACTCCTCCTCGGCTGCCCGAACTGCCCAAAAGGGCCTGCGATGGGTGTTCAAGAGTGCATGCATGCCAACTTGGTTTTGAAAGGCATTCAACTTTGTCAATGTCGGTGATATTGGCTCGTGATAAGCGTGCTGCGAGGTTCTGTTGGTGTCACGCCCGCGGACTTCGCAGCTGCACAGAATCCCTTGATACAGGCATGTGCATGCAGACCTCAGGCTGCCAGTGATAGGTGCGGTGAAAAGATTGGAGTTGCAGTACCATGTTAGATGGTAGATTACACCGTCTCTTCAAAAAATACTTGGCACGCAATCAACGATATTGTCATTGGACCTCGTTGTCAAGCAAGAGCCCAACAGAAAAGTTTAGACACTGCGATACAAATGAGAAAAATTGCTGCCAAATATTGGGGGGTGTTGGAATTACTGACTTTGCTCACACCTCCTCTCTGTTGAGAGATCAAACCTTCATCGCAACACCACACCGAGCTGCAAGATTCTCCTGAAAGAAACTCTGCGCATCCGCCGTGAAACAACCGTACCAGAAAGAGATAAGCACCCGATACTCTTGGTTCTCGGAGGACCATTCTCATGCATGAGACCATGTGCAGTACAGGTATTCAATCACACTCATTCATTTCTGGGGAAGGTGACCAGACCAACTCACTGGGCCCCTTGCAGGGCAAGTCTTGCACCATTGCTAAATCTCAAGGTGCTACACAACACTTACATGTCTTCGCATGTCAGGATGGGGGGACTCAAGAGTTCAGTCAGCAGGCCAAAGGCTTTCAACTCTCTGCAGCCAAGGGGGTCGTATCGAGCTGCTCATGAGTCGATCACTGTGACCAATTTGCCTCTCCATTCGTTGACCCATAGACACAGACAATCACCAGCAACAATCGCTGCGATGTGAAGCCTGATTCACCAAAGACCTAGACTTGCCCAATGCAGCTTACCTGCCTCTGCCACTTGCACAATTGCCACAATCACACTGTAGATTCCCCCTTGATGTGGTGATTCAGCTAAGCAGCCTTGTGAGAGGCTGAGGCAGAACGGACGCGGTGGCATATGTTGACATCAGCGATGAGTCGGCGGTGACATCAACAGCTGGTGCGGACGCGGCCGTCGGCCGGCGCAAAGGGCGCGGTTATGTGATCTGCGCACGCCATGCGCAGCCGCTCGGGCGTTGCCGGGGAGTCCATCCGGAAGAAGCCGCTGCCGAGGCCTGCGTCCTCCCTCGCAGCATACACCGCCTCCTGCAAATTGACAAACGATTGCCCTCAGCAACTTAGCAAATTTGAATCTTTCAACTTGTGTGATGTTGCTCATACGCGTCAGTTTGTGCTTGTTCAAGGGTGCCAGGCACATTGCTCCTAGCAACCATTAGACTCTTGAAAGATTGTTCACAGCGCATGAGGCAAGCCCTCTCAGAACAAGGAACGCATGCAAGTTTCGACCCCTGCTGCTATCTGGGAAAGCTATGAGAAGCAATGTGCTGCTGCTGCTGACGATTTAGCCCGAGTACTCGAAAGCAGGACTTGGCGCGGCATTCCCTCAATGGCATTGCAAGCCTGCAAATTCCTGCTGATCGGTGGCAAGAAAGGTAGGTTGCGGGGCATAATTGCGAGGGCCTCTACCCCATCCACATGGATAACGAGTCAACAGGGCAGGGGCATGCCTTGAGGGCGTAGAATACGGAGGCGCCCAGGAAGAGGGGCGGCTCGCCGACGGCTTTGGAGGAGTGCACCTGCGGCGTGCGGCGGCATGGCGCATCGCGCAGCAGCGTCACCCGCAGGTCCAGCGGGATGTCATTCGCAGTCGGTATCTTGTAGGTGCCTGCACGCAAGCAACAGCATGAGTACAACGTTTTCGGCGCTGGGATCTTGTGCGTGCCGGCACGCATGCACCGCTGTCACTCAACCAATGAACATCACTCGCCATGGCATGTAAGCACTCTGGCAATGAAAAGGCGGGTTCAGCTTCGGCATTACATGTTCCAAATTGCATTCTTGTAGTGCAACAGGGCACATTAAGCCGGAAGCAGATCTGCATTCTTAACCAAAAACAGGTCTCAGATACGCCGATTGCTTGCAACAGCTTGCTAGGCCACAACAGGCAGCATAAGTCCTGGTAGCAAAGGCAAGTGCAAAGGAATATCAGCTGCCATTGCAGGTATGTAGATCCAGCAAGGTATGCAAAGAAGATTGTTTCTCGGCGGAGAGTGGTGGCGCACCTGGGCCGCGCGTGTGCAGCACACCGGGAGGCAGCCAGGTGTGGTCCTCGTCACCCCACACCAGCTCCTCCAGACAAGTCCAGCCCATGCCCTGCACAAACCCGCCCTCTACCTGCACATCCGCAACCACAATCTGTTATATTGAAGGCATTCTGTGTCCCAGGCAGAAGTGTGGCGCCAAGTCAGGCCAGCAGGCATGTCAACAAACACCCATACCATCAAGCGGCGAGGTACAGAGAAGGCAGACGCCCGAGCAAGGGAACATAATGCTCATTATGAGCCCTGCTTCATCGCTTGACTTGAAAATATGATTCCTGAGCCTCACTTCAAAGGGGATCAGATATCCCGTGCTTGATCGGCACAAATTTGAACCAGCATGAGCTAACCAGGGCTGAGTTGAACGTGGAAAAGGGGTGAATTTGATTGAATATCAATTTGAATTTGAAAAGGACTCAGCGCGCCTGGCCGATGTCGATGGCTGGGTTGAGGGATTGGCCGACGTCCATGCACAGGTCGGAGCGCAGCAGGTGCCAGTCACCAGTCAGCGTGTCCAGCTCAGCCTCGCTCACCGCCGCGCCGTAACAGAAATAGTTGAACGGCTTGTCCCCACCAAAACCTGCGCCCGTGGTCATCCTCCTCAATTTTCCGGACAATTGTCTGTTCTGCCACATATAGGCGCCCATCCCCTGGAACTGCACTAGGAAAGATGTCTTATCTCACTCTTGTGCAGCACTCTTACCCTTGTGAGCAGACCAGAACCTCTCAGCACAGCAAGCTGAGGGCTATCCTTCTGCTGCACAGACCAAAGCTGACAAAATGCTGTCAAACAAGTCTGGAATCAAGTTCCGCCAATTCTGCATGTGCACCTGCAGCGATGGACAAGAGCAGAGTATTACAGAATGTTTGGAAGGGGGCGGCACCTGTGATGTCGGGAGTGGTGTAGAAGCCGTGGGCGGACAGGTCGCAGCGGTCCAAGTAGGCTGCGTTCACCACTTCTTTGAAAGTGGCGCCCGGCAGATTGGCCTTGTATGGCGCCAGGCGCTCATTCAGCTGCCGGCATGCGTCCCCCACTGCAGCAGGGAAACCCAGGGTGCAAAGTTGAGCGGCGCGCGGTCATGATGCAAATCAGGAGCAGCAGAAAAAGGCATATACCTCAGCACACTGTCTAAGCAACTGCTTCAAGCGTGAAATTCTAAATGGGTACTTGGCAAGCTCTGGGTCCGTCAGCTTCGTTTTGAAGACAATGCAAGGGATAAAATTGCTTGCAAGAAAGCAGCAAGAAAGACTGTCTCCTCAAAATTCTTGAATCAATATTGCAGTATCACAAAAAGCCAAAATGCCAGTGGGTCTGGAAAGCAGTGCTGCAACACGGGCACGCGTCCGTCACTGCAGCAGCAACAACCATGGCGCATTGACTGGGCCGGCAGAAGGATGTTGCAATTCAAGGGACACAGAAAGAGATCAAGGGGCACAGAAGGAGGGGAAGTCTGCCAGGAGACCATTCATGCCATCGCTGGTAGCAGAAATGCTTGCTTTGGGTGGGGCACTGACAGACATCCCCACTACTCTATCCCTCAGCCTGTCAAGCTGCAAAGACCATCAACACCTGTCTTACAAATCATTACCAAAAAAACTCAAGCTGAAATTTTCTGATGAGACAGGCAGAGGCTGCACTGGTTGCCTGGAAAAACGAGGCCCTATTCATGACCAGTCCCCACATCACAAAGCCCCCAAACACAAGCACAGGGAGCTCTAAGTCAACTCATTCAATCACTTGGTTTAGAGTCCCAACAATATCAGTGTGCAGGGGAGAAGAACACGCGCACCGGCGCCGCCATAGAGGTCAGAGGAGGCGGACGCAGCAGTAGAAGAGGCGTTGGGAACTTTGTCGGTGGCCGTCTCAGCGATGTAGATTGCACTGAGCGGGAGGCCTAGGCTGGCAGCCGCCACCTGCGCCACTTTCGTGTGGAGTCCCTGGCCCATTTCTACGCCGCCGTGGGTCACTAGCACTGTGCCGTCTGTGTAGATGTGCACCAACGACCCCGCCTGAGAGGCACAGCAGATCCCACCGTGAATTCCTTTGCGTACAGAGTGTACAAGCTCGCAACATTGCCTGGTGTGCGCCACATTTACACTGCTCAAACATCTCGGTCATGGGTGCCTTTTGAGTGCGAGCTACTTTTGCAAATAGCAGGGATCCTGTGAACCAGGCATCCGGATGGCAAAAGCAGAAGCCTTCGGGATGTCACGCACAACTGCGCTCGCTGCTTGGGATGCAAGCACCCAAGAGAAAACCAATGCCAACGAGTGAGCACTCAGGGATAGCAGTCAGAATATGATGGTCACCCCCACATGGCTCACATTTCAACAGATGCAGGTTATTTCCGTGCAAAAGATGAGGGTGTGGAGATGCTCAGAGGACCTGCCATATCATGCACCTCAGGCGATGTGCACATTATGGAGGCTTTCCAGCGATCCCTACGCCTTCACCTCACCTGAATCATTCCAGCCCTACGCAGGGTCATGGGACCTCCTAAGGAACAAATCATGCCAGCAGATTGACGGCAAACATAGTTTACTAGGAGCATTACCTGGTTGAGGAATTTGGTGGTGAAGGAGATGCCAAACTTGGTGGGAGTCACGGCGATGCCACGCTTTCGAAAGCGGCTCTTTTTATTAAAGGCGGCGGCCGCTGCATAGCGCTGCTCAAGTCCCGCGGCCGATTCGATGGCCCTCGTCCAGCACGTCTCCACCTGCATTGCATTAATTTAAATTACCATATTTCTGAATTTGAAGATCTGATTTTTTTATTTTTTATTTTGAATTTTATTGTGGCCTGCCACAGACAAGCTCACTAAGAGCCACGTGTATTTTGCACCACATGCTGAGATCCATGGCGGAGGAAGACAGAAGGCAGGAGAGCAACAGGCACTTGAAGCTTGACATGCGCGACAGAAGAAATACACAGCAAACCCCTAGCACCCATACATGGGGCGAGAACCAACGGCCCTCTCAGTTCTGCATGATAAGACAGTCTGCTGGAGATTTTCAATTTTGCGGCCCACAGCACTCAGCAGCTGAAGTAGCTGGCACAGCCAGGTGGGTCATCATGCTCTGTGAGGAGGCGTTTTAGAGCACCAAACAAGCCCCTCACCTGGCAGCCCTCCAGCAGCTGCCCAAAGTGGGTGCGGTCCCCCTCCTTGTACATGTTGAGCTCCCTTACTGCGGCCGGTGGCTTGCCCACGGCGCGCGCCACATGGTCCATGTATGTCTCGGCGATCATCATCGCCTGCAAGCGCATATTCATCCCCGCTCAGAATTTACCTGATTGTGCCACCTTCAACTATTGGGGCACTGATAGGCCGCCAGACAATGCTCGTGCTGGTGTGTAATGTGTCTTCTAACTGCAAGACAACGCTGAGTCACCCTTGCTCGGACCTTACGTGGCTTTCTCAGAGCCCCAGCAACGCAAGCACAAAAGCAAAGGCCGGAATTTTGCAACAGGTCTGTTTAAGCGCTGCTCTGAGGGAATTTAGTAGAACGACAGCAACAACAATTAGCGGGTAAGTTAGCTTTGTCCACAGCAGAAGGGCCAACAATCACCGGGTGAGCTAGCTTTGTCCACAGCACAAGGGCAACAATTAGCGGTGAAAATTAGCTTTGTCCACAGCCCAAGGGCCAATGTACCTGAGGCCCTCCGAAGCCGCGGAAGGCGGTGTTGGAGGCGTGGTTGGTGCGGCAGATGTGGCCGACGGCGCGCAAGTTGGGGATATTGTACACGCAGTCGATGTGCAGCAATGCGCGGTCCATGATGGAGGCCGACAGGTCGAGGGAGTTCCCTCCGTTGCTGTACATCGTCACCTCCAGCGCCAGCAGCTTCCCCTCCGCCGTGCACCCCACCTGCATGCACGGATTTTCTGATAAGCCCCACGTTTTGGAATCCCCTCCCTGCATTGCTAGAGGCAAAGGCTGGCATGATGCTCATGAGGAAGTCATTCTGGTGGCAAGAAAGATCCTGAACCAACGAAAATAGCTCTGTGTCACACAACACGAGAAAAGTGCGTCACAATGAGACCATGGGCATGGATGAGGGTTGAAAGATGGATGGTTATGGGTTCAAGTCCCGGTCTCAGCGCAAAAAGGTTTTGCTTTTACTGCCAGCTACTGTACTTCTTGGGATGTGCATGATGCCGGCACAACACCAAGAGAAAGTGCTGTGTGCTGTCGCAATTTCCTCATGGCATCAGCCTGAAGAATGACATCCGTGGAGGAATGCGACTTGACAGCGTTCGGGATGCGCGTACCTTGTACTTGCCAAGGTAGGAGTGGCGGTGGCCGGAGGTGTGCATGTCCTCGTCGCGGTCTAGGATGAGTCGCACGGGGCGGCGCAAGTGCCATGCCGGGACGGCAGCTGCGCACGAGATGTTGACGGCGCGCGTCTCCTTGCCGCCGAATCCACCGCCGAGGCGCTTTGTGCGCGCTACCACCTTGTGCGCCGGCAAGCCTAGCGTGTGCGCCACGTGCGCCTGGTTGTGCGCCGGGCCCTACCGTGCCAAATGTACTCTGTGCTCAGTACAATGTGGATTTGAAACCTGCGAGTTCTTTCTTAACAAGTGCACCTTGCGTTGCGTCGGCTCCTGCCCTGACAGACAGGCTGCATGCTGAGCAAGAAGTTTGCTTCCAGAGTGCCTACACCTGCTTTGGAGAAGCCCCAAGCAAGCATGTCCTCACATTCTATGATGTGCGACTGTTGGACTCAAGATAAACTCCCTGCCCAGCATCAGAATCTGATGGCATATCTGTGTATAGTGACACCTTCATGCAAAGCCGAAGTGAGCAACGATCTTTAATGGCCTCAAATACCTGCTCCAGTGTGGTACAAAGTTGAGAGTGGAGGGCCTTGCACACGCAGCTGCCAGGGGTGCACAGAGCTGCCACGATGATTCTGAGACTGGGTGGGGCAGCTCTGAGGCGGTGCGTGTTAGGCAGGGCTGCATACCTGCGTGGAGCTGATGACAGTCATTTCATCATTCTCCCCTGGCAGCACGATGGTGCCCTGCGGCTCCAGGTAGAAATGCTCCTGGCCGCCCACGCGCACCTCCCCTTCCAACACCACATCGCACTGCTCCCACGCCGCGTCCACGTCACCGGAATCCACCCGGTGCCCAAACCCCTGCGCACACAGGAGGGGCTCAACACTCCCTTACATGGAGGGTTCACACAAGAGATCTGAAGTGTAAAATCCTTGCTGCTATTGGTACAGTCAACGTTGTTGGTTCTCAGAGCTCCTGAGCAACTCCTAAGCGCTCTGAGCAGACGCCCCTATTAAGAAAAGCAATTATGACAGCAGGCATTTCACTACTTGGCACTAATGTAGTAAACAAGCTGTGCATTGAAAGCCCCCTGCTGCCCGCTGGAGAGCTCAATGACTGCGGTTGCACGCATGACAGTCTCTTGTCAACCGCAGTCCAGCGATGCGGCAATAAATAGAAACTCTACAGGTTGACATGGCGCGTAGATCAAATAAGAAGATCCAGGGGCCGCACGTCGTAGAAGCTGCGGGCAGCCATGGCCTGATCGATGCTGAGCAGCGCCGGGAGGTCCTCGTAGGACACCGTAACGGCGCGGGCGGCCGCTCGCGCGCGCGCCTCGGTGTCGGCCACGACCACGCCAATTGGGTGACCGATGCATGTCACAATGCTAGTCGCAAAGACCTCCTCGTCGTGGATCACCGCGCCCAGATCGTTGCTGCCCGGCACTCTGCTGTGGTCGAAGTAGCCCGCCACTCCCTCCATCTGCTTGGAGCCAAACCGGCCGTAAGCTCGTTTCTATGATAAGCAAGCCAGGAGGTCTCATCCTTCACGCCGTGCTGGAACACATCCAGCTCTACTTGGCAGTGGCCAAGGCTGGAGCACAGGCCTACAACCTCAGTGCGAGACTTAGCAGTGACCTTCATATGCTACATGCGACCCCCAACTGTCAGTACATCCATTTTGATGTCAGACACCAAAATTGTATGGAGGTTAATAAGGTCTTCTGGACCCCCATTGAAGCAGAGAGAGTCTGGAGTGGGCAGAGGGGGTTACCTGTTCGGCCGCCGAGGCATCCACAGAGAGGATCTTGGCGTGGGGGCGGGTGGAGGTCACCAGCGCAGCGTGCAGCACATTGGGCGGCAGCGGGACATCGTCTGTATACTGCGCCTCCCCCGTCACCTGCCGCACCGAACCCCTTGCTGTCAGACACAACAACCACCCCTGGCTACGGCCTTGCAACATTTGTCCACCCGCATATTCATGCTGCAACGTACCCACGGTTGATTGGGTCTTGCATGGATCTAGCGAGCCCATCAAAGGGTAGGATTTATGGCATCATTTACATGCAGCTTGTCTGCACATCCACCTTGCCTTACACAGGAAAAGCGTGTAAGAGTCATAATGTGTCATAGTGTAATAATGATGCTTGCAGCTGCGCCACCGAAAGACAGCCAGCCTCTCTCTCTCTGGGTGCGACCTTTCGCGGCAGGTCCTCCTTGGAGACGTTGCATTTTGTGCTTGGAGTGGCCAGCATGTTCTCAGAAAATCAGGACCGCAGTGACGCATAACATAAAAGGGGAGGTGGCCAGGAAAAAGGTGAGGAGCCTGATGTGGCACCTGCAGATCGGCCGCCAAGTGTCGCTCGGGCTGGCCGACAACATCGGCGTCACCGGCCTTACTAAAGTACTGGATGCCGCGCGCGGGAGGCCTCTCGAAGCGCGCGGCGGCTGACTCGTGCGCGGGCGGCAGCCAGCCGCCGGCCCCGGGCGCCTCTGCGCGCAGCCGCAGCGCAACGTCCACAAAGAAGCGGAAGAGGAATGATGCCGCCAGCGAACGCCGGAATTCCACCATGCCGCCTGAGGTGACATCACAAGTGCGGTACAATCAGCACATTATAACGTTGCATGCTGTTTGATTAATTAGTCACTGGTACTTTATGCAACCATGGGCGGATTCATGGCGCAAACCTCTGCCTATTATTCAAATTGAACTCTTCCATGCATTGAATACACTAAACAGGCGCCATTAGACACACGCATGTTGACAAGCTCGTCAGTAGCAGCTTGTGTGGTTCCAGCCCCCAGATAGAGCAGTGACATGGGCAGCTGAGTGCCATGCGGGGTTGCACCGTGCCACAAACCATGCCAACTCTTTTCATGTATATAAGGCTCCCTACTCCAGTCGCGCGAAAAGACAACAGAAGTGTGCAAGCTAGACCCGCTCGATGGGCTTGCAGGGCTGACCTGGCGCATTGGGAGTGATGTTGACGTCCTCGGCGACGGCAGCGAGTGCTTTGTTGAGGGTGGCCTGCGACAGCGGCTGGCCCTTGAGAGCGGCCTCCACCCGCCGCGCCATTATTGTCTTGGGGGCAACGCCTCCGTACGCCACGCGTGCATCCTCCACCGTCCAGTCACCTGCCGCCCACAAGCTCTCAAATCAGACTCCAACATATAACAGAGATTGTGTGCAGATAATCTGTTGGAAAGGATGCGCATAAAAACGGTTTGCAAGCGCCTACTTCCTGGAAAAAGACTTCCATGTGTGTCTCTAGATGGTCTTGAGCTGCCAATGCACGGGTTGACAGGGCCAATAACAGCCAGAATGAGGGAAAAGGCCCTGGGAGAGATTGGCACTAGTGAGTGTTGAAAAAGCACTGCTCTCTCGATGCTGAAACTGGCTCACCCACAGGTGCTACCCCTTTGGGCGCACATGCAATCTTCTTCATATTTAGAATTATGCAACGGGAAAGATTTTATCTTGCAAAAGCGTGTCAAGGGGAAAATTTGCCGGGTGCACACCGGAGGCCGCGGGCGCCAGGCGCATGCGCATGCCGGCATTGACGATGGCGATGTCATCGTCGCGGCGGTGTGCCTGTTTGAACTCGCGCACGAATTCACGCGGCTGCGTGAAGGGGATCGCCACGCGCGCCAGCACCTCATGTGGCTGCATATCCACCCTGCGGTAGCCCAGGAAGAAGTCCTCCGCTGACACCTGCAGTCAACACCGGCCGGGGTGAGCAAAAGAGTTGCGGCAATGCGTGTCTTGAGCAGCTGGGAGTGCACGCGAGTGCTGTTTACCATATTGTGCAGGCAGCATAAGGGGTGTGAGCAGTAATATTTGGGCTTTGAAATAGCCTGCGGGGTGTGTGCATGGGAGCGCTAAGGGCCTGTCTCCCGTCACGCAAAGCTAGAACCCATTGAGTATGCTTAGGCAAGCACAGTGTGCATACAGGGGATGGAATGGCACTTCCACACTTTCTGCTGTCTGCAAAGCAAAGGAAACTCATACAGCCAGAACATTGGCAAAATTCCAAATAGGGGGTACTTCACACCTGGCGCTCAGGCGTTCCTTTGCCGACCACCGTGAACCTGGCGCCGGCGGCCATGTAGATGGGGTTAAGGTCAGAGATGGGGCTCCCAGTGACAATGTTGCCGCCAACGGAGGCCGCGTTACGGATCTGCACGCCCGCGAAATACTTGAGCTGCTCCAGAATCGCTGAGAAGGTGGAGGTCTGGTGCGGCGGCAGCGCTTCCACCAGTGACTTTAGCGCCTCGCCCAACTTTGTAAGCGTCACCGATGCGCCCACCTCGATGCCTGTCTCTGACACCTGTGCGCGCATCAGTCATGCCCCTTTAGACATCCATACAGCCGCTATCAATGAGCAGCTCTCAGAGGTTGAGAACCCATGTCACACTTGCCACTGTCATGACCATGTCAGGGACATGGCTGATGGAAGGCTCTGCGGATGGTTGCACATACGCCAAGAGTGCCTGATGGGGACTGGAAAGTTGGGCATCCGTGGTACAAAGCCCTATGAGACCTCTGTGGCACCAAGTCTCGTCAGACCATGACGCGGCAGCAATAGTGGGATGCGACTAAAGTTCAAATCCAGTGGGAAACAGCCTCGCAGGAAACATGCCACTTGGGCTCGATGGTAAATTTCTGCAGAGACTATCTCCCACTGGATTTGAATTTGACAGCATGGCGGCATAAAAGTGCATGGCGAAGTTATCCGTCATGACAAAAAATGGCGCGCACCGAGATCTGGTTGAGTTCTGGGACGTGGGTGGTGCCGACAAGGATGGGGTAGCCGGCATTCTTGAACTTCATCTCGATGCCCACCTCGCTGTTGCCCACTACCAGCTTGGCCGCCGGGTGCGCAGCCTTCACCGCCAGCAAGCCATCCAGGTCCACCGGCCTGCAAAGCGGCAGGACACAAGCGCCTCAGTTGCTAAGGTAAAGCGTCATGAGTGTGCCGGTGAGAGCGGCTGAGAGACAATGCTGTACATGCTGATATGCATGCATGCGAAAGTGAAGGGAGAGGGTGCCAAAATCAGTCACAAAGAGGCTACTGAAGGCCAGTGATGGTGCTCGCTAGGTTGCCCTCAACGGGACTGAGCAGGAAGAATTTTGCAAGAAGGCGAGCAAAGAGCCTCTTGTGGAGCGCTGAAAAATGCAAAAAATTTGAAGGCGAGCAGGGGGATGAGCACCTGAACCAGGATGCCTGGGGCCCTGGGATCTCAAGCGGCTTGCAAACGCGGGTCTTGAGCTCGGAGGGGAAGATGGGCTCTGTGGTGGGCTTGGCAGAGACGGCAGCTCCCCCAATGACTAACTTGTCGTCACTGTCCGTCGCCACCTCAGCGCCGGGCTCCACCGCGGAAGCTGCGCCACAGTCGCAGGGCAGGCCGCTGCTGGGGCAGATCTGCAGGGTGGCAGGAAAGGGGTGAATCAAGACCTGATTACTTATATTATTCTCAATAATCTCATGCTCAGCCCTTGGTGTCTTGCAGATGCATGGTAGCCTGGCTTGAAAGCAATATGATAGGGAGTGCAAAGGACTCCTGTCTTTTTTAGATTCCGCGTCCTGCACATGCTGAAATAACAAGTGAGCACCTTCCGAGCCGGGGACCTACCTTGCCATTGGTCTTGGCGCTCCGGCCATTGCTTTTCCCATTGGCATCACTCACTTCACCCTTGTGGCCATTGCTCTTCCCATTGCAGCCATCGTGGCCATCCGTGCATGCACCGTTGCTTCCGTTTGCATGACCGTTGCTGGCCCCATTTGTGTGCGCATGACCATTGCTGGCGCCTGCCTTGCTGGCGGCGATGGCCTCCTCTGTGTAGGCGGCAGAGTCCCCCTTGGCAAAGACCCGGAAGGCATCCAGGATCGGCCGGTACCCAGTGCAGCGACTGCGCACAATGCACACCTCACAGTGCTCAGCCTCCTTTGAAGGGCATCAATCGAGCCTTCTCTTGGTCATTTCTTTGCATCTACGCCCAGCAGATAGGCAAGAGAAGGCGCGCTGATGCATGGAGTTACGGAGGGGATCATCTCAGACACAGATCTCATGTGTTGTGAGCAGGGGTTGGGATGGGACAAGTGTGGATCTACAATTCAGTACATTGGAAGTGTATCAGGAAATCGATAAATAGTATTCCCAGGCAGGGCGCACCAGAGGTTGCCAGCAAGGGTCTCCTCAATTTCGGTCTCAGTGGGAGCCTCAGGCTTGGACCGAAGCAGCGAGTACATGGACATGACAAATCCCGGCGTGCAGAAGCCGCACTGCGAGCCATGCGCGCGCGCCAGCCGATCCTGCACCGGGTGCAGCCCGTCCCGCACATTCCCAATGCCTGCACGGCGGCTTCAAGTCATATTCTGTGCTGGCCACTGGCCATCTGAGCTCAGTGCTCCCTCTTCTGACGGTGACAACATCCATAGACCCAGCGATTACATTTGTTTTTTGCAACGGGAAATGCGTATCGCAGGAGACATGGATGGGTTCGAACGTTTGTTGCAGCCTCTGTCTCTCCCAAAGGGCATGCAAGTGAAGAAGGAACCCTACAAAAGTGGGGGGCAATCTGAAGGACTTGGGACGTTACCTTCGACTGTGACAACGTGCATGCCCTCTATGGCGTACAGAGGGCAGAGGCATGCATTGATGGAGCGGTGGCAGATCTTCCCCTCCTCCCAGCTGGACACCATGACTGTGCATGCTCCACACCCTCCCTCGCCACATCCCAGCTTTGTTCCGGTCAGGCCAAGCCCTGTAAAGCCGTGAGTAAGCGAGTAATGAAGGGGTCAAATGATGCTGTTGACATCACAGCTTATCTATAGAAACACAGTTCAGAGCTGTCGTAGCTGTGTGGCCTGCGTCACTTGCCTAACAGCTTGCGCTGTGGAGCAAGCACAAGAAAAGAAGTTTTACCATCTCAATAAAGGTAACAACTAATCGTCTCGTCACAAGAATGAGAGAGCAAGGAGGGTCGTCGAAGTGCCATTTCCGCACAAACACAGTAAGTGGTCGTCACCTCGCAAGTACTGCAGTAAAGTGATTTCTGCCTTTCCCAAAGGCAAATTAAGCTTCTTTCCATTGACATACGCGATCGGATGTGGCTCCGTTTCACCGAGAATACCCATTGTGCAGTTGGACAACACAACAGTATTTGGTGATTACTTTCTGCTGCTGCCCAGTGCAGACATTGAGATACAGACACAATTGCCCTGAAAACAATGAAGGCCAGCTAGGGGTTCGCCTTTGTGGAGATCGCTGTTCCGAAAGAGCTGCGTAAGCTACCACGTGAACAGGGACTTAAATTAATAGAAAAGGGGAGGCTTCTGCCAGGCTATGCAGCTTGTGAAGCAAGGTGGGATTGTGACCCGTGAATGCCACATTGCTACAACAAACATTCATCGTGGTTACCACAACAGATGCTGAGATAAGAAGTCATGCTCCCATGGCCATCACCGCACTGCAGCTGCCGCCACTGGCCGCGCAGCCGCGCAGCACTGTCACAGACACGGTGTCGGCGTTGGTGACCGTGGCAGATCATCATGAGGAGGTAAATCTAATTGCTTTGTAAACATTGGTCACTGACATGGCGCAAAGATCAGCCGAGAAGTTGGTTGGCGTTCGCACGCCTGACGCTGCCGGCCGCCAGGCATGCCGGCCGCGGCGCATGCATAATGCGTGAATGTCAGGCTGCGCTTGCACGTGCACACAGGAGCTATTGCAGCTTGAAAGCGCACACTGTGGCAAGCCATACCTGCTGTGGCACACTCTGTTGCACCTCTTCTTGGCTCCATGACGCCAGTCCTTTTATTCCTCAAGAAAACCATAGGATTCAAAGGAATATTCCAACGGTTCTCCGGCCAGGAAATCACAAAAGGTGTCATGCAATAAATGAAGAGCAATCCCAGAGCATTTCCCTCCACTAGCTGTGGATTCACTAAAACGTAATCACCGCAATGCTATCATTCAGTTCAAGGCATTCTAATCCGCAAAGGTTGCACAGCAGTCACTGACTGGCATGCCATCATGATTGTGACTAAAAGAAAGTCGGTGTCTCATCCATCTGAAGGCCTATACATAAAAAGGGAGGCAACGCTGCACAGACACAGTTTTTGGGTAACACATACACATGCTATCCTACCAGGCTAGCAATGGCCCTGACTGTAACGACAGTGAGAAGCATTATAAACTCATCCGCTTGGCACCATCCTAAAAATAGCCAGTCATGCTTGGGACATCTGCCTTGTGTTGGAGTCCCCCCTGGGAAATTCCCTGGCGATTGCTACAAAATACCGCTGTCATCACGCGACTTGCGCCACCTGCTGCTTCCTGTTGATGTTGCTGCACTCCTTCTTCAGGATGGTGAGGAGGGTCTGCGAGGACTGCACAATCTGTTCATACGCTCCCTCTGTCTCCCGGATGACCTTGTCATACTCGTCCCTCACAGCAGTCTGCACCAGGGCATGCCAACCCTCACAATTGCCTATCCTCAGTGGATGTGATGATGTGCATCTGGTTGTGAAAGGCATGCAGAAGCATGTGACATCAGATGGACTCAAATTCACCTATTGGTGGCACCTATTTAGCTGCTCCACAAGAGCTGCTGGGAGTGGTTAAGAATTCTAGATCAGAATGAGAATTGGGCTGCACCTTCCGGAGGAGCGAGGCGTCAATGTGTGACAGGCGGCTCGTGAGGACAGCGAGGTCCTGTTGAAGCTTCTGCCTCTCAGCTTCCTCACTACTGATCTGCTTGGAAACCTCCAGCCTCTTCGCCTGCAGCTCCTGAATGCCTGCAGGCAAATTCCAGAATCCAGGCAACTCGTTCTACCGAAGTAAAGCTGGCTCCATCTGACCAGCATCACCTTGTCAGGGCACACGCTGAACATTTGTTTATGCGCACTTCTAGAAGCTTACATTTCAGAAGCTCCACATTGTGATTCGGCAAGGACCCTTGGCCCTCTAGGATCCCCATCTTGTTATCGGGTTTCTGCACCAGCTGACGAACCCTTGCTCTTTGCCGTCGAAACTTCCAAAAATCTGTTTTTCTAAGTTTTCCCTGATGATGAATGCAGGAACGCCACAGATCCTATCCTGTAGCCTTCAAAGAGACGAACAAGGCGGATGTGCAACCTTGAGATCCTCCTTGCCAAGCATGCAAACTAGGAGCCCGGAGAAGCGATCCAGCGGTGCAGTGCATTCCTAGTATCACAAATGCGCTCAGCTTGCCTGAAAGGTGGGTGTGGCCTTCTTCGTAGCGTTCCTCTTGCCAAGGCGAGTTCTATTCTTATAGAGACCCCTGTTTGTCACCACGACGCCCGTCGATGTCCATGCGACCCCCAAATTCAGTTCTTGCCAAAGTGTTCAGTAGATTAGCCACACGCAGATCGCTTGTACATCATCGTGAGATCGGTGACAAAATTCGAGAGGCTAAGCACACTTGATTGCAACTGGAGTTCTGGTTGATTTGAAAGGGAGGGAGTTGAGGGAAAAAGACATAGACCAGCGAGAATACCAGATTGCCAAATGCTCGATACTATCTAATGTGTGAATTAACGTGGCAGACAGGCCGGGTTCATTGACACTGGACTTGAAGTGGTGTCAGGGGCCTCTCGAGGTATACTGCTTACACCTTCCTTTGATTATGACGCAATAATCGGAGGTGCTGTGGATGTGTTATCTGCATGCCTACGCAAATATATTAGCACAATCCCTGTGGTACCCTGATCATTGCCAGGGGTACCCCCTGCACCATGTGCTTGATGCCTGAAGCTTGATAGTGGCCGCTGCATGCCTCCTCAGGTCGTACGAGCTGTTGCATTACTGCAGAGCAGTCCCTGACGCTCTGCGTCGGCCAGTCCACGATGGCAGCCCTGTCAGGCAACCAGATAAAGGCAGTCCTGTACATTCTGCTCAACATAGTCTCGGGAACAGGCATCGTGTTCGCCAACAAGATCGTGCTCAGCGTCTACAAGTTCCACTTCGTCTATGCACTTACTCTCATCCACACTACAGCCACAATGGTGAGTCAGCATCCGAGCAGTAGGGCCTCCCGGACTTCTGGATTTTCCTTGTGGCTTTCATGCCTTGGCGATACAGGCATGATCTTATAGCATCTGCGTCTTGCGAGCAGGTGGGCATGTGGTCTTTTGCGGGGATTGGCCTGTACCAAAGAAAGGCTTTGAGAGCTGGACAGGTGCGGCACCAGAGGCCCTGTGGCACCTTCTCAATCCCTGCTGAGGCTCCGGACAGCAGCAGGCACAACACAAGAGTATTGTCTTGTGATCTCGTGCTGACATGACAATCCGCGTGTGCCGCAATGCAGATCCTGCCGTTGGCAGCGGCCTTTGTGGGGTACATAGTGTTCTGGAACTTGAGCCTGCAGATGAACTCTGTTGGCTTTTACCAGCTGTCCAAGATCCTCATCGCCCCTGCAATCATCATCATCGAGGCTATCTGGTACTCCAAGCTCCCTTCACGCTTAGAGCTGGCGGCAGTGGCGCTTCTGTGCATCGGGGTCACTCTGGCGACTGTTTCTGACGCGGAGGTATGCCACAGATCCCTACCAATTTGAATGCTCAGGCACTGCCCCTGCTGCCCTGCAGCAAGTCAAAGCCTGTCTTCCCTGTCTTCAAGCTACCCGTTTTGCATGTGAAAGAGTTCCCCAGGTCGAGGTCAGGTGAGGCATTGATGGCCAGAGGAATGCAAGGGCGGGAGCCGAAGCCCATGATCTCCAAAACCCCAGGGAGCAAAGGCGGTCTGGAAATAATGGCTCAGGCGCAGATTCATGTGATGTTCAGGTGACGGCCAATCTACCAGGGATGCTGATGTCCGGGCTGGCCATCTGGACAACCTCCATCTACCAGATCTGGGCCGGCAGCAAGCAGAAGGAGTACCAGGTGACTTTTACTCGTCCAGGCGCACGCATCTCCCTGAAACAAGCAAGTCTCTCAGGGGCGCATCCGCCCCACCACAGGCTGACCCCTCGATCTTCCTGTCCTCATGCCTCCCCAGCGGGCAGATGCAAGCAGCAGTACCTTGCGTGCTTGGCCCTGCGACAACACAAGATGCTGATGACCTTATAAAAGTCTGTCTCTATAATCACTTATAAGATGGCACTGTAACTGTCATTTTGCGCATGCGCAGGTGTCCAGCATGCAGCTGATGGACAACTACTGTCCCTACGCAGCGGGGCTGCTGTGCGTGCTGGTGCCCATATTCGAGCCGCTCGGCTTCAAGGGCCCGGTCACACCCAGCCAGACAGACACTTTGCTGAACTACAAGTACACTCCCGTCATTGTGGGAGCCATCCTGCTGACAGCTGTGCTGGGCCTGCTTGTCAGCCTGTCCACCTTTCTTGTCATCGGCGCCACATCATCTCTCACCTACAATGTGGTGGGTGCTCTGATCAACTTCTCACTGCTCTCTGCCTATTATCTCCGTTACTTAGTCTCTGTTATCCTCTTTGTCACTTAGTCACTTGTGAGCAGTATTCTACTTTGTCATTTACCCCTTTGAGGAGATCTGTTGGCGTTTCTCAGCCGTTGCAAGTTTTATGTGCCCTGCCTTGAGGTATCAGGTTAGAGTGTGCTACCAGAGCAACAGTTGTTCTGATCTCAAGTTGCAGAGCAGGAGCGGCTGAGATGTCTCCACTCTAATGTTTCCTTGTTCCGCAACCCCCTGATGTTACTTTGCTGAGCAGAAGTCTATGCACTGATGTCCATATCTCTTCCTTTCTTGCATGGCCTCTTGAGGTATCTCTATGGCTGTGCAGATGGGCCATCTGAAGACGGTGATAATCCTGGCGGGCGGCTTTGTGCTGTTCGACGAGGCCATGCCCCCCAAGAAGCTGGTGGGCGTGCTGTGCGCGCTTTGCGGCATAATCTGGTACTCCGCCTTGAAGATGCAGCAGCAGAAGCCCAGCCCGGCCGGCGCCGTCTCTGGCAGCAAGGCCGTGGCCGGCAGGAGCCCCCCACCCAAGGGCTCTGAGGCCGAGCCGCTTATCGCCAGCAGTGCCGATAAGAGCAGCGTGTAAACTCACAGCAGCATTGACACCTGCAGCTGAGCACGTGGCGCACATCTGCCGTGTGTCTCTCCTGTATAAGGACATGCGTCGCCGCAACATGTGTGTGCCCAGGCTTGGAACGGTCCTGGATCAGTGTGTGGGAGCTCTGATTGACATGGTGCCAAGCTATGCGGGCAATGCAGCTGAAGGTGGCATGCAAAATTCATCATGCAAGATTATGGCGGCCCTGTCAGCGGATTGTCTTTCCTTTCGGCTTCTGTGCCGAATCAGCACTGCATGCAATGCTGGTGGGTTTGCACCGGCATCGTTGTTCGCAGTGGGAACTCAGCTGGATATTCACCTCCGACGGGGATAAGGCCGCTGGCGTGGCAAAGGCACGCCAGCGGCCATGTATGCGCATGGGTTGTGATCAGGGATCAGGGTTTTGGTCTTGCGATGGGCTGAGATTGAGGAGACCGGCATATTCAGGTAAAAAACTATGGAGCCTTTGATATCCGGTGCCATTCTTTGATGAGGTCGTGAATATATGGACCGGATTGTGGTTTTTTGCATTCTTTCCTCTTCTGCTTCTTCTGTATTGATGAGCAAGCAGCAATTTCTTTTTCAGCTCTGCTCATCGGCAGGCTGAGTCTCATTGGGGCGTCAGGGACAGCATTTCAGGTCAGTTATCAGGGGATACTAGTAATGCAGTCTTGCCGCGCCATAGGGCTGTTGGCTTTAGGCTGTAGGGAAGCAAGTGAATGCGGTTGCTGCAGAATTTTTGGGTTTTCCTGGAGTGAACTGGACCCCAATTCGAATTGTAGTTCAAAATCTTGCTAGGGCCCCGCATGCAGTGCTATCACCTATCAAGCTCTTCTGTGGCAAGCTTGCGGCGTGCACGCCTTCCAGGGAGTTATTGCCAGATCGAAGCCCTACGAAAAGAGCATGCCCACTTGATTGGCAAGCGTATATCTATTTTTTTCCTGGCCTTCACAATTGATGTTGTTCTGCAGCACTGATGTTATTGAAGTCGACTGGGCACTTGGCTTATTACTGAACGTTATGTAATGATGATCACCATCGTAAACCCCTCGCCAATTCAAATGTTGATTGCGAAGTTCGGAGATCAGGAACCGAGAGCACATTGGGGTTTCTCGTTTTCTGCTGGAAGTCCAGAAATTCTGTTCATGTGCGACTGAGACTTACACTTTTGGACAATTGGGGTATCTCTTCGCGGTGCTTACCTTACCTCGTCTCACATCCTCCCCCACCACCGATAGCAAAGCGACATACCTGATCATGAAGCACTGGGTCGTTACTTTCGGGGTTCTTGCTCTTCATCTCTCGTCGACAGAAGCACTCCTGGGTAATCTCTTGGGGGCCGTTGGCAGCACGGTCGGCAGCACGGTCGGGGCAGTGGGTAGCACGGTCAACGGCGTCGTCAAAACCGTGACCGGGACAGGTTCCGCAACTGCAGACCCCATCGTGAGTTCATTCGACGGGCGCACTTTCGAGTTCTTTGGGAAAGTGGGGAGGTTTTACAACGTCATTCAGGACGCTGAGCACCAGGTGCGACCGTTTTGCCCTGCCGTTGGTTTGGGAAATGCCTGTGTTGTCGCGAACTTGCAGTCTCATCAATTTGTCATGCACCAGGTATCTATGCGCCTCAAGCTTGGCACGGTCAGCGACCACGAGGGCGGCACCTACATTGTAAGTTCCATTCCCAATCCCCACCGTCCTTCTCAGTGGGAATTTAGATCAGTGTAACGTCAAGAATGCTGCAAATAGCACGCTTCAGTGGCATCTGTCAAAGAACAGACTAGATAATGATCGCAGCACTTCTCTAATGGAGAATTTGTGGCGTTTAAGAGCGTGTCGACTGAAATGAACCAACTTGCTTGTAGGATGGCGTCGGGTTTGGGTACCAATCGCACAGGGTGGTCATCCAGCTGCTTTCCGACGATTCCGTCGAGGGTGAGGCAGTCAACCTCTGACTAATAATTGAACACAACCAGCGCCATCATTGTCAATTGGTATAATTGCAGGGCCTGAGGCGTGATGTGCCCTGCTGCAGTCACTCTGGACGGCGAGAGGCTGCACTTTGGCGAGAACGAAAACTCGCAAGCCCACGAGCTGACGACTGCCGCTGGCAAACTCCGCCTGCTGTGGCAGCTATTCCGACCCAAGCTCGGCAACACCATCGAACTCACCACAGGTGTTCCTCGTAACCCCACAAATGCAATGAAACTCTCACCATTTCTGCCTGCCCACCACCTTCTTTCCAGCCTGCAACTGCATCTCTCAGACGCAGGGTCCCTTGCATGTGTGCATGTGTGCATGTGTGCCATGCAATGTCCATCACCAAGCAACCATCGCCCAACCTTAAATCACGGTACTTAGCTCGCATGTCCGCCTGACAAATTTCAGACGCGCCGTTGGAGGTCCACTGCAGACCTCCCCTTGCTGCAGGTGCTCTGAGCAGGATCCCACTCTTTTGTAACTCCTTTGTATAACCACCCTTAAGTGGCATTAAGGTGTGTCAGCCTTTGCTGAGGTGTGATGTGTGCTGCGCGCAGACCTGCTGCGGCTGACGGTGTACCGCACCGATGCCGGCAGCCTGGACAAGAACGGCGAGCCGCAGCCCACATTCCTCAACTTTGACGCCCAGCTGCTGCACCCGCCTGCCCACGAGATGCAGGCGCGCTCCTGTGCCCCAAATTTTTATTTTCTCGCAAGCTATAGCAGCCCACTTGAGCCCTTGCTCTGTGCACCATGAGCTGCAGAATTGTGGGGGAGAATATCCCGCCTTCCTGCTATCCATTCATCAATTGAACTGGTGCACCAATTTGAGGCCTGCTGGTCTCTGGAGGTTCAGAAGAACAAGTCAGATGTGAGTTGAACGACCAGAACTCACTCTCTCGCATCAACATGACTCGGTGCTGCAGCTGTTATTTGATTCTGTCTCCCAGAGAGTTGTTGCGGGGTGGTTACATTTGAGAAATGCCTGTATTTATGGTGTTCTGCAGGGCATTGTGGGCGAGGGCTACACGCGCGTGCTGGGCGCCGAGAAGCTGCCGGACGACGGCGTCTTCTACCCGGCCCCCGGCGCCTCAATAGACTCCTACGAGATGCCCGGCTACTTCCACGCGCACGCCACCGGCGCCGGCCTGCGCTTCGGCGGCGCCGCCTACAGCCACCAGCGCATTCTTGTTCTCAACGACCGCCTCGGCGCCAGCGTGGCCGACATTGCCGCCGGCCTTGACGCGGCCGCGCTCCCGGTGGCGCACGCCGGCGGCGGCAGCCGCCGTCTGCTGCGCTAGGGCGTTCTTTCCCTCCCTCGCCAGCTCAGCCGCCCACTCGGCAGGCTACAACAGCCTTCAAGTCAAGCTGCAGGGGCAGTAAAGAATAGACCCCTGCTGCCCCTGCATTCAAGCTGGAGGGAATAGCTACTACAGCCCCCAGCTGAGGCTTCAATCAAGCTGCAGGGGCAGGAAACAACGGCAGGCAAGGCAAGGCAATTGCGGCCAGCGCCCGGCCCTTTTTGACACCCCCCACAAGATTCTGCTGCGATAGCATCTTGGCAGCACGGCATGGGGTGAAATCTGCTCATGCGGCCGCCTCGTTGTGTCGCTGTGCACACAAGGCTGGCCCGGAAACTCATTGCCCATCAAATCATGATTCAAGGCCAATAATTTAGCTGCATTATTTCTTGGAAGATATATTTTGCCGCTGGCATGGCAAATATTTCCTTGGTGCGTGTTCATGCACCAAGGTGTTTGTCCCCGAAGCACTGACACACGAATTGTGTTATTGGCCAAGTGTCCAAGAAGAGCTCTTGTATTGCGTATGGCTTGGCCAAATGGAAGGTTATTCGGTCTCAACTTTGCAGGCTGAGATATGTGTTTGCTCCTTGGGATCCTTCACAAAGGTGAGCTCAGATTAAACGTTTGTATGGACAATACTGCTGAGATTCAATTGCCACACAATGAAGAAGTATGCCAGATGGGCAGGACAGGAATTTTCCCTTGCTGCTGCCTTTGATGGAGCTGGCAGGCTGAGTCTATGGTCTTATTTGCTGGCCTCTGCAGCCGCATTGACCCAGATGCAAACACTTTGCCATGCATAGACCCAGTCTGCTGGCCGCGGGCAGCAAAGCAGAAAATCACCTGCCGATTTTTTTGTCGGGTAGCAGTTCTTTACTTGCGCTGCTTATTGTGTCCACACCCATTGTTGCTGTTGACTGGTGGGGCCTCCTGATCAAGGATAGGAAAGCACTTTGGGATATTATATACAATTATCCAGTGCACTCAATGACTTTGTCTGAGACTATCCAATTCAGCTTTCCATGTTGTTCCTTTCACCGGGTGGGCACACTCTGCATGCACCCTTCAGGTGTTGGTTCAGCATTTAATGATGGAGGTCCTCACCGGGGACACAACACAGGGACTCTTTGTTGAAGTTTTTGAAGGCTCGAGCAACTGGTGCAGAGTGCCTGTGTCGGGTGGTTTGCCTGATGCCCGGCGATGGAAATCTGTTCCTTGCCAGCTCTCCTTTTTGTAGTGTATTACTGGAGCTGCTCCAGTAAATCTCTTTGACAAGAATGGCTTTCATGGCGCAGATCTGTGCGCAGTGCCTCTGAGGTCTGAATTTGCGCACACACCAAAATGCATGCCCCTATGGCGCGTTTGCAGTGGTTCTTTACTTGGTAGTGACATCATGTGACATGATGTGGGGTGAAGCTTTCAGGGCTCTCACTCTCAAATGCCTTTGTTGTGCTTTCTTGCACCGGATAGATCACCAAACGGTTTGAGCGCCTATGCCGCATCAGACCTTTTTGTGAAGCTTCAAGGTGCCAATATTGATGTTGTTTTTTCTTTTGATGAGTTTGACTCAAACAGCGGCTTTGTAGGGCCGTAGAATTGGCGTGCCTGGCATGCTTGGTAATGTGTTGTCGTGACAAGCTGATTATTTTCAGTGATATGGTCATAAGCTGATAATATGTTTAGGTCCCTGGGCTGCAAGCATACCAATGCTTGGAGCCACTTGACCTTTAAAGTTACGTGAAACACTCAGAGTTGTCACGTTCAAATTGTGTTTGCGCATGCTGACATGCGTTTTGATATGCATCTGAGGTTATGTGTATGTACCTGTGCTACTAACCCCTGTGGGCTGGCACTGGTCATATGTTGTGGTCCTTCTGAGATAAATGATACAGCGCATGAACTGCGCCGCATGCTGACATGCGTATGGATTGTGTATTGCCTCTGAGGCTGTGTTGACTTTGCAGTATTGTGGCTTCTAGTCACTGTCTCCCAGTGGGGACAATGCCCTGTGGCATCCTGCTTTGCATCTTTCACCCATTTGAGGCTTCCCTCATGTACTTACAGCAAAGCAGGTGTAGATCTGACCGTAAAATGTAAAGGTCATGTATCATATCGTACCACCGCAAGCCGGAGTGCTGCAAGGACAGTAATGAAGGACACTACTGAAGACAATCAGGATTCCGCAGAGCAGCAGGATCTGCAGCTTTGCCCTCTCGTGGCCCACGAGTCGTGGGACTCAGTAGATGCCCTGTGACTGATATACTAGTCATGGGCTCATCATGGGGTCATCAGGTTGCCTTGCATGCCTTCTCTTTCATCTTGTTGAAGGTGGGTTTCTTCTTCAGCAGCCTGGGCCATCTCCCAATCGGAAGGACACACCATACAGCTCATTCAAGTTCTGCAGACCCAGAATGCCTCGTGGCTTCCCTTGGAGGACTTGGCAAGCCTCTCCTTTTGCCAGTCAGGCACTCCTGAAAACCGCCTCTGTGCGTCGTTGTCGATCACAGATCACCCTCCCGAGCCATACAGGTCTTAATACACCTGGTACTCAAGCTTGCCAGTTTGAGCAGCTGTTGCTTCTGGCACACCACGTGATGCTGCCACAGGGGTCCGTTTATTTTCTGTAATCCTCTTACGAATGACCCTGTACGTAGCAAAGCGCGTACAGCCTGCAGCCGAGAGGCTAACGGACATATTGGGCACGATCTAGTATTTTCGCAGCGCAGTCTAAGACAACTTCACTGGGTTCAGGAAGAGGAGGGTAAGTCCTGATAAGTATGTCTACATCTTAAGCAGCGGGTTACGGCATGAGTTTGCTGCAAGTTAATTGGAGCCTGCGCATCGCCCTGGAATCTTGAAACATACAGATGTGAACGTTCTTTTCCAAGAAATACAGGGATTCAGACGTTGGTGCTGCGTTTGCCAAGATGAAATTCACCCAGAAATACAATGGAAGGAGTAGTGTCTGCTCTGAGGTGACGATTATGTCCCTGATCCAAGGAACAGCAAAGTTGGCACGTGCTAAGATTCTCGATCTCCAGTGCCGTTCCTGGTACCAGAGACAAATTTGTGCCCAACAGCTCTGTGCTTTTGAGGATTGGCCACATTGGTAATTAGAAAGGCACACAAGGTCAAAGGTTTACAAAGCACAAGGCTGAACAGCTGAAAGCCTCAAGAGGTTGCTTAAGGGTGCACTCCATTCCGCAAAGAAAAGGGCAGGAGGGCTCAAGACAGAGGCCCTCGACCGCCTTCTCGCATAAGGCCCTCGCTCCACATATAGTATACGCTGCTAAAGAAAGCGGGACATTTCTACGGTGAACAGCAGCAGCTGCTTAAGACTGGATAGCAAGGGACCGGCATACTGCCGTGGCTGGTCTGCTGACGAGCGTCGGAGGGCGCTCAGGGCACGGGCAGGTGCGGCAACGGCATAATAACTCGTAAAGGACCTCCGTGGAGACAATACGGTTTAAGGTTCTCTCGCGTTTGTAGCTCGACGTGTTATGACTGGTCTCTCGCCCAACCTGAGGCATTTCCTGCCTAGTCCAACCCTCCTCCAATCATGGTCATTAAAGTTCGTATCTTGAAGCTATAAGCAATCACAACGGGTTGTACGAGAAAGTTACAACCTCTGGCATGCACCCTGTGTGAAGGGTCTCACCTTGGGCAGCAGAAGCTTTGGGAAATGCCTGATAATACTTTGTTCAGCAGCACGAGCAGGAGAGTCTGTAATGTTCCCAAGCAAATTATGACCTGCTCAACAGTTTCTTAGTGAAACATAACAATGGGTTGGTGCGCAGGTTGGCATGGCCCGCAGCATAGCAGTCCTATTTGTAGCATCAGCCCTACTCACACTATGCCAGGCCTTGCATCCAGACTTAGCGGTACGGCCCAAGCTGACACGTTCACCTCCCCCCTAACGTGCTGTATTGAGAAGTTTAGGAAGAAAGAACGCCTTTACAATTGTGGCAGAAGCAAACATCTGGACATGACTTGCCATCTTGGAAGTTTTAACTCTTCCTCTGCTGCTGCTGCAGGCATCAGCCAGTGAGGGGCCATCAGAGAGGAGACGGCGGTTGAAGGTGGAAGCAATTCTGCCAACAGATCCAGGGGAGGACGGCATTGCAATTGGGCTGGATGGCCAGATATACTCTGACACAGCCATCACCGCAGCCTATGCCGCAGTCGGGCAGCTGGGCCCAATCAGCCCCAAAGTGGCCATCTGCCATTTCCCTCCCCAAGAGCGCGCCCAATTCCAGGTGTGCTGCAGTTCAAGCGCGCATCGAGAGCTTTGCACTTTACTCTCAAGGCATGCCAAGCTTGACATGTTTGCATTCAGCCCAAACCTTTGCATGTGCCTGCAACAGTTTGTCCAGGCCGGTGCCAGGGACTGTGCCAAGTTTACTTGGTATACCAATTTAGTTGCATTAGTCTTTTAGCTGGATAATGTGTTTCTCGAGGCTTCAGCGACATGCATCTGCCATTGCCGCCTCATGGACAGGACAGGGGCTGCATATATTGATTGCATGTCAGCAAAATTGTCCTTGAAATTTGTCCTGAAGCAAGTCATAGCTCGAATTGATGCGAGAGGGATGCATAGGTGTCATGCATGGCGCATGCTTACATCCTCTTGCCTCCTGTCTAGGGGAGTACCGACCACTGCTGGCCTTCCTTGAGACAGTGCTAACAACAGGCCTTGTCTGTCTCACCTCAACAGGTGAAGTACCTCCAGGTCATTCCTCTGGTGGCGGCCCAGCTCATAAAGAAGGGTGACTTCCTGGCGCCTTCCTATCCTGACAAGCGCTACGGCTACGGCTGCGTGCTGTACGACCATGTCTGCGACTTCTCCACAGAGGGTGCGCAACATCCCCCCCCGCTATCAACTATTATCCACCTGTCTCTAGGGTCATCAGACGGATCAATATTTAATTAATAGAGGCATTATTGCATTAGTGTAGTACACACTGGGGCCATGCATGCCGCTGTTGGCCAGCCTCTGACACTCACTGCAGATTGTGTCATCAGCCGGATGGCCTGATATATGGATAAATTTTGGCTGCCTGAGTGAGAAATCGCTGAGGGCGGTGCACCTCATGCACCTGTGTGTTGCTAGCATGCTTGGTGCAGATTTGCCATGCGCCGAGCATGCTACGCAGCAGGAGATGCAGTGGACCTGAGTGCATGCCAATGGCTCTAGTCTGCAAGACACATGCTATGCATGCTGTAGAAGGGCAATTTCCATACTGACCGAGACTGCTGTAATAGGGTGCCCCATCTAGAAGGTCATCTGGGTACTAATGACCAGAGAAATTCACAAATCTGTGTGTTCTGAGGGGTGGCTGTGGTGCAGAGCCGTGCAACCTGGGGGGCACGTGCCAGACAAACAACACCTGCTTCTGCGACAACAGCTTCAAGACTTGCCAGCCGCGCGATAAGACCAACGGCTGTGAGACCAACATCGGCAGCGACGTCAACAAGTGCGCCCGCAGCCCCCCTGCATGCTCACAGAAACGCTTGCTTAAATAGGGGACACAAGACTCGTCAATCAGAAAAAATGAATATCACATTTTAGAGACCTTTCGGGAGCCACCCGAGGCTCATTGGTCTTGTAGGCAGTCTGTCACTGCCCATCTTCATATCACATGCTTCTCATGTGTCTGCATTCCGTCAAAAAATTGGCAAGTCTAATACTGTTCTGGACCATAAATGCATGCAGACAAGGTGGTGCAGTGTCAATGCTGCACTCCTTTGGCATGGGCCAATTTTGGGTGCTGTTCTTTGTTGCACTTGCAAAATGAGCAGAGATCCTCATCAGATAAGGAAGTGATTGCCGCCACTTCCAGACGCAAGGCCATTGGAACACTAGCGGCTCTCGTGCAGGCCGGCCGGTGTGCTGGAAGCAGTCGTGCTGAGTCACTGGCTGCCTACGCAGTGGTCTGTGACTCATCCTTGCATGTGTGGAAACTGCAGCTGCGGCGACTGCGGCGTGACGTGCGGGGCGGGGCAGACGTGCTGCAATGGCCTGTGCGCGGATCTGACCAACGACCCGGCCAACTGCGGCGCGTGCGGCTTCAAATGCGCGACCATCCCCGGCGTGCAAACCGCCACCTGCCAGAACAGTGCGATCCGCCCTCAATGGCTCTTTGAATTAACTTTCCTGGTCCGCCGTGTGAATCAAGCTTGCAAGGCCACCATCCCGCGTGGGCCATTGCATGAGAAGTGTGAGTACAGCAGCTTTGGCACCCAGAGCAGACACCCCTGCCAAGCCGACCATGCGGATGCGCGCATGGCAGGTGGTTGGGAGATATGGTGGATACCGAGCCGAGCAGCCAAAAGTACTTTGCCAGTACTTCTCACCAGCATGCATGAGGGAAGAAGCGCAGGGATCTCAATGCCCCGCCCAATCAATGCCCCACTCCAAGAGAAGAGAGGAGGATTTTTTTCATTCTCCTCGCGAAGCCCATGTGCACACCTAGCTCTGCCCCACCCGCACTCAACTCCAGGGGAGAGAGAGAGAGTGAGAGCAAAATGTAGGCTGAGGGAATCTCTGTGTGCTTCCCACTCGCAGGCGTGTGCACGGTGACGTGCACGAAGCCCAACCCGCCCGTGCAGGCGTGCGCGACCAACTCGGGCCCCTTCTGCGCCAACCTGCAGACCGATCCCAACTTCTGCGGCGCCTGCAACACGACGTGCCCATCGGACGCCAATGCGCGCGGCACTCGCTCATGCACGGCCGGGGTCTGCGGCATCACCTGCGACCGCAACTTCCCCGACCAGTGCGGCGACCCCTCCCAGGGCTTCTCCCTCTGCGTCAACACTAAGTCCTCCATCACAAACTGGTAGGCCGCATTCCTGCGCTGTCCTGACTCAGGATTCCTGCTGATGCTGCTTACGACATGGCTTTAGCCTTTTGCTTGACTGCTATGTCTGTTACCTCCAACAGTGGGCTGTCAGTGAGCGGGAGGCAAATTCAAGCCAAGACCCTTGCACTGCGCTGCTCATGACACAGGAGGTTTTGCAATTGAACGCCCTGCTGCTGTAGGCTCGGTGCTTCTGCGATTGTGGTAGGGAGTTGTCCGCCTGGCTATGACTTAGCAGCCAAAATGCAGGCTCTGGGTTCAGACCAGTCCCAAGTGTGACATTTACACAGACGGCCCTGCATGTCAGGGGGTGGTACAACCGATAGAACCGCAGAATTTTCATTCTTTGGTCAAGGATTGAAGGCAGCCATTAACCCAAAGTAGGAGCAAGAAGGAGCAGGACTCATGCTGGATTCTTGCCAGCCCAGGAACAATCAATTGCCAATTCTGCAAGTCTGAGCTTCCAGGTCTCTGACGGCTCATTGGCGCGTGCAGCGGCAGTTGCGGCAACGTGTGCCCGACGGACCCATCGGCCATCACCATCTGCAATATCGGCACCTGCATCTTCTCCTGCACCGGCGGCACAACGCAGTGCGGCACCATCGCATCGCCCTTCTGCGTCGACACCACCAACGACAACCTCAACTGCGGTAAACCACCCACGCGCTCCAATTTTATTCTGCCACGATTTTGTTTTCAAAAAAATTTATGCCACCAAGTTTGCACAGCCTCCGCCCCTATGAGGCCTGCCCCCCCTTGCCCACGCTGCGCAAGCGCAACTTCCCGCATGCGTTCCTGGTGGCCTAAAACGTCGCAAGTTGATGCTTACACCTTATCTAGCAGGAGGAAGGCATGCATGTCTGCTGATCCGGCAGATAAATATGCAGCTGTGCACCTGGCACATGAGCTTATCTTGTGTAATAAGGTTTTCTTACCTGCCTTGAGCTTCGGAGTTTTTAATGTGTTGGGGAACAGCTCAGACAAGGGATGCATTACTGAAATGCGGCTGCATGGGTGCAGGGTCCTGCGGGTTTGTGTGCCAGAACGGCTTCTCCTGCGTTTCCAGCGTCTGCTCTAACACCAACTTCGGCAAGTGAGTGCCAGACATGCATGCGCTGGGAAGCCCCTTCTTGGATATGTCCAAGGAACTGGAGTTCGGACTGCATCGGCGCTGCCGAGGCGCGCATGCGCATGCTTGGCCGGGAGCCTGTTCTGGCAGGAAGCGTGTTGCAGTAGCGCGGCGTACTTCTGCCAAGAAGGGTGCACGATGAATGTGGCTCATGAAAATACCTGAGGCTATAGAGCGCCTGCCATCCTGTCTTTGGGCATGTGCAAGCTTTGCATGCAAGGACATTGGAGGGGCGAGACTGATACAGGATGACTCCTGTCTTGCATGCATGCTGCCACAGATAGGGTGGAAAGAAAATAAGAGCCCATTCTTCTGGATGTCCGAGTCAGCAGATCAAGTGAGATCTTTGGGAACAGTGCTGATGGGCAATGTTGGGCGTCAAATTTGCACAAAGAAAGCTTATGTGGAAAATAAAATTTTTACCTGTGCAATTTGATGGTATCACGGCAGTGCCCTCACACACTGATGCAGCATGCAGAAAGGACATGTTGCGGGAAGTCATAAATTTACCATTAACAGGTGGTGTCAGCAGGAGACGCATGCACTGTACTCGACCTAATACTGGCTTATTAGTACTGTCTGGCATTAGGATAAAATAAACAGCAAATCCAGAAAGAGGATGTAAACACGAATTCAATTGTAAGAATGCCCACCAGACCAATGACGACCTCAACCAGAGCTTACAAAGCAGTTGACTATCCACTACCGTGTTACCTTGGCAGGCCTTTTATGCAAGTGGTTATGAAGAGGCCATAAAAAAAGTCCTCACTCCGCAGCCAAGGCAGAACCTGCGCAGTAGCAACAAATTGCAAGCGCTTATTTGCAATCCAGAGTCTGTTTACATTTCAGATTGACATGTTCAAATAGCTGCAAAGCACAATTTGGAAAAGAGCTTGAGAAATTCCAGTGCTCAACATGCTTGTATGATATTTGAGCTGCAAACTCACCGTTCTGCATGAGCCTGTCCACAGCAGCCAGCAGCTCTGCTGCATCTATCTGTGGCACACCATTCTCACTGTTGCCCTGTGAATCAGACGCAACCCCAGCCTCCTGCAAGCACACCAAGAGCCCCTTATTGCTCTGCCAAGCATCCTCGTGCAGTTACTGGGTCCCTTTTGCTCCAGATTCCCTCCCACACGCGTTGGAAAACATGGATACTTTGTGCACGTACCGGGTGGGTATTTCTGAGGGTGTATGCCGGGTTGGGTGGCGGCTCGGCGGCAAAAATGGCGTTCAGGCGCGCAGCCAGGTCAGCGCTGCTGGAGGATGACTCATCGGCCTGTGAAGAAACTCACTTTGAGATGCTCCATGTCACAACCACCCAATCAAAGACAGCCCCGCTACCACCATGATATGGGTCCGGTGTTAAGGTTAAGACCATAAAGATCCGACTCCAGAGGAGCAAGAACAGATGAAGAATTCTGGTAAGGAATTGCTTGGGGTGACGATGTGCTTGCATCACGTGCTCAAGTGACTTTATGATGTTGGCTTGAAGGCAGACGGACCTTGTGGCGGCCTGTGGCATCGAAGGAGATTGCCTGGAAAGGCTTTCGCAGCTCCTCAGACAGGTGCTCCGCCAGATTAGTGCCTCGGAGGCACGGTGAGAGCTCCAAGAAAGCTGCACCAGCGCCAAGACCCCATCCGTTGGTTTCACCCGTCAGATAAGACCGAGCCAAGCATATTTTCAACTTTGCTCCTTCAAATTCCATGGAAAGGATGGTAGCAACGAGCGGTCATCTGGTGCCTTTTGAGACTAGAGGACTACAAAAGAACTGTGAGGCTTTGCCAGTATGCAATGGCCCAGGTTCCTTGGCTGTATCCATCTGAGGTTCAGCAGGTTACAATGTTGGGCAAAGCCACAAGAAGAATTCAGCATGTCTCTGATAAGAAGGGGCCTCACATGCTGCTTTCTCCGCAAGGTCGCTGCTGGGCAGCTCCTTTGGTCGCAGGGATGCCAGCACTGAGGTAGCCCTTTCATCGTCCACCGGAGTGTAGCCCGCGCGCGTGTCCTCAGCATGCAGTCCCGCTTTTGTCAGCCTGCACGCCGCAATTGCCTTGTCATCATCACTTCACCCATGCGGAATCTTTGCACCATCAGAAAGTGGAAACCAGTGGGCTTTATGCGTATGGCCTCGGTACAATCACTGGCGCAGTCCAGCTGGCATGTGAGGTGCCAAGCTGGATAGTCCCAAAAGGGGCACAAACGCTGGCATTATAATTAAGCAAATCGGTGCATCGTTGGGCTGTCCATCCCCATGTCAGTACTGCTTCTTCCTACGTGTTGCGCCTTGCGTCCCTCCTCATGCTGACAACGGCGCCTCCCATGCACGATGAAAAATGGCAAAAGCACACGATTGCAAATTGAAGGAGGAATCGATTGTCATGGGTGTGTGCGGGGTGCGCACTGCAGGTGGGGGCAGTCGGACGCGACGAGCGGGAGCAGAAGGGCGGCCATTTTGGGTGCGCACATGGCAGCAGCCAGTCGCGCCACCAGCGCGTTGTGCAGAAACAGCAGCGTCAGCCGCCGCGCCGGTGTCACAGCCGCCAGGTGCCCTGATCCACCCTCCTGCGAGCATTGCCAGCTCATACCAGCCGCAGATGCCATGCACAAGCCACTGTTCTGTTTGAAAGAGTAATCTGCACCAATAACACCAGAGCTCTGGCGTCCTCTCTTCATTTGGTCAGGTACATTTGTCTGCACAAACAATGTCTGCCCAATAGGTCTACTGCTACACTCCAAAATGGGTAGGATCGCCACAGCAGCCGCAGGGATGGTGTAGCAGCAGACAACTCCGGCGCAGCTCATACTCTTGGGAAGCATGGACAATAAAAGGCAGGAATGTGGTGAAGCGCCCGCGCGCCTGCAGGGCAGCCGCACGGAGCGACAGCGCCCAGCGCAGCGCGGCGACCACAGCGTCCGGGGACGCCAGCCGCACAAGAGATGCCAGCAAGGCGTCCAGCGAGGCAAACACCGCCGGCGTGTTGTCGTCCGCAGCCACCTGCAAATGATGTCACATTACTGTATCTTGCATTGATACCTTTATGAGCCCCACCGTGTTTGCAGATATTTGGCAGATATTTTGTGTTGTGCTCCTTTACTACCTCTGCGTTCCTCACATTCCAAAGACGGCCAATGGCGCCGTGGTTCTTGAGTACCAATTTCAACTCTTCAACGTGGCAACTGCCACTGCTCTTCGTATACTGCTCTTCACAAGTATATCTACAAATTTGTCAGCCAGGCTGCCAAGAAGTCTCTTTATCTTGAGGCAGCACAGAGGGATAGGCGAGTGACTCACCTCGGCCCAAGCAGCGCTCCACAGCAGCAGCTGGTGCCCGTCTCGGAGGTGTCCCTCCACCAGCGCCGCGGCCGCCGCCCCGAGCGCGTGCACCTTCAGCCGCCGCGCCACCGGCCGGCCCCGCCCCGCCATCGCCGCCGCCACAAGTTGCGCCAGCAGCTTGGGGAAGATCGGCCCCACCACTGCGCCGCCTTTCTGCAAGACGTGAGGACCAGACGTTGGGACCTCGAATTCCACGACCAAATGTGCAGACACTCATTTTTTATGCAACAGTCCAGCGGAGGACAACATTCACTGGCAAACTCTGAGACAGGTGGCAAGTCTGGTTGCCACATGCGCATAGTGCGGAGAAGACATGGACTCCCAGTTTGAAAATGTACTGCTGCTATTGGGGAGCAATGTCGCTGGTACAATTATTAGCGAGCAGAGATGCAAGTTCTTCGCCTGAGCACTGCTCAGTGAGCAGCCCTGAGTAATTGACATCTTCCTCTGTCACTGCCTTGCAGACCCCGGTTCATATGTCTGGGCAAGCTCTCAAGGCTGCTCACGAGCCTCGCCCCAACATCTCAACCAGAGTGTCCACGACGGAGACAAGGGGAGAGTGATGGGTCACAGGAGCTCATGAAGGGGTACACTCTGAAGTGTGTTTATTGACCAGGTACCTGTGAGACGCCTCGGACGGCAGCCATGAAGCAGTCAGTAGCCTGTTCGGCGGCGGCTTGGTCGGCCAAGTAGCGCGCAGAGATGCCCCCAACGGACTCCAGCACGTGCGTGCTGTCCCCCACCGCAGCTGCCAGCTCGTGCACCAAGCCCAGGCACTCGCCAGACACGCCTGCAGCATGACACGAACCATCATTCTTTACCTAAAATCACGTAGGAACATTTGTCAAGGGAACTTTTCTGGAAGACTTGGGAGAAACAGCGGCTTGCTCGTGTGGAATGCACCCTAGTACAGCCTCATGACAGGACCAAACTTGAAGCAATGGTAGATATCAGTTCCTGCCACAAAATTCACAAGAAGTGCTCTTTTGAGCATGTCCATGCAAGATTCTCCTACCTGAAGCAGGAGGCTGAGCTGCATCTGGCACGTATGGGAAGACATCTGTGCTCTCAACAGGGGACATCACACCTGGCAGTTCCTGCGCAGATATAATCAGCACACGTCAGCAGCAATCGCCATGGCGATCCAGATGAATTCTGGGCCGAAGGAGGCAATAAACAAATGGCCCACATATGGAGCATTAGCTTTTGTGGCACTGCCTGCTGCAACTTGACACTTCACTCAAGGAAATACACAGTAAGGGTCTTCAGGGTGCACACCTTCAGGCATGCGATGAGGGCCGGGATGGCGAAAAAGCTCTGGAGGCTGGCAGCCTGGGCTCTGGCGCGCTGCAGCAGAGCCGCTTCTGCCGCCGCACTCGGCCGCGGCTCTGCATGCAGATGCTGCAGTACCGCGCTGAACAGCAGAAAGTCCTGACCCTCCTTGTGGCAGACCTGCCAAGCACCCAAGAGCAGTGAAAACGTCTCACTTGAAATTTTTGCTTTTCATACCAACCTTCCACCTGTCGCCATCCCTGTTCTTCCAAGGCCAGAAGAGGACCCTTTCATGTTGAGGGGCGGCTGATGAGAGGAATTGAATTTGCAGCGATCATGAATGTCGATGAGCAGGCCACTCAACCACCATGCACAGCTGATTGAATGTGATGGGCATGTGTGCAATCCAGAACTGTGCTTCAACCAACGCACATCCGTGCGGCTTTGCACACCTCTTCTAGGAGACCCATGATGGCGGCAGCGAACCGCGCGTCCTTGCTCCAGAGCTGTTCCTCATCCAAATAGCGCAGCACGAAAGCTATTATGCGCCGCCCCTCAACAGCGTCCTGTGCAGGCACACACACTCAGCACCCTCTCCCACAGCGCCGTCAAGCCCCCATAGCAAGTGCATGTATTCCTCTGGATGCCAAGGTCTCCGCTGATGTCTGGATGGGGCACCCTAGTACATAACATGGAAAGCAGGGATGCTTGAAAACAGTCCTGGCTTGGTCTGTGGGGCACTCACTTGAACCAGCCACAGGATACCCACATAACAGCGGCACATACAATATGGCAAGCCCACCAAACGCATGCTATTGTCTGTACAGAGATGCATGGGCGACCGCACACACCTGGCACAAGATGAAGAGCTCCCGCACGTACTGAATGGCTGCATCCACGCCCGGGGCATGTTCAGCCGCGGGCCGAGGCGCCGTCTGCGCGGCTTCAAGGCCGCCATTTTCAAGGGACTCTTCGAGGGGCGAGTTGGCCTCCAGAAACTCCAGCACTCTTCGCACAGGCTGCTCCAGCGCTGCAGAGGAGGAGGCCGTTCGCGAGCTGCATAATGCACCATTAAGCTCTTTATTCATGATCTGGTCCACAAGCCCAGCTTCTCAGGCAAAGATGTGGCCCAAGGCCCTATCACTCAAAGGCAGCCGCAGTGCATTGAGTGATGGGCTTAAATAGGGTGTATTTCTAAATGCAGAGGAAGCGTCCTATTGTGCAGATGTGTGAGATAGCTGGCTTGGGAGCGCACCTGAACAGGATGTACTCTCGGAGGGCGCCTAATGAGGCGACAGTCAGGTCGGCAGAACTCTGTGCGCTGAACTCCTGACCTCTCAGGCTCACGAGGTGTTCTGAGGCCCCAGGAAGGCCCTCACAGAGCAACGGCACAAAAATCTGCAGATGCTGAGAGTAATCCAGACCAGCCTGCACACACGATTTCAGCATCGCAAGCAAGCTTGTCCCAACAGGATGCTGGCAACAAGGAGTTGAGCCTGGAAAAAGGTGCGGAGTCATGAGGGGCATAATCCTTGCGTTTGAAAAGCTTGCCTAAGTGATGGGCAGCGCACCTGGACATGCACAAATGCTGCCAGCAACCGAGCTCCAAGAATCCTGATCTCCAGGAACTGGCTCTGAAGGAGCGTGCCCACCTGTATGTGCCAGCTTGCCATTAGTCAGCAGGCAAAGGATTCCATGTATCCTGAGAGTATCCATTCTGGAGGTGGGCACTGTCAGGCATTGCTAGATTGGATTCTGCACGGAGATTGAGCGAGCGTGGTGAGGGAAATCGAGGATGTGGCACATACCACACTGGAGGTTGCTGTTGCAGGATCGCTAGACAGACTGTCCTTCCCTTTGCCCTGTGACCAAGCCTTTTTTACGTTAAGACACCCACACGGTTTGCATGGGCAGCCAAACACAAATATGCTTGCTGATGCTTCTGATACGTGTCTGATGGCAGGTGTTCATTTTAAAACTGACATGGGGCATACCACGTGCTGCAGCACCACCTCCCTGGCAAGGAGGCTGGAACTGCCTGAAGGCAGGTGCTGAAGGAGGTAGATATAGGCATTGACTGCTATTTGCACGTTGCCGTGCCTCTGAGATCGCATGTCCTGATAGATCTTGCGAGCAAGTCGTCTGGACACCTGGAAGTGTCAGCCTGGTGCTTTCCCCAATACCAATGTCTGGAAACGGTTCATTATAAGGGCAAAACCCCTCGGTTAACATACTGTACACTTTCATCAGGTGCCGAACATGCATCTCAATCGATGTGTCACCTTCTCTCCACGGTGGGGATTCTTCTCCACATACTCATAGAGTTTCTTGTACTTCCTTTCTGTGGCAGGATCGATGCGGTCTGCGAAAGCAGGAGGCTTTCGAGGGAAGATGTCCGGCACAAGGAGGTTGTAGCGTTTCACAGGAAATTTGCTGCTGGCTGCGATGCCAAAACAATTACAGTTGCAGTCCATCTCCAAGGTTCCTGATGGAAGGAATATGAGTCTCTGGACAAACTGTCAACACTAAGGAATCAGGCAATAGCGTCAAGCTCAATCATATGGAAGCAACATAATCGGCATTATCTTGGAGCATTCAACACGTCAGATATGCTACATAGAGCCCATCAACCTATTGATGATCCTCATGGTACAAAGTTCTGCCTGATCCCAATCAAGGACACAAGCGCAGGACACACAGAGATATCGAATGTAGCCTCAACGTGAAAATTTTCCTCACAGTGCTTGCAACTACGGTCGATTGCTGTGTATTATACGATTCCTCCAGCGATTCTTGGCTTTGCAGGAACGCCCCAGCGCGCACGACACAAGTGACGTCTTGTCTGGTGATGACTTGTGATATGATCCGTGCTGGCAATCCAGCCCAGAGAGCGTTGTCACCTCCAATCCAGGCGAGCTCCAGACATGCCAGCATACTTGGGACCGCGGGCTCTGCGATCCTCGAGCCGGTGCTGGCAGACACAGCGGCAGCACGGGCAAGTGGCATCCGGCGGTTCTGTGGAGTCTGTGCCAGTACCCAGCAGGGTTTGATGCCAAAAGGGGAGCGTTTGAGCGCCTTTAGCGCGTTAGACTAGCTTGGGAGGCCCCGACAACCTGCACTGAGCGCAAGGTCTCGGGCGAAGGTGAGCGACAGCTTGCCAAAGGCTGCCCTAGCGCCTGGTAGTGTCCGTGAGAAACGTGCAGCAGGGATTTTTCATTGCAGTGCCCTGGCGGCCGCACAACACAGCGATGGAAAACCTGTATTCCTTTGAGATTTCTTTTATGCGCAATCATGCATGCTGTCACTTGGTTTCACGCCTGGCGGGCGAGCCTCGGATAGATATTGCGATTAGATGGGTACAGTAGAAGGCGGGCAACACTGCGAAGGTTTCACGCGTGACTGGCCATATTCATGTTTGCTCAGCTTTCATATAAACAAATCAGTTGTTTCGGGCCCAAGAAACTGCTTAAGAGCTGACTCGTTTGGGACCTGCGCGTTTAATTTGGGAGAGCTAAAAGAACCTTTCTGCCTTTGATTGGCACCTTTCATCCCCGAATTGTGTCTGCAAAATCTTGCTGTCGAGAAGTTCTGCTGATCGATCCATGCGAACAGCAAATTTTGATGGGCCGCTGCACAAACGCTTTGGAGCCATGGGGATCACAAAGGCTTGTGGGGCAGTGTCTGCATCCAGATTTTTTCGTTGTCTTATCCACAGCCCAATTAACATTCGATTTCCAGATTTTGCGGTCAAAAAAAGCAGATTCGTGTGGCGGAGTTGTTCGCTGTGTTGCAGTATCGTTAGTAGGATCCTGTCTAAGGCCTTCTGCAGCGCTGGCCTCCATGACCTGGCATGACCTGACTGCATTGTGCTCATGCAGGCTGTAAGATGCTCAGGCGTTGAAAACAGCGTACCAGCAAAACAAGGACAACAGTGACAGAGCAGAGAGGAGTGGGGCATCAGCAGCAGCCCTTGAGCCTGGGCCTCTGCGGCGCGTAGGAGCTCCCATGTATGGGGCCTCCTACCCGATGCAACTTACTGTGCAGGATGCATCGGTCTCACCCCACCAGCAGCAGCAACAGCAGCAGCAGCAGGAGCAAGCGCAGAAGAGTGGGCAAGCGGGTTGCTGGCAGGCACAGCCCTCCTGCCCGCTGTCCCCTTTCGATCTCATGCTGAGGAATGACACCAGCGGCGGCATGCGCTCAGGGGCTTCGCCGTTCGATTTCCCCATGGCCTTTTCGGCCGCGCCCCCAGCGATGCCCCCATCGATGCCCTCCTTTGGCCACGGGGGAATGATGGGGCCGGGCCCCATGATGAGCATCGGCCGGTCGCCCTTTGACATCCCTAACGGCCGCGTGCAGCAGCTGTTGGCCAATTCCAACATCAATAGCTCCCTCGGCCGGCCCCCGCCCTCCCCCTTCGACCTCCCCCCTAGCGGCCGCGGCCCGGGCAGATCCCCCTTCGACATGGCTCTAGGTATGAAAACTCCTTGTCAATAAAATTGCAGTATGTACTGATGCCACTGTCCATAGGCTGAGTTGCTGATGTTGCCTCCAAAACAAGCGGGATTTTCCTGCCCCGCCCCCTCTCTCCCAGTATCTGCTTTGGCGCCCTTCTTTATGTTGATACAAGGATTCCAAGATCTGGATGGCTTGAGAGGCTATCCTGCACCATCTGGGAATCTCTGAGTCTTTGGCAGCGGGGCCTGGTTTTAAAGGGGATGTTGGTCTGTTTCTGCAGCGCAAAAGGCATCGCAGACGACGACGTCGAGCGGCAGCGGCGGCCGGGGGGGCCTGCCGTTTCCGGACGCGCGGTCGATGGAGCGCAGCTTGGGCAGCGAGGGCAGCCCGGGCACGAGCCTGGCGCCGGACGGCGGCGACGACCTGATTGGCGTATCGCAGCCCAACCCCGAGAAGCACCAGCAGCTCTTCGTGCGCTACAGCGGCCTCAGCGAAGGCAAGGCGCCAGCCCCAGTGCCGGATGTGTCCAAAGCTCTGCTTGACCTTCAAAGGCTCCAGACCAACAGCTTGGTATCCCCATGAAACAGCAGATGGTGAAGCCACCCTGGCCGGTGTAAAGCCAGAGCATATTATCTTGACAGGGGGAAAAATTTGGTCAGAAGCGCCACAATGCCCTGTCTCTGCCCCCGTGCCCTTGCCGTGCACCCCGTCAGCACTGCAGCTGTGCCTCCTCGCATAAAGAGTCTGTTAGTAAGCTGACTCAAGCGGAGCCTTTGCAATGCGCGCAGCCCACGCGATGCCGGAGTGGCGGGGGAAGGACAGCTTCGCGGCGGAGGCGGCGTCGTTCGGGGAGATTGACCTGCGCGCGCGCGCCGAGAACATGCCGGTAGCGCTGTCCATGCGCGTCGTGGCCGCGCCGGCCTCTTTCGCGCTGCCCATGGTGCAGCGCAAGGTCTTCAAGCCCCCCTTTACGGTGCGCGACTTAATTCCCCCCCTATCTTAGGCCTACATTGAGCGGTGCAGGGTTGCGAGCATGACGGCTTGCGGCCCATATGAGCAGACAGCATGTTACGCAGTTGCTGCCCCAGCTTGTGCCCCTGAAATGTCGACTGTCAGCGTTTGTGCCTTTAAAGCCGTCATTAAGACAGGTTTGAGTGGAATTTATTGATAAAAATAGGATATCTGTGCATCTGGTACTAAGCTAGCAGCAGAGCACAGAAGAATCTTGGGAATAATTACCATAGAATGCACTGATCCCAGCAAGAATCTGGCAGCTGGGTATGTCAACCCTGAGCCCTGCATGCATGCTTGCTGGTGGGAGCTGCTGTGTACATTGGGACTTGATTACTTTGTGCATTTGCAGATACGGGTGGAGGTGCAGTACCGGCAGCCGCTGAGCCTGCCGGTCACGGTGGAGGTGCATGCAATTAATGATGCGGCGCACAGCAAGGTGGCCACCTGGCTGCCCGAGGCCGATAAGATGCAGGCTGAGCTGGAGGGCAACCGCATCTCCCGTACCCTCAACGTGCGCTGCTATGTACCCCGCCTCTCTGTTTGTTTGGAGCTGTCTTCTTACCATGCATTGTTGGGGGGCATTCTGACTGGCAGCAACAGGGATTTTAGGGAGTAAAAAGTGGCTGATGCCCAGTGCTCAAAACATCGCCAGCTCTGAATGGCGCAAGGCAGTTGGATCGTGACTTTGCCATGGCAACCTCCTGCCTTTCTTTTTGGGCTTTGGGCGTGATGCTGCCTGGCACCGTGGCGCTCATTTTGTTTGTCAGGGCAACTGACGCTAATGCCAGTCAATGTTGATTAATTCTGACCGTAGGAGGGAACGCGCGTGCGCAGGTGTCGGGCGGCGCGGCGTATGGTAACGGGCTGGGCCTGGATCTGGGCGGCAAGCAGACGGGGGAGCACCTGCACCTGGAGGACTTCAAGTTCACCGACCTCAAGTGGGCCAAGTCCTCGCGCATGTCCAAGCGCTGGCTCGTCTTCTCCCTCCGCGTCAAGGTGCCCACCCCCTGCTCCCACTTCCTTGTTGTGGCGCATCTTGGCTAATTACAGTCACAATCTCACCAACTTGACTGGGACAGAAGTCAAAAGTGCCAAATTGCTAGTCTTCTTGCATCACCTTCAAAAAGCGCCAGTGCGGACTCTCCTCCCTGCCTGACCTCCACCAATGCCTCTCATTCAAAAGTCAAAATAGACTCCCTGCATCCACTCTGCCTTGGAAACAGGACCGCAGCTGACTGATCCAATTGGCTTGATTGAAGTTGTCGACAAAGATCACTCAATCCACCTGTGCTGACGTGCTGACATGTTTATGATGTCCCTGTTCAGGACGACGTGGTGTACTTGCTGTACCAGCTTCCAACGGTGGTCATCTCGCGGCGCACAGACCAGTACAGCAAGGCGCACGAGATCCTCACCGGCGTGTCGGCCAACGCGGCCAAGCGGCCGCGCACGGCGCCGGCGTTCCCTCCGCACGCCGCCTCCGTGCCGCCGCCGGTCTCCGGCGAGATGTCGCTCGACCGGCCGTCGCGCCTCGCGCATGCGTCATCCGCCCCCGAAGGCGCGCGGCGTTGCTTGCCCTGTCATTTCTAATGCAGAAACAAACTAAGATGCGTTCAAATCGAAAATGCAAGCTTTCCTCTCGCCCCATTCCTGCTCCTCGAATAAGCACAGGAGGCTTTTGATGTCGAGCATGCCAGGGGACAGCGAGGATGTTCCGCGAGGGTCACCTCTCTGCTGCAATCGACGCTGTCAGACAGAAGGTTCCTTGTTATGGCTGTGGGAAAGTGCTGGATGAAGATTTGACAAACTCTGCAATTTGTCCTGGAAGGGAGCCACCCAGCTTGGTCTGTCTGAGAATTTCAGTGCTGATTCTTGCTGTTGGGCATGCATGCAGGCGCTCTGATGGACGCGGCTGCTGGGCCGCCTGTGGTGGACGCCCCCTACATCCGCCACTGGATACACTACCGCTACCAGGCCTGCGGCTTCCAGCGATACCTGTCTGACTCGGACATGAAGGTGCGGTACTCACCGTTTGGTCATGGCTGGTGTGAGACATGGGCGTTTGTCATGGCCTGCATGCAACCCTCAAGCAATCTTAATAAGACGTCCAGAGAGAGAGAAGGGGAAAGAAAGAGAGGGGGAGTGTGGTAAGCATGGTTGAAGCAGAGCGATAGATAGACTGGCTTTGTTTCTCTCTGTTGTCGCACAAAAGGCAGCTGATTGACTCGTTTTGGCTGTTTCTGTGGTGGTCAATGTGGGGCCAGCAGCCCACCACATTCATGCCTGGGAGGGACCTCTGGGTAGCGCATGCTGCTGAGCAGCTGCCCAGATATCATTTGTGGAAGTACGCTCAAGCAGATGGCACAAATCCGGAAAAGCAGCTGTTTGAGAGGTTTGATAGAGTTCGAATGTGCATGCAGGCGTTGCTGCAGCAGGCGGGGACGCACTCCGGCGGCAGTCAAGTGGATCCGCTGTGCTGGGAGAACTTCAGGACCTGGTTCTCACGCGGCCTCAAGACTCTGCACCAGGTGCGCATAATTTCTTATCTGAGCTTGCCTACAATCCTGGGCATTCTATGGTCCTGCAATGAGATACGGCGCATGCAAATCTGCTTGACAACGCTTCTTCACCTCTATTCAGTAATGGCATGCATCTGCCCGCCATATTCGGAACATCATAAGCTTGGGGCAGCCAGCAGGCTTGTCGGGTGGTGGACATGCCTCTTGTGTGCACAACTTGGGCGAGATGCTTGCATAAAGAATAGGCAAGTCAGTCGCATAAAAAGTCTGCTGGCTGGCTGGCCAAGGATGTCCTATGACAATCACAAACGTACCCCATGGACTGTTCTCAATTCTCTGGAGGCAAAAGTTTTGTCCGTGGTGCATTCGTGTAGCTCTAGCCTCCCTTACCACTGCTGGTGGCTATGAGTCTCTTTCTCTCAACATGGCTGGCACACTTATTCACAGACTTGGCATAGCAAGACTGAGCGGCTGGTGTGCTGCTGCAGTGCGCGCGGGTGTGGAACATGATGAAGCCGCACGCGATCTGCGGCTTTGCGGTGTCGCGCGCGGCGGCCGAGGCGCTGCTTGCGGAGCAGCCGCTCGGAAGCTTCCTTGTGCGCCTGTGCTCCGAGCCGGGTGCCTTCGCCATCAGCTGCTGCATGGAGGGCCCCGACAGCCGCCCCTACGTGGACCATCTTCTCATCGACGCTGTGGATCTCCAGGGCCGCACCCTGGAGCACTGGGTGCACGCGCACCAGTTTGCCACGCAGCTGCTCGACCCGCTCTCGGACAAAGTGTACCCGAAGGTGTCTTTCTGCTTAGTGCTCTGCCAAAATCCTTGCTTCTTCCTTACATGTATTTATAGCCGGCTCCAGAGCAGCAGCTACACACTTGGGCTTAAAAAACGATTGAGCGGGGGTGTTGAAGGGGGTGGGAGGACGTAGGGTAGGAGATGTACTTTACCTTTGAAAGGAGTCCAACATTGTGCTGGCTGTGTGAAGGTGTGTATGATGCGTTAAGGGGAATGCGGGAATGGTGTGTGCAGGCGGTGATCTTCCAGCCGCAGAATCTGATGGGGGCCGGCAGCATGAGCGTCGGCGCGGCGGCCCCGGCCGGGGGCGCGGTCCCGGCCGTGGCCGCCATGCCGCCACCGCCGGCGCCGCCGCCACAATTGCCGAGCCAGGCAACGCCGTCGAACCTGTCCCTGGACCACCTGCTCATGCTGGCCAACTTGACCAACTCCGCCGCTGACTGGACTACACCTGCTCTCAACTCTGCAGGCATGCCCTGTCACGTCCTGCACCCTGGCCCTATGGACAACCGTGTTTCCTGAAAATACGAACGTAACGTGCCTGAAAGTCTAGAGGCAATAGGGGATCATTGAACAGGCCTGCACCAGCACGAGACAAGGAAGTTGTCAATAGACTGCTCAATTTATGTTGGGCCGATCGCAAGCAATTTCATGAGAACGCCAGCACTGCAATAAGTTCCTTCAGCACCGAGGACCCCCAACTCAGCATGCTCACTGAAACGTTTACTGGAGGCGCTTATTGCGTGTCTTTCGTTATCCTGAAGTTGCATGGAGTTATTTGCGCTAGCTCACACCGGCCTAATCACCCCACAAAAATATAAGAACAAACATCATGCATGATTCAGGATTCAAAGTATCAGGAACCTGTCAAGGCCAAGGAGGCAAACTTTTCACATCCGCTGACCATGGTTCTTCTGCGCACAGGCAACCACATCAGCGTGCCGGACATCCCAGAACGTGAGCTGTCCCTTGACGTCCTGGGAAATCTTGACATGTGCCGGCTGGAGTCTATGGGGGGCCAGCGGCTGGGCTCTGTGGGAAATTCGCCCTCTCTGGGCAGGTTTGGCGGGCAGCGGCTAGAATCCCTGGGCAACCTGGAGTCTCTGGGGAAGTTGGAGAGCTTTGGGCAGCGCCTGGAGTCGTTTGGCCGCGCTGACATGTCATCCAACAGCCTCGACGGCATCAGCCGGCAGCTGCTCGGCTCCCTCGGCAGCCTCCCAGAGAACGATCCCGCCATCAAGGAGATGCTTGCGCAGGCGGCCGCGCAGCCCGAGAGCTCCTCCACAGCGCAAGGTGCGCCTCTCGGGCATTGCCCTTATGCACTGATGCCACAGATGTAGAATCAGACGAAGTCACTAAACTGTATGGACAAATGACTGATAGAAAGGAATTTGGAATCAAATCCAACCCACAATTTCTTTCCTGTGCTTTTCACTGCTCTACCCTGTCCTGCTCTGCCCTTTTTCCTGACCGTGCCTGACGTTGGGCAAGAAGTAATTGTCCACAATTCTTGCTTAGCAAGTGACAACGCGCCCTTCTGAGAGGTCATCTGAGGCATTGGGGTCCAGAGGAACCCAGAGTGTCAGAAGTGCGAGACTCCTGAGTCATTGAGAAGAAGCTTTTTCTGAGGCAGCTGATGTGTGTGGCGCAGGGCAAGCACAGCTGCCAACCAACATGGATCTGCTGAACGTATGGGGCTCCCTGTCGGACATGACCCATCTGCAGCAGCGCACCGGCGACTTTGGTGGCGATGCAGACGCTCTGCAGGTGCGCGCAAGCCCCGTCCGTTTGCGCTCTTCTCCGCTGAGACTCACTGTAATTATCAGCGGCGCCTGCCAAATGTTGCAAGCAGCCTATCGTTGTGAAACAGCCGCCCTGCATGGCAGTATCGTATAGCCAATTTTCGATATGCTCGCCTGTGCATTTTTGTCCCGGGATTGCAAATCTGCCGCTGTTGCAATGTTGGAGAGAGCGTGTTCATATTGTACCTGCTGTGGGATCTGGTTGCCGGGAGTGCTGCTTGGCAGAACAAAGGAAAAGCTGCAAAAAAGGAAAGATGCAGTGCTTGGAATTGAAGCGCAGCTGCTGCGGCAGGTGGGAGGTGAGTATGGCAGGGGCGGCTTTAGCTTTGGCGGCCAGGGCAGCATGCGTCAGGAGGATGCAGAGATGATTGACGCGCAGCAGCCGTCCGGAGACCAATACCAAACAGACCCCAGGTGACACTCTGTACTCTTCCACAGCATTCATCTATCTGCGGTGTCCTCAAAAACTGCATGCTGATCCTGATGCCTGGAAGGACACACAACGGTTCCTCCATTTCCAGAGCATTGTCCATGCTATGCACATTAAGCTGTGTTGTGTGCTTGCCGCATGCCTCTTGTGAATTTGCGCTGATTGTGCGGTGGTGTGTGTGGCGCAGGTTTGGGCTGAAGCAGCCTCAGATGGGGGGAATGAGGAACGGGCGAGCGCAGACACTGCAGCAGCAGCAGCTAGCTTTTGGGGGCGGCCCCGATGCCTTCTGGGACCCAATTTCAGAGCCCCAGGCCTTCCACTTCACGCCTGGGTTCCCTGGCAGTAGCCACAGCCACCAACAGCAGCAGCAGCAGCAGCACAGGCAGGAGCCCTGATCGCCGCACCTGAGCTCCCCGCTCAGCAGCACAGGCACAGACAAAAAGCTGCATTGCAAGCAACGGTGGCTGCGTGCAGTTCTGATGAATGAAAATATGGTGACGAAGGAGTCATGGAGCCTGCAGGCATGACACTGGCGCCGCACGCTGTCCCACGCGGTGTGAGCGGCAGCCTTGTAAAGAATGTAACTAATGCAGCAGACCTCCCACTATCTCGGTTTGCTGCCAGCAAGAGTGGCGTCTTGTCGGGTGTGTGCAAGCGCACTCCGGCCTCCTTGATGGTATTTGACTTCATAGGAGGAAGCACATTTGCCGATAGGTCGTGGATGATACATGACAGCCACGCAGTTGCCTCTGCAGAGGCCTGCCTAGCCTGGCTGGAGGTAGTTTTCTTTGCTTGCTGGCGGGTTTGGCCTGCGCCAACCGCGGCTGTTGGGTTTTCCGGAGATAAGTCAAGAGAGTCTTGGGCCATGCATGCCTGTGCCTGTTTGTGTGTAGAGGTGTATCTACCTGGTGGTGTTTGGGGGCAGCATGTCTTCTCAGTACGCATCAGCCCCTTGTGGAGTGATGAAGCAGGTGTCAGATGATCTGTTACTTGCCTCATATGGACGTCGGGGCGGGGGATCTAACGTTTCCATTCATCTCTTCCAATGCCCCCAGCTGAGGGCTGCCAGCCTGTTCTGGAAGGGCTTGTTGCGAGACTTGCACGGCTTCTTGGAAAAGTCCGGAGATGGAAGGCGCATGAAGAATTGACAGAAGGTGCATGGACTTTTAGGGAGGGGCGTTGTGCGTTGCAAATGCTGTGTTTTGAAAGTTTGTGGGACTGCGCATTGCATCTCGGGGATTTTCCAATCAGTGTGCTGGGTGTGACAAACATTCATTGGCTCTGTATATTGTTTTTGCAATAAGTGTGCGCGAGGTGGCATACAGAGACAACATGTGCACAGGAAGCGCGTTTTGCCGCACGTAAGTTTCCTTTGCTAGATTTGCTCTGTTGAGTGAATTCCATGCCATTTTGGGCACGGAGGGATGATAGCCTCTTTTGGGTCTAAGACGTAACCTGCTTCGGGATCTTATTTCATGTATATTGCTGACGCTGATGTCAGGCAGATGTGCTTGTGGAAATAGATGCAATGCCCTCCACTGTTCTAATAAGGCTGGGTATATTTCAGGCCCGGATCGATGCTGGTCGTGCATGTGTGAATGTGTATCATGCATGTGGTTTCCCTCGAAGTGCGGGTGTCTAATCCTTTATTAGAGCAGCAGCCAGCCTTGCTGGCTGTGTGAGATCGGAGCATCCGCTGAGTTAACCCGAAGCTGTGTCTGTTGGCTTCAGAGCTTTGCAGGTTTGCCAGTAGGGTTCCTTAATCTTCTAGACCAGAACCGCAACACCCCTGCTTTCGCCAGGATCGCATGCGATGCACTGTGCCTGTAAAAAATTTTCTGCGAGTCATGTTTCCTCTACATTCTGCCTGCTCGGGGCAGGTGATGGTATAATACCATTGGTGTTCCTGCCCGTTTCCTCTCTTTCACTCCTCAAATGACTGTGGTGCCCCTTTGACCGAGCCAGGCGTGCCCTTTGCACTCGCCTGCTATGCATGCTGTAATGGTAACCCCTACTCAGAGGTCATTTGGTTACCAAAGGCCAGAGAACTACATGTTACATGTGGCCCTCTCAATGTCATAGCATCCTGTGTAAAAGGCGCTGGTTGTATCAAAATTGTCACCAGTGTCATATTTCCTGTGCTGCATATGTGCAGCACATTTTGTAAAGTTCAGATAGCAGTACCAATTGGGGTTTTGTATATTGCAATGTCAGTGGAAAGCATCCATTGTTTGCACTTGGAAGCGGGGCAATATTCTCTAATGTACCACTGAACCCCACAAGGGCATGCACTCCTCGCAGAACAAATCCAAAGAATTCGAGTGCCCATCTATGATGAGACAACATGTCCAGCAAGGCATTGCAGTTTGCTACGGGTGGTGCCTAGGACAAAGGATGCAATAAAATGAGGTGCCCGCCATGTGTCATCGGTCCACAGGTTCTGGCAGCGCGCAGGTTCGTTTGAGAAATTCGTAGGCCGTCACCATGCATGTCCCCCACCTGTTGCAGCAGGCAAACCACAAGTCAATGCCCTGGCAACGCCTCAGCAATCCCTTGCTCACACGCCCTTGTTCTGCTGAAAGGCGGGTTTAGGCTGGACAGTGGCTGATTGCGTTGCAGCAGGTCTTCAAAAAAGTTCCCAATGCAGCAGCATTGTTACTTCCCTGTAAGGTAGGTTCGTCAGCGAATAGAGAATTCTGCACACATTGAGATACTTCAGTGGAATGAAGGTACATAGACAAGGAGTTGCAAGTGGTGAAGCTGCAAGAGATGGACAGGGGCTCACAGAGCAGTGTTGGCAATGCGCGGTAGCAACCCCCTGGAAAATCCCCTGAGCCCCTCTTCCTTCACAAGCTGCGCTGCAACGCTGCGGAACGTCGCTCTTTCCCGCCCGCTCACACGCTCCGCCACCTGTCATGCCAGGGGCATGTCAGCGCTGCTGCGCCAGCTCAGATCTCCCCAAGCATGTAGCAAAACCCACCAACTTGCAGTACAGCTGCTGCAAGTTGGTGGACTTCATGCGGCGAGAGCAGATCCATATATGCATGCAATGCCAAGAATCCCCACAGGCAGAACTTCCAAAAATACATATTTTGTTGTTTGCATCCAGAGCAAATTCCTTTCTTTGCTCAGGCCGCGCATAATGTGATCTCAGCTGCCATTGGCGCCAATGAGGAGGAGTACTTGGAAGCCTGCTGGGGAAAGATGAATCCTGAAGGGACAAAGACCCTGGTGAAGCCAGCCTGGTGCTGAAGGCTGTTTTGCAGGCTGAGCCAGCATCGAGGCCAGGTAGCAGTATCTAGCCACTTGTGAAGCTTTCAAACACCTCCTACACTCACATACACAAAATGGACAGGCGGCCACCTGCAGGCGGGTCTTCACAACGTCCAGGCCGTTGGTGAGGGTTGCTGAGGAGAGGCCTGCCATCAGCGCGGAAGCTGTCTGCACCGCCATCACCTCACTGGGCCCATGTGGTACTCGCTCTGGGCTGACGCCGCGCCACCTGTCCACCTGTGCGCCACATCAGCAACGCTCAAGATAGACTGCCCAATGACGTAGTACGACAGGACACTACAAGGGACTCGGTGAATTCTATGCGTTGTAGCACTGTCTTGTGGGGTTTTGCTGCATTATTCCCTGTCATTACTAGCCCCGGCCGGTATAAATAACAGAGCACCGTGCCCGTGGCTGATTGGGTCTTGCTTGGATTCAGCGAGTCCGACAAGGGGTAGCATTTTGGCAGCACTCCACTGCAGCTTGTCTGCAGACGCACCTTGCCTCTGGCAGGAAAAGCGTGTAATATATCAACAATAAGGATAGTTGTGGGGTTTGAATGCATGGCAGCCAGAAAGCAAGATCCCAATGGGTGCCCCTCTGTCAGAACCTTGCTCCTGACAACATGTACGGTAGTAGTCATTTTGAACCCGCAATAAAAAATTACTTTTGGCTAAAAAGGGTGGATAATTGAGACCCTATCTCCCAAAGTATAAACCTATCATAATCTTGAGACCAGATTCGGAAAGCTCTCGACAAGCCCAATCCAATGGAGCATGACTTGGGTATATTGTAAGTCAGGAAGACCTGTGAAAGTTGCTATGAAAAGATATCCGCACCGCCCAAGGTGCGGGTTTTAGAATGACTACTACAGTGTATCTGCTCGAGGGCTGAGAGAGGGCTTTGAGCGGTGAAAGAGAGCGCCGCAAGCATCCTACTCACTGGGGATGGATCAGCCAAGGCAGCTGTTGCCACGGACATCAGCGGGGCCTGTGTGCGCGAATTTGCGGAAATGAAAGAGGGTGAGAGTCCACTCCGTGTTAGAGCACTAGCAAAGTGTGGAGAGGGCGGCCTGACCTGGTGCCAGACGAGTTTTTGGAAGGCGCCGTAGGAGCCCCACCAGATGCCCGAGGAGGGCACGAATGTGGCCACGCTCATGCCAAAGCCGCGGTACAGGCCCAACACACCCTCCGTCGCGATGACGTGGCGCGCCATGCGGACCCCGTTCATGCGCGGGGGGGCCCCCACCGCCGCCACCGCTGCGCCCCCCTGCCCGCTGATCGATGCAGTCCCCATGCTGCCTGCAAGCGCCAATGCACCCCTTCATACGCTCGTGCCTGTGCTGATGTGATGAGCGCAGATGGCCTCATTTATTTGGGTGCTGCCCTGGGCTGCTATTCTCAGGGAGGTTTTAGAAGGTCCCACAGCATTGCGCGGTGCACAAAGCGAGCATGATGCTGGAAGAATTACAGGTAAGGCCCTGTCATTTGACACAGCCCCCCAAAAAGGGTTGATGTGTTTTGGGCCTATTTTAAGCTGACGGCTCCATGATCCAAGACGAGCTGCCCCCACTGCTCCAGGGCTGCCATGTTCCTCAGATGTTCTCTTTGGTCCTGCGGATTGATTATTATAGGTCCCAGGCCACTGGCAGGCTCACCTGCCACCATGAGGCGCTGGCTGACCACATCGATGGGCACAATGACTGACTGTGTGACGAGCGAGGCGACAGCCCCGGCGAACAGATTGGAGAGCCCCGCTTGGCCTGCCTCACTGGGAGCTATCCTCGCTGCTGTATCTAGGCTCCAGCTCTTTGTGGCTTCCAGTGTGGTCAGGTACACCTGCTTTCAGGATCCATGCACCTCATGAGTGGCATCTAAATAACACTCTAGCTGAGGTCCATAAGTGTCGGGTGCTGATTGAAGTTTCAGGCGTGAAGGAAAGCTCACCCCTCGAGCAGGAATGACGCCGATGATCACTGTTCCAAAGCCTCTGTACAGTCCACGCACGCCATCGCTGGCTAGAATCTGCCTGGCGACCTGCCCTGCTCCCTGTGGGCAGTGAAGCTTGCTTAACGTTGCTGCAAATTGCACTGCAAATTTGGAGGTAAACTCTGTATGTTATGGAAGCCAATGTAGGGGATTGGGATGAACAGGCAACAAAGATAGGGCTCTGTTTTATGCTTACCTTGAAACCTGCAGGGGCACCTTCAACTGCCATTTGTCTCGTCTTTATGACTGTTAATGGAAAAAGGCATGTTGTCAGGCCCTGCACGTAAGCATGACGCTGTCTTGAAATCTTCCAGACCCTTTAAGCCGAGGCTGTCCCTCTTCATAAACAACCTCAAGGGAAGACGTCCGGGGAGTCCTTACCGAGAATATGCCGGCTCCCATGATCAGAAACTTTCTCTTGTCCAACCTGCAATGCATCGCTTGATCAGAGGCCATCAGTACAGCCAGCATCGAGATGGGTTGGAGATGCACAAAGCTTGATGTTAACGTTGCAGACATACCTCGACCAATCCACCTCCTCTGGCGTCTTTCCATCCATTTTAGTCATATTTGGCCACTTTTTAAACAAGAATTCACGGCTGAAACACCCGCTTTGCGTCCCAGCTGCGCATCGATTCTTGACGACCAGTTCAGTCATACATGACGAACAGTGACTAGCACTAACGCGACATGAACTCTCCAAGTCTTCGGAGTTCCAGGCAAGAGATCGCGTCCAGTAGAGCGCAAGGCGTCTGTGATTGTCAAAGCGATCATCTCAGATTTCGGCCAGACCTGTGACCTGTGATCTGGGACCCGAGACATTCTTTTCAGCCTGCAACCCGAAACTTTCGGGTTGCAGCATCCCTTCGCCAGCAAAGGTCTCATCACAATTTGCAATACAAACCAGCAAATTCTTTTTTGCTGCGAAGATCGTATGTCGCTAAGTAATCAGGGTGTCGACGGAACCCGTCTCTAGACTAGCAGCGGTTTCGGCAACGAGTGCGAGAAGGTGCGAGGCTGGATCAATAAAACGCAATAGATCCCTGCTCATTTTTGTTTCCTGCATGTGCATAGAACGCTTATACGGACCTAGAGCAGGATGTGTCGGCACAGGAAGTTTAAAGTCGGATCGGACGTTGACAGCAGGATCCAGGGCGCAGGCATTCCTGAGACCTAGACGCATGGCGAAGCACTAGAGTGATGCAGGTGCGGATCTCCTCCTGGTTCAAACAACTCCATGTGTAACGTTTTGCTGATCTAAGCGCCACAGTGAAGAATTGCTGCAGGCACCTGAGACCATTTTGTGCCTCGCTCAGGCTTCCCCACAGAACGCCCTTCAGTCAGGCGCATCCGCGCGCATGCGCCGGCGGGCACCGCTGTCGTGCGTTGCGCTGTTGCTGCTGCTGGTGCCGCTCATCGGTTTTGGCGGCCTGCGGCAACAGGGCACGGCGCAGCGGCGCACGCGCATACTAATGGGCGGCGCAATGGCCGCTGGTGGAATGAGCCAGGCCGGCGCGGCAGGCCACAAGCAGTACAGCCAGGTCGCTGACTATGCCGGCTACGACGGCGGCGCAACGTTTGATCAGCCCGAAACGCTGCACAGCGCGGCGCGAATTGTGAGCGAAGGTGCGTGCCGCAGAGCAGGCTACTGGGTTGTTACGAAATGCATTCCTGCCTGGTTGGGCTGCCTGCCCAGCCCTGCGTGAAAGCTTGAGCCACAGATGCCGTAGCGCTGTGTTAGCTTCCAGAGTCGTTACATGCAGGGTCCACCACCATTAATGTCAATTTCAGCCTGTGCAGAGCACTTTTTTTTCTCTGATGGAGCTCTATCGCTGGTGGCAGGTGCTGTGAGCATTGAGAAGGCGCTCAAGGCAGGCCACAAGAAGAGCAAGCTGCCGCCCGGAGGTGGCCCGCCCAAGCCGCTGTGCCGCAACTACGGGCAGCTGCCAAAGTTTACGGGCAACTGGGTGGACCATCCAGACCCCGAATACAGGCACTTCCCCTCTCACACTTACCCTGAGCAATCTGATGCCAGAGACTTAGTTTTGTGGGCTGGTGCCTCCGCAACAAATGCACTACTACGCTGTCTGAAAACTGCAAGGACAGCTTGCCTGCTTGTCCAATGTCTCCGCTTGCCTAGCTGGCATGTTCTGTTGGCGTAAATGATATGGGCATGTCACTGAACACTGATGGAGCAGCAATTTGCACTTGAGCAGTTCTTGGGCTGGCAGTCCTTGCAAGCGCGAGCACAACAGGGCATCAGCACATAGGATTGACAGGTTTGAATTCATTTGTTTTTTGTCAGCATGTTGCATGGCTGCAGGGGGATTTACAACCAGGCGAGCGAGTGCCCGGCGTGGGGCCAGGATTTCAATTGCATAGAGGGAGAGCGCCCCGAGGACCGTAATCCGGAGCTAATTGAGCAGGAGTACCGTAAAATCTTCCGGCCCCACGAGTGCGACCTGCCCAAGTGGGACCCATACGGGTTCGAAAAGTGCGGCCCCAGACTTTACTTTCTGACACACAAGTACCACCGGTTATGTTTTTTACCAACATGCCAGTGCTCTGTATATACTTTCTGTTATATATATCTTGTGCAGCTGTTTTGCTTTGCACAAGGGAAATGGAGGCCATGTAATGTGGCATGGGAGTGATTTTGTGTTTGGCAAAACTCGACTTCTGAAGGGTATTTATGAGCATGTGCAGTACCCTGGCATTCTCATGGTAATACAGCTTTGCACCGCCATACTGAATGGGAATCTCAAGGAGAAGCATTGTACCTGTAGGTGCCTGAAGGGGCGGCGGATCATTTTCATCGGGGACTCGCTGACGTGGCAGATGTACAATTCGCTGGCGTGCCTGCTGGCGCCCGTAACGGCCAACGGGACCGCCGTGACGTGGGACAAGGCAAACACGACCGTTACGGGGGATTACAAGGGGCGCGAATGGCCCGAGAGCCGCCACATCCTCAAGCAGTACTGGGCTGATGTGAAGCTGAAGAACGGAGGAGAGATCCTAGTGCGCTGCTTCGGCCGGTACAACGCAAGCCTCTGGGATGACGTGTTCGCCGAGATGGGCCCGCTGACTGATCGTGACGTCATCATTGCCAATTTCGGCGCCTGGTACCCGCGCTTCAACTTCAACGAGCCCAGGGTGCGTTCTTATCCATTCGCAATCAATGGGAAGTGTACCTAGGCGTTAGATTCGTGCAGGAGCCTTTCTGCATGCACAGCACATCAGCCTATGCGCAGAGCAGAAGCGGCAGCTCTTGTTGAGCATTTCAACATTCTCCGGCATATTTCATACACGCTTGTTGAAGCGCATGCAGAGCTCAAGCTCATGTGGCAACAATTGTGCTGGTGTGTTTTGAAATGAACGATTGTGCGCTGGTCTGCAGGCGCCTTTCGAGGCCTTCAAGGCTGATGTGAAGGACCTCTTTGTGGACAAGCTGAGTAAGTACCCAGCTCAGACCTTTTGGAGGTCAAACTCGCCCACCCACTTTGGGGGAGCTACCGGCACCTTCACTGCTGTAGAGGAGGTACGGCTACCTTTCAAGGAGTCAAGCATTGAAGCTGCACAAACCCTTGCAGCACGTATTTGATTCTTTAAGATGTCTGCATGTGAGAATGTGTGTTGGCACGCTTCTCAGCCCGGTATCATCCCTGTCAATGCAGTAGGGCTGAAAGTTGATGACTCTTTTCTGGTGGCCCAAATCGCGCCATTCCCTGCATCTGTTAGATTTCATAGGGAGCCCTGATCCAGCCTTTTGGCATCATATGTTCCTTGTTCAACATGCATTGCTCTATAAATGTCACAGAAGAATAAAAGGGGCACACCTTACAATCCCCAGCCCAACAATTCTTGCACAATCCACCTTGCACACTGAGCATGCCCAGCAAGCATGCATGACGCTCTTCTGACCCAGTGAATTCACCCCGCAGGGCTTGCCGGGCGTGCCGGCGCGGCCGAAGTGCGAGCCGGCCGCAGTTGGCGAATTTTGGTTCCGGGAGCATGTTGTCTCGGTGCTCAAGGAGTGCGGCGCCGCGTGCGCAAAGATCCGGCTGATGCCGATCTTTGACATGACTCTGGCGCGCTACGAGAGCCATCACGGCACGTTCGGCCGCGGCAAAGACACCGGCTTCACCGACTGCCGCCACTATTGTGTCAACGTCGTCGACTGGTGGAACATTGTGCTCTACTCCATCATGTGCTTCTGAGCGCCCAACAAAGATCCCCATGCATGGGAGATCCAGGTCTCGAGTTCACCGGGGTATTCCCCTAGAATTGGCCTTTGGTGCTTGGCTCTGGGTGGGATTTGCTCTTCCCCCTCAACCTCGGAGGACATGGAATGTGTGACTGCTTGCTTCCTGGTGATATGATGAGCAGTATTCAGGCTGCTGCCTGCGTAAGATTAGTTGTGTTGGCTTGAAAATGGGTGACCCATTGAATTAGTTTTTGGCTCGTATATGGGTGACCTACAATGGGTCTAAGTGCCCTGAATTTCAGCGTTTCTCCTAACAAGTTGAGTTTGTGATTGTCATGGTTTGTAGATGCTTGGAACTCTTGCATGACACCACCATCTTGCAGGAACAACATCAGCTCTAGAAGGGCGGTGAACCCTGAAGTATGTTGAAAGGTGAGTTGACGCCCATACCCCTCAGATTCTTAGGAGGGTGCAGCTTGATGATTTTAGAATAGACAGACAAGTGATTCAGGTTTTGTTTACTTTTGCTCATAATTGAGGGACTGGTCAGTGCTGCTGCGAGTTGCGTTGCAGCACTGGCCGGTAAATGCTATGACGGGGCTTGCATTGTCTCTGCATGTGATTGCAGTTTCGTGTAGTATTGCCCTGCATGTGGCGGCGGTGATTTGCATGCATGCAATGGCAATGCCAGTTGGCTTGGAGGCTCCTCAGAAAAGAGAGCAGCTTCCCACCCCTGATAAAAGCCGACGTTTTGTCCCTTACAATGGAGCTTGCTAAAGCTGCAAATGTCTACATGTAATGTAGATTCAGGCATGGCGCCTAGCTAGCCTCATGATTCACCACTCCTGTTTGGATGCAACCTTGACAAAGTCATGACACACTCATCATGCTTTTTCTTCCCATGCATGAAGGTATCGGGCATTCAATTAAGTCTGGCTGCAATCAAAATTAGCATTGAAGATTTCATCACATGCAGTGTTAGCAGGTCTGAAAAAGGCCAAAGGAGGCTCAAACAAAACAACACACTGTACTTCTCTGTATCAAACAGAAGGCCCATTGCCCTCATCAAGCGTACTAGCTTGAACTTTAGACTGGACAGAACAGCTACTACCTTTCTAGCTGGCCATGCAGCTCATTTGCTGCGGACACAGCACTAATAAAATGATCAAATGGATGCAACACACTAGCTGCCAAGTATCCGATACTACTACCGTTCAATGCTAAAACTGATGCCTGTGACAAATTGCACAAGCACACTTTGACAACTGTGACTGCATAGGCAGAAGACAATCAAACAAGGGCAGGCTTTACCCACCCCTGTCCAAATACCCTGAACCCTGCAACTTATTCCCCCCAACAAAAGAGGGACGCAAGCTGCTGCTGGTAGGGCTACGCCATGCCTCTTACCAACTTCTTTGACTTTTCAAGGCGCCAGCCATTAACAGAACACAGGGCACACCAATTTTAAGGGCACCATCCATTTTCTACGAAGGGGTAATTGCATCTTTGATCCCTCTTATGGGGCCTCCACTTGGAGAAGACTGTCCACAGGGGTCCGGGGAACGAGCCCATTCACATTGGTGGCATTCACCATTGCTACGGGCCGATTATAATTTCCGTAGGGGTGTTTGCACCGTTCGTCCTTGATAACGCTGTTGCCGGAAAATGTCACGTCCTTCACATTGGCCACCATCGCCAGCGTTCCTTCCACCTATGCCATAAATAGTATAATCTCCCTTTGTATTGCCGTATGTCGTTTATCTCCAAAATGCCAGAGGACTCTAAAAATGCATGCATACTTTCTGACCCTTGATAAAAAAAAACCCTGCATCCAGACCGCATGCAGATAACAAAATTCCAGAAATTTATTTACGAAACAAGCAGGAACCTAATACCCTACCTGCCCTTGAATCCTAACCCACAATCTCTGCGCCCTCAACTTGCAAAACCGAAAAAAAAACGCTCATCAAACAGACAAACAGGCTGCTTAACATACTTCTCAGAATGAATCCGTGCCTCTCACCTGCCAGTCCCCAAAGTTGCGCGTGTTGCTCTGAGTGCACAACACGTTGACAAAGGTGGTGTTGGTCACTGTGATGCCGGCTGCGCTCGTGAGCAGAAAAGGCGTCGTTGCGCAGTTGGCAATCGTGTTGTTGATGAAATCCACGTTGTAATTGTTGGTGTACAACCCAGGCGTGCCCCATTCCTGCACCGAGAAATTCTTCCAGGTCAGGGGGGGATATAATACTGCAAAGGGGCAAGTGGATGTCGGCAACCGCGGCAAGCTGAACTGAGTGTCTACCATGCTTTCCTATCCCTTAGCTGGCACTCATGTAATCAACTTCTTCTTCATGCTCTCTCCATATGTGCAAAGCATTTCACATATAAAAAACATGCTCTGAAAAGGCCACTTCTACTGATCCCCACAGCACCATGGATTAGGTGTCAACAAATGCACTTTGTATTCCTTTTCACCACTTTTTGATGACGTGGACCTGATGACCTCTAAATGCGGCATCCTATTACAGCATGCATAGCAGGTATAAGAGAAGAAAATTCGCATCCCTGAGGGTATATCCCTTGATATATTCACATTATAACAGCACCCCAGGGATTTTGGGTGCGCACCGAGGGATCGACGCCGAGCCAGATGCCGGGCCCGTAGCTGTTTATGGTGTTGTCGATGACGAGGACGTTGTTGACAAAGTCCGACTCCACCCACAGGTGCTCCGGTGACATCTGGATGCCGAAGCCCTTCAGATTGAACATGCGGTTGCCGGCTATGACGCCGTTGGACGACTTGCACAGGATTCCCCGGCCGCGCAGATTGCCGATCGTGTTGTTGACGAATGCAAAGCCGTTGCCGTTGTTGCTCGGCGAGCTCACCACGTCGTCCGTGCGCAGCCGGTTCATACTCGCCGGCCACTCGTCCAAGAAAACCTGTAAGCATGCAAACGCACTGAAGAACGCGCTTGCATCCCATGCATGACTAAAATTCATTGCACCATGTCACGCCTGCCCAGTGGGCGACAGCCGAACCATCGAGCTTTCTCTGTTAACCTCAGGTGCTGAGTTGCTGTGGACTGTGCCTTTGTGCAGCTTGCAGAAAGGCAAGAAAGGGGAGCTGGCTGTGCTGCCCTCAGACACTTGCCGGCTAGCTATTCTCTGCTTGAGAGCAGGGCACCCAGCGCATCTCTCAGGGCACCGGTAGCATCAAATTATCAAATTTATTCTTGCCAGCAAAACCGCAGCAACCTTCTCCATGTGAGCAACCTTGCCCAGGGTATTTCCAAGGCACGCTTCCCAAGATAGATGGTTCGGCCTTTCACTGAACAGGCGAAAGCCAATGGGTTGACTAGAAGTACTTTGTGATCTCAAAGCAAAAGAAAACACACCTGCATGAAGTCGGCATCGTCGTACTTGATATCCCCGATCTTGCTGGTCTTGCCAACCACCTCTTTGGGCGCCTCGACCGAGTACATCTTGGTGATCTTGGCAGTGCCCAGCCGCTCTGAGTCCTGGTTGTAAAACGTCAGCAGGTCCCCCGGATTGAAGGTGTACTCCCTGTCTGAGGCTATTACCACGCCCTTCTTGCTCGGGTCAGTGGCCGCCACCAGATAGTAGAAGCCAGACGAGGCAATTGCGTCATCCCCTGCATAACATGAAGTGTCCTTTCAGCGCTTCAATCTCAAGGCTCAGGACTGCAGATTTGGGACGCGCAAGGCTTTAGGTGCTGGATCAAAGAGCGCAGAATGGGGGCGCTCCAAGGCTGAGATGACTGTCACACATGTGTGCAATGTGGAAGCTATCTTGACCCAGCATCTTGTGATGCTCTCACTCTGAAATAATCCTGTCTCATGGGAGTGTTTTGAAAGCCTTCAGCCTCACTTCCCCCTTTACCCTGAACCAAGCTGCCTGGATCTCTCTCTTTCAGGCGACACCACTGAGATATTGCACAAGCATGCAGGAGGGTCAGAGGGATGCATGCTCTTCATGCCAGCAGCATAGACAGGTGATAATTGCTTGCAAACGATTCCCTATGCAGATATACGTCTTGCTAACTAGATTGTGTATATTGTCTGCAGCACTCGTCATGCATGCTCACCGCTGTTGACGATGTAGTTGTTCTTGACGAGGGTGCCGCTGTGAGAGCCCTTCATGTGGATGGCGTCCCAGGTAGTGGACAGCATAGGCAGCTTGCCGTCCCGCCCCAGCGGCAGCGGGAAGGGCCGGATCTGAATGTTCCTGCACCAGATCAACACCCCCATATAATTCTCTTGAGCCCCTCACTCACTTCACTGCAGGGGGTGCCATATCAAAGTAGAAATCAGACACCAGAAGTCAAATTTAGTACCCCCTGTCCAGTGCATGCCTTTGCCAAGTGGCCAACATTGCACCGCTTCACCACTGCCATTATGTGAGGTCTTCTCAGTGTGTTGTGGCAGCTGCTGCCCCGACTCGTACAGCTCCCAGCGACAGCAGTGCAGTAGCAGATCACGAATCAGATGGACTTCTGCAACTTTCAAGAGTGTAAATGGTGTGAGCAAGTCAGGACAGATGCATGGAGGGGTGTGACGGCGCACATGAAGGTGTTGTTCTGGCCAAAAGGCTCGTATACGCCGAAGCCGCCCGAGTGGTAGATCGTGAAATCTCTGGCCGTGGTGTTCTTCACCTTTTCCAACCGAAGCCCAACCGTGCCGCTCTGCCCGCGCGCCTGCAATCAGTCCAGTCAGCTATCAGAGAAACCATGTGATCCCTGTGAGATTCTGGCCCCTTGTAAAGTGAGCGGAGCACGAAATCACCGTTTTTGCCCGTGCACACCACTGTCTCGGCAAGTTCACTGGGCAATATTGTGACCCCCCACCAACTTTGTGATGTGTTTATCATCGTCGTTGCATGTGGGGCTCTGGCCACTCAGGCAGAGCAGCCTCACATGAGAGCACATATTCCAATACACGGTGTCAAAACCAGGACAATGAGAGTCTCAATCCTGAATCGACTCTGATTGTCAATTGAGGTGCTCTGATATTCTTACCGTGAAGTAGTTTCCCACAGTGACATTGGGAGTGACCATGCTGGCCTTGAACGAGTATCTCCTGTCCCCCAGCTTCTTGCGTCCATCGCTCTTGCGCACGATGATGTCCATGTACGGGTCCGGGGACTTGATTAGCAGCGTGTCATTGTAGAACAGGCTGACAGCTATCGGCTCGAACATCATGACCCTCTCCGCTGGGTACCCGTCATCGATCTGCGCACGCACGCGCCAAACAATTCTGTCTCAAAAACTTGTACACCTCTGGCAAGTCTGGAAGTCCTCGTTGCATGCAGTGTGCTCTTGAAGAACCTTTGCAACTCTGTGTCTAACGTGCTGCTGCACCTTGTTCCAATACTTCTCAGAGGTCCAGGGCTGCCGCCTGGCCAAGCCTCACCTATGGTCTTCTGCACATATCTTGATCACTCACATGGGTGAGAAAGAATGAATGCATTGCACTGGAAAGAGTAGAAGACTGCAACACTTCTACAGCGTGCCGAAGTCCTAAAGACGCATATAAATTGACCGGTCTGCGCATGATGCTCTCCATGCAGGAAAAGAAATTGATTCATTGATGCATTTGAAATTTGCAGAGCGCTACCTCAACAGTGTATTCCAGCTCGTCCTCGTTGACACCCACAATGATGCCCTGGGCAAAGTCCAGCTGGTCATTCGTGTATGTCTGCTCATAGGGACCATGCAAGTCCACATTTGTGCAGTTCTCCAGCTGCACCCCGCTGTGCTGGTAGTCCTGCAGAACAAAATCAGAGAAGTTTGAATTCAAGCCTGTGGAATGACCTGGCTGAGATGCTCCCCATTCCCTCCATGCAGCAGCCTTGGCATATAATGGCAAAAGTAATGAAGAGGCTTGCTGCGCGTCAGGTATAATCAACGGGCATATGATCTATGTACAGCACATCCCACTAGGCTAGCCAATCAACACAAGATGCCTGCGTAAGCCTTCAGAAGTGGGAAGGATGACAGGCAGGAGGCGTGTGCAGGGAGCAGACCGTGAAATAGAAGAAGACCCCCGTGAAATCGATCTCAAAGGCATCCTCCCGCTCGTCGCCGCATCGCATGTACAGGTGACATTGGTCCTGAACATTCGCCGTCACATGGTATGTCCCAGGCCCAATCCGGATGCCTGCAGCCAGGATGCATGCACACATACCTCAACCCCCACTCCCATTGAGTGTCCCCCAACCAAAAGGCCTAGGCTGGCATGCATAATATGGCTTCTGCCCCTGACGCTGATGCAACAAGGATTGGCACTTTGTGAGGAAGACATATTGTATTCCAAAAGTGACAGCGTGCACGAAAATTGTTGTCGCATACCTGATGCTTGTCATGCATTAGTGTGCCTCACCTAGAGGTCAGGCTGGCCTCAGGGTGCAAAGGATTACAAGATACAGGCAGGGGGAGCTGCAAAGGAGTGGAGGCTCGCCTGTAGCCTTGGGGTTGGCATGCGCACGGGAGAAAAACTTGGAAAAGTCGTCCCCATCAATGTTGAAGCCCAGGGGCTTGTACTCTATCATGCCCTCCCCATCCGCGGCCTGGGCTGAGCTTTGAGAGCTGGCCAGCAGCCGCCTCCTGTTCGCACGAAAGTCCTGGCTTGCGCTGCTGTGCGCCAGCCGCGTGTCAGCTATTGTGCTGGCAGGCCACTGCCAGTGCTGAAACTCCTCCGCCCCTGGCCTGCGCACTGCTGTGCCCTCCTGCAGAGAGGGCCAGCGAGGTCACATCAGCGCAATGCTGCATCCTAACGTGCCATCGAGGAGACGTTGGAAAAGATGCCCTGCTGCCACGTTCAGGCTCACCAAGCCAGCCCATCCTGGCCTCCACAGATTTAAACGTGAGGCTGTAACGGCACCAAGCTTGAGTGCAAGAAAATGGATGCTCGCATTGAATTGTGACACTGGTACCATTTGGCATGTTTATGACCAAAGTCGCAGGCTCGACTTCGGCATGTAGCTGATGCTGCTGCTAGTCACCCGTTGAGTCATAGACTAAATTGAGTTAAGCATTGCTCGTGCAAGAGTGTACGGCCACGAAAAGGATGCAAGGATCCCCATCAGCACATACGAGCCATAAGAGCAGTTCAGGCCTTTGTATCAAGCCTATTCAACGTCCGGAGCTGCCTTTCTCTCGGGTAAGTGTTCAATCACGCACTTGGGCTTGGACTCCCCCCCAATCACTTAGAAGGAGGCAGGCGACCGCTAGTAGCTTTCTGCTGACCATCGCGTCACGCTGTTCGCGTCCATAGTCTGCTACATCACCTGCGAAGAAGCTTCCTCCTGACGTGAAGCGACCTATGGTTGCTCTGGCTGGTAAGGAGTGCTCACTGGCCACAATTCCGCACGATGGGGCTAGCAAATGCAGTCTTGAAGAAACACAATGTCGTAGCAGATCTCATCAATTACCGAGATCACTACCGCAGTGATCTCAGTCACCTGCGGGGAAGTTCGAGTCGTGGCGCGTGTTTTTGACGTTCCCTCCTTCCGTTGTGGTTCGCCAGCTTCGTTTGACAATCGTCTCAATGTTATACGAAGAAACCTCTTTGCGCAGTATTGTTCGTGGGAACAGCATCGTTGTTCTTCTTTCCACTGCTCGATCCGTCCGTTTTCTGCTGCTTTTCGATCGGACAGATCGGTGGGTTTACTAGGTAGCCAGCAAAGTGCTGTGCCTCTCAACTCTATCTCAAAGGAGGCAAACTTGCAGCAAAACATTGCAAAATTTCATAACAACTAAAGGGTTACAACCCGATTGGTGATAGTGGGGCCATAGTCTGTCTGAGCGAGGTATGCTCTCGATGCCTACCTGCAAGCTTTGCCCTTACGAAGGATCATATGCTACATTGCTTCAATGTTATCGGCATTCGTGCGGTTAGATGCGATATTTTTGTATCTCTCAACTGGGCAACCTAGTACACGAGCGGAAAAGAACTGCAGTGTAAGGATGACTGTGTGCAGGCTGGTCACGCATGACATCAAATGCGTGAGGCCACAACTGCGTCAATGGTAAACCTCTGACCTCCAAACGCAGTCCTTCACAGCGTGCAAAAACGGTGTCTTGCATTGTCTTGGACCATGGGGCACCTCCTCGCTGCTGCTTGGATTCCCACATGCTTTTGTTTTACGCACTGGCCCTGCGCACCGTGGACAGAACGCAGAAAGAGCGCCGCTAAATGATTGCAGCGGTCTGCGCAGGGCACATGTCTGCGCCAGTGCGCCAGGCGCGGCACGTTTGTGCTGGTATGCGCGTTACTGCTGCTGCCGAGCATAGTGCCAACACCTTTAGTTGACGCGAAACGGCGCGCGGCGCACACAAAGCACCATGGCGGCGCGGCGGCGGCTGCGGCCGGGTCGGTGGGGGGCGAGGAGGCTTGGGACCCCCAGCAGACTGGGGGCGTCCTGGAGGGGGATGACGATGGCACCACAGCTGTGCCGCTAGAGGCTGCAGAGCAGCACTTCCACCTGATGCCCTCCAGGTAATCATAGAAAAGCTGAGCTTGCTTCCTGGGCTTGGCAGACACGGCTACATAATTTTTCCTAGTTGCACGGGCAGTGCTCATTGGGCACCCTGTAGGTTGGTTTAAGTACTGTGGTGCAAAAGGAAGGCTGAGAAGGGCAGTTCAGTTTTGCCCACCAACATCAGGCCGAGTGCTGCAGAATCGATGCATCTGTCTTTGATTGCTGCTCAGCGAGGCAGGAGGTGTGACATCAGCAAGCGCGCTGATTCTCCAGGTTTCCATGCACCAACACTTCGATTTAAAATCATCATTCATCCCCAAAAACATGAGTCCAGGTGGCGCATTTATGTGCAGGCCAGAGGTGGAGGACGAGGATGAGGATGAGGCAGAGGTGGGGTTGCTGGGGGAGGTGGTCAGCCTACCAGCTGCCAAGAAGGTGGTGCCCAAAGGGTCAATGCACCCGCGCGGAAAGACCGGCCTGCCACACTGCACCCCCGACGCCATGGGCCTGGTGCGGGGCAATGCTTTGCTTCACCCTTTGGGTGAACTATGTTCTTGCAAAGCAGCCATTCCAGGAGGCGACCCGGCCAACTGATGCTCACCTCCTTGCATGGAACTAGTATTGCATGCACGGAGGAGTACACAGTGCTGCAATGGGAAAGTTGCCCGAAGGGTCAGACAGCAAAGGCATTTGCACACCTCTTAAGGCGGCTGATCAGGTTGCATGCAGGGTCCTGTCCGTTGCAAGGCGCCATCGAGCAAATGGTGCTTGGGCAGCAGTTATGGCATATGGGCGGTGGTGCTGTGCTTGTAGTACGTGGGCTTTTTGGGCCAGGCTCTTAGAACTCCAATGTAGCTCCCAGCAGCAAGTGGTACAATTTACTAAACAGGCATTTGTTTTTTCTTCTTCTGAAATTCCTGTGTGTACTTGAGTGCAGGTGCCAAATGTGACAGGGAGCTGGGTGGACCACCCAAACCCGGAGCACATCGGCTTGTATGATCCGCGCGGCGGCTGCCCCGAGTGGGCCGAGGACTTCAACTGCCTGAGGCCCTACCCGCCCGCGCTGCCCAATCCAGACCTCGCCGCCCGCGAGTTCCGCAAGGCGCGCGCCTCTAAAACCCCCAACATTGAATTCCCAAGAATTGTATATCCCCACCATAAAATGATGGTATTGTTCCTATCAATATCCATTTGAGACCTATGCACTTGGGTGCTGCCCTCCTGCATGTGAAGGAGAGGGAAGGAACAATTACAAACTTGGCGGCTATATGTATATTGGGGCATTCGTCCAAATTTTTCTGGAATTTTTATGTGCTTCACGATAGTGAAAGGCGGGTAATTTTTTGTTCCGAACAGGTGTTTTTGGCGGATCAGTGCCAGCTGCGGCAGTTTGATGCAAACGCCTTCCAGACCTGCTTCACCGGCCGCCGCCTCTTCCTTATCGGTGCGCAATCTTTGCCTGTTCCTCTTGTCCCGGCCCTCTTGAGCTTGTTGTCCTGCAGCATGCTCCATCGGAACTGTATAATTGCTTTATTTGTGCGCATCTGCCGGAGACTCTCTATATATATTTTCTACAACATGGCACTGGCATCGCCACCCTTTGGCCCATGGCGTGCACTTTTGAGGAAGAGCTTGCAGATCGCCCAAGCATGCTGGCTGACAGCCTTGCAGCGCGTGCATGCCCTCCTCGCATGGCAGCATGGACAACGTAGAATGGCAGCACGAAATCTCATGTCATGCAATTACTGCGCAGGTGACAGCCTGATGCGGCAGCAGTTTGCCTCGCTGGCGTGCCTGCTGAAGGGGGTGAGCGCCTCGGGCAAGAGCGCGCGATGGGACCTGTCGGACATCAAGCTGCAGGGAGACTATCTGCACGCCTGGGGCGACCGCACATCGTCTGTGTCCAAGCAATTCGTCGGCGAATTCACCCTCAACAACGGCGCGCAGGTCCGCCCCTTGCCTCAGCAGCTTCAGGAGCTTCACATTTGTCATGACCATGCATTCATCCCTCTGAGCCCCAAGCAGTTCTTGGCAATGACACTTAAATAGGGCTCTGTGCCATTCTGCATTAGCAAGCTTTGCATGCTTCGTCTCTCCTGTGGGATTTGCACCCAAGGGTGGGCCACATTGCGTGTTTGGCTCCATGGAAGCCTGAAGAGCCGGCCATTGCTCTTCAGCAGCGAGCGTGGGCCACGTGAGCCACTTTGTCACCAGCCTCATTTCAGCGCCAATCATACACATACACCTCACAGATGTGGAAAATCAGTTTAAAAAAATGCATCTCCTTGTATGCTGCAGGTGATCATCCGCTCGTTCGGCACATACCAGGCGCAGTTGTGGGACGATATTTTTGCCGAGTTTGCGCCAATCACTGAGAATGACGTCATCCTGGTGAATTTTGGCGCCTGGTACCCGCGCTTCAAGATCAGTGAGCCCCACCTGCCCTGGCAGGAGTGGCAGAACTCCATGACCGAGCTCTTCACCCAGAAGCTTGCCACCACACCCGCTCAGGTGTTGCTGCGTGCCCTCTTGAGCCTGACCTGTGCAATCCCCACATATCCCGTATCCAATCTTGGACCCGTTGAGTGATTGAGAGCATATAGTTGTGGCGCTATATGTGCTTTTGTCATCGTGGACCTACTATTAATGTCCTTATAGCGCACAACAGATCAGTGGCATGCAAGAAGGTTGGTGTTTGATGCCTTTTGGTTACCTTTAATTACCAAGATATGCCTCAAGAAGGGTTAGCACCCAGGATAAAAGCGGAGTCCCGCACAGCAGTTCTTTGTTGCATTGATAGGTGAGCAAGCTTCTGAAAGGGACGTTGCATTACAAACAGGTGGTGTGGAAGGACTATTCCCCCAGCCACTTCTGCGGCGCAACAGGCACATTCAACGGCATCGATGAGTCACTGCCGGGCGTCCCGCCGCGCACCAAATGCGAGCCGGCCTCCGTGGGAGAGTACTGGTGAGGCCTCGGGTCCCTTGTCTGTCAACACCCGCTTGATACATGGATGTACATCCTGTTGTCTGCTCATGATTGCCTGATGGCAATCAGATGTCTGATGTTGTCTGATGTCCTCCCAGAGCACGGATTGTTTCTGAATCCAATCCGCATGTATCCAATCCTCCGTCCTAGACAACTCCCAGCCAGACAATAGTCCCAGGATTAGCCAGAGGACATGTCATTTGTAACTCCCCTGGCACACATTGGTGCTCCTCTTGGGATGAAAACACATGCAGCTCTGGAGAATCTGCTGATGACATGTCAGAATGTGCAGCAGAAGTGTCGGAGCGCTTCCAAAAGAATTCTTGAAATTTTAAAAGTTAGTAATTTTCAAATTAAAATTTGCAGGTACGGCGACTGGACGCGCACATTCCTGAACACGACCTGTGGCGGGCCGTGCGCGAAGATTCGGGTGCTGCCGATCTTTGACCTGTCGCTGCCGCGCTTCGACAGCCACCACGGAAGCTTCGGCCGCGGCCGATTCGATGACAAGGCGACCGATTGCCGCCACTTCTGCAACAATGTTGTCGACGTCTGGAACACAGTCTTTTTCAATATGCTCTGCTCCTAAATTATTAAGAGCCAGACACAGATATTTCTTTGGAAGTGAGGTAAATCAGAACCCTTATGCAGACGCCAGTGGAGATGCTCTCATGCAGACAGGAAGATTACATACAGATGACTGAGAGCTGCATAATCAGCCAGGCATTGTGACAATTGAGGATTGCACATGTTCCTAGAAATTGAATGAAGTGCATTTTTATGATACTGCTGTCTGGAATGAAGACACTGTTGTTGCTTGATAAAACCGCTGATTGTCAAGTTTTTTACTAATGGTTTGATGGTGCAAAGTAAAACTCACTGACGGCCTTGCAAGTATCCGTCATGATGACAGAAATATACCACGCCGATGCTGGCTAGTTCAAATGCTTGAAATGTCATTTAATGGTTTCTGCATGGCAGCTTGATAGGAGTTCTGGGGCTTGCACGGCATGCAAAAGCTCGCTTTACACGTGCAGGAGCCACTTCTGGCGAAGAATACGAATAAATGACCGTAATAATGAAAATGGAAGCTTCCTCCGAAAACAAGAAGACAACACTCGCACTCAGCAGATGGCAGCTATATTATATGGAAAGCAATCAAAGCGCAATTAGCCTGTGGTTGTTTGATCAGATTCCAACTCGCTTTCTTTCCCAGCAGCTGCTAGCAAGCTCACCCGGCATTCTCTAATTCAATGTATTGGACTGATGTGTGCTTCAGGGGCTTTCAATGGGTTCACAGCGCCAATCACTCGCCGGCAGCAAGCTCTCAGGCCTAAATTCACTTGTGTGTACACTGGAAATAGACGGGTGCAACATTCGTCCGGGGCTCCATTGGAAATCATGGTCCCCTTGATCAATTTTGCCAGTGGTTCACATCATTTTGTCCTCGCTTTTCCAAGACTTCTCATTCCAACTTTTTTAAAACAAATCATTCGAGGTTGGCGTCTGCATGACACCATTCATGCAGGGCTAGACAGCCTGGCGTCATGTAGCCAAGCCTGACAGCTAGAAACAAAATCAGATGCACGTCAAAAGTGCATCTGCTTTACGGTCTCCCTCACCTTGCTTCTTGTAGCAGGCGGCAGCGTTGTGCCGGTCTTGCTCCTGGCATTTGCGGCTTCCATTCAGCCCTTCTTATAGGCTTCAGCAGCCGCCACACGCCTGGTCAGCCAACTAACTCCCACCCAGGCCCCCTAAATTCCAGGCCTTGAACACACCTCAAATCCTCCCCATGCTGCATGGCTGGCAGGAGCTTGCCGCTGGATTCGGCCTTAGCCAAAGTGGCTTGATAACACCAAAGCAGCCCAAACGGTGAGCCAACCGCTGGTTGACAGGACATTGCATCAGCTTCCCTAAACACCTCAGCACTTATGGCATGCAGCACATGACTGGCCCTTATGGCATGCAGACGCCTGCAGGACGCCGGTCATTAGACTGGCTCAGGCCAGGCTGCCGACGGCTCCAAGGGAGACGGTGCGAGCAGGGGACGTGGTGAGGGGTTCGCTGGAGGGGGTGAGCGTGCGCAGCAGGTCGGGGCCGAGGGAGGCAATGCCGCCGCGTAGGTTCAGGGGGGACCCCGGGGACCCCCCCGCGGCGGCCGCCGGGGCGGCCGACGGCGACGGCCCGGCCGTTGAGCCGGCGCGGCGCAGCATCGACGCATCGTGCTGCTGCGCCGTGGGGCTGGACGTCAGCTGCAGGAGCTGCGCCTGCGCATCCGATTAGCACAGTAAGATCGTGCACGCAATCCAAGATCTCAGTGGGACTGCGGATAGAGCAGGCCGACAAGGGCGCATACCGGTAATCCACTGCACATGCCAGGCTCTCTTCGACTCCACGTCTGCCGTAAACCCCCTCAAGTCCTTACCACACTATAGGCCGATTTCTCCCCCGAGAGTGTGCTGTATCATGGCAAAGCTTAGAGGAGCTTTTAACAGCCGTGGAGACGTTGAGAGGCTGGCACTTTGGACTCACGTGTGCCCTCTGCAGATTGGGGGGTATCACAACAAGCACATGTCATCGATGAAGCAAGCAAACCCCAGCTCTGTCAGCCTGAGACAGAGGCAATTGCTTCCCGCTGGAAGACAATTACACACTTCCAATGTATCAAAGTCGCGGCGTGCACCTTGGTGGCGGACAGCTGCTGAGTCAGCTCCATGTGGTCCTGCGGCGAGCGTCGGCGGTGCAGCTGGTCGGCGCACTCCACCGCTGCACGGAACTGCCCCGCGCTCGGATTGTCGTAGCCTGCATGCCACCAACAGCACAGGAGCGTCAGCCACCAGATCTGCCTTGGTTGCGGAGAACACATTAACGTCTGCCAGCAGTGCCAATGTGTGCAGCTGTGCCTATCTGAGGAGGTGACAATGAGCATGAGGAGCATCATCACCAGAAGGAAGACCCGGCCCAGTCACCGGATGGCAAGTCAATTCCCAGTGCCAGGCTGGATTCAATCAGGCAATAGAGTAGCGGACACTGTGAGGCTTTGTAGAATTCATGACCCCCTGCTACAATCTCTTCACACTGCCCTTTCGCTCACTTGAAGGGATGACAATCTGAGCAAGGGGAGAGGGCGCCTGTGCGCAATGCCAAGGAGGAGGGTAGAAGCCCTGTTGGAGGGCTAAGTGCCTGCAGTCGACCTAATTACCAAGGGGAATGTAAGAGAAAGCAAGTCTTCACCTGTGAGGAGTGCGAGGGAGGAGGGCCAGAAGGGCCAGGCCCCGGCTGCGCGGCGCGCGGAGGTGAGCACGCCGGCCGCGACCAGCGAGGGGCGGAACTCCAGGAAGCCGCCAGCGTACACCGCCTCCGCCATCATCTGCAGCGCCTCCCCTGCCGTCCGCTCCAGCGCCGCCGAATCCTGCGCGCAAATTTTGCCTTTCAGCATTGCTCTTTGGGTAAAGAATGACCTGTTTCCATATGGGGCACAACTAGAGGTTCAGCAATCTTCAGACAAATGGCTACTGCCCCATCCAAGCTTTGAGGTAGGTTCCCAGCAAACATTGGGTGCCACATATGGGACGATTAACGAAGAGGCAAATCGTGACAGTGATTGAAGCAAGAAAATGGCATCCATTGGGTAAGGCAGGAGCTCTGCAAGATTGCAAGTAGAAGGGCCGTGCCTGGAAGTCGCAGCCAAGGCGCTCCATGTAGAGGTGCAGGATGCGCAGCGCAGAGATGGCGCCTGTGTCGCCGCCCAGCACGGATGCCAGGCGCGCAACCGTGTCGGCCAGAGCGCCCGGGGGACACCCGGCCGCCCGCTCAACATCCTCCTCCGCTGGCTCAGCCCGCTCGCCTGAAGTCACCACAGTTTATTGTGAGCCACTTAAATCACTGCAGATTCCCTGCCGAGACGCCGCGCCACAGGTTAGCAATCACCAGGGAAGCGCTTCTGCTATATCACACTCCAACAGGGATGACATAACGTATCCCCAAAACACAAGAACGAGAACAAAAAGAGGAATGCTGCAATCAATACTGACCAAGGAAACGGCGGGAACCCTGCATGATCATAGATGTCAGTGCAGAGAGACCTTCGCAATCTGTGGGTGCCATGACTGCATCACATGCGCTGAAGTCAAGAGGTGGGCACCTGAAGCATGCCAGACGTCCCCGGACGGCAAACAGAACAAGTGAGTTGTGGGGCAGCACCTTGCTTGGCGGAGATGAGGGCGATGGCGCCGAGGACGGGGGGCGAGAGGGTGTCGCGGTGCAGGCCCATGCGGGAGAGGCGGTCGAGCAGCTGGACGCTGTCGTGGATACACTCCTCGTGCAGGCCAAGGGCGCGGCCGAGCGCCACCAGCCGGGCCACCGCCTCGCGCCTCTTGGCGCCGCCGTCATCCTCCACCACCGGCTTGCCCCCCAGCGGGTGGCTCTCCTCAAACTCCTGCACGTTCAATTCTCATGATGAAGTTTCTTTTGTTTCCTTTCTTCTTTGCCGATGCGAAACAGTCAGGGTGCGGCGCGGGCTGTTTAAAAAGGTTCAGCTAGAACGCTCTAGCATCAGAGAGCATTGGCCATCGGGCCGCTGTTTCTTGGGCTGGTCTTGTTTTGAAGGCAGGCTTGTGATGGATATTGGAATTTTGGAACAAGGGGCTTTGTCCCGTGGCACATCGAGCAGCCGACGGCTGAAGCATGCAACAAGAAGGTCATGAGGAAGCACAATCCAACAAGTCAGCTGCAAAACGTACCAAAGGAGCCCACTCTGTCTTCAGCTTAAGCACAAATCACACGACTCCGTTTGGGAGACACGGCTCAGGCAGATAATGCGTTCAAAGCAGTTTGGCACTGCCAACTGGGGGAGTTTCAAGTCACCTTGACGGCCAGGAAGGCCTTGGCGCATCGCTGCGCGCAGGCGGCCTCATCGGAGCAGAGCAGCTCGGTGGGCAGCTTGCGCTGCGCGGCTGTGGCCAGGGGTGCCACTAACGCGTCAACCTCCTCGCTCTCGATCCACCCCGTGCTGCCGCCCATCTCAAGCTCCACCCGGACCCCCTGCACCACGCCAACACTCTTTTGTTCAACACCAATGCAGAACACTTTTTCAGTACCATTGTTCATAGTTGGAGGTCGTCAACTTCCTTGTAGCATCATGTAACGCCCAACTCATGCATTTGTGCCCCTGCCGCCGGACGTACATTTCGGTTTGGCTCCTCCGCTGGGTGCTCATGTGCGCAGTGAATGCCATGTGCCCCAAGATTGCTTTTCCTGGACATGTCTATCGGCGCTATGATATGGAAGCTTGCCCCCCATGAATAATCTGTCGATCAGCACAGGGGCGGATAATTTTGTGGCACTGAGGGAGGAGGGAGGAGCGGTCACCTGGGAGTTGATGGTGGCGGCGGCTGGGAAGTGGAGCGCGTCCATGAGGGCGTTGACTGCATCTGCAATGGCGCCCGGCGGCGCCTCGCAGCGGCCGATCTTGCCGCGCAGCAGCAGCAGCGCGCACGACTCGCCCAACGCATGGCCCGCAAACCCATTCTTGCTCACCTTCAGCCTGCACAGGCGCCAATTTTTTCAGCCCAGTGGTTGACATTTGCTAAACCTTGCACAAATGGCACTGGGGTCAGCCACTCCCTCATCTGGACTTATGATGAACAGGTTGTCGCACTCTTGCCCTTGCATAATGTGCTGTGGTGTCAGCCTAATCTCGATTGGGTTCAGAGACGAAAAGCAAGTCACCAACAGCAAGCTGTGGTGATATATTGATATTGTCTTGGGGTCCAAAATTTGCTCTTACGAAGACCGTGCGAATTGCAATCTTAGAAAGCACTACTGGAACGACACAGATGCTCCTGCGCCGCGCCTTTCAGGGCCTGCATGGCTGATGCACCATATGGGAATTCTCGGCAATGCAGTGCTGTACACAAGAGCGCCAGCAGACATGACCAAAATCTGGAAGCCTGAGTCATACGACATGGGGACAAGGCTGTCTGCTGCCTCATCATATCAGCCATGTCCTCCAGCAATCTTCCACAGCACAGCAGTGCTCGAACCATAGGGTACACCAGGTAGATGGTCTGACCATGTATAGATAAAGGTAGTCACAACTGTTAAAGGGGTACACAAAAAGAGTCATACCTGAGGTCCTGCAGCCACTGCAGCACAGCGAGGATGGCGGTGCCAACTGTGAAGGCAATGCAGGTCAGGTCCGACTTGCCCTGGGGCATCATCCTGCGCAAGGGCATCAGAATCAGTGTCACCTCCAACGCCACGGCTTCAATGCTTCTGGTCTTCATAGTTACTGCCAAGCAGTACCAGTTCAAGGGCTTTCGTCCATTCATGTGCTGGACAGAACACACTAAGTGTGCTCAATGCCTGGGACTCCGACAATTCTCTTTGCCACTGCACGGAGAGGACACCAGAAAACATCCACTGAAAATAGGGAACTCTTCAGGTGTGGCATGCTGATGTGCTCAGGTGACTCCCACATGCAATGAGCAAAGAGGATTGGTGCTCTCCAAACATTCCGGACAATGGTCCACCATGTACAAAGGATCACCATGTTTAGTCAACAGCACCATTACAGGCTCCTCTCGTACAGTGTCCTTACTGACAATGGCAGGCAATGGCAAGTTTGCAGAGGCGGCGTCACACCTGAGCTGGCCCTGGCGGGTGGCGGCCTGGAAGATTTGGGCGGCCTTGAGCTGCGCGGACAGCACCCCCGATCGCGTCAGCGCCTCTATCACCACGTTGTACACTCCCACATCCGGTCGGTGGCCCTGCCCCTGCATCTCATCCAGCGCCTGCGAAAGAAAATAACACCATGAATATCTTCCAATGCAATAATCACGATTTTTGAAGAGAAATTTAGGCAGAGCGAGGCTTCTTTTCTGAGGCTTCATGGAAGCACAAGCCTTACGCGAGCAGGAGCAACGGCCCTTCCATGGACCAGGGCCCGAGAGTGACCGCCAATGACCGCCCAACCGCATGCTTGATCACCATCCTGTCAGAGTGAATGCCTTGGTGCACGGCAATAGACCCAGGCTCAAGAGGCAATAGTTCAAAGGATCTGGAGGATCTAAAATCGCCCTCCACTGTCATCTTGTCGGAGCCTGGTGTCAGAAATTCCGGACTCTCTAAACCAATGCCTCCGCCACAAAGTTCCAGCATCTCGTGGAACATTTGCTGGTAATTCCTTCTTGATCTGGTTTGCCAAGATCTGCCCATTCGCATTGTAATTATCCAAAGACCTATCGCCTAATCAGCATGATGAAAAACTCTAAAATAGTGCGTGGCGGTCACCTGGAGTGCGCGGCACCACTGGTTGCCGCGGTCAAATGCTGAGATGAGGATGGCGTACGACACCGCGTCCGGCTTGCACCCGCACGACGGCATCTGCTCAAACACATCTTGCGCCGCCTTCCACTGACCCCCTGCGCACAGCGAAACTCTTCTTGCTCCCACTCACGGCCCGCTCTTCAAGCACCTCCGCAGCATCCACCATTGTTCCGCGGAGCCAAATCCAGCTGCCATGATCTCTGGCAGGCCACAGCTGCGGCGTGTTCACGCCGGGTAGCGCTATGCAATTTGCTCACGCATTGCCTTTGACATACAGCATTTCTCAGAGCGTTTTAAGGACCAGAAATCAATTGAGTCGACTGCTGAGAGGGGGGGTAAAAAGCTCTTTTCCTCTCTGAAAGTCCAGGACGCGCCCAGGGAAAGAGATTTTGTGGTAAACTGATATAGAGGTTACCAGGGAGCGGGGGCCGCACCCTGGGCACAGGCGGAGAGGAGTGCGTTGAAGGTGACGGTGTTGGGTTTGCAGTTGTCGCGGTGCATCTCGTCCAGGAGCTCCAGCGCCAGCTGCCACCGCCCGGCCTTCTCGCACGCGCTGATCAGGCTGCTGTACGTTATCACGTTGCGCTCGCAGCCCCGCCGCACCATGTCCTGGAATATCCGCAGCGCCTCCTCAATCTGCGCACAGGAGAGCCGCCGTCAGAGACAGTGTAATAAGAGAAGCATGACAATTGCACATAAAATGAGACTTTCCTCCGATGCCGTCTTACACCATTGCTGTTTTAGCTGCTGCCACCTCCGAACACAAACGCCCCTCTGAAGGTGAATGACATTAGCACAGGCTGGGAGGGAATTCGCCAGAATTTTCTCATCGCAATAGCTCTTGAAGTCCCCCAGCTGTGCACATGCCTCCATCCAGCCGGACCGTGAGCACATGGCTTCGAATATATTGCCAAGACCCAGTGCGGCACAATTCTGCTGACCCCAGGCGGCCATGGCAAAGAGGGACATGAACTGACAGGGGGAATGATCGCACGAGCGCGCACCTTGCCGGTCTTGCCGTAGGCTGAGATGAGGGCGGTGTAGGTGGTGGCGGTGGGCTGCGCGCCGTCGGCCAGCATGCGCTCGTACACGCGCAGCGCATGCTCCGGCTGCCCGCTACGGTTGCATGCGCTTAATATCGTGTTGTATGTGCGCACCTCCGGCTTGGTGCCCTGCATGCAGCCAATACATGTTTGTCACATCATCACTTTACCTCCAACACCCGCACATGCAGCCAATTTACCTCCAACACCCGCACATGCAGCCAAATGACCCACTGATTGCCCTGTATATTGTCTAGAAGTAACGGAACACAGCCACAGCTTGCCCTAGGTCGAGGTTAAAAGTGTAAAAACTATGCCGTGCATTCTTGCGGAAAGCAGGCGCAGCTTTGCATGTTGCATTGATGCAAGGGCAGCCTCATGCAAGCAGGCCGAGTCGGAATATAAGAGGATTGACAGAAGGGGCGTGTGCAGGGGTGTGAGAAATACGGACCTGGTCCTCGAGGGCGTCCAGGACCTGGACGGCCTCCTGCCAGTTGCCCATCTTGCCGTGGATGTCGATGAGGATGTTGTAGGTCACCAGGTTGGGCGTGCACCCCTCGCGCAGCAACTGCCCATACACATCCAACGCCAGCTCCAACTCATTCGCCTGTTTCAGTTCAAACGCACGTTCAAATCTTGCACTTTTCAGGTGCTTCTGATGGGCAAACGCCTGCATGCAGAGCTCTTCTGTTTCAGCAACGCATCACAGGTCTCACACACTCCAGCCCTTAAAGCGTGCCTGGGGAAGACTTCATTTAGCAATATGCCTGCTGGCGCCATTACAAGGAGGCAAGACTGTGGTGCTGTGGGCCACCGCACGTGTCAAGAGCCGGGGGCTTGCTAAGATGATCTGCTATCTGTCCTCACTGTCTGACATACGCCACTGGTACAGGCAAGCTTGGAGATCCAGGGTCCACCTTGATGCAGACGTTCATGAGGGCAGAGTAGGTGTGCACGTTGCACACGACGCCGTGGCCGCGCATCTCCGCAACGAGTTCCAGCGCCTTGCGCAGCTGCTGGTGGCTTCCACACTGCGAGATGATCGTCGTGTAGGTGTACACGTCGCACAGGTGCGCCAGCTCGTGGTTGTCCGGGAGGGAACGCAGCCAGTCGAACAGCTCTGACGCTCTGCAGCGCGCAAACCATGCACCCTTGCATTCAATCCCATCTTCACCATATTAAGGCATGTCAATAAGCGGATGCTGCTGGGAACGGCCCCTAACTGGCACCAATGTTGGAGGTGGTGCGCTGTCTTGCCATCTGGGGCAAGGTGCCAAAGAAATCAACCCCGCTGTTGGTTACACTCTGATGGAATTGCTCTGCGCCACAGGCCGCTCACCGCCTCCCGAGAGGTCTCTCACCAAATCATGGTAAATTAAGCATGCAATCTGTTGCCAGCTGAAGATTGATTGGAGCTGTCCACCTTGCTTGATGCATCGCCAGGCACCTTGCCACATCCAGACATCCCTCCTGGAAGGGGCAATTGGTGACGAGCGAAGGCCAAGGGCATTGAGGAGGTATTTGCATGTGCACGCACCTGTTGGACAGGCCGACCTTGTGAAGCTCCTTCAGCAGGGCCGCAAGAGCGCGCGAGTCGAGGTAGAACAGCCCGCGGCTGACGGCCGCCACGGCCGACTCCTCGGGTGGCAGGCTGCGCACGATGCGCAGCAGGTCTTCTACTGTCATGTCGCTGAAAGGCACCGCCTCGGCGCCTTCGCCCAGCTTCTGGCCGCGGCCTACCTTGGTCACCTGCTGCCATAGCTTCCTGTAGCCCTGCCCCCGCTCCGGCTCCCCCCGGCCTCCCGGTCCTCCCGGACCCCCCTGCATGCGCGCGCGGCTAATAAAAATTCTTCTCTTGCTGTTGGCCCCATGCATGGATGGCTCTGGGGAGACCAGCGTGCTCGCTTGCTCCCAAGCATCCGAGATGAAAGCTACTGAGTATAGAAAAATGGGGACATGTGGGCTGGAAGGTATCACCACGCCTGGAGCACGCATAAAACACCTCTGCAAGGACACAGCACCAACCTGGCTAGGTCTCTAGTAACAACGGTGCAGGCTTTATTATAGACCATAATAATAAGAGGGAACCTCAAAAGACGCTTTGTAATCCAAACGCATGCATGTGGCGCCCCTTTGGAGTACGATGCTGTGTACATGCACCAACCTGAGCAGCCACGCCATCCAGTGCCAGACTCACCGGTGCCATTCCACGTCCTCTTCCAGGCCCATAGCCCCCTGGCATGGCGTCCCCGCGCCCACCCATCCGTCCTGGGAAGCCGAGCAGCTCCCCACTGCCACGGTTGTTCAGCTGCTGACCTCTCTGAGGGTAGCCTGCCTGCTCCAAACCCCGGCTGTGTGCCCTCTGCAGTCTCCCGCTCACATCGCTGCCGTCCATCGATCCACTAAATGTCTTGCCTAGGCTGAGATTGGACAGCGTCTTTTGCAGGCCGCAGTCCTCCTCGAAGCGATCGTGATGCCCGGCTGGGGAAGCGTGCTGCTCATCCTGGCCATAGTAAGATCCAGGTGCGCCATCCCTGCCGGATCCAAAAGACCCTTCGCCCCTCTGAAGCCCCCCTCTGGATCTGGGCGTCCAACCAGGGCTGCGGCCCACCGAGTTCCCATGCGTGCCGTAGTACTCCCTCCTGGGGCTGCGCATCTCTGGTTCCATGGCTCGCCCTGGGCAGTCGGGACGCTCCCGAGTTGCTGATGCTACCAAAATATTGCTGCTGAGCTAGTTTGTAGCGGTCGTCTGCATAAACCCCACCGCAGAGACAGCCCTTTACCCTTTCTACACTCCACTAATCGACCGCTGATCAAGCGCTGCCCGGGGATCGCATCAGCAACGGCCCTGCTGTGACCCTGCTCCGCTCATCTTCCGGATTACAACCCCCTATCGGAAGAGGATCGGGGCTGTTTGATGCCACCGTCGAGTGCATCAGATGAATGGTAGCATCTCTGGGTCCCCACGCCTCTTGAACGACGGGCGCAGACGTCCAAAACGGGGGGGACCAAAGCCGAGGGGACCCCTCTTGGAATCTTGACCTTTTTTTGCCTTTCGTGGACAGTTCCTATACACTTCCATTTCTGCAATTGCCAAGAGATGGTCTTCCCTGCTGCCGCTCTGACTTGCGGGGTATCTTGCGCTGCGCAGCCGAGATCAGCAGGCCGGCAGACACTCGGGCTAGCCCAGCCCAGGCAGGTCGGCCGTGGTGCTGCAGGCAGCAACGGAGCCTCCGTCGCTGATCTCGCACGCGATAACGGTGCCATCAACGGTTCATTGAACGGGGTCCACAGCGAAGGCGTGGCCCACATTGCTCTGAGCGGTAGGTTCAGTACTAGCACGTGTGTCTAAAAGGAAGCTGTTGGGGTTATCACGTCAGACATCAATTGGCAAGTCGCGCTGTTGATCAGTTCAGTCAATAAAAAGTCTGTGCTGTGCTCCTGTGCAGATTCTCCAACAGAGAAAGGTGCCTCTGTTTCTCGGATCAACTACATCCCACGCTCAAGGTGGCCAAAAGGAATCCCTCCTGTAATGGGCGCGCATCTAATGCCTTCTGGCGAGGTTGCTCCTGTGTCTACTTCGAAAGGTAATCCCAATTCAGGATCTTTCTCTTTACACACCTCAGGATATCGGTTTGGCGACCATCTGAATAATGGCTTGGAAACCCTTCACACTGCTCGGCTGTATGGCTGGTGGGACCATCCAATCGCAGATGAAACAACATCTGCCAATCACTAGAAGTGTGGGGTTTGGGGGAAGTGCTCATAGAGCCTAAAAATTGATGCAGGTGCTGGGCTTGGCGGAATTCCACACAAGTTCTTCTACCCCGATGAGAAGGACGACTATGCAGTGCTCCAGTTTGGGAGCCCAGCAGCAGTCGGATCAGGCTTGGCCACATACGTGCAGGAGGCCTCAGCAGCAGCGATCAAGGTGCAGATCCCTTGCAATTCTACACAGCTCAGCTTCGTTTTGGGATTGCGCCACCGTTGCTTTTGCATGCAAGCGCATGCAGTGCTCACACAGAGCTCTGAGATATTTGTTTGACTGGTCTGCATTGCTCTGTTGCAGGAGAGGGGAGCTTTCACACTGGTCCTCTCAGGTGGCTCGCTGTTCAAGGCGCTATCACCACTGATCGGCCTTCCGGGGCTTGATCTTTCCAAATGGCATGTATTCTTCGTGGATGAGAGGAACGTGCCTCACTCCTCGTCAGACTCCAACTTCAAGGGCGCTGATGAGGTTCTTCTGAGCAAGGTGCTCCTCTTCTTTCTGCCCAGTGTGAGGCAGGCTTTTTTATAGCTCTACCTCTCAGATGAAAGGAGCTGATGCAGCAGTACACTACTGATCTCCTTCGTTGAGGGCTTCACAAACCTTCTTGCGCACTTTATCAGTGAAGGATATGGTGGTGGACTGCATTTGGGGCTGGGCTTCACCCTGTTTCTGAGGCGGTACAAGCCATGTGCAGGTGGCAATCCCGAGGGAGCAGATATACGCCATCAAGGAGCACCTGACAGTAAACGAGGCGGCCACAGAGTATGCAGGACAGCTGCTGCGCTTGGACGAGAAAGTCCTGCCACGCAATCCAGAAGGTGCGCAGACTCTTCAGTGCGTGACATGTGCATCTCCTTATTTCCACACTCTCCACCCCTGCACACCCCCCACAAGTAAAGATCCAGGACTGCGCAAAGCATGTTTACATGCTCACAGACATCAATGGTGTCTATGCCACATTCCAAATGCTCATCTTGCTCCCCATGTACACCCTTACAGGCCATGAAACTTGCACGGGCCTGGGCTGCCATGCAATGACTTCTATACTGTAAAGGTCACTGCAGTGTAAAGAACGAGGCGGGAGCAACGTTTGGGGGGTCGTGGTGCAGGGCTGCCGGTGTTTGATATGATCCTGTTGGGCTTGGGCCCGGATGGCCACGTGGCATCTCTATTCCCCAACCGCTCGCAGATTGCCGCGACCGATTCGTGGGTCCTCCCTGTGGAAAACTCGCCCAAGCCGCCGCCCGAGCGCATCACCTTCTCCCTCCCAGTCATCAACAGGTAACACACTGCCCTGTATTGTAGTCATGTTTCGGATTCTGTTATCTTGCCTGCCGAGGACAAATCTCAGGGTTGCCTGTGCTCTCACTCTGCCTGCCAGCCAGTTCTGCTTGTCATTTCTGCAGTGCATGTGCCAGCATGTCAGTTATTATGGACGGCATATTCTTCAAAGATCCAGCATATCATTTATCTTATGCCAAGCACCGAAGTTTTGATACGATGTCTGTGAAGACGCGCCCACGAGCTGCTGTCGCACCCTTGTCATACCGGTTGGAGAATGTGGGTTGTGAGTTAATTTTGGTTGGTGTTTGTTGCAGTGCGAAGCAGATCGGCATTGTGGCGGCGGGAGAGGGCAAGGCAGAGATCGTGCAGAGGGTCTTGGAGGTGCAGTCGCTGCCCGGCGCCCTGCCCGCGCAGCTGGTGCAGCCCACAGCGGGCAGCGTCACATGGTTCCTGGACGTGGCGTCCGCGCAGAACCTGGCCATGCACAAGTGGGAGTCCACCAAGAGCTTCCCTCGTAGCTCCTGAGAGCTCGCGCCATGATGCGCACGCTATCGCATGCTATGCACAATCGCTTTCTTGATCTGCTGAGCCACAATAACCAAATTGCTTTCTTGACCTGCTGGGCGACAATAACAAAGGTGTTTCGGGGCAAGTTGTCTTGCAAAGGGATGGGCCAGGGGAATGCACAGTGGACAAATCTTTCTGGCGTGATAGGTTTGTGCGAGAGAAGTTCATGAATTATGGGTGTGGGCTCTTGAGCTCTTGCATCATGAGTATTACATCTTGGTTGGTGTTGAGGGCCTCCTGCTGAGATTTTAAAAATATTCCAGACTGGACAAGCAAGTCAGTAACAAAGCCTGTGCTCATCACCATAAGGATCATGGCATTCTGTGGTCAGCGTGAAACTATGACAGACCAATTTGGGCACATTGATGCGGTATTAGCAAGCCCAGCCGACGAGCTGAACGAGACACCAGTTTTGCAGGACAATATTTGACAGGGACATGATTGTAAGGTTTCCTGCATTGACACTACAGAGCAAGACACAGAAAAGTCCATTGGGTGTTGAGTCTTGGTATACTCTGTGTTGGACTTGCTGGGTGCTATATAGCTATATAGCTATATTTATAAAACTATCATTTAGCAGCTGCCTGCCCAAGTCTTCCTTGACATCATTGGGCTCCTGCACTGTGATTGCCCGCCCACCTAGTCATCCCAAGAGCTCCCCAGCTGACTGCAGAACATTGCCGTCTGCTGCAATGCTACCTCCATGCTGACTTGACCCTCGAAGTCATCATGTTGTCCAGAGTCTGTCTGCCTGACACATGTGGATGCATCCTGCACATACCACACCACTTTGTCAAGACCTGTCACAGCGAACCTCAAAAAGTAACCTCTTAAGCTTATTGAACACTGTACAGCATGTCACTCCTCTCTGCATGCATGACCTAATCTGCTTCAACAATCAGAAGGTCAAATATACTGCTCATTGTTCAGGAATTACCTAGATCCTTGGAACTGGACAATGTGTGATGATGATAATAATAATTCAGGAAGTGCACCTGCGCAGAGGGCAAGCTGCTGGCATCCAATGTCCTCTGCTGCTTGAAGGGCACCGCCCACTCCCAGGCCGCAGAGCTGCCGTCCTCTCCCGGTGCCTTGCGCTTGGCTGATCCTGGCAGCAGGGGCTTCTTGAGGGAGTCAAACAGCAGCTGAGTCTGCGCAGTGGGCCGCAGGGGCGATCTGCTGTCTGCGCCACTGGCTTCACTGTCAGCTTGCACCGCATGCCACTGCTGAGAAGTGGCCTTGATTGGGGAAGCTGCAGCTGGCGGACTGGGGCTCAGAGTAGGCTGGCTGTGTGCTGAGGCCTGGGTGGGGGGCTGCAAGGTGTCAGGGTCAACAAAGCTGACCCTCTGGGCAGTGGTGGTGGCTTGCTGCATGGAGTCCATCGTGTCTGCCTGGCTCGGAAAGTGTACTGTCTGTGGCTGTGCTGCAACCTCTGCTGTCTGTGGGTCCCCTGCATTCTCCCTGCGCATGCTTCTGGGGGACAGCGGCGCAGTGGTGGGTGCCGCTGCGCAAACCAGGGCCTCTGCTGACTCATCTGCATGGTCACTCGCCTGCAGCTTGGTGTCAAAGGTATCCTGGGACCGCTGCTGGGGCGCAGTGTTCTCATCCTGCAGGCCGGCTGCAGCAGCTTTACCTGGTTTTCGCGCCTCTGCTGCGCCCAGGATGTTCTCCGTCTTGGTGGCTGCTGGTGCAACTGGTGCAAAGGGAGCACTCTTCTCTTCTGCATGGCGTGTGCCCTTGTCATCTGCATGCTCCTCTGCTGCTTTGCTGGCCGCCTGCTGCAGAGGTGTGCGCTGACGTGGCACCAGCCTGGCGGTGCCGAGGGAGAAAACTGACTTCACGGCGCGCCGCATGGCGCTCGGCCACGAGTGCGGAGCGCTCTTCCCCTTCACACCGGCGCTGCGTGGCGACGTTCGCGCTGACGCGGCCGCCCTCCCCGCAGCGCTATGGGCCTTTGGCCGCAGCCGCGGCTGCCAATTTTCCGGCTCCTGCTTCGGTCCGCTTGCATCGCCAGAGAACTGCGCCACTGCTGCCTTTGCTGTGGTGACCTCTTCCTGCTGCTTATGCTCACTGCCCTCTGCGCTGCTGTGGGCACCTGCCGGTGCAGTTTGGCCATTGAAGCTATCAGCAGGCTGGAGAGTCGCCACGCCATCTACGTCCGGCTGCATCGCTGCTTGCGAGTCTGCTTCCATGGTGCACGGTGCTGCTGTTGTTATGTCATCATCTTGGCTGATGCCAGCTGGCTGCGCGGCAGGCACCTGGGAGGCTGGCTCTGCGCTTGATAGCTGGAGTGCAATCTGAGCAGCGTCATGCTGGATCTCAGCCAGCACGCCCTGCACCAGATCAGCTGTGTGCTTCAGATGCACAATACAAAAAACTCACTACAGCAGAGCAATTAGCTTTTTAAGTCAAGAGTGAACATTCTGTACTTGGTTGCTTTCCCCCGTCTCAGAGCAGGAGTAGTAGCCAATTAAACTGGCGCTCAGGGATATGATCCTGTGGTCTTTGGTATGTAAAACAACATCACACTCTATGTGCAACAGAGTATAAGAGCACCCTCAGCAGGGATGTGTAAAAGACAGGCCTGGCTTGGGCAAAGGGGCAAAACTGATAGATGAGAGATAAAGCATGAGGGGTGGGAGGCACCTGGAGGTTTTGCAGCAGGGCGCCAGCAGTCTCGTGGGGGCTGAAGCTGCCGCACACAGCCGACACCAGGGCCACCACCGAGCCCAGCTTGTCATGCAGCTCCTCCGCTGCCTGACCAGGCTCGCTGACCGCTGCATGCACCCCGCCTGCTGCCTGATCAGGCCGGCACGATGCCCCTTCAGCCCCATCCGCAGCCCTGTCAGCTTCCTGCCGGCTGCCGCACCCTTCCTCGCACCTTTCCTGGCTCGCTGTCATGGCGGCATCTGAGCCGTCTTCCTGCATGTGCTCAAGACTGTCCAATACCTGTTCGTCTGGTGCGGTGCACTGCGAGCCAAATCCGCTGTTGTACGCCTCTGTCAGCGTCGCATGCATGTTGTGGATGCATGCAGCTGACGGCAGGGTAGCTTCCCTGGTTGCTGTGAGCGTTGCCAGCTGCTCTCTGCTGCTTGCTGCCGCGCCCTGCGCTGCCTCGTTCAAGGCCAGATCGACAGCCGCTGCAGCGTCGACCATGATCTTGTCTGGCTGCTTTTGCTCTTCTGAGTCGGCATCGCTGGGCTTCTCCACAGAGGCTGACTCTGTTGGCGGAGAGCTGGGGTCAGGTGGGAAGACTTGTTCGCGGGCTGAACCATCACAGATCGTGCCACTGCTGCGGCACTCGAGCCCGATTGGAACGCCTCTGGAGTGGCCATGCGTTGGCAGGCCACAGCCCTCAGCAGCTGCTGCAGAGGCTGCCTGCGGAGTTGCCATGTCGAGCCTTTCTGCTGGAAGATCTGGAGTGGCAGTGGCCGGTGCTGCTGCTTCAGTGGCAGGCGCCTTCCCCTCAAGGTGCGGCTTTGGCTGGCCTACATGGGAGGGCAGCATGCATGCGCGCGCGTCCTGATCTGGCTGGGTGACTGTTGTGGGCTCTGCCTGCTGCGGAACTGCGCTTTGCCTGCTGGCCTCCCTGGCTTGGTACTTGAGCTGCTCATTCTCCTGGCGCAACCTGGAACACAAGTGCACATTTTAGATGTCCTGCTTAAACCTGCAGCAGCGCGAAGGGAATGGGCAGCAGGTATCCCTTCAGTTAGCCTTCAATTAAGCGGCTGAAACGCTACCTTGCAAGCTCTTTGGCCATGGCTTCATTCTTCTGCAGCAACTCTTCGTGAAATCCTTTGACATACTGCCGCAAAGACACTGCAGCAACACAGAGCTTGTCAGGACAGAATTCTGGCCCAGGATATTGCATTTGTTGCAGTAAGTGCACTGATGAAGAAAGCGCTAGGCAGAACTCACTTGCAATCCCCCGTGCGATGAAGGCATCCTGCTGGGCCTGTTGCTGCTGCAGATTTGGCCTGGGAGCCATCATGGGCATCTGACGACCTGCACACCATGCACTTCTAATTCTTCTGAGTTTCACAGCGGCTCCTGCTTAAATACAACTGTGCTGGCATTGTAGTATCCCCAGCACAGCAGGCAATTACTGCGAAGAAGCCTGCCTGGTTTCTGTGCGCGAGGGGTCCGTGGAGGGGGCGGAGGCATCAACCCTGCATCACCCAATGTTGAAGGTCACTTCTGCATGCCATGCATGCCCATGATGTTCTGAAGGACACACACTTCATGCCTCCTTAAAACAAACGGGCAACACCCATTTTTCCTACTTCAAGGGCTGTTCCATTCCCGATCATTACTGGGTGTGGTTGAAAGTTCACCTCCAGCAGGGGGCTTCCTAGGTGGCTGTGCAGCTGTGTGAGCTGGCCGGGGCGGAGCAGGAGGTCTGGTAGAAGACTTGCTGTTCATCTGCACTGCGCTCACCGCAGGTGTCTGCGGCTGAGTCCCTGCAGGCACCTGAGGCCTTGCAGGGCTGACAGGCATGCCCACGACCGGTGCCCGCTGACTCGGACCTGCCTGCCTGCACAGCAACACAGCGGAGGGAATGACTCATGGTGATGACGGTAGCATGCAAGAATTTGGACCAGCGGACTCCCATCACAGACCATCTACAGGGAGATAGCACGTTTTCTCATGAGCACAAATCAAGGCAGTCTAATCGGTCATCACACCCAATTGCTGCCACTGGAGCTGCACTGGTGTCCCGCATGTTGCTGGCGAATGGCACTGCACTGCCTGTCAGCATGTGACTTGTGCCGGAGCCATTGACAGGCGCCACTGGTGGGCCTGCAGAAAGCCCTGATGATGCCGGTGTCGCAGGTTTGGACTCAGCATGCGCACTCGCTTGCCTGCGAAACGCGGCCAAGATAGCCATGATATTGAGTAGCAAGATATTCAGAAGAATTATTTGCACAGGGCAACCGAAGGTAGAGCACAAGCGCGCTGTCTGGCAGGCGAAATGCATGCGGCAAACGAAGGCATATTGGCTTACTTCATGGAGCGGAATGTTTGGCCCTCAGGAGAAATGTAGGTGGCATCCCGGGCCTTGCCATTGCTATTGGGGCGGGAGCGGTATGTCACTGACCATCCAGGTCCGAGTTGAGGCAGAGGGAATGGCCTGCGCAGTGGAATAGTTTGAATTAGAATTCCCTTGTGCTGCACAACAAGTGTACGCTCAATGGATCATTTTGAAGTCAAAATTTTCCTTGTACGGTACGACACAATATTAAGTTGACAAAGCACTGCAGTAAATCAAAGCACGTACCCTTCAACCCTTGCAGCACTCTGCGTGCATGCACTGTCACTCGCAGAAGGCTGCGCGGCCGCGCATGCTTCAGGCCTTGGCACTGAAGTGGCTGCTGAGACAGCCTCATGCGTCTGCATGGCAGCCGGTGCCACTGGGTTGCTCTGCACGAGAGAGATGGCTGCAGTGGCCTCGCTCTTGCCAGTGCTGTCTGGTGTGATGGCAGCAGAACTGCGCTGCTCTGGCTCGTTCTTCGCCGCAGGAAGTGCAGGAACTGGCGCGGCAGCTTCGGGTAGCTTCTCTTGGCAGGGGGATGGCCCGGGCATGTCACGGCCTTGCTCGGGTTCCTGCTGCAGGCTGTTGATTTCTTGGGCTCGGCCGGAGCGCAGAGTTCTGTGGGGCGTCTGGGGCGCAGGAGCACTACTGCAGGATTGCACACGCACGGCTCAGCTGGGCTAAATTGGGGCCTTTCCGGCACATGCATGATATCTTGCATTCTGCAACTTGCATGCCCAAGCAAAGGCAGCAGAACTGATCAATGACTCGCAAAAAGCATTGACAGATTGGGACATGGAGCACCTTGGTGCCAGGCACTTCTTCAGCAGCTGGGCAGAGTCGGTGTCAGGGGAGACGATGCGATTGTCGAGCGCCTCTGCCTCTGATAGGGTCAGGGGCATGTAGCCGAACCTGTCCCTCCACATGCCCAGCAGCTGGCGCAGTGACGGCACTATCATGTACTGCACGCCCAGAGAAGCCAGCCGACCCTCCACTGCCTGGAAATACCATGTGGCTCATGGTGTACAGATTCAACGTGTCCGCTTAGCAATACTGAGTATGGAATATGCAAGCATGCACATTCCATGCATGCCTTCTTCGGAGTGATCAAACGCATGATCCCAAAAATCAAGGCCTTAAATATTGGCAGCAGAAGACAACAGTCCAGACAAATCCCAGCATGTAGGAGCATGCATAAGGCAAGGGAAAGGGCATAAGCATGCAGGGAACGTGCCTCCACGAGCTGTGTCAAGTTGCCATCCCGCCTGTAGCCCTCACGAGTTGCAACGAAGGGCATCTCAGCAAATGCTGTGCCAAACACCCTGCAGCATTGCATGGGTTGTGTCATGTCTTCATCGACTGTAATGCATGCCAGCAAACCCATCCATGGTCCATCGTTATGGGTATCACTGGCACCTGAGAGTTGCAGCGCTCACACACATGGCCCCCTTCCGCAGCACTACCACTCTGAAGTTGCCTGCATGGAAGCACCGTGCTGTTACACTGCCTGCTGCCGAGATGATCTTGACAAAATTGCACAAAGCATAATATCAGGAGGGGAGGGGGCATACTGAAGTTGTATTGGTCCTCATCACCGTCAGTGACTGGCGACTCATAGGAGGTACAGATCATGTCGATCAGATCTCTGCCATTCTCCATGATGAGGGGATCTGCGAAGGATGCCAGCATCCTTGAGCCACGTTGCAAGAGCCGTTCTGCAGCATGAAAAAAATCACAGAGGCATCTGCGAATTCCAGAATGTGCAAGATCAACCTTACCAAAGGAGTGCTTCAGGAGGCGCTTTGCAGTGTCCACCGTGCTCAATGTTCCTGTCCAGAGGGTGGTATTGCTATTCAGCATGACACTTCAAGAAGACGTACTATCTGGCAAGAACACCAATGCCAGACTGCTACCTTTGCTTCTGTGGTCATAGAGGGATGCAAACTCGATGGTGTAGCTGGAATCCTCCTCCAGAGGAATGCGCCTCCCAGACCAAGCCAGGAACTCTGTTGTGACCTTCTCACAAGCCTGCGAATGCTCTCACGCTTTGAACTGCTAATCTTCGACTTGAAAAGATATTTGGTACTTAAACAAATGGCAGCACTGGCGAAGATCCTCACCTTCGAACAATACCAGGAGTGTCCTGCTGTCAGGATCTCCTTGCCAATCTTCGTGCCATGGGCACATTCTTCGCACTCCACATGTGATCCAATTGTCTCGCACCCATCGCATAGTAGAAGGGTGCGAGGGCCGTATCCCTCCTGGAAGTCGGATAGCTTGCAATGTTTGCAGATCTCACTGGCATTGGAGCACCAAGACATGTGGGCTCTTTCCCTCAGATAGTACAATGACCCCCCAGAATCAGTACGATGGCCAAAAATTATCGATCAGAGACTGTTTTGAGCAGTCCAAGGCTCGCTGCAGTGTTTTCCTGGCCTGGCCATAGACTCTTTGATCCTGTCACAGCTTCACGTCACAGCCATCGAGAGCTCTGCTTTGCAGGCAGCCTGCCAGATCTAAAGCTTGGCTAGATACCCAAAATCCTGAGACCCACGATCAAACCTTCCCATGCACAAAAATTGGGTCTTTTGGTGCCTGCAGCAGGTTTGGTTTGAATCTCTTGCATGTATCCTGATTAGGTTGAGGCCCAAGGAGCAGTCTTCAGACGGCGTGTCATTTTGGCAGGTTTCATTTGCTACGCAGATTGCCTCCATTGTGCCACTCGTTGCGTTAGCACCCAATTGACATCCTTTGTGCAATTTTCGGCAAATTTTCTTGCACGATGGCAGCTTCCACTCTGTCCGTTCGCAGCTCGATCTGCCGTGCGCAGCGTGTCGCGCCTGTCGCGAAGGCAGCGGGGCCACGCGCGCCCTTTCTGGGTCGCCCTCAGCGCCTGCCTGTGCGTCAGGTGTGCAATTGGCACTTTAAAAGGTTTTAGTGGGTCTTGGTCGTACAGTAAGTGGGAGGAAGGTCCAGCACCTTGGCTGCTTGGCGCAGAGCCGTGGGGCCTTATTTCAGGATAAAGACAGCTTCATTGTCCATCACCTTGCAGTCTTTTGGACACCTGTAGTACAAAGCATGCACCTGCATCTGTCAAAGGAGGTGCAAAACAGATGGCGGATGTTGCTTGCAGGCGGAGAGGAGTGTGCCCAGCACCGTTGTCCGAGCTGAGACAAACAAAACAGATGTGGATGTGGACGCCATTGTGAAGGATCTGCAGGACAAGGTCCTCCCCCCTCAACGATTGGGAGACAAATGATCGATTGCGCTCACCTTGGTGATGAAGCTGACATCCTCCAGCATATTCATCATGTGTCCTGAGAGCTGCGTCTCGCTGATGCAACGTTTGGTATCTTGCAGTGGGACGGTGTGGAGAACAAGAGCACAGTTGCCATCTACGCTGGTGGCGCTGTCGTCCTCCTTTGGCTGTCTTCCACCATTGTCTCAGCAGTCAACGGTGTCCCTCTGGTGAGCATCCTGCTTCGATGGTGGTGCATGGGATCAGAAAATATTCCCGTTGACAATGACTCCTTTTTTGGAACAAATATTGCGGACACACACGATGGTTGCTTCATCGGCATTGGCTGGCCTCCATGACTAATCCAGCTTGTGCACCTACTCGTATTGATCTTGCCTTCTGTGCTGTTTTACAGTTGCCCAAGCTCTTGGAGCTGGTCGGCCTTGGCTACACCGCCTGGTTCGTCTACCGCTACCTGCTCTTCAAGGTATGCTGACCCCATTTCTAGTTTGCACCCATGTATCTGGCCGCCGCATGTCTATTCTTGCAGTGACACCATACTTGTAATCTCCCATAACCTCTGTGCCCAATTTCTACCAGCGCCTGTCTGATCAACCTGCGGGGCACCTTGGATCCTGTAGAAAAGACATCTTGATTTCAATACGCCTGAGAAGTGCTCATTGCATCTGCAGTCAAGCCGTGAGGAGCTCTTGGAGGACATTGAGGAGCTGAAGAAGAAGGTCACTGGCACCTTGGACTGAGGTCTCACCGCAACGTGGAGGGAGCAGGCATGTAAGAGGGAAGCAAATAAGCAGACCGGACATGCCATATCATTGAAGGATAGTGACGACGTTATCAGTATGCGGCGGGTCTGTCTGGACTCTATGAGCGTGGGGAATGCCGGCCCCAGTACTGTTTGAGCATGAGTGTTTTATGTTTTCGTCTTGTGAACGTCGCATTTTTGACTGCAGCCACATTTACATCTGACATTTGGGAGAGGGCATGCTTGTCCAGTCGACAGCACAAAAGTCTATGCTGCGAACAGATTCACTTGTTGATATCATTGTGACGAGATAGATGACGATCCACGAAGCTGGTGTAACTGGTGACTGTAGAGAAGCCTACGGAGCAATTGACTTGTGCATACACAGCTTTTGTCTGGGCAGGGCATTTGGCTGTACATACCGGATTCGGCTTGGCAAAAGGATCGCACATTGAAGTACAAGCAATTCTGCAACACTTCTTACGCTCGCATGCCTGGCTGGGCCAGCTTCAATGGTTCAGCGATTACCATTCGGGCTCATTCCTGATCCATTCCTGACTCAAGTTCACACACAGCACTGGAACCATAGTACGCGATCGCCGCGTCCAGCTTGGACGTCAGGACATTGATTGACGGATCCACAAGCGGAAAGTCATCAGTGTGGCGGCCACCAGAGTACTCCTGACAGGCGGCCAGCCCGCTGAGACAGTAGCAGGTGTGATAGTAATCTACAGCTGTTCCAGGTTTGTCTCGCAAACCCCCGCCGCGTCTGTTCTGGCAGCACTGCAGCAGCCAGAGTCGTAGGGCCGCCGTGTTGAACAATGGCCTGTCAGGGACATTTGTCGCTCTGGAACCTTCAGTGGTGCCACTGCTGCTGCATGTGGGCGGCTCTGCAACGGCGTTTTCCTCTTCTGTGCACAGTACTGCTGCACTCACCTGTGGCACAGCAGATCCCTCAGCTAGAAGTGCCCACATCACGCAAATGCACTTCCTGCAGGCATGCACTTCCCATGCACAGCACAAGCAGACCAACATATGGGCCGCTGGCAATCAAAAGCCTGCCAATCACCTGGGCTATATCTTCATATTCTAGGGCCCAGTGTGCGAGGCGCTGCGCATCTGCTGTCTCATGCAGCATCGCCGCTGTAGCAGCCGGATCATCTGTCAAGGACCCAATCCCCCTCTCCAACAGAGCATCTGCCTTCGCCTGCACATCCGCATCAGCCCCATCAGCCTGCTTGAATGCACTTAGCAGAGATGCCAGCACAACATGTCAGCATTGATGTTGTCTTCAGTGCATCCACAATTCTGAAGTCCCAGCTTCTCGCACTGCACACTCACCAGAGAGCCATAAACCACCTTTGGGGTAGCTGCTTACAATCTGTAATGCGTTCATCTTTATTCAAGACCTACAAGGTGGCTCATAACGACTGTGTTGGTGACTCGCCTTCAGCCGTGCAGTCTCGGACTGCGCCTGCTCTAGGGGACCTTGGGGGGCGTCGAGCGGGGGCAGGGTAGGGATGACAATGGGCTGCTGCGGCGGGGGTTCCCGGGGGATCCCACTCTGCTGCACATACTGGGGCCAGACCTGCTGCAGGAGAGGGAACAGTGCCCCTTGCCAGAAGGAGTAGCAGCCGTCCACCAGCTTGTTTGTGCGGCCCATGAAGCCCCCCTCCACCAATCCCTGTGACACACAGAACCAGATAGATGCGTCTGGACGCTCAATTCCAAATGAATCCTAGGTCCTGTGTAGTGACACATAGAAAGGCAAGCAAGAAGGCAAGCAAGAAGACAAACAATCAAGTCACAGCCCTGCAATCGAGCCAAGCTGTCTGCTTGGCTGAAGAAGAGAGGTCGTCACACGGGCAAATACAGGCAACTTTGTTGGCACGAGTGTTGCCTGAAAGGGAAAGTAACCTGTCGGTGGACCGCCCAGTGCAGTAGTGAGGGCAGATTGAGGACATCAACGCGGTCTGCCAGGACCAGAGCTGCCAGGCCGCAGTAGGTGTAGCCCCCATGTGCCTCATTCCCAGGCTCCCCTCCCAATCCTCCCTCATAAGTCTGTGCATGCACACCCCCGCTGAGAAGAGACTTTATCAGGGTGACACAATCAAATTTGCAGCAGCTGGAAAGGGGAAGGAGTGTAAGATCAAATGCAGGAAGCGCGCCTGGCACCGACCGATGAACTCTGCCATGCCGGACAGCTGCAAGACGGCGGCCTTGTCCATGTTGAGCATGTGCAGCGTTGCCACCGCTGTGTAGCAGCCTCTGCAGTCCACCTCACCACCTGCATGCATATTCAGTGCATATCTGACTTTCTGTCCCATTGACAAGGGCTGAAGGTTATTTGATTGCCCGACATGGGCTCGTTGCTTGCCATGTGCTGGTTGCTACTGGGAAGAGCCCAGAGAGCTGCTTTCATGATCTAATGGCCAACTGTGCATGTGTCAGTCAGCTCTTCCCATTGGATGCTGCAGGTTTCAACAGGTGTCTGGTGACCGCACCATCGGATACAGCGATGCCACCGCCAGCCTCAGCTGGCACGCACATCCTCTTGACAAACCCCAACAGGGCCGCTCTGTCCACAGAGCTCAGCGCATCCTGACCCCCGAGGGTGACGAGCGTAGAGGTCGCTGCATAGGTGGGTGCGAGGTGGGGCAGCTGCATTGGACCACCGCCAAAGCCTCCGGTGGGAGACTGGCATGCGCGCAGGAAGTTCACCACATCTGCAACGACAGTGACAAGGGTCAGCCAGCCTAGACTTATGACCCCTCAGACAGGCGGTAGCTTGATCGCAGGATGAATGAGTGAGAGTAGATCATTAGCACAGGTATCTCCGTTATTTGAGCAGCTACTTTTAGCAATCGAATGGCTGCAAAGTTGTCAGAATTGAGAACAAGCGTGCAGATGGTGATCACAGAATTTCTACCTACCGATAGGCTCTACACTGGGAGGAAATGGTGCCCGTAGGAGCGCCAAAGAGTGAGTGATCCAGTAACATAGCCAGGGTCTACTACAGCCCAGCGCTATGTGATGTTGTCGCTCCCTAAGGCCTTCATGCAAATACTCGATGTGCCGCGCTCGCGTCAGCTCGAGACTCGACTCGACATCATCAGCTGTGCTGCCTTGATAATCTTTCAGCAAGCTGATGAGGCGCTGTTCCAAGGCGTGCTGTGCCTCGCTTGTTTCTGTTCTCTGGCCATCTTCAATCATCCAATCCAGGTGCTGATGGTGATGCGGAATGGCGGTACTAAAAACAATCTTAAATCTAAATGCACTCCAAATTATTATTTGAACTCGAATAGAGATCCAAAGAAGCCCTGACAGACAGTGGTATTGATGCCGAAGTGCTACTCTAGATAACAGCTTGTGATGAATGCTTCCTACTCCGAACTGTGGATCCAATCCTTATACAGACACATACTACATAATTTACCACGTTTCAGAGGCTTCCTGGATCAGGAGTCCTGAGACAGAGTGTGAACTTGGTGCCCAACTCGGGCAGAACGGGCAGCGCAAATCAGGGCCGTTCATGTGACGCCCCGCCAATTTCACAGCAGACGACGGCTTCAGCCAACCAAAATAACATTCTTTGATCACAAAAGAGCATCTCCAAAGACAGATATTATATTTAAACAGATTCTCAATAAATTTTCTGATCAGTTCTTCTTAGGTGCATAGATGAGCGGCCTGGTCAAATGCCTGCTCGGGATGGGCAACCCTCTGCTGGACATCATGGCTGATGTCGATCAGGCAATTCTGGACAAGTATGAGGTGACCACGGGTTGCCATCACCAGAGCCGAATCCTACTTAGATGCACCCCTTACACCAGATGACTCTTCAACACACGATCACAGACAAGCCTTTATGGAACCAAGATTGCGTACCTCAAACTTGACCAGACAAAATTGGCATGCTTACAACTTGAGCTGTATGATAAGAATTGCGTCCGACACTGTGACCATGACTTTAAGCTGAACTTTCCTGCTCCACCTCATTGATGACACGCTCCTGTTGCCTGCAGATCAAGCTCGCTGACCAGATCCTGGCAGAGGACAAGCACCAACCCCTTTTCAAGGTAAATTATCTGGCTTTAAGCACTGAGCAACTGGAGGATCCTTGTGGCTGCTTACAAGCCAAACTACTTGATCTTCCACAACTCTCATGCCTTGTGTTGCTGCCTCTCGCAGGAGCTTGCGGCCAAGAGCGACGTGCAGTACGTAGCTGGTGGAGCCACGCAGAACTCCATCCGCGCAGCGCAGTGGCTGCTGCAGGTCCCAGGCGCCACATCCTACTTTGGGTGTGTCGGCGATGATGAGTACGCTGAGAAGCTTCGCAAGGCCGCTCAGGACGGCGGCGTCAATGTGCGCACCATACCACTATCTCCCACTCTTCGTGAATGTAGAAGGGACCCCAGTGGCGAGTCTTAGCTCTGCCCTGCCAAGACGGTGGTTCACGACAGCACGCTTGATGGGATGATTTGAATCTCAGGTGCAATACCATGTGGACACATCGACGCCCACTGGGACATGCGCGACGGCTGTCATGGGAGGCGAGCGCTCCCTGGTAGCCAACCTGGCAGCCGCCAACAACTACAAGGCATGCCACACCTCCTTTCACTTGCCGACATGTGCCATCATCATATGCAATAATTAGCCAAACATGTCATTTCTGGAAAACAAATGCACCCCTGCGCATGTACGGCGATCTTGCTGTGGGGTCTTCCAATGCTCTGCATGCTTGCACTCGACAGGCATGCCGTTACGGCGCTAAGGGCTCTTCTTATGATGTCGGCTGTTATTATGATGTTGACTGTGGGGATCACAGGAGCTGCAGCCACATGTGCTTCAGTCAGTGGGCTTGCCCTCAAATGCCTTCTCGCTGATGGAGTCTCTCTGTTGATCCACTCACTGACCAACCTAATGTGGGGTGTGTCCGCAGGTGGACCACGTGAAGCAGCCGGAGAACTGGGCACTAGTGGAGGCGGCGCGCGTCATCTACTCGGCCGGCTTCTTCATCACAGTCTCCCCAGAGTCCATCCTGCTGGTGGCCAAGCACTGTGCTGCCAACAACAAGGTTTACTGCATGAACCTCTCCGCGCCCTTCATCTCCCAGGTGCCCCCTCTAACCCTTGCCTGCCTGCCTGTGAACGCTGAATTCTCTACTTCTCTGATCTACTTGTCCCCTTCTCCCACCTATAGCTCCATGAGAAGCTGCCGATAACGTGTCTGGAAAAGCTCACCCTGACAATTGTTGCAGAGCTCATTTTGTACATGGCAAGCAGCCCCTTGCAAACTCGGCATGGTGGTCCTGCGTTTGTTGAAGCGGAGATTTGTGATGGCTGGCGCAGGTGCCGCCATTCAAGAAGACCCTCATGGACGCGATGCCCTACGTGGACTTCTTGTTTGGCAATGAGACCGAGGCACGAGCGTTTGCTGAGACCGAGGGCTGGGCAACTGAGGACGTTGCCGAGATTGCGCTGAAGGTGAGACTCCTCTCATTTCTCTGGTGTGCAGGAAAAGAACAGAGGCAGGTGACCGAACTCCATGAATGTGATGATAGTTAAGCCCTCTAAAGGAAAAATGCTGCATCATCTGCTCTATGTCTATCTGACCCCCTGACTGAAGCTCTACGACATGTCAATCACAATGGAGGCTTCTGTCATGATGTAGCATCTTGCGGTCTTGCAAAATGCATGCAGTCATAAGGAGAGGTTTGCATGTTCTACTCAACTGGCTTGGCGCCACGCCCGGTCAGGCAATGCATGCAATATGATATGAAGTGAAGTTGACTTCTTTCGCTGCCGCGGCTACCACGCACAGGTGTCGGCCTTCCCCAAGGAGAACGGCAGCCGGCCGCGCATTGTGGTGTTCACCCAGGGCAAGGACCCCACCATCGTTGCCAGCTTTGGCAAGGTGAGTGACTCACCTCTTGAGCCTCCTACATCACTGAGCTGGATCTCAGATGTTTTGCCCTGGCCGAGCCAGGCCTAATATCCCAATCCCCTGCTCTGAGTGGCATGTGATGGGGTGCCCCACATAGAAGTCAAGCTGGTTTCAGTGGATCACACATTCACTTTAGAGAAAGAGGTATGCAAACATCAAGACATCTTATTACTGTTGCGTAAGCAGTACGCCCAACTGCTCTCCCCGAGAGTGCCCAATCTTGCTACAGTCACAGCAAAGTTCCAATTGCTCCTTTGTGTGTGTGCAGATTGCGCAGTACCCCGTCATCCCCCTGGCCAAGGAGAAGCTGGTGGACACCAACGGTGCCGGCGATGCCTTTGTTGGTGGTGAGCATCTCATGGCCTCACCCCCAGCTACAAGCAATTTCAAGATGCGCTTGAATGTTCGTGTCACAGCTGCTGCCCATGCAGCATGACTTGTGTGCACAGCATCCTCCTGCTCTGATATATTCGAGGAGTATAATGCCGTGTAAATACTAAGCACCGTGCCCACGGTTGGTTGGATCTTGCTTGGATCTGGCAAGTCCAACAAGGGGTGAAATTACGGCAGCCTTCAACAGCAGCTTGTCTGCAGGACGCACCTTGCCTCTTGGCAGGAGAAGCATGCAATTCATTCAATAATGAATGGGGGTGAATCCTGGGGTGCAGGTTTCCTCAGCCAGATTGTGGCGGGCAAGGAGATTCCTGAAGCCGTGCGCGCGGGCAACTTTGCTGCCAACGTGGTCATTCAGCGCTCTGGAGCCACCTTCCCCGAGAAGCCAGATGGCTTCACATGGCTCTAGAGCAGCTGGCCGAGGTTCCCTGGCAGAAAGATTAATCAGCGGCTGTCCGGGTGGAGGCAGCTGCTTCTGTTGTGTCCTGCTGGTCGATGCATGCTCTGCAAAGAAACCCTCACTGAACTGTTCAGGCCTATTTAGAGATCATCTTTAGTGCAATGGAGATTACTCACGTAGGTGCAACATGCGTCAAAGCGATGATTCTACATAACAAGAAGAATTTGGAAATCCTCATGGCTCTACAGTGACCCCAATATGATTTAGCTGCAGACTGCTGCATCTCTGTCTCGGTCTACAAGTACTGAGTGGGAAATATTTAACCGGCGTCCAGATCATTGAGTCGCTTCATAAATTTACAATAATATCACATCCTGTCCATTTTGACGCCGTTTGCCTCAACACAAATGCTAGGACTTCACTTACATGTTCAGGCAACACCTGGCAACACCGTGGGTGCATCATCGTCTTCCAATTCTAGCTCTACTGGTTCCTCTGGAGCTTCATAAGCATCCTCGCCCTCAACTGAAGTCATACTCTCCAGTGCTGCCCTCAACTCTGCCTCTGCTGCCACCTCTGCCTCTGCAGCTTCCTCCACCGCTACAAGTTGAGCGATTGAGGCAGTCTCTGCCGTGAGCTCGGACCACCTCTCACCCTCCTCGGCTTCCCATTTCTCCACAAAGGCCGCACCATCCGCCTCAGAGATCCTCAGCGCTTCACACACCCTGCATCATGGCATCCCATGTGCTTTTTAGTCGCTCGTAATCAGATTCACCAGGATTCGCTTCTCAATGACTACATGAGCACAAGCCAATGCCAGGCACGGTGCAGGTACTCCGTCATGTTCCTCCAGGGTAGCACGCACTGCTGCAATGCACTTCCCGCAATCAGATGAACAGATTCGCTACGAGCTATTATACTCGACTACAAAGCTGTTGAGCATTCGACCAAACCCACATCCATCCTATGCATGCGAGACATCAAGCACAGGGGTATGCATTGTTTCCTGTGAGTGCAGAGGAAAGCTGAGAAGGCCAGGAACAGACGGGCTGCTCCTCACCATAACAGGTTGGAATTCAGAAGCTTTGACAGCGGTATGGGGAGGTCTTCGTGCTTCACCCACTGCGAGCGGAGAATTCTATCCCAAGCCTTCTGATCAACCTGCAGTCAGGCCAATCAACTTAGTCACGCCTTGCAAACTTTGCAGCAAGCACTTGATTACGGCCAGCAAACCACTCACATATCAACCCGGCAGAATGCACAGAAACATAAGGCCAGCAAAGTTGAGATTCTTGTAAAGTCACACAGAAGACGGAGGGGAGCAGCAATGGTGTCATTGCACGGAGTCAATATCTGTGTTGCTGAGATGTACCTGTGATGGCATCACCACCTGTCTGCCATGGTGCTTGACAAGGGCAGTCCGAGAGCCCACTCTCCACGTCCTCTGCATCAGATACTCAGGGTACCGGGTCACGTCCTGCAAGGACAGCACTCTGTCGCTCCTTCCACTGCAGGGCAGGTCAGGCCTCATACCACCAATCCTGACATCATGAGCAGAACAAGAAGGCTCCGTGCAGATGCCCTACAGACCAGCCGATGCTTACAAAGCTTCAGATCGTCCAGGACTTGCCAGCTCCAAAAGCAAGCTTCAATCTGGCTTAACAGGGAAACTGATATTCAAATCAGAGTCAGGAGAAATTCCCGCACCAGGGCGTTGCCTCCCAGATGTTCCTTTAGCATGCGCATGCGCAGCGCCAGAACAGGCCGCCGGATGCTCAGGAGGCCCTTCGCTGATGTCACCAGTTGCGTCAGCGCTGCTTTCTCCACTCCGTGGCCCACCAGGAATGCCATGACCCCTCGCACGTCATCCAATGACTGCACCATCACATGCGGCCGCCTGCGCGCAGGTGCATACAGCCCGCTGACACCAGACAACACAACTATCGACCCAAGTATCTCTAGCCCAGGATTGTCCAAGGCAGAGCAAGTTGCATGGTTTTCCACCCAGATGCAGCACTCAATGGGTCTGTGCTGATCAGATAGATTGGGACAACTGGACTGACTGTGCAAGGGCTTTGTCGTAGGTGCGACGACTATATAGACCAGACTAGTACAGATTGGTTACCGGTGGTCCTTTTTGGACCTGGCCATCGGGGCAGATCTGTAACAAGCTTGGCGCAGACGGGGGGCTTGTAAACAATTTTCTGGAGATAGAAATGGAGAGTATGAAAGGTGTGGGAGGTGGACTTACTTGACAATGATGAGGCGCTGCTGCTCGGGGGGAATGCCGATGGTGTCCAGGTACTCGCACAGGGGAAACAGCCGCGTCTCCAAATCCTCCAGCAGCAGGCTCGGCCGCCTCTGCAGGCAGCTCGCCATCTGCGCAACGCAAGAAATGAGCTCAGCAGGTGACAGATATTCCTATGCTGCCAGACTGCTAGATGTCTGCTATACTCTGTTCCATGCCCCTGAGAAAGCACGCTGCATTAAGGAATATCCTTGCATGATGGCGGACACAGAGAACGCAGCTCCATAATTTGCACACACAGGTCTGTCTGCAGCCGAACCCAGGGAGGATGCTCCTGCATGCAGCCTTGTCAATACATTGCATAAACATAAGAGAGAGCCTTCAAGAGGGAGCAGCAGCAGGAGGGGGGCGTGCCTCCTCAGTGGAGAGATTGAGGAAGTCGAGGAAGCCGATGGCAGCTTCCAGCTGAGCGCGCGGAGCCGCCAGCAGCTGCGGGCAGCGCAGGAGGCAGTTGCGCACCACCTGCTGCGAGTCCTTCACGCCATTGAAACAGCCCAGCAGGCAGTCCACACTGTCCGCAATCTGCGCGTATTTAAACATCGTTCAAACTCTCCTGCCAAAGGCAACTCTAAGCAACAAACGAGCAGATGAGAGTGTCAAACTCTGCCCACGGCTCGTAGTAGGCTCCTAAACATAGTGTCAGCAAGCATATTGTCAGTATGATCAATGGTCTCACTGGGGACTGTTGGGGACTGTAAGAGGGATTGGGGACTGTAAGAGGGCAGGGGAGAGTGCGCAGCCCACCTGGGATACAGGGGGCAGGAGCGGCTTTGGAGAATCGGAGCCGCTGTCCCCAACGACTTCGTCGAAAGACCTGGTCAGGAAAGTGGACCATGCCCATCCAAGCCTCTCCTTCAGAGCCTGCTTGAGCTCTGCAACGTCCTCTGCCTTGATCCCCATGCCTGTCTTGTGGTATTCAGGATCCAGTTTCTTCTCTTTCTTCTTCTTCTTCTTGGGGCGCTGCGGCTGGTGCGTTTGCTGGGAGCTAGATTGGTGTGATTCCGGATGCCGCACTGGCAGGCTACCCAGGCTTGCTGCGGCTGGAGATTGTGACAGCATCAGCAGATCTGCCAGCGAGGCTGTCAGCAGGCTGGGTCCCACCTGAGGATAAACACAAACTCATCAGTCACTCAATGCCCAGTGCAGCTGGCATGCTGTTTTCTCAAATAGCCACAACCTCTCAAGCAGCTTGACGGGAAGGTCAGGGACTGTTAGCATTGGCAACTAGGATGCTGGGACCCTTGCCTGTGGGTGTGGCCCGAGGGGGAACTGATCTCGCAAGGCCTTCTCCAAGACAGTGGCCAAGAGCGGTACCACAGCTTCATGCTGCAGTGACGGCTCTTCTGCCTGGTGCGCTGCCGCTAGAGTCTCACCGCTGGTGTGGTATAGCTGTGCAATTGGAGTTGCTGAGAGCTGCAGATGACCTCCTTGCAGGAGCAACTGCAACCTTCTGAGGGGCTGAACAGCTGATGATACTGCCCCTCCTTCGCCTCCTTTGAGGCTACCAGACATTCTGTAGCTTACTCCACTATGCTCAGTCAAGGGCACAGCAGTTGCCACGGCCCTGCTGGTGCTTGCAAACGCATGTGATGCCACGCGATAGCCAAGTTGTTCATCAAGCCAGCAAGTTTTGCTATCGATTGCGCGCAAAACAATGGCCGATTGCGACACAACGCCTGCGCCTTGACTTCTGAACCTTGCAAAAACCATGGCTGCTAAGCTTAGCCCTATAGCAATGCTATATGCCACTGATGCAATCAAGCACAATAGATTTTTATCTAGCGGTCAACTATGCGTAAAAAAACGCGGAAAACAATAGTAATTTAACAATGACTAGGGCTAGATCAACAGATTCAAGTAGAAGCAGATGATGCAAATAGTGCATCCGCGATAATAACTCTGCTTTGAATCAACTTCGACAGCATGATTTCATACGATACAGGCAATCTGGGTCATTTTTTGTTCTTGATGGCAGCCGGGCTCAGAAATCGAAACAAGTAATTACTCATCGCTCGATTTGCCACGGTGGACTGGGTCCTCGGGTAGGCGGCGGTCCTTTTGGCCGCCGCAGAGGTTGAGATGCAATTTTGATGCACTCCAACTTCACAGTGGAAGAAGGGTGCACCCACAATGAAGTTCTCCACGACAGTGAGCTCCTCCAGGAGGAAGAGCCGCAAGGTGCTGAGATCACAACCTGGCTGTAGTGTCAGCAAAGCTGATGGTTCTGCGAGCAATAATCAGCCGAAGACATGCTCTATCAGAGGTTTATGCAGAGATGAATGCAGATTGCCATGAGTATCCATTCGTGTGCCATTGCATCGCCTGCCGTCGGAGATCATTAGGGGCAGGGGTAGCAATCTGCAGCTCTATGGATGGCTTTCTCAAGAATGCCGAGCAATCCGCTGTGCAGACGTACTGTGGATAATATTTGCATGTGTGACGTTGCAGGCTCACTTCTCAGCACCTTCAAATGTCCGGAGGAAACTTATGAGCGCTCCTCTGTCGAAGGAACTGCGCACCAAGTACAGCGTGAGTCTTGAATCTTTGAAGCAAAGAAGTTCATCAGCTTCTTCGAAGTCGAAAGAAGCGTACCAATACACTGCCCCTGCACTCTCTGTGGTTTTCCTCTTACCAAGGCCCACTGGACAGCAGTCCTCCATAGTGCCACCATCAAAGAGCCCCTTTGTGACCTGCAGGTGAATGCTGTGCCAGTGAGGAAGGATGACGAGGTCAGCGTTGTACGAGGAACGTACAAGGTATGTATCCTGCCCTGAATAGCATGCAGATGGCCCTTGGCCCCTCTCTGGCCCTCTTTACACACAAGCATAGAACCATTCTGGCAAGCTTTGATTGTTCCTGTTGCATGACGCAGGGGAGGGAAGGAAAGATTGTGCAGGTATACAGAAAGAAGTGGGTCATCCACATTGAGCGCATCACCCGCGAAAAGGTCAACGGTGAGTCCCAGCTCCTAAGAAGCCGTCTAGCACACCGATCCTTTGATTCTCGCTTCGCTCTGATCTTTTTTTAGGTCCCTAGCTGCTTGCAGTCTTCATGTGAAACCTATGACAGAGTCCCACACGATATGGAGAAGTCCCTGGCGTTTTCGCCTTTCTTCTTGGCACATGGATTGTAAGAGCGATGGGGAGACGATTATATTGGGAAGGTTGGGGATCTAGAGGGCTGGCAATGGCTGTAACGCTGCAGGACACAAAAATTTCACAGCTATGCCTGCCTAGATCATGTGCAAATTACAATCTGCAGAACACAGACTATTTAAGCCCGTGAGACAGACAGACTAGCAAGTGGGCAGATGGCATGAAAACAACCTTGTGTGCTGCAGGCGCCACAGTGAATGTGGGCATTGACCCCAGCAAGGTGGTGGTGACTAAGCTGAAGCTGGACAAGGACAGGAAGGGGCTGCTCGACAGGAAGGGCAAGAAGGACGACAAGAACAAGGGCAAGTTCAGCGAGGCAGAGGTGGAGGCCATGCAGGACGTGGACTAAGCTGTCTCTTGTGCACATTTCTAGTACTGCTTGCAGATTGTTGGTCAGCCGTGACTGATTCCAGAAACGCTCATGTCCTTAGCTGCGGTGCAATAAGGACTTGACCGGTTGCAGCTGCGCGCTGCCTGTAACATACACACTGCTGCATCCTTGCAATGCAAGCCTGGCTCGATCCTTCACACGTGTGTGTTTACACACTGCATCGATAGTCTGACCCCAAATACCACTGCTGCTTGCATGCTTTGATCTCAACAGGTCTCAATAATCTTCTTACGAGAATCTTCTTACATTCCGAGAATAATCCACCGAGAGTAATCCACTAATATTCCCACCAAAATTGCTGGATCTGGACATACAGTGAATAAAGGGCAATCGTGGCAAGAGCGCAACTGCTGCCTTCAGATGGTTCTTTGAAGTCTCTGAGGTCAAAAATCAGTGTCTGAGGTTTCAGAAGCTAGTCTGCAGCAGAACAAAAGAAGCATCGACACACAGCAACAGAAAGCATGTCAACGTCATCCAGCACACACTGAGCTGTAGCATCATCCATACTCAACCAAAATCCAGCAATGTCAAATTGCTGCGCACCACTGGGGCCTTCATTTAAATACATTGTCATACTTCATATGTAGCGGTAATGTACTGTTAGTAGAAGCTTGAGCACAGTCCCCGTGCATGTGAAGCTTGTCATTTTCAGCCCATTGCACTGGGAAACCCCAGCACACATGCAGGCAGCGTACACACTGCTCTGAGCGCAGACTGACTGTAAAAGCACTGCACTTTCCTGCAAGAAGCTCAGCTTCCATCCAGCTTAGAAGGTGCGCAACAAGGGGCCCCAAGCCTTCGACATGTCTTCAAGAGACCGTTTATACATGCAATCGGAAACCTGCAGCCTTGCACGCCGCATTTCTTGTGGCTCGACGCCAGGCCGAATTATGCAATATCAGCAAATTTTTGAAGAAACAATCGCAACCCAACTCGCTCTGTACTCCAATCCGGCCCGGCTAACCCAAACCAACCAACCAACCAGCCAACCTCTCACCAGCACATCATCTGTTCTCAAATCAGCGCTGCACAAGCTTGCTGTACTGCGCTCACTCACCTTACAGCTCCCCCAAAAAGGCGCTGCCGCAGCCGTCAATCCTGCGCGTCGGCCGGCGTCGGCAACAGTCGCAGCGGCAGCTTGCCAGCTGTGGATCTTATCTTGGGATACTCCCCGTTGTCTGCAGCTTGGCTGCACACGCACCTTGCTTCTTGGCAAGAACTGCATGCAATGATGATTGTGACAGTTCCTTGTTGCCCAAGGAACTTCCCGAAGATTCATTGATAGTGAGGAGAAGTATTTCTGAGCTCAGCCGTGGTAGAACATCATATCAGTCTTGCCCTTGGGGGGCCCGCCGCTGGTGTCATGCTGTTTGAGGTAAGATAAATCCAGGATCCCCGACCCGTCATCAAACATGCCGTTGGCCTTGGTCCAGAACTGCTGGTCCCCCCAGCGCCAGGTCCACATGGAGTACGGGTAGTAGTTCCAGATGCGCCCGTACTCCATCAGCTCCGGGGAGGTGTACATGCCCAGCCAGCCCCCCACAAACTCCGACAGGTAGATGTACGTATCATTCGTCCACCACACCTGTTGAGGCATGATTACTCTTAGTTTCTGCATGCTGTCCTTGCCAAGATAGGCGATGTGAGCAAGCTGCAGGCAAGCCTCCCGCACAGATTATCCCAGCCGCTGTTGGGCTTGCCCCAATCATGCTGGTGTGGCACGGCACATGCAAGCTCAACCAACCTACTGACGCATGCCTGCTTGCTGGATCTGCCGCGAATGCACTTATTGGTCCTATCACCCTAGCTACGCTGCCTTCAAGCTTGGAACACGACCATGCACTGCTGGGGAACTTGAGGTGGTGAGAACAGGGTGAGCATGGGGGTCTACGGACAGACTTTAGCAGATGCGCATTCCTCTGGTCTTCAGGAACCAAATGACCTCTAGGTGGGGCACGCCCTTACAGCATGTTATTTTAATTACACGTATTCTAGTTCCTACGCATCTAGGATCTAGGTACGTCCACTAAAAAGTGTATCAAATTTCTCCATCTTCTGCGGGCATGGCACTGCTGTATGTATGGCAGTGCAAAAGCTGGGCTAAGAAGAGGTGAATTCCAGGGGCACAACACCTTGTCATGCGCGACGGCGCGCAGGGGCCGGCCGCAGAGATCGGACTCGGTGTCCAGGAAGAGTTGGATGCTGTCGGCCAGGGAGGGCCCGATGCACCACCAGGGATCGTAGTCGAGCGCCGTCTGGAAAAAGATGCGCCTCTCCGCCACCAGCCGCTCCGTTATGTCCATCGGCAAGTGCCCAAACCACCTGCCGGGCAGACGAGATCTCCTTATCAGTCATCCTGCATGCTTGCATGCATCGCTCGCCGGCATGGGGGCTTGGGGGCATATCCTCCATCAAGCTCAAAGCCCACTCCAAGACAGGGTCATCAAGGTTCTGGGGCAAGATGTCCCTCGATCATGCATGTCAGCCTGAGTGGAGGCAAGCTCATGAAGTTTCTGAAGCCAGATCACAGGACCTCCCGGGGGCGACTGTGCGCCACGTATACAAAGTGCGGTAGGCTCAGAAAGCAGAGTATGCAAATGCAAATTTGCAAAATGTGCAAATTCAAATTCAAGATCCGGCGCGTACCTGACGTCGTCGTCGATCTTCCACCAGTAATCAAAGTAGTCCAGGATGCGCAGCTCATCGAACATGTGATAGCTGTACCAATTAGTAAATTTGGTGTACGCGTAGTTCGCGCGGTTGCACTGCTCGGTCTTCCAGTCACTGGCGAGCACCTCGGCCTCTGTTCTGTTCCCGCGCTCTATCCAGTAGGGGTGGGGGAATTGCTTGATGCCCATGAGGACCACAAAGGGCTCCTGAGGCTCCAGGTAGTTTGTGCTCTCTGGCATCGTCACAAAGACGTTGAGGACAAAGACTGTGTAGCCCTGGTCGAGGCCTGCGGCCACCTCGCATGCGCGCTTGTACCTGTTCAGGCAGCAGCCCATGTCAGCATGCTAGCTTGAGTGAAAAGCCACCGCGCCCGTGGCGGCATTTCATGGCCGCCATTTCACATGGCATCTATCAACATTGGTGAAAAGTTCTAAGTGCCATCTGAACAAAGGCCTGGCGGCGGGACTGTGTCTGGTGCACCACCTGATGATGCACACAAGACGATGGGCCGTCTGCTTGCCTTGCTAGACCTTGATGTACATCTTGTCAGCTGCCCTTGCTGCCACGTACCTTGTCAACACCCAAGAGCCTCCCTTTGAGAGCGTGTGCAATTGCTGAGGCTAAGATGCCATCGTGGTGATTTGGCTTGAGTTTTCTTGCACACGTCAATGTGGTCCTAAAAACTTCCAAGAATTGCAGGTGAAGCTAAGAGGGAGCGCACGTGGAGCAGTCGAGACGCTCGAGCATGAGGATCTTGGTGAGCTGAGTGAGGTCCGTCCAGAAATTGGCGTCCAGCAGCAGGATGAGCACGGTGTTGCGCCTGATGTGGGGCGTGAAGTAGCCCTGCCAAGTGGCCCAGGTGTTGTGTATGCGCTCGTAGAACCGCTCCGGCTCGCCTCCCACCGCCATCACTATAGCGCTGCGGCCGTCCGCCGGATCCGCAGGCCACCTGCACAGTCAACTGGGGGATGTCAGATGCCACAGCCTTCCAAGGCGCCCAGAAAATCAGTTCTGCTCCAAGGCATCGATAAGATCACCTGGGCATTTGTGCTGTCCAGGATCTCTGAATCGTGTGAGACGATTTGCCCAACATTCTCTCGGTAAACCATAGGCTCTATCAATTGGTTGTACATGAACAACCCCAGCCCAAGCACAGCCCCACGTGTTCCCATCAGGATGGTTGAAAGATGGTTGATGATAAGTGGTGTGGCAACTGAGGAGATGAGGGATCACTGTCGCCGCCAGTGCTGGCGTTTCTCAGACGAGCGGGGACGGGCCGAAGCACCACGTACATATTTCTGATGAAACTCGCATTTTGGGAGTTTCCATTTACAGGCAATCATTGTTAGGCAAGGCTGGAGGTGGGCGCACCGGCGGTTGGGGGTGTAGGTGAGGTGCTCAGTGGGGTGGGGCGAGGGGCGCGCAGCCGAGCACTGATGGCCCAAGACGCCAGGTGCCTGTTGGTCCAAGCCGAGGCTCTTGTTCCAGAAGGTTCGCCCCTGAATCTCAAACATGGTCGCCGGATCCGGCCCCTGCACAGTCTCCCCTGGGGTCTCATACTTTGCTGCAGAGGCTGGGGAGAGGAGGACAGCAGCAACGAGCAGCAAGGCCTGCCATGCTGCAAGGCTTGCTACCCACAGACAGCTCCGCTGCTGCCGCATGCCACGGAATTGCTGTCACCTGCGTTGCAGCGACTTTAGATTAGCCGTGCTCTTTGGCAGCATGAGGTAGTGTCGCTGACTGTGGGGCGGTGGAGAAGTCTTAGTCAGAGTGGGGCTGAGTGTACCCCACCTCATCGTTGAGGTATTGTAGATAAGCGTGAAACAGAACTCCAAACTGTAGCACCTGGTATACAGAATTTTATGGAGTCAGCAAGATGCAGACAGGGTGGCTGTGTAATCCATTTTTGTTGCGATGGATAAAAATTGATCAAAGCCAAACCTAGATGGAGCTGCCCCCCACCTTCGATGTTTGTTCTCAACTAATCCCAGTGTAACACAGGCTGATTATTGTGATTCTGCCTGGTTCAAGGGGGTCCCGCAGTGTGAAAGATGGTTGTCTGGACACCAGAAGCAGTATGTACTGATGAGCACGCAAACAGACCGCGAGGCACAAGGCGTTCGCAGGAGACTTCTTGCCACAACCGTAGCTTTCGAGTTGAGATTGGGAGGATCGGTGAGGAGGACTACTACCCATAACCCTACCTAGCGAACCGCGTGATCAGTCGAACAGAGGCGTTCCAATCTGACAGTAAACGAAAGCAGGCCTCCGGAATGCCGTTTACAACGGATCCGGAGTCCAGACACTTCTAGTATTCCCGATTCGACGATCAAGAAACCTTGAAGAAAAGAAAAGCTGAGCAAGATCAGTGCGATTGCGCAAAGCTTCTTTCCGCGCAAGTATAGACGATCGCTTATTTTCTACTTTGGGTTTCGTATAAGAACAAAGGATGTATGCAAGATAAGGAGCGTTTATCATGTCTAGTCGAATCTGCCAAGTCCGGAGTTCAATTGATTAATCGCAGCCTGAAGAACCACGCTCGATTGTGTCTGTACTAGCCTGACCCTCGGAAGCTCAGCTTTGGACACACGCTGCAGTCAAGTACAGCGATTTTATACGGATTGGGAAGGTAAGAATTTGATTGGCACATCCCAAAAAGCGGTTGAACCGCACATCTGTGATAGAGCCAAGTGCTATTGCCCCTTGAAGTGCACTGATGTTGAGGATTCCCTGGTTCGCAGGAGGCGTTGTGAGCCACTCGATGGGCCAGCAGTCACGAGGGGCTCCGACCAGATTCAGACCGTTGCCAGAAGTCGCCCTGACGCTACTGCTGCTGTTGCTACCTCTGCTGGCAAGCGCCTACAGAGTTAAAGGGGCCACTGCAGCTGGCACTGATGCAGCTCAGGAGGCACCTGGGCACAGCCACCATGGCCCCTACCACAGCCACGGCGGTGTTCTGCAAAAGGTGGACAGTATCCATTTGCGGTGGATCCATGCGTTGCATGCTTGCAGCAACAATTGCCCGGCAAGCAAGCATGTGCACCCTGCATCCTGCCATATTAGGATCACGTTAGGTTGAATCATGCGTACGGAGTGATCGCTGTCCCATGCATACTCTATTGTCTAGCATCAGGACGGAGCATCAGGGGACCTTTTGCTCTCAAGCCCACCACCTTTGAGGCTCTCTTGACTTGATGTATCAGCAAGCACTGTGTGGCATGCCCATCCTTTCCAAATCGACATGGAGGCCAGAGATGTTGGGTTGGGCCTGGAAATTTCTTTGCAGTCTGTAATGTGTCGTGATGCACAATTCCATTACAACTGCATTCTCAGATCGTGTTTCCTAGATGTCCTCTGTCTAAGGCACAGACAGGTCAGTGAGGCTCAGCAGGCTCTGCCTAGAGCAGAGCCTATACAGGCAGCCTTGGCATCACTGCATAAGTCACGATTAGAAACATGCTTCGTTACACATGTTGTGCTGGCGGCAGATGAGGGCTTTGCAGCGGCTGAAGGCGGTGGAGTGGGAGATGCGCATGCAGCCGCTGGAAGAGCTGCTGGAGAGGTACAAGGCGCGCCACAACGCATGCGTCAACGCCAAGAAGCTGCCGGGAAAGTACCTGGTCGTGCGGTTTGAGGACAAGGACGCCGGCATCGGCAACCAGCTGCCCAGCGTCGTGTCGGGTGCGCCCTGTACACTTGGCACCGCCCATATTGCAGCAATCCCTGCTGCAGCTTCTTTGTCAGTGCATTTAGCGTCGTGTCGGGTGCGCCTCCTATAAAAGCTGCTAAATTGAAACCTCTGATGCCTGGGGGGGTTTTGATCCGTACAACATCCCCTTCCAGCCTAATCAGAGTCCTGCTGCTCAGCTGAACTCGGGTATCTACCTATTCCGGTGCATGCTCAGAGATAACCGCATAATTGTTGGGCGCATGCTTAGAGGTAATTGCATGGGCCACCCGAATTCTACAAGATGCAGATAGAGGAAAGCAAGTTCTCTATCCAGGCTACCTGACTGCTGAAGGCAGGGGTCTAACAAATGTCATGTTTGCAGCAAACATCTTTGACTTGGCTCAGCCCTCCTCAGATCGGGTGGCATCACATAACAGCAACTCGCTCGCTCTGCTTCACGTCACCATTCCTCTTTCTGGAATAATAGCAACTGTTGCATGGATGGTATGGATGACAGCTGCTGCTGCACTGCAGGGCTGCTGCTGGCGCTAATGATGGACCGGTGCCTGTTTGTGGAGTTCCCCTTCTTCAACAAATTCTTTGACCACGAGCTCGACTTCAGCTGGAAACGGCACGCCAAGCGGCTGCTAGCACATGGGCACAACGCGACCGAGCCAGAGAACATTCCTGAGCGCATCCCCTTCGGTTACGTCACAATCGCGGACGTGTGGATGTTCAAGAACATGACGGCGTACTTTGACAAGAACTACGGCGTCGAGATGTGGAAGGACCTTGATTGGAGCGCCGCTCTGCTAGTCAACAACCCGCACCACAAGGTGGGTGACAAAGGGGCCGTCTCAAACTCATGCAATCAAATATCAGATGTATTTGGATCCTAGGGTCCAGAGGAATCAAATTTAAGGGCTGTTGGGTCGATTTACATGGCCCCACAGTATCTGGCTGCTGAGTCTGTGGTATCGCGAGAACACCATAATACTAAGAAGTCCAGCTGTGAAGGCTGGGCTTCTTTGGTTTGCCACTTTCCAGCAAGGAAGCATGCAGCGCCATGTCATATCTGCTCCAGTGTTAGGGGAAGGTGCTAAGCAAGCGTTTTCTGAGAAAAACTGGGAAGATAAATGTTGGGTGTGTGTGGTGTGCAGGATTTCATCGAGACATATTTCCCGACGAGGGACATCTTTGCGCCGCTGGCCAATTTCATCCTGCGCATCAAGCCCAAGTATGACAAGAAGATCAAGGAGTTCAAGCACAAGAACTTCAAGCTCTTCAACATCGGCATGCAGGTGTGCATGTCTCACACTCTTCCTCAACTGGACCTGTGCTGCTCTCAATGTCCCTTGCTGTACTCGTTGAAACATGTGCTGCCTGGTCATACATGTGCTGCTTCTCACATTCCATACTTTGCATGCGGCAAAGTCAAGCACTGCTTCATCGCTTGTCGGCCTTGCATGCTGATTGCCACTGATCTTTAAATGGGCAAACGCTGATGGTACTCTGCACGCTGCCATTCTAATGCAATATCACCGAGCATCTTAGGAGCTTAACATGCTGAACCACACAAGTCCCAGAACGAGCAACTATTATATGCAGTCCTCAGGTGGCTCCCAGCAGGTCTTTAAAATGTGCTTGATGGGAAGTCCAGGTCGACTTACTAATGTCAATGTAAGATGTCAACGTCATGTCAATGACTTACTAATGTCGATGCCTGTGGTGCAGATCCGGCGCCGCAAGTGCAACGGCGACGAGAATGAGCTGCTGTGCGAGCTGCGGCCGACGATCGAGTCATACTGCACGGTCGCGCGCCACATCCAGCTGATGCACGGTCTCCACGACAACGATGTGCGCTTCTTTCTGGCGGCCGACGAGCCGGAGACCTACACCCAGGTGGCTAACGCACCCACCGCTGTTCTGTGATGTGAATACTGAAGGTTGATGACAGGTTGCAGAAGGCCTGTTGTGTGCATGTTTGAGGGCTTGTCCAAGTTCAGTGCGCAACATCATGCACATGGGATCCCGATGAACAGGGGAGCGCAGTGCGAGATGCTGCAGCATGTTGTTGCCTGCTGCACATTCTGGGGTGCCTGGCTTGGACACACCCTTGCTGTTCATGACCCACTTCCCAGGCAGGATCTGCCTGTCAGGCTGGATGGATTTCTGAGAACAGAAGGCTGCGCAGGTGATCAAGATTCTGGGCGCGGACCGGGTGATATTCACGGACAACGGGATCGCGCCGAGCAGCAGCGAGAAGGGGGTGTGGAACGCTGCGGACAACCCGGGGACGCTGGAGAGCGCGCTGCAGGACATGGCGTTGATGGCACACTGCAACGATCTCGTGATGACCGTCGCGTCCTCCTTCGGCTACGTCGCCGCTGCATGGGGCGGCTACTCGCCGGTGAGCTTCTGTTTCCATTTTGTTGCAAGGCTTTGATAAGGGAAGCGCGAGGCTCCTTGGCTAAGAGGCCAAAGGATTCAGGCTTTGGAGTTGGTAGCGCCCTCTGTGCTTCTCCCAGGATTGTCCCTCAATGATGGGTGTGAAACAGCAGCACAATGGCCGGCTGAGCACTGTTGAGTGCATGCTGCGCAGGTCTCGCTGTCGCTGCTGCTTGTGCATTGCTCTCCTGCTTTCTCGCGTGCGGCTGCATGCTATCGGCCAGAGTCCTTTTAAGTGTGCATGTGGGTCTGTCTGTGAGGTTGTGTGCCTTTCCATAAGGCGCCAATGCAAGCGCCTGACAAAATGCCACCGTGCGTGTGTATGACTTACTGAGGCCAGCTTATGTGTTTCCTTCCCCAGGTGCACATGGTGTACGGGAAGCACACGAACTCGCAGAACCCGTACTGGTACCGGTCAATCAGCAGCGAGCCCTGCTACTGGCAGGCCAAGAACATGTTGCGCGCACTGGACGCCAGGGCAGTCAACCAGTTCAGGTCCAACCCGCTGTGGATGCAGTACACGCAGTGCCACAATGACTGGAACACCGATGAGCAATCCAGCTAAAGGCAAAGGTTGTTAGAGGCCAATGAAGTGGCGGGACAATTGCATATGCGGTGCAACTGTAACAAGAAGCGAAGGATTGTGACAGGGGATCGGCTGGTTTCATGCCATAGAGGAGACCCCACAAGTGGTGCATCTTTCTTCAGCAAGAGGCAGTCTGGCCGAGTTTTCAGGGGCAGATATTAGCGGTGCATAATGTGATGGGACTGTCGGGTTTTGGTTGCTGCCTGTCATGGAGGGGCTTTTACATGCTAGTTTCCTTCCTGCAAAGATGGTTCAAGAATTTGAGGATGTGAGGGATTTGAGGGTTAAGACGTCTAACATGAGAGGTGGAAGGGTGAGACTGGATGACTGAATGGGGTGAATCTACGTATGCCTGTAGCTAGCTGTTATAAGTAGCTGATGATGAATGCCTGCAAGGGAAGACTAAATGCCATCATGATGATGATCGAGGCTGATCAGCCTCTATCATACTATGATAGGAGACAAAGACATAGCAGCACAATAGCCGTAGTTGATAGACTGCTGTGAGAACACGTTTATATAATATATGTCAAGAAAGTTTTACATTGGCAATACATCCTTTTTCCCAAACACATCCTTGAAGGTACTGAAACTGCTGCATGGACCCCATTCACTGGCATGCATCCAGGGACATTATGCCAAAAATAATAGAAGCTACCAACCTCTACAGGATCCGTCACACTCTTCCATCAATCTGCATCAGCCCAGAACAAAGAGCGCCCCTTTTTGGCGCTGGCACTGCCCTGTATGATCTGCATTCTACCTTCAAGGAAGATATATCCTTCCGCAGGGCGAGCCCCAAATCAAAAGAAGGGCAATGATCATCAAAAAAAATTATACCACTCATGAGAATATACCACTCACAAATCAAGAGTATTTTGAGACTAGATCAATCAAGGGCTTTCACACCCCAGCAGCAAATCACGTCAATACCTATTCTGTCATCCTGAGGCAAAACATCAGTTGAAATTCTGGGCGCAGAATGTCAATTCCCTACAACAATTGACTACTCTGCCTCGTCAAACAATTGTCTATGCAGTCCTGTCAATATTTGTTGTACAGCAAACCTAAAGATACCACTCTAGAGCACCGTACGGCCTGAGATCAAATGTGTGACATTCGCTTGACTGCTGCAAGAATCCTTTCATTTTACTGCAACTCGAGATATTCCAATGGAGACGGCGATAGCACAATGCGGCAACATCTGCCTTCTAACCTGTCCCCTGACAACTGTACCGCACCGCCTACATATTTCAAAATAATTCCTAGGACTGCTGTTACTGCCGCCAAATCAATTGGGAGTGAGGTTAATTCTGGGATGAGTAGGAGGTCCAGCATTGGTTGGTCCCGCCAATGGAGCACCCCAGCCGGCTGCTGGGCCAGGGGGGATACCACACCTGCCAGCAAGCAGCAGTCAGCGCCAAGCCGGATATTCGTAAGTACTGCAGCACTTCATGAAGCATCTTAAGAAGATTGAGCTCGTGCTTTTTACGCATTCATAGGGACAAATAGATATCACATCTGGCATGCCATCAAACATCACAGTGTGTGCCATGCATCCATGAAAGCAGCAGGCAGATGCATGCTGAGGTTCAAGCACACGCATATGACAGAGAGAGGGGATGAAGAAGGCAAAACAACAGACCTGAAGCGGGTTGCATTGCTGTGATTGGTCCGGCGTGGCGCGTGCCTTCTGCACGGTCCCCTGCCGTTCCAGGTACTGGAATGCCTTTAGAGCATTTAGGCGGCCCTGCGCCAGCACCGTGGTGGCTTTTAGCTTTGCCTGTTGTTGAGCACGTTTCCCAGCACACTTGCATGCAACACGTCCTTTGGAAGCTGGCAGAGATTGCAGCCCCAAGGAAGCTGGTAAGGATGCCTTTGGGAGGACCATGCTCCTCTAGAAAGCACAACCCACAGCAACAATGCCGATGACCTTTACAGCACAAATGACGCGTCTGCTCCCACTGGGGACAAGGCTTGCCATTCGAAACACCGCACTCCGTTACTGCCAAATGGGGCCTCAGGTGGCCCTCAGATGACTCTCAACAGGTCGTCAAAAGTGTAACAATCGTCATAGTAACAAGTGCCAAATGGGGCGTGATTAGCTCCTGTTTTCAGGCCCTGCAATTGTCCATATCACTGGAAATCTACAGTTCACGCCCCTCTAAGAGAAACTGCACATCCACCATTCGCCCCTCTAGAACTGCACGTGCATCTACAGTTTGCTTCCCTAAAAGAAGAGCAAGAGGCGCGCGCTTACATTGCTGCCAACTTTGCCCTGCGTGGTACTGAGCACGTCCACGCCGGCGCGCATCGCAGCCTTCAGCTGCTCCGGCGTCAGCGATGGGTTGGCCGCCACCATCAGGGCCGCCAATCCACCGCCAACCGCCGCAGCATCCGAAGTTGAACCCGTCGGAGCAGCCACGTCTATCCAGGACCTGCGCACGCATCAATCACCCTCAAAACCCTGCCCTCTCGACCCCTGTCCTTTTGGTCTAAAACCTTGAATTTGCAAGTGTCAATGCTGAGGTCTGAACCATCGACCCCGTCGGAGCCGCCACGTCAATCCAGGACCTGATTCCGCACCAAGCACCCTGCTAGTTACTCCATTCCTGGTCAAAACCCTAAAAAGGCGGCCAAAAACTGGACTGATGGCCGCCGCCGCGTCCTTCACATGTATCGGCAGCTCAGAGGGGAAAAAAAGGCTTGCTTGCGCGGCAGAGACAGACAAGGGCAGAAAAAAGGTCCAGCAATACAATAACGCTTGGGAACAAATGTGAAGGCTGGGGCTGCATACATCAAGATTTGTTGCAGGGCAGCGAGCATAGGACGTGGCAGCAGATTACAGCTTTGCAAGTGCACAACGAGGCGAATTCTTGAGCGCATACCCGGTGTTGCCACGGACGACATCGGAGGAGTCCGAGTATGTGAGGGAGACTATGTTGGAGAGGCCGAGCGAGGCCGGCACGTGCACAGGCGACTGCGTGTTGCCGGCGGACGCCGTGAAGAGCGCGCGCGTGCGGCCCCTACTGTCTGCACAACACCACAGGCGCGCTCCTGTCAGTGAGAAGCATCACCCCTGCGGCTTCCAAAGGTCCGAGCATCACATGCAGCCAAATGAGACAGCTGTTCCATCCCTATGTGTGTGGCCACCTGCCCAATGGTGACGCAATTCACCAAATTCGGCACTTCCATTCTTTGAGGCATGCAGTGGTGCTCACGTGCCTTTAAAAGAACCATTTGCTGAGCGTGATGATACTGGGCTCACTTCAACGGATTTTCCTCCATTTGGAAAGGTCTGAAGCGGCCCCAGGGTTAAGGGTCCCTCCACCTAATTTTGAATGGCCCCCAAGGGCCACGTAAGGCTCTACTAAGAGCCACACAAGGATCCTTCAAATAAATCATGAAGGGGAGCAACAGGGAGGAAACGGCACCGGCACACCCCTACGCCCCAAACTCTAAGACTATTAAACAGTCTTAGATTAGTCGCACGTGGCACCGAGTTACCTCTTACCGTGCATTATTAGTTGAAAACATTGAAAATCAGTAAGACAGAGGGAACGCGCACCGGCACACCCTCAAATCCTGAACGGTAAACTTAAGAGGTACAGTAACCTTAGATTAGTCGCATGTATGGCACCGAGAAATCTTGATTTACTTTGTTAAAAGCATTAGTGATCTGCAAGAGGGAGGGAACGCGCACCGGCGCGCTGGATGACGGCGCGGAGGGCGTCGGAGTCGGTGAGTGAGTTGGATCCCCAGGCGGCCACGTAGATGCCGGTGCGCTGGCGGCCGCCCATCGCGGCGATGTTCTCAAAGTTGTTCTTGCACCACTCCACGCACGCAATGGCCGCCGAAAAGGGCACGGCCAGCGCAGCATCCATCGCCACGCACGGCATTATCGACACCTGATCAGCGCCACGCCTCGAACATAAGCCATGCGCCACGAACCATAAGCCATGCCATAAAAATTTGCCATAAGCCATGATTTACAAGCCGTGAGCCGTGAGCCGTGAGCCGTGAGCCGTGAGACATAGTTCATGCCTAGTACAGTACTTGACAAAGATCTACGATCAAAGCCCCTCTCAACGCATTAGCGCCGGTCGAAGCAAGCTGCACTCCTTTCAAGACCTTATGAAGTCCTGTCCTTCTGCCGTCAAGATCCCACAGAGATCCAAGAGAGCCACAAGTGAGAGCCAAGACCTGAGACAGAGAGCCAAAACGACATCCAGATTTCTGAGAATTACCACGAAACTTTCTCTCAAGAGCCGTCAACAGAACAGCATCCAGACAAGGGTCAGAAAGTATTAAGCATGCAGGTATGCACCTTGGGTGAGACGCCGAGCTGTGAGCTGCTATCGCCGTTGTTGACACCCCCCAAAACAGCAGACGTGCCGCTGCCGTGACCGTTGTAGTCCCAGCTCACGTTGGTCTTGCCCCCCATGAAGTTCGCGCCAAAATAGTCGTCGATCACCCCTGCGCACCGCGAACCAACACCCGTCGTGAGCTCTCATGACGAAATGTCCCACATTTGAACTCCTGACACCTAAGTAGCACAGATTTATCCTGCCAACTTGGGTTCCTGCATGCCAACTAGATACTAGCCGATTCAAGGGAAGCAACAATTCCAGAAGGTAGCAGAAGCATCAGCTCTTCTGAAGAACAGCTCAAGTCCTTCAGGACCAAGCGCTCTTATGGTTTGAGCTCACGGTATGACTGACCAAAAACTCTTCAGCCTCCGATTCCTTTGCATGGGCAGGGCATGTACTTAGTGTTGTAGTCCTGTAGTACAATTACTTATACATGTAATAAGTGTTAAGTAGTAAGAATGACTCACCGTTGCCGTCGTCATCCACAAAGGGGAAGGCGGCGTACTCGCCCGGGTTGTACCAGTGGTTGTTGGTCCAGGGCATGCCGGAGTCGATGTGGCACACCGCCACGCCGCAGTTCCCAAACGTGTACCCGCTCCACACCGCAGCCGCCTGCACCACCATGCATGGTTACTAATCCATGACTGATTACCATGATATTTTTTCCTACGTGCTTTCCTGCCTTCCAAGGCTAGGTGTGTTCATTCTGGCATCAGTTCTATACATCATTCTCAAGAATCCCCATGTGACCGATACATGACTGCTGTTTTCATGCGGGGACCCAGAACACCTGGAACCAGCCAAAAGATTTGTGCAGGGACGGAGAACAGTACAATCCACTGCTTGAGGTGCCTAGTCCTTGGAGGTGGACATGCATATTTGTTGTCCCCATGAGCACAGCAAAGAACATGGCATGCTCGCGCCAAGCTCAGGCAGAGACATGGCTGACAGTCGATGATCAATATCTTGCTTGTTCATGTCCCTGGTCTACCACATCCATTGATGCAGGCAGCTTCGACAGTATTCACATAAAAAGAGTCTCAGTGATCATGAGCTGCACCTGGAGCTTGTCAAGCGCCCAGCCCGCCGAGCCGGTGCTGCCGTCGCCGCTCATCAGATAATCCATCTCAGTCCACTCCACCACTGCACAACACAGCAGCCGCCGTCATTAGCAGTTGCCAACCCTCATAGCCTGCCTTAAGACTACTTGCAGGCAATTGACACAGTGACCCAGGAAGACAAAGGACACCGTAGCCTGTGGCATGCAGCGTCCAGAAAGCCTTGTGCATCTGACAAGGCAACGGCTGGAGGGCACAGCAAAGCAAAAGGGGATAACTTGAAGGGGCATACGTTCGCTGCCAGCCAGACGAGCGGCCTTCCTCTGTGTGGAAGCGCCGTCCGTCACATTGACAACAGCAATGCCCGTCCCTGCCATGACCTGCGCGAGGCAACACACTGCTCTCAGCTGGGTGGTCGCCAAGCATCCGGCTTTGCTTACACTCCCTCTTGCTGCTGCATGATCGCATCTGCTCAAGGCTGTGGCAATCCAGGTGTCAGGGCATAAAGAAGCGGTCCCCCACCTTGATCAGGTCGATCCCCGCCCACTCATTGACAGTGTCGACTATTTGGCTGTAGTTGCCACCGTCCAAATCCCTGAACTTTACCAGCAGGCGGCCTGGCCTGAAGGGTAGCGTGGTATTGCTGAGGGGGCTGATGGGAACAGGCCTCTCTGGTGCAGCCACGCTCAGCAGTGCACTGGCCAATGCTGCGACTGCATTTGGTGTGGCAACTGCCTTCGGCCTCACGCCTCGTGCCGGTGAAGGCGCCTGTGCATGACCGTAGCTTCTAGGGGCAGGCAGCTGCTGGGGAGTCGCTGAATAGAGGGCTGCTGCTGTGATCAGGATGCTGAGCGCCTGGGAGCCAGGCAGCCTCCTCCACCCCATTCAGCAGAGCGCCTCACTGGCTACAGCATCCGCCCAAGCTGCAAGACAACACATTGCAGGGGTATGAGGGGATGCAATATCGGCGTTCATCAGAAGAATAGCATCTCTGCTAGCATGCTCTGCAGCAGCATTCACAGACAGCCAGGGCTTCGCCTGATTGGGGCAATGGATGACTATGTGCTCAGCACGCCAGCAAATGGTAATTAACATGCATTTAGACAAAATTCTATCGACTATACTTGATCCACGGTGTCTGATCAGGGCCCTGTTATAACGCCATTACTAAGATCAGATCAAGTGTTCTCTGGTCTGCTGATGAACTCACCAATGCAGATGGAAGTCTTTTTATTATATATAACCTATCTGTCGCATCGCCACGTTCTCAAGGCGGCCCTCATCGGAGCAGGGGTCGATCAAAACGCTCTTGTGCTGCGTCAAAGCGGGTTTCGATGTCGTTCAGCGTTGGCCTGGCGTGTGTTGCTGCCTCTACGCAGCGCACAGTATTAATCGTGCGAAGAGCCCTCAAATTACATGCCTTGTGTTCCAGTATTAATGAGCAATGAGGCCGCTCGGGATGACATCAATGACTTCACTGGATCAGCGACGTCACAGCAACAAGTATAAGCGCCCTTTTTGAATTGAGATTCGACAGCTTTGTCTGAATTTTCCTCCTAATTAACACAGGTAACGGCTGTCCCCTCATGGAGTCCAATATATTGCCTATGGGGATATGGGCTAGTATGTACATGTTCAAAGCACCGCAAATTCGAATGCACTGATCAAGCTGGTCTCAAGCTGGGATGCCGCTCTAGCTAATTAGGATTGAATGTGTAAAACCTGCACAGACCACCTAGACTCTCTACAGTAAGGTTCACACACCACACACCACGATTGCTACATGTAAGCTACAATAAAATGTGCCATCCTATTGGTCTTCAAGACGCGTGCCGTGCTAACGTACCCGGAACTGCTAAGAGCAACCGTTGTGACATTAGGAAATCGTCTCATGCATTCGTTCCCTGACAGAGTCTGAGATCCAAGAATGCTCGGACCAGAAAAACATCTAGACATGTACAGCAGTCCTACGAAACCTTCTGCCGGCTGGTACAGTGGCTTCAACCTCTCGTGAGCCAAATTTTGAGCATATGCTTCTGTCATATTGTGGCACCTCATCCCAGGGGGCCGCCGGCACGCACTGCCAGAACTCGGTCCAGCTGCGCACCAAGCTTAGCAGCCTTGGCACGAGCCTCCGCCACGCGCGCGCCGGCATGCATGGCCGTCGGCGTCAGATGCCCAACATCCGCCGCCCTCGCCTGCCCCGCGGCGGAACCGGCCTCCGGCAACGCCTGCCCCTCATCACCATGCGCAACAAATGCTTCCTCTGCCTCTTGATCTGCCTCCACAGCCCTCCTCTGGCTGCTGTCGGCCGATGTGTCCTTTGCGGGGCTGCCGAAGGAAGATGATGCCTCGGCCCGGTCGCTGTTGCTGACAGATGCGGCGCCGCTGTCGTCTCCATCCCTCCACGTGCCTCGGCCCCGGCCGCGCGCACCGGCGCGCCGGCCGTAGGCCTCCGATTGAGTCCCACTCTCATCCTCCTGCCCAGATCCCACCTCTGCCAGAGTGGCTGCAAAGCGGGGGCCGTCCGCATTCAAGCATGGGCTGCTGCGCGGGAGATCGTGGTCAGCCAAAGGGGAGGGCGGGGCCGGAGGCTGCGGCAGGGCGGCGGGCTTCTGGGGTCGCCTGTCGGCGGCCCACTCCAGGATGCGGTCGGCGACGGACTCGGCGGAGATGCCGCGGTCCGGCGGCTGCTCCAGCAGCGCGTGCAGGTGGCCCGACGGCGGCTGCGGCGGCTGCGCGTAGTCCTGCCCCAGCAGCTGCTGCAGCGTGACGCGGTGCACCAGGCACTTCAGGCGATCCACCTGTCCCACACAACCCTTGCTCAGCTCACACGGCATTCCATCAGACCAACACTTGGGCATGTTGGGAGCTGAGGTTGGCCACTCCAACTCTGCAAACAACAATTCAAGCAAGGAAATTTCAATGGCAAATGTGAAAAATAACATAAAGCCGACGTTAAGCAACCAGGCATGTCAGCAATTGGAGGCACCTGCAGGTGGAGCAGGGCGTGGCAATCGATGCAGGTGCTGCAGTTGGCGTCAGGCGGCGTTGCCTCCTCCGTGCACAGCTGCGGCAGAGCCTCGCACAGCGCGCGGCCCACGCCGGCCACCTCCCTGGCCGCCGATAGCAGCGCATCGTCGTGCGCCGCCGCCGCTGTTGCGCAGCCGTCCTCGCTGTCTCGCGTCTGCTGGCGTAGGCGAATTACCACGTCCTGTGCAGCAAAGCATACTATGGCACGCCAAAGCTTGTAACTCTTGTGTCTGCAGAGCAAAGTAGCTTTGTCCATTTCTCCCCTCACACATTCTTCCTGTCTGGGCCTACAATGGCTTGATCATTGGGATAATCATCCTCCTGTGCCCATCAGCTAACTGCTCCTCTTGCCATCTAGTGAGTCAGTGCGTCTGATCATCAACGACAAGGAGATTGATGCTGCAGGCATGGCTGAGAGGTGAGTGCATACCTCCAGCTGGCGAGCGCGCTCCTTGTAGCGGCTGGCGCGCTGCGCCTGCTTCTGCAGCTGCTCCTGCAGCGTGGCCGCCTGCGCCTCGCTGGCCGCCAGCTCAGCGCTGACCTGGCCAGCAGGCTTGGGCGGATTGTGCGCCAGCGCCAGCAGCGTGGCCCACATGGGCGCTATGCCCATCCTGTTTAGCAGCTCCTGGTGGGCGCGCATCAGCTCACCCAGCCTCAACGCCACATTCACCGCGTCCGCGCCGCCTGCCATGGAACAGCGAGCTCATTGCAGGCATTCCAGGGGACAGTATGTAAGCCACCGATACGCAGTCTTCACCACTCACGCTTCAAAGAAAGGTCCCTTGCAAGCCGCAGTGTGAGCAGCTTCTGCATCGGAGCAATGCTGGACAGCTGCGTGGCTGCTGCGTATGGATGATCACATGATGCAGAGAAAGCAGCGATGGTACTGTCAGCTGACATCCTGTGCCTGCGCAAAGCTGGGTAGCAGATAATTGGCACACATTGCACAGCATCAGGGTGTCTATCTCTGCGTTGACAGCACGAGGGATGAAGTTCCACTTGTTTCTTGAATTGCCTGAAAATGGCCCAGAACTCCAGAAATTTCGGAGGAACATCAGAGGAACATCAAGAGAGGTTCTCACCGGAGCACATGTCGCTCACGATGGCGACGGCCACCTTGGCGACCGCCTTGGTCAGCTTGCGCTCCAGCTTGAGCCGCTGTACCTCTGCGCGCAGGTCCTGCGCCTCGGCAGCGGCAGCATTGCTGTGCGCCTGCTCGGTGCCGGCGGCTGAGTGCTGCAGCTGCGCCACCTGCGCCGCCAGCCGGCCATTCTCCTGGCCCAGCGTCTCCACCGCCCCCTGCAGCTGCTGCATCATGACCTGCGCCAGGACAACTATACTGCTCTAATCCCAACATCACTCGCAAATTGTCCTTTTGAATCTATTTACATGTGAGAAATGAGCCGACTTTGGAAAGTGCTACATGGCGTGCAAGTGTTAGGCACTTGAACAGCAGCAGCAACAATGTTGATTCGGCTATCTTCAGGACAAATCATGTAGAGAATTTTAATGCAACGTGCAAAATGAAGGGTGCAGGTGGGGGCACCTGCGCTGCGGACAGGCGGGCCGCCACGTCAGCGCGCTCGCGCAGGATGGCCTCCATGCGCTGGCACATGGCGGCATACTGCTCGCACACTCCCGCGGCCGACCCGGACGCGCCCGCCTTAGAAGCCTGCGCCGTGCTCTGGCTCTCCAGTGCTGCCCAGAGCCTGCTGTTCTCCGCTTGGATGGCCTGTGATAAGACCCCGCTCCTCAGATGTTCTCTAATAGCATCCTCTGCTTGGGCCAGTGATTGTCACGAAGGGACGATGTATGAGTAAAACCCCAGCTCACATGACTGGAGAATGCAGGCGGGCCGTTGCCCTGCTTGGAAGCAGGCAACTGCCAGGCTGAGAGGCAACGAGCAGAATAAGTAAGGGGCAAGAAGCAGAATGGCTGAGAGGCAAGGAGCAGAATAGCTACGACCATGTAATGCATGGAGCACATCCCGCACGCGAAGACATCAAAGAGAACAAGAAACCATAGCCACGCGGCTCACCTCCAGGCGGTCGATGGCGCGCAGGAAGGCAACGCGGCGGTCGGCGGCCAGCGACATCGGCGTGCCTGGAGGGCATCCGCCGCGGTTGCCTGACAGCCGACCCAGCTGCGCGCGCAGCCGCCGCACCAGCCCGCCATCCCCGTCTCCCGCCGCGTTCCCTCCGCTGGGCGTGCACTGCTGATCTGCCCCCGGCTGCCCCGCAGTGCCAATCTCGCTTGTGCCCTCCTGCGCCTCCGGCAGAGTTATGCTTGCTCCAGAAGAGTGGCGCAGGCGGGAGGGCGGGGGAGTCTGTATCGAGACGGCCGGCGGCTGCCGCTCGGCGCTCGTGCGAACAGCGGCGACCTGCGCCGACAGCTGTGCCACGAGATGGTGCGCATGCTCGGCCGCGCTGCGGGGCGTGTTCTCTACCGAGGCGCCCTGCCGGATACTCTCCTCGCGCCAGGCTGGAATGGCCTGTGGCGTCGGCTGCACGAAGACCGGCGTAAGCTGCTGGGCTGCCTCCTCGCCATCGCCCGACGCTGCTGCTGTCTGCCAGTAGCGGATCGCACGTCCCTGGCTGGTTCCAGGTTTGCTGTGCAGTCCAGGGGCAGTACGATCTGGTGAAGGGCTGGAGTCAAAGGCGAGGAACAGTGGCCCCACACCAGAGCTGGCAGCCTCTGCAGATGGCCGCGCTGGCGAGGCAGCACCGCTGCTGACCTCGGAGCCGCTGGCGGCCCCTGGGCAGCTGCCGGGCTCTTGCCTGGTGGATGCTGCATCTCCCACTGTGCCTGTTGGTGAGGACGGCGCGCTGCTGTCTGACTGCTGAGCTGCGAGCGTGAAGGCTGAGCCCAAGTTTCTGGGCAAACTTCCAAGGCCGTCAGCGTCGGCGGCGTCCGGTGGATGGCCACTGAGAGCATGAGGCGTTGCATGCGCCAGCGCTGCACGCAAAGAGGTGTTCTCCTGGCGCAGGCAGGCGTTCTCCTGGTTCATCTCTTTCAGCCGGGCGACGTTGTCCAACTCTTCCTGATGCACACAAGCAATGGATCACATGCCTTGATTTTTTCTTCATGCCACAGGAGTTTTTGTGGGTACACAAGTGCAGGGCTACCTTCTGCATTGCAGCAATTGGGATTACACATACAAGAGCCTCGCTCGGCATGGCCTATGTTGTGTCAGATTGAGAGATGCTGCTTCTCTGCTGCAAGAATGGTAGGGATGCGCTTGCAGCAAACGCGTGCAGGCATGAATATGACTCACTCCAGATGGTGACGGGTCGCTACCTGAAAACGTTGGTGCATCTCAGCCATGTTATCAGCGAGGGACAGGCCTTGCTGCGCTTCGTCCCACAGCCTTGCATTCTCCTCCTGCAGGCTCGCCACGCTGGTCAGCAGCTCCTGCACCCGCCCCTCCTTGGCCGCCAGCTCTGAGCTCAGCTCCCTGCATACACACAGGCTCACTTTCATGCCTTCCCTTGCCGGCAAGTGAATCATTAGAGTATCCAGAGCTCTTCCTTAACTTTGAGCCTTTCCATTACTCTGTCATGGTTTCCATGCCGAGAGTTCTAGGTGCTTCTGTGAAATTGGCTGTGTGTGGTGGTTGATCAATGCCCTTCCTTTTATTCAACAAATGGAGTTTACTGAAAACAAAGGCCCTGTACTCACCTGCACATGGCCTCCAGGCTCTGGATCTCAGCCTCTTGCTCAGCACCATACTGCTGTGCCGAGCACTCTCCGCTGGCGCCTGACGTTGCACACGCCTCCGCAAGTTTGATTTGCGCATTGTGGGCGGCGGCAACCTCTGTGGCGCGGCTGTGCCTCTCCTGGCGCAGCTGCTCCTCAAGATCTGCCGCAGCCGCATCCAAAGATGCGCACTGCTGCCGCAGGGCCGTGAGCTCACCCGCATGTGTGGCCTTGGAGGCCGCGCACTCGGCGAGAGCCTTCTTTGCAAGTGCCTGCGCCCGGCTCATCTCCCCCTGCGCCTCCGACGCGCGGTGTGAGAGCGCGTCCGACACCGCCGCGGCCTCCTCGGCAGTCGCCTGCGCTGCCGCCTTGGCCTCCTGTGCTGCTGCGAGTGCACCCTGCAGCTCTGTTGCCTCTGCAGAGGCCGACACGGCAGCCGCCTCCGCCTCGCGCAGCCGGCCCTGCAGGTCCTGGAGCTCCTGCCAGAGCTGGCGCGCTTCGGCATGGGCTGCGGCGCACTGCTCTTCTGCATCTCTGCGGCGGGCCTGCTCTTGTGCCGCCGCCTCTGCCTGCGCTGACAAGGCCGCCTGTGCATCCTCCAGCTGCCTCTGTAGCTCCTGGACCATCTCCTCTCCCTCTGGGACCGATGTGGCTGACTTCTGCTCCTCGGCATTGCTGGAGATGTCGGCGGCGGCGTCCGGAGATGTGGAGGAAGCTTCCGGCAGCTGCCAGGCAGCTGCCGCCTGCGCCGCCTGCAGGCGCTGAAGCCGCGCGCGGCTGTCGCCGAGCCGCAGCCCGAGCGTGGCGGCCCGCCGCTGCGTCGCCGCCAGCTCCTGCCGAGCATCCTGCAGCGCTGCGGCGGCTGCCTGCTCGCCATTTTGCGCATCTGCAACGTCCTGCTCCAGCTGCTGACAGAGAGCCTGCGCACCCGCCAGCTGCATGCGCAGGGAGCCTGCTTCTGCCTGGCTGGCGCTGCTGGCCGCCTGTGCGTGCTCCTGCTGAGCCTGCGCCCTCTGCACATGCCACGCCCATCTTGTTTAGGAGTATTTCATCTCATGCCTGCTGCGCTTGTCTACATCAGGCTGGTAAGTTTTACTGGCCAGTAAACATGGCTACAAGGAAGCTCTGTATCAGGACACATGAGGACCAGATCGGCCACTCTGATGATAAAGAACCTGAAAATTGGATGGCTACGAGAAAACGGATGTAGCAGGTCAAGCCAGGACACACTGCAGACAGTGGGAGGAGTGGGGCCGCACCTGCAGAGCGTCTCTGATGGACTGCACCTCTCTGCGCAGGGCCTCGCGCTCTACAGCATTCTCGCGGCCTATCCTCTGCAGCTCACCGTCTTGCTCCGCTACCTGCGCCTTCACTTGCGCCAGCCTCTCGTCCGCCTCAGCAGCCGCCATGCTTGCCTGCGCACACATTGGCATACGATTGCTGCAATCCTCATACCTTTCCAACCATGGTCTACGATATCAGCCTCCCCTTAATGCTGAATGACAAAACACACACCGAGATAAATTGAAAGTTGGATCCCCTGCCAGGAAAGTCTGCAAGCCCTCTTCTGAGGGGTAGTTCGTGGCCATGTGCAGAATCTACACCTCTGGATCCTAGTATCCAGACAAGCACTAGATCTGTAGCATGCCCTCGAGACATAGATGCCTGTGCAGAAAATTTTGACCCTGGTATCCAGATGAGCCCTGGATTTCTAGCATGCCATCAAGAGAGGAATGCAAAAGACAAGCCTGCCAAGGCATTGGGTTATTTTTTTTTGTTGCAAGACATGTCCTGGACAAAACGAGCCACAGAGTTTGGCACCTGCACCTCTGCAGCTGGGAGTAATATGCTATCCCCGGCTAAGAGGGTGGTAGTTCATGGGCAAGTGCAGGGGGAGGCACAAAGTTCAGCACCTGCTTCTCTGCAGCCTCCGCGCGGCGTTGCAGCTGCTCGGGGCGATGCTGCAGGGCCTTGAGGGGCGCGTCGGCCTTCCACAACGCAGCGATGCGCTCGGCTTCCAGCGCGGCCAGGTCGGTGCCGGCCGACCGCAGTTTTGCGGCCAGCGCCTCGGCCCACACCTTGTGCTTCTCCGCGCTCGCCAGCGCCTCTGCATGGTTCTCCTGGGAGAGGACAACATTGTGATTGCAGCAAGCTTGCTGGAAGTCAATTCAAGTGTTTTTTCCCAGAATAACTCGTGCTGGACAGTGCATCCGACGCATGCGTGAGTTCAACAAGCTTTGTGCAGGGTTGATTCAAGACTCAAACTTACAATGGACACAGTATCATAGAATTTCATGATATAAAGGACCTGCTGGCTGGTTTGTCCTTATTTGCGACGGACCGGCCAGCAGACATTTCCTATCAAGAAAATTCAAGAACACAGGTTTATCCTTCCGATATTCAAATTTGTGCGCTGCTGTCTGATAATACAAACACCAGTTGCTTTGAAATTGCTCATCTCATCTACAGAGTAGAATTGGGGCTCACCTCGCCTGCCCTGGCGCGGGCCTGGGCTTCGTGCAGCTGCCGCCTGAGGGAGTGGGTGTTGAGCTCTGCAGCCTGCAGCGCTTCTCTCACCGCCTCCAGCTCCTCCTGGGCCTCGTCGGCCCTCTTCCTCTCCAGGCCGCGGATCTGCTCAGATGTCTCCAGATCCTCCTCTGCGCCCGCCAGCCGAGCCTGCAAGCCATACTCTGGTGTCAACCTTCACCGCCATGCCCCGATATCTCCTGCTCGTTACCCGGTTGCATCTGCTTCAACCCTGCTTGGCATTACATCTGCTCTCTGCTGCACACACAGCCCACATGATGCAGGTCATTTGCAGATCAAATATGGCAAATCCTGCAATAGTTCATCCGCGCACCTGGGTGTCTTCGAGCAGGGTTCGGCTGTTGTCCAGGTCCAACAGGGCGGCCTGCAAGGCAGCCTGCACGGATGCGGTGGCCGCCTCCGCCCGGCTCTTCTCCGCGCTGAGCGCGCTCTGCAGCAGCGCAGACTTGGCCCGCAGCGACTGCAGCTCCGCCTGCTGTGCACTGACATGCTGCGCCAGCTGCTCAGACTCTGCTTCGGCCGCCTGCCTTTCTGCGGCGGCCGCCTCGAGCGCGGCCGCAGCGTCGGCGGCTTCCTCGCACATGCTGGCAGCTGCCGAACGCACACGTGCCAGCTGCTCCACAGCCGCCTGCCGCGCGACGTCGGCCCGGCGCGCCCGGGACTCCAGATCCGCCGCGTCTTCCAGAATTGATGCTACCATATGCTTCACCTCGGCACTCTTCTTCTCTTGGGCCCTCCTCTGCGCTGTTATCTTCTCGTTTTCTGCCCGCATGCCGCTGAGCTGACCAGATAGCTCCTCAATGCGCAGCTGCATTTTGGTCGACCGCGCTTCCGCGAGAGAGCACTGCTCGGCAAGATCGGCAGCGCGGCGGTCGGCGGCTGCGCTGTCGGACTGCGCTCGGGAGAGCTGCTTGCGCTGCTCTGCTGTGTCGGCCTCCAGGGCGGTGATGCGCTGGCGCAGCAGCGAGGTGACTTGCTGCTCGGCCTGCAGCAGCTCGGCCCAGTGCTGCAGCTCCGCCGCCCGCAGCTTCTCCCACGCCTCGCGCGCCTGCTCATATGGGATACCTCAGAAACGCCCTTCGCTGAGAGCTGTGTCTGCGATAGAGTGCCTTCAACATGCTCACAACATTTCAAGCATGATTCACGAGCACTTTTTCATATACTCTGGAGGCTCAGATACTCCAGCAGCCACCTATGTCAAGGGTACCAAAAGCGTATGCAAGGAAAGTATCAAGGGGTTTAAGGCATTCATAATTGGGTTGGGGGACCGCTGTGTAGAACAGGGAATAGGTGAGCACACACCTGGTCAGCACTCAGCGTAGATGCATTGCCAGCGATCTCAGCCTGGGCAAAGTCGAATAGCTTCTGCAGCCCGTCCGCGCGCGCATTGGTGGCCGACACCTCGTCACGTAGCGCGGCCGCCGCCTGCGCATGGCCCCGCGCCTCAGCCCGCAGCCGGGCCTCTTGAACCTCGGCCGCCCGCTCGAGCACTTTTATCGCCGCGCCTCGGTCTGTAGCCAGCTGGCGCAGCCCGTCAGCCTCGGCCCGTAGCGCGGCGTGCTTCTCCTGCAGGTCCTGGGACATGGCTTCCACCGAGGCTTTCACCTGGAAGAGACAAGCATGCTTTTCTGTTCACTTGTCTTACTGGATGCACTTCTTCTACCAGGATGACCGTATTGATATTGCCAGAAATCAGTGTCTTGTCATGATGGGCGCTGAATTGGACAGTCAGAGTCAGCCTACGGATCATCACAAGGTTGGTTTCAAGCAATGTGGATGACTGACTGACCTGGAACAGCTCATCCTGAAGCTCCTGCACGCTCTCGTTCAGCAGGGCGGCCCGTTGCTGGTGCCTCTGCTTCTCCACCGTTGCCTTCCTGAGCTGCTCTCTGACCTCACCCAGCTGCTCCTGCAGCTGATTTACCTTACTGGCGCTCTCAGCTGCCTCACTCCTGGCAGCCTCGCACTCAACCGCAAGCTGCGACAGGCTCTGATCGTGCTTCGCAAGAAATTGTGCCCTCTCCTGCTGCGCCGAGGCTCGTTCGGCGGACATCTCCTTGTGTGCTTCCATCAGTGTCAGTATGAGGGTCTGCACTTTATCTTCTGCCTCTGCAGCAGCTGCACTGGCGGAGGCAGCCTCGCTGCGGAGGGCAGTCTGCTCTGCTTCTAGCTCTGCAATGCGCCGCGCGCCGCCGGCCGCCATGGCCGTCGCCGCCTCGAGCGCCCGCGACTGCTCGGCCGCCTCGGCCGCGCGGGCATCAACCGTGCTGCGCTGTGCGCGCTCTGCCGCGTCAGCCGCCACCTCAGCGGCGGCCCGCAGCTCACGGATCTCGCTCTCCAGCGCCGCAACCGCGCCCACAAGACCAGCTGCCCGCTCCTGCCACTGGCTGATTTCCTCGCAGAGCCCCAGGTTCTCCTCTTGCAGCCGGGAGATGTCGCTCTCAAGAGTGGCCGTCACCTGTGCAGCGCCAGCTGCGGCCTGCTGCAGTGCGCGGACCTCCTCCTGGCTAGCGGCCAGGCTCTGCTGTGCGCTGCAAAGGCGCTTGGCCAGCTCAAGGGGCTCCGCCGAACTCCCATGCAGCGAGGCAGCCTCTGCGGCCGATATCTCTGCCGTGTCATGAGCTGCGTCGAGCAATTTCTGCAGGCTCACAGAGTGCTCCCGGGACTGTGCCAGCTGCTCTTCCAGGCTCGTCACTGCACTGCGCGCAGCTTGTGCCTCTACCATGCTTGCTGCCAGCTGGCTGGTCAATGCTGCGAGCTGCTGCGTGAGAGTGTCTCGAAGTCCGGCTGCCTCGTGGGCTGGGTCAAGGAGCTTCTGCAGGCTCACTGAGTGCTCCCGAGACTGTGCCAGCTGCTCTTCCAGGCTCGTCACTGCACTGCGCGCAGCTTGTGCCTCTGCCATGTCTGCTCCCAGCTGGCTTGTCACAGCAGCGAGCTGCTGGGTGAGAGTGTCTCGCTGTCCGGCTGCCTCGTGGGCTGCGTCAACGAGCCTCTGCAGGCTTGCTGAGTGCGTGCGAGACTCCAGAAGCATTTCCCGGCTGTCGGCCCCAGCGCGCGCGGCTTCTGTTTCTGCCTTGCTCGACTCCAGCTGGCCAGTGACAGCTGCAATCTGTTGGTTGAGAGCCTCCTGCTGTGCGGCAACCTCGTCGGCTGCGTCCAAGAGTTTCTGCACACTCGCTGAGTGCTCGCGAGATTGTGCCAGCTGCTCTTCCAGACTTTCAGCCAAGGTGCGCGCGGCCTCTGCATCTGCCTTGCTCGTATCCAGCTGGTTGGTGACGGCTGCGAGCTGCTGGGTCAGAGTGTCCTGCTGTGCGGCTGCTTCGTGGGCTGCGTCGAGGAGTTTCTGCAGGCTGGCAGCGCGGTCCTGTGATTGGCTCAGCTCACGCTGCTGAGTGGCGGATGCACTCTGCGCGGCGGCCGCCTTTGCCCGGCTGGCTGAGAGCTGGCCTGAGAGGGTGCCGATTTGCTGCCGCAGTGCTGCAACCTCTTTGGAGGCCTCGTGAGCAGCGTCCAGGAGTTTCTGCAGGCTAGCGGCATGCTCACGAGACTGCTCAAGCTCATTCTCTACAGCTCCTGAAGCCTTGCAGGCGGCATTAACCTGAGCCTGGCTGGCAACCAACTGCCCTTGAAGGGCGCTGATCTGCTGCACGCGCAATGCCGCATGCTCCTCAGCTCTTCTCTCCGCAGCGTCCAGGAGTTTCTGCAGGTTGGCAGCCTGCTCGTGAGACTGTGCCAGCTCGGCATCCAGAGCTGCTGAAGCCTGGCGGGCGGCATCAACCTCTGCCCTTCTGGCAGCCAAGTTGCCCACAAGGTTGCTGATCTGCTCACGCAATACTGCACATTCCTGGGATTGCTTTTCCGCCTGCTCGCAAGACTCTGCCAGCTCGATCTCCAGGGCCTCTAAAGCCTCGCACGCCGCATCAGCCTGAGCTTGCCTTGCCGCCAGCTGCCCTTCCAGCCAGCCGACCTGCTCCTTCAGTGCTGCGCACTCCTCAGAAGTCCCATGTGCAGCATCCAAGAGATCCTGCAGGCTGGCTGCCTGCTCGCGAGACTGGGCCAGTTCGATCTCCAAGGCCTCTGAAGCCTCGCACGCCGCATCAGCCTGTGCTTGCCTTGCTGTCAGCTGCTCTTCCAAGGCAGCGACCTGCTCCTTCAGTGCTGCGCACTCCTCAGCACAGCCATGCGCAGCATCCAGCAAAGCCTGCAGGCTGGCAGTGTGCTCCTGAGACTGTGCCAGCTGGATCCTCAGCTCTGCTGAGCTCTTATGCGCTGCGTCAGCTTCCGCTTGGCTTCCCGCCAGCTGCCCTCCTAGCTTGCTGACCTGCTCCTTCAGTGCCGCACACTCCTCGGATGTCTCATGTGCGGCGTCGAGGAGAGCCTGCAGGCTGGCAGCGTGCTCATGGGAGCGCGCAAGCTCCTCCCGAACAGCGTCCAACGCCGTCTGCTCTGCGTGTGCCTCGGCATGGCTGTCGGCCAGCTGTCCCTCCATCGCAGCTACGTGCAGCTGCGCCGCTGTGCGCCCCTCTGCTGTCTCATGCGCCGCGTCAAAGAGCCCCTGCAAGCCGGCAGCGCGCTCGCTCGCATGTGCAAGCTCCGTCTTCAGGCCTGCCGCCGCCGTTTCCGCGGCTTCAGCCTCTTTCTGGCTGCCGTCAAGCCGCCGGCTGAGTGTCGCCACCTGCTCCTTGAGAGCCGCCTCTGTGCCTCCCTGCTCATGCAGAGCCCTTTCCAGCCCCTGTAACTCACCGCGAGCCACAGCAAGCTGCTGCTGCAGTGCAGGCACGGCGGCCAGCTTGGCAGCAGCAGTGTTTAGGCTGTCCTGGAGGGAGCATCTCTCCAGCTGCAGCTTTGCCAGCTCAGCCGCCTGATCTGCCACCTCAGCGCGCAGCCGCTCGGACTCCGCTTGGAGATCGCCGAGCGCGACGCCGAGGTTATCCTTCTCTGCCTGCTCCGCTGCGAGCTGCCCCTTCATGCGTGCGAGCTCCTCTTCCCTGTCGTGGCAGGCGGCTTGCAGGTCGCGGGTGTACCTCTCGATCTCTGCTTTGGCGGCTTCGTCATCCACCAGAGCGGAGCAGGCGCGCTGCGTCTCACGCTGCGATGTCTGCGCGTCCAGCCTGGCGGCCTGCAGGTCCTGTGACAGCGCAGCCAGCTCGGACTGGGCCTGCGCAAGCTCTGTCATGAGGTGTTCCTGCCGCTCCTGACCCTCCTCAGCGGCATCAGATGCCGCTTCTTGCTCCTGCGGGGTTGGCAGCTCAGAGCGCGAGGCCTCAACCTGCAGCAGTAGACAAGAGGGATGAAAGCTCATGTATTGTACTGCCAAATAATACAGTCCACATTCAAACAACCTATCATCCCCCCTGAAGAAGTTCCAACAACACTGTCACATAAAAGACAGTACCCAACACTGTCCAAGATTTGAAGCATGTCCCCTGAAGAAGCAGATGAAGTTTACCTGTTGCTCGAGCTCCTGGATTTGCCGCCGCTGGTCGGCCGCGGCGGCGCGCTCGCGGTCATAGAGCGCCATCAGCCGGTGCCACTCCGCGTTCTGCGAGCGCGCCACCTCGAGCTCCGCCTCGAGCGCTTCCAGCCGGCTGCTCTTCAGCGCCAGCTGATCCCACACCTCCCCTTCCTGAAATTGCAAGCTCGCTCCTCCGCCCTGACTGGCTGTGGCACCAAGCGGGGATCCAGCAGACTGGGGCCAATTGCGGCCGCCGCTTGAGCCGCAGTGCATGGCGCTGCCGGCACCGGGGGCCGCCTGCGGCGGCCGGGGCGCGGATCGCGCGGGCGAGGGTTGCGGCGGCGCAAGAGAGCGGCGCAGGTGGTTTGCGTGCAGCGCCTCGATGATGCGCGACAGCTGGCGGGTGTCGGCCTGCGAGGCGGCCAGCTCGGAGCGGGCCATTGCCAGCGAGTCGAGCGTTGCGCGGAGCGCCATGTTCTGCGCGCGCACCCGCGCCATCAGCGCGTCTGTGGCGCTGGTATCCTCTGCCGGTCCTGCGCACATCCCATGCAACACTATGAGCCGAGTTCTCCTCTCTTCAGAGAACATTCGAACAAGATGCACTCACAAGGTTGTCTGTGCAAATTGCAAAATTGAATGGGCTTGAGACAGGGACAGTCCAATATTGGGCAAGCTGCTGCCTGTCATTCTCTAGATAAAGCTTTGCCGGAAGTGATCAGGATGAAAAGGGTCTCTTTAGTAGATTGTTTGCAAGGCAGGGGCTGACCTGTGCACGGCGCCAGAGCAGAGACTTGGGCGTCCATCAGGCGGCGTGCCTCCTGCTGCGCGAGCGACAGCTGCTCATGCGCATTCTCCAGCTGCAGAGACAGCTCTTCTGACACCAGCTTTGCCGCCACGGCATCCTCCCCGGCTGCGGCCGCCAGATTCCTCGCCGCTTGTGCCTCGGCCGTCGCCACTTCAAGCGCCACTGTGAGCGCACTTATCTTGCGCAGGGCGTCTCTGAGCTGTGCCTCAAGTTCTGCCTGTGCTAGTCGACACTGATCAGCTGCAGCCGACTGCTGATTGATCGTCTCCTGCATGTTGGCAACCTCCTCCTGTCTCTCTGAAGCGGCAGCGAATCGAGTGGTGCCCGCCTTGGCCGTCTTCTCGGCGGCAGATTTGCTGCTTGTCGGTGCCTCATCAAAGAGCGGGTTCAGTGCGTCTGCTGCAGGGGTCAGGCCGGGCCCCGAGCTGCCACTGGCCGAGCCTTGGTCTCGCCCATTGGCTGCTGCTGTTTGCTGCAGGGCTGCTGAGTCCCAGGCGCTCGGCGTCCACCCGCGGCTCAGTGATGATGCGCTGCCCGAGCCGCTGCCCAAAATGCTGCCCAGATCCAGCCGCGCGCAGGCAGCGGCTGATAGCGGGGTATTCAGGCGGTGGTGCAGGGCGCTGATGTGGGCGCTGAGGGGCGTGACGGCCGGCCGGGGCTGGCACCGCCCGGCCACTGACGGCCGCTGAGTCAGCGCCGAGTCACCGCGGCTGCTGGGGCTCGCGAAGCTGAGCTCCTGGGGGCCCGTGCGCTGCAACTGCGTGTGCCAGTCGCCCAGGTCCGACGGCGTGCTCTCTACCAGTGACGCCAGCGCGCTGTCGGATATCCTGCCGCCCTGAGCCGGTGTGGCAGCTGGCGCCTCGGGGATGGCTTGCGCCGCACCCCCGGCTCGCTGCAGCGCCTCTTGCAGCGCAGAAACTTGCCCCTGCACACGTGATAACAAGCCCATTCAGTCACATGTAGAAAAGCATTGTGTCAGTGTCACTATCTTGCTCCTTCCCATGCACCAAGAAGACCCTTTTTGATTGCCATGTCTTCGATGGATTGTCCACATTGCGCCGTCAACACCTCGTATGGAGTTGGTATTTTGCTCAACAGGGGCATTGCTTGCAATCCGTGGGGACGCTGACAAGGGTGGAGCCGAGCTGCTCGCACCTGGAGCTCCTGCTGCTGCTGCTGCAGGGCGTTTCGGTGGTCCACGGCTTCTACCAGCCACTGCCGCGCCTGCCCCAGCTCCCGGGCCATCCTCTCACGGCCGGGAGACAGCTTCTGCTGGCTGCCAGGGCTGCCCTGCCCGACGGGCTGCTTAGGCCGCCCGGCCTTCTCCGGCGTTGCCTCGGTGGACGCAGCTGCTGCAGGGTCAACTGGCAATGCCCGAGCTTGCCGTCCTGCGGCCCACCTGTGCACATCGGCCTGCGGCGGAGACAAGCAACTTCAAGCGGCCATTCGGCAAGGTATAGGCGTAGATATCTGAATGATCTCTTATGTTTCGGCCCCCAATCGCTTTTAATGCAGCCATACTGAGGATGAAAGGCGGCTCAGACACAGTTGTCCACCACATGTCGTATGCGCGCAACTGAGCCGGTCAATGAGTATGACTGCCATTGGAGTGGGCATTAAAGTGGGTACCAACAATGTGCCTGCGCATAAGGTGTAGGTGTCTCTCTCCAGCACAGCTCTTCCATGTCACGTGTTCAGAAGCTTGTAAGAAGGGTCCAGCAGAGGATGTCAGATGGGGAATTGAGGGGATTGAGAGGCCTTCACCTGGCGTGCGTCGTCGGCGGACCAGGGCCGGCCGCGCTCGCGCTCGGAATCATGCAAGGCCTTCTGCGCCTGCTGCAGAGTGCGGCCCAGCGAGTCGCGCTGCCCGGCCAGGTGATCCGCGCGCAGCTGCTCGTCGAGCAGCGCCTGCTGCGCCTCCAGCAGCTGCTCGGAAACTGCCTCCAGCTGCGCCTTCAGGTGGCTGCCCCGCTGCTGCTCGTGCTGAAGCGCCATCGAGATCTGCGGCACCGCCACCAAACTTCCAATGATCTTAGAGAGGACTCTACAGAGATAATCAGGGTTGGCTAGTTGTTTGCGCAAAGGAAGTTTTGAGCGGATAGCAAATACAGCAACCCCATCAGACATGAGACATCAGCAAAATATAGAGTCATTTCAGTGTTGTGAAGAACATGGTTTAGATCTATGTATGTCGGTGGTCATGTGAGACTGAAATGGCGGGAGACGGATGTTCGGGCGCACCATGTAGAGCTGGTCTCTGGGCTCCACCTCATCTCCCTGCCAGTGCCCCTCCAGAAAGGCCTGCTCCCGCATCTGCTGCCCACATTCCTGCTTGCAAGAAACCCAAGTTGGGTTACTGAACTCCTCAGGCCTTCACACGGCCAGCAGGCGACTGCTGCAACTGCTACATAGCCCCCACAACTAAGAGATAGCAAGGCCTCTGAAGATAATATTTGTGTCCCAAGTAAACACATGGTAGGTACCGTAGCAGACTTAAGAGCACGTGGGCGGGAGGGTATGTTAAAGGAGTGGCAAGGGCTCACAGCAGTCAAAGGCAGAGGGGAGTCTTGCAGAGCAGCAGCTTCCTGCAGCTGCTGTGCGCGCATGGATAACGCGGCATTCTCTGCCAGCAGCGCCTCGATGCGCGCGCGCTCCGACCGCAGCCGCGCCTCCGCCTCGCGCACTCGCGGCGGCGTCTGCTGTGCCGCCTCGAGCCGGTCCTGCAGGGCTGTCTGCACACCAAACCCCCAGCCATCCATTTCAGGCAAGTAACCCGACATGTTGGTGAATCATCTCTATGCGCAAAAGTGCTGAGATTTTTTTCTCTCCCTTGCTCGGCTCCAAGGTCCTGCCCCTTCCTCTGCTGTACTAGTGGGACTGAGTAAAGCCACGGCAGTAAAAAGACGTATCAAAATCTGCCTTAAAGTGCACTGCACAGCTTCAGACAGAGACAGGGTTGGTGGTTGAGGAGCATTGGGAAGGCTGGCATGGCGGCGGCACTGGGAAGGCTGGCATGGCGGCGGCACCTTTTCGTTCTGCAGGGCGATGACTAGCTCGCGCTCGTGCTGCAGCTTGCCGTGCATGACCTGCAGCGCGTCGTGGGTCTCTGCCCACTTGGCCGCCGCCTCCTCGCTGCCCTCCACCTGCTGCTGCAGCTGAAGCACCTGGCCGCCACCCGAACAGTCCCTTTTAAAATTGCATTCCTTTGGACCCTATGGCGTCAGATGACCTGCACGTGAGGCTGCCTAATATATGAAATTCAAAGTAGGGAGATAATGCAGCTGTCTGAAGGAAAGCTTTGCTTTGATACATCGGGCACCACGGCATGCACCACGATGTGACACATCCAGTCATAACCTGAACAGTGCAGCCAAGGAGCAAGGTGCAAATGTGTCATCCTCAAGGCCCCACGCATGAAGATGTCCATTATAAATCACAGGGGGAGACAGAGTGCAAAGTCACCTGGGACTGCAGGCCGTGCTCCTGCAGGCTCTGCAGCTGCTTCTGGGCCTCCACCTGATGGCTGATTGCTTCCTGGGCAGCCCCCAGGGCCCCGACCTGGTTTGCCTGCTCCAGCAGCAGCGCCTGCAGCGAGCTATTCTCCTGCAGAGCCTCCTCCAAGCGGCCCAGCACTGCCTCGTGGCGCACCATGAGAGCCACCCTCTCGCTCGTCATCGCCTGCGTTGCATATTCAATCTTCGATGCATGCAGCAATGTTCCCACTGGTGATGCTTACCTGACAGAGGATCAGCAATGCGCATGGATGTTTATGAGAGCTGGGGTTGCTGTAGACTGGCAAGATTTGTGGATATTGTGGCAAGAAAAACCCTGCAATTTGATCAGGCAGCAGCAATGCGGTATGTTGGGCAGAAAGGGTCGGCCAAGGGCAGACCTGGATGGCGCGCTGCAGCTGGGCCTGCTCCGAGTGCAGTCGCATCACGCGCGCGAGCGCCTTGGCCGCAGCCGCCGCCGCGCCGCCGCCGGAAGCGCTCTCCTCCTCCGACTCCGAGCTCGCGGATGAAGCTGCCTTCCTCTCACCCTCATTCCCCGTCGTTTTCACCTCCGTAAGCCCAAGTGGCTTCCCATGCGCGCCCTCAGCCGTGGCGTCATTGTCAAGCCCGGGCACTGAAGGGAGATCAGCCGGCGGCAGCATGGCTTGCCCGGCAGCGCATGAGTCGGCGTCTTCAAAACCGAGCGTCCTCGGGACGACGCCGCCGGAGCGGCTGTGGCGCGCGCGCTTGCGCCCGGTCTCCGTGTCGGCGCCGCGCACCTCGGCAGCTCCCACGCCGGCGGCCGGTGTCAGCGCGGGGCTCTGCTGCACATTGTCTGTCGTACCCGGCTGTGGGTCCTGCCAGGCGGACTGCGCGCTTCTCCCTTGGTCACCTGCCGCCCAGTGCCATGGTTGGGAGACTGCTGAGCTGACCTTGGGATGTGCCGCATGTTGTGGACAAATTTTGTGCAATTTTGTGCAAGGGTGTGCCGCATGTGCTCAGGAGCCATCCAGAGGTCCAGCAGATGGCAGTGTAGAAGTTGATCGAGTGTATCTCATTTGTGCATTGAGGGTACAGAGCAACAAACCTCTCGTATCTTGCAGATTTTTTTCGAGCGTGGCCACCCTGTCCTGCAGAGCTGCATTTTCCAGCAGAAACCGCTCTGAGTTGTCGCTGGCTGCCGCCAACTCCATAGCCATCTCATCCGCCCGATCCTGCAGGCGTCCACATCAGTCAGTCTGTCCTTGGTATCTAGTTTTCCTCATGGTACAATTCCTCAGAGTGACATCCAGGCAAGGTGATCGTGTCGTGCTCTGAAATGCATGAAGCATGTGTGCTACGAAGTCTACCTCAGCAGCTTGCGCTCGTTGCACTACCTCCTGCAAGGCGTCTGCGTGCTGCTCTGCATGCTCCTTCTCAAGCAGCAACTCGGCTTCTAGTGTCTGGCACCGCTGTTTTGCTGCCTCTGCGCGCTTCAAGAGGTCTCTGTGGCTCTCAATCGTGCAGATGGGAATTGGCACACATCCTTTTCCATTCCCTTCCGGAAATGTGGTGGACTGCAGCAGATCACGTGTGTCTGCGGCATCGGTGTCCTCCTGAAGACGTGCAGCCAGAAGAATTTTCTCCTGTGAAGCGATGGCATCAGGTGACGAAGGCAGGCTGGCTTCCTCCCTTGAATGCTCCCTGCTCTCAACTTCAGGCGACGCAGGCTCCTGCGCAGCATTTCAAGCGTAAAAGCATTGACTGAGGACCCTTTGCAAACTGAAGGCTATAAGTTTAACAGGGCAACAGTGGGAAAGTATGAAACAAGATGGCAGGCCTGCTGGTCTCGTTTGTACGTATTTGCACACTTCAACGCAAATATACATATTAAAACGACAAAACAACACTCAATCCATTGGTCCTTTATAATAAGTACTCCATCTCAGCGCACCTCAGGTTGCAAGGCTTGCACGATGGCTGCAGCATGGCGCTGTACTGTCGTGAAGCTGGCCTCCGAGCCGCAGTAGCTCTCTCGGAGGTCTGTCATATCACTGAGCTGATACTGAGCGAATGGCGACGCTGCTGTATGCGTTTGATCGGGGCTTCCATAAGCTAATGTGCTGGCCATGCGCTGATAAGGCTCGGCCAGGGGTGACAGCTGGAAAGCCCCCAGCTCAGGGTCAAACATGTACAGATCACTGTCTGGGGCTCCGCAATCCCCACCGCTGCCATCAGGCGGATGTGCCTGCCTCAAATCACCCAATCTGATGGATGTTCTGGGAGAACTGTTCATGAAGCTACCCTGCCCCTGTCCCAGGTGCGCTGGGCTCTGTCTAAAGTTTGTGACTGGAGACAAGGGCGTGCGTGACCGGTCCGATGGCGACGCAGGGCCATGAGCTTCCTCTTTTGCAGTCATCACAGATGCACTGGCGCCAACTTCAACAGCGGTGCCTGGGCCATTGGTGATGTCTGCTCAATTTTTGATCAGTTTCATTCACTAATACAAATCGCAGCTCATACATGCCACCCCTCAGGGCAAAATTTGCGTCCCCCACGGCTCCCATCGTGTTTTCGCTGCAAGTTCGCTGCGCTGGGAAGCTGTTGCCTGTACAGGTGTAGGCAGTCGGCCACGTCTCCCGGGATGAGATCCCCGAGCTGACTGTGCTCGCTGCTTGGTGGGCATCTGCACAATCCAATAGAAACGTGAGAGCAGCGCAGCCCGATCGCAGCCATTCCTCGATCAAATATGCAGAGCATGGCCTCCTCCTCGCGTGCCTCCTCGAGCCTCCACGCCAGCAGCTCCGCCAGGGAGGGCAGCATCACCAGAAAGGCTGTCGTCCCGAGGGCCCGGGCCGTGGCCACTCCCCCGAGCCAGGAGCCCCAGTCGCGCAGGCGAATGTCCCAGAACGCGGTGGCCCTCGAGCGGGAGGTGCTGTCGTGCCCCTGGCCGCGCACAGCTCAGGCGTCCCGTGCAGTCCCAGAGGGGCGAGGCTTGCTATCCAACACAGTGAGCGCCTTGCAGCAGGTGAGAGGCTGCTTTTCTCTTGGGTAATGGGCTGCGATCGCAATTCGCGCGGCCGTGCCTAGTTGGGGATAGTTTCTGGTGTCCTGCCCCCCTTTCAGGGTACTAGTTTCAAACCACGTTGTTCAGGCCAGCGAATTGTGCGTGGGGCGTGAGTCGTGGATGCATCAAGTCTATCGCTTTCTGTAGAAAAATTATTTGATCGGGGCAAACATGAATCTGGTACCCTAGAGTACAGTGGATTACATACATCACGAACTGTCAACTGGTCAAAAAAGGTGTACATGAAGGAGTACGAGACAAGCCTAGTCCATAAGAGCACAATGTCAGTGTATCTAATGTTCATGCTGTGGCTGTACAGCTGTGGTGTGGAGAAGGCGGCAGGCTCCCAGCAGATGTCGAGGCGCTTGCTGGAGGCTTCACTGATGCTGAGAACCCGTGCCTCCTCGAAGATTCTGCTGATGGACTCGCCCGGGTGTGGCGGTACCAGGGCTTCAGGCTGTGAGCGGCCGCACCATGGACCGCTGCAGCAATTCAGATATCATTGTTTCAGGAGAAGAAAACTGCATCAGTACTTTTGACAAGTTCCGACCGTCTCTCAAGGATGGCCAGCAACGAAGACCCAGCACCCTGCAGGAACGTCAGCTCCTGCAAACAGGCTGCTAGAGTCTTAAGCGCTGGGAAGAGCTTGCTTCAAGTTGCGCAAATCAGCAATTGTACTATTTTTTGGACCACCACAAGTACAGACAACTGAGGCACCGCTTGCATGACTGGTATAGGATGTTGTTGCCCTGCGGCGCGCCCTGACTGTGTACTTCTAGGCCATTTAAGTGTGTTTAGCATTGCTGCAAACCAGCAAGCTGTGTCCCCTCAACAATCTCTCAATTTTGGGTTTAGGGAGGCTGGATTTGGCGGACAGTTTTCTATCACTGTATTAACTGTATCGGGCATCACCCTTTGATTTCCAGGGTCAGGTGTCAAGCAATCGCAGTTGTGTCTATCTAGGACATGATGTTTCATGCACCATTTTGAGTGTGTTGTATCAGGCGGCTGGTGACGGCCAGAACAATTTTGGAAGTGAAATTTTACCTGCTTCATTTATAACGTGGTTGGCATCGTGCACAAGTGCAAGCAGGCTAATTAGCTGTACAGAATTCCAATGCAGACAAAGGGTTGCAGGCAAACATATATCTGCTGTGTCAGGGTCGTTTTAGGATGTCACTGAGTGTTCTAGGCATAGATACAGGGACATGTGTATTTAAAGGATGTCACATGTGATTGTAAAGTAGATGGATTGAAGCCATTCACTGGAGACCGTCCGTTCTCCAAAGTACCTATTGTCAAAGCTACTTGTGATCAGAGTCTAGGCCACCCTTACACATAAGCTGTCACCGTCCAACTTACACTTACAGCTGTCGCACTCACGAGCAGAACTGTTATCGCTTGGCATCAGGCCTAGGTACCTTACTGGCACAAGACAAGAAACAGGCTCCTGCAGTGTCTGTATCTTCCAAGCAAGCAAGGACAAAGCTCTTTGATGGGCACGCCATATACTGTCAAGCATACAACTCCAGAAAAAGCATGCCTCCTCTGCTCACTCGGAAGACTTCAATTCGTCAGGTTTTTTGGAAGTGTCTTCAAAGGCTGATTCCACAGCGGGTTTAGAAGAGCAACAGTCTTGAGAGGACTTCAGATACGTTTCCACACAAGAGCGCATTTTCTGGCCGGATGCCTTGGGTTCCTCCGTTGCTGTGTTCAATGTCATTCTGGCCAGCACCGCTCTGGTAAGTTGGGTTCCTAACAGTCTTATGGGTCTCTCCCAGTTCACGGGTGCATTCCCTAGAGCACCACGCCTAACGAGCGTAGTACATGTACAGGCTGTTCGAGGCCGCGGCTGCTATGAGGTTGACTTCTGGGTGCCACGCGAGGTGCAGCAGCTTTGTGTTGAAGTCCAATGAGGTTCCATCGGGTGCGGCGCCACCGGCGGCCGCCGCCGCATCCGGGGGCGGGGCTGGGCTGCCGCCGCTGTTCTGCAGCGCTGCGCGCTTTGCGTTGTTGCCCCTCGAGAGCCCAAACCTCCCATGCGACTGCGATTACAGCACAGCAGGCGAATCATAGCCATCCTTGGTTGGTGCGCCTACAGTTCTGACATTGGACAGGCAGCCAGAGCAGCTTCGCTGGTCTCATGGCAGACCACAGCGCCCCTCCTGCAAGCACTGAGAAAACAGGACCCAGGACTTCCTTCAAATAAGGAATGGCATGCTCCAATATGCTGTCAGACAACTCTTTAAAGTCTGCCTTTAAGAGGCAACTCCCAGACAAGTGTCCAGCAATTTAAGGTCGCCCCATGATCTATGTCTCGCATGGCATGTAGCCCTGCCTTTCACGACAAGCATGATCTTCTTCCTGTGCTTGGCATGTGAAAAGTATCCTTTTGCAGTTGGTTCACACCTTGGCGGGCGTCTGCAGGCGTTTTCGCTGGGGGTCCCGGCTGGCTTCCAGAGTGACGTCAGCGCCGGCCTCGCCCTCCTCCATGCCCTCCACTGACAGCGCCCGGAAGCAGTTGGAGTAGGTGCCCGTCGCCAGGTGGCTGCCGTCGCCGCTGAAGGCGCAGTCGAACTTGTCGAATATGCAGTCGTTCTCGTACAGATCGCACAGCTGCGCGCAGACAGACAGCCACATCAGCGCCATCTCAGAGATCATGTGCGTGTTGATCCGTGGCCTGGTGCAGACAACTATGATGTGTAGCAGGAGTGCCTGGCTTTGTCCGTAGGGGCCTGTCCTTTCAGCTGCTGGCCCTTCATGGCCAACGCAAGGCCATGCGTTACTCTGCTGCTCAAATCATGTTCCTGCCGGCCAGAGTGCATTCAGCATGAGATTCGCCAGAAACAGCTGGCAAACAGCAACTGCCCCAGAGTACTGCACATGTCAGGAGCAGCCGTTGACTCTAGGAAAGTTCTAGTCCTCTGTCATGAGGGTGCCCAGCAGCATTGATACATTACAGTTGATTGCATACCAATAATCCATAAGGTGCCACCTTGATCTGCTAATGAAGGCATCAAGAAGGAAGGACGTAGAGAGGCACAAATCACTCAAGGAATCGTCTGAGGCCTTAGCGTCCACAGGAATACATGCATTGCAGGGGGAGCCAGGGCACGCACCCGGGGTTTGAGGTGTTCGTGCATTTGCTGTGAGTTGTAATGGTGCACACCAGGCTTGGACGGAGGTCTTGACGACTGTCTTGACTGGAAGACAAAGACAGGCCTGGCTCGCTTTTGTGAAAAGCGCGCACCCGGGGTTTGAGGTGTTCGTGGATGGGGTAGGTGGCGACGGGGGAGGACTCCATGTTGACATCCCACAGCTTGAGCGTCATGAAGTCGCGCGCCAGCATGTAGCGCCCGTCGCGGCTGAACTTCAGGTCCGACATGGACGACAGCAGCTCTGTGAAGAAAGAGCGCGGCCCGGGGGCTTCCGCCTGCTGCCCCCCGGTAAACACACCCCCTCAGCCATAATGCCATGTTATGTAGTAGGGTGGCCCACTAAGAGGTCATCTTGGGTCATCTGAGGCCTTAGAGGTCCAGAGGAATGCATGATGTATTGGGCAGAGCGCCAGTCACCACAATCAAGAGGCTGCACCCTGAAGCCCCCTTGAGATCTGGAGACGAGGGAATGCTGAATACAACAATTCAACAGATCGCCCTGTAACCATATTCTTAAGGCTGCACCCTTGAGCCATTCAAAACTGGCAGAGCTCCAATCACCATATCCTTGAGGCTGCACACTTCGAGCCCGAGTACAAGTGCTTCTTGCACACCACTCAATCACCTGCGGCTGTATTTAGTGCACAGCCTCCAATTTCTTTAACATTGTAGAGGGTGGGATGCTCAAAGCACAGCCAGACTTCTGTAGGAATTTGGAGGAAGGTGGGGAGGCAGAGCATCAGGGGGCGAACCTCCTCGTAGACCTTGCAGGAGTTGTCCAGGAGGGCGCTGGCGCGCAGGTCTGCCATTCGAATGGCGCCCTTGCTGGTAGCAAACGCGAACGTGTGGCAGTGCCGCGGGTGGAAGTCAGCTACTGTGATCACCTGTGCCACATATGACAATGCTTGTCGGTAGGGATGAGTAACAGCACAAGGTAATATCCATGTCTGAAGCTATCCTTCAGACGGCTGTTCCCTGTCACCAAAGACCCTGTCCGCCCACTACACACATCACACCCCTCATCAGAATTTATCCTGCCGGCTGCCTTCAGTCAGTGCAAACCCACTGTTGACCCGGGCATTTCTGCCCTATGCTATTGACCACGCAGATATTCTGCGAGCCTTTCTTCCGAGCATCCATCCTGCAATAGTTCCTTGCCATGCGCAGCAGTCATCCTTAGCACTGCAGACGTACAAGGAAAAAATGGAAATTCACAGCAACTCTGTGGATAGCAGCAGGTCCTTGTCAGAGCGCCGCTACATGCACTGGAACCCCAGAACCTCAACACAGATCAGAGTTGAGATGTGCGTCTGAGTGTCTGGGGTCCCCACCTCTGTCAGCTCGTCCATGTTGGCGGGCTTCATGTCGACCACGTTGAAGGCCTGGTCGGAGATGTCGAGGTGCCACAGGTTGACGCGCAGGTCGTCCGCCGTGATGAACGTCTCCTGGTCGCTCGACAGTGCTATGCTGTTCACGTGGTAGGTGTGCGCGTTCGCATACTTCCTCCGGCACCGCGCCGCCAGCACTACCTCGGTGCTCGCCACCTGCGCCATATATGTGTTGTGTCCTTAAATCCGAGCACCACGGAATTGTCTCCCCAGACCTCCACGATGGTCTCTTTCTGTGGAGAGCTACTGCACAAGGCAGGCGCAATTTTTGAAGGGACTGCAACTGGAGGGCTGCCCATGAATGTGCAGAACGAGTCACAGAACACGAGTTCAACGCACGTCAAGCAGTCCGTGCTGAGAGAGGACCGCACCTGAGGAACCCTCAAAGTCCTCAATTCCGGTACCTGCGAGCCATGCATGACAAGGGCCACGTAAGGCACAACACCTGGGACAGAGCAATACCATACTGAGGGATCCCACCACCACTGAACTTGAGAGCGGCCAGAAGGTAATAAAGGTCACCTTTGGGGAGCGCGGCGCAAGCTTCTGGTCTGCCAGCAGAGACAACTTGGTCTTTGCTGGCGATGAGAAACTGTTCACCCCCCTGCACAGCCATCACAGCAACTGTTCTAATCCTAGGTTCTGCACTGGCCCAGCTTTGTCAGCTGCATACTTTTAAAGGGAGCAAAGCTCCACAAATGTCAGCTTCCGGGCACTTACCCTGCTGGTATGGACCATGAAGGCTGCTGCTCTACTGTGTTGTAGTTTGTCAAGTGCTGGACCTTCTTCTCATAGACCTGCAGCAAACAACGAAAAGACCTCACAATTTGCAGAGCCCAAAACAACATTTCATTCAAGAGAGACATGCTATCACCAGTCTCTGGCGGGTATGAATTCATGTCTGAGAGGTTCAGAACTGCATATTTAAGCACTTGCCTTCCAGAGCTTTATGGTCTTGTCATTGGTCGACAGAATCATGCGGCTGGCTGACGGCTGGTTGACCCATCGCACTTTGTTGATCTTCTCCTCAATCTCAAAGGACTTGAGGTAGTCAAACTCAGGCTCGTGGCTCTGGAACTCTGTCATGTATCGGAACTCAAAAGAGCTGAGTCGCCCCCTGGGTTGCCTCTGCTCCATCCCTGCTGTCCGCTGCAGCACCGCAGTGAACCAGATGATTCAATCTCTCTGCCGTGTGTGACTCAAACAAAAAAATCGTAGGTGCCACAATCACAACACGTCACTGTGGTACACAGTGTGGGCTGAGTGCGTCCTCAGGAGTCCAAAGGATTCAGCAACTGACTGCGTTCAGCCGAGTCCCCCATGCGCAAGACAAGCAGGGGGAGGATTATGGCAGTGAAGGGGTGTGGGAGAGATGTACCCCTTGTGAGGCCACCCTCTCGAACAGAACCACCCGTCCCCCTCTATCCCCCGTGGCAAGATGCTGGCCGCTTGCATCGAACTCGATGGCTGATATGATGTCCGCTGCGATGGCAGTCAAAACACATGTCTCAGCAATTGCACAGATAGGAAAATACAGGGCACTGTCTTGAGTTTGAGCTTTCCCCGTGCTGCGCTCCAACGCGGTCATGTTCTGATGCCCACATGTTCCTCTTCGCTCTTTGACTGTGCTGTCCCTGACCTAAAGCAGATGGGTGCAAGGTTGGCAAGAAGAGCCATGTTGTGTGACCTCAGGCAATGCCTAGAGGTGCCTGATTATGCCTCTCATACCAGCTAGACTGCCCTGTGCTGTTTCTACGTGCAGGAAGCACCACCTTTTTTTCTGGAAGGGTGGTGCTCGCACTGCATGCTGGTGTTCTGTGCTGATTGCAAGACAAATCATCTATTGAAATTTATACCAGTGCCTGCTGAGGCTGAAGTCCCTTCACCATCTTGTTTTTGGTCAGCGCAATTCTGGCACGTCTGCGGCTCAGTCAGGCCTCCTCACCTTCCTGTATTTCCTCTCCTGGTGTTCTCTCGCCAAAGCACTGCAGAAACTGCCAATTGAGCGGCTGGCTCCCATCCAGAGCGAGGGAGCCTGGGCCTGGACCCGCGTCCATCCGACTCCACCTCCCCTATGGAAGCCACATGGGGCGTGCTGCTCTCCTCGGACGCCAATCAGGGCCTTTCGATGTCAATAATGCCTGTCAAATGTCTGTACGGATGCTGAGCAGGGTCAGAAATGAGCAGACATGTTCAACAGTTCCCAGTGTGGGCGTTGTTTGACGCAACAAGAAGGTGACAAAACAACCAAAACCTGCCTTGATGCCTCTGATTAGAGGAATGGCTATCGAAGGTGCCTTGACAGCCGATGCAAAGCAACCTCTGACCATGCATAAAACTACGGACGCAGGCGCCATGACCATTTTGAAGGGCACACTCGTGGTTTAAGACGAGGCGGCCAACTGGAGCGACTCCTCCCACGTGATAGCACGGACGTCATCGCTACAGAATGAAGCACTTCGAGTGGAACTTTGGGGCTGTAGATTGGTGAGAAGGAGGCCTTTGGAAGGTCAGCTATGATGATGGGGTTGGGGAGTCTGGATGCTGCACGGATAGGCTGCACAGTGCCCCCGAGATGTATCAGCAGCCAGCTTCCATCCTGCCCTTCAGGTCACTGTATAAGACGATCTGCGATGCCTAATAAAATACAGGCTCTAGGAGACAAGGTAAGGACGATAATGTGCTCCCTGCAACCTGATCATTAGATTTTGCGTGCTCCACAGAGCTGCAGAATTGCAATACCGAACCTTCATTCGTCATGAATAACGGGCGAATCCTAAAAAAATTCGATATTTCATCAAAACAGACCATGCATGCTCGTGACAGGGGCAAGCTCTTATTTTCTCAGGTACAAAGACCCAACACAGCGCTGCGAGCAGCTGTAGCCGAGCGCACAGGAGTGGCACAGAACATCTATGTGCAGCCGTCGGGGAAGGGGCTAGGATTCTACACTGGGGAGGATGGCTACCTGTATGTGGACAATCTGCGCATTGATGACATCCGAGCAGAGGTGTGCAGTTTGGCCCTGTGCTCTACTCCTTACCTGACTTTACTTCTCCGTGTGCTTAACGATGCCCTCGTGGCAAGCTTGAAAGGGACACTGCATGCAGAGAGAATTTAATCAATCAGTCAGTCACATCATTCAGCTTCCAGTCCTTGGTGTGTGTGCATGATGCAGGTGAAGGACAGCCCGTTCTACCTGTACAGCAAGAACAAGATCACCGCCAACTACCAGGCCTACGCAGCAGCGCTGGAGGGGTTGGACCACTTTGTGGGCTATGCTGTCAAGGCCAACAACAACCTGCCCATCATGCGCCACCTGCAGTCCCTCGGCTCTGGCGCTGTTCTAGTGTCTGGAAACGAGCTGCAGGCAGCCGAGGCAGCCGGCTTTGACACCACGCGGTGCGCCCCTGAATCATTAAAATGTTTAGCAAATCTTGAAAATGGTGCACTGCATTCACACCGCGATGCAGCCCTTTTCTCCCTCCTTGGCGCTTGCAAGCCAAGTGCCTTGCTCTATCTTGCATCTCTCTTCATTTAATTGTGATGTCAAATATACACTGCTTTGGACACGGTCCTCCAAGACACGGCCTCACCTGCTTTGTCACAACTGGCGAAGGACAGAGGTACTGTCACACCTGGTGTTGCACGAGTGCGCAACGAGGCTTCTGCTCGAGTCTTCTGGCCGATTACATGACATGCAAGGGATGTTACTGGGGGCAGTGATGCTTTTGTTTTAATTGCTGAGACTCGTCGATGCAGAGACCTATACCTGAGCCCCCAGGCTCTCTTCCAAGTTTCCACACACAAGCCTTGAGACACAGGTCTTAGACTGGTCATTTGACTTCATCTAGACGTCAGCACAAAGGCCCACAATCCTTGCCGAGATTGTCTGAGACACTCTTATTGTGTATTGTAGGACAATCTTCAATGGCAATGGCAAGTTGCCGGAGGAGCTGCGACTGGCGATTCAGAAGGGCGCGCTGATCAACGTGGACTCCGAGTTTGACTTGGAGAACATCGCAGCTGCGGCGAGGGCAGTCGACAAAACGGCGCGCGTCCTGATCAGGATTAACCCGGACGTTGACCCCCAAGTGCACGCATATGTGTCTACTGGGCTCGCCAACTCCAAGTTTGGCATCCGCAACAGTCACCTCCAGGTGAGCATGCTCTGCCACTGCTGATAATTTACACCTTCGCAGGACGAAACAGTAGCATGATCAGAAACACCACGCATGTTACTGCGGAGCCGTGCTGTGCTGGTTTGTGGAGTGAGAGTGTGGTGGCCATGCTACGCCTTGTTCAGCGTGATAGGTACTCCGTGCACTGGCCCCAAAAGCCACAGACTCCGGCAGTCGTGTATGCAGTGCCATGGGGGCCTCTGGTATGTGGATGGTGCACCCATCACGCTCAACAATTAGCGGAGCAGTAGGCTAAGCCCAGCAATTATTGAGGACACAGAATGTTGCAACCTGTCAGGTGTTTGGTATTAGCATTTCATCTTGCATTGACAATACTTTATTTTGCGCGCACAGTGGTTCTTGAAGAGGATAAGTGAGGAGCCGCTGCTGGAGCTGGCGGGCGTGCACAGCCACCTGGGCTCCACAATCACCAAGGTGGACATCTTCCGGGACGCGGCGCAGATCATGATCGGCTTCATCCAGCAGATCCGCGCCGAGGGCTTCCAGCCCAAGTACCTCAACATCGGCGGCGGCCTCGGCATCGACTACCACAGGAGGTGACTCACGTCCTCCCTCTTCCCTGTAATTTAGTTATGCGTATGCCATGGGAAGACCATCTCCATCTGACGTCGAGCAGACAGGTGCTGGGCTGCATGTGTTGCAGATGTAATATCCTGCTACTTGCCAGCTCCACATCTGCCTGCAGTGAGAGAAACTTGCTACACACAAAAATGGAGCACAGTAGTGCAGCACGAATTCAGCGGCTCCATTACGACAATACATGGAGACTTGTCCAAATCTGCAACAGAAATGCCGACCAGAGCAACCCCCCTGTAGGCAAGAAGGGCCAGGTCAGCCTGATCTGTCCTTCCACCGAGCTTAGTATCTCCCTTTGTGGCACAGGGGAGATGCATTCCCTTCACCGGCAGATCTGGTGGACACAGTGAGAGACCTGGTGGCAGACCTGGGCCTCACCATGATCCTGGAGCCGGGCCGCTCCATGATCGGCAACGCGTCGGCGCTCGTCAACACCGTAACGGGCACCAAGACCAACGGCAACAAGAACTTCATCGTAGTCGACGGATCCATGAGCGCGCTCATCCGGCCCTCCCTCTACGATGCCTACCAACACATCGAGCTCACCGCACCCGGTGTGTCCCTCATGCATGACTGCATCCTTTCAGGTCTTCCTCTTGGAAGGGTGTAGGAAGCAGTGGTTGGGCGCATTCAATTCATATGCAGCGGCATGCTTCCCCTGTACAGAGGACATGATCCATGGGTTTGCCCTGCTTTCCTGGCTTGTGCCATGTGCTGTGGCCATTCTGTATCGTGTACCTCATGCACAAACGACACGAACGACCACACTTAAGGTGCAAAGCGCTGAGCACACTGCAAAGCCTAGGCTCTCTTTTGAGGCGCTCGAGCGCTAGATCAGCGGGTGTAAAGAATAAGGATTGGATGGTACTGAAGCTCTTCTGCGGCTGTGCAGGGGACGGCACGGAGCAAGTGTTCGACATTGTGGGACCCGTGTGTGAGTCGGCAGACTTCTTGGGCAAGGAGCGGCCGCTGCGCACGCCGCGCGCCGGGGACGGATTAGTCGTGCATGACGCGGGCGCTTACTGCATGGCCATGGCTTCCACGTACAACCTGAAGATGCGGCCTGCAGAGTACTGGGTGGCCGATGGGCAGCTGAAGCAGATCAGGAGAGGGGAGACTCTGGAGGACCACCTGAAGCTCTTCGAGGGGCTCTAGTCGCAGCAGGATATCCGCTGGTGTCCTGCTTGGGTTGCGGCAAATGCATTGTTGGGAAGGGATTGAGTCAGTGAGGCTACACAATGTTTGTACCATCAAATTAACTATTGTTGCAATGAAGTCGAAGGCGCTTGCTGTTGGCAGAAAGATCAAGTGCTGCCTCGGTGTGTTTATGCGTTATTTGGTTTCAGAAACAATTTACAAGAGGAGTCCGGAGACATCAAATAGAAATAATTAACTAAATTTCCTGCAGCTTTGAAGCATATTCTGCTCCAGCACAGCATATATCTGTGCTGGTGTACTCTATACATTAAAATACAATATAAAATGGCATATGAAACACTGGCATGATGTACTGCTGCACTATTAAGATGTCTACAGCGTATGAGCTACACTGACAGCAATCTGTCAGATCTTGGTCACGTCAAGAAATTGTCACTTCAGATGGCACTGCGCTCATGCTTCAGGCCGCAGCACAATGCGGGCAACACTCGGCGGAGGTGTCTTCTGGGCAGTTGCCCCAACAATCTCCAGTGCGTCGTTTGTATGCCCGTTCAGAAGCTTTGTGGTCACCTGCATCCAAGCATTCCATACTCAGGAACCAAAGGCACTCCCAGTACTGGGATGTCAATTTGAATGTCATTGTCAAGCTCACAGGGCCCCGCACAACATCCTAAATCTGCATCAGAGCTGCTCGAGCACCACCATTCTCAAGAAGTTGCTACTCCCTGAACTCGAAGATGCTTTGAACATCATGCTTGTTATCCCATCCCATGCATCACGCTTGCAATGCAGCAGGCACCACATGCCATCATTGTTACCGCACACTTTTCTTCCCAGAGGCAAGGTGTTTTTGCGCTGCAGATGGTTCTATATCGGGAACTGTGGAGTTTGGGACTCGAAATTGCATAGCAGGTCAGCACAGAAGCTGCAGGCATCATATTATTATTACTACTACACGCTTTTCCTGCCAAGAGGCAAGGTGCGTCCTGCAGACAAGCTACAGTTAAAGGCTGCCACAATCCTACCCCTCGTTGGACTCGCCAGATCCAAGCAAGAGCATCATATATGCAAGGGGGAATAGGAGATGGAAGCAAGGAGGCACCTGGGAGCAGCCAAAGATGGTGAGCCGCAGCAGATTGGTGCAGCTGTCTGCCAGCACTCCCAGCCACGCCTCAGGGACCCCCCGGCACCAGGACACATCCAGCTCCTCTAAACTCTCCCTACACCCACATGCAGTACCCGGATCAGTCACCATACGTAAGCATTTGTCATCTCCAAAAACACTGAAATCTGAGCTGCCTGCCATATGCCAGACGTCTACTGAAGGATTGATCCTAGACCACGCAATAAAAATCACAATGTTTAGGCCCATGGACCACGTATAGATTAGTGGGAAAGTAACAGATGGGACCTCATCTTCACCAAGTTGTCCTATGCACCATCTAGCAGCATGCTGGGCTAGAACAAAGTCAAAGCGTCCACTCACTTGCAGGAAGTCGCCAGAGCCTTTATGGAGGCAGGCCCCACATGGGCGATGCCAGACATGTTAAGGCTGCGCAGCTTGCCGCTCAGCGTCAGAGCAGCAACGCCCACGTCCGTCACCTTTGTGCACCGCCTCAATGACACTTCCTGCGAGTCCAACAGCCAAAGCCTCACCCCTTATGTCCCACGACCCCTTTGATGGTGCAGAACTTAGCTTCTGCAAAACATGCACCAGGCCGTTGTTAAATGTGCGCTAAAGCCTCATCCTTGATATCCCACGGTTTGTCCCCAACCTTCCTTCAGATTTGCATAAACATGCACCAAGCGCTCGTCATTCCTGCACGTGTACTTGGCTGCCCAGTTCTAGCAGGGTCCCCTGTTTCTGCTTGTCAATTCCTGGCAGCCTTCACACGTCAAATGAGGTTTTCATGCAATGCAATGCAGTGAAGCCGCCTCCTGATGTGGTGATCCCTGTGCACCTGTATATCCCGGCAGGACTCGCTGAGAGCAACCAGCGCTGCGTCAGTCAGGCGGCCGACATCGTCCGCTATGAGCGCCGTCAGCTGCGGGGCGGCTGCCGCCACGCCGCGCACGCCGCGGTCCGTAACGGCGCTGCAGTTGCTCACCCCCAGCCGCCTCAGCGGGCACGCCAGCGCGACCTCCGTCAGCAGGTCATCAGTCACCTGTGACGGCAGCCCTTCCAATTAGTCATGCATTACTCATCCAGTTCCATGCTTTGGGAATGAAGTGTAATAAAGGTACGCCCATACTCCCGCCAATACACACGAGACACCAGTAGCATGCAATATGATCATGCAGGGCCTGAGCCAGCAGTGGCTGTCACCCGATAAACACAGCACTTACTAGGCACCATGAGTATGATATCAAGCAAAAGTGTTCCAGCGCTGAGAGAAGAATTATACAAAGGAAACACACAGAGATGAAGGCACAGCGCACCTCTGTGTCGCCGTTGAGTTCAAGGACCCGCAGGCTCTTGAGGGAGGTGAGGCACTGCTGCAGCGACTGCACGCTGATGCCCCGGCACTCCGTCAGGTCCAGCATCCTGCAGCACCGATCCCCATCTCAGCACATCCTCTGCTGCTCACAATTGCGCTGTTACAGCTCAAAATAAGAATTTCTATATGTTGTGAGACCAGGCAAGTGCACACATTTGCATGTACTGTGCTGCTCAGTACGGTCATCAGGCATGTTTGGCAGGCTGTCACGCCAAACGACTGGTCGAGTGCATGGCCCCCAGAAACGAGCTCTTGTCAGTTTTGTATCACGCGCCTCAGGAGTAAGGTATATGCTTACCACCGGCAGATGCCAGCGATACTTTAATATAGTACAGCTCAGTAAATGCTTCGTAAATGCTTGATACCGTAAGTGCTTAGTAAGGCAAGGCGCTCACTCTAGATTCGGCGTGAGCCGCGCGATGGCGCAAGCGTCCTGCAGGCGGGAGCACTGCGGGAGGCGCAGCTCGGCCAGATCAGGCGCGGCCGCCAGCAGCTTTGCCAGGTCAGCGTCTGTCGTTCGGTACGCGCCCCCCAGTGTCAGGCTCCGCAGCCGGCTCAGCTGGCCGCCCGCCACCATCGCGGCCGCCACCGCATCGCCGAATCCACGGCCGCACAGTCCCAGCTCAAGCCGCTCCAACCTGCTCAATACACGTACAAAATCACTCAAATTAAAAAATCCGAGAAAATCGGATTCAAAGTCAGATTCGAAAAAAACCACGATACTGACCACATGCGCTGGTCCTAGCGTATACCCAAATTCCCTCCAAGCCCTCAATATGAGGCCATTGCATTCGGTCAATAAGCTTCTGGGAAAGCGTCTGGCTGCGAGCCTGCTTGTGCCACCTCTACTTCTCCCTCTCGACCATCGGTCGTTCATGACATTTTTCAAGCAGTCAAGGCCAACGCGAGTCTTTCCGCAGTATGCAAGCAGGTCTCAGGGGCGGTCAAGGTGTTCCTCCAAGCACTCAAGGCCAAGGTAGGTCTTCCTGCAATATGCAAGCAGGTCTCAGAGGAGCGCACCGCGGCGTGGCGCAGGGCACGAGCGCCTCAGCGAGTGTGGCCGGCATGAGCTGAGAGCACTCTGGCAGCACCACTTCATCTGGGCCGTCGTCTGTGAACAGCCGCAGCACCTCCGGAGTCATCCGCCGTGCATCGGCCACCGCCCTCGCCAGCTGCACCTGCCACACCGTAGTACAAACTGTGTCAGATGGCAAGAAGAGTAAAATGTGCGATTGTCAGCTTGCAATGTTGGCAACGACAGGGAAAGCATGCTGATGGCTGCTTCGGCGGCTGGCGCCAATGTTGTTGGGGCTCTGTGATCGGCGCAAGCAGGTCTGCCGGGTCAGAATCTGCGCACTGTGTCAAAAAAGTTTGAATACAAGCACTGGCCCGTGGCGAGCAATTGTGTCAATTGGCAATGAGGATGCCTTGACCTGTTCACCTCACGAGAAATCATCCCTGTCTCTGACTGGAGACGCAGAAATGTGACGGGCTTTACTGGTACATTCACCTTAATCATGGTGGGCATGCCATACAGCGTCTCCACATCATCGATGTACTCCACCAGGACTGCGAGGCACATGCTGAACAACTTCCCGACGCGCGGCGGCACGCGCGGCCCGAGCGCCGGGTCGCGCCGCGGCCGCCAGTCGGCCTCGGCCTCAGCCGCCGCCACCGCCTGAGCCGCCGCGGCAATCTTGTCCTCGCGCGCCGCCGCAGCCGCCGCCCGGCCCTCCACCAGCTGCCGGGCGCTCGACCACGGTCCCAGGGTGCGCGCCTGTCAACAGAGGCGTTCCATAAAGCACAGCAGCAGCCGTATCTGTGTCTGCTTGTTTGCATGAACGTGAGGTGCAAGTGAGGCGTGAGCTTCTAGCGGCAGTGACAAGTGTCGACGACGCCGCGCTAGGGCGCTGTGAGATTCCTTCAAGGTATTTTGGGGAGCTCTGCTGGGGTGTGCGGCACTGAGCAGGGCAGGCATCCAGTGAGCTCACCTCATTGCCTCCTGTGTGTAAATTGTCCTCCTCGGCGCTGTCGTCGGCATTTGCGTAGTGCGCAAAGTGCGCGGCGCGCCTGAGCAAGCACAGCAGATCTGAGCAGGCTGGGGCAGAGGCATACAAGCAAGACATCGTGTGCCAGACTATGCAATTCATTGATAGACAATGTGTTTATAATAAAAAGCAAAGTAGCACATGAATCACACATGGAAATATGCCTAGAAGAAAAAGGCCAATTTGACGGCATGGATGTATACCGGCGTGCTGCTGCCGCCCATCCTGCTCTTCGTTGTCCGAGTGCATCAGGTGCTTGCACAGCCTCTTCTTCAATTACTTGTTGATTGGGATCGGCATCTGCAGCATCCTCACCAGAAGCCTCAGGTTGATCTGGTGCTTCATCACCTTCTGCAGCCTGTCTGCCCCGTTTCCGACCAGCCCTTTGGGCATTGTCATCCACGGCTGCTTTCTTATTGCGAGCCATCATATAATTTACTGGACAAGATTTCAGCTTCGCTGGTTCCTCTTCCCGCGTGCCCGGAGCTGATCTGTTCTTAGTCAGGATTACGTGGCGTCCTGCATGCATCGTGTGTTGAGGAGATAATCTTATGGCCTGTATGTTGGAGCTGCGCATGTGCAAAATCCTTTGAAATTGATTGCTACATGAGCCGCACAATCTGTAGGGCATCATGAGGTCTCCAATGTGCAGAGGCCTCAATGTCTCCATTGAGCACCTCGCGAGGCGAACGCTCTGATCATGTCACTACTTAGCTGGCACTGATATGGCATAGCTATGGGGACTGATTCTGAAAAATTTCTGAGGTGAGCTGCATATCAACTCTGATATATCTAGCATTTTTCTAAGAAATATAGAACAGTTATTTCTGAGTTATATAGCACGAGATCACAGCGTTCTCTGCTGCCAGGTTCTATACGTCTGGTCAATGTTCTGCAAGTGAGATCTGGGGGTGCTAAGTAAGTAGAACTCAATAAATAGAAATGGCGCTAAAAACTGCGGCACTGCTGCCCAAGACGACCTTTAAAGCATGGCAGTGTCTCAATGAGATGCCCCGTGCTTCTGTCCTCAGCATCAATAGAGGACAGCAGTGATGGCTGATAATGCCTTTCCCACTACTTACTCAGGTATGGAGGTGCATTGTAGGAAACGGTGCACATTGTTATCATCTCCAACTGCCAGTATACTCATGCGATCAAAGACAGGGACCTTTCTGCCAGCTACTTGGCTGGTTTCTTTGCGCCCTCCTCTGATTTGAGACCTCCCACAGGAATGCCCTTCTTTTTCACACTGCATCAAGCACACCACAAACCTTGTCAGACGGAGACCACAACAGCGTGATGAAAGCAGCCATCCAGGGATGTCAAAGCACAAGAGAGTGCATAACAAAAGACTCCTTGCCTGAAGTTGTCGCCATAGCCGATGTATCTCTTTGGCCGCGTCTCGGTCTGCTCCTTGGGGCTCAAGACCTCAAACTTCCAGCCATGCCTGTTGCAGAAAGCCTCTGCATCTTCCTGAGAGTGGAAGTTGAGACTCGCGCGGTGCACATTCTCCAAGGGGTCTGCAGTTGATGTCCAGCCGATCAGCGGATTTTCCCACCTGCAAGTACAAGAAGTCTATTTCGGTGATTGAAGCGCATGATGTAATCATCCCTTGCAGAGTTAAGCTCAGCACATCAGCCATGGATCAAATATGAAAATTCTCCCATGTGTATGTCAAGCCGTTGTTGGTATCAGCCCAAAGGTCAGCAGGAGGAAGCCTTTCTTACTTCTGCTGAGTCTCGAACATAAGCTTCCAGCCTGGGCCGTTGCTTGCAGCTCCAAGGATGTTGGCCTTCCCTTGCTGGCCAGCTGTGCGAGCAGGCGAGTATATGAGCACCTGCACGCATACAAAAGCTTTCAATACTCTTCTCTCTTTGGGCTCAAAGCACTGGTATGGATGGGATGCAAGATTTCGCCAGCTGTGCGTACAGCAAGCTTCGTTGAGAAAATGTCTTGATGTTATGTTGTCCCATAAGAAACAGGGTCTCTGCAGGAAATCAGAGGTTACCTTTCGTGCATATATTTCAGTTGGGGCGCCTGAGGCAATGCCAATCTCGCCACTGCTCAGTACTAGGCCTTCTGTCGAAGTAACATCCCCAGCAAATGCTCGCACTGGGTGCACGCCCCGCAGCTGTAACAGGGTCACAGCTTGGCGAACACCCCTCATCATGTTGCCAACTACAAGCTTATATGCAAAGTTGATGCTTCACCAAGAATCTTATTGCAGATTCTTTTAGTCCTTCTCACGTCTTGACCTACACACAGGTGCTGGAAATTGTGGATTCCAGCTTCAATCCTTCAACCTAGACTGTACCTTACGGCACCGTTACTAATGCATGTCGACCTGCCAAGCTTGGGCCCAGCAAACGGGATCTGATTGCTAGATAATGCGATTGCAACTTCAAGATCACCCATGGGGGATTCTTCAACGTATGAAGTGGATCCTGCCATGTCAGGGCTTTGTGTCAGATCTTCATCTTAGCAAGGCACGCCAGTCTGGTTTTCGGCTGCCTATTAAAGATCACAAATCATTTACTAGATCACACCGAGATACTAGATCATCTCTTAAGTTTGTAAAGGAGCGATCTAGAGTCGTAAGGGTGAAAGCGTCCTTTTACACGGTGCTCCAAGTTGACAAACTTGCCAGCAAGGAGGAGATCAGGAAAGCATACAGACGACTCGCACGCAGATATCATCCTGATGTAGATGGGACGCCAGAGGCCCAAAAACGTCTCCAGGTGCTGATACCTGCATGCTTATCCCTTCCCCCGCTCCTTACCAGCTAAAAGTCTGCCACTTACATTACCAAAGCTTGCAGGCCGTCATCGCAGCATACAATGTGCTGTCAGACGAGTTGGAAAGAGAGCGCTATGACACACTCAGAGGAGCGCCGCCTGGTAATGGCTTCAGAGATGGTGAGCCCCTCATGCTCCATGCTTGGCTCTGTCACATGCATGGTGCATCAGATCATATCTGTCAAGCTGGTCCTCACATAGTGTCCTCTGTACTTTTGAGCAGGTCATGACGGAGACGTCACTGGTGAGGACGCGGTAGTTGTTGTGTCACTGGACTTCCTGGAAGCAGCCCTTGGCAAGCAGCATGCTCTGGAGGTGAACATCCCCTCAGCATCAGCAGCGCATTGCCCATCAATTCATGGAACACATTTCCCGGCAATGAAAGAGCAGCTATTTTGGCAATGCAGCAGTCTTGTGTTGAGCATCTGGCTAGCATGGCAATGCAGTAGTCTTGTGATCAGCGTCTGGCCGTTTTGATTCTTCCAGGTGTCAGTGAAAAGGACATGTCCTGACTGCGTCGGCCTGGGAGCTGCTCCCGGCACGCATCCAGTCTTCTGCAGCCTCTGCAGCGGCCGTGGGCACGTCCGGACCAAGCACACGTCACATGCAGGTACACCCCCTTTCCCTTTGAATCTATGAAGCAACCCATCTGCTTCCGTCTCCACAGCAAGTCTACCGTCATGTCTGCAGAGCGTGTATATAGGAAGATTGATTGGGAGACCCCCTTTGCAGCAGCCCATCTTCTTCATTACCCTTGGCCGTCTTGGGCTCTATATCTTTCTTTGTTAGATATAGCACCCCCTGCTTCAGGTATCAGTGCTGCAGAACATAAACACACAATCCAGCAGGGTGAGTAACAGCAGAGCAGGAGAGGTGGGACACGTGGAGACAAGCAGGGAGGGGCATTAAAAAGAGTAGATCTGTGGGACCCACGTGTGGTGGTAGGCATGTATGCAGACGGCAGTGTAGGGAGATTGAGGGATAGGTGGCGTTTTGCAGGCCTGGCGGTGGCGGGGAGCGCAGCGTGCCCAGCGTGTGGCGCGACTGGGATCGTGCGGCAGGAGTGGTGCACTCGATGCGGCGGCGACGGCCGCGCTCAGACGCGCGTCTCCGTCAACGTCTCTATCCCCGCCGGTGCGACCACCCTTTGAGCTCTGAACACAGGGGGTACTAGATTTTTTGTATAGTCTGTAGTGCCGTATTTAGCATCCCCTGTTGAACAGAGGTGGTGGACTCGGCTTTTGCTCCTGCGTAAGCATCAGGCTGACGTTGACAGCAATGGCTGGAAATGAGTGGTCATACCAGCTAGGCATGACCAGTGATCCAAGAAGGGGCTGCGGCCAACAGCCCATGCTGATGTTTGCAATCCAAAGCTTAGCATGATACTTGTGTGCAGGTGTGGATGCAGAGAGCGTGCTGAGGGTGAAGGGCCTGGGGGACGCAGGCAAAAACAGAGGCGCCACTGGTGATCTGTACATCACGTTTGCGATCAAACCCCGAGCGGGGATTGTTCGGCGCGGCCTTGATCTGTACTCAGATGTGCGCCTCCTTTCCAAAGCACATGTCAGGTTGCAACACAAGGGTGCACTTCCTCGTTTTCTGCCTCTGCGTGTCTTGAGACATTTGGTGTCAAGGCAGATGGCAGGTGGCAAAAGAGGTTCCATCCCCCTGTGTGAAACCCAGTCTCTCGCTTTCGTGGCTAGACAGCCAATTTATGGTTGGCCCCTGAACAGCTTGCATGTCTCTCACACCTGCACTTGCACTTGCAAGGGTCGCCCATCTGTTGTGACTCTTTTCCCCAATACTCATAATATATTGAATATCTCCTGTGACAGGTGATCGTGAGGTACACGGACGCCATCCTGGGCGGCAGCGCGGCGGTGGCGACGATCCGCGGCGAGGCGCGGCTGCCGATACCCCCGGGAACCCAGAACGGGCAGGTGCTGACGCTGCCCGGGGCCGGCATCTCGCCGGGGGCCGCCGAGATCGGCGCTGATGCTGGGCAGCCCGGGCAGCCCCGGCAGCTGGCCGCGGGCAGCGGGCAGCGCGGCGCGCACCACTACACTGTCGTGCTTCTGCTACCCTCCCAGGCGCGGTTTCATCCTTTTTCAAGTTCTGGGGTAGGGAAGTTAGTTTTGGAATGCCAGAGATTGAATGGCTGTGTCGGTATGTCAGGACCATGGCAGGGTGTGCGTGGTGGGCTGCGAGTAAATTGCGATAGCCAGGAATTAAAATGCATGTGAGCTGGAGGATTTGCCGTATCATCCAAGCTATTCTTGCAGGCGGCTTGACAAAGAGTCTCCTTTTATGTCAACAGGTGTCTGATGAAGAGCGCAGCACCCTGCAACGGCTGAGGCAACTGCAGTGTGAGCTGCGCAATGGCGTGGACCTAGGCAGTGTAGGAAATGGAAAAACGCCATGCAGCAGTCAAGGCCAGGGATTGGGGGGACAGCAGACTACACAGGATGCAGACAGAGCAGCAGGCCCAGGGTGGCCAGCAGACTCTGTGCGCCTGTGATGCTGCAAATTTTGAAGAACTGAATCAGATGACTCTGTGACGTTGGATCGAATTTTGCTACACTGGCACCGTGCGTGACCTACAGGCCTAGCCTAGCTGAGCTAGGCCTCTGGCCGACCAAATACGGTTGCCCATGCGTTTGCGCGAGACTGCTGTTAGACTAAATCTTCAATGAGGCTTTAACAATGATTACGAGCATGGAAAATTGTGAACATGTTGAAAAGCAATGGTGGATCAGTTCTTTCAGGAGGACTGATGGAATGCACGTGTGAAATTGCCAAGTCAGCGATTGCCTTGATAGCTTCTGCAGGTGCACTCCTTTCCCACATTCCAAAGTGTGCGGTGTTTTCGAATAACAAAAATCACGACGACAGTTGCGTGGCTGCGGACGTAGATTTACTTGAACAGCGGTGCAAAAACCTTGACCTGAAGTATTGATCAAGATGCGCTGACGGAGCGTATTGAAATAATTTATTACTTATGAGTGGGTAAGGCCGCACTTCATACTTGAACAAATATTTGATTCCCTGCTGAGTTGTTTGCCTCGACCACTTTCGAGCACCATCTGCTGTCTGACAACAGGACTTCCACCCTGTTGCCCATCCTTGGAAGGAATACAGAAGACAACAAAAGACGATCTCCTGCAGCAAGATTACTGCTTTGGAATGGGATCATTTTGATTCTTTTTGGTACGCTTCCCCCCGAGCACATAATTGCTTCAGAGTGACTTGTGCCTTGTCTTTCTCCTGGGTTTACCTCCCCATGATTGGTCTGGCAGGTGCATTCTGCTGTTATTTTCCACATGTTATAGAGGGATACCACCCGCACAGAAAAGGGGAAGATGAAATCCTGGCGTCTATTCAATGGGGTGGTGTCTTGCTGGCTGTTATTGGGGCCCTGTACACGCTTGCAGGTGGCCTGAATCTCCAGGTAGAGGATCCCTCTTGCCCAAAGGTCCACAATATGCAGTAGAATCTTTCACCTTTCATCTCCCTTAATCTCTTGATGCTCATTCTTCTGCCATGACGCCACATGTGCAATATCTGCATGCAGGGATACATGCATGGCTTGCTAGTGCATCGTTTCACTGTGGCTCCGCTGCTTTACTTTTGCTACCATTTCGGCAAGATTTACTGGGTTGAATTTGTTGCTTACATCGTCATTGATCCGCCAATGGCAATCGCAACATACTGGTTGCACCGGAAGGATGTGGCGCAGCTCACCAGCAAACGAAGATAGACAACAGAGCATGACAAGGGGTACGGGGGTGTCTGTGGGACTGTCAGCTGCTATTCTTATATTTCAATATGTGGCAATTACAATGCAGATTAGCTAGTCATGACTTATGGTAGCTGCGAACAAAATTGCAGCTGGTTCCCAGGTGCCATCCAGCAGCTTTATCAGGCACATCTCAGTTGGAATATTACTTTGCCGCCGGCGCTCGCCAGAATCAGTGTATATACATATATGGCTTAATCTCTTCATTGGCTGCAGCTAATTCTGGGTCTTGCGCATGTCACTGTAGTACCCTGCAGGCAAAGGAGGGGCCATTCCTGAGAGATATGAATGGCTTCTGCAGAAGTGCAGGGCCCTGATATGCCTGTAAAATAAGGAGAGGAACGCTTTCCTTGCGAAGTCCACACTTCTGAGATTTTAAAAATACTTTGATCTGTCAGGGTTACTGCCAGAATGTGCAGATGCAACGTATCAGGCTGCGAATTAAAGATTACTCCTTCTTTAAATCATTAATGCCAAACTGCAAGACCATAATACACCAATTATGGCTCAGGAGGTGTTGATCCAGTGACATCCAATGCGGTGCCGAATACTCGCCTGTCACGATCTTCTGGTAGCCTCGTCTAGTGCTTCCTTGGATTCGAAAAATTCGAGTTTCGCAGGTCTTCGTCGGTGACCGTGTTGCTGATCTTGTATATCAAATATCCTGTCACCAGGAACCCGACAGCAAATGGCCACATGTGCGGAGCCTCCCGTGCGATGGTCTTGTACACAGGCTCAGCCTCCCACGGGTGTGGGGGTGCCTTGCTGTGCTTGTGATGCAGCAGACCAGTCGTCATTGTCGCGTCAAGAACCTGATCAGAGCTGCTCTGTTCCTTAATGCATGAATGGACAGAAATAGCTGCCCTAGACAATGACATAACCCCCTTTTTAAAGGGTCAGGAGAGATTGGCAGATTTCAAAATCAAAATTTCAAACCCACGAAGGGCCATGCAGCTTCGTAGTCATGTCTTGGTTGCAGAACATGCCAGACCTGCCTCACTCACTGCTCCACCGTGAGGTCGCTTGTGTGTGTCACTTGTCTGTCAAATCCAAACTACATGCATCCATGCATTATGCAACCGTGAGCCCGCACTCAGTGCCCCAAAGTACCATTGATATCTCTTCATATGAGCAAGCAATGCTGTTCAGCAATCAAGAGCCCAATACTGTCCGGGATGAGCTGAGTCATGGTTATGGCTGATTGCAAGCTGCGCCTTTTGTCGCCAATACTTTTCATATACTCTGTGGCAACTCAATGTGCAACAATGTGTCTTACTTAGATCATCGCCGTCCCAATCAGCATAGTATTTCAACGGAGCACATCACAGGCTGAAATACATGCTGATAGCTTCCGCAAGTACACCAAGACGGAGCTGGTGTAGAATACGGTATTCAGAAACCCAGTAACATCCAGTGGCACTACGTAGTATTCGCAGAAGCTGCACTAGTGGGCACAATTCAGTTCATACCTAACACACCAAAACATCTGCTGTATATTCTCTCCTGCAGGTAAAAAGGTATCTGCGCAGGCTCCGCAAACAGTACAGTACTGTGCAAATATGGGTACCTCTTCAAAATTGTATACCCTGAACACACCGAAGCTCAATGTTGTACATTTTCTCCTGCTGGTCAAAGGGTGTATCTGTAGGCTCCACAACAATTTTGCTATTATGTAGAATTTCTTCTTATATAATACTTTAAAAAGTATAGACGATTATAAGCGTGTCAAGTCCCCAGCTGCGGCTGTGCAGCTGAAGCAGCCAGATCAGCAGCCACGTTGCCCTTCACATTTGGCACTGCCAGCCTGCAGTGATGCTTGCGGTGCTGTGTCCAGTCAGCTCCCTGGCAGTCAACGCTGCAGTAGAATGTGGACCGGCACCTGGCACACTTGCGCCAGCAGCCCAACAGCTTGCAGCGGTGACACTGGGCCAGCTGTGTGCTCATTAACCTGAACACATCTTTGCCCACCTGCACAAGCAAAAGACCCCTCAAACATAATTACTTGTGGTGTCTGAGACCAGGCTGCAAGCTCTTCATGCATGCACAGGCCCATGGCATGCTTGCCTGGAGGCACATAGTATCCCCTCTTGAAAATACTAGTAGCCAACTCCTTGTCAAACCTTGTGGGAACTTCTAGCCTGGAAGAGCAGGTCCCTGTGTCCTACCTCTCAACAACAAGGGCATAAAAGTGACAGCTCATGGGAGGAATAATTTACCTGCACGAAGTTGACATGATAGACCATGTCCAGTAGTTTGTTCAACTGGTCCTCAGTCATTGCTGCTCGCGCATGCAGCAGCTCCAAAACACATGCAAGCTGTCCCCACAAGCCATCACTGACATCAGTACTTTTATCAAGTTTATATGAGATCGTCCTCAGAAAGTAATCAGCAGCAAGTCACAGCTCTGGATCAGAAACGGGTGGCGTACAAGTGTTCCCGGGAGATGCTCACCAGAAAAAGATCAGCAGCTAGTCACAATACCAAGTGACACCAATGCAGGGCAGATCTCCTTCCATGAGACTAGAGTGATCACTTGCTTGAACAGTTCCTAGCCTTTAATCTGTATCCATCTGTAATTCTGCTGTTTTCAAGCTCCCCAGCTCCTGTTTTTGCAGCTCGATTTACTTCTGGGCAGGCCAGCTGCGCAAGAGTCAGGCAGCAGCTGACCTGATTGCAGCCCATTTGGGTGGCTGATGTTCTCCACGGGACTGCCCAGGTAGCAGCATCTTCTGCACCGGGGAAGCCGGCCATGTCAGAGAATTCAACGGCAGCCGCCAGCGCATTCTTGTACCACCTGTTTAGAGGGAATGGCTCCTCCCGCGCATCCACCCCTGCATGACAGCAACACCTTCCTTTAACCTCCTGATACAGCACATGAGCTGTTAGGCAACTGCATGACAGGCATACTTGCGTACATTTCCTTTGCCTGTTGCAATTGCATCCTGTGTGGTGGCGATCAGAAACCCGGACAAGTGACTCTCACGAGAGTGCTTTCTGGCAAACAGAAGGGCTAAGAGTGCAAGTGAGTAGATGAATACTCTGCGGAGAGGAGAGGAGGCACACCTTGTTCAAGCAGCAGACGGACAGCAGCAACATTACCGACGCTGGCAGCGCTCATCAGCAGGGAGAGCGACTCGGTCTCTCCCGGCCGCGGTTCGCGCACAAACTCGCGCCCGGACAGCTGCCCGCCGGGCAGCCGCGCCTCGGGCGTCAGCAGCAGGTGCTCTGTGGAAATCTTTGGAGTGAGCCGCAGGCCGTTCTCAAACAGCGCTGCTAGGATACCCGGGTATTTGAACGTGACTGCAGTGAACAGTGGCGTTTGGAAGGGTGAGCGGTCCACATGGCGCTCCAAAAGAGGCGCCATTTCCAGCCCCTCTCTCCTGCGCATGCCAAATGCGGAATAAGCGTTTATATGCATAGCAGAAACAAATCCCTTTCTTGCACTTGTGTGCAGGTCTGGCAGGGAATTTGACGGACATGCATGCAATATTCTTAATGCAATCACGAGAAGCAACATCTGATTGCAGATGGCGCAGTGCATGCAAGACATGCATGCACACACTTGATAATGAGCCACAAATACACGGACTGAGAATTGAGTGCTAGCTGTGGGACGAGCACATGGGCACCTGCAGGCGGCCGCTACAAGCTTGACAGTGCTCTCATGGCCCCAAGCCACGGCCCGGCCCAGCACTGTCAAGCCATGGTCGCTGTCACGCTCTGTCAGCGCGTCAGTCAGGGCTTCGTCGCGATATTGCAGCAGGGTGAAGATGAGTGCAAAATTGTCAGCCCCGTCTCTCTGCGCCCATGCACACATGGCAGTTCACCTCGCATCCTAGCAATATGACCCCCCTTTCACGGCGTAAGATCCTGCATGCATGATGACGCTACTTGGAACTGTCAGACCTCACTCTACTAAGCCTGTCATGCAACAAATTCATTGTATATCACGGGTAGTGAAGGCAAGCGCACCGAGCATGCAATCCTCAGTGGAGTGTCGCCGGTGTGCACGAGGTTGACGTGCATGATTTCCGCCAGCGAGAGGATCACTTCGTCGGCCTGCTTCATGACTGACCGCTGTGCCAGAGTGAGGCCTCCGCGGCACGGCCGGTGCAGGAACTCAAGCACCGCCGCCCGATGCTCCTCCTGAGCATGCAGCCTGAGCAGCTCTCTGGTGAGATACGAGGTCACCGAGGCGCCCTCTGGCTCATTGTATCGGCCCATGGCTTCCCACAGGGCTGACTGCTTGTCCCCACAGATTCCCATAATGTCAGCCCCCGCTTCAATCAGCATCTCGCACATCTCCACATTGGAGTGCGCAGCCGCCGCCACCAGCGGGAGCTCCCCTGATGGGGAGGGGCGATTGAGCAAGTCGGTGTTCCCAGACTCCCGGAGCAGGGTGAGCAGCGCAGAGACGGCCGGTGCGCAGCTGTTGAAGATTGCCCAGATGAGGGGCGAGGTTGGCGGGGGATTGGGGCCCGGGGGTGTCCTGCCAGGCCTCAAGGCTGTGGGCCACCACCGCTGCTGCGTGAAATACACCCCCTCTCTCTCCATGTGGAGTGTCAGCAGATCTGCACCGAAACCCCAACCACGAAGCCCTCAGATATTTTCCTGTGCGTCCCAGCAATGCCCCACAAAATAGTAGCCCCCACGCACATATGCACACTCTCTTTCTCCCACCAATGGCAAGTTCATGTTTGCATGCTCGGTGTGTCCTCCCCGGTGTCACAGCAGCAAGCACGCATGTCGGAGAGAGAGCTTACCAAACTGATATCCTACCACGCGGAGACTGTGGGGCTGCATTGGGTCGTCCTGGTATCTGTGCAGGCAGCAGTTGAAGAAGAGGGCCATGAGCACGCGCCCAAGGGGCAGCAGGTAATCCCCACGCTGCAACGCATGCTTCACTGCTGCCACTGCGTTGCCCACTCTGCACACGCGGCCTATGGGCATATCCAGTAGACCCACTCGTAGCGCATCCAGGGACACCCCCAGATCCAGCAGCTGCGCAGCTACCTGCAAGACAGGGCAGAGAGAACTCGCAAGCTGCCACATTTGATATCTTTTAAAGTTTCATTTCAGGATGAGCTGCGCATTCCAAGCTGAGCCTGTCTTTCCCCAAAGTGTTCCCTGAAATCTCTTGCCCCTCCTAAGCGTCGCCTGTTACTTGATCAGGCTTGGCGCAAGCAAAGGAAACTTGCTAGCTGACTCTGCGCTCCAGTCCTGCCCAGAGATCCCATGCCGCAGGTTCAAAAGTGGCTGTGAAGAGGCAAGTCAGTAACTTCTCGCCCCTCCGCGCTTGCATCGCGGCCAGGAGGGCATGCGTGGGATGCAAGCTCTCCCCCTCGTCTCCATCCAACACACGGTCCACCGCAAATCTGGCGAGCTGTTGCTGCAAGGTATCTGCCGAGCCATGTGCAGCGTACAGCCGCTGCAGGAACTCCGCAGCCTTCTGGAAAAAGCTTTGCTGCCCACCGGCCTCGCTGCAGCAGTACTGGGCAGCCCGCAGCTGAACACTGCTCGCATGCACCGCCCCCAAGTTGATGGTGGACATGCGGTCGTCGGATGCGAGCGCGTTCCAGAGCCCGTGGTCCCCGGCCGCCGCGGCAGTGGCGAGCCAGTGACAGCGGCACGCGTCTGCAGCGTTTGGGTCGGCTCCCAGGGACAGCAGCAGCTCAAACATGGGCAATAGGGACGCGCATGTCAGTGGAGTTGTTGCCGGTGGCGGCTCTTGCGCGTCCCGCGGGTGGCCGCAGGTGTGCTTCTGCTTTCTGCGCAAAGACAAGTACCTTTCAGGCCTCCCTACCTGCAGGAGGATGAGTGCCATCTGCATCTTTTACAGCAGCAGCTGCCCGCTGTTCTAGATACTATTCATCTCAAATGCATGATTGCCCAAGCATGCCATGAAAGCATGGCAGGTGTCAGCATGCATGTACCCTTCCTGTTGTAGCTCTTGCAAGCAGTGCACCAATCTAGCACTTACGAAGCATGAGCACCTGTCTACACCGTCAAGCCAGCTGCACCGCTTCATGGCCACAGCCAGCAAGGGTGTGACTCCGGTGCCCCCTGCCCTGATGTCCACCGGCAGGTGTTCGCCCTGCACCAGGAAGCTCACCATCTGCTGCTGATTCGCCAGCGCCTGTGCACAGCAACACAAGCCCCATATTAAGCTTTGAGCCGCATCAGGACAATGCCAAAACCCTGCATTTATTTTAGCACTTAGGAGGGTGTAGATGGACATACCGCAAGGTGTAGGATGCTCAGCTCTGCACCATGCAGCGGCTGTATGCACATTTCTGGGTTGGTTTCACAGATGTTTTCGCTTTTGCCGATGAAACGAGTCTGCGCCTTCTTTGGGAGCCACTTGAGGTCTGCTGCATCCCAGCCTCCTGGTTTCCATGAGTAATTCCAGGAGATATATTTGTCAGCTCCAAACCCCAGGAGCACCTCAGCTGCAATACAGCAAGACCTAGGTCAGGTGCTGCTGAGCGGGGACACTGTTGCAGAGGTAGGAGACATCTTGCTGCGCATTGAGAGTGCATAATTTTGAGGGCATGATGACAGGAGTCTCCTAGAGACAGAAATACCATTGTGCAATAAACCAAGGAGCTGCGCCGGAAACTTCTGGCAGATCAATTCTGACGCAAATTGCGTGATCTATAGCTTGAAGACGGCGTGTCTTTATGTTCAAAGGTGGCAAATCGAACAGCATCAACTTGCCTGCCTGGACGTTCCCAACAATACTAGCAAACTGCAGCAGCGACAAGGTTGTCTCCGGCTCCTGGTAGATAGCGATGTCCCTTTTGCTGTGACCTCTCAACAATACTTTAAGCCTCCCATGCTTATCGTCCATGATGCAAGCCACAAGCTTTCGACCTACGTCTTCCGAAAGTCTTTCCTCAGGGCTGGCGATGTCACTCTTCTTGGGGCGCAATCTGCCCATCCCCGGCGCGCATTTGACAACTGACTCACTTAATCAAATGTCTGGGAAAATCACCGTCCATCGTTACCCATCAATCAGCAAAATATCCGACAAGAAAAGACCAGTTTGCGAGTTCAGCAATGGCATGAAGGACCTGTGCAGAGGGAGCTGTTCATTCCAGCACGTACAAGTCTACAGTCAAGTATAGTAGTAGAAGGGGCAAACCGGAAAGGTGTCAGTACAGTATGATCGTCGCAAGTGTAACACGATCCTTAAGTAGAAGTTGAGCCCTGCTGGGCGTGCTGCGTCCAATCCAGTCATTACGCAGCTTCCACCAGCTGGTGCACCTATCAGGCAAGGAAAGGTGTTGCATGTCTAAATCTACATTGAACACTTGATGTGTGCACATCTCGACCTTTATATCTACATCTACATCATGAATCTATCTCTGTTGCAACAAATGTATGCCGGCATCATGATGATCATTCGCATGATGTTTTGGAATGCATGAGACCCGCCGTGGCCGAGCGTGTTAAATTAAATTGTGGCCACTGCTAAAGGTGATCAAATATAGAATTACAAGTGATCACGCATGGAAAGCCAATGGATCTGTCATCTTTGCTGCAGCTAGCAGCTGCCTGCAATCTACAGAGCACTAGCTGAGATAATTTTAAAAAGAGCTCAAAGTCAAGCTATATCTTAGAAACTGCTGCCATAATGGTTAAAAACCATGTGTTGAATTCAAGATTGGATTCCTACGCAACTGAGTATCATACTGAGCCCATCAATATGCAGTGAATTGCATTTTGTGTGGGAAAAGCTGTTCTATCTAGAAGCGTTCAGATCTGGCGTGCAGATCACAATTACAGTCCTTGCAGCTTTCAGAGAGCTGCATATTCTAGGAGCTTTCATAAAGCTGACAGATTAACACACTGATGCGGAGGCCAACTCTCTAATAGTATAGACGTTCACCTCAAGAGCGGTCAATTTTGATATAAGGCATTAGTACAGAAGGCCGAAAAGGCACTATCATATTCCCAGGGACATCTGCTCGGCCGCAGACACCAAATCAGCAGCCACAACGCCCTTTGCATTCAGCTTGGGAGGCCTGCACAGCTGGCGGTGCTGTGTCCAGTCAGCTGCCTGGCAGTCAACGCCACAGTAGAACGTGGACCGGCACCCAGCACACTTGCGCCAGCGGCCCACCAGCTTGCAGCGGCGGCACTGCGCCAGCTGCTTGCTGAAAAATGCAAAGATCAATGCAAAGATCTTGCTTTCTGCCTGCACCAGTCAAGGCAACATAAACCTCAAAAGCTGTTTGCTTTTCAGAATTGAACGGCCCCTATTCTGGACTCTGATATTTACAGCATGCAGTTCATTTGCACCATAAAAGGTTCCTTGCTGAGGTATGACGGCTAGAAAGAGTGTCGTGATATTTACCTGACTCGCACCGAGATGGTAGACTAGGTCCAGTACTTTGTACATCTGCTCCTCGGTCATCGCTGCTCCAGCCTTCAGCAGCTCCAGCACACAATTCATCTGCACCCGCACCAGGAAGAAGCTGAATGTTTTGCCTAGTCACACGTCGGGCTGTTTTGATGTGCTCCAGCCATTTTCTGTTGAGGCCTGGCATAGTTGGAACATTAAGTCAACCTCAGAAAAGCATGGTAAGGAAAATCCTCCCTTGGAGTTGTGCACGCCTTATGGGCAGCGACGGGGTGTGTATGTCACCACAATGCATAACTTGACACACCTGTTTCGGACCCATTTTGCTGGGGCCACCGTCAGAGGGCGCTTCTCCACCAGGCAAACCGGCCAGGTCGGGGAAATCAATCGCGGCCGTCAGCGCATTCTTGTACCACCTGTTGAGAGGGAAGGGCTCCTCTCGGGCATCCACCCCTGCGTTCACCCCACACCAGTGCGTTGCAACCCCGTTATGCACACATTGAATGCAATGTAAACATATTGATCAGATGGAAAACATGCCATGCAAATTCTCTTGCCAAGTCTGCTCGAAGAAAAGGTAGGCCCTCAATCGATGCTGTAACAGACGTTGGTATAACAGTGTGAAACATGCAACGTGCAATCTAGGCATTGAAACTTACATAAATGCTCTTAGAAAATGGCAGTAAGGTGGCAAGGTACCGCACCCTCCTCAAGCAGGAGGTGGAGGGCGATTGAATTGCCGACGCTGGCCGCGCACATGAGCAAGGACACCGACTCGGTTTCTCCCGGCCGCGGCTCGCGCACAAACTCGCGCCCGGAAGGTAGTAGTTGGCCGGGCCGCCGCCGGCCCGCCAGCTGCGCGGCAGGCGATAGGAGCAGGTGCTCTGCGGCGACCTCAGGTGTCAGCTGCATCTTGTTGTCCAGCAGCAGTGCCAGCACGAGGGAGTACTTGTGCACGATCGCAGCAACGATCGGCGTGTGGAAGGGCGAGCGGTCAACATGGCGCTCCAGAAGGGGCGCCAGCTCCAACCCATCTCTCCTGCGCAATGAACAACCAAGCTTCTTTCATAGTCGACAGCTAGTGCTTCCACCCTTGGCCCATCACAACCTGGTACAAGTGCCCATTTTTCTACAAAGACGATTCACCCATGAGGAAGCCATGAATTTGCCAATCCTACAGGAAAAGTCACACCAGGCGCCTTCCTTGTACTGTTTATGTGGCTGAGCCAGAGCATGCATGTCCAGGCCTCGCACCCCAATATGTACAGGCCTCTACTCATGCAAAGGAGTGTCAAGACGGCTAGAGAATGGGAAAGAAAAAAATCATGCGCACCTGCAGGCAGCTGCCAATATGCAGACAGTGCCCTCATGGCCCCAAGCCACCGCCTGGCCGAGCAAAGTGAGCCCGTGCTTGCAGTCTCGCTCTGTCAGGGCCGCGGCCAAAGCTGGGTCGTTCCTCACCAAAGCTCTGAGGAGATCATCTTTCGCGTCCCCAGTCTCTGGCCTCTGAGCATCACCACACAGCTTGTTCAGTGCAGAACTATGTCGCACCATGTTGATCAGGAAGGTGAGAGGCACCGGAAACGAGCACCAAGCGCAGCGCACCTCGCATACAGATCTCAAAGGAGTGGGCCCGGACTGGACGAGATTGAGCTGCATAGGAAAGCTGGCCAGCGCTTTAACCAGGTAGTCTGCCCGCTGCATGACTGCAAGCTGCATCGGTGTCAAGCCGCCGAACATAGGGCGGTGCAAGTAATGCACGACTTCTGCTCGACGCCGTCCGAGTGCTTCCGATAGCTTATTGACGAGCAACATAGCCACAAGCGGGCCCTTCTGCTGATCATTGCGTTGCAGTATTGCCCAAAGTGGACAGGCCCCGGAACGGTCTGAGGCCAGTACATCAGCGCCCGCCCGAGTCAGCAATGTGCACGTGTCAAGGCTGCCTAGTCCGGCAGCATCAACAAGCGGAAGCTGGCCGTTGGGGTCGATGCGATTGATGAAGTCTGTATCGCCAAGGGTGAAAAGGGCAGCAACAAGCGCCAAGCTTGCCAGCAGCCGTAGCTGACTGCCCAGACCAGGGGCGACAAAATCTTCTCTGCGCCAAAGGTCAGTGGCGCCCACAAATGCTCATCCCTGAAGTCCAGCCCATCGTCCAGCATGAAGTGCACCAGCTCAACTGCATCGCAACACAACGGTCACATCACTTCGGCAGTCTCGTGCCAGATCACGCATCTGACTCCACGCCTGAGTTTTAAAAGCCTTGAGCGCCACATGCATCACCGTCTCTTGAATATCCTCCCGCAATGTGGGCGCCTCTCTATTGACCACCAGGTTGGGGAGCAGGTAGTGGGTCTCACCAAAGTCTTTGGTCGCTTCATCATTGCCATCTGCCGAGTACTGGAGATAGAGGCAGCTGTTGTAGTACAGAGCCATGATGACTCGCCCAAGGGGCACTAATGGCTGCCCACCCCGCACCACGTGCCGCACTGCTGCGAGAACATTACCAACCGGGCAGTTCCATGCGTAGCCGACTGATAAATCGTTGCCGCCTATCCGCAGGCAGTCCAGGGACACACCAACTTCCAGTAGCTGTATAACAACCTGCACACCAAGAGCAGACGTGTCTTTCAGGAATTTTGTTGCGCCCGTGAGAGAATACACACAAAAACAAGGCAGGGAGATCAGGAAATTTGATGGGCATGCAAGCTAGCACCTATGTAGCTTGAGCACTGCGCAAAAGCCTGCTAGCTTGCACCCGTGTCCTGTTGAATGGTGCTAGCTCAGTCGCATCAAGACATATCCATGTTGGGGAACGAACCATACTGCAGCGGTAATTCTATCACGCTCCCTAGATAATTGAATTGAGCCTGCGGGACGGTTGACAAACACTTTCGAGCTTGCGGGAAACTGAATGCAGGGTCATGAAATACATACATTGCGCTAAAAAAAGCCCATCTTTCTAGTAACGTTGACCGTTTCTGGGGTGGCGGAGACGCAAAATGGTAGCTGGTGCACGTGCGGGAAAGCCCTCTGGGAATTTATTCATTGAACGTGATTTGGAAATGTGCGCGTGCTAAAATGAGCACTGCTGTATCATAAAATGATGAAACGAGCACTACAGTATAATAAAACGAGCACAGTGCATGTACCTGAGCACCCTGGGACCCCACTATGGCGGCAAGGAGTACATGCGCAGACTGCAAGTGCCATCCGCCCTTCCCATCCGACACGAGGTCAGCCGCAGGCCGGCTTAGGTCCTCAAAAAAGTCTTCGGAGGCTCCACGGGCCGCGTACTGCTGCCGCAGGCATTGCAGCGCGTCTGAGAAGAAGCCGACCCGGGCCCCGGGCCGGCAGCTGTACTGCGCAGCCCTGTGCAGCACTTGGTTCGGCCTTAACCTGTCCAACATGGCAACGAAGGAGGCTCCGAGCAGATCCCACAACCCGTAGTCCCCGGCTGCGGCCGCAGCGGCCAGCCAATTGCAGCCGCACTCGTCCACAGCCTCGAGGTTGGCTCCCAGTCTCACCAGCAGCTTGAACATGGGCAGCAGGGAGGAGCAATTCGTAGCGCCAGCTGGCGGCGGTGTCGTTGATGCCGTGGGGTGGCCGCAGGTGTGCGGGTCAAACCTGCGCAAGCACACACACTTCTTCTTTATATGCAAAAGGACTAAGATGTCAACTTGCCTTCTCAAGCATTGCTGTGCGACATTTGCTTTTTGCCTCACAGGATACAAGACGCCCACGCCAACAAACATTATTGACAGTATGGCTCCACCACATAGGCTCTGCATGCCCCTTTGGTCTCATCACTTTCATGGCATTGCAAGCAATGTCCTGACTTGGCAACATTGAATAGGAGACAAGCACCTGTCCACCCCATCAAGCCAGCTGCATCTCTTCGTGGCCACAGCCATCAGCGGAGTCACCCCTGTGACGCCTGCCCTGATGTCCACCGGCACATGCTTGTTGTTCACCAGGAAGCTGACCATCTTCTCCTGATTTGCCAGCGCCTGTGCATGGCAGCATGATTCATCTCAACGAGCAAAATTGGAGAGACTGCATGTGTGATGTTCAGAGTGTCAGGGACGACAGGACCATAAGACGACCAAAAACACAATCAAAAGGAAGGACAGAAGAGGCAATCTGGCACAAAGAAAGTATGGAGCAAGTGCCATAGAATATCATGTCACTGCCTGTTGTACGTCATGAATTATGCAGCACAGAGGCACACACCGCCAGATGCAGGATGCTCAGCCTTGCATTGGACATGGGCTGTAGGCCCATGTCTGGGTCCGCATCGCAAACGCTCTCGCTCTTTCCAACAAATCGGATTCGGGCTTTTGGCGGAAGCCATGGAACATCTTCAAAGTACCAACCTCCTGGTTTCTGAGAGTGGTCCCAATGAACGTTTTTGTCAGTGCCCAAGCCCAGGAGCACCTCAGCTGCAGCAGAACATGCCTGGAATCAACTTGTGTAGAGTATCACAGAAGTATGAGACTATTTTTGGCATAGTATCAAAGCATCACGCAATTATGCAGTTGTGTAAATAATGTGGACCATGGTGCTTTAGCAAAACCTTGGATCTGCAATGGAGGCCGTTCCAAGGCAGATGATGCTATCAAAGAATTGGGGGAAACTCTTGAAATTATATGTGTCATATTGGGTAGCATGCGCTTGCCTGCCTGCACGTTGCCAGCAATGCAGGCAAATTGCAGAAGCGATAGCTTTGTCTCTGGCTCCTGGTAAGCGGCGAAGGCTCTTCTGCTGTGACACCTCACTAGTACTTTGAACTTCCCATGCTTATCATCATCAAGGATACTAGCCACAAACTTTCGCCCTATGTCCTCCGAAAGCGGGTCCTCAACGCTAGCAACTTCAGTATTCCTGGGGCGCGGTTTGCCCATGTCCCGTGGGGGTCGACAATTAAATCATCTGTTCAACTGTCTGACAATATTTATAACTTCGTCAGCCATCCTGAGCGAAGTTTTCCGACAAGTAATGAACGGTAGCATGAACAGGTTTGCAACACGCAGAACTAGGTCACCTTCGCAGCACCTCGACCTTCAACCGAGTGTATAGAGGGACGATGTAGAAGAAGTGACTGCATGCAGTCGAGCATTGCTCAGTGAGCTTGGTGTCCGCTGAATGTCACATTCAGAATGTGGAACTGCTGGGCATGCTGTGTCCAGTAATCGTGCAGCTTCCCGTACAGTGAAGAGCTGAACTTTTGCGCATGATGCAATGCAACATTCATAACTGCAGAATCGACCAGTCACTTAAAGGAAATGCATTCCAGCAATCATTGGGCCAGGTGAGAATAGTTTCCAGCGCTGCAAACCTTGAGGCCGCCCAGTGGGCATGCCTCATCTGCACTGTTATTATTATTACACGCGTTTCCTGCCAAGAGGCAAGGTGCGTCCTCCAGACAAGTTGCAATTAAAGGTTGCCACAATGCTACCACTTGTTGGACACGCCAGATCCAAGCAAAACCCAATCGTGGGCACGGTGCTCAGTATTTCTACCGCCCCCCGGCTGGCGGGGCCATCTGCTTGAAGCTCATAATTATCATGATGATCATGACTCACGGCTCAAGTCCAACATCCAAGTCAGTCCTATATTCAATTTTCTAAAGACAGATTATCTTGTGTGTAGACTGTACCATTCAGTGCGCTCTAACACTGGACTACTAGTCAGTAACCTAGGATGACTACGCAAGCGCTTGCCTGAATCTTGTCCCTAGTGCTGCAACCTGCAACAGAAAGTCATCTCATACGTTCCAAGCTCAACCAGGAAAAACGCAAACTCTTCAAAAGCGTTCATACAGGACCATATGCATACAAGGGGTGCTCACTTCTCTGAATGGAGCGCTACCGCCATTCAGCGTGTCCCTGAGTCACTCAGATGGCGGGCCACTCCCATTTCCAAAATTGTGAAAAATATCACTAGCGTAGAGGCTGAGTACATACTGTACAAATCATCCTGCCAAAGCAAGCAAAGATTTAGACAGGAAGTGTACAGAGGGCTGCAGTGTTCTCCGGTCCCCATGTGCAGGAATTTAGCTGAAGGTGCCAGTCAAACGGCCACGGCACCCTTGATGTCTTGCTTGGGGGGTCGTAGTCTCGGAGGAAATTGGGTTCTGTATCGCTCGGAGCTGCAGTGCTCCCTGTGCAGTGTCCAGTCAGCTGCCTGGCAGTCAACGCCGCAGTAGAACACGGACCTGCACCCGGCACACTTGCGCCAGCAGCCCACCAGCTGGCAGCGGCGGCACTGCGCCAGTTTCCTGCTAAGAAACCTGAATGCGTCCATTCCGCCCTGCATCGATTAACACAACCCCCTTGCTCACCAAAGAAAACCTGACCTGACTAAGGGCAAGTGGGATTCTGGCAGCAGTTTCTCACATCTCCCAAGACAAGGCAGCATTGTCCTGAAAAAGGACATTGCCGCAGAACAAGGCAGCTGCCATCATTCTGAGGTTGTGATTGTCTGAGCTGAGCTCAAGCTGTTGCTGGAGATTACTTAAGACGAGAAGATGTACCTCATTATCACTGAATTGGTACAAGGTGTCCACCACTTTGTACAGCTGGCGCTGAGTCATTGCTGCTTGGCATCCATGTGCTTGCAGGAGTTCATACACGCAGTCCAACTGCACCCGTATAGGATAGTGAATCATCCATTGGCCCAGTGGGCACAAACTAGAGGAAGAGGAATGTAGGCATCGAAGCAGGGCGAGCGCCAATTGCAAGGCACAAATGTGTTTCCGCCGGCTAATCATCACCTGAAAGAGAGGCTGGCATGTGAAGTGCATGCACATGATTGAAGGGTGCTGTCACAATCATTTCAAGACTCGCTGAAGCATTCAGAGAGTCACTGCGCAGTCCACTTAGCATGGCAATGGTTTCACCTGACTCTGGCCCATGCTGCTTGTGGCGCCGTCAGGGGGAGAATCTCCTCCAGGAAACCCAGCAAGGTCTGGAAAATCAATCGCGGCCGTCAGCGCATTCTTGTACCACCTGTTGTCCGGGAATGGCTCATCCCGCGCATCCACCCCTGCATTGACCCCATATCAGTCACATTGAAGCCTAGATCTTGCTAAGCAAACTGGCTGTGAACAAGCAACCAAGGCAAGCCCTTGCGGGCAGTAGAGCTCACATATATTACATGCATGGAACACTCATACAGCGCCTGACTACCTTGTCTGGATGCACAACCTGCCTCCTCTCTGATGGGCTCTTTCTCCGCAATTGCACAGAAGGGATGGGACTTGACTGTGTATAACGAGGAATGAGTCAGGAGGTTTGTCACTGCGATGAGAAGAATCTGCACCTGCTTCGAGCAGCAGCTTGACAGCAAGAGCATCGCCAACACTGGCAGCGCACATGAGCAGGGACAGCGACTCGGTCTCTCCCGGCCGCGGCTCGCGCACAAACTCGCGCCCGGACAGCTGCCCGCCGGGCAGCCGCGCCTCGGGCGTCAGCAGCAGGTACTCTGAGGAGATCTCTGGAGTGAGCTGTAGGCCACAATCCAGCAGCATAGCAATTGCGGTCGGGTACTTGTGAGTGATTGCTGTGAACAGCGGCATGTGGAAACGTGAGCGCTCCATGTGGCGCTCCAAAAGAGGCGCAAGCTCCAACCCCTCCCGCCTGCAAACAAGAAGCAATGCGTCTGCTACATGCTCAAGATCTTGAAGTTCTCAGCTTCTGCAAGGGCACTGCATTGTGCAACAAGCTCTTTTTGGCATGGGTCGCAACTCTATCCTTGATGTTCTTATACCTTGTGCAGTGAGCTAGCCAAGTGCATCCTGTAGATGCCTCGACACCCCATGAAGAGAGCACCAGGGGACTTGCATGCAGCGGAACTGATCCAGAGACCGGAGAGAGGATGGCAGTGTGCGCACCGGCATGCACCTGCCAGAATCCCGATGGTGGCACCCTGGCCCCAGGCCACGGCCTGGCCCAGTACTGTCAGCCCATGCTTGCTGTCGCGCTCTGTCAGCGCCTCCACCGTAGCTGGATCGCTCCTTGAAACCAAGACGCAAATGGTTCCCTCCTTCTCCTGCCCAGCCCCCGGCCTCTGTTCCCACAGAACAACTTTGCATCAACCTGACATTGCGGACAGAACATTCAGGGGCACCTTGACCCAAGACATCCAGAGCTTCAGCATGCCCACTATTTCGGGTGCCTAAGTGAAAGACAGCCATAAGAGCAACCAAGGCGATACACAGGAGCCCAAGTGCAACGCACCTCGCAGACAATCCTCAAGGGGGTGGCAGCGGTGTGTGTGAGATTGAGCTGCATGGGAATCTGGGCCAGCAGCTCGACCAAGAAGTCTGCCTGTGCAAAGGCTGCCATCTGCACCAGAGTCAAGCCGCCAGGGCGAGGTTTGTGCAGGTATTCCAGGACCTCCGCTGGCCGTTCCTCGAAGGTCTGTTTCAAGTGCGCCACAAGCAGCCTTGCCACAGGCTCCAAACTTCTGGCATCGGGATGGGCGAGTTGCTGCAGTGGGCACCCGCCGTTGCCGTCGAAACACATCACATGCGCGCCCGCAGCGATGAGCATCGCGCACGTTGCCACGTTGCCGGTCCCGGCGGCCAGGACAAGCGGCAGGCGGCCATCAGGATCTTGGCAATTCACAAAGCCGTACTCGCCCAGGCTGCACAAAACGCTGAGCAGTGCGGAAACTGCCGGCGTGCAGCCGACCATGATGGCGGCGGTGAAGGGCGCAGAGGCTACCTCCTGGCCTTCCAAAAAGCACATGCACAAGCGCTCCTCCCTGAAATCCAGCCCGTTCTGCACCATCAGCTTCACCAGCTCGCCTGCACCACAGCACCGTCGTCAGCACAGAGCTCCCATGTGCACGCATGTGCCAGGGCATTGTCTGCATTACTACGTCAGCAACTAGGGACAGTCCGCATGCAGGCACTCGCGTGAGGAGTTGTCAGTCTCTCCTCGCCATCTATTTGACAATCTGCTGTTGTTCCAAGCTCCCCAACCCCGACTTTGGGCAGGCCATGACATAACTGGCCCCAACCCCCTCTAGCGCTCCTCTAGATTGGGTGGACTGCCACAGCTTTGCCTCCATCTCAGCCCTCGGAAGCATAGAGCCTCTCACCAAATTCCTTCGATGCACCCTCTACGGGTCCGTCCTTGGGGTATGGGTGCAAGCAGCTGTTGATGAAGAGTGCCATGAGGAGCCGCCTCTGAGGCACCAGGGGCTCCCCACGCTGCACCAAGTGGCGCACAGCCACGAGGACGTTGCCAACTGGGCTGAAATAGTCCAAGCCAATGGGAAGGTCCTCCCCATTGATCCGCAGGCAGTCCAGGGGTACACCCAGTCCCAGGAGGTCCATGACAACCTGCCGAGGAATTTCACAGGCATTGGAAAGAATTTTGGCAGATTTAACGGACATAGTGTGGCAGCAATAGACATGTCAGAGTACTGTGAGCGTCACTTCTGAAGCACGAGCATCAAACGCAACCCTGGCTACAGCCACGGTGAGAGCAAATTGCATGGGTGGAAGACATAGGACCTGGGCGCCGCGGGACCCCGTCATGGCCGCCAGAAGGACATGCGAGGGCTGCACTTTCCATCCTCCAGCTCCGTCTGGCACAAGGTCTGCCACAGGCTCGCTGAGTTGCCGCACAAGCTCCTCTTCTGAGGCGCCCTGGTCCTTGAAGATCTGCTGCAAGCACTGCAGCGCGTCCGTGAAGAAGCCTGGCCGGCCCCCATGCGCGGCGCAGCTGTACTGGGCAGCCCGGTGCAGCACCCGATTTGCATGCACCGTGTCCATCCTGATGGCAGCCATCCGCTCAGCGGTCATGAGGGCGTCCCAGAGCCCATGGTCCCCGGCAGCGGCTGCGGCAGCCAGCCAGTCGCAGCCGCAGGCGTCCACGGCCTTATAGTCGGCGTCCAGGTCCAGCAGCAGCTGGAACATGGGCAGCAGGGACGCGCATGTGTCCTCGGCATCTGCCGGCGGCTGATGATCCAAATCGCGTGGGTGGCCGCAGCTGTGGTGGTCAGTTCTGCGCACACGTCATTTTCATTACTATTAGTTTTTATTATCATCAATATTAATTTTGCTGCAGCTTGTCTGCAGGACGTACCTTGCCTTTGGCAGGAATAGCATATAACAATAACAATAACAATACCAATACCAATAACAATAACAATAACAATAACAATGTACTACTAAATGCTTTTCCATGCCAGAGGCAAGGTGCCACTTCCGGCAAGCTGCGTGTAAAGGCTGCCACATATCCTACCCCTTGATGAACTCCAGACAAGACCCAGTCGACCTTGGGCACGGTGCTCGGTATTGCGCACACATGGCAATTTGTAAACCACTGGGCATGACAGCGAGCAGTCGCTCCTGCTCAACAAATAGTCCAAGATCTCTGCAAGAGTTTGACAGGTGCCATGCTGTTGCAACCACTGTCTGCTGTACTTGTGTCTGAAACAGCGTATGCCACGGCCTGTGTTGGCACTGGCATTTGCATTTCTGTGGGCATGAGCCAAAGTAGACACTGAGCATCAACATGCCAGGCCACGCCAGATGTACTGCTGAACTGAGCATAGCAATTCTACCTGTCAATTCCATCGAGCCAGCTGCAGCGCTTAGTCGCCACAGCCATCAGCGGAGTTAGCCCTGTACCTCCCGCCCTTATGTCCACCGGCAGATGCTTGTTTTTGACCAAAAAGCACACCATCTGCGGCTTATTGGCCAGAGCCTGTGCAACAGAGCATTACCATCGACAAAGTGTCATTAAGTGCAACACTGCTGCAACTCCGCCTCCTTGGGAAAAAATCCCTGAAAGTACCGTTATAGTACCTTTCCCTTCGTCTGTCATCATGCCTTCACTGCCAGCCTCATGACCCAAAACACTCTGTGCAAAGCTACGACCAGACACAGTGCAACAGCTTTTATTACAATAAAGGACATAATGACTGCCATGAACATCCAGGAGAGGCAGGAGCACACACCGCCAAGTGCAGGATGCTCAGCCGTGCATTGGACATGGGCTGTATGCACATTGGTGGCTTGGTGTCCCAGATATTTTCGCTCTGGGTAGCAATGCGCATCTGCGCATTCACTGGGAGCCACTTCACATCTGACTGATGGAAGCCTCCAGGTCTGCTTGAGTACTCCCACTCAATGTTTTTATCAGCTCCCAGGCCAAGAAGCACCTCAGCTGCAGCACACCATGCTTCTCATCAGATCCTGTTGAACACTGCTGACCAGCAGGATGCGTGATACAAGAAGAGGGCAGCGCAAGTTGGACAAGTGACCTGGACCTGATCCCTGCTATTGAGAAGATCTTGAATTGGTAAAAGGACCTTGACTTGCTGCCCGTACTCTGGAGCAACTACAAGAAAATTGTTTCGGCACAAAGTTGGGACAATGCACTTGCCTGCTTGTACGTTTCCCACGATGCAGGCAAATTGCAACAGCGATAGGGTAGTGTCCTTCTCTCGGTATGTGGCAACGGCCTTCTTGCTATGACCTCGCAGCAAAATTTTCAATCTTGTATGCTTATCGTCAACAATGCTCGCCACGAGCTTTCGGCCCACTTCTTCCGAGAGCACATCCTCTGCACCTGTATGCTCGTCTTTCCTCGGGCGTGTTTTGCCCATTATTGGTTATCGGCACCTCTGAAACTCCTCTTCATCTCTTAAAAACAGAATGATTATCGTCACCCAGTTAACAACAAAGAGGTGAAGTAACAATCGTAGATTTGAAGGTAGAAAGCCGTTTGGAGCAAAATTTTCTCAGCAAGAAATGCTTCTCCATACAAGCAGTGTAATCAACAGTAAGCTCTGCAGTTGAAGCACCGCCACTCTTTTGCAACTACCAGCCGATCAATGCACTCATTGCTAGGGCTGTGCTTTGTCTGCTGGGTGTGCTTTGTCATGGGTGACATCACCCAGTGGTCATCCATGGGTGGCGACATCAGCATGTCCAGAGACGATTGCATTGTTTTTCTGGTGCCACCGGAATTTCATTACACTCATGCAGGAGGCAAGTAATGTCCTTCGAATTTTGGTAATCCCAGGATTTTTTTTGTGCATATTCGGCCAGTCAGACAGCCAACGTTGGTTAAATATGTAGCAACTGGGCGGCGCTGGCAAATAGTAACTCAATTTAGAACTCGCAAAGGATCAATGCAGGATGCATGCAATCATCCCTTTTCAATGGTGCTGCCCATTGACACTTCCAGATACATGTTATTCATGGGGCCATGCCCACCTTTGTAGATTGCATCAAACCATACATCAACAACTGCACTGTAGACAGGATTAGTTTTGACAAGCCATCAAGAAACCTCCCAAAATTGGCCGGTTTTAAGGGCTGTCCAACTTTACTGAAATGCGCTAAAGGCTGCTCGGCTGGCATGTGCAGACCACTGGCCGTTGCGGTACAGACCTGACACAGTACGGTAACAACAAATCATTCGCCATCAGATCTTGATCTAGATTGAGCTTCAATATTGTCAATGTCTTCGGTCATCACAGACCAGCACTGCTTCAGCCAGTAGCTCAACGGTCCGCCAATTTTACAATGCAATCAGATCTCATAAATTCGCTGGGAGTACTACGGACAAGGACAAATCTGGATCAATGATTTTGTTTGCAGCAATGCATGCCAAAGGAGGATCTGCACCTACATCAACAATGGTGGCACATACTTGGCCCACATGTCTAGACCATGATGATGAGATCTCAAGTATGTGCACATGTCTCAAGTGAGACCTGCACTGCTCTCCCCTGTGCATGCCATTGAAATGTGGGTCAGCTGCAGCATGACTGCACAGCACGACCTGCAAATCACAGCGAATCTGATCCTTCTCTTCACATGCCCAAAGCACAGTGTGTGAGCTTGCGTGGTGGCAACCTTTGAAGGCATGCAATCTTTGACTACAATGGAAAATAGTGCGCCCATACGGCAAGAACTTTTTTCGTTTTTTCTTTCTCTGCCAGCAGGCCAACGAAAGAAAGGCAAAACACCCACCTGAATCTTCTATCGTTGACTGCGTTGGAACTCGCCGGATAAACTGGGTTCTACATAGTCCCGCATATGATGCTGCCGTCATGGCTCGTGCAGTCTGCAATGCTTCCTGTGCAGTGTCCAGTCAGCTGCCTGGCAGTCAACGCTGCAGTAGAACGCGGATTTGCACCCGGCACACTTGCGCCAGAAACCCATGAGCTTGCAGCACCGGCATTGGGCCAATATTTTTTTGAGGTAGATGAGTACTTCCCTCCCCAACTGCATACAGTACAGAATTGCCACACTCAAAAGACTGAGGCTCCTCATTTCTAGTTTACACTCGATCTGAGCCCATCTGCAGTTGCCTTCCAGCTGGCGTTTAAACACAACAAGGAAGCACAGATGTTTGATATAAACAAAGATCATGGGCGCACCTTTGTGTTGCCAATCTTGTATAGGGTGTCCAGCACTTTATACATCTGGTCCTCAGTCATTGCTGCTCTCCTTTGAAGCAGATCCAGCACGCATGTCAGCTGTAAACCAGAACACAACAAAAGATCAGCCGCTGTGGCCACATGCAGAAATGCAGGCCCATGGGCCACTGTTCTCCTCTACAATGCAAAAATGCTGCTGTAACATTGGCGTCCGGTGGCGCCGTTGCTTGCCTGCAACAAGATGAAATGAGTAAGCTGCAACATGTTCCCAATTTCGGTGATCAACATGGTGCAGTGCTCCAGTGGATGTACCTGGGCTCCACCCATGTTGTTCTTGGAGATGTCAGCAGACTCTGCTCCACCGGGGAAGCCGGCCAGGTCTGGGAAATCAATTGCAGCTGTCAGCGCGTTCTTGTACCACCTGTTGTGAGGGAATGGCTCCTCCCGCGCATCCACGCCTGCATGCAATAGTTTTTGCTTTGAAGATGTGACCAGATGGGATCCCGCGCATGAAAAGAAACCACTCGCTCTTGTTGTTGCCAGAAACCTTGCAGCAGCCTATTGTTCTCAGAATGGCAGGCACGGAGCTGGCGTTTCTTGATCAGCAAGGCTGACTCAGCATGACTAATGTAAATGAGACCGCACCTGCTTCGAGCAGCAGCTTTAAAATCTCAACATTGCCCATGCTGGCAGCGCACATGAGCAGTGACAGCGATTCGGTCTCTCCCGGCCGCGGCTCGCGCACGTACTCGCGCCCCGGGGCCATCCGGCCGGACCGCCGCTTTCCCGCCAGTTGCGCTTCAGCCGGCAGCAGCAGGTGCTCTGTAGAGATCTCCGGTGTGAGCCGCAGCCCCTTCTTGAGCAGCAGTGATAGGACACCCGGGTGGTTGTGCACGATCGCTGTGAAAAGCGGCGTGTGGAAACGCGAGCGCTCCCCGTGGCGCTCTAGGAGCGGAGCCAGCGCCAGCTTTTGTCGGCTGCGCAAGAATTAAATCATTGATGCCGATGACTTATGAAAATCATTGTCATAAAGTCTGAAAACTCATAAGTACCCTTGCAATGCTCCTGGTAAAACCACGGCCCCATGGTGCCCCAGAGGAGGACAGAAGATCGGCTGCAGGCTTCATCAATCCCCCTGCAACACCCCTGGAATATTGTATACTGAAAGTACCGCAGACCCACTTGGTGGTACAACATCTTCAGCTGTCCTCTGCGGTTTTGAATGTAAGCAGGAGGTGCTGTGCAGTGTAGGCAGACAGACTGCTGTCTGTGGGTGTCACCGACCAGATCACAGATCTCTGAGATTGGAGATTAGAGATTGGAAGTTCCAATTAGTACAGCTGTAAAAGTATCCTAATAAGACCATCACGCAATCAGGCCTATTGCATATGAGATCTGTTCGCCTCGTCTGGCGAGGGGCGGTAGAAATACTGAGCACCGTGCCCATGGTTGAGTGGGTCTTGCTTGTATCTTGCGAGTCCATCAAGGGGTAGGATGATGCCAGCCTTTAACTGCAGCTTGTCTGCAGGACGGACCTTGCCTCTCGGCAGGAAAAGCGTGTACCAATAATAATGGTAATGGTAATGGTAATGGTAATGGTAATGGTAATGGTAATGGTAATGGTAATGGTAATGGTAATGGTAATGGTAATGGTAATGGTAATGGTAATGGTAATGGTAATGGTAATGGTAATGGTAATGGTAATGGTAATGGTAATGGTAATGGTAATGGTAATGGTAATGGTAATGGTAATGGTAATGGTAATGGTAATGGTAATGGTAATAATGATAATAGTAATAGTAATGATAATAATAATAGTAATAGTAATAGTAATAATTATAACTATAATAATTGTCCCCGGCTGGCGGGGGGCGGTATAGATACTGAGCACCGTGCCCACGGTTGATTGGGTTTTAAATATTATTGGATCTGGCGAGTCCATCAAGGGGTAGGATTTTGGCAGCCTTTGCCGCAGCTTGTCTGCAGGCGCACCTTGCTTCTGGCAGGAAAAGCGTGTAATAATAATAATAATCATAATAATCATAATAATAATAATAATAATAATAATACTGTAACAGTGGGGTGGGACAATAACAATAACAATAACAATAACAATAACAATAACAATAACAATAACAATAACAATAACAATAACAATAACAATAACAATAACAATAACAATAACAACAATGATAATAATAATGATAATAATAGTTCTGTAACAGTGGGGGTGGGCATGCGCGCACTTGCAAGCAGCCACCAGGATCTGCACTGTCGATTCTTGGCCCCAAGCCACGGCTTGGCCCAGCACTGTGAGCCCATGCTTGCTATCGCGCTCTGTCAGCGCCTCGATCAGGGCCGCGTTGTTTTCTCTCACCAGCGCCGTGATCATCGAGTCTCTGCTCCTTGAGGACTGCGGCCTCTGCGCATGCACACGTGACATGCTCACTCTACTTCAGGTGACCTAGTTGTAATTTTGATTAATCCATGGAGCTTCCACACTCAGTCCTGGACAAGAACAACCCTAGCCACAGAATTGAGACAAACTCTCCTCTCAAAGCAGCACAGCATAGCCGGCCTGGTGCCTTCTCAACCATTGCTCAAACAAACCAAGAACACTTCCACCTCGGCACAGACAGACAGCACACAGAGAGAGAGAGAGACTACATCGTTCCAGCCACACAGGACTGATTAGATGCAACCAAACGTTAAGAGCACACAAGACATGAATCTCAATTATTTTTATGAAAGCACAATGGCGATGCGCATCCCCGCACAAAACAACGCACAAACAGCAAAGCTGTCTGAATAAAGCCCACCTCGCAGATGCTTCTGAGGGGAGTGACACCGGTGTACACCAGGTTGACCGCCAGTTTTGACTCGGCCAGTGTCAGCAGGAGCTCATCTTCTTGCTGCATGACCACATGCTGCGCCAGCGTGAGGCCCCCACATCGGCGCCGATGCAGAAACTCCAAGGTCTCCGCATTGCTCTGCTTTAGATTCCCCGCCAGCTTCTCGAGGAGCAGGCAGGTGACCTTCTTTTTCTCCTCCCCCCGTTCCCGGCTGGCAGCTGCCCACAAAGGACAGCGGCCGTGCGCATCCAAGCACATTACGTCCGCGCCGGCCTCGAGCAGCAACCGGCACATCTCGACAGTGCCCTTTGCGGCGGCTATGACTAATGGCAGCTGCCGGTCGGGGCCGGCAGTGTTGACAAATGTGGTGTTGCCATGGCTGCGAAGGATGTCCAACAGGGCGGACACCGCTGGTATGCACCGCAGGCTCACGGCGCACATCAGCAGCGATGAGCGATCGGCGAATATCGCATGCATGACGTCCAGCCCCTGACTCTGTAAGCGTTGCAGCAGGTCCGCTGCATAGCAACGCATCACTCAGTCCACTGGCATTAACCGGACTAATTTTGTTCTCAAGGTTGAAATCATTACATTTGCCGTACTTGCGTTTGCCGCCTTACTGGGCCTGGTACTTACAGCAAGTCTCAATTTTCAGTCATGAAAAAGTATACGGCTGTGACTTTGGATTATTGTGGTGACAGGCAAATCCCTTGCACCCACTTGGAGACAACCTAGCTTATTGCTCATCCGCTATCATTCTTTTCGCATCTGAAAACAAGATTCACGGAGATGACTTCAAGCAGTGGCCAGGAGGCCTGGGGCAGCCTCCACTAGAAGTGCATTGCAGAGCAGGATAGCAGATCTCACCGAAGTCTTTGTGCGCGGCTGCAACGTCGTTTTCTTTGTAAGAGTAATGGCAGCTGCGTATGAAGAGCGCCATGACAATTTTCCCATAGCGCGAAAAAGGCTCTCCCCTCTCCATTATGTGCCGCACTGCTGCAAGGGCATTGCCGACCGGGCAAGGGTTGGACCAGTATTCTAACGGCAACTCCTCTCCTCCTGCTTTCAAGGCATCTAGCGACACCCCTAGCTCTAGCAGCTGCACTACCACCTGTCAACAAAGAGGGTATAGCAAATGTGTCAGTGATATTTGGTAACCCTCAACAAGAATGGCAGAGGGGCTGTCAAGGTCCACCACAGGTGTCTGCCGTATAGGGCATGCAAACACTAACAGTAGTCTTGATAAAGCATCTAGCGAGCAAAGTTACCGTAATATTATGCGAGTAATGTTGCAACACTGCACCGAATAGACCCCCACTAGCGCGACTAGACGTGCATGCCAGGAGGCTGCAGGCATGCAAACTGGCCCCGGCAGCGGAATTAACATTTACACTTCATAATTTGAGAAATTGGCAGTTCCATCCAAGATCCCAACACCACGCAGCCAACTTAGTTCAACAAGTAAACGAGGGCTGTCACCTTCGCGCCACGGTCCCCTCCCATGGCCGCCAGCAGGGGGTGTGACGGCTGCACTTGCCACCCGCCCTCCTTGTCTTGAACAATGTCCATCGCAGGCTTGGCGAGCTGCTCTAAAAAGGCTTCTGGGATGCCCCTGGCCTTGTACAGCCGCTGCAGGAAGTCCACGGCTTTGCTGAAGAACTCCAGCCGGCCCCCGGGCGCGCAGCAGCTGTACTGCGCAGCCCGGAGGAGCACGAGGCTCGCGTGCACCGCGCTGGTCTCGATCCCCTTGACATCTGTGACGGCGAACTTGCCCAGAGACCGTGCTCCCCGGCCGCGGCTGCCGCGGCCAGATACTCGCCGCCGCATGCGTCGACCGCCCTTGAGTCTGCTCCCAGGGTCAGCAGCACTTCGAACATTGGCAGCGCTGGTACCAGCGACCGGCAGCACATTATCGGCACGAAGGATACCGGTGAGGCCTTCTCTCCCCGGGGGTGGGGGTTTGTGTGGCGGATGTACCTGTGTGGAACAGTGCATGCATACATGTCAGCCTCTGCATATACGGCATTCTCAAGAGAAACTGTTGCATTGACAGCTTTGCATCGCCAATAGGCGGGTGCGCATGCCGAAATTCAGCTGCTGCCGTGCAGCAGCATGACGGTACAAGCATGCCATATATCCTGTCCTTAATAAACATCCATTATATATTATTTTCTTGACACAGTCACAGTTCCTAAGCAATTAGGATCTAGGTACGTACAGCAACACGTGTATCAGATTTCTCCGTTCTGTGCGGTAATGGCACTTACATCCAATTGCCAACATGAAAATGCCAAAGGCAGGATGCTTCTTGCAGGTGGAGCACTCACCAGTCTCCTACGTGTGATGTTATCACTTGGTTCACCCCGTCAAGCAAGCTGCATCGCTTTGCCGCCACAGCCAGCAGCGGAGTCACTCCACTGCCCCTTGCCCTGATGTTTACGGGCACGTATTTGTTTTTCACCAGGAATTCCACCATCTGCTGCTGATTTGCCAGAGCCTGAGCACAGCCGCAGTCACGCCAAAGTGATAACAACATTCATGGTTTAGAGATCTCAGGTGGATCATTGGTCTGTTGGCAGTCTATCATTGTCCACAGAAAAGTTCCGGTATGTCTGCACTCTGTCAAAAATTTGGCGGCGATACAGAGAATTGTGCAGTACCGCTTGAGTATACTTTTTGTGTCACCAGTGTCTCGTAGCTTTCTCTCTGCAGAGGATTGTCTAAACCTAGGATTTGCACATGATTTGGGCACATTTTGTGACAAGTGGACACACCGCCAGGTGGAGGATGGTCAGCTGAGCGCCATGCATAGGCTGTATGCACATCGGCGGCCGCGTCTCACAGATATTCTCACAGCTCTCCAGAAAGCGTGTTTTGGCCTTGTGAGGAAGCCATTCTAAGTCCTTTTTATCCCAGCCTCCTGGCCTCGACGAAAAGTCCCAGAGGACGTCCTTGTCAGCTCCTAGGCTCAGAAGCAATCCAGCTGCAGCAATAAATGAACGAATTGAGGCTGTGATTGAGTTTGGTGAAGCCCACACACTTGTTTGCGTTGTATTGGGCTCTGCTTGTCCTCTTGATTGTAGAGTCACTTGCTGGGCAAGAACAATTGACAGGTCAAGAGCGTAATTTATAATGTACAGAAAGAATATTACAACGTCTACGAAAGAACGGTAGTCTATTGCGCAGAAGACTTGCCTGCCTGGACGTTGCCGATGATGCTGGCAAATTGCAGCAGTGTCAGCGATGTCTTCTTGTCTTGGTAATTGGATATGGCTTTTGAGCTATACCCCCTCAGTAATATTTTAAGAAAGAAATATCTATCATCACCCAGAATACCAATCACAATCTTTCGTCCTACACCCTCCGGAAGGACATCATCGAGCCCAGTTTTTTTAGCCTTGAGGCGAACTTTGCCCATGTCTAAGAACCTTCTAGATTAAAAAAAAATCTTCTAATATCAGAACTGATCGTCAGACCCGATATAACCGTCGTATGATATCTATAAGGTTGAGACAAGACTGGATCACTGGCGCCTCAAGCAGTGGAAGACAAGACCACAGAAGCATCCTCGATATTTCAGAAGGTATTACGAACATAAAAACAATTTCTGCTTTGTTGGAGCATGTCTGTTTGATTGGAGAACGAGATGAGGGAGGGTGGCGTTTCACGAAACCGCGACAGCCAAATTTAGCACGCACACCTGTGCGCATGCATGCTCCAATCTCTTGCCCTGTCTGCACTTTTTCTCTATTCAATTCTGAAACGCGGTCACAGTGCAGAGCATTGGTGCGACGCTCGCCACATTTGTGCACAATCTCTTTAACGGATTTCAAGGTACCAGTGTTGCTTGTGATGTGAATTGAATCTGCGTTTGCATGTGTTTAATGCGTTTGCTAAGTTAGCAAACCTGCAAGATTGCAGTGTGCTTCCAGTTGGCCAATTTCTCCTAAAACGAGGGCTTAGGAAACCCTGGAGCAGATTCAATAGGGCAGGCTGAATCAAGCAAATCCTTTACCGCCCTTTGTTACAGGCAGCTGAGACCATCAATGTTGCAAAGGAAATAGCAGCTGCCAAGGTGCAGCCCCTCTCCATGTAGAAACAGACTAGCATGGCAGACTCCCCATCAAATATGTACAGCCAACATCAAATCAAAACCTTTGACTTGCAAGTCCGAGTACAGACTGTGAAGCTACTAGCTCTAGTACAACCATGTGCATTCATGCTACTAGCATGCGTTTAAATCGATTGAGTGCTGACATCAGCAGCTGAAATTCAACCCTGTGCACTTTGCTGGTAGGACGCGGCTTCCCCGGTTGGCCGTTGCAAGTTGTTGTTACCTGTCACAGACCACTAGACTTCAGCCACGATTACATATTCCAAAGAGAGGCTTCATCCGTCTGGGACTTTTCATGACCATCTGTCTAGATTGAGCATGTCGGACATTCTGCCCTTCCAGCAAGCTCTCTTGCAAGAGGTTAGCCCCAACATCCTCTCAGAGATCGCTGAGAAAACTTATTCTGCCAAAAAGCAGCATTCCTCACTGCAACAAAGCAAGGGCCTTTAGCTCTCCTTAATACTCAATAGAGAGCATAACGGAAATCAGCAAAAGGTAAAAGCTGGAAGCGCAGTTTGGCTGAAAGAAATGAGTGCCCACCTGCAGGCATGCCAGTGGTGGCAGTTGTGGCGCCCCAATTCTGATGGGCTGAGCTGTAGGGAACAGCGTTTGCAAAAGCTGTGGTGCTCTGTGTCTCCAGCTGATTCGCTGGCGCTGCATAGCTGCTCCCCTGCTGAATGGTCGGACCTGAAATACATCCTTTCTTACTTTAATAAAGTTCAAAGTGCATCAAAACTCTGCTTGCATACACACGTGAAAGTGAGCAGTTTCTGCTTTGTCGATTCAGAGAATGCTTGGCCCCAGGATCCACATTCAAATGCAAAGACATGCTCAGGTCTCAATCTAATGCCAAGCTGGAAATGCAATGAGGGGCACACCTGACTGGTTGTTGTTGTTCCCAGGCGAGGAAGCACTGTAGGACTGGCCAGTGTTGTAGGCAGTCACTGTGTTCGGAGTGCCGGCATTGTTCGCTGGCGAGTACCCGTTGTTATTTGACCCGTATCCATTCCCGCTGCTCCCGTAGCCGGCGTTGCTATTTGCTCCGTAGCCGTTCCCCGGGCTCTGGTTGTTGCTGTTAGACCCGTAGCCGTAGCTGGGGCTCTGGTTGCTGTTGGATCCGTAGCCGTAACTGGGGCTCTGCTGGGGGGTGATCACCCCCCCGTAAGACCCGCCGTATCCGGAATTCGAATTCGAATCTGAATTCGTGCTGGCCGGCGGGGAGGGAACGCTCTGGGACGCCGAGGTCCCCCCATTGGGCACCAGCAGTCCCAGCTGCTGCGCCACCGCCGCTGCACCCCCCTGAAGAGACAATGCGCCAAACTTAGCAAGCTTTTTTGTTTCACGAATTATCAACAAGAAAGTGATATACCAGCAAGAGAGCGACTTAGTGTGCCAGATAGTGAGCAGCGGGTATCAGTATCTCCGTGCTTGGGCCAATTGCTCAGGGCCACGATTATTATTTTTAAAAACTATTTCATGAGTTTCCTGTGCACATCTTCTGCGGGTCGCATGAAGCACAAAGAAGCCATCAAAATTTTCTGCAACAGGGAGACAGATCAAGGTTTTTTTAGAGTGAAGAGAGCGCGAAGCAGCACACCTGGCTTGCAAGGCTGGGCACCTTCCCGTCAGGCCCGATGACAAAATTTGAGGCCGAGTTGTCCAGGTGGATGTCGTTCGTGGACAGCTGGTTGCCGCCCTCTGCGCTGTATGTGTTTGCCTCAGACACACTCACTTTACCGCCGCCACCGCCGCCGCCGCTGTTGCTTCCATAGCTGCTCCCACCGCCATAGCCATAGCCGTTGCCGACCGACTGCAGGTGACAATACATTGCTGTCAATTTCAAATATGAATTGAAGAGTAAACAGGGGAAATAGGCAGGTGATGGGAAGATGAGGTTGGCATTGGTTGGATGCTGTATTGGCGGAAGGCGAGTCCACAAGGAGAGAAGGGTAGTTCAGGGGTGGATAAGTAGAGGATGGCATCTGCCCTTTGAGGATGAAAGGGATCTTTTCGGGCCGCTCACCTGGAAGCTTGGCTCTGAAAGGGCAGTTTTGGTGCCCTGGGAGGTGACAGGCTGTGGGGCTATTGTGCCTGAAGCAGCCTGGCCCTGCACACAATGCAGCTAATCTTCAGCTCTTGTGGTTGTGAACGTCTATAGCTAGACAACTGATGATCAATAGCAAGCAACCCAGAAGAAGAATAGACCACGGTGCAGTCTTCCTGTCACTAGAATCGTATGAGAAAGGGCATGAGCTAGGCACTCTGCATGTAAGGGAAATAGTGTTGAAGACAGAAGAGAAAAATGAATCCAATCAGAAAATTTACTTTACATGCTGCAGAAATATACAGGCTGTTGCAATTGACACATGCCAGCAGCGCCCTTACACAGAACTACAAAGGAGGGCATGCATTTGCAAGAGGAAACCCACACCAGAAGCATCCCTACAAGATAACAAAAACGCACACGCCTTCTCAGCATGCTATATATATACAAAAAACACACGGCTGCATCATTTCACCTGCACACTGCTTGCCTGGGGCGCCGAAGATGGGGAGAGGGCATTCTGGACCGCGCTGGCCAGACTCGAAACAGTGGAAACAATTGACTGTAGCGTTGGGCCTGTCTGCTGCGCTGCCTGCAAGCATGTCAGAAAAGCTTGTTCAGATACAAGCACATCAGGATGGAGAACACATAAGTTAGGAGGCAAGCTACGCCTATTTCAAGCCCGACACTGTCCGCAGCTGTGCAAGCACAGAGAGATGCCATTTGATAGGCCTAGAATGCGCATCTAGTTATCTGCATGTAGAATTTTATCTGCAATCAGACCAAAGCCCGATGTAGAGGTTTTTTTCTTGATCAATATATTGCACTGTCTTGCCCGAGAACGCTGTGCACAATGGCATCAAAGGAACCCTCTGCTTGTTGGTCAAAAATGCAGAGGGTGACTACATGCAGCGCCAAACCTTCGCATGCAGCTGGACGGGTATTGTAAAGATAGGCTCACCTGATCCAGCAGCCTCCTGCCAAGCGCCGAGGTGGACGCTGATGTGTAGTCAGCGGGAAGCTGCGCCGCAGACGTGGGCAACTGCTTGGAAGCTGCTGCGTACGCAGGCACCTGCACGGCAGCTGCCAGAGGCGTGGCGCTGTCCTGTGACGCACCTGCTGTGTCCGTTGTGGTTGCCAGCCCATTCAAAGCGCTCGCTGTGATTGTGCCTGCACCAATTTGAAGCACCCCTCAAACTGCAATAATCGCCACATAGATTAAAATTGTTGCTTTCGCTGATCCAGCTGCAATGGATGGCACTGCACAATCAAAGATCCCTGAAGCAGCAGAAATTGGTCAGACAAGATTCACTGTGTGTTTGTGCTGTTCAAGCTTTTGGGCAACTTTTTGGCAACTTGCTGCAGCACAAGACACCGCTGCAGCTATTGTAAAATAGCACAAAGATAAATAGAATCGAACAGAAGAGTTTGCAGAGATTGGAGGGTGATGAAAGAGCTTTGGAACGCACCTGATGCGTCAGTGTTGACAGAAGTCTGAGGCAGTTCCGTAGGTGCAGTGTTTGTGGCAGAGCCGTAAGGCACAACCGCTGCTATGGGGTTGTAACCTGCAGTCAGCACGCCACGTCAGCCTTTGTGACAATTATTCATGGCCGTTCTGTATTTCCTCATGCCTCAGGATTGCACGCCAAAGTATGGGAATGACTGCTGTCAAAAGTACTTTGACATGCCATAGGCGTCAAGGCAATGCCCTAAGCCTTGACCCATGACGTTCGCTGCATGCACAATTTGGACCACTGCAGATCGCAAGACAATTTATTGATGACTCGTGCTTCACCTCGCGCTCGCATTGCCTTGCATGCGCACACATTGTTGGTCTCGAAATGAACCAGACGGAGCTGTGGTCTAGCTCCAGAACCACCTGGCTGGCTCTCTAATCTTACAGCAGGACCTAATCTAATTATCGGGACTAGGTATCTGGGTAATCCGAAATTTAAAAAGAATTATCAGTTAAGACTGGAGCTCACCGTACTGGGAGTGCGGAGTGGCGAAGCCTTGAGTGTTGGAATCGACGCCCAGAGTGCGCACAACATGCTTGGCAACTTCTATGACGGCGTTCTCTCCGGCGCTGCGCGCATTAGTCGACAGCGAGCTCAGCGTGTTAGTCATCGACGTGCCCAGATTAGGCAGCAGGCCCTCTCCGTCAGACTGCAGCGCCCTCGCTGCCGCCTGCATGGTCAGAAATCTGAATTGAAACTCAACCTTGCGCATAATTTATAATAACTCTCCAGAAATTTGAGGAGCGTTAAGTCCACTGAAGACTTGCAGCAGCGTGTTAGTCTGCCGGCCTCACTTCCACTGTCCACAAACCCGCTTCGCTTCAGAATTCATGCCGCAATCTAGGCGGGGCAGTAATTGAAAATACACATTTGATCCAAACGTACAGAGCACAAAGCAGCTGTGCAGCAGCTGCAGAAATGAGATTGTTGCGGGCTTCAGAGGTCGCTTGAAGGTATTTACAAAGCAAATCATGCAGGGCCTTCACAGCCTCCTGCTATCTGAATTCCTGACGCACTGCAGAAATCTCAAAGCAATATACTGAAAACCAAAGATTATTTCCCCACTTCTAACCTTGATTTGATCTGTAATAGCCCCATGTTGCATCAAGTGAGTGTATTTTAAATCCCCCATCTTGCCCTCAGAGAAGCTCTCAGTAAGCTGAATGCTGATGTTCCTGCAGATGGTTGTCATCCCTGATAAGGAAAGGGCCCACTAAAGTCCAACCAAACTCAACGAAATATACAGGCCTGCTGACAGCAATAAACAGAACTCCGCAGCAGGCACTTTAGCACTGTCGAGCCAAACTGCAGCACCAAGCAGTGCGCATGGAAAGTGTTGCAAAACATAAATACAGCGCTCCATAATTGCCACAGAATCAATCCCCTCCAAAGGAGCAATCACGGGGGCAGCACAGCCATGAGGCCAGCATGTCTGAAAAGGTTTTTGCACACATATGTCGAGCATCCTAGCATTTCCATTCCATTCCGGTGTGGGAATTTTCCCTGGACTACGCCCGCAAAGTCATCACCCCACCCATAGCGGAATTCTATGGTGTTTGCATTCACAATTCTGTTTTTCCCCCTGATGATCTTGTAGAACGTCATGAGGATGCTCAGAGCTAGTGCAGGGAGCGGGCCGGCACCTGCCCAGATCCAACCCTTCAAAACCCCTCACCACAGCATTTCAAAGCCCTAGAAGCACCTTCAACACCCCTGAACCCTATTTGTCATGTGTTCATGGCATCTGCAGGGACCGTGCCGGCACCTGCCCGGTCCCGGGACGGAAGTCCAAAGCCCTAGATTCAACACTCCTAGACCGTATTCATCATCAGTCATGTATTCAGGTCATGTGCAGGGGGAGCGGGCCGGCACCTGCCCGTTGCCGGCGGCCGCAAGGCGGCGGCCGCCGGCCCCGGACAGGAGCCCGGCGACCGCCCCTTGCACGCTCGCGGCCGCGTCGCGCGCCGTCTGGGTCGCGTCAAACTGCTTCACCACCGCAGAATCCTTTTGCGCCGCGGCCGCCGCCGCCGCCGCGTTGCCGGGGGCCGCCAAGACCGCCTCCCAGTCTGCGCGCATGACACCATGTGCATTTAGATGGTGTTTGTAAAACCATATGAGCATTGTGATCGAGTCAAAATGTCAAAGGTCGAGGTGAGGAGCCCATTGTTCGGTGACAATAGACTTTTTGAAACTGGGAGCGTGCCTCCTCTTATGCAGTCCCGGGAATGACATAAATCGCCGCCAATATTATATGCCAAGCACACCCGCGTGTCTACCCAACCAGAGAATCCCAAACTTCAACCAGCGAGTCACCAACACTGAGATAATCTCCAACACCGAGCCTTTCTTGGCCAAAGCACTGGCAAACAGCCTATTACTGACAGAGCTCCAAGAGGCTGCGCACCGATGGGACCGGAGGTGGAAGAGGACTGCGTCTGCGCGGTGAAGGGCAGAGCGGTGGCAATGGCATTGTGGCTGACGCTCGCTACCAGCTGCTGCAGAGCTGACAGGGTTGTGCCTCCTGTCACCTGCTCCTGCGCCGGCGCCGGTGCCTGCCCAGCATATGACAGGTGAGCGTGGCATTCGAATTTGAATCTTAAAATTGGAATTTTGAACATTGGCAGAAAAACGATGATGCTGCACGCTACCGGTGGAATCCTGTTCCTGGATTCAGCTGACAGGGGAGCATTGCCCCACCAACATGGCATGCCACGCAATGGAATTCTGCCTGAAGGAAATTTTCAAAAGTGCGTAGTCGGTCCATGCCACACAACAATTCAATCAGGATCTGCTTCAGTGCTGCTGAGCATGTGCATGTGCTCAACCAAAAGCATGCACAACAGCAACCAGTGGTCATGCGCTCATATGCACGGTTTCAAATTCAAATATGTCCTTCAAATTCAATTTCAGATTAGAAAAAGGCGAGGCAAGTAGCGCGTACCAGGGCCGGTGTCTCGGTATCGGATGCGTGCAGCGCCTTGAGTGCAGCCACCTCGGTGTTGGCAGCTTCCAGAACGTGCAGAGCTGCCGCCTGCACGGCAGGGTCCGTCGCCACATTGCTCATGACATCGTTAAAGTTCGCCTGCAGCATGTAGCATCTCGTGAGCAGGGTGTGGCAATTATCCTATAAGTGAGTGGCAGCAGGGTGGAAAAAAGCACGTCGGGCAAGAGATGCTTTTTCATTGCCCTCAAAGCAATCTTGCGCAAGCTTTCACAGATCGATTGGCTTGTGCATCCCAACATTTCAGACAGTATACTGCGCCATTTCAAATTTTGTTTCGACCTAATTACACTCTTTGCTCTTCCAAGCGCAGGAAGAGCTGGCGAGCCGATCCTTTCCTAAGCTATCAGCATGAGCGCATGATAAGCTAATGTTGCATGCATGGGGAAATCAATGCTTGCCTGCGCGAGACGGCGGCCCGAGAAGAGGCTGCCGATGCTGGTGCCTAAGCTCATGAGCGCTGTTTCGCTGATGACGGTCTGCGCCAAACTGCGCGCGGCCGTCACGGTTGCCGGGTCGGCCACCGCCGCCGCCACCGTCTCCTCGGCAGCACCGCTCAGGCCCTGCAAGATGTGAACATGAAATTTCAAGAATGGCCTGCGGCTAAGTGATGACACCTTTCCCTAGATTCTTCGGGTGACTCTATAGACATTTAAGCTCACTGACCACAACATCAGCTCGTGGCAGCCGGCACCTGGCGGTCAGAAAATAGTTTGAAAGTTATTCGTATCTAATCATTAGTAATTCACTGCAGCACCCAACCGCCCATGCGCAATCAGTTATCAGGGTATACTACAACAGGGTTGCAGTATACCCTCTCTTTGTCTGCTGCTTCACTAGGAAAGTCTCGGAATGACAATGGGAGCACCAGCGTTCCAGGAGGTTTGCCTGGTGGAAAACTATCTCTGCAGAGATAACTTACACTGTTATTGCAGGGTGCTAGGGTTCAGGGTCACAGGATTTTTCATGTAATAGTAGCGCACCAGTGCGACGGCGTTCCATGAGTTGCCAGCGGCTGCCGCGGCGGCTTGTAGCACGGGCACGACGGCCGATTGCACGGCGCTGTCCTGAACGAGCGCTGCAAAATTCAGATTGGACGCTGCTGTAGACAGGGACGCAGGCAGCGAGGAGCCGAAGGCCGTGATGGCGGCTGCGCGCACGGCGCCCGCCAGCTGCGTGGCAGCTGCCACGGAGGCCTTGTCGGCCACCGCCAGATCGATCACCTTCACGGCGGCTGCCGCGTCCTGTTTCACAACAGCACGCACCCCTTGAGAACCCTGCTGCATTGATGGTCAACGCTACTGAAGTGCAAAGGGCGTTTTGCAAGCACAGTCACAGGCAGATTGCTCCTGTTGTGAAGCTAGGGCATGTTAATGGCGTGCGCAATAAAGCATTATGATTCCAGACTAACACCGCAAACACTTTTGCCCAACATTGCAGTGGTAGGCAGCAGATGATCCAGACTCCTTTGCCATTCTTGCAAAAGAAGCCGCTGCACGTCTGCACGATATATGGCCGGCAATAGATCAACTTGAAATTGAGGAATGATATGGGAAGCTTGAGAGATCCTGGGAGCTGACCTTGGGAGCAGAGGTCCAGAAGGCGCCTGAAGCAGCGGAAGCAGCCTTCACAAGGCTCACAGCTGCGCTCTGCACGCTAGTGTCCTGGGCAACTGTTGCCGCTACGGTGTCCAGGGTGGTTGACTGCGCAGCAGGCACATTGCGGGTCAGCAGATGATACGTGATAAATACCAGCTCGTACCGATGTTCAGGCATGCCAAGACTGCAACGTCCCCAGACGATCCCTTTTTTCAATTTTCTTTTTCAATTAAAGCGGCAAATCATGCTCGCAAGCATACCGCAAGCCACAAGGATGTATGGGACTGTCCGCCACCCCTGTTCACTTCACACCGACAAGCCTTGGTGTCTTGTCTTTGCTGCTTTCCAAACGGGGGTGCTACTGTTGCTTGTTTGGCTGCATCATCTTTGAATGGAAAAGGAAGGTGAGGGCGCATGTCAATTTGCCATAGGTTTGTCAGGCGGCCAGCTCTCACACGAAGTTGTGCTTGCAGTCCCGGATCGGCCAGACATGTGACTGTCAACTTCGAGTTCAAATTCGAATTTCTTCTGAGTTCAAGGGCGCACGTCCAGCTGCAGCAGGCGGCGTCCGTTGAGCAGGTTGATAGCGACGCCTGTGAGGCCCCCAAGGCTTTGCTCTGCGCTTGCGCCGCGGCCCGCGTTGAAGTTGGATCCGTCCGAGCCGCTGGCCGGCACGGCCTGACCGGCTGACGCCATCGGCTGCGCGTTGTAGCCACTGGCGGCCGCTGCACCAAACATGCATGTGATTTTTAGCACGGATATCTCTTGCATGAATTACTAGAGTTTGAACCAGTGAGCAGGCTGCGTCTGCTCTGAAAAGGAGGTGTACGCTGCGCTCACAGTTACTGTGGTGTTCAGGTATTGATTGCACATGTACTGAACTTATGGTATCTTCAAGGAAACGTGCAGCACCACCCTGAGATAGTTTAGGTTCTTAAATGTGCACAGGCTAATGTTAACATTTCAGAATTGATTGTTCGCAACAAAGGATTTCATGCTTTTGCCAAGGGCTGATTGGACCAGGCAGCTACCTGTGTCGGAGGCAGATGGTGTCAGGCTACCGGCGCTGCTTCCATAGCCACCAGCACTGCCGCCGTTGTAAGCGTTGTCGGCTGAGGCAAAGGGCTGCGCTCCGTTCAGGGATGCACCGGACGCCGGCTGCGACGGCTGCGCGGCGGCGGCCGAGGATGGGTAATCGGCGCCAAAGCTTCCGTCTGCGGCGTTGCCAGAAGTGGCGCCATAGTTTGAAGCGGCGGCCATCGGCTGAGAGGAGCGCAGCGCTGTGGGGCCGGTGGCTTCTGTGATTGTGTTGGCCAGATGCTGCAGGGCGGCCAGGGGCGTTGTCTGCGCCTGTCCAAACAACCATGCGTGCAGGTTAGCATCTTCATCTCAAAATAATGGCAGGGGAAAGTGCTTGTATTGACTCTATATGCGATCGCCAAACCCGAAGGAAGGGCTGCCTCCCCTCGCTAAAAACATAATGTTCTACTGGAACATAATGTGTCACCCAATAAATCAACAGCCAACAATGGTGTCTCAAAGTGCAGGAGACAGATTCAGATTGGTGTACTCCCAGGATATGATTGGCTAAGTGTGGGGAGGCTGCACAGAGGTCAAGTTTTTGGCGCAACGGGCATTTTGACAGGGATGTTTGCTGTGGATGTAATTACCTGGTTGATGTCAAGTGGGGCGGCCTCCTGGACTGGCTGGGGCGGGGAAATCTGCACAGCACAGCCCACAATCATGAGATCACTATTATGATTTTAACGTCTTGTGCTCCCTCTCCTCAAGAAAATTATTGACCATGCATGATCCCTGTTCCTGCCTGAAGGACTCCAGGGCAGGTCTCTCACTGCTTCACACTCAAAGCAAAGCAGTTACTGACACATCAAAATTTTCTAAATAGAGATGAAAGAGGAATATGCACCACGCATGACGCTTGCTCTCTACAGGACTTCAGGGCAGGTCTTGCAAATCTCCAACCCTTTGGACTTCAAAAAATGAACTTAATAGTGTCTTTCCACAAGGAGAAACTAAGTCTGTTAGTAGCAATAAATATTAATGAATTACCGAATAATTGTTGGGAGAAAAGGAGGGAACGCACCATGCCGGCTGCGTCCTGAAGCTTGCGGCCGGCAAGTGCGCCCGCGCCGCCACCCGAGAGCACGTTGGGCATTTGGGGCACATTAAAGCTCACAATCTCCCGGTTGGCAGGCAGCGCCGGCTACAGAGCACACCCCACACTTGTCAGCAATGCACCTTGCTTGCATGCAAAAAAGTCAGGAAAAGTTGGGTGGGATTCCTGTCCCTCTGTCTGGCTTCTGCGGTGCTTCTTTTGTTACCTTTGTGCATCCATCCTGAGAGACAAATTTTATAAATCAACATCAGCAATCATGCAGGTGTCAGGTCAGAGGTCCAATTAGACAGACTTCCGCTATAATCAATGCCACTCGTGCCGTTCCAATCTCTTTAGCCATGACAGAACATTCTCTTTGTGCAATGGCTTTGACAGAGCTATGGTGTCATTTCCAGGGCATAGACCTGATCACAGCTACAGCGTTCACACCCCACCTGGGTGAATTGGTTGGCGGCAGGGATTTCACTGGAGGCCGCAGCGCCGGTCTGCTGCTGTAGGGATGACCCGGCTTGCTTGCCGAAGCTGCTCGTGACCTCCTGCACGATGTTGCCGATAGAGTTTTCCATGGCTGTGTTGTAAGGGGTCAGCGGGGATGCCTGAGAGGCAGTCTGGTATGTCTTGCCGGAAACCACCCCGGACTGATCGGCTGCCGCGGCGGCAGAGGGCGTTCCCGTCTGCAGGCTGCTGGTCTGCGTGCGGCCGACAAGCGGCTGCGCAGAGATACCTGCACGCATTTTCGAAATCGAACTTTCAAATTTGAAAATTTAAATATCCGATTTTTTCAAATCTTGAAACTGCTTGTGCAGCAATTGGTGGCGACAGCTTGCGAGCTGGTCAGCAAAGGACACACAAATTCACAGATGTGACCACTCAGAGAACAATACAAACTAGTTTTATAGGACGTCATGGTGACTCACCGGCTGTCTGGCTGGACGCGGCCTGGCCGCCCTGCTGCGCCCCGTTGGCGAAGCCGGCCAGAAACTGCTGGGCAGCTGCCGCCAGGTCAGTGCTCTGCGCGGCAACACTCAATTATTATTATTATTATTATAATTATTATTATTATTATTATTATTATTATTATTATTATTATTATTATTATTAGCTTTTCTTGCCAGAGGATGATTGAGTGTCTTGCTTGGATCTGGCAAGTCCAACCAGGGGTAGGATTTGGCAGCCTTCACAGTTTTCACCCAGCGGATAATGGAGTACTTGCTTTGAATGACACGTCCACAAGCAAAGGAGTGACAGGGGAGTGGCTGCACCTGAGAGAGTCGGCGGCCTGAGGCGTTGACTCCTGCAGCGGGTGCAGTGGCAGCCGCCTTGCTGTTCTGCAGCGCTGATCGGCTCGTGTTGTCCACGTCAATGCTGCCCACCTGCGCCGCATTCAATCATTCAATCATTCGTTCATTCATTCATTCATTCATTCATTCATTCATTCATTCATTCATTCATTCATTCATTCATTCATTCATTCATTCATTCATTCATTGTGTTCACATGTGTCAGGGTCTGCCCTGCAGGATTGACTGCAAATCTCTCACTGTTGAACCAATATCTCAACTTGCCTGCATGCATGCATGCATATCATGATGTGCTACATGGACGTATGTGAGCCTGTGCATGCTTCCACATTTGAACCAATGCCACTCTGGCTTGCTTCGAGCAATATTTTTTCCGGTCCACCGCCAAAGAAAACAGCAGTGTGTGCGCTCAATGAAGCGTAGCAACCAAGCTTGGAGGCTGCACTCTTTCAGATTGCAGCCTCGTAGCTTGTCCCTGCAAAAATTGGAAAAGCTCAACTTAACATTTGAGTTGTGCATGTGTGTACATCGGATCCACACCTGGGAACTGCTGCGAGCAGCGGTCTTGGTGCTCTGCTCTGTGCCCACCCGTCCAGTGGTGGAGGAAGCAGCCGTGGGAGGCACTGATCCCTGGGAAGTTTTCTGCACAACACCATTTTCTTGATACCAAATTCATCGTCAAAAGAAGGTCTGAAGGAACTTCTGAGCAAGCCCGAGGCATCCCAAAACTTATCAGGCATCTTCCTGGATGCCTCAATTGAGAAGGATAAGTAGCATAGTCCTACAAAGTAGGACTCTGCATTTACAGCTGTCCGCTTGCGTCAGAGCAGAGTTTGGCCCAACAAAGGTGGCGCTTGCAATGGACAGGTCAAGTATTCCTAACGCATCCAGGCGTCATAAGTATTGGAAGGCATTTTTTTGCACAAGTTTTGAGGTGCGAAAGTCTCAGCGTACCTGCACAACCTGGCCGTCTCCAGTGTAGAAGGTGCCATCCGCTGCATATGCATCAGCTGCCATCTGAAAACCCACAACACGTTGCTTATAATCCCAACTTTGCATTCCCAGCGACCACACATCAAACTCAAGTGTCATGAATGTGCCATACGCGCTTCTCTCACAAATGCTCTTGGCCTTGCTGCTCGCATTTTACACTGCATTGCATCAGAAGAAACTTCGCCAAAGGCTGCCACTAGCCTGCTTGCGCCCTGCAGCAAGCATTTGCTTCCACTGTTGCAAGCAAGCAAGCAATTGGGGTGGAAAGATGCATTTTGAAACAACCAGCGCACCAGGTTTGTCTGAGGCTGCTGAATGGCTCCCATCATGCCAGAGGTGCCTGCTGCTGGGATCTGCGCAGCGGAGCCGGCAGCCGTCACGCTGGCAGCGGCTTGCGGCTGCGCGGCAGCAGTGACGGTCTGCACCCGTCACTTTTATTTAGATTAGCTTATCTGCTCGGCTAATCGATCATAATCTTTCTTCATGAGATGCAGCATCCTGTCAGTGCTCACGTTTTGCAAATCCCACAATCCCCATGATGCGCATGCTTTGCATTGTTATTGAGTCTTTCTCTCCGGAGGGCCGAAGCTTTGATCAGAGCAGTCCTTCCAGGAACAAACATGCGGCAATTCCAGGCTTTACACGAGGGGAAACGACTCGCTCACCTGGGGGTTAGTGTTTGAGATTGTGGTGAAGGCACCCACAGTTGAGTCAGTGGGTGTTAGCGGCTGCGTGGCAGCTGCCGCGTTGCTTGCTCCGCTGCTGGATGTCACTTGGCCCACCGCGTCGGCACCGGCTGCGCCAAATTCGAAACCAAATTTAAAATGTCAAAATCTACAAGTTTGCGGAGGGTTTCATGGAAATTCAGCCTAGGCCAATGTGTCAGGGCAAACACACTTTGTGCTGGTTGTAGCGTGAATACAGGACATTGCCAGTCATTCCTGGAGAGTCTGCTGGTATTGCAACGGCCTTGCAACTGTCCCTGGCTGCACTGAACCAATACACTGCCACGGTAGGCAGGACAGTCTAAGAGTGAAGTGTAAAGGAGCATGCAAAGACTCACTCTCAGCGCTCTCTGCGTGCTTCTTTCTGTGCTTCTCGGCAGCACGAGTCGCCTGAGCAGTAACTCTCTCCTGCGCACATGCAAATATCACTTTTAAATGTTGCACATCTGCATCCTACTTTAGGTTTTGGGCCTGGCTTGATGGCTAAAAAGTCAGGCCCACAATTACACCCCACATATTGATCATGTCAGCTACACCCTCTACTCCGGTACAGTCCCTTCAGATTTTTCTTGAGGGCCAAACACCTCACAAAAACATCCCAATCTTCAGGACAATACAATTCGTTGCTGTTGATTTTCACTCATTGGCTGCCAAGGAGGATAGTTGGTGCAGGAAAATGTGAAACAAAGGGGAATCAGGAGTATGATTAGAACCAACCTTTGGCTGAGCCGGGGTGGTGTTCGCTGCCTCCTGAGCGGCGGCTGTTGCGGCGGCGCGCGAAGTGGCAACATCAGCGTTGTTGCCTGCCATGTTGTAGCCGCCGGGCAGGCCGGTTCGCGGCGCAGCGGGGGCCGGGGCAGATGCTGCAGGGGTCTGCGATATAAACCCCACAATATTAACATAATGTTATTCCGACGCCCTGATGAAGCCTGGACATGACCCTCTGCAAAGAGACAAAATGTCAGGCATGCTGAAGGCAAGGTTGGCCTCGCCATCATGGGGGCATGCGCTCTGATGAGAGGAACTGTGCAATACCAGCACATATTATGCACTAATTATGGATGCGAAAAACACCCCGACTGACATTGACAACACGATTTCTACTTGGGAATTGAGGGCGTCCTTAGTTGCCTGCAAAAGTTGCCCAAGAGGATGACATGTGTGTGGGCATCCCTGGATGTCCCTTGAGGCCCTATTTAAGCCTGACGGCTGGCAAGGGCGGTACAAACATTTGATGTAAAAACTGAACACCCTGCGAACGCTTGAGTTTGGGGAGTCCATCAAGGAGTATGATTTTGGCAGGCTCTCCGCCAGGCACACTTTGCCTCTGGCAGGAACACCATGTTGTTCTAACAATGCATCCCCGGTGTGCGCACCTTCTCGATGCGGCCGGGGAATGCGCCGCCGGTGCCGCCGGGCGTGTTGGTGCCCGGGGCGGCGCCGGTGCCAGGGAACGCAGCGCGAGACGCGGGCGTCGCCGGTGCCGCCGGGGCGGCCTCCGGCGCCGGCGCGGGCGCTCCTGCGCGGCGCAAATCAAGGCATCTTTAGTCATTTGTGACATGCATGCCGCATGCCTGGCTCGCTGCTGCATGTGGGGTTCCTTGAACAGTGTTCCGCGCATCGAGGTTCCCCCAAAAGCACACGTTCTGAGGTTGCACATCATGCACCCTAATCCCTAAACTCTACACATGGGGGCCAGATGCCCTCAATGCCACAAAACCCAAGACTAAGGGGTAGTATTCAGCTTCTGTTGGGGAGTCGCACAGCTGAGCCATGATGTAGCTGCTGTGCCCATTCATTATGCAGTGACACGGGAGGGTGTAAGGTGCCACGCGCAAATGCTGCAGCAGGCAAGTTGGGATTGGGATCGATCAATACCTGGTTTGGGATCCCTCAGTTGTGAGACCCTGGTGGGTGTGGCCATGGCCTTAGCAGCCTTTACAGTGCCACTCTGCTGCTGTAAGGCCGCTGCCTGCTGCATAAGGGCTGTGTTGATCTGTGGCGCCAGTTCAACTTTCTGGGCTGAGCACAGGCCGCCGCAAAGGAGCAGCAGGGCTGCCACCAGTGGGAGGACCTGGGTCCTTGCCATCTGCGCTGACTTGATTGGAGTCTCTCACCAGCTGCCCTGTCCTTGATCCCGCTTATTTACCGGTCTATTCCTGCAAAAAATCATGGAAGATGGTGAGGCATGCAACCCAGACGTAAATCTGCCCCGTCCTGTCTAGCACCCCAGGTAACTGTGGCAGATCCTCTTCTTCCCCTGCTGTGAACTGCTTCCGCCGGGGCTGCAGGTCGCCGCTATCTCCGTGGTATGATGTCTGGAAGTAAGATCGTGTGTAATCGCCTTGACATCGCTTAAGTAAAGCCTGCCCGAGGCTCCGGCTGAGTGGACGCCCTCGCCTTCGCGATCAAAACATATAGTACGATGCCGGAGGGCGGTTCACTATGCCGAACCGCACTTGGACGCCATCAGCGTGCATTCAAATCGAAATATCTTTGATATGTAGTTGAAGCATCTGTGACATATCGCTTGAGCGCAATACTCTTGCTCTCCGATCTGCCAGATCTAGCCGACGGAGACAGACCCGGAAAGGACTAAAAGCCATTGAAACACCTTGTGCGACCTTCTATACGCACTCTAGCACTGAATCTCCTTGCATCAACATAAAATCGGTCTGAAATTTCCCCGTCAATGTGGTTCCCTGTCTGCTCCGAAGGAAATCTTGCGGATCGGGGAGGCGCTCACCAGCACTCCTGGCCAGTGACGGTCTGTCCAATTGACGATACGTCTTCTTCTTTATCTTTCGTTTCAATCTACTTGTAGATGAAGAAACCTCTGGTAAAGTTCGGAAAGAAACATCGATGACAAAAGCCCACCGCGTCTTTCCAGAAGGAACGCCAGCCGAGACTGCAGGTTTGAAGGGAACATTTTTTTGAATCATGCATGTCAATAATAGTAAAAATAATAATATTCTGTAGGAGAGTGGCGAACCCAGAGCCCAGAGGGCCATAGGGCATACACAGGTCCGTCTGCAGCCGGAACCCGGGGCCGATATGCGCAGGCTTGCAGCCTTGTCAACTCGCAAGCTGTCAAGCTTGCGAGTTGAAGTCAATTGTTACTTTACATGCGCACAAACCATCTTCGACCTGGACATATACACCTAATATGGTGCAGACGGCTCAGACTCACTTGGTATGTGCTAAAGAAGAATCTTGAAAACACAACAGCAGTTCTGGAAACGGCAGTTCAAGATCTTGAACTGACAATCCACCGCAAATGTTAAGCAAACCAAAACCTTGCATGATTCATCCCTTGAGATAGACGCAACATCAAGACAGCTGTGCAGCCACTTTCAGCAAGCACGTGAGGTCACCGCCCTCAATCTCATTACTCCCTGGATCCATCACCATTGCGAGCATTTGAAACCAAAGGTACAGCAACATTGTTCCATCAGTCAATCTTCAAGTTGACGCGCTCTAAGCATTATGAGCTTCATGAAGGAAGCTGCCGCAAAGGGAAAGAAGAAATGGTCTCAATCCCCTAGATAATGAGCCTGACATGCTGAACGGCACCACTGGGAGAATATTAGAAGAGCAACCAGTAAAGACTTTGCAACTGGATCATTCTTCACAGCACTTCAAACCCACCCTGCCAATGTTACACCTGCACGATACCCCCATGTACCCAGCAAACTTCTCCAACCAATATTGTACACTGCCAAAACATGGCATGTCAATTTCCGCTGCTGCCAAACACTTGCGGAGCAACTGAGTGCTGCGCTGAAAGAAAAGGTTGCGTACCCAAATGGGCGTTTAGAATCGCAAAGTCCTCGTTTGAAGCTCCTAGTGTTCTAAGAAATTCCAAGGCCTGGCTGTCCTCCCACTTGAATAAAACTCCATGGAAGGAAATTGGCTGCGCAAGGAATTGCCAATCACTGTTTTCCTCAGCTGGCCAGGCCGCCAGGAGCACACACCTGCAGGCATGTGCCGGCTACCCTCCAGATCGTCCCTTCCAGCAAGCTGAAGGGTGGAAAACCTTATGCTTGCCCCAATCTGCATGGGCTGTCAGTGCCCCATGCATGAAAGGACAACAAGCCTCACAGGTGCTGAAGCAACGCTGCCCTGCCCGGCAGCCTCTCTTTGCTGACTTGCTGCAGGAAGAAAGTCCACCCAGATCTCACTCTGTCCCCAGCTACGCAGAGTGGTAACACCAACAACGCCAACCCATGATTCCAATAAAGACAGGCCTTCCTGCTGCAGCCATGCCGATGTGCCCACATTGCGAACACCACTCTGACAACCCTCGGAGCCAGGCAGCCGCCGGAGCATGTCACTCGTCGCGCATGCGCTGCCGCTTATCTCCGAGCTGCGGCTCGCGTGTGGAGGATGGATACAGCGCAAAGTGCACGTGGCACTGGATCTCCTCCTCTGAGTACTCCTGCCCTGACGGCGCCTTCACCTGCATAACAAGGTGGAACGTGAGAAGAACATCCCCGACATCGAGTGACAATCTAGAGGGTTATTCCATATTGTCTGCATGCGAGAGAGGAAGTGCACAGTACGCCTGGCCGCTGACAGTCTTGCTGGGCATGGACAGGTGGGCATGCATGATGCATCGTGGTAAACACAAGAGCCATACCTGGAATACATCGCAGACAAAGCCGTCTGCTGTGGTTGTCACCGCCGCTGTTGTGATCTGCATCAGGACACAGAAAGTCCTTCAGATACACCTCCCACCCACCCTTATTCTACCACACTCCACTTTGCATGCAATTGCCGACAAGGACGTCATTTATCACTTGACGTTTGCAGAGAAAGCGTGGTGCCTCACCTCCAATGGGAAGGATTTCAGCGCTGAGATCACATCTGCCAACAGCCCCCGCCGGTCCTTGCAGTTCACCTGCGCAGCGCCAATCAGCAGCCCATCAGCACAGGCAGCCAGACTGCTTTGTCTGCCCACAATGCTGTACAAGGCAGGCATGCCAGGCTTGCATAAAAGCTGATTGGCGGAGCATGCGTGGCCGATACTGTACTGCATGAAAATCAAAGCACAGATGAGTCCACAAAGCCAAAGGTTCATGACTATGTTGTTGGGCCCAATGAACACGACAGGGATAATACGAAAGTGAGCTGACCTTCACAAGCAGGCAGCCATTGCTCCGCTCAACGACCACCCCAGAAGACATGGGCGCTCCTTTGGGCACCGATGGAAGGTCCTGCGAGGGTCCTGACGAGGATGCAGTGTCGCTGCAGGGTGCACAGAAACAGGAATCAGCAATTGTGCTCTTCAGACCTCTACGTGCCTTCAACGGACCTCATTAACATTGACCTATTGATGACATGGAGATTCAGGCCACCCATTGCTGAGCTGGCAGCTGGCAAGCACAGCCAGGCCGCAGGGCGCCTCATCATCAGTGGGAAAATGTCAGGCGCGGAAGTATAAGCAAAGGCACTGGTGTGTCGGGACCTTCAGAGTCTTGGCATCCTCCGCATGCTGGGCGCTTATTACAATTAAGACTTGGAATTGTTTGTCAGGCATGTCAGTCATTTACCTGTTGAATGCCGTGCCCTCAGGGAGGGATCGCCGCAGCAGATCCTGCGCCCCATTCTCCTGCGAGTGCTGCGAGTCCTCTTTGCCGCCGCCGCTCTGCGCTCGCGCGAGCGCCTTCTCGGTAGCATGCACCTATGACACCCCCCCAGCTGCCCACATCAGACACCACCAAACATGAGCATCAAGCGGGCATGTCACATGCAAGTAGCTCAGTGCATCAAATCCTGCATGATCTCCCAAGGCACACTGTTGCTCAGGGCAGGACATGTGACTCGCTTAGAAGAGGGAGCAGGAAGGTTGGGAAGTAAGGCAAGGCATCTCAGATGCAGGGGGCTTCTAGTCTGGTGTTGAGCTCTGAAGCACCTTGTCAGCCAGGGACTTGACGAGGAGAATGGTGTCCGAGAGGACAACATGCTTGGGCCGCTTGGTGGGGTCCAGATTGTCCTGGGATGTGTTGGCGGACTCCTTCTGCTGTGGGGGCACCAGATCTCGTAGCTGTGCCAAACACAGAGACCTGTGAGAGAATAGCTGACACCTTCCACCCATGCATGCCTTTCACACGAGCCATGCATGCCACAAATGGATCCAATTCTTATTCCTGGTTGAGAATGCAAGAGAAGCTGTCTTGCTGCTCAAGACACCAGTGCTGAGCTGCATGCACAGAATATGCACAACAGGAATAAGACGTACAACTGCAGAATAAGAATTGCTGTGCAGGTGAGGGCAGCACCTCATCGATGAGGGAGTTGATGCGATCTCGCCTATTCTTCTCCACAGTGCTGTGACTGGTGTGCTGCTTGGTACCTGTGATGGCAGCAGATGACAGTCTTAGAACAATTTGAATTCGATCGATTGATATGCAAGTCAGGGATCGCACAAAAGCAAGGAGCTAAAATGGTGAAGACGTCATGCTTCGACGTCATTCAAGCCAATTATATGCTCTTCGTGAGATTATCTTTGCGACACATGCAACAAAAGCTTCTGTGAAGCAGGTCGTACAGCTTTTCTTGACGAGGAGCAGCAATCCAACTCACCTCTTTTCACTGGAGCACCTGAGCCAGGGTGCAGCTCTGAACTGAATTGCCGCGGCCTTCCAGCAGGCGATGTGAGGCCACCTGATCCCAGCTTCGCGAAGGCTGCACTCAGCGGTTGAGCTTCTGATTTCAAGGGAGCCCCAGCTGCACTTGGCAGGCTATCTGCAGGCCCTAGGCTGCCAGCATGATTGGGCGATGGACTGGCTGACCCCTCCAGTGGACTCCTCAGACCCGCTGGCTCCAATCCACACATAGGCTCCGCCTTAATTCTGGACTGGGGCCCAAGGCTGATGTTGCCCTGATGGAGAGGGTTCAGCTCAGGGTCCAGCTGCATGCCAAGATCGAAGCCCAGGCTGTCTGGTTGCCCCATTGCCTGGCTGGAAAACGGATCGCTCTCGATCTGTGACAGGTATGGCTGCGCCCCGTTGAGACCCTGGTCTAGTCCCAGGCTGGTGAAGGGGTTTCCGCTGAATCCTCCACTCGGGTGTGGCTGGAACTGCAGGGAAACGGAGGCAGGAGGTGCGTTGCCTAGGAACACGTTACTGCTGTGGTTTGCAACAGGCTCGTCCTGCTGCCGCTCCATAAATTGAAGGACGTCGTCAAGCTCACTCTTGCTGAAAACATAGTCGAAGAGGGAGTCATTGGCTAGCGCCTCGGCGACGTTCGGAGGACTGACTTCCATCAGACGAACGTGAGGTTGCCACCAGCTCGCAGGATGCGCTCCAGTCCAATGAATCTCTCCAAGCGGAAGGCTGCCGCGGTCTGCACCTGGCCAAAGCGGCAGGCAACAACATATAATCACCGCGCATTTACTATTCTCGCCTAGCTTTCAGATGTACTGATCACAACTTTCTGGCTCCACATCAATTTGCTCGAGTCTATACTGGGTGCTTTGCGTCTGTGTTTGCATTGTTGATCGCTCCTTGAGCCGCCTAAAGCCACCCCACTTTTTGTGTGCTGCACCTGTTGTACACGTACAGGAATTGTCGTTTACTTGGGCAGGTTTCGATGAGCATTCTCATGTAAATGCAAAAAAGTCTTAAAGCCTAGAAGCACAGGCGTCAGTCCAGGATGGGGAGATCATTGCGGCGTGCAAAGAAGTTTCGTCCCAAGCTCACTGTCAAGGGAAAGAAAAAGCCGCGTACAAAGGCCAAGATTCCCCTCGAAATTACAGCACATCGACCTGGCATGGCTGCAAAGCTGGGGGCCGAGTGAGCGACCTGTGCACTCCCTTGATGGCTGCAGCAAGTTGTTTCTTGCTGTGGCTCTCTGGATTCATTCTTTTGTCAATTGCCTACCAGCCCATCTAACATTGATTCCCATTGTCCTTTGCAGGCCAAATTGGGATCGAGAGAAGCCTCTCACATCCAACTATGCTAGCAACAAGGTCCTCCAAGACCCCAACGCAGGCTTTGGCAGGAATGCCAAGCCGGACATCATCCAGGTGATCTCCAGGACAACCACATTCCATCTCGCTGGCTATAATTTCCAACTCTCTCTTTTTTGTGTGTCAGTGAATCTGCAATCAATAGCAAGTTGCAGCGGTATCTGCTGTGTTGCATCTTTTGAGACCTGACTCTACTTCTGGTTCCCTGCAGGATGATGAGGAGATAGACAATGAGGCAGAGAGCGATGATGGTGTGCTCCCATGCACCTCAGCAGTCAAACTAGCATTGTGTCTTGTGTGCACGCGCTCACAACAATACCAGAGACAGCGTAATTCATAGCATGCATTCGGGCCTGGAATCGACCCCTTTTTGGCCGTTAGAGTGGTGAAATATTTTCACATGGCCTTTACAAATCAGTCATAACAGTCCAAAATGTTTGGATGTACAGATCTGAGGGCGCTTGAGGGCAAATGCCGAAGGAGCGGCCCAGCTCCCCTGCAGAAGCTCACAACAAACCAGCGGCAGATCATGGAGCGCTTGAAAGAAGCACACGGGGATGATCTGCAGGTCAGCGCATGCACTCTCCTAGCCCATGGTTCCAGAACATTTTGCGCTGGACAAATGTGCATGCAATTCATGCACAGGGCTTATCACTGCGAGCCCAATTTTGGACTTGCAGGTGTGTTATCGAGTGCTCTGCATGACTTCAAATTTCAGATGACTCGTACCCATGACCGGACCAGCCGGTGAGAGGAATGTGGAAGCAGCATCTGCTGAGCAATCAATCAACGATGTGTTGCTGCTGTGTCTGCAGGCCATGGCGCGGGACAAGAAGCTGAATCGAATGCTTCTAACGGAGGGGAAGTTGCGGAAAATGATTGCAGCCTATGAGACAGTTGGGGACAGGGGTCGGTGTGGGTTCAGGGTGCCCAACAAGCGACTCTGGTGATCACATTGGCCCTTAGTCTCAGGAAACGCCCAGGATTTATGTGCTTGCATGTGCTTCACGAGCTGCATCATTTGAGATGGCAGATGAGCTCACCTGTGCTTTTCAAGGTGTTGAAGAAGTGTGGCAGCAGTGTCAGGTCAAGACATGCAAGAACGCATGTGGAAGATAGATTAGGATCAATGACAAGATAATGCTCATTTGTTGGCATGACAGCGACGGCTTTTGACATGTGAGTTGCCAACACAGCAGCTTCAGAGCATGTAACCCTGCTTATTTGTACATATTGCAAACAAGGGCCTCTAAGGCAGTGAAGGGAGATAGGTTGCCAACATGAACGGCACAAACTTTTGAGATCCACGTATGCGCTTGTAACTTCCTTGCGCAATCTATAGGAAGCCTTCACAGACATTCCACAGGCCTACAGGCGTAATAAGTGAAACGCCATGAGCAGTTTACAACTCATGGCAATCACAGCTACGTGTTTCTTTGTGGACGCAAAGTTTTGGCTGCAGTAACGACTCTTGAGAGCGTGGGATTTCCCATAACAATTCTGATGTCGGGGTCAGCACAAGCATGCTTCATCCCATCCCATGGCCATCACATGAATGGTAATGACACTCTGCTTGCACCTTCATGTACCTCAGCTACATGCATGTCAAGCCTCACAGCATGGAGGCAGCTTCCTCAGTGCTTCCACATGCTCCTGCTTCACTTGACCTCAATACCCACAGTGGACTCTCCAGGCGGCCACCCTGTGTGAAGAGCCATCAGAGAATAAAGATCAGCCGTGCTCTTCCACCTTCATTCTCCGATCAATTCATGGCACAACACACAGGCAGAACAAGTCCAGCCTCTTTAACCTGGCTGCGTGCCAAATGGAAGGCTTCGCGGTCATCTGCATTCAGCCAGATGTTCAAAGAGACCAGACTTGAACTGCCTTGTATCAACAAGCCCTGCAAGAAAGTCAAGTGTGCAGATGCACTTTGCACAACCCCAGAAGAAGACTGATGATTCTCTCAACTGCAGAGCGGCCATGAGCGCCATGAGCGGCCATGAGCGCAATCTGTAGGGCTCACTTCTCGTACAACCCATGCACTGAACAATGCATTGCAGGCCGAATGCAACACAGTCCGTGCTACATCAATCATGCATGCATGCACACGTCAATTATGCATGCATGCACACCTGTCTGCTCCTCGAAGTCCCACAGGTCAGTCAGGTTCTTGTAGGGGCCCTCCGGCCGGATGAACCAGGCACTGCCGTCCACCATGCGTTTCTGCACAGGCAGCACCAGCAGTCACCATGTTCAGCTCTACATACATCCATTGAGTTCTTGCATTGGGGTAGCCTCATGGGGAGAAGTAGCCTCTGGCAGCCAGTGTTATGTGCTTGGGCCTTTCTGAAGGTCCTGAGGAGGGGTCATAGTCAGCAAGGACCAAATCTAGCGGTGTTTGTGGAGGTTGGCAAGTGGAGCAGCACTTCTGGCAGGCTCAGCACAGTCGAATGGTAGAGCCCACAATTTGGCGGTCTCACTTGGCAGTGCCTTGAGGTCGCCACTTGGTCGGCCAGGGAATAGGAGTATGGTGCCTAAGTACGTTGGCATGAGTCCACTTACAAGACCCATCAGCATGCATCAGTCTGAAGGAAGGCAGATACACTCTGGCATCACATCTGAGGCAGGAAGACTCTGCAAGCAAACCTCACAGGAGGATCCAATCACATATTCTTGATCTAATGTCCCCCTCTGCTCCTAGGGCCAGGGGAAAGAATGCACTCAGCTAAGGGCCTGTGAGCCGGGGCCAGAGGCAGCCCATCAACATGCATAAGATTTGGGGGTTTGAAAGCAGGTGGAGGCACTTCAGCAACCTGTTCATTCCCAGAACTGAGGCAGCATGCACCAGACAAAGGGAGATGAAGGTAGGTTAAGAACCCCTGACAACGCCTCAAACCCCAAACCTGAGGCACCAAGATAAGATGCTGCAGCTCATTGCTGGGGCCCAGTCAACAAGTCGTCCCCCCAGCGTTCCTTCTATGTTTGAAGGAAACATGAGCCAGGGCAGAAGCAGACCTGGTAGCCGAGGAAGTTGAGGTCCTTGAAGTCTTCAGGGGGCATCTCCCAGTTGGCAGCCTCCAGGTTGCCCTTCATGTGCTCCACCGTGGTCGCCTTGGGGATGACTGATGTGCCACGCTGGATGCCCCAGCGGATCAGCACCTGCGCGCATGCATGCACCGCTTACCGTCACATGCCAGCACATGCTTGTGATTTGTCACACTGCAGATTTAATCCTCGTGTGCAGGTATTTTGATAGAGATGTTGCGGACTGGCAACCAACACATGACTCCCACTGCAGACAACTCAGTCCATGAGCTGGGCTTGGTCGTCAATGCAGTGACAGTCATGCGGCGTGTGCCGTAGTTCACACCAGAGCACGGCCAATGTTTGCTGTCGACTTGAGGCCAGTTCTCCCCCTTTTCCAACACTTATCAAGTCTATTGAAGATCAATCACTGTCGCACTATCAACCCAAGCAAGCGCCCGACCACTGTATTATGCTGGGTCGGATCAGATGTGCTAGAAAAAATTTAGTTAGGGGTGATTGATAGAACAAGTCAGGAGGCATGTGCGCGCACCTGCGCAGGGTTCTTGCCATGCTTCTTGGAAACCTTTTGGACGAGGGGGTCATGAAGCAGCACGGGGACATTCTTGTCGCGGTGGGTCATGCTGGCGCTGTCCGGTGTGCCCAGGGGTGAGTATGCCGTCACATGCATGCCCTGTCACATGACATGACACAGATATCCATTTTGCTCATGGGCATCTTAATCACATGCATGCTTTGTCAAATGACAGGACAATCTTCTTATTTTGCTCATAAGCATCCCAATCATAGGCATGTCCTGGTGCATGACAAAGACCCAGGTCTCAGAGGTTCTTTTCAGTCAAATGCATGCCCCCCGTACATGGCAGTGCATGTCAGCAGTGCTGGAGGAAGATATACATCATCCATTCTCACATGCAGGCATTGATTCTGCCTGGCCACTGAAGACTTAAGACATGCAGCATAGGTGTTCCAGCATGCTTGATGCTTTTAGTGCACTTGCAGGCCTACATTGCTTGAGTAATACCATACACATTCTGCATATAGGCGTGCCGTAGGGCTAGCAGAGTCCTGGAAAGTAGAGGAATGTGACCATGCAAGCAACTTGCAAGTAATGCCAGTGCATGCAGGTGGCGGCAGGTGCGCGCACGTGGGTCTTGCAGAAGTGGATGTTGTAATTGTTGCGGAAGTACGGGTGCCCCTCTATTTGCTGCACCGCCGGCTGGATGCGCGCATGACTGCGAAGGTCCTGCATGCATGCAACCAGCATCCATCATGCCACTACCTATATGACTCAGGCACGGAGTGGCTGTCTGTCTGCGCCTCTGTTCAGTTGCTGTGGCTGTCCGTTGGGGTATCCCTGCCTCTGGCGACCCTCATGTCACACTCAGACTTCTCAAAGTCTGTCTTCATGTATAGCAGGTACTTAATAGCAGCAGTAGCCCTGGGGTATATGCTGTGAAGTGATTGCACTGCTCACGACACACTTGAAGGATCAGACTGTGACATGAGGACAGCCATGAATGTGATCAGCGATCACCGCCACAGGATTTTCTACAAGCAGCATTCGCGGAAATCAGAACAGGCGCATGCATAACTATATCTTTCTTTCAATGCCCAGGCAGGCATGGACAGCATCCAGCAAACTGATAAGAGGTTCAGAGGGCGTGCCTCCAGCTTTTTGACGCTGAAATTGGAGACGCCGATGGTCTTCACAAGGCCATCGTCCACCAGCTTCTCCATGGCCTGCCAGGTCACCTGCCACGTCATCACCACACAGCTCAGATATATAATCTAATATGCTTTTCCTACCAGCTCACAGCTCGGAAATGCTGAGTAAGAATCCACTCTGGTGGTGCTCTGCACCTGCTGCCCTTTCCGTGTCACTCCCTTGAAGTGTCAAGACAGTGCAAAGTCTTGAGACTGGTGCATTGCCAGGCCACAATCTGCAGCTGTGAGAGCAAAGGGCTGCAGGATGCATCATGCAAATGCTCCAATACGTCATGCAGATGCATTGGAACGATTGCCTGCCAATTAATCCCTTCTTTGCCCTCCATGCAACCTCTCAGGTCATCCAGGAGCCTCTGGCTCTCGATGCGGCATATCAAGCCCCCATAGGGAAGGGCGCTGCTTAGTCACTACTCCTCACTTCAGTGAATCAACATCTGAATTTGGCAAAGGGTGGATTTCCTTGATGGGTGGATCCACGCTGGGCCCCTCCTTGGCAGCGATAGGCCAGTGCATGAGGAAGAGGTCCAGCTGCTCAATCTGCAACTCCCTCAGAGTCTCCTTGCATGCCTCTATCACTCTCTCCGGGTCATGGTCCTTGTTGTCCAGCTGCACAGGTGGGAAATATCAGAAGCATCAGCAGACAGCACCTTGGGTTAAGCTTGGATGTGCACATCCCTGAGTGTCAAGGGCAGCAAATGACATGCCAGAAGGCTCCACTGAGTATGAGGCAACAGTAAGTGCCCAGTGAGCACACTTCATGCACTCTGTCTCTGTTTGTTGAGCCAGCACTCTGCCTTGACGACCTTCCTACCAGGTGCTCTCGTGACTGTGCACTTGAAGGCCCAGTGCACCCCAATAAGCAAAAGGCCTGTGGTATAAGTCTGAAGATTGCAGGGAAAGCTCTTAACACTGGATGCAAGCTGCTTGCATGGCAGCGACAGACACTCCACAGACCATGCTTCTGCAACAGAAGGGTAGCAGCATGCTGCAGGAAGGGTCAAATGGGGGACTGAATTCTGAGCAACAAAAGTGCGCCAATAGGGGCAGTGAAGAGGGACAATTGAGCTCCCTGAGACCCAATGAGTGCATGGTACGCACCTTGGAGGTGATCCACACATCTTCGCGCTTGACCTTGCCCTCCTTGAACACCTTGTGCAGCGTGCGGCCTACCTCGTCCTGGTTGTGGTACAGGGCTGCGCAGTCAATGTGCCTGCCAGCAGCACAAGCAGCTCTGTCTGTAAACGTGTCAGCCTGTCTCTGAAGATTTCAGTGAAGTGGAGACTGGTCAACATGCCAGAACATGAAGAGAGGCTGTGTCAAGCTGTTAGCATGTTGATGAAGTGAGGCTGGTCGAGATGTCTCATGCTGCCAGCACAAGGTACAGGTATTGGCTCCCATGAGGCTGGTGAAGATGCCTCGTGCTGCCTGTTCATGGCACTGCTTTGATGCTGTGTGAAGTAGAATTAAGAGCTCCCAGTCGCAAGGTATCACATCTCTCCATCATGGCAGGGTACACCTTGCCAAAAAGAACAAAGTGTGATACCCTGTGGCTGTTATGGAAGGAATGCTTGCTTACCGAGGAATCTGAGAGGCACACTTAATTGCCGCTGTTTGCTTTGCTTACAGGCGCTGTGTGTGTGTTGTGCACACTGGCTATGGAACAGCAATATGTATCCCATATGTATTGATGGGACGGACCCTTCCACATGCATGGGAATGCAGCGGTCTCAGATTGGCGCTGGGGGAAGGAAGCCAGACCTGTAGCCCAGCTTCAGAGCATTCTCCACAGCTTTGCCCACCACACCAGGCTGCAGCACACCAGGTGCCTTTCCTCATAGATACTCACAAAAAAGCTGGTACAAGAACAAGGTCGAAGAGGCCCACTAGCCTGAATTCGCATCCGATAATTTCAGCAGAAGGTTGACGAAAGAGGTTCTCCTAAAAGAAGGTCTGATCTTGCTCTTGAATTAATACTGTACCTCCGCTTTCCAGGTGCCGAGGCCCAGCAAGGGGATCTCCAGTCCATTGTTCAGCTTCTCTTTGGGGACGTCCACGACTTTGTACTCCCTGCAGGGCAGACGTGCAAAGACGTGCAGAAATTGGCTCGAGACGATGCAATCAGCGCAAGTGTGCCCATTTCTGATTGACTGCATACATTTATCTGGTTTCCGACACCGAGGACAAGGGGAAGGAAGGCAACGGCGTACTTGACATCGATGTCTGTCATCGTTGTCGTCCTTGTCACTGTGATTGATAGACGAAGAAGAATGGACGATCGTTTACGGAAATTCGTTCAGTCTCCCAGCAATATCGACTCGATTCATTTTGTGCCGTGATTGTGCAGTATGCAACGATCAAGTGCAACCGAACGACGATCCAAGATTCCTGAACCCGTGCCTTTTCCTCTATCTACAGATTGTGTGGCAACACTCGATTTAGTGTGCAAACTCAATAGGACACCCATCAGAACAAATCTGCATTGAATACAGACAAAGGAGGTGACACAAGTCTGGCCGGTCTTCTGGCATACGTTCATGTTTATCCCGTTCTGCAGGTATCTTCCACCAGAATACCTAGCTGCACATTGGTCAGCTCGCCCGCTGGGAGCAACATGTACTCTTCACCTCAGTTGCAGGGTGCTTATTTTGCAAAAATCCGAACAGAAATTCCTGCTGAACAGTACCATACTGGTCACTCTAACTCGGCACTTTGCTGTTCAGCAGGTGCCTGTACAGTGTTGGTCCATGATGTGGCCACAGCAGTGCCATGTGGCTATACCTACAGGCCCAAAATACACATCAGCACATGAGCTTTTACTCCTCCTTCTTGACTTCCTCACCCATCTCGCCATCCCAGACATCATCCAGTGTGCGGTAGGGGCCCTCAGGCTGCAGCCACATTGAGCCATCCACAAAACGCGCCTGCACACAATCTGATCTTTTCAGATATAAAGTTCTATAGTCCTAGCTAGATGTTTTATTAGCTGGGAGTCTTAAATGCCACTTTCTTGCCCTCTAGAGTAATTCTCCTGTCCTTAGGCCTGATGGTCATGTGGTAACGCTAACATTACATCAGCGCTGCCATGAGCACATGGGCAAGCTGCAGCACACCACGTGCAATCTGCGCTCCTCTTTTCTGGCGCTCGCTCTGTCTTGATGTCTACATTCCCCATTCACGAATCTGCATGCATGCGCATGCACGCTGTCATCGACAGAAGCACTCAAGACTGCAGTGTTTGTCTCATGCAAGGATCTCATGCCGCCACATGACAAGAGACAAGAGTGGATACCAACAGATCTAATATAGGATTTAGAATGTGTGCGGACCTGAAACTGGATGCTGCTGATGGCCTTGAAGTCATCCTTGGGGAGCTCCCAGTTGAGTACATCCAGGTTGCTGCGCAGGTGCGGCTCGCTGCTGGCCTTGGGGATGACTGATGTGCCATGCTGGATGCCCCACCGCACCAGCACCTGCGCACACATGAGTCATGAGTATGTGACGTGACTAGTTCACACCCTTCACAGTTCTATTGCAAGATTGCGAGGCACTCAGGGTGGTTCTTTCTTGGCCTTTCATTCAGACAGTGCATTGCCCTATCAAGGCAGTTCTGTCTTGATAGTCCTGTTTGGGGATAGCAATGTCTTGTATGTAAGGCTAGCCACTCACACAAAGGATTGCACCATCATTGCACCATCATGATGCCCGTCAGAACAAACCCCAATTAAGTGCCATGGCACCTGCTTCATGATTTGAACGGGTGCCTCAAGATCTAGATATCTATCGAAGTGATGCTGGAACATACCTAGCCTTGAAAGGCCAAAAAAGCATGTAATGATTGAAAAAGAGGTGCCTCAAACCAAATGACTCAGTTAGGAAAAGAGGATAACCTGTGCGGGTGACTTGCCCAGCTTGTCAGCCACCTTCTTGACAGCCTCTTCCTGCAGCAAGGAGGGTGTGTCTCCATGCCTCTTCATCATGCTGGCGCTGTCAGGCGTGCCCAGGGGAGAGTACGCCGTCACATGGATCCCCTGCATCGCCATCAGTCATCAATCGCTGGCTCTTAATTACATTAAACACCTGGCCACCCGGCAAACATCCCCACAGCTCCTCATCACAGTCTACGGTATAACCCTTCAGCCAATCACTCAACAACTTACCCCTCCAGCCACTCACTCGGCTAATTAATCAAAAAATTTATCACTGCATGTGCAGGTATGACAGCAACACTTGGTCACCAAGGACCGATTAAAAACAATGGGAATTGGAGGGCCAACCCACCTTCGAGTGGCAGAAGTCGATGTTGTACTGGTTGCGGAAGAACGGGTGCACCTCGATCTGGTTCACTGCAGGAGTGATGCGCGCATAAGACAGCAGATCCTGAGAACACAGCAGGCACATTCCTGTTTTTTTTTGTTCTGACACTGTGTGTATGAACGTCCAGCATTGTTTGTCTAGTACCTTACCTACACAGTGTGCAAAGGTTTCAGATAGGAGCACTTTGGCATCCTGCTTTCGAAGGATAGTGTACCTTGATCTTTTTGACGCTGAAGTTGGAAATTCCGATCGATCGGGTCAGTCCTTCGTCGACCAGCTTTTCCATGGCCTGCCATGTCTCCTGCAGAACGATAGATCCCATTTCCCAGTCAGAGCCGCATTAGTCATGTATGCCGAACGAATAGGTACGTTTGATACAAGGTGTAAAAGCATACGATGAAACCCTGATGCCGAAACCAGCCCAAGAGAAACCTCTAAATGGTTCCAGCTTTTCAAGCCCTTTTGGGCTTGCTGACGTCTCACATGATGCTATCAAGGGTAGCAGAATCAATTTCACTCTATTCTGTTCTCCCTTGTCAGTTCTCCCCCTTTTATATACTCCCCTTGAGGCTATGAGCCATACCTTGATTGGCGGGTCAACGGTGTCCCCCTTGTTGCCGCTGACGGGCCAGTGCATAAGGAACAGGTCCAGCTGCTCAATCTGCAGCTCCTTCAGCACTTTCTCGATCGCTGGCCTCACTGCGTCCGCCGCGTGATCCCTGTTGTGCAGCTGCAGCAGCAACCCACACAAAATAACTCCTTAGCTTGCAAGGCCTCCATTCTAGGAAACAGGGCAGCAGGCTGTCACTCCTACACAGCGATATACAGAAGGATCAGCAGGGTCTTCTGCGCAATGTTTCAATGCGCGGTTGCTCACCACTGACTAACCCTGCCGTTTGCGCACAAATAGAATGATTCTTTTTGGTCATGAAAACATCTGCATAGGGGTGCATGTATTTTGACGGCTGTAAATCCCTTTCCCTGAAACCTCTTTGTATTTCTAAGACGGGCAAATCACAGTCACAAGTGCTTGACAACTTACAAGTCAATGGTATGCTCTCCGCGCCAAATCGGCTATTAGATCAGCAACGCATGTCAGGCAAGCAGGGCAGACACCTTAGAGGTGACCCAGATGTCTTCGCGCTTGATCTTGCCCTCCTTGAAGAGCTTGGTGAAGGTGCGGCCCACGCCCTCCTGGTTGCCATACATGGCAGCCTCATCGATGTGCCTGTAGCCCAGCCGCAGGGCCTTCTCCACCACAGCTCCAACCTCGTCAGCCTGCAAGAGCAAAACAGTAGTCAAAGCTGTAGCATAAATGTAGTCAAAACTGTTGTTAAACCTTCTCATTTTTCTCCCCATCATGGGATGCTGTCCATGTCAATGCTGCACGGTGCCAAAGGGCTAATAAATTATAGCTGATCAGGCAGTGTGAGCCAAGAAAACTTCATTACTGCTAGCTATAAGACAGCTACCTAGGTGCCTAGGAACTGGAATTCTTGTATTAATACTAACAGTAATACCACACAGTCTGCGCTGGTATTTGAGGACGCTTCAAGAAAATCTTCAGGCTCAGGGAGTAGTATGTGGCAGTGATTTCGCTGCTACTTGTGTTGGTGAGTGGGCTCAAGATGAGGCAGTGCGCACGCTTGCTTTCCAGGTCCCCAGGCCCAGAAGCGGGATGCTGGCTCCATTGTTCAGCTTTGCTCTAGGGATGTCCACAACCTCATACTGCCTGCAGTTAGGCACAAGTGTGAGGTGAGAATGCCTGCCCCTTAACAGTGCGGGTGTCTATGTGTATAGAAGCACCGAATTCCTCGCAGAACCCTCTCAGGCCCCAGACAAGCTCCAATTGCATATAACAAATATGCAGAAGACACGTTATTCTTAGATGGGTCAGGATCGTCGCTCTCAAGCCGGCTTGCGAGAGATATGGACAGATGACTCGGACTGATACAACAATATTTTCTTGAGAAGCAATACATAACCGTTGCTCTTTCTTCCCTTCATTTTTCGGGTCTAGGAGTGGGACGCACTGAGACTGCGTCATCGTGCAGCGTCGCTAAGTACTCTTGGTCGTCAAGCTTCGTTATGAGGTAAGAACGGTCGTTCTTATCTCTTTTCAGGGCTTGTTCTATATCTCAACCGGTAAAATGTCACGAAGGAATTGTGAACAGCACAGCTTCCTGATTATGGAAAGGTTTGAAATTTTGGACAGCCATGACGTCAACGGCAGCTGTCGGGCAGCTGGCTTGAAGGTGCTTCTGGAGGCGACCATTGGTGATTAGACAAGAACAGTCTTTGCTGTAAATTCACACAAGACACCACTTCAATTAATTTGTACTTTTCGGGTGATATTATGCCATGCCAAGCCAAACCAAATCATGCCAGGCCTTCTTGCATCCGGCCTTTTGGCTGAGGTCAACGCCTAGCTTTTACTTATAGCAGAAGTCAGCAATATCACTCCATACAGTTGCGTGCTTCACACAGCGCTCACTTTTGTCACTAAATGTCACTCTCTTGCTGCAGACGGTGCACCACTTCACACTCTAGATATAGACAGCCCACTCCCTCCCTCCTTCCAGGGCAGTGATCCGAGGGAGTCACTGGGGGCTGGAATGGTGCCCCACTAGGAGGTTATGTAAGACTCTCCAACGCTTAGTAAGCACTTGCCCCAATCATGGGGGTAGCTTTTTTGGCGTGCACCCCAGGGGGATCTATATCTGAGGGGCATGCTTAAGACATAGATCCCCCTGTCCAAACCCTGTCACTGGGGGTTGTTGAAGACCACGTGGGAGTGGATGTACTCGTCCAGGAAGGCCTCCAGCTTGTTGGCCATCTTGAAGTAGATGGTCTCGGCCGAGTTGTAGACGCGCGCGTTGGCGCACATGCGGTTGACATCCGCGATGAAGATGTGCAGCGTCACATAGTAGTCCCGCCTCGCTAGCCGCTGCTCTATCGTGCTCAGGTCCACCGGGTCCTGCACAGTGAAAACACTGAGGGCCCAGTTTTAGATTGAGAATACGTATATGACATGTGCTGCTGGCTCGTGGAACAAAGGCGGTGTTCACACAGGGGCCAGAATGCCTCTTTCTGGAACAATGCTACTGCCAGCAAGCAGGAGCTGTGAGCACCGAAGCCGCCCAGAATGGCAAGAGGGGCTAGCAAGAACTTTCCAGCTCCTGATCTCATCCAGGAACCACTGCCATAATGGTGTGACGCAGAGGAGCGCAAAATCCAACTTGGGAATGCTACCCACATGACGGATACTCTGCTGGCAGTGCATAATGGTCAAAGGTGCGAATAGCCCAGGCCACACACATTCGCAGATTTGCTACAGCTCAGCAATCGGGAGAATTCAGGCACGTTAAGCGGCAGTGACTCACCTTGACTATTTCGTAGTAATCCGGGACGTCCTCCGCATCTACGGGCTCCCGGAAGGGCCACGAGTCGTCCAGAGAGTACAGCGCTCTCCAGGCCCTCTCCTGCAATGCAATATGCCTTAGAGACAAAATGGTCCAGGAAAAATTTCAGCTGCCTAGTAGCATCAAAAGATGACGACGGTGATGAAAAGAGCCGCTTCCAGAAATGAACAGTAGACAGCCGCCAAATTGAGGCAGCAAGCATGCGCAATGCATGCCTGGTGAATCCGAAGAGCCAAGATAAGTGTTCAAGCTTATTTATCTGTGGGCGTGAACATGGTAAACGTTCTTTTTTCTGTGTATATATTGCATGCAAAGCACGGGGCACTTGCCCCTTTTAGCGCTCGCACTGCCTGACATGCCTTGCTTGCTGTTCATTACACCGTTTTCCTACCAAAGGCAAGGTGCGCAGGTGCAAGGTGCCTTGCTTCCTGTGCTGGTTAATTACAGGGCAAACACACCATGAAGCGCTGCAGGTTGTCTGGTGTGACTGGCAGGACCATGCGGTCTATGAGCAGGTTGTAATGCGGTGGCTCTGCCATCTCAGCCGTCCAGCCGGCCTCGGCCACGCCTGCGCCAAAATCCAGGCGCTCAGAAATGATATTCAAGGCTTGATAATGCCACACATGATTGAAGGCATGAGTGAAGGCAGATAGCTCTTCAAAGGCTGCCGCAGCAACAGCCTCTTGGTTTGCTGGCTGATTGGTGAAGTAGATTCCAGTGCACGTGCCTGACCCTGCAGCATGTTGGCATAATTGCTAGTGCACTCTGATATCTTGCAGCTTGCTGGTGGCCATTGCAAGCAGCCATCGATGACATGTTCAAGATAACGCGTGACTGCTTAACTTGGCATAGTTGTCTCAAACATGTAGTCGATGGCGACAAGCAGTACTCAGCCAGGCAAGAAGAAGGGCAAAAGCCATGCAATCACATTGACAGCATTCTTAATACCTGGTGAGCTGGCTTTCAGCAGTGTGTAAAGGAAGGCGATGCAAATCCATCGCCAGGAACCAAGAAGCTAATAAACAGTAAAGTCCAACAGGACATCTGCATGGAGACTATTGATTGGAGATGCAGGCTCACCGGGGATGCTGGCGATCTCCACGCGGCGCTGGCCGTCCCGGAAGGTGGTGAGGCCGGGGTGGATGACGTGGGACTTACTAAGCGTTCTGATGTGGCGGTCCAGGGCGGCACGTTGCGCGCGCAGCATGCCCGGCAGATCTGTGTAGGGCAGGCGGTCGCTGATTATGCACTCCATCAGCGTGCCCCCGTCGTAGTCCTTTATGAACCCCACCCACTGCGCATGCATGCATGCATGGTGAAATTCAAACGAAGCTCACGACAGATGTGTGGACTCCTCTAACCCCCACACGCACAGCAGAAATTTGGCTTCCACTGAAGATAGCCCATAGCAACTACATGATGATCCCTTGTCTTGCTGTATTGAAGCAGCAGGTCATTAGCGAGAGGCCTTCAGCATGTGACAGCTGACTTGTGCTTGCCTCGCATGCAAGCACATTCCTGGTTGGGAGCAATCAGCAATCTTGGCGAAACGAGTAGCAAGAAGGCATATGCATGGGATGCTCACCCTGTCCTTCTCCAGGGTGATCTCCTTTGTGAAGCCCTGCTTTGCAAAATACCCGACCGCGTTGTTGTCCGCATAGGTCAGGAAATGCGTCAGGTGGTCGTGCGCCCTGGCAAACTCCTGTGAGAGCACCCCCACTGAATCTGTGAGCGCTTTGACATGCACTGAAGACCTCCCTGCAGCTCCAGCAAGCTGACACATGCAGCTGCCACACTGCAACATCTTGACAGAGTTATCCCAAATACCAGTCACACCAATCATATGTTTGTTTCCCCTCTGCATCTTTTCTTCGCCACAACACTCGCACTCGGCAAAAGATACACTCGTATTCACTGACATTTGGACACAACAACGTATCTTTCATACTCTTGTTTTGTAGTTTTAGGGGTTAAAACCCCAAAACTGTAAACCATATAATAATACACAAGATCCTAAAAATGTGTTCAGAGAGGGTGCGTGCCTTTGTGTAGTTCATCAGCCGCGCTCCAAACCCCTTCACCTGCTCGATGGCTGTGACAGCGCAGAACGCAATCTCCCCAAAGCGCTGGTCGTGGAAGGGGCGGTAGGTTATCCCCCCCAGCACCTGCGCATATCAACCCTTCAATTCTCAGCCCAGCACAACCCTATTCCACATCGAACGCCCGCGATTGATCTCAACGCCCCTCACATCAGAAACCACATTTAGATCGCTTCGCAATGATGCTATGACAACGCACTCAGGCTCGCAGTTCGTTTCCACGGACTTGGCAAACACTGCCTCCAGTTCAAGTCCAAATTATGATGATATCCATGATATCATGTCAAACGACTACTGTGCCCCTGTGCTCAAGCCAGGCTTGCCAATTCCACATACCTGCTGTGCATGCTGCAATAGTAACCCCAAATGGGGAGATGTCATCTGGTTACAAAAGGACAGAGAAGTACAGTTTTTTTGCGCACCGTGCCTCCCCGCCTGATGATGGCCACAGAGCGATGGCGCCTGTCGAGCACCAATCGCGCAATGTACTCCTTGGGCATGTTGGGCAGCTGCTTGCTGAAGATGTTCTTCAGCCCAATCAGCCTGCATGCCACAAGTGATTTAATTTTATCACCAGTATTACTCTGCCAGAGATAAGGTATATCTGCAGACAAGCGGCAGTTACAGGCTGCCACATACTCTAATACTTGATGGACAATAATTCTATCTCCCGTCCAGAAACTCCTATGCAACCTCAAACGGATCCCCGTGCACAGCATGCACGATGGACTTGCCAGCTCCAAGCAAGACCCAATCAACTGTGGGCATGGTGCTCAATTCCACAACTTTGATCTCCTCAAAAATCTGCAGTCACTGTGAGCGACAGTCTGGCGTGCTGGCCATGACATGATGGCATGCTATATTCTGATGAAGCTCTCGTTTAAGAGCCAGCCATGTAGGTCGACTTCATGCTAATAAAATTAAGGCCATTAATTCTCATATGTCATCCTCGATATGATCTCACGAGGAATGGTATGATGCTGTGCATGCAGTGGGCATGCAGGACTGCTCACCACATGTTGTGGTTGGCAGTGTTGTCATTGTCCACATACTCGAAGGCGAGGTCCCCATCGGCCTCCCTCTTGGCCATGTACAGCTCGCGCTGCGAGAACATCCCTGCTGGCACCTCGACAAGGGGGATGCCGCCATTCTCCAATAGTGCATCACCTGAGCAGCAATTACACACTATTCCAGACCTGCAGCTTCACACCTGCCATGCCCAAAAATTCCAAAAGTCGTCAGCCTCCGCATGACGCATTCTCCTGCCACTCTGGAAGGCCATCTAAGTTGGGCAGGTGGCCACGCATGTAGTCAGAAAACAAGTCCAGCTTGGCAGCACCTTCATGAGTGGGCGGCTCAGCATTGCTCTCTGCAATCCCGTTCGCAGGCAATGGAGCTGCTAGTTGTACTTCAGCAACAGCTGCCCCATCCGCCCTGCCACTTTGGCCACTGCTGGCAGCTGCTGCTGGCGCATCCAGAGGTTGAGCTGCGTCATTATCCTGTCACACAGGAATAGAGATCAATGCATAGCAAAGAAAAGGGTCAGGATGTACCTCTCCTCGCGTGGATGTTTTGCATTTGGTACGCCCTCAAGCATTCCCACCATTGCAGCACGGCATCGAGCAGTAAGATCAAATAGCTGCAAGAGTGCATTGCATGGGTGTGCAACTGTACCTGTAATCTTTCAAAGAGCGAATCTTCTACTGTTGTATCAGCATCGACCTTCTGCTTCTTATATGGGGGCTCCTCTGCTTCTGCCATCTGAAAGGCATCGCTGCCCACCTAGCTCATTTCAAACCGTTCAATCTCTTCAAATTCAAACCAACTCTAAGAACCATTCTAAGTAGAAAAAGATCGAGGGAGAAGTCGATATCTCAAGCAAGATTTCTTCGATGTTGAGATTTTGCAAAGTGGACGATGACTGTTGGTGACAAAGATTGTTCGTGAGAACGGGAAACTTTTGAGGACCTTGAAAATCTAGTTCCTATCTTAGTCGGAAATGCGTAGGGCAACGGACGGACATCGAAATCAAGGGCAGACTTGCATGCTTGGAATGCTCTGAGGGCAATTGGATAGGAACGCCTCTGCTGCCCTAGGCCACACTTTCCGGAAGTCAACGAAGGAACTTCTTTCCTCTTCCGAAACCTCCTTCTGTTAGATCTAACGCGCATGAAGGGACTCGGACGTTGCAGAGGCTTCATTGAGTGACCATAATATACCTTGCTCAAATTAGAAGGCGATCGGGACCCGGTTTCTGTGTTTGTTGCTGCCGTTGATCTGCTCTTTGGCTTCCATATAAGTTGGTGAGCACCAACAAGTCATCGCCTCTTCACACAATAATAAGTAGCGTGCCCAAATATAGTCTAAATTGAGTAAACAACTGACCGATATTTGGATTGCCTTCGTCTCGGGCACAGTGTAGGATGGCAATAGCCAGGGCATCCCACCCAGCCTTGGCCAGATGACGTTCAGATGACCTGAAAGTGATACATACCTGAACACAGCGATGATATTGTCAATATTTCTCTTGCTAGTACTTCACCAAGCAGCTTCGGTTCGAGCAGCAGGAGCTGTCTGTGATGGCCAAGCTCTGGGGCAGATTCCAACCTTGAAGGGCACGTGGGTGAGCCGTCGCTTCTCAGATCTGACATTTTTGAAGCACTTAGCATGCGCCTGGAGCAGCAACCCGTGTGCATGACCAGACAAGCACGCAAAACTGCCATATAGTCCTAATACTTGCATCCCTGAACTCGCGAATATTTCATCTTTGTTTGGTGCCATGACGAACAAGCTGCCATGCCAGTGCCTTGATGCTAACATGCAGTGCTGATGTGGCATGCAGGAAGCCCATGAAGATCCCCACTACCAGGGTCATTATGACGCTGCAGCTGCCTGCCCATCATGGGCCAAGGACTGGGACTGCATGCTGGACGGCGACACCAATCGACCCAACCTATTTGCCACCTACAACAAGGTGAGCTCCTCAACCACTTTGACTCTGTCAACGACAGCAGGGTCATGTGGTTTGCCTCTGATCAAGTCATTTTAGGACTGTGTTAAACGCTGGAGGACGCCGGGTCTTTTTCCTGCTACACTGAAGCAGCAGCTGTACTTGTATGTTGGGGTCGGCCAGTCTTCGTGCCGCACAGGCAGCTGAGAGCATAACTGTCCGACCTGAGCAGGTGTACAAGCCGTATGACTGCGACCTGCGGCCGTGGGATCCGGAACACTTTGCCGAGTGCACTGCGGCCAAACGCATCATCATGATCGGCGACAGCCTCATGCGCCAGCAGTGGCTCTCCCTCGCCTGCATGCTCGCAGATGTCACGGTGAGCCAAGCTTAGTTATATTCCCAATTGGGTGGTCCTTTCTTCTACCCTATGGGCGGCAGGGATTGCCATATTGATCCCTGTGCAGCCAACCCTTCCCTAGCCGATGTCACGGTGAGTCATGCTTCCTATTGCATGATTGCCTGCGATTGGGTGCTCCTCGGGGTTTGCTTCATGACAAGCTTCTGCTCTCTATCCTGTGACGTGCCTGGAAAGGGCCCTCCCCGGCAAGCAGCTGCGCCAGCGGGGGATCCTTTCTTCTACCCTCTGGGGACGGCAGGGATTGCAAAACTCATTTCTGTCAAGCCAGCATTTCACAAGCTGCAGGGTGTCTGCTGTGCTGAGGCGCCCATGTCTAGACATGTTGGAGATTGCCTGGGCACGTCACGCTGTGGGACCACTCTAAATGTTCTGCATCACCGTGCATGCGCTATATGTGCATGCACCGCATGTCCTGATATTCCATTCAATTGAACACGCCCTGTGGGTCAAATACCTTCTGAGTTGAAGGGGTGCCTTCAAATGTGTGGCAGGTGTCCGGGGAGCACCATTTCTGGGACGAGGAGAAGATCCCGGTGGCGATGGAGCATGACTACATCGCGCGGGGGATCCCGGGGGACTTTCGGATCCCCCGCCAGTACATCGGCCGCTTCGATTTGAAATCCGGCGCGCAGGTAATGATCCACTGCCTCTTATTGTTTGTCAGTCTTCCTTACATGTCTGTCCTGCCAGAATGTAAACTGTAAGCTGCAGTCCAAAAGGCTGCCAAAATCCTGGTACTTGCTGGACTGATCCAAGCATGACCCAATCAAGTGTGGGCATGGAGCTCAGCGTTTATGCCGCTCCCCGCCATTCTAGGCCTTTCCATACCCCAACAGGCAGATGCATCCAAGCCAAAGAGAATTGGCCTTCGAGCCGCAAGGGTCTACGTGCATTGAACTTGCATCAAGTGCAAAGCTTTACTGGCTTGGGGAGATTCATGCATGCTCACAAAATTTTGGCCCGCAGGTTTTCCTGCGAGCGTTCGGGCGGTTCAATCTGACGTTGTGGGACGACGTGTTTGCTGAGTTCCAGCCGCTGACTGACAATGACGTCATCATCGTCAATTTTGGCGCCTGGTACCCGCGCTACAACGTGCACGAGCAAGGGTGCGGTCCCCCGCATGCATGTCAACTATCAGTCTATCCAGAGAGCAAAACAGAGCTGTCCATTGTCACCATTAAGCTGTCGACATGCCGCATAGGTGCCCTTGCACTCCTGATATTGGATGCTTTGTAGAAGCGTGTCCAGCACTCTGCAGTTGTTGGGATGCCTTTTGTAGTGTCCATGCGACTGGTGCACGATACCATCTTAGCCCTGTGCAGCAAACACAGCACAATACGATATTGTCTACAACACCCAGCTTTATCGGGGACTTAGAATGCTGGATCTTTTTGAGTCAGGTTTTCTTATGCAGGGTTGATCACGTGTGATGCCAAATGTTTTTAATTCAAAACTTCATCTGAAAAATAACTCGAAATTTGAATTTCAAATATCGGCAGGGACCCCTGGAAGGCGTGGCAGGAGGACATGACGGAGCTGATAAATCTACGGCTGAGCCGATACGCGGCGCGCTCGTTTTACCGATCGGCCACGGCCACGCATTTTGGCGGCGTGAACGGGACGATGACGTTTGAGAAGTCTGCGGCTGATGCGCTGGCGGAAAAGGGGGGATGCATGTCCTCGCCCCTCAATGAGGCCTGGTGCGCACCCCTGCCTGCCCCTCTTGCCAGTTGGATTGGGTAAAATCTGTCCTAATAATTTTCAAAAAGAATCCCTTGCCTCTCAATGAGGCGGGGTGGGCTGTTCTGCCCTGCCATTCGTGCTGGCATCTCCGCCAAAGCTGGTGACTCGCTGTGCGGACATGATTACATCTCCAATTCCTATTGCTGATGAGTGGGGTTGTGAGGATCGTTGTATGATGATGCGGCATGTTTGGAAGAGTCAGGAGGCAACGTGTTGGGCTGACATGCTCGTGCAGCTGGTGAGCCTGATTGAGAGCTCTTCTTTAGTCGCCACTGGCAAGCATGCACCGGCAAGATCACTAGGGGAAACAGCTGCCCATTTCTATGGTGACATATTTCATATAATCAAAACCAGATAGCGTACAGAGCATGGAGCATTGAGAAGTGCACCATGGGCTTGCGCAGGTATGAGGACTGGATGAAGACGTTCCTGCGCAGCTGCGGCCCACGCTGCTCAAAGATCGGGATCCTCCCTGTCTTTGACCTCACGCAGGTGCATTAGTGTCTCCTCTCTAAATACACACATTCTGCATGCACAAAACACTGTTCCTGCTTTGGTGCATTTCATAGTTTGATGCTTTCTGGTCCTGGCTCCACAGCGGATGGCATGTTGCTTGTATAAATTGAAGGAAATTTCATGCTCAGGATTTTGATAGGCTTTGAAGGACAGCGGGGGTGCTGCATTGTTTGCTTGATCTGCTGTTTGACTGTGTAGCGCTGAGCAACGGGGAAAGAGCTGTCGATTAACCAGTGGTAATTGGCTACCCTGGAGCCCTGCGTTTACTGCGTGTAGGGCCCGGCCTGGCCCCCAAGCAACCATTTAGTAATAGATAGTAATCTATTACATGCTGCGCAGGCGAGGTACGATGCGCACCACGGTAATTTTGGGAGGGGGAAGGGCACGTGGACGCTGGATTGCCGGCACTTCTGCACCAGCGTGACGGACTTTTGGAACCTAGTATTCTACAACCAGTTTTGCTGATCAGCACATGAGTGCGCCGCGCTGGACAGCATCTTGAGTTTAAGTAATGCTGGAGGTTCTGTGTGCTCAGCGCGAAACGCTCTGCCAATGCAGACCCCATCATGATTATAGTCGGGGCTTTTATAAATGCCTCCATAATCACTAGTCACTGTATACACGGTGTACACAGACGGTAAAGAACGCATGCAAGATCAACCCAGTGATGAAGTTTATATGGCAACATGTTGGCTGGTGGGAAGGATGAAGTACACAGGTTTATTTTAGATCTGAACCCACCACAACACAAGGTTTTCGTTGCATGCGCCAACATGGAATGTACGGGCACGCTACGGGATGAGGAGTGTGGGCACCGCGTGCCGTGATGGTGTTGCTCCCATCGAGACTTATGAGCCAGCGCATTGCCTTCCGATCCTTTCCTCCTTGAAATCTACTGTAACAATATACCCAACAACACAGTCCTGCTACTTCATCGTATCCCATTTGGTGTGTCCGTAAAATTTCCGAGACGTCTGCCTGGTTGGCATGAAGCTTACTCCTTGCTCCCACAAGACTCTGACTGACTCGGCTTAGGAATCTTATTGGCAATGGATCGGAATATGTAATGGAAATCAGGTTGCGGATTACCGTCTGAGGCCCACTTGAAAGTCTCAAATGCCGCTTGAAGAACCTCGTTCTATTCACCAGAAAATGACATACAGGGCTGGACAATGCCAGTGCAATGCTCGCATCCACAATTGCCGTGCGCATTTTCATCCAGGACGCCAGGTGAGATCAATGTTTTTCTTATGTGATAAGCCACATGCATCTGTGCCTGGTCATTGCCTCCTAGGTTCATCCCTAGCGATCAGTAGAACAGTGAAGCCATTCAGAAGTGACACCGCATGTAACGTGAGCCTGCATGCTTTGCTCTGCGCAGTCTAAGAGAGTACTTGCAGCTATGCCGAACGTCTACAGACCCCGGCAGGTCTCTCTCGCAACTGTGAGCAATGCTGGAAGGAGCTGTCAAATAGCATCATTCCTTGAGCCTACAGCTGTATGCAGCCAGCGCCTATGCAACAGTGGGTTGAGATCCCAGGCTCACAGCTGCCTTCAGGCCCTTGGGTGAGAATCTCAGCTCCCACCCTTGGCAGGCTCTCAATATGCAGACAATCCTTTTATACCAATCCAATACAAGTCTGCAACTGCACATAGCCTATCCTGGGCAAAGGAGGCATGCAGCCCCTGATAGATGCACATTAGTGCAGTCACAGTGACCATTGAGGATTTCTTCTTCTTCTTCTTTTGAGATTGAACCAAAGATAAAAGAAAAGGACCTGAGACTTTCCTATCGCTCATGTGATGCAGGCTGCATCAGAGGAGGCAGGAACGCCGTCGAATCAGGGGGAGCTTAGCATGCAGGGCGGGCATGTGCTGCTCATCGGGCAGCCCGGGGGGCGCGCATCACAGGCAACATCAGCACAAGGGGGAGAATCTGGTGGAGCGAGGGTTGGAGTGGGTCTTCCGGGTGACGGGGCTGCAGGCCTACGCGCACATGCTGCATGACAGCGAAGAGGCCTCCAAGGCTATCGTTGTGCTCATAGCCGTTGCCACGCTGGCGCATTTTGCAGCAGGTGAGTAATGCCGCGCGCATGTCGGACAAATGGGGCGTGCCCTTCTCTATTTGTGGTTTGTGCACGCGCTTGGTGTCCTGTCAATGTTTGAAGGCTTCACTGGTCATACCAGAAATCAAAGTTGTGCTTTGTTTGCCCTGCTTACCAGAAGCAGTTTGGGAGAATTGAGGACGTCTTGCAACTCTTAAGAGTTGCACCCAAATATGGCAGTAAAAATGGCGGATATTGTCCGGGCCAGTACTTCCCGAGCAAGTTCTCCAAATTGAAGGTTATCGTGGGCTGGCTGCCAGTGTTGGAAACAGCCGGCGGCTTTCTCCGGCACGCATGCAAGACCATCTCTGTGACGACATCTACATGGCAACATGTTGGCTTTGGTGCACCATGACTTATATTGCCTTGGTCAATGGTTGGTTTTCAATGCAGGCGCGCTGGCACAGTATGCCGGTCTTCTGTTGAAGGCCAAGGTGGCGGCTCTGGCGGCGATCTATCTGCTGGCAGGCGTGCCGGGAATGGTGGAGGTTTGCGAGCATGTGGCGGCCGGGGAAGTCACCCCGCACGTGCTCATGATGCTGTCTGCTCTGGGCACAGTCATCCTGGGGAAGGCCTTCGAGGTGGGGGCAGGCTTTTTTCTCTTGTGCTGCGTCGCTTGGAATCCTTGTCGGCTTTAATTTGTGTATTCTGCGCAAATGCTAATGACACTGCTTGGCTGAGGGCACAGCAGTATCTCTAGCGTGTCGTGGTCACCTAGGTTCTGGTCCCACGTGTCCAAGCGCATGCTGGGTGCATTCCTATTCTCTTGGGGCCTTGGCGTACATTACTTCTTCATACAGTCAAGCTGTGCCTAGTCCTGATGCACTCGACTGTAGTAGCTGCAACTCAACTAGTCCTTCAACCTTTGCTAGATGTCCCGGCGCCTGCTTGATGAAGTTCGCACTCAAGGATCGGCTGAGCATGTGCACGCACGATTCACTCCCGCCATGTTTGTTGCGGGCTGTCAGAGGGTGACATGTGACAGCGGGTGACCTATCGTCTCGCTGACTGACGACTGAGCGGCATGTGCGCACCTGCAGGGAGCGTGGCTGCTGGTGCTGTTCAGCGCGAGCCACGCGATCGAGCACAACGTGACGCGCCGCGCGCAGGGCAGCATGGCCAGCCTGCAGGAGTCCCCCCAGTCCGCCTGGCGGCTGGCCACCGCCCCCGACGGATCCCCCGCCCCGGGGGAACCACAAAAAATCGACCGGTCAGACGTGCGCCTGGGCGACCTCATCTTTGTGAAGGCCGGCGAGCAGGTGGAGTTTTCTCTGCTTCCCTTGACTTGCTTATGTCTAGTTTGATCTGAAATAGAATGTCTGTCTGTTTGAGCGGCAAGGGATCAGTTTCCCTAGCCAGAACAGGAGGGCCTTGCCCGCTGCGACAGTGTCTGTGCATGTGGGGTTTGGCCTTTTTGCTGCATCCCACATATTGTGGGGAAAAAGGTGAAGAGGCAAGGTTGCGAGTGCGTAGCGCTCTTGCATTGCTTTGCACGTGCCCCTGCTGGAAGGGCAGAGACACTACGAGAGCCTTGCAAGGATGCCACCCAACTGCAGCGGGTGGGAGGCATGCTGTTACCATGTATCACAATCATACTGTGAAAAGTTGAACCAGTCTGCAACGATGGCTGTCAATTCTGCACATCCTTGCGACCTCGAGGCCTTCTCACGAAGCATTGTGTTCTGCAAGTCAGTTGCATTGCAGTGAATCATGTTGAGACGCTCAAGTCAGTTGAGTCTCATGCAACCACAGCAAGACACCTGAGAACCCGCCGCTTTGTGGCAGGTGCCAGTGGACGGAGTGACAGTGAAAGGTGCAGCGCATGTGAGCAACCAGCACATAACGGGCGAGGCGCTGCCGATTCTGGCGCAACAGGGCACCGAGCTGTTGGCCGGTGCTTTGGCCACCGACAGCTGGCTCGTTCTGCGTGCGACAAAGGTGGCGCGGGAGTCCGCCCTCGCGCGCATCGCGGAGCTGACTGAGTTTGCCAAGGTGGGCGCTGCTGTGCTCTGTATGCAAGGATTTTTGGAATGGCCGAGAAGAGCTCTTCAGGCTCCTCTTCATGCCTGCCATGTTAAGTGCATTGAAAAAGTGGCTTGGCAATGCAGTGCACATAACATCCAAACTGCTCACAGGAGCTATGCAAAAGAAACTGTCTTTGTTGTTATGAGGACTGTCCTCCTGCGCTTGCCTGTCATGCATACACTGTAGGCCTGTCTAAGATTGCTACCGAGATCGCTCAATCAAACCATGGATGATGCATGTTGCTGATGCGAGCAGGCGCACCGGCCGGAGATTCAGGGCCAGCTGGACGCGTTCGGGGGGTGGTACTCGCGATTTGTCATCTTGACAACTCTCGCGGCAATCCCTCTCATGGCAGCCGTCGGAGTGCCGCTTTTAGGCGCTGGGGCCGAGCCGGGGGCCGTATACCGAGCGATGGGCTGGTTAACGGCCGCCGCCCCCTGCGCCGTAGTCATGGTTCCCCTCGCGTACACCTCAGCGCAGTTCGCGCTTAGTCGCAGGTTAGTGATCACCTTTCTCCTCACCTTTTTATTACCTACAGCAGTACAGTCCTGTACTTCTTAGCGTTTGCCTCTGCATGGATGCTTGCCTCAATAACTTTCTCAGAAGCTGTGTTGAAAGGCGTTTCCTCCAGGTATGCATGCATGCGTAGATGTATGGCTGTGCCAAGTGCGCAGTCTTTTGCGGGCCTTTTTTGACAGTCGTGTCCACGGTGCTGCAGGGACATATTAGTCAGGAGGGCGAATGTCTTTGACGCGGTGCAGACGTGCGGCACGGTCGCCTTCGACAAGACCGGCACGCTCACAACCGGCGTCATGGCAGCAACCTCCATGCAAAGCCTGCAGCAGCCCAGCGTGCAGCCTCAGCAGAATAGCGCAACACAGTCCAACTCAGCTAGTGAGCACTCACAACTGCTCTCGCTCTAGACTCTGCTCTCGTTGTTATATCGAGCACCTCAGCACTCTCCCGCTCTAGACATCGCCCTGTATCCTTCACTCCGCACCTCAGCAGTGCCTTCTTTGCCGTTAGGTGGTGTCTCTCCCAATCAGATTACCACGTGCATTTTGTGGCGGTAAAAACGTCACGCCAAGTGCCACAGAGCGTATCAGTGTTTCATCAAGCTTCATGTGGCCATCATCGGTGCAGGTGGCTGGGCACAGCAGGTAGCTAGATCAGGAGACACCAGCGAAAAGAAGGCACTAGCACTGGCGATCACACTTTCGCGGCGGGTGTCTCACCCGGTTGCAGATGCCCTGACGACGCTTGGGGACAGCCTAGGGCAGCTTCAAAGGACAGAACATGGCTTGGCAGGAGATGGCGGGCTTCCTCGGATAGACATCAGCGCGTTCAGAACAGAGACTGGTAAGCGCCCCTGCACTGTAAGGCAAAGGGTATTAGAATTCTGTCTGAAATGCTGTTTAGCCTGTCTAGTCAGGAGCCCTTTTGCAGGGGCTCTAGCTGTCAATGCCTCAGTGACATCCAAGCAATGAGCATTGAATTGGCTGTGCATGCCAGTTTGCTCATGCGCAAGCGGATACATCTAGCATTCTTAGCTTGATGTGCATCTGGGAGAGACGAGAGAGAGAGAGAAACATCGCCCGTTTGGCAGCCAATATTGCTGATCAGATGTCTTGGAGTGCCAGATTTCATGATCATTTTTTGCCCCTGCAATATTTAACACATTATTGCATGCAGGTGGGTCGGAGGGAACGTTTCAGGAGAACGGGCAGCCGTGCTTTGCGCGCTTTGGATCAGTCAGCTACGCCAGCGCAGCGTTGCCAAAGCAGCGTGCTGCTGACCTCGCACGCCTCGTGGACGGCCTCAAAGCGGCCACCACTGTGTCTGTGCTGGTGGCTGCTCCTCAGGAAAGTAGAAGTGACGGCAGCGGTAGCGGCAGTAGTAATGGGGCAGACGCTGGCTCGTCCAATCCCCTCATCAGGTGAGGGCTGCCGGGGTGCAACAGTCACTGTGGAAAGAGAAAAACCCAAAATAGTGTGCCTTAGTGAGGTTTTGAGGAACTGTATTCTGCAATTTGGTGCGTCGGGACATCCCTATATTGTAGGTAGCCCAAAATCGAAAGCGGCCTCAAGGCAGGCTCTAGCGCTTCGTGCAGTGATCAGGGCATGGTCCCAAATCTTATATATCGGGCCCATCTCATGGCTTTTGGTATGCTATTCCAGACCTTTCAAGGTTAGGCTGGTAAGGTGTGTTCATACATTTCCCAGAGTACGCAGGCCACAAATGCCCTGGGACTGTGCTAAATCTTGGCAATCCGAGGGCACACGGTATTGAGGACCCCTTTGTATCTACTGTTGCTGTGCCACCACAGTGCCCTCAGGGCCGGACAATGGAGCCACTGTACAATCAAAAAGCATTCAGTCTCAGCACCAGGTTGTGCTTGTCAGATATGACTCTGGCTGTCAGTTAATAGCGTCTCCCACACGCGCAGGGTGTTTACCTTTGAGGACCAGGTGCGGCCGAGCAGCCACGCAGCGGTGGCGGCTCTTCGGCAGGGCACCTGGAGGAGGGAACGCCCCAGCGCTGCAGACCGGCTGCGAGTGCTCATGCTGACCGGTGACAACGAGGTCAGCGCCGCGCGCATCGCCGCTCGCCTCGGCATCGCTGATGTCAGCGCAGGTGCGCGCACCTGACATAATAGTGTCTAGTCTGTTGGCCATGGTTTTTTCGCTTGATGCCACTTGTTGCCTCGTGTTGCGCAAATCTGGGCGTGCTGAGATTTGAGGCAAGAGAGAAGCTGCCTCTACAGCATGAATTGGAGTCTTTCAAGCTTGCATGAGTGTGAGGGCAAGTAATCAAAATCACATTATTGACATGGAACTCGTGTGCAGGGCTGCGGCCTGGTGAGAAGCAGGCGGCGATTGAGGCGGCTCAGCGCGAGGCGGCCGCATCACCCCGCGGCAGCGGAGTCATCATGGTGAGCAAGCATTATCCAGGCCCACGATCACTGCTGTAAAACTTATTGCCTGCCGCATCATCCACACAACTATTATCTCGGCCAATCAGGGATCAGCGTGCTGAGGTGCCCAGCCATAGCTTCCTAAAAGGTCCTTCTTGGGGCCATGCAAATCATGCTCCTTCATGAGACAAGTGGGTAACGGAGATTATCGCTCCTTCAGAAAACTAGTATGCAATCCAAGTTAGTTCTTATAGGATTTGCACTGGCCGTCACAGTATTCCTGTCTTACGTACCCTAACAGACACTTAGGTGATTGGCGGTATGAACGATTTGCCGGCGCTCGCAGCGCCCTCCCAGCATACTTCAGTTTTGCTGATATTTCATTTTTGCTGAGTTAAGCTGTCTTTTTGAATTTGAGCTCAGGTGGGGCGACGGCATGAACGATCTGCCGGCGCTGGCAGCGGCCTCCTAGAATGTTTTGCTTTTGCTGATCTGGTCTTTTTGAATTTGAGCTCAGGTGGGGCGACGGCATGAACGATCTGCCGGCGCTGGCAGCGGCCTCCTAGAATGTTTTGCTTTTGCTGATCTGGTCTTTTTGAATTTGAGCTGAGGTGGGGCGACGGCATGAACGATCTGCCGGCACTGGCAGCGGCCTCCTAGAATGTTTCGCTCTTGCTGATCTGGTCTTTTTAATTTGAGCTCAGGTGGGCGACGGCATGAACGATCTGCCGGCGCTGGCAGCGGCCTCCTAGAAATTTTTCACTTTTGCTGATCTGGTCTTTTTATTTTGAGCTCAGGTGGGCGACGGCATGAATGATCTGCCGGCGCTGGCAGCAGCCTCCAAGAATTTTTCACTTTTGCTGATCTGGTCTTTTTGAAATTGAGCTCAGGTGGGCGACGGCATGAATGATCTGCCGGCGCTGGCGGCTGCGACGGTGGGAGTTGGGGTGGCCGGCTCGCGGCCGGGCGCGGTGGCGAACTGGGTCGACGTCATCCTGCTGCACAACAATGGCGCCGAGGCCGTGCCGCTGTTGTTAGACACCGCCCACCGCACGCGCAGCATCATCCGCCAGGTGGCGTTCCCTGCTTCTGCACTAGTTCAAAGCGCAAGGGGACAGCTACCTCGATCCATGAAGGAGCAGCGGCTATTTCTTGCTGCAACACATTGAGGCGAAGGCTCTGTACGGATGGTGTAGTGGATGGGCCTGGAATCCCCATTTTATCAAGTTATTCTCATGGCTGCACCTATGCAAGCAGGTTGTAGTATAGGATGTGCGTGGGCGGACAGCAGACGTCACAGAGGAAGGGGTATATATGAAATGGTGAATGCAATCCAAAGTGAACGACGTTGTTTGCTCTGCCCATGTTGGTGCATGCTTCTGACTGCAGCCCTCGCCTTGCCGCTTTTGCCGATCCTGCACAGGGATGATCAACAGATTGTGTGCTTGTATGATTGTGTCCTCCAGCACTGATGCGTGCTGGCGTGTGCTGTGGCGCAGAATCTGGTGTTGGCGTTTGGATCGATAGCCGCGCTGGCACTGCCTGCTCTGCTGGGCTGGGTGCCGCTGTGGGCCGCTGTGGCGCTGCACGAAGGATCCACCGTTCTCGTTGCTTTGAATTGTACCCGGCTCCTCTCCTTGCCTCGCCGCTCCTGGTGCGCCCCTTCTTCTGTTATCATTAGTATTGCTGTTAGTGAAGTATAATTCGTAGTGTTATTAGTATAAGTGTCAGTAACAAACATTGTTCCTGTCAGAGGCAAAATGCGCATGCAGACAAGCTAAATATTAAGGCTGACAATCCCTTGTTTCAATTGCCGGATCCAAGAAAGACCCAGTGAAGGGGTGCACGGTGCTCAGTATTTGTATCGGCCCCCGCAAGCTGGGGCTGACTATAATTTCATCTTCTCGATTGATGTCAACCAGCAGGGTGTCTTGTTGCAAATATCCTTGCACTGCTGTCACGGTTCCCCCAACTCACCAGCGCATTCCAATTGTTACACTGGATCTGCACGAGTAGCTCTGGTGCATTGTGATAGACATTGCAATGAAGGGCCCCTGAGGGATTGTGGGATTTTGCAGGACAACTGAGGCCACCAGTGAGGAGGTTTCACAGGGCAACACATTGGCCAACTCCAACGCTGGGAACAGCTCGGAGAATGAGGGAGTAGGACTGCACATGGAGCCTTCCATTGCTGTGAGCCCGGCCTGAGGGCGCACAACTTCAGTTTAATGGACCAAGTTTGCTGTGTCAGGATCAACTGTAGGCTCATGAGCTCGTTGCTGAGTACAATTGAGAGAGAGTTGATGAAGTGCTGTTGAAGTTCCATCAAGCGAGGATTGAATGCCTAATGAGGATGGGCCTGTTGGCTAGAGATTGGAATCGAAGAGAAGATTGTGAGTCTGGCTATTTGGGAACGAGTGGCGAAAGGTTGACAGAGGGTTGAAACAATTTGAATTGTTTACATGTACATGCATTGCTTGTCTTGCTGTTGCATCAGCTGACAGCACCTCTTGCTTGACAAGCGCTATTGAGCTCTTACTAATCATGATTAATCCAGTGCAAAAGAAGCAGGATCAGAATACTTGATCTGATCAGGAAATTATGCTGCCTGTAATGCCTTGCCTGCCTTGTTTCTGTGAGCAATCTTTCCTTGGCAAAAAAGGTCAAATTCAAGCTTAAATTCATATGTTCAGGAACGTTGCCCATCGCTGCAACATGCATACCACGGCTTTCCGGGCAGTCTAATGCAGACAAAAACATGCAAACAGCATAAGTATCTGAGTGCAATGCTGCTGTAAGGGGTTCTGCGGAGACATGCCAAACAAGTACCGTACTGTTGACAAAGTCCACAGAAGAGTCTAATTTCACACTTGACACATTCTGGGTCCAATTTTGATACAAACCTCAATGGATGCTCCGCGGATCACATTGCGCAGGTAAACATCTGCTGCCAGTTCTTTGGCTGCCATTCAATGTGACATTCTGAGCAATATCATTCTGAGCAATACTTAGCGGATATATAGAATGTTCCAGCAGGCTGAAGACACCCGCAGGCACCAATCTGGCCAGCCTAGTGAGGCATGTCTGTGACATCCCAGGGCCCAATGTGCAACGCAACGTCAACCCTCTGCAGCACCGGCGCAATCTGTTCCTCACCCTCGCTCTGCCCCTGCGCAACATGCAGCTGTCAGCTTGACTTCCAGCAGAGGTGGATTCACCCTGCCGGGCGCACTAGGGAACACAAAAAACTGGCTACACTGGAAGGACAGGCAATCTTAAAGGGGGCACCAATTGTGTGGTGTCATTCTGCACTATACTGCGCCACAGCATTTGTTTCTGCCGAGCCGATGATTACACATATCTTCAACGTACTGACTCAAACATGCTCAACCCCGCATTCCTGTGGGCATCAGTCGAGATCACCAGATATGCAGCAGGAAGTAACCGCCACCCATTGATTACTAACTAAGTACCTGCGCGACTGTTGATGACTCAACGCGCCCGGCAGCCGCGTCCGACGGCTGTTTGGACGACAGCCAATCGGCCGACCGCGCAAGTTCGCGCCCAAACGCCGTGTTGCCCGCCCCCTGCAGAGCAGTCATATTTCAAGTCAGAATGATACAGCAATGAAGAGGATGGAAAGAAGTCAACATCTACGATTGAGTGAGGCAAGCCTTGCCAAGCTCCTGCTGCAAATGATAGATGTGCCAACTTGGCACTGCCAAGATCACATGCAACTCATTAAAAGCCGCAAGGCACGTGTGCTGCCTATTGCTGAGATCCCAGGCCTTAAGCAAGGGGCATTCTGGATCCACATCTTGCAAGTTTCTGTGACAGGCATGCTAGGATGTAACCTGAAACATATGCAACACACAAAATGAAAACAGAGTGAGATATGGGCTGCAGACCAGACCTTCAGGCCCCACAGATGTGGCTGCAGACACTCTGTGTGTATGCCCTATGGCCTTCGGGCTTTGGGTTTGCCGACACTGTAATAATAATAATAAAACAGAGTGAGAAGGCCGCACCGCTGAAGCCATGGGCAGCCCGATGTTGTCCATCACCAGGGACACTTCATAGGTCAGTGTGTCCATCGTGCTGTTGTAGCTCACAGAGTTCAGCGTCAGTACGATGACCTGCAGCCAGCATGCCATCACTTGAAAATATATTCTTAAAGGCTGCATCATGACTGTGGCTGCTTAATATGCAAAGGGAAAATCTTTCAGCCCTCAGATCTGGGCTGGGGTGGAGGACAGTCAACATCATAATAAAATTTTATGCTTGCAGCTGTATGGAGGCTGTGAGAGTCAGTGATGGAGCCCTGAAACTTATAAACATATAATAGGCGATTGAAGCGAGAGTAAATTTCTATCTCGATATGTAAAACGTCAAGATATACTGACAGAATTCTTGGCCATATGAAGCAAGAAGAGCTTGTATATCCCACCTCATCAGCAAGGTAAGGCCCTTGGGAAGTGCCGACGAGGGCTGCATTGGGAGCGCCCAGCCACTGAGTTGCATTCTGGCCGGCCGAATAAAATTGCGGCTGGCTGACAAAGGCTGCTGTGGAGAAGATGCCTGCTGTCCGCACAGGCGAGGTTGAATAGAAGGTTGTGTGCGGGCTGACACCCTGTTGCAAAACACCACATCCTCTCAACAGTGGATTGCAGAAGAATGGCCTAGTAAAAGTCTGGAACAGTGCAAAATCGGTAAAACACAAATGGTGCTTGCTCTAGAAGCTCTTGCTGGATCAGAATAAATGCTTACAGCTCGTTAGTACTGCTCTCTATGACACAGAAGAGGTCATCGGCTGAGTTGATGTAGCGGCCAGCAGGAACCCCACCTTCAGGACCAGGGAGCCAGGCGCCTGGGGGCCCGACGGATCGAATCTTAGCTCAGCAAAGGCGGACCTCTGTATGAATTGCAGGGTGTATGTCACAGCAGGTGCTAGTGATGGGCTAGCAGCCGTCTTGTTCAGCAGAGCGCGTGACGCCCCTGGCGCGCCAAAGCCACACAAAATAAATCTCAATTGTGATCAGTAGATAATTCGAAATATATAAACTACGTGATCCTGATAGTGATGAGATAAATGAGCGAAACCCAGGTCTCCGTGCTGACGCGCAAGGGTTTCATCAGACCACTTCAGTCGCGTCTTGCGAGCGTTCTTCTTAATTCGTACAAGTAAAATCCCAGTAAAAGATTATAGAGTGCTTCTGTGATTCATGAACCCCCTTCTAATGCCCAGGGAGTATCCAAAGTTTTCACGGGCCCTGTGGGTTTGTTTTGGATGGGTGCGGCACCTACCACCGAATCTGGCGATGCTGATCAACGAAAGGAGGAGGAATGGTAAGCGAGACATTGTGTGTTTCGCTGTAAGTTCTCATCCACCCACGGGCAGTTGTATGCCAATAAATGCTCTGAACGCTCGACGATGACATGACGCCAAAAACTGCGTTACAATTCGCACGTGACAAGATCCCCACAAACAGTCATCCTTTCTGACGTCAAAATCCACAGCTAACTTTCGAAATGCCATGCAAAGTAAATAAAAGACCGTCTGACCGTTCAGTCCACAGGACAAAATTGATCCAAAGGACAGAAACAGAGAACAGTCCTTTCTGTTCCCAGCATACTTTCAGGCGGCCAGTTTGCTGAGCAGAGCATCGCCGGAGCCAAGCTCTGCAATGCGCTGCCTGAGCACACCCACGAGCTCCTCTCTCTTCACAGCATCCCCCTTTTCGTCCCCCTCCCCCTTTTTCCACATGTTCTTCAGCCGCACTATGCCCTGCGCGCATGCAGTGAAGCTATCCGTCAGACATAGGTGACCACCTCATGACAAGTAGGGGGCTCTACAAAGACTCTCAAAGAGCCCTGCCCAATCAGCTAGCCTAACGGGTGCTGCCAATCCGGCTCTTCAGATCCCATTCCACTCCTGCGAGGAAGTGAGTACAGGGCCGTCAGTTGCTTCTGCATGCTGACACCCTGCTCCGATCAACCTGGCAGCACTGCTTTTCTCTGGCGTTCTGAAAGGGAGTGCCACTGCCTTGTGATGACAAGGGTGTCACCCTATGGGTGAAGCACGCTGAGCAGCACAGTTCTCACTTGCAATCCAGCCCTTCCTCTGCCGCTCACTCTGCCTTCACTTCCGCAATTCCCTTCCACCGACGACGATACTTCAGCCCTTCGTCTGATGCTCACTCTGCCATGGTGGCTGCAACTCTCTCTGCCTATCACTCTGTAGTAACTGTAACAAACGGCGCCCACAGCGGCTGCAAGGCCAATCGACCCTGATGGCTGTGTTGCTGATCACCCTTGGTTGCATTCATCACTCATCTGTCAGGGGTGTTGATAGTATATATTCCATCAAGCCAAGTGATCACAAAGGCAAACCGACTGAAGTCGATAGGCCGAAAAAGAGACAGAATTGAGGGAAGAGCTGCTCACCTCCTGCTTCTCTGACTCGCCCAGGATGACCAGGAAGGGGATGCCCTCATCGTCGGCGTACTGCAGCGAGTCCTTGAAATTGGGGTTGGCCTTGTACCCAAACTCGGCCGCGATGTCAGCGCCCCACAGCTCAGCCGCCAGCTGGATTCGGTCCAGCTGCATGCCCTTGCCTGGTGACGCCACCAGCACCTGCCGAATTCGATTCAAATTAAAACAATCAAATTCAAAATTCGGATTTGCAGTATCTTTGTGTCTGGACTGCTCTCCTGGCTGGGACCTCAGTGTACACCTTCCTAGGACCTAAGTGTGCATTGTCCCTTATCAGCCAATCATTGACTGCTTGTGTCCTACATCGTGCTCCTGGGCAGAGGTGTCTTCCTGTGACGGTGGCACTGCCTTCCATGCCAATGTTATGCCGGTTGCAAATCATTCCTATAGTCAGTAGGAGGTATTGCGCGCCTGCGTCTGGGTTTCGCGGATGGTGGCGCCCCCGGTCTTGGCGGCGGCTGTCAGGCGGCGTTCGAGGATGGCGAACACGCGCTCGATGCCGATGCTGACTCCCACCGCTGGCACGTCCTTGCCGCTGAACATGCCCACCAGGCCGTCGTACCTGGGCAAGAGACAAGACAATTTCTTTTACTGCATGTATGCAATGTGTTCATTAGTGCTCCTGGGCCATATACCTGTGAGCGAGGACAGGTGACCATTAGTCTGCAACAGATGTTTGTTTTGACGGTGCACTCAATTTCTATGGCACGGCCTCCTTTGCCTTCTTCTCGGCGCTCGCACCGCCTTGGGCGCCTTGCATTCTTCTTGGGTCAATAAAGATTTCCTTAGTCCTCGAAATGGGTTTTTCTTGGCTGTCCTCAGAAAGCAACAGCAGTTGCAGGAGCCCTTAGTCCAACAATGATGCCCACATTTTTTGTAGTTTTCAAACACGGAATGAAAAGAGAGGAGATATGCCTTCTTGAAGACATGTTTCCCGAGTCAGTGCTGGACACTGACCGGGTGTGAGAGTGGTGCCATTTATATATATGTGTATAACAGGTGGCCCCGGCTGGCAGGGGGCGGTACAAATCCTGAGCACCGTGCCCACGGTTGATTGGGTCTTGCTTGGATCTGGCAATTCCAACAAAGGGTAGAACTGTGGAGCCTTCAACTGCAGCTTGTCTGCAGAACGCACCTTGCCTGTTGGCAGGAAAAGCGTGTAATAATAATAATAATAACAATAACAATAACAATAACAATAACAATAACAATAACAATAACAATAACAATAACAATAACAATAACAATAACAATAACAATAATAACAGGGGGCTGACCTGCCGCCGGCCGCGATGGAGCCCACGTTCTCGTTTGCATCGCTGCCAGGAGTGGGCACTAGGACGGCCTCGTAGATGAGTCCTGTGTAGTAGTCCAGGCCGCGTGCCAGGCTCAGGTCAAACCTGAAGCAATCACCATCCAGTCAGGCTCTATTTACGCAATATGCAGGTGTATGCAATTATGCATCTTGTGCATGCAAGGGCCAAAAGGCGGGGCTGCAGAGGCTTTTTGAGATAGGTTTAAAATGCCAAATCCAATGACCTGGTCTGTGATGCTGCATGCTTCTAGGTTACACTGGGTAGAAATGAAGGGGCCCTATCACAGCTCCCATAAATGAAAGCGGTAGTCTGCCTCTTTCTCTGCCAGAGATATCCACTCCCAGTACTGCAGAGCCCCATTAGGAATGCCATCATTAGTAAGTGATCTCCAATTCCTGGACTCAAACACAAGTACATCAGACACTTCTACAGATTCTGAGCAGCAAGGCAATCTCAGGGCACCTGATGCTGTCAAGGGCGTTGCCCATGGAGCCGAGCAGGTCGAAGAGTGTGCCCATCTCGGCCAGCGCGGCAGCCGCCTCCGGGTCGGCCGCCAGCGGATAATCCGCAGCGCTCAGCTTGGCTAGCAGCGCGCGCGGCTCGCCCGCTTCCTGCACAAACTGCTGGATGCGGTCCGCCGCCTGCGCTCGAATCAATTTAAAATCTTGCCAGCTCGTGTTACTGATCAAGGCATCAAGGTTATACCTTGCGCCCAGCCCCTTCTGGCCGTCCCAGCGAAACATCACCAGTGCTCGGCGCATGGCAGCCTCCATGATGGGCTGGCATGCTGTGTTGTGCTAGAAACAAGGGCGTCAGGACGAATGGCCACAGGAATTCACACAGCAGACTCAATAGGTAGCTATGCCATTATGCAGTGCTTTGATCAACGGGCACAACAGAGTATATGATACTGCGAGTTCTCATCCCAACTGCACCTTGGCAGGAGACAATGCATTGATTCCATTGCTTGCAGCTTGATATGCAAGGCCTCAGACCAGCCTTGCCTTCAGGGGCCTTAGAAAAGCACTCTAGTGCCACACAGGACATACCTCCGGCGCTAGGCCTTTTTGGTCGACCATTTCTGTGCGCACGGCGGCCCAGGGCTCCTTGTCGAGCTTGTCAATGGCGGAGCAGATGGCGCGGAACTTATTGGAAGGTACCCCGCAGACGCGCATCATCGCGTCCAGAATGCGCCGGTGGTTGAGCTTTATGCGGAAGGCGCCGATGTCCAGCTCTGACAGGATCTCCACCAGCACCTGATCAGGACGCGAGCAAACAGATCCTGATCACGCGCTTTCTGGGAAAATCAGCGGTGCCCCAGTCTGAACAGGATGGAGGACGGCATTCAACACTCGGCCTATGTATCGCCTAATTATTGACAATAGGGTCGACACTCTGCTGGCATTCCTATGTGCTACACGCAAAACAAGCTACAGCCGACACAATGTGGGTTAGAAGAGGATGGCCTCTGCAACCAGCGCCCGCTGTGTTGTTGGGCCCTCACTCCATAAGAAACCTCTTTTGCCGGGCCACCAGATCAACACTGGCCAGATCTGGTAATCTGTTTGCAGTACAGTCCTCCTATACACCAGTAATGACAACATAGAAACATGCAAGGCCGCCCCACCTTGAGGACCTCGGCGTCGGGCACCATGGGCGGGTAGGCCCCGGCAATGTCAAAGTCGCACTGGAAGAACTCGCGGAATCTTCCGCGCGCGGCCTGCGGCTGGTCGCGCCGGTACACGCGCGCGACGTGGTACCGCTTTATGTTGCCCAGCCCGTTCAGTGCCACGTAGCGCGCAAATGGCACCGTCAGGTCGTACCGCAGGCTCAGGATCTCCCCGCCTGCGCGCGCGCAACACATGCATAAGCCAGAATATAACTCCCAGCGTTTATACTTTCCTTGCCACTCGCTGTTCCTGCCAGGAGGGAAGGCGCATCTGCAGACATATTGTGGGAATGGAGACAGTATGATGGCCCAAGCCTCACCTACAATGCCTTTGTAGTCTCAGGCATGCATGCATCTTAGAAGAGAGCACCTCTCCAGCAAACTTATGAGAATATGAACCAAACCGCAATCACTTGTGCAGCCACAGTGATCCTTGCCGCCTTGATTGTTGAGGATGCATGCGGACTGCTACAGCTAAGGGCATGCTGAATGGTGGCCGCAGAGAATGCAAATGAAGCGGACTCTCCTTCTCAACTCATGAGCTCTCACACACCCAGATCGAGAAATGAGCCCATATTCTGGTGCATGCACAAGCCCGGCTGGTGATTGACTGCTCCTGCCAATGCGGGCAGATGAGGAAAAAATCAAAGAAATTGCGCACCCTGGTCGGCCAGGTCGTAGATGAGCTTGGAGTCCTCGCCATACTTGCCCATTAGCGTCTCGCGCAGCTCAAATACCGGCGTGTCTATCGCCACCGCGCCGTGCCGTGCGAAACAGCGCTCTATCACCCTGAACGCATGCGCATAAATCCTATCAGCAGAAATGCTAAATCATAAACAAGGTGTGCCTAGTAGGTTGGCCCTGCCCCAGAAGCCAGAAGCATAAGCATTAGGTCAGGAAAGATCCCCTTAACATGTGTGCTGCAGAGAAAAAGCTTAAGATTCATTTCAAGTGTGTAATCTCGAGGGTAAGATGTACAGCTGCTTGAGGACTCATGATCAAACAATGCATTCCAGATGAGACTTGACAGATCTGTAACTATGAAAGAGGGATTACAAAGTTGTTGAAAGTTCTTGAAAGGACGTGCCTGAACGCGTGCCGCCGGATCGTCATCTGCGCCGGCAGGAAGTCACGCGTGCCTTTGGCGATCTTGGGCTTGCGCCGCGCCGCGTTGGCCTCTAGCACTGCCCGTACGCTGCCCAGCTGCGGGCCCAGGAGCCTGCCCGCCGGGTCCAGCGCTGCGCTCACCCCCTGCGTCGGGGATATGAAAAAATTCTCAACCTGTAGGGGCGTCTTGTTATACCGTGGTTGAATGTGATGTGTATGAGCAAGCCTGACCAGGCGCACGGCTGTCAGACATCTATCCTCTCGTTGCTCCCTGACATACTGTGACCACGATGCCCATCGTGACAAGGGGACCTGACGACTGGTGCAATCTCTTTTTCAATTTTTGTTTAAGGCAGCAATGAGGTCTGCTGAGTGCGAGGGTTGAAGCGGGTCTGTAATATAGGGTGCTTAATAAGGCCGCACCTTCACGGCAGCCTGCAGCAGCGGGGCGCCGTCCTGTGCGGCCGGAGCCGCGCCGTTGGCCGCCGCAGCGCCGTCGCCCAGAGACAGCTTGGCGATCTGCGCGGCCAGGCCGACTGATGGCGCACCGGCCGCCTGCTCCAGGAACGCCCTCCACATAGCCGTCCCCTTCCCTAGTGCAAATCCTACGCGCAATATTGCTTTGACAAGGTTGTGTCTTTGTAAGAAAACAAAATAGAGCAGCAAGAGCAGTGCTTTCCCAATCTCCATCTATCATAATCTTGTTACTATTACAAAAATTATGTGCCAGAGGCAAGGTGCAAATGCAGACAAGCTGCATGGAGAGCAGTGTCACCGCATGCGATAATGCGAATAATGCGATATATAATTGCATGCGAGCATTATATAGCATTTTATTTTTGGGCCAGTAGAATGCGATAAAATGCGATCCTCTCAAAAGTGTTTTTAGGGGGCCTTTAGAGTCCCTTTGAGGACTTACTCCATCCCCAAGCCTGTCCACACTGAGAAAAAACATTCCAAAAGAGTTTTACTTTGAGTTTTCAGGAAAAACCTTATATTTACCTGGCTATACCTACGTTTTGCCCAATAAAACAATGGCAAAATTGTTCCAAACGCATTTTATCGCATTTTATTTTTCGCCAGTAATGCTAGCATTTTATCGCATTATATTTTGAGAATGATCGCATGCGGTGACCCTGATGGAGAGGATGCCGAAATCCTTCTCCTTGTTGGACGCACTCACTAGATGTATCCTATATCCATACATGCATTGGCTTGCTAAGTGATGAGGGGGAGATATGGTTTGCGTCATATTGTCCAAACAATGAAGCCGCTAGAATTGGATGAAGAAGATTTCAGCTGCTTAGAGAATAATTTCAGCAAACAACGCGGGAAAAATGTGTGGTGTGTCTTGTCACCTGCCCCCTTGGCCTTCTTCTTGTCTTTCTTCTTTGCCGCAACATCCTCCTGTGCTGCCGGCGCCTCTGTGCTGCTGCTCTGAGGGCCCTCCTGTGCTCTGAGAGCAACCACTGCCATCGCTGCCTCCAGTGCAATGGCTCCTGCCCAGTCAAAAGCAAAAGAAAAATCAGATTGCTTTCTTGGAGCTCCATGCATCTTTCTGCATGTATGGATGCGGTGTAGCACTATATGCAAAACTGCAGCAGCTGCAACGTGTGGCGACAAGACATATTACAAAAGTAGCGAATACAGCTGCAGTTCCTGTCAAGTAGCAAATAATGAGGCTGTCTGATTATGAGGTGAGGGCGTGATCCCCACAAGAAGGCATACCTTGCACAGCTTCCAGGGCGGAGGCGGCTGACAGCGCAGCTGCCAGGCAGGGCACATCCTCGTCAGCATCGCAACCTTCTGTCAGCTGCTGCTTCCTTGACAGCTGCACTGCTTCTGTCACTGCTGTCTGACATCCCCGCACCCCCTGTGCCCCATATACATTATCTCAACACCCCTTTCATGCACCCCCTCAACTCAGTCCCCAAATTTCTTGCAATGTGCAATTGCCAATCCCTTCTTAGAAGCCACTGAAGTGGGGAGGTCCATCATTGGAGTCCACCGGCAAACATCAACATCAGGTGACCAAAAGGCTTATAGCCAGGGTCACCACATGCGGACATAAATTGGTAGTAAAAGGTGATAAAATGCTTGCATTGATGCAGAAAACTCAAATGCGAGAAGTATGGGATGAATTGCAAGCTGCTGTGCCACGTCCACGTTTTCCCGCCTTCTAGTCAGCTTCCAGCGATCAAACCTCATCCTAGCCGATTGTCAGAACCTAGCCGAGCTGCACATGATGTAGCAACTGCATAGGCAGTGGACAATATAGGTGAAAAGATCACCTCCAGGGCGAGGAGTTCTGGAGAGTACAGCCTGCACCGCTCGGCGCTCCTGACAGCCACAGCGCAGAGGCAGCGGGAGAGGCTGAGCAGGCTCTCAGCCAGCTGCAGCGAGGGCGCCTCCTGAGACACCTTCTCTGGCGCAGGCGCCGCCGTCGCCAGCTCTGAGCGCACTGCAGCGGCCGCCGCTGACAGCGCTGTCTCCGCTGCTCCGTGTATCTGCGCAGGGAAATCTTTGGATTGGTTTCATCCAGACCTCAGGCATGTTACAGAGTACTAAGTTTTGGTAGACAGAACCTGCACTTTGCAACTTCATGCCTGTCTTGCCCACAGCACAATTCAACGAAGGTCACTAGTGGAACTTTAGCTTGCTGATGTTGTTTGCTGTCCTCCATGGGAAGAGGCACAGGCATCAGCTTGCATGCCAAAACAGCGTCAGCACACTTAAGTCCTACGTCGACCTTGGTTTAAATTTGCGCTGTGCAAGACTGGTGCAGAAGCACACAATTGCAAAAGTCGCTGATTTCATGCTGGCAGGCTGCGTACGCGCAATCCCTGCAACATGCCGCATGGCTGACAGGCAACCTGGGCAACCTGCTGCTGCTGAGCAGAGACTTGACGGTTCAATGGAAAAGACAAATTGTTACATTCAAATCCAAGGGGCTGCAAGGGGCCTCTGAGGCACCTGCGGGACGGCCAGGATGCTGCGCACGGCGCCGGCTCCCCCTTTCCTGGGGTTGACCCGCGAAGAACCCTCCAGCAACCCCTTCATCTCCCCTGCCACGCTCGCCGCTGCCTTGTACGCCTGCCCCTCGCCCGCCGCGTCCTCAAACGCCTTTGTCTGCGCGCACACCACACCTCCTCATAATTCAAACACAGTTTATCACGATCCATATAAGATGAGAAAAGAATAAATCATGTGACATCTTTGGACTCTCCCTCATCGGGAGAGATACACAAACAAGCCCAAGATATGATTTGCTTGTGGGAAATGCAGCATGATGGAATTGATCACAGTGAAGCACAACGCCAGTACATGCAATCCCATGCATGCCTTACTGTGAAGAAAATGTAACAAAAAGCAACGCCACATTTTGCAAAGCAGTAGAGGGCATGTGTCCTGGGCAGCAGATGGCAGCACCTGGGCCTGCAGAGCTTCGCTGCTAAGGGCTGCCACGGCAGTTCCAGCGCTGACTGTGCTCCTGCCGGCTGCCACCACGAGTGCAGCAATGCCAGCACTGGCGCTCTGCCCAGACTCCAGCACTGTCCTCTCTTCTGCACTGATGCCTGGAGGCTCCAACAGTGGCGCATCTCCTACACCTGTGAATACATTTAACTCGTTTCTTTGATTTGCCTATCTGCCTGAAAAATCAGGGAGCATTAACGACAAATCCCTGTAAGATCTGTACTACCCCCTGTGAATTTGCGTCTCAAGAGAATATCCGAGGTATCATGCACAGGGCAAGCGGGTCACCTGCTAGGGAGTCTGCCAGCTGCCTCAGCAGGTTTCTGTCAAATGCATTGGCCTTCAGCTGAAGGCCCTTCTCTCTGTTAAGGGCATTTATGAGGGCCTCCACAATAGACAGGCGCACTTTGCTGTTGCCATTGACTAAGCTGAGGGCTCGTACTAGAATTGCTGCTCTAACCTGCGCGAACATGGTTCTGGTCATACACAGAGCGCACGCAGGCGGGTCACCCAATTTAGATCTGATGTGTGTGTCTGGACGCTGACAGGTGAGCTTAACGATGAATCGGAGCTTGAATGAAAGGGTGTCTAGGCAGGTTTTAGAGCAGATGCCTGGGTCTGTGTCAGGGCCCAGTCTTGAATTCCTGAAGAAGCTGTGCCTGCCGTGGTTTCCTCAGCCTTAAAACTTGCAGGAGGGGGCGATGCTTTCTTTATCCTAGTCGCAGCAGCGCCATCCAAGCTGACACCTTGCCCTGTGCATGCAATGTTCCAACCAAGCTTCAATATTGCAATGCAGTACGTGAGCATGGAAAAACCGCGTATATAATACATGAAATCTACTGATGATGGAAATTGTGATGTTCAACAAAAACCACAATAAATGCAGTGATGTTCGCAGCTTGCCTGCTGCGATCTGAAGGACATCATCAGCATTGAGAGTTGCGCCAACACCACCGATCGGGAATGCGGAAGTAGCCATTCCACGAAATCTCACAATTCCTAAAAAAGCCTTGTGCTTCAGGTTGGGGGCTTTGGCAGCCGACTAGATTTCAATTAGAACCTGTACTGCAGATCCTTCAGGATGCCTAGTGTCGTCAGATGCGACAGCAACACAGCATCAATTTCACACGTTTTTTCACTTTTTCCCTCCTCCTCCCAAATGGATGTAAGGAAGAAGGCATGCAAGCGTATCCTTATTGGTACTGGCCACGCCTCGCCCATCTTTCCACATCCTTGCTTGCTGGCAAAATTTGATCTAAGACCCAGAATCTGAAAGCATATAAAGCTGTTGAGTTCGTACAAGAACCCTCAACAAAAATTTTACAATAACGTTCGCTTTCAGTTCGGTCGATGCTGTGACTGGGTCCTCGTCCCTGAGATCTGCTATTCTGTTAGAATGAAATTAATACATGAAACTAATGCCGACAATGCATCTTAGTGGCACTGCATGACTAGGCGACACGCGGTGTATTGGGTCCAATAAGACTGGGCATGCAGATTTGTTGCTGAAGACCCTACACAATGCCCAGCAAATTTCGCAAAGAAGTATGATAAATAGAGACATTCGGCAGATGAAAGATTGATTCAAGGGCGCAGTCAAGAACTAATTCCTTCAGAGTTCCACAATGGACGGATTCCTACTCCTCACCTTTGCCTCACTGGCAGCACTGACAGCAGTCTTGGAGCTTTTCAAACGCCGAAGTTCCAAGCTTGACACAACAAACAGAGAATTTCTGCGGTTCAGAGCCAACTATGTGTTGGTGTATGCACTCATGATGGGTAGGGCTCCACAGCACACTCTGCTCGCACTCTCTGCTTGCTTGTCTGCATTTCAAAGGCCGGAAAAGACTCCCTGAAAATGCAGAAGAATCCTTGATGCGTTGGTCGTTGCTTCTTTGCGTTATTGTGTTGCAGTTGGCTCAAGCTGTTGTGTTTGCAGCTGGAGACTGGCTGCAAGGTCCATACGTCTATGCGCTGTACCAGTACTATGGCTTTGATAGAGGACAGATAGGGCGGCTCTTCATTGGAGGCTTCGCGTCCTCCATGGTTTTTGGCACCATCGCCGGATCTCTGGCAGACAAATAGTGCGCACCATTCTCATCACCTGAATCTCATGGCCCCTCTCATGCCTCCTGCAGCTTGCACAACTGTGTCCTGCACGATCGAACATTTGCTAATCATGGCAGAGGCTTCTTTGTGGGCTCTTATCATATATATATAGATATACTCTCTGGTAACCAAATGGCTGAGCGTTTGCATGTGCTGCTCAGTGGAAGGAAGAAGGCAGCGCTGGCATATGTGGTGATGTACACAAGCGGCTGCGTGACAAAGCACTTCAACGACTTCAACGTACTCCTAGCCGGCCGCCTGTTCAGCGGAGTTGCCACATCCCTGCTGAACTCAGCCTTCGAGTCATGGCTGGTGGCAGAGCACAGCAAGGTAAGCAATTCCTTCTCAAACCAGTCACATGCACAACCAGACTTGCACTGCAAGCATGCCTACAGCACTGGACACTGTGTTGTGAACCTAGGGTGGTGACACCCACATTCAAGCCCATGTGACCTCTCAGGCCGACGATGATCAGGACAGCATTGTTGAATACATCTTTCAGCCCTGGTGTACGATCCCCATTCTGTAATTGAGGCATAGCGAGGCAGAAAAAATTAATACTGAGCCAATATGCAGCCCTGTCATAATACCCTTATACATCTGAAGCATCCCTGCTTGATGCCCTTGTCGCAGAGGAACTACGATGACGATTGGCTGGGGGGCACATTCTCAGCCTCGGTGTTTGTGGGCAACGGCTTCATGGCAATCCTGAGCGGCCTGGCGGCGCACACCCTGGTTGAGGCTTTCTCTCTGGGGCCGGTGGCGCCCTTTGACGCTGCGCACGCCGTGCTGCTGCTGGGGGGAATTTTAATTCTGCTGACGTGGACGGAAAACTTTGGGGACGATGGGAAGGAGAGCCGCGCCGGCTTCCTGGGGCAGATATGGGGCGCCATGCGGGCCATCAGGAAAGGTGGGCACCCACATTTTGCCCATCAAAAGTCAACGTCTTCCCATGTTTTTTTTGCTGTAGAACACCGCGGCCATGGGGGGTCCAGTCAGGGAGAGAAGATGGCGCTGCAAGGTAGCAAAGATGTGGTTGCGGTGAGACATGCCCCGGCCAGTCCTGCTGGAAGCGTCCGCAACAGCTTCTGCACATGAGCACAATGCGAACGAGCGCACATCAGACTATTCGCAAAGTGGAGGTTCTGTGCTGTGAGGCAAATGCCATGACTAAAGGGCTCTTCATGTGACGATATCACATGCACCGCTGATGTGCGTTGGTAACCTCGCAGACCCGAAGATAGCGCTGCTGGGGGCGATGCAGTCCCTGTTTGAGACGAGCATGTACACGTTTGTGTTCCTGTGGACGCCAGCGCTGAGCCCCAATGGGGAGCACCTGGAGCACGGCCTCATCTTCACCTGCTTCATGATGGCTTGCATGGCCGGCTCGACCATCGCCGGCCGCCTGCTCTCCGACCCCCGCCGCTACCAAGTCAGCCACTACATGAAGGTGGGCTCTTAATCTTACCTATTTGACAGCTTTTGGGAGTTTTGGGACAGCTGCACTGAGGAAGCGCCCCTGCCGCTCATAAGTCAGCCGATAATGTAGGAGGCCTCTCAAATCAAGTGTGCCAATGCAATACACATTCCAAAGAGTTTTTGGCTGTTGCACGCATGAGGTACACTCGCATCCTGCCGCCCTGATAAATGAAAGAGTCAGAAAGAAAGTTTTTCTGGTTCTGGCGCGGACTGAATGCCCCAGGACACATGCAAGTCTCAGCTCTTAAAATTCTAGTTTGTTATGGTAAACAATGCTGCGCATTGATGAGAGCACGCGGGTGTCAAAAGACCGATCTGGGTGCATGAAGTGAGAGCTGAGGTGCATGTGCAGACTGTGTACGGGCTGGCTGCGCTGACGTTGCTGGTACCAGTGTTCTTCCACTGGTACGCTCCAAGGGAGGACGAAGAGGACAGCAAGGCGTGGGCATCCATCGGGCTGACCTGGCAGGCCAAGCTCCAGCTGGTCGCTTTCTGCGCATTCGAGGCAAGTGATCCTGTCAATACTTACCTTGGGCGCCCTGAAACCCCCTTCGGAACAATGTTGAATTTCCTTTGCTCCTGCCCAAATGCGTGGCTGTAAAGCAGCCTGCTGGATAGGCGCTCTTTGAGACCACCAGCACCAAATCCGGCTGCATGCAGCACCCATGTCTGCAGCACTTGTTGCGGGTCTGGCAAGCATTGAAAACAGTACCGGTGCAGAGTGCACATATGGCCCCGGGACCTTTTCCTCACTCCCACAAGCAGCAGGCGAGGGAGTCACCACAAAAGCCATTGCGCATCAAGCCATGGCCGCTCGTGATCCCCTTTGCCAACCACAAAGCAGGCGTATATGTAGCAAACCTGAGGGTGCACCTCAGAGAGCGAGAGAGAGTCAGTGTGTGCAGAGAAGGAAGTGTGTGCTGTGTGGCAGGTGTTGGTGGGAGTGTTCTGGCCGTCCATGATGAAGCTGCGCAGCCAGTACGTGCCCGAGGACCAGCGCGCGACCATCCTCAACCTTTTCCGCATCCCCCTCAACCTCTTCGTCTGCCTCGTCCTCTACAACGTGCGCGAATCAAGTCTGTACTTGAATTTGTGTCATTCGGATAGACCACAGCATGCGGAAGTTCTGCATGTTGGAGTCTTGTCAGGCTCATGGTCTGCATGCTCATGGTCTGCTATTCTGAAATAGACCGCCGCCGGGTGCAATTTAGCTCTTTTGCTCTCCCTTTCTCCGTCATGCTTGGCACCAGGGTGGCACCGTGCCAGTGGCACGGCCATTACTGGCCATTACATGAATCCTAAGTCTGCTTACCATCTCCAATCTATCGATCCAAGGATCTTCAGACTGCGTTCGCCAGGATCATGATCAAATGTGGCGCATGGCAGGGCGTGATGACATGATGTGTGCGGCTGCAGGTGGCGAACGTGCCTCTGTCTGTGATGTTTGGCATGTGCTCGCTGTTCCTGCTGCTCGCCTTCTTCTGCCAGCACCGCTTCCTGCTGCTCAGCGTGCGCTCGCGCGTGCAAAGCACCCTCCGCCGCGGCCAGGCCGCCGGCGCTCGCAGCTGACGCGGGGCTGCTAGCTTAGTGTGAATAGAGTGAACCTCTGACACGTACACGGGTGCACAGGACAACATTTGTTAAATTCTTGCGGTCTGGGTGCAAGTGAAAGGACTGGAGGCCTCTCTATGCAAGACATGGACATGCACCGGCAATTGAGATGTTGCGACCGCGGCGCGACAGTGTCTAAGTCATTCCCGGGATATATTGCGGGGCTCATGGTTTGACTCGGGGTGCTGCTGTTGCGGACGCGGCATCAATTAGTGAACACCGGAGAGATTGTACTGGGGCTTTTGGAGGTATTGAAAACGCAGCATGTAGTTGAGTGGACAGCTGCGGGTCTGCATACGCCTTTGCAAGCCATGCATGGATGTTCGAGCTTGCACAGATGTGTGGTGCAGATGCTTCCAGAATTATAAAGTAGTGTTGTCCATGTCAGATATGGGCCAGCATCGAGCCCTGGCCTTGATGTCACATGAGTCAATGTTGAATGGCTGAGCACACAGGTCTGAGCTTGATCAGTGGTCATGACTCAGGCTGATCAGTCATCATGATCAGTGACTGTCGAGCCGATATATCGCGCGGGATCTTATTATTATTATTATTACACGCTTTTCCTGCCGAAGGCAAGGTGCGTCTGCAGACAAGCTGCATGTAAAGGCTGCCAAATTCCTACCCCTCGTTGGACTCGCCAGATCCAAGGAAGACCGAATCAACGTGAGCAGTGCTCAGTATTTGTACCACCCCCCGCGCGCCAGCCGGGGCCCGGATATATATACCGGTATATCTGTGGACTTGGTCGGCGACTGTGAACAGTGTGCCTCGCCATGCATGCCCTGATAGAGGTTGATCTAATTGATCATGGGCGGGTGTATGTAAGGAAACTGCATAAACAAGTCATCTGCTCTCTGGAGCATTCAAGCATGCAGATGCCTGAATAGGAGCGGGCAGGGTCTAACACCTGCAGCAGCTTCCACTCAACAACGAGGGAAACGGTCTTGAAGGAAAGTTGTGAAGGATCAACCGACTCTCCTCGTTCCGTTTTTTTGCCGCAACATATCCTGTGTCTTTCTCAGTGTCCTCGCCAGACTGCTGAGCGCTGAGGGCAGGATGCGTGAAATAGCACGGTGTCAGCCAGGCTTGATGACTTCGCACACAGGTGGTTACAGAGGTCTGCGCCTTGCCCGCTTGAAAGATACTGTGCATGCGGGGAGGCGAGTGCCGCTGCGACTGTCCCCCACCTATTCTCGTAACGGTGTGCAAGGGAGAGTTGCCCTGCTTCAGACACCGACTTCAGCGTCTGGCAATCAGCGCAAGGAGGCAGGAGTCAGCGTGAAAAGGGTGGAACGTAAGTGTCTTTTCTATTTCCCAAAATGTTATTTTCGCAAGCTGCATGCATTGATGAGCCTTTGAAAAAGGAGGGCTCTTCCAATCTAAATACCTTTCAGAAGGCTTCGACGAGGTCATTTGATACCTTGTACTGTGTATTTAGACATTCACAATCTGAAATAACACATTTCAGTTGCTTGCACTGCTGAAAGCTGGGCTGAAATGGGCAAAACTCAAAGAGTGATAAGGACGTGCTGAGTGTGACATCTCTTCAACCTTCTCAGGTCCCAACCTATGGAACAGCGGAGCACTGCCTCAACTAATACTGAGAAGATTTGGGATGGCCGCATCTTCCTTGGCTGCCTCCCTGCTGCTGCTTGCGCAGAGCCCTGCGATTGCTGAGCAGACAATTGTCAGGTATGACAACCAGCTTTAAGTAATCCTACCTTGCTGATTCACACATTTTCAGGGCTCCTTATTGTAATGCACTAGGTACTTGACGTTGACCTTGTTCCGAAGAACGTTCTAGAAGAGGCACTGCCAACTGAAGCCTAACATCTGCTGGTTCAGGTTCCCTGCGTCGTCAAACCCGGGCATCTTTGCGGCTCAGAAGACCCTGGTGGAGGCCTGGACGATCATTGAGGACGCCTATGTGGATGCACGTTTTGGCGGGAATGATTGGGAGAGCGAGCTCAGCGAGGCCCTTGTGTCAGCATATACCGCTGACACGAGCGCCAACGCCTACCACGAGATCAGCACCATGCTCGAGAAGCTCGGAGACCCCTTCACCCGCATTGTGCCCCCCTCGTGCGCCCCCACATGCTCTTTACCTTTCCTTACTTTGTATGCTCTTGTCCTGCTCTTGTTGCATGCAGGCTCCTGTGGATCATCAAAAGTGTGTGCTGGGCATAATGCTCATGAGCCCTGCATTGCATATGGCCCCAGCAAGTGCAGCAGCTCGTGCGCGCGCATCTGTGAGCCACAAGTGTCCGTGGATCCAGTCACATTGGTCTCATTGCTTTTGATACTGTGTCGCAAAGCACCTGGGATCCGATAAAGTGCATGCCTATGCATATGTCCCCTACACTGAAACGTGTCTGTAAATGGGATATGGGTCAATTAATGGTAATCATGCATGATTTCTTATTAAGAGGGGATCCAACTCATCAAAGGACACAGGATTGACGATTCTTGCCTGGCATGCTGCAGGGAGTACGCAGACTTCCGGGTGAGCTCGGACGGCGAGGTGCAGGGCGTGGGGCTGCTGATAGCGGCTGACCCCAACAGCGGCAAGCTTGTGGTGCTGGCGCCCATCCAGGGCGGCCCTGCCGACCGCGCCGGTATCAAACCTGGCGATGAGGTAGCCTCCATCACCCGCTTGAACATGCAGTCTAACGCATCAGTTGCGGAGTCTCCAGCCTATGCAAATCCTGCACACACGGTGGTAGAAATAGCATGTGTCTTGGATGCAGAAACTCCTGAAGGCGCCTTGCAGGAGTTTCTGCACCTAGGACAGATTGGCTCGCACGTCTTACACCTATTTCAGTTTTGATTACGCGTTGGGAAGTGATAAGGAGAGCTTAAGAGAACACTGTGAATCGGCGCAGGTGCTGAGCATTGACGGGACCACGACTGAGGGCTGGGATGGAGACAGGGCGGCCAAATCGCTGCGCGGAACATCGGGATCGTCGGTGACGGTAAAATTCGCGCGGCGCTCCGAGCAGGTGCCCGGCGTGGCAGGCCGCCCCGAGAACCCGCCCCGCCTGGAATTTAAGCAGGCGAGCCCATGCAGACTTATAAATCCTGCCACCATGAATGTTCAACTGTCTTTCAAGCAGAGTCGAGCGGAATTGGGGACTCCCCCTGGCGCAAGTCTCAGCGTACCTGGCTGCCCCTTCAGTCTGTAGTTATGACCTGCAGTCAGGAGCGGGCAATCTGCATCCAGAGGGATCTCAGTAGAGAAGTCCAAGAGTGCTCCAGAGGCTCATGCCTCTGCTTGATGCCCCAGGCTCCTCTTCTCATGACCGCATGTCTGATGATATATTTGCCTGACGTTGCAACTATGGGCACCGAGCAGGTGCGGCTGCAGCGTGAGAAGCTGGAGCTGTCGCCGGTGTATTCGACGGCGATGGTGCACGAGGGGCACAAGCTGGGCTACATCCGCCTCGTCAACTTCAGCCAGCACGCCGCCGCCGACATGCAGAAGGCCGTCACCCAACTCGAGGTGCTCACATCATCCCTCGTTTGCGGTCCTGGGAATGAACTGGACTCTCGCCCTGTCTGCCATATGCAACCTTTGTGCATCGTGTGGTGCTTACAATGCAAAAGGTGTGGCCAGCATTGCACAGCCTGCATTTTCTGTTAGAAGTTTAGAGGCACACAACCGGAGGAGAATCTGCTTATACGGAGCCTTTGTCAAGAGCAATGAGGATCGTGCTGATGCTGCTGCTTTCCTTGGACTGTGATCCGTACAGTTATACTGATATTTTCGTAACTCGTCCTTGGGACTGTGATCAGTAAAGGCATACTCATGTTTTATCAACCACCCTGGTGCAGAGGGGCGGCGCTGAGGGTTTCATCCTGGACCTGCGCAACAATCCGGGAGGCCTGGTGCGCGCGGGGCTGGACATCGCGCGGCTGTGGCTGGACGGCAACGCCGCCATCTTCAACGTGCAGGGCCGGGAGGACAACGGCCACATGGCAATCATGCAGGTGGGTCAAGAGCCTTTGCAGCACCACCACATCAACAAGACCTGTGGGCGCCTGCACAGTCTGCTTCCTCAGGACAAGAGGCATTGCGTCTAGATCTTGAAGGACTGACACAGCTTTGTGCCTCACAACAGATGGTGCAGGCGCCATCATATCATTGTTGCTTTGAAATCAGTCACTGGGCCTGCATGACTCGCTTCTCTGTCATCCTCGTTGAGCCTTTGCTCACTGAGCAGGCACAGACCCAGAAAGTTTGCCGGAAAGACCGATCATGCATGCCCACATCATTGCACTGAGAATGAGTTGAATGCCTCTGGCACGGTATCTATCGGAAGCATTTCGCATCCGTCGCTTGCCCCTTTTTCTGCTTGAGCATGCTCACTGCAACTCAGGCCATTCCGCAGTAGCCCAGTGAGTATTCTGATTGCATAGGGTTCAACTGCCTATTCATGGTTCAGCGCCTAGTCCTGATTGTGCTATGCTCATTGTAAAGCGAACATCCCTTTTTGGCGCAGCAAGTGATTCTGATCGTGCAACAGTAATCATTCACCTTGCTTATGGCGCAGCGAGTCATCCTGGACGCGGGGGACGCCCTCAGCGAGAAGCCGCTGACGGTTCTGGTGAACGGCGGCAGCGCGAGCGCGAGCGAGATTCTGGCGGGCGCACTTCGCGACAACGGCCGCGCAACGCTCGTGGGCGACCGCACTTTTGGCAAGGGCAAGATCCAGTCAGTGTTTGAGCTCGAGGACGGCTCCGCGCTCTTCGTCACAGTCGCCAAGTGCGCCCCCTGCTCCCTGATGCCCCATGCACCACTCTTGGCAGGGGCAATTGCTGAGACTCTGTGAAGTGAAGCTTTTGGTGAAATCTGACAGCTGCCATGTGTTGCCTTGCCCCCACATCCTTGGCAGGTGGAATGGATATTGCTTTGGGCTGCCAGATGCTGATGCACCCTTTTGGCTTCTTGTGTGCCCGGCTTATCTATCACTTCCAGTAAGCTGCCCAGCCCAGTGAGCTTCAAGGCATTGCCAGACCAGGTCGACTGTGACATCTCCCTCAGCGGAGCAATATCATGAACATGATAATTATCCCAAGTTGAGGTTAGACTGGCCTTAGAGCTGATTTATATTGATACAAAAAGGGGTGGTGGGCAGGGTGGCAGCTGTGCAATATCATCCGGAATATTCAAATTGCACTGTAGCACTACCAAGACGGCAAGAAACCATCCAGTGTATCTGACAAGTGCTGCTTTGGCCCTGAAATCCCTTGTCACGACCCCTATCAATAATCCTGTTGCGCAGGTACCGCACGCCCAACATGGAGGACATTGACAAGGTGGGCATCCAGCCAGACACGGCGTGCACGCTGGGCGAGCCGGGGCGGCAGTCGGCGGCGGGGGTGCCCGTCGACCGCAAGACGGCCTCCTCGGTGCTGTCGCAGCTGCAGGAGGACTCCTGCGTGCTCACCGCCGAGCAGCTGCTCGAAGGCCAGCTCATCCACTCCTGAGCTGCCTGAAGGGCTGGAAGCCATGGGTGAAGGCTTGGATAATCCGCTCCTGAGTTGCTCAAGGGCTAAATTACCCGCAAGTGAGCTTCTCAAGGGCTGGAGAAGCCGCTTGTGACGCTGGGCTACAGTCAATCCCAGCCGCAGCATACAAAGAGGCTGTGATGTGCACATTAAGGGAAGGCAGGAATGGATCTTGAGCAGCGCGGCCGGGTCTCGCTTTTGTCTTCAGATCTTGACTAGAGGAGCATCGACCGGCAAAGCTGTGTGTATCCCTGCCCAGACCTCCATTAGCTGGGTTCATTGGACAGCTGCTCACACCCGAGCATGTTAGGCCGGCTTCTGGGCCTGTTTGTTGCGCAAGGATGTGTACATCCAGCTCCAGTGCAGCGTCTGAAGGACTAACCTGGCGATTCAGAGGATGGTTGAAACTTGCACAACTTCTGCTTCAGAGGTGGCTGAGGTGCCAAATGGTTCTGGAACACTGGGCAAAACGGAACTGTACTAAAAGCAGGCGCTTTCCTGCACATCAGCCCCCTCGCACATGCGGTGTTCCAGACTCGATGTACCAATAAAGGGTGTGTTCCTCTGGCCCCAGGCGCAGAGAACATATTCACCAAGCAGGCAACCTTACAATACTTTGTTTGCCTGAAGCGGTATTTTTCCGACAAGATCTGCCAAAGCTATGGCGGCTCAGATTAATGGTTTAAGAGGCTTGCCTAAGGTGGAAGCAGCCCGGTCGGATTGCATTCTTTGCCGAGAAGAAAATTGACAGCGAGATGATTGTGGTTGGGAGGCCCTGTGTATCAGAAAGGAACTGAGCTTTTGCAGAGTGAGGAGAGCACAACGGCTGCCTTGTATGAAACATGCTTTGTATGATATTTGTACAAGAGGCTTCAGGGCACAGGCTCTGATTGTCTGGCAGCGCACACAGCAGCGGCTGTGTTTTATACTGGGCTTGTGATAGAGTAATCCTACGTAGCATTCAAATATGGTGATTACCTGGGCATTGGGTGTCTTCATACCGTACATTGAATGTGCAAGTACAGGATCCCGTCGTGTTTAATCACGCAGCGGTGATATTTTTTCTTTGGGAACAATGTACCTTTCGTGCTCTTCTATCTGGTGTGCAAGGATGTGTTGCTTTGCAAATTGTATGGTGTGATGCTTGTAGACGATGTGGCTTTGGCCTTGTACCAATTTAGATGGCTGGTATTTGGCATGAGATTGTATGAGTGCAGATGTATGAGACTGCTGCACAGCTGTAGAGATGTCAGCGGGTGATTTGATGCTGGTGAAATAATGAGGGGTCAGAACTCAAGAGCACGTCTGGAACTCTACAAGTGTGAGAATATTGTGGTCGTGATTTGTCTGTGTTGGGTTTTTGTCAAATGCTTTCTAGAATGGACATCTTGACCAGTTGCAGGGTGTTATAAGGAAATTGTTTCAGAGACGTCAATCTGCCGGGAGGATATTGGGCCAAAGTGCGTTCTTTGCGCAATGAAATCTACTTTGTGGGTTCACCGTGTGACACTATGTGTAAGGGATCGTCAAAATTATTATTCAAGACCTTTTTAACCAACGCAAGCTCTCGGTGTTTCAAGACGGTCTCAGCAATTGCAGCCAGCTGCTCATCTGTGATCCCTTCTTAAGCACGCATCCCCAAAACATCCAATCAAAACACCTACATCAAGGGGATGGCAACGAGTGACAACCAACAAACGTGGTGTTGAATCATTCAACCATCAACTTGAATGTCAATTTGAAGCTTGGCCAGCTGCCATCCTATTCGACATGCACAGACAGATGCTGATGCACAGCTCTGAATAAAAAGACCATCTGGTTATCTCACGGTTGGAAAGACTCTTTAGACTGTTCCTGAGCGGTGCTCGCCCGGTTTGAGAATGTCATACTTGGGCAGTTCGCTGGGCAGCACAAGGAGGATGACTGGATGCTCTATGACTGTCTTCTGCGCCAGCGCCAGCCGCAGCGTGTGATTGGGCATCAGCCGATGGTACGCCTCCCCAGACGAGCCAGCCTGCGAGTCACAGACAACTCATAAAATACACAGGAGGGCAAACCCTGGCAGGAACAAACCTTTTTCGTTTGGGTGAGTGTGAGGATTGTGAGAAAAGGAGAGCTGCAAGCTCGCCAGTGTTGACCTGCATGTGACCGCAATTTCATGCTGCAATCCTACAATTGCATCAATCAAGCAGAGGCCTTGATCCTCATGCTAGACTCAGCGAAGCGTCTCACTATATGCACAGCAGCCCTGCTCTTTTATGGCATATCTGTAACTCAATTTTATGTCATATTGCGTGCCATCAATTTTCACCAATTGCACGTCCTGGCATGAACTTGGCTGCTCTACATAATTGATCATCATGTAGCCAATTTGTCAGGTATGGGCGCTCACCGGCCGGCCCTCCTGTTTGAGAAGCATGGTGAGCTGCTGGGGGCCAGCTTCAGCGTACTGCTTCAGCAGCGCATGCCTTTGTGCCTGCCCTGGCGCCAGCTTCAGATGCTGTGCAAGCGCATCCGCTAGCTTTGTCTGCTCGTCCAATTTCCTGCACCAGCAAATGCTGTCTAAGCCAGCAATGTCTCTGAGCCTATCTGGCCCCGGCTGGTGGGAGGTAGTGTACTTCCTGAGCACCGTGCCACGGTTGGTTGGTTCTTGCTTGGATCTGGCAATTCCAACAAGTCTAGAACCTTGCAGCTTGTCTGCAGGTTGCACCTAGCCTCTTGGTAGGACTACTGTAAGAAATTTCCGCAGAGATTGGGGGACCAAGCAAGAAATTCCTTCCTGAGACTCATTGACGGCAACAAGATTGTCGAAAGGCAAAGGTGGCATGGCGGAGCCTCACTCGTCAGTGGCAGAGTAGTCAGCACCGTCAAAGCGCCATGTCACCCGCCACATCAGCCGCCGCTTGTGGGCGTCGTAGCAGCTGCCGTTCAGCTGCCGCGCCTCGCTGCCCGGCGGTGCTGCCCGCCAGTCCATGTTGCGCAGCCGAGCCTGCCCAAAACACCCCGTAAACAATTTAAGATGAATGCCCATTGCCGTGTTGGATTTTCAGTTCTGGAGCTTGCACAGTGGGGGAAATTGCTTGAACAGCGTGCTATTACATAAAAAAGGGTGCATGTAAGCCCAAAGGTTTGCAGAGTGAGTAGAAATTGACTTGTGTATCCTGGTCATTGATCAGCCTAACAGAGTTCTTTGAAGGTGTGCTATGAACACAGATGACGCAAGCACTCAGAGATACCCATCGGTCCCAATATAATGAGACGTTTGGCCCCATCTGTGCAGCGTGCTGAGGTCACTTCTCCCCACCTGGTGCTGTAGCTGCCTCACAGCTGCAATGTCAGGCCCCTGGGCACTACTGAGTCGCTGCCTGCTGCGCTGAGCTGAGTCAGCCAGCTGCGCGGCCTCTTCCAGGAAGTTGTAGTCCGAGATCAAGTCCCGTTCGTCAAATTCGCTGAGCGGCACAAACTCCGTCCGCTGCCGCTTGCCGCTGCAGCCTGCGGTGGTTGCAGTGAGCATTCCATGACACTCTAATAAGAATCCAAGCGTTTTCCTAAATCTGTGCACCGAGTTGTATGCAGCAAGTGGAACTTCTGATGATCTGTAGAGCTGTACATGCTCTGCTTTGCTGAACATTGTCAATGTGCCAGCCAAATGAAGAGGTTGGGCACCAGATGGTGGCGATACGATGATCAAGGCATTTGTCAGCTAGACAATGCAGGGTAGCTATGTAGCACCCACCAGTTGTTGCCTTGTGCTCCTTGGAGCACGCCAGACTACAGCTGCGAGCTTGGCATCCTGGACATCTGTATTTGGACGGCTGTGCTTTGCAGACTTCGCACTGGACCTCCCCTGCGAGTCGGCAACAGCAAAAAGAACTTTCAAATTTGTATGAGGCCTGTGAGATGCAAGCAGTGATTGATGAAGGGGCTTTGGGCAGGTCCACACCTGACGATCTGGCTTCCCGATCTGATGTACTGACCCCCTTCTCGCAACTGCTGGCGCCAGTACTTTCTTTCCTAGAGGTGCTGCAATCATTACATGCCATATTGTTTATAAGACGATGAGACTAAACCAGAGTCAGCGTATGTTAAACATATGTGAAGCCTTTCAATCGGGCGAAGTCCAAGGATTCAGAATACGGATTAGTTTAAAGGTATGGATCAACACAAAGCACATTGAAAACTGCACTTCATCGATTTACGAAGGCTGTATCTTCAAGCAAAAGCAGTCGTACATATTGTAGTTACACCCCCATGCATGCATGATTCCAGAGGGTCGAAACCCTGGATCAGCCCGTTGAATTTTCGAAGTTAGTTGAGCTTGCCACAGCGCACGAGGTATTTGGCAGATTGAGGTAGCTTTCTACACCTCTTGGAATTCCACACAGGGTGAGAACCGCTGGAGGTCTTGAGCTCTCTGTCAGCACTGCAAAAACTTGCCCTATAGATTTCCCCGAAGCTTCTTAGATGACGCTTGTCGGTGCCCACCTACTGCTTGCCGTCCTTCTTGCTGTGAACGTTGCGACTGTCGCGCTAGCACAAGGCGTGGTGAGCAGCGTTGTATCGAGCGTCGGTGCGTTCAATCCTCCGGGTCACGAGCTAGTCAGTGAAACACGGTTGTTGTTGATGTCTAAAGTTGGAAGCCATCGCGAATAATCAGGAGCTTTGTTCTCCTCATATTCACAAGCAATCATATGTGTTTTGTTTATGAGCGCTTCAGTCTCGATTGAGCCGGACGTTTGCTGCAGGTTCAGCCGTAAAAACGGCAACGGGCGCGGGAGGTGAGGCTGCAAAACCCAATTTCCTCGTCGAGCTGTTAGCACTAGCACAAGCACTGAATCAAGTAACAACCTTTTCGACACATTTTCTGACGGATTTGCGTATCATTGTCCTTGATGACATCACAGTGTTCGCGCTACGCAGACCCCATCTTGACCGGTTTTGATGGCCGGAGCTTCGAGTTCGTTGGGGAGGTCGGTGCTTACTATAACGTCATCTCAGAAAAGCAGCATCAGGTGGGTGCAAAGTTACCTATCCCTTATGCACTTGAGGCTTCACGCATGTTCTGTTAGGGAATTGGCTTTGCACCAGCATCCTTCTTCTTCCTGTGACCTTTCAAGGTTGCAGACAGGCAGCGATGAAGTTGTCTCAGGACCTCCTTTTTTGATACTACGCAGATGAGCATGAAGCTGAAGCTGGGCCAGATGTGGGATCACAATGGCACGTACATGGAGGGCATCGGCTTCCGCTACCAGGATCACAAGGTCGTCATCGAGCTGGCCTCCGATGACAGCATGCACGGTACGCAGCAGTATTCTTCCGGGGTCCGTTTCCAACAATATTTGCACAAGTGTGCATCCACCCCTTCACTTCATCTTTGATCTACTGCAGCCATCGACCTGCACTGCCAATCCTGTGGTTCAATATTGCTGCAGTGTACCTGGACGGCAAGCGCCTGCAGATGGCCATGGACGAGAACGAGCAGGAACACTTATTGGGCCTGGATTCTGGAGAGATGATGCTGCTGTGGCAGCTGCACCGGCCCGACTTGGGCCAGGCTATCGAGATCAACACAGGTGCATGCTTTAATCTCTCTGATCATTTCCAAATGTCTACAGAGAGCAATGTCATGCAGATGGAGGCGTTTGTGCCAGCACAGCACATGCCACACTCTTTCTCTTCATGGGAAATCCGCCAGTGCAGGAGCAATTCAGTCCTCTTCTTGTTCTGGCTGCACGGCCCTGTTTCCATCTTTCCTGCTTCCTTTGTGCCCACCGTCTTGTCTGCGCATTCACATGTCTCCCTGTTTCGCTATGCAACCAAATTTTACACCTGTCTGGCACCTTATGTGACTGCCTGGTGCTGCATCGCAGATCTGCTGTCTGTGATCGTCTTCCTGACCCCTGCTGGCACGCGTGATGAGGGCGGTGTGATTCAGCCGGCCTACCTCAACTTTGATGCTGCCCTGCTCGGACCCCCCGCCCACGATCTGAAGGTGGGGGATTTTAACCCCTGCAGCTGAACACATCAATAGGGCAGGCAGCATTGCCAAGTGTTTGAGTGCCGCATGTACCTGTAGTGCCACATCTGATCTGCGGTGCAGATCCACCTGGTTTTTAGATCGAGCAGGAAAGTTACTCTGGTGCCCGTCAGATCATTACCGGTTCATTGAGTAGTCCATATTACCCCTGTCACTGCATGCTGCTGCGAAGGCAGAAGACTGCGCGCAACCTTTGTCAACTGTGCCTTGCGCACTGTCACATTGTGTCAGCTTTCAACCAATGCTAATACTGAAGATATTGCACACTGCTGATGTGGCGCAGGGTATCATTGGCATCGGCTACGAGCGTCTAACGGCCGCCGCCGCAGCCGCGCCGGCGGATGATTTCAAATTTCACGGCGTGGATTCCGATTACAAAATAGCCGGCTACTTCTCGACCGCGCACAAGCACAACGCGTTCGGTGTGGCGGCCGCGGCCGGCCGGAGTAAGCGGCGACTCATCGAGCGCGTCGACGTGGCGTTTCCTCTCCGCTTCCACGCCGGCGGCGTTCCCTCCAAAACCCCTATCATTCCCCCCTCTCGCCGCCGCCTGATCGAGGCAGTCACTCTTCCCCGCCGCATGTTCCAGTGAAAATACAAAAAATTGAAGTTCGACATTCTTGAAGCAAGGAATCATTTCTGTGTGGATGCCTGGAGAAGACCTCTGCTTATTGCCAGAGAGTGACCCTTTCTTGTGAAGGGCAGTAAGAGCGCTCGGCAGATGTGTTTTGAATGCCTCGTCAATGCTTGCAGCGTTCTGGGGTGCCTCTTCCGCAGCACGTAATTATATTTGACTAAGGATTGCATCATGTACGCTACAGCACTAAGATTAATTGCTGGCTGTATTTGAGGATGTTGCATGTTCATCAATGGAGAGTTTCTATTTATGTTTGCTGGTGTGCTGACCTGTCTCGCTCTCTTGCTTGCATGATCTGTTGCTGGCGTGAACTGGTTGCAGCAAATTGCTGCAGTGATCCGCAGCAATAGGAGGATATAGCAAGGGAGCGAGACAGGCAGCACAAGATTTCAGGTTTTCATGCAAGCTGTCCTGCAGGGTGTTTACCTGCATGGACAGGTCTTTATTTGCTACTCGCTCATTCTGTTGCCCGGGGTTTTTAATGCATGAAATGTCAAAGTTTTTAATATTGTGGACTTCACTGGCAAGGGTGGCCGTGCACTCGAGAGAAATTTCAGAAGTTTAAAGGGTTGAAGCAGAGTGGCAACGCAAGGCTATGCATTGAAAGCATGAGTGTCTCCCTGGAAAAGCTGTGCATGTGACAGCTAAGTTTATCTGAAAGCACAACGCTCTTGCAGCTGAATGGCTTTTACACACCTCCTGATACGGCCTGTAACACAGTGTCTGGATCTGAATATACTGCCGTTAGGCACATAATTAACAGCAAAATCTACCATTGCACAGTCATGGGGCGCCTCTCGTTCCCAAACACAGGCGGGGACATGTCAGGCTTCGCAGTCACCTTCGGCGCGGCCCGAGGACTTTCAAAATGGAAGGCCCTGTACTGGTACGGGCTCTGAGAATGCTTGCTTATTTTTTGTTGTTGTAAAGGTATTTTTTCTGTCTGTGACAGATGGGCTGTTTCCGAAGAAATGGCTCTCTGAGAGCCTCTCTCCTGTCTTAAGGTGGTTTGAAATGAAGGCGGTTAGCTGACAAGGAATGACACAATCTTTTAAGTGCCTAATTTGGCACCAGGTCCATCAGACTGTGAGAAGCGGTTGAGGCACCCTGATTGAAGGAAGATGTAAAGAAACGGAGAATTGTCAAATACACATCTACAGGCCCATTCGCATTTCTCGAGGCTGGCGCTTGCAAACTTTGTTTGTAACGCTCGGCTTCGATGGATCTACAGGCTCAGAAGCTGCGCCCATTAGGCTGGAACCACTTCATACGGTACTGACTTATCTAACCTTAAATAGTAAGAGAGTCACTGCTATGCAACTGCGGTATTATGCGCCAAAGAGAACTATGTACACGTTTGGCTGCTACATCTGCATGCAGCTCACATCAACTGCTCACCTAATGCTCAGTCATACTTACTGATCAGATTTCCTCTCTTCCGGAGATCGACTTCCGAGAAGTTCAGTTCGGTTAAATTGGCGAAGACAGCAGCAGTGTTTTGGACACTTCAGCTTGATTGACTGGTATTCCGCAGTACTATCTGTCATTTGATTGTCACATCATCTCACAATGGTCCCTAAATGGGCCTCGACTGTGCCCGTCGCCCTTCTAGCAGCGTCACTCTTAGTGATGTCTGCAGCAGCAATTGGCGCTTCTGTGGGCGCTAGCATTGCCCTTGGTAAGTTACTATCCTTTAAATGCGTCAGCCAAGATTGCTGAGCATCGACTGGCGAGCTCTGAATCGGCCCTCAGATCGCCGAGCGCGTTGATCAGTCGTGGTGTTTGCTGGGTCGAACTCAAATTCTGATGCTGCACGTAAGACAGCTTGACGCTTCCATGCGTAATGACGTGAGTGATGTCTTCAGGAAGCTCCGCTGGCGACCCGATAATGACAGACTTTGAGGGCCACACCTTCGAGTTCATGGGCGAGGTGGGCAAGTTTTATGACGTCATATCGGAGAAAGATCATCAGGTACGGAATTTCTCCAATCATTCTTCCAGGTTACATCCAACTTCTGGGGAACGACGAGCAGAACAATCCTCAGACACAGCTCCGACATCGTCAATTTCCTGTGCAGATGACGATGAAGCTGAAGCTGGGCCAGATGTGGGATCACAACGGGACTTACATGGAGGGCATCGGCTTCCGCTACCAGGACCACACGGTCGTCATCGAGCTGGCCTCCGATGACAGCATGCACGGTGAGCTCCTGCTTTTCCCTTTGAAAGCCCAGCTGACTTTCGCACCTGTGCGCAGCGAGATAATGGGATGTTTTGCGAGCAATCCCCAGTCTGCAGAGATTCTTGATGGAATGAATCCCTGCATCAAATGAGAGGGACAACTCACCTCCAGGTCTTCATGGGCTGTGAATGGCACCCTGTATATCTTTGTATGACTGATCACTCAACCTGCGCACAAGCTCTTAATTTTTATAATTACTACACGTTTTTCCTGCCAAGAGGCAAGTTGCGTCTTGCAGACAAGCTGCAGCAATGGCTGCCGAAGTCCTACCCCTTGTCGGACTCGCCAGATCTAAGCAAGACCCAATCAACCGTGGGCACAATGCTCAGTATTTGTACAGCCTTCCGCCAGCCGGAGCGTGGCCTAATTTATTGATTGCAATTGCAGATCCTTCTCAAATCCAAAAAATGAGCTTGGTGCACTCAGGCCAGCCAGAGCACTGATTTGCAGATTGTGTGCTGCAGTGTCTTTGGATGGCACCCAGCTGGAGATGGCAGAGGATGAGAATGAGCAGGAGCACATTCTGGGCCTGGAGTCTGGAGAGATGATGCTGCTGTGGCAGCTGCACTGCCCGGGCATGGGCCAAGCTGTCGAGATCACCACCGGTGCGCGCCCCTTAGGGCTCCAGGGGCAATTGCAAATACCTCATTTTGTAATTTATTCGGGTAAACAAACATGGAAGCTGAGGTCTTCCCTGTATTGGGGTGTAGTGGCGTGTAATCCTTCATTCGGAGGCATGCTCAGTGAGCATTGCTCACTTGTCGTCTGTGAAGAGGGTCGCTTGGATGCTCTTGCATGGAATCAAGGGGAGGGGCTCCTTTGCCTGCTGTGCTTTCAGTGGCGAGAAGGAGCATTCCCGCGTCCTAAAATTACTGACTAAAGTAGTTATCATATTTATTCTGTGGGCAAGATGCCCATGGAAGCAGAGTCTTGTGTGTCTCCCAATTCCTGCCGGGCAACACTCCTCCTCCATTGAGGTCATAGAATGACCAAGGCTGAGTTGTTCTTAGTCATTATGAGTCACAATGAATAACTGACTGAGCACTGCGCCAACGGTTGATTGGGCCTTGCTTGGATCTGGCGAGTCCACCATCAAGGGAAAAATTTTGCAGGCTTTGACTGCAGCTTGTCTGTGTACGCACCTTCCCTCTTGGCAGGAAAATGGGATAATAACAATCAATGACCTTGTGTCATGTGGCTGCAGATCTGCTGTGGATTGTCATCTACTTCACCCCTGCCGGCACGCGCGATGAGGGCGGTGTGATTCAGCCTGCCTACATCAACTTTGATGCTGCCCTGCTGGAGGCCCCAATGCACGAGCTCAAGGTGAGCAAACATCCCGTTTCACAAAGTCAGCAAGACTGCAAAATACACAATCCCTCCGACGGTTTCTTCCAGTAATGTGGCCCAGAGACAAGCATTTATTGCAGGGGACTAAGCTAACTATTTGGTTTAGAGTCCCCTGGATATTGTCAACAAAGGGGTGCACAAAAGGGACTGGCAAGTCGGGGTGACATGTCTTGTAACATCACCACGTGGGGAAGAGATTGCTGCTCGAGACTCCATGCAAACCAGAAACATTGCAGCACTGTGTTTGGCCAGACAGCAGCAGCGCTCAGAGCAGAATTTCTCCAACCCGGACCTCTGTATCATCACAGCCACCTCAATCCCCATGCCCTGTACTTACTAATGCTGTACCCCATGCAGGGGGTAATTGGAGAGGGCTACGGCCGACTGGCGTCGCCCACAAAGCCATCTTTGCCGCGGGACGACTTCAAATTCCACGGTGACGAGAGAGACTATATTTTGGACAGCTATTTCCCGGCCGTGACTCACAAGGTTGCCAGGGCGTTTTCGCGTGGCTACAGCGCTTACGGGGGAAACCGTAAATTGATCGAGAGCAATGACGTGGAATTTCCTCTGTCCTTCCGGTCAGGGCGTTCCCTCCGCGCCTGAGTCAGCGTTCCTGAGGATGCCTGTTTTGGCGATACGACCGGTCACAGGGGCAACAAGATATATGAATATCAGTAAATCAGGGGGCTATCAAACATGTCCTAATAGCATTCCCCTGCCCCGGTCACTTGTTTAGTGGTTGTTGAAACCTCCAGGTTTTGTGCAGCCTGCTCGCTCCTCTGCGCATGTGGCAGCAGCTGCCGGCAGCACGGATGTCCTTCAGTGACGGTGCTCTTTTTTTATTTTTGATCTTCTTGTGCTTCTTCTATATTAGTGAGGGTGCGCAGCGGCGGCCTAGGCCTATGAGCCTGCGCAAGTGCACACTGTAACAATAGCATGTTTTGCTCTTACGCATGTGATGGATTTCATGAGCCTCAATATAGCCCTGAGGGCTTGGTGAGGACAAAGCTTTTGGGACGATGTATGAGAGTGTACACATGCACAATTTAAGGGGCCTAGGACTAAGTTTCTGTATTGTGACACTGCTGCTGACCAGCATCGAGGATGTCATGCTGATCAGCAGCCCCGCATGTGATGATCACATGAGGGCGTCTCGGAATTCACAGCCAGGCGCACCAAATTTGAGTATAACGCACGATTTTTTTTTCGAATGCAGATCCTTGCACCGCTGTGATCCATCGGAAGTCTCTGGCAGTTGCCTTGTAAAGAGTCCCCTTTGGCCAGCTATCATTGATCAGTCATGACAGTCAGTCTCACTCCTGCATTCTCGGTCACACGTGTTCCTTTAGGCAACACTTCTACTGGTATCCGGATTTGCAAAGAACGGCATATATTATTGGCAGCAAACACAATTAGGTTTCACAATCCATGGAGATTGATTGACTTCACGTCAACTGTTGACATCAACTTTGCTAATTTGGCACTTGCATGTGTGACCATATTGGTACTAATGACTCGTAACTCAACCAGCTCCTAAAGACCGGGCCGGAGTACCTACAAGGCAAATGCAATGCATCGCCAATCGAGAAGGGAAGTCAATGTCCACAAACAGGATGTGTAGGAGTTGGGCAGGCGATAATCGCGGCAGTTGGCAGCAGCGGGCAACATGGGTAGGCAAGGACAGGACAATCTTAGTGTAAGAAGAGGAACATTTTGTAAGACGAGTGCACAGACAAGTAGGTGGTCATGAGACAGCAGTGACAGAGGAGCAAGCATGCAGAAAATTCAACTATTTTGAAATGAAGTTCATCGCCATGGCCAGCCACAGCAGGATATCTGGTACATCAGTTGTACCTTCACATGCGCCATCCAGGTACTACCTGATGACAGTATCCTAGCTGCTCAATCACTGACTCGGTGACTCATCTCCCTAATTTATAATTGTTTCCAGTCAAATTCTGGGATCCCAGTCCGGACGCAGTTGCCTTCGCACATACATTGCGGCACCTGACAGTACGGTGCAAGTTTGGAAGGTTTTCTGCGCTGTTGCTGTCAAAAAATTGTCATTTGTCATGGACAAATTGAAAGGATACAGACCAAGGCCCAGCCCATCAGTGAGTCACCTGATAGGATCGGGTGACAAACGGATGTCCCATGTTCGAACGACGCACTCCTTCACAGACCATACTTTCTCGATACTCGCAACAACGGCCTCGCCGTCTCTGAACTTTCTTTGATCTGATCACAGAACTTCATCCCACTTCAGCGATCCAGTCGCACCAGTATGGCTCGTGGCTTCGCTATCACCCTGCTCGGCATGCTGCTTTGTGCAACGGTCGTTTCCGTCGCTCGCGCTGGTACGTCACAATGATTCGCTACCGTTATGATCCATTTCTATTAGTTTAGTATCACTCGTGCTGTCAGACAGCTTAGAGGAGCACATCGGACTCCTCCATCCCATCACGGCGTTCGATCTGCTTCATTAGTCAAAGCTCCAGGCAAAAGGCTTGCTCAAGCGTCAAGCTTACTAGTTTGTTAGGTTTTACTGCCAAGCTATTTTATCGTCTCTCGTCTTGGGCGGTTATTCAAGTAAATGTTTGTGACGATGTCGGCGAGGGATCAGACGCGGCCTTTTCTGTGGGCCAGATCATCTCTTGAAACTATCCTCAAAAAATATTATCAACAGCTACTCCGTGTATTTTCAGCTACCAGCGTATCCTTTGGTGGTTCATCGTGCGGAAATTCCGTCTTGACTAATCTTTCGTTTGCTCTTCGACGGAGTCGACGGAGCACGTCCAGAACGATGAGCTAACCAGGCATTCATTCTGAGCACAGGCCCACGTCGTGGACTAGCCCTGCAGAAATTCTTGGTGCTTCAGTTTATCTCGCCCTCATTTCCCCACCCCCTGCTCGTGTATCTCAAGGGTCGTGACAAATCTCTCCTGTACAAGCAGATGGCGAAGCGAGCCGTGGCGGTGGCGGTGGCGGCCGAGGCGGTGGTGGCGGCGGCGGCGGTGGCAACGGTGGTGGCAACGGTGGTGGCAACGGCGGTGGCGGCTACGGTGGCGGCGGTGGCGGCGGTGGCAACGGTGGTGGCAACGGTGGTGGCAACGGCGGCGGCGGCGGCGGTGGCTGGAATGGTGGTGGCAATGGGTGAGTCCTCTGATTTGTCACATGAAGCATCAGTTTGGGATGGCCCCGTCTCTTTCAGGCAAAGCCAGAAGTCCCAGGGACTACATGCAGGGCAACTGCAGCCACATGTGTGGGGGCCTGCAAAGTCTGCAGCCCGGCAGAGTTATGCAGGGTTCCCTACCAAGAGAGAGAAACATTACATCGTGCCAGCCAACAAGGCCTACGAGTACACGAGTGCATTTGTGCTCCACAGTCTTCCTTGGTACTGTTCAAAATTTTGTGATTTCAGAAGCACAGAACCCTGTGTATTGCTTGCAAGCCACGGACTGCTGTAGTCAGATTGACAGCAGTACTGAGAACATGTGCACAATGCAAGCCCTGCTGAAATATTTCTCGGTTGGTGCCTCTGCAGGGATCCCATCATGACCAGCTTTGACGGGCACACCTTCGAGTTCTTCGGCAAGGTCGGCGCCTACTACAACGTCATTTCTGAGAAGCAGCACCAGGTGAGTCACCGCTGACTAAAAGATCTTACATGCTGCACAACATGCTCCATTGTTGCGCATATGTACAATGCTGCATGCAATCGCCCAGATTGTGCTCTGTGAAGGCTTGCAGCGCACGCAGCTGCCAGAGTATTAATGAATTTGCGGGTGTGTCTTTCTTTGCTTTTTTCTGTGTGTTGTTTACCTTCTTCTTGGTGGCACCTCAGCAAACACTGCACAGGGCTGCGCAGCCATGCACACAGCGGGAGCGCAGAACAGGTCATCTTCAGCCCTGCCCGGGTCCATACAATCAGAGTCTGAGGGGTGTGCGTGCTGTGCTGCGCAGATGAGCATGAAGCTGAAGCTGGGGCAGATGTGGGACCACAACGGCACCTACATGGAGGGCGTCGGCTTCCGCTACCAGGACCACAAAGTAATCGTGGAAATTGGTACAGGCGACAACATGCACGGTGAGTCACCCACTGAGTCACCCGCTTAGTGTTCTAGTCTGTTGCGTGGCTTAGTAAACAAAGCTCTGGCTTAGTAAACAAAGAAGGGATCACATCTGACCAGCCTGTCATCACTCAGATTGCCATGTGGAAAGGTCGCTCTTTTTTACACATTTCAGTAGGCTGGGGAATCGGCTGCGAGCACATCAAGCAGTTGGCTAGCTGTAACTTGCAGGACCTGCCTGGCAGCTGCTTCTATTCCGCACTGCAATTCCCAGCACCTTGACGAATACATCAATGCAACGGCTCGGTTGAGCTCGGCTTTGGAGACGCTTTGGACCTACACATGCTGCACAGAGCATCAGATTCTTGTTTCTGGTTTGCTGACAATCTGGCTGTGGCTGCTGCTGCAGTGTACCTGGACGGCGAGCGCCTGCACATGGCAGTGGGCGAGAATGAGCAGGAGCACATTTTGGGCCTGGCCTCCGGTGAGCTGATGGTGACCTGGCAGATGCACCGCCCCGACGCCGGCCAGGCCGTCGAGATTATCACCGGTGCGCGCTCTTATTCTTTTTATTATTACACGCTGTTCCTGCCAAGAAGGCAAGGTGCGTCTGCAGACAAGCTGCAGGTGAAGGCTACCATCCTATTCCTTGCTGGATCGCCAATCTAAGCAAGACCCAATCAACCGTGGGCACGGTGCTCAGCATTTTTACCGGCCCCCGCCAGCCGGGGCCAGTGGGCGCGTTGAGGAAGCATATAATTTGCAGCTGCATGCAGCTGACACACTGGGAATCTTCCGCTGCATGCAGCTCTTGCTGTTCTTTGTTCCTAGCAAAACAGAATGTAGCAGTACCTTGGTCCTCTGCCAGTTACCTCTGCACACACAGCTGCACTGGCTTGAAAAATCCTTGTGTCCTGCGAGGTCTGCTGATCTTCGGGCTATAAATATGATCAAGTGCATGTCATTCTGGCGGCGGGTGCTGCTGCGGTCTCAGGCCAGCCACTTGCTGGTCAGGGGTTCTGTGGCCATGCCGTCACCATGCACGTGTGTTTCATGTGAATGCTGAGATTAATATCAGAAGGCTGTGCTTGCCAAAATAGCCAAGCATCTGGAGACAATCTGCAGTACAATGCTGGTCCCTGTTGGCACGCCTCTGCAAATTCAGTACATATGCCACATGCCTCAGCACCCAACGAAATGCTCAGCAATCTCCCCTTCTGCTGTGAGCCTGTGCGCTAAGTGCGGATGTTGCTGTGGATGCAGATTTGCTGTCTGTGATCGTCTACCTGACCCCTGCCGGCACTCGCGATGAGGGCGGTGTCCCCCAGCCGGCCTACCTCAACTTTGATGCTGCCCTGCTCGGACCCCCTGCTCACAGCCTCAAGGTGGGGTGCCAGACTCCCAGCACACCATTCTTCAACATTACGGCATACTGTATCTTTGCCGCATTCTTCTACTCCCTCTCCTGCAGTATCGTAGGATCCATTAGTGCCTCTAAGAGTGGACGTGTTAAACGCCAAGCTTGAGCACAGCACTAGGCAGCATTTTGAATCGCAGGCCCGGCAGCAATTGTGTTATTGCGCCCCGTTGTTGCTGCTTGACATACTAGGCCTCTCTAAATGCTTGACAGGGAGAAACCTGCTATGCGCAAATCTCACCACCCTTTTCTCCGGGGAGCTGATGCGAGCGGTGCACCCTTGCAGGGCCTTGTGGGAGAGGGCTACCAGCGCCTGGTGGCCGGCGCGGCCGAGACAGACGACTTCAAGTTCCACGGCGATGAGGACAAATTCCGCATGGATGGCTATTTCGGGACATCCCACGTGACTAATGCATTTGGCGTCGCATCGGGCTCGGCCGGCTTCGGCCGCAGCCGCCGCCTGATTGAGTCCTCCGGCGTGGCGTTCCCTCTGCGCGCCGCCGGCGGAGGAAGCTTCCCGGCAGCCGCCACCCGGCCGGCCGCCGCCGCCGCCGCGCTCGGCCGCAAGGCCGGGATCTAGGTTCAAAAATTTCAAGTGCGGGCTCTCTGTGCTCCAGGGGCCTTCCATTTGCCACAGCGCCCTGACAGCAGTTCAATGCAGCTGTTTGTCACGCATGCGGATGGGCATGCATTTGACTCTGCTGACGAGTAATCCTATACACAAGTGAAGATTTGCTGCACTCACGAAGTATAAGGGCGTTTCTTTCCGAATAAATAATGAAGTTGTGCCCATCAGCACCCTTTCATTTGCACGGCCTGGATGCTGAGCGGATCAGGGCAGATGCTTGATTGAGGCTTTGTTTTTTATACATGAAGTATTGCAGAAGTGATGGGTGCCTATGTCAGTGTCCTCCGGATGTGAATGCGCACTGCAATGACTGATCATTGCTGCGAGCTTTCCCCGGTGAGACTGGTGCAGCGGCGCTTGTTACCTCGAGCATTTATGGGGGATTTATTTGACAGTACTGCATTTCTTTGCGGTTTAAATATTTGAAGTGTTTGCAAGGGATCTGAAGTGAGGCTTGACACTGTCTGCAGCAGTGCTTCCTTCTCATCGTGATATTGAATTTGATTGGGTTCAACAAGTTGCGAAACATGCAATGGTTGTCATGTGCTTTTGGGCACACCCTGAAAGCACCTGACAGCGCATGCTGTTGAAGTATGATTCGGATGTTTTCTCTCCATTTTAGCTGCCAGCTCTGCTTGCCTAGTGCGCATCAGTGCCTGCGCACGCGTATTGCCCTGTCGTAGCTCTCATATCATGACGGACAGTCTTTTGTCAGCATTGTAATCTTCTTCATTTTGAAGTACTGCCAAGCAATAGTCAAGAGCCTCACCAGGATCACCCACACAAGTCAGCTTGTACCTTGCTGATCACCTTCAAGCTTGTGCTTTGCTTATCACTTCTTGCGAGAGTGGATACCTAAAGACAGTGCGAGCACCAAGGGGGAACAGCCCGTGACGGCTGCCTCACAGTGTCAAGACTTTTGGTTCACCTTAACTCTGTGATAGCACAGACCCATACAGGTGACCACCCCTTTTCACGTACATGCATTGGTCTTGAAGAATAGGTGACTCCTCACGAGACGCCAGCCGGTCCTGCGCGCTGCGCAGTTTCGTACTCTGTCACAGACGCTCGAGCTTGTCCTCAATTGAGGACAAATTGCAAATTGACACCGGTACTGCACAAAGAACTCGAGCGGGGAAATGTCGACATCAGGATAAATATTTTAGAAAAAGCGTTCTGGGAATTGACCCGTCCTAGACTCTAGGCTAGAGAGCATATGGTGGAAGATGGGCATTCCTCAGGAAGCATGCACACCTTCAGCCAAGCGATGCCAGAACAGGCTCGTCTTCGATCCAGATGTCGACAGTGGCTGTCGGACAGTCAAACTTCCTGGAACATCGTCAAACCTCGTTATCTGATGCAGATATTTCTGGGGTTAGCTTCTAAGATTGTGTCAGATATCTTTGGAGAGTTTTGAAACGACGCTGCAGTCTTGGAAAGCTTTCGTCACAACAGAACATCCTGCGCGATGGTCAATGGGCGCTCTTAAAGGCCACATGGCCCCGTTCTTGTCAATCTCGCAGCAACACATCTTTTCCGTACCCTCAGTATCAGACAGCTAAGAAGACTGCAAATCTTGGTGAGTGTCTCGCCATTTCAGCGACCGTAAGGCACAAGTCATCTGCATCAAAGCATAAGACACTAAAAAGGAAAGCTTGCAGGAGTCCTTGCAAATGGCCGGTGAGGAACAGGACACCAGAATTGCTGCTCTCGAAGACCAGGTCGCTGACCTGCAGGAGCAGGTGGTTGCTCTCTTCAAGTACCAAGCCAGCATGGAAAAGACTCTGGAGGTGCTATTGAGCAATGCAGACATTGCCTGGAATGTGAGCACAACCTTCGAGGCGTTCATTTCAGGTGAAACCGCCTTCCCAAACTCGCTAAGTTGTTGCTTATTCTCCCAGCACCTTCCCGGGAAATGTAGCCTCTGCTCTGCTGGGCTGGCTGACTCTGCTCTCCTTACGTTCTATCTGCTCGCAGAGTCCAGAATGAGATGTATTCAAGCTCAGCAGCAGCAACAGCAAAATGCACAGCAACAGCAGGAGCAGCAGCTGCAGCAGCAGCAGCAGGCACAGCCATTGCCACAGCCACATCCGCAGCAGCAGAAGCTACATGCGCAGCCACAGCCACAGCCGCAGGCACGCCCGCAGCAGCAGCGGAAGCAGAGAACTGCAGGGAAGCCCCCAGGAAAGCCCAAGGCTGCCAGCAAAGCAGCCAGCGTGATACCCAAAAAGAGGGTCTGGGCTGAAATTCCTCCCGGGCTGGACACAGATGTCAAGAGAAAGAGGCTTAAGGCCAGAGTGTGTATGAAGTGCGGCCTGAAGGGGCACCACATCAAGGACTGCAAGAATGACTTCAATCCGGGCAAGCCTGCCGCGCAGCCGAGCATGCAGCAGGCGCAGCAGCAACAGGAGCCGGAGCCTGGATAGTTGCTCTGAGTTGCCTCAGATATCAGGGCCTTAATCCATGCAAAGAAGCCTGTTCGGAACCAGAGTTGCTGTTTGGAACAACCGACTCGGAGTCAGAGGAATACTTGCTGCAGCTGCCAGCACACTGAGGATGTTACTTTGCCAACTGTACCAGTAGTTCTGTTGTACATATATGACAATTCACGTAAGCTCATGAGTTCATAGATATATCAGCACTGCAATGCATGATTGCTATCAGATCAGTGGGCGCAAGGTGTCTTGACACAATTTTTTACAGAGACAGTAATCCATGAGGACTGAAAGATGATTAAAGGGAGATTACGCATGCCGCACAATGACACAGTTGCACGACTTTTGATAATTGTCCCTTTTGAAGTGTGCTAAAATATTATGATTCTACAGTTGTAATTCTCAGCAAGCGCCCATCTGTAAGATTTACACAATTCTATCCGCACATTCCGGCAAGCAACCATTGTTCACATGCAGATCTGATAAGGTCAACTGTCTGGAATATTCCACGAAATGGTATTGGTCCACATGTAAGATACTCTCAAACACCTGTGAATACTCTCTGGTCCGAAGCTCTTGAATTTGTCTGGTGACACCACCAAATGTACATCAACTGAACAGGAGTGCTGCTTCACCCAGCCAGTGCGTCTCTTGATCTTGACAAAAACAACAAGTACAAAATTGCATGCCACAGGAATGGCACACAGGTGGCAACTGCCATAATTTGGGGCTTCAGATCTGATCCAAGGATGGCAGCTCCCAGGTGACAGAGCAGCTTCCTGGCAGGCGGAAGCCAATGTGGCCGCATGCAATCTGGGTCTGGAGTCCGCTGACTCAGCAGATGCTCCCCTGTCGCTCTGCCTGCATTTGCCTGCAAAGATCTCATTGTAGTAACTCAAAAAATCTTGGCTAGCTTCAACAGGGACTTCAACATGGAACACTTCAAGTTAATTGAAAAGTCTAGCTAGGATCACCATCTCACATGAAGAACATTCCATTTTGAATATCCCCAGTAGTGGCCAATATCCAATTGCTTGAGGCACGCAGAGCTTTAGAAACACTGCAATGTCGACAGACTTACCTAGTCTTCAAATGGGCACCGATGCAGTCTCGCTGGCGTGGCAGGCTCTTCAGAGCTTGCGCGACTGAGGGGTGACTCTGAAGCCGAGCCCTTGAGCAATGGAGTTGAAGGTAGCCCTGCGGCTCCTGCAATCAACATCTACAATCAACCAGGGTCCAAGCGTCTTCTGCATCCAGTGCAATACAGCCTATTCCAGCATGATCTCTGGACAAATCAAACATCTCTCTGTGGCACACTGTGGGCATGTCATGGAGAATCATGACCGTGCACACGAACATATCTCCTGGAAAGCTGTGATTTGCGTGAATGCCCTTCAGCCAATTGCCAGGTGGCGGCGCACCATTGGCCGACAGGTGTTGGAGGGCCGCTGAGCTGTCGCCTGCCAGGTCTTCCTGCATCAACACCGCCTGCTGCAGCAGCACTGACAGCCGCACCCGCCTGTCAATTTGCTTGGGAACAAAACCACCAGACTCCGCCCTGCAAAACAAACTCGACACACGCACTTCAGCAGCAAGCCTTGTAGAATCTTTTATCAGATGCATCCGGCTGACTGAGTATCACAATTGGCAACATTACAGTAACACACGTCCTTGCAACACGATCCGCTACAGGCATTTGAGCAGGCAGAATCCGAATTTTCTTTTCATCCAATGCATCCAGGCTGACTGGGTATTATGCTTGGCAACATATAACACGTACGGATGCACGGTGGATGGGTCTTGTTTGGATCCGGCGAGTCTATCAAGAGATAGGATATGTGGCAGCCTTGACCTGCAGCTTGCGTGTAGACGCACCTTGCCTCTGGCAGGAGCAGCATGCAACAGTAATAGTAACGATAATGATGTACAGAGAAGCGGTGACAAGCATTGCAGGAAGGAGGAAGGCAACAATATGGAAAGGCACCTTTGCTGCTCCAGGGAGTTGATGCGCGCTTCGAGCGCTGCGCTTGCGGCTCCGGCGGCAGCTTCCGCGCTGCAGGCAGCTGCCACGTCACCCTCCCTCCTCCCGGCGACTGCCTCTGCCCAGACATAGAAGCTTCTAGCCAGCCTCACAATCCTGCATGCCACATTGAATTTTTCCTCTTCACTCTTTTGCGGACACACTGAGCAGAAATCGGCAATCCCTGTCACTGCTACGTGGAGGTGTTGAGCTATTCAGCAGATTGTTACCTGAAAGTAAAATAAAGTGTGGGACTACACAGAAAGAAGATCTGCAGTACATAAGCTAAGGCGAGTGCATCACTTGTTTGCCTGAGCCCTGAGCAGCCGCCGCCTTCGCGCCCCCTGCGCTCGGCATCGCCACCCCTGGAATGCGCTTGCGAGGATTCTGCGCTCCCCTGCCGCGCCAGCCGCCCCAGCCGCCGCCTGCGCCTGATCCAGTCGCTCTGTCAGCTTCCGCCAGCTGCCAAAGGCTGCGCGCAGCTTGATGGCAGCTGCCTTCCTCAGGAGGGCACCCAGCAGGGCTGCTCTGTCACATGGTTGGCTGAACGCCAACATGTGCCATGCCGTCAGAACAGTGCTAGCTCTGCGTGACTGACATGCTGCAAAAGATGCTTCTGCTTCCAGAACAGCCGCTCTGCTGTTGGCTGCTGCCTCCTGCCAGGCTCGCAGCGCAGAGCACAGGCTGGATGCTTGCGCCCTGTGGAAGAGCCTGTGAGCCGCTGCCTCGCGGGCTGTCCTCTCACTGACAAGCTGCCGCCATGCAATGACCACTGCAGCTGCCCTGAAAAAGAAGAGCCGCTTGGCAACAGCAGCAAGGGAAGATTTCTCCTGTGCTGCACCCTCTGCAGACTCCAGTCGCCAAGCCTGAAAGGCGGTGAGAAGGGCTCTGTCCGCAGCCCTTTCCCTCAGTGTCGCAGCAGCCGCCCTGGCCGATGCTGCGTCAGCGCAGGCCTTGCACCACACGTCAAACAGCCGTCTCAAAGCCTTCCTCTGCGCGAAAGCCGCTGCACTGTCCTCGGCGGCCGCCTGATCGAGCGCCATAGCGGCCGCGTCCGTCCGCCACGCTGCAAACGCTTCGCGCACCCGGCGCCGGCGCAGCAGCCACGACATGTACTCCGCAGCCGCCTCAGCGGCTGCCGCGGCGGCCGCCGCCGCCCGCCACGCGCGCAGCACAGCGGCCAGCCGGCCCTCGGACGCCAGCTCAGCCGAAACCTCGACGAGCGCTGCGCGATCGTGCGCCCGGCACTGCCGGAACAGCTGCCACTGAGCAAACGCTCTGCGCAGTTGTCGCAGCTGCAAGTTCACCGCAGCCGCTTCCGCAGCCGCCGGCACCTGTTGCGCACGGATCGTCGCCTGCCTCCATGCGAAGAAAGCCCTGGCAACCACGTTGCTGGCCGATCGCTGGCGGGTGCTGCCGACCGCCGCGATCTCCCGCAGCGTTCCCTCTGCGCTCTCCTCCCGCCATGCGGCAATAACAGCACCGATCTCCCGCTGCCGAATGTGGCCGTCGAGCTGCCGGGCGGCTGCAGCGGTCGCGCGCGCCCGAGAGACGGCCAGCCGCCAAGCGGCCAGCGCCGCTTGAAGCCTGCTGTCATCGGCCTGCGCCTTGAAGCACTCCAGAGCAGCGGTGCGCTCGTGCTCAAAGGTGGCATTTGCAACTCGCCAAGCTGCAAAGCAGCCTCGCAACACTCTCCGGCTGCTCTGCTGTCGCAGCTCCTCGGCACCTGCGGCGGCTGTTTTGAAAGCTGCCGTGCTGCTGCGCCATGCTGCGAGCGCTGCAGCCGCCCTCCCGGCCGCCGCATGCTCGCAGAGGGCCTCAAGGGCGGCCGAGCGCTCGTGCGAAAGAGTGGCATTGGCGACTCGCCAGGCTGCATAGGCTGCTCGGAGCCTGCGCTGGCTCCTCCGCTGCAACATTGCCGCGGCTGCATCCCTGGCTGCTGCTTTTCCTCTGGCAAAGCGCGCCCATGCTGCAAATGCTGCAATGACCTGACTGGCCATGGCTGCTCGCGCAAGGCAACTGAGGGCCGCAGACCGCTCATTAGCAAGGGTGGCATTTGCGACGCGCCAGGCTGCGAAGATTGCTCGCAGCCTGCGCGCCTGCTGCCGCTCACTGAGCTCATCTGCAGCCGCCACTGCTGCTTGGCCGTGCTCGACCTCCTCCACCCAGCCAGCAAACGCTTGTGCAGCGATCTGGGCTGACAAAACCCGCTGATGCTCTTCTGCAGCCTGCTCGCGCCGCACCCTTTCTGCATGAGCTCTGCTGTGCCAGGCAGAGAAGGTATCACGCAACACTCTCCGCCCGATGTCCTGCGAGAGCTGCTCTGCGGCCTCAGCGGCGCGCCGCGCCGCCGCGGCCGCCAGCCGCCACGCGCCGAGGACGGCGACCGAGCGGCCAATCATCGCACTGACGGCCAATGCATCGGCGGCAAACACGTCCTCCCGGGCCGCCTCCGCCGCGCTCTTCCACGCTGCAAAGGCAGATGCTGCAGTCCGCGCTCGCACCCTGGCAGCAGCGGCCAGGGCAGATTCTCGCTGCTGACGTGCACGCTGTGCCGCCGCTCGGAGCGCAGCCAGCGCCAGCGCCACGCGCCGCCGCGCGACAAGATTCCGGGCCGCAGTCGCTGCCGCCCGCAGCCGGCGCTCGTCCGCCATCAGCGCCCGCCACGCGTGCAGCGCATGGCACGTCTGCCGGAGGCGTGCCCTCCCGCGTGCGGCCGCCAGCTCAGCAGCACGCACCCGCCACGCCGCAAAGGCCGCCTTGAGTCGTTTCTTGGCTGCAATTGCCCACGCGCGCCGGATACTTCTGAGCATCCGCGCCCTGCTGCGCCAGTCGTGCAGTGCAGCGGCGGTACAGCGGCGTTCCTGCCGCCGCTGAAACTCTGCCAGCCGGCTCCGTGCCGCCTGTGAGGCGGCTGCAGCTGCCCGCCAGCTGCCAAACACTCGCCGCAGCCTCTTCCGGAGCGCCGCGCCCTCGGCAGCGCTGAGCTCCACAGTGGTCGCTGCCGCCTCGCCTTCCAAACACTGCTCTGCTGTGCCTTGCAGGCTGGGTGCTAGGAGCTCTAATGCAGCTGCAGGGTGGTCTGCAGCGGCCTCAGACGGCAGTGCCTGTGCCTCACTGGCGGCGGCGGCGGCTGAGGCACATTGCTGGAGCTCTGTAGAGGATGCACAGGCTGCAGGTGAGGATGTGATGAGGGCGTGCCATGCGCACAGCAGCCGCCCGAGGCCTCGCAGCCTGGCCAGTGCGACGGCGTCCCTCCTCCGTTTCCACTCCCAAACCGTGGTGTCCTGGTATTTTGAACACACAAGCACGCTGTAGCCACACTGCTTGGTCAAAGGATGCAGAGCAGTAATTTCTTGCTTGTGAGCACATTGTTGTGCCGAGCTGCTGGCAGTACATCAAGGAAAGGAGCATATCAATGCCAGCACGTTCCACAATTGCTGGTCAAACCTTCAGGCAGCAGAAGTGCACAAGAAATCATACTAAGATATCTGCTGGCGGGGAAAAGCCCACCATAACGGTGCTTCCTCAAGTCCCGGTGTTCAAATTTGCAGACAGTGGATGATAAGGAAGAAGAGGGAGAACAAAGTCATGTGCCGGCACCTGCCAGTGCCAGAAGGCATCCGACATCAGCCGCCGAGAGCGCTCCCAACAGAAGCCCGCCACGCGCGCATCTAACAGCGCTGATGCATCGGTGGTGCCGGACAGCTGCACTGCGCTCCTGTTGCGCTCGTCTGCCACTGTCGCCCACGCCCTGAAGGGCCACGCCAGGCTCCTGTGAGAGGCAAATTGCACGGCTCAGGGATCCGACTTTGCATGTGTCCTTTTCTCAGAAAGCAGGCACAATTCAAAGGTAAGATAGCATGTATCCTTTCCCTTTAACTTGAAACCTCAGAAATCACTTTGCATGCCCTCGTTTCCTCGCAATGATAAGACATTTAAGTGGGCAGAGGTGCTGACAAGCTGTTGGGTCCCCTCCGCCTCAGGATCTAGACAGAAGCATCCATCCTATCACATTCCCTACTGCCACAGACCAAGCTCATCACATCAGAGGTATCTATTGCTGTTGAAGATGATGATGACTCACCGCCAGCGCTGTCGCCGCAACAAGGGCTCGGCTCTCGCAAGCCGCTGCCGCCACTGCATCACAGTGGCCTCCTGCCAGGCCCTGAACACAGCCGCCACTTCCCCGTCCCAAGCCGGCCGCCCAGAGACCTCAGCCTCGCTGCCTGCTGAGCGCAGCTCTGCAACGTTCCCTCCCTCCACCACTGAAGAGCCTGCTGCTCCCTGGGGCTCATCAGCGTGCTGCACAGCTGAGGCGCTGCCATGATTATCGCGGCAGCGGACGCTGTCACGGGGCGGCAAGACTGCTGTCTTAGTTGGCGGCGATCCAAGGCTGCTGACATCCTGCCAGCTTTCCCTGGAGAGGACATCAGCTTCTCCCGGTGAAGCAGGTTCCTCTGACAATGCAGCTTCCTCTGACACGGCAGCTTCTTCCTGCAAAGCAGCTTCCTCTGACACGGCAGGTCTCTCCAGTAAGACAGCTTGCTCCGGAAAAGATGCTGTCTGCGGCAAGGCAGCATCCTCTGACAAGGCAGGTCCCCGCGGCAAGGCAACCTCCTCCAGCGAGGCAGCTTCCTCCGGCGTGGCAGCTTCCTTCGGCTTGGCAGCTTCCTCCAGGATGGAAGCTTCCTCCAGCGGTCTGCGATCCTCAAGCGGCAGCTGTATTTGGCCTTGCATCCCTGCTTGCTTGCTGGGGGGTTCCAGCAGATCAGCGAGGGTTGCTGCAGGGGGTTTTTGTGCGCTGAGAGGGGGCATGTCGGAGCGGCGGCTGCTGAGCTGGCGCCGGGCGTGCTGACTCAGCGCTGACAGGACTGTCGCCTGCAGCCGCTGCACTCTGAAGGCGATGGCTCTCCGCAGCAAGTCCCTGTCAAACCGCACACAAATTGTTACTGTACCCTCCCAGCATTTCACTCTGCACTCTTATTGGGAAATACCCTATCTGGTGCACTTTGACTGCCCTACACCCTTCAAGAAAACTCGTCCTGCACTTCTTGTGATGTCTGCAGAGAGTGCAATACGCACCAATTTTATAGGTCTTAAACATTCAACTCGGAGATTCAACTTCAACTTCATTTATTGCCTTTTGAATCTGTGTTTTTGGATCTGAGCAAGTAAGGGTGTGGTCTGCAGGGAGTTCAAATCAAAATCTGGATGGCAGAGTTCCTCACCAGCGCTCCCTCCTGCGGTCCACATAGAGCAGCCACGCAGTCAGTGCACGCAGACACAGCAGCCTCTGCGCACACTGCTCTGCAAGCGCCTCTGCAGCAGCACCTGAGCCCTCTGGCCTGCCTTGCGCTGCCGAGACAAGCAAGTTGGACGCCTCCGCGCCTTTGCCACTTGCCGGGCCTCTGTCAGCCGCTGACTCATGCACGTCCGAGCTGCGCAGTGTGCCGGGCAAGCTCTCACTCTCTGGCAGCACCGCGACAGGGGAACTTTGTGGCGGCTGCAGAGACATGCCCTCTTGCCGCTGCAGCGCACACACGGCTGCCACCGCAGCCGAGGCAGCCTCTAGGTCTGCCCTGCAGGCGTCAGCTGGCTCTGCCAGTGAGCTCTGCAATGGAGTCACGGCTTCAAGAGAGCTCTCGTCAGCATGGGCCGATTGGCCCAACCTCACAGACTCATCTGCAGCTACCGGCTCGCAATCGGCCGGCGCCGCCTCAAGCTGTGGCTGGGCTGCAGCTGTCGCCTGTTCTCCTTCAAGGATCGCCATGCCTGCCCAGCCCTCAACTGCCAGGCTGGCAGCTTCTGCACCTGATAACCTGTTAGCGGCCTCGCTCTGCACGGCAGCGACGAGGTCTGTCGTGGGGTGAGCAGCACTGGTGGGTGTGGGAGGGTAGGTTGAGCGGGCGGCTGAGGCAAAAATGCCCACGTGGCGTCTGGGTGCATGCGCGGGGGTGCAGCTTCCCGTCGACTCCCTCCTGGCGCCACCGCGACCGGAAGCTGCGGCAGCAATTTTTAGCCGAGGGCCGCACACCGAGCGTTGGCCGTCATTGCTGCACACTCCTCTGATGTCTGCTTCGTCCTGCCCGGGTGAGAAAGGTCCTGGCAACACTCCGCGGAGCTGACAGGCCACTCCACTCGCTGCATGGGCCTGGCTTTTGCTCAGGCTTTCTGGAGATGCTGCAAGCATTTCCTCCTTCTGCTGCGCCTCTTGAAGGCTGTCCTGCTCCTCCAGACCTGCTGCAGGCAACTGCGGCGGCTGCTCTGATGAACTGATGTCAGCTCCCTCCGTGCCAGCGCTGGCAGACGCCTCTGGACTCGGCTGCTGAGAGGCCCTCGACACGCTCTCGTCGGGAGAGGCCACTGCATGGCGCCTATGATTGATCTCCTGATCTTCGCCATTTGCTGAAGCAAGGGGAGGCCCAGTGTGGTGGAGGTGGCCAGCTGACGGGACCTCCGGCGTGATCCCGAGCGGCGTGGCCGCAGGAAAAGTGCGCGGGAAGAAGCAAAGGATGTCGGCGGCGGGCGTGTAGAATGGCGTTGCCTCCCTCGCCGGCCGGCCGGCCAGCGCCGGCGTTTGATCAGGCCGCCACATGGCCGCCTGATTTGACGACGCTGGCGTCGGTGCCAGATTTGGCGCCCGCCATGCCGGTGTCTGATTTGGCGCACCCAATCTCGGTGCCTGATCTGGCGCGCCAGGTGTTGATGCCTGATCTGACTGCAGGTAGCCGCCGAAGCGGAAGGGCCACCGCAGCGCGGCGGCGGCCGGCCGCGCGTCCGTGGCGCAGCCGCCCCGCCACATGTCGCAGCTGGGCATCTCTGCCAACGTCCCTTCCAGCTGCTGTTGTGTGAGGTGCGCGGCAGCTGCTGCGCTGTCGAGCTGCTGCAGAAGGTTTGCTGGAAGCTCGGCCAGAGGAGGCTGCGGCGCCAACCCCTGCAGATCAGGTTGGAATCGATCAGAACCACAATTGACTCCAACATTCCACATAAAGCAATATAGTACTTCTATTTTGGAAACCTGCGTACCCAGTAGAGAAGCATGTGAGGAAGCATGAGAGGGGACAGTTGGGCGAAGGAGCAGGAGATTTGCAGAGAATTTACCGGGACAGCGCGCTGCCTGGCGGCACGAGGGAAGGTGAAGGGCGCCGCTCGGCCAGTCGGGCTCTGCAGCTCCAGTCTTCGCGGGCCCAGATCAAACAGCGGGTTGGGCGTCAGCTCAATGAACCGCCCCTGCAACAGCCAGGAAAGTATCTTGCAAACTTTCAAGATATGTATAATAAATATGTACAGTATAAGCCATCACTGTTTCAGAGACGGCAAAGCCTCAGATCTGTAACCCCGAAGTCTGGGCATGATTGAATTCAGAAAGGAAGGAAGGAAGTTTACTGTTGGTCTCAGCAACAGCAGGGCAACACTTTCACGCCCGATCGAAGGTTGCATCATCACAAGCATTTTCTCCATGTGTTTTTGTGTGAGATGCCATTGACCCACCCTGCCAGCAGCTATGGCGACAGCCAGATCAGATGCCAGCACCAGGCCAGCCCATGCAAGGAAGCTGCCGCGCAGCCGCCGCGCAGCTGTGGCCGTCTTCAGTCGATCTGCCAATACCGCCAACCGTCGCCGGCACCGCATCTCAATGAGCCATGCGGCGAATGTAGCCGCCTGTGTCCGCCTTGCATGCAAGCCAGCTAGCTTTCCCTACGCCACAAGACAGCCACTAAGCATACCTGAATCAGGCATGGCACAGAATTGTGTGATGTGGCCATCTGAGGCGCATGCGGAGCAAGCATAGCAAAAGGAGCGCCTTTTCCCTGCTTCGGACATCACACAGAAGCTAGAAGCCTCAAAAACCTTTTCCATTTTGATCACTTGCAATCTATGCCTGTTCGTGTGACAGGCATCATTGAAATTTGTCTTAGGAGCGCACCGCGATGACGGCCAGCTGTTGCCGCCGATTCATAATTCCCAGCCAGATTTGGAACGCGGCCGCCAGAGCGCGTGTGGCGTGGCGCTGCAGACCGCGCTGCAGCAGGGAACGCCGCCGCCGCGTGGCCTCTGCCCCGGCACGCCACCGCGCGAACGCGTCCCTCAGCCACCGCTGCCGCCACCGCTTGGCGCTCTTGCGCAGCTGGCCCCTGCGCATGCATTTTCCCACATGTCAAAATGACTGAGGCTCCTGGTTTTCTTCCTGTACATTTGGCTGCAAACATCAATATGCTGATATTCGTGCAGCTGGGGCTTAGCTGCCGCATGCTTGTCAGGTTGACATTCCGTGCGGCGCTCAGATGCATCACAGATTCTCACTATGACCCCCTTTTGACGGCAGGACGCAACAGAAATGCTTTGTGAGCCAAGCACTTATATTAGAGTACATTTGCTCTGCTCAAACCACATGCTGATTTCACTGTTGGATTTGCTGTGACAATGAAACGGCACACACATGCAGTTGCGGCGCTGCTGCACAAGCTGGCGCCAGACAGCGAAGGCGGCCGGCAGCGGCCGCCTATGGAAGCGCTGCGCGAATCCCACCGTCAGCCGCATCGACAGGTCCAGGATGCCGTCTGCCGGCGGGTGGGCGTGCATGCCTGCACACTCCATGTCAGCTCTATTAGTCATCACTTAGTACTCCATTTGTCATTGACAAGTACCCCGCCAGTATCAACAACTACTGCTGCACATAGGGCCAGCACTCCTAAGCCAGCTTGATGGGGTGGCTGGCCAATCATCTGGAACTTTAACGGCTGTTTCCGATAGTTTCTCAGAAGAAGCAGTGGTGTCAAGGGGCGATGCCTTACTGTTCACTGCCGTTGGAATTCTTGGAGAGAAATGTCACCTCTGGGCTGGAGCTGGCCGGTGTGGTGGGTGTGTGCGCCAGCGTTGCTATACCCCACCGGAGCCACATGTACCCGCCACATAAAGTTGGGCAGCCTGAACAGCAGCAAACAATAGATTTGCATGCCTGTCCTCCAATGTACATGCATGCCCCAGGTGGCAAGTTATGGTATTGTGTCATTGAAGTTCCAGGCTTGCATGCATGCACATGTGCATTATGACTGTGATAGGGATATTACATTGGCAAGGAGGCTTCTTCCATGGGAAAGACACGCACTGCCTGGGAGACAGGTGAAGCTCCCTCTCCTCTGAGCACCCATCTCCGGTCAGCATGCACGCCACTATCTGCGCAGGACACCTTAAATGTCTAGGTGCCCTGCATATCTTGACACTGCACATTGTGGCCATGCCAGCATTAGAAGTGTTTCTGCCGCTGGTGATGCAGGCGGTAGGGATGGCCTCTCATGGCATCTCCATGCAGATGCTGATAGAGGATCGTGTTGTCCCACCTGCCATTGCTCCCACACGCCCCAGTGGTCAGAGAAGAAGCACAGTCTGTGACGAGCCCGTCTCCTTGCTTGCAGGAAACGCCCCTTGGCCTCCAGACAGCGCAGTCCCAAGAAGCCATCCTGTAAACACACCGATGCACGATGATGGTTTGTGAAATTGACAGTTATCAATGGAGGTGAGATACTATTAGTTTAAACATTAGGTTGAACAGCATGCAAGCAAGGCACACACACCTTCTGCAGGATGTCTAGATGGGCGGCCTTGCTGTCCAGGCCATCTGAGCCTTGCTGAGCTGGCACAAGGCTCAGGGTGCCATCATCCGTTTCACTCAACTGTGTGCATGGCCATGCACAGCCTTCAGACCTCGCTGAAAAAGCAGGTGTGTGCTAAACAAGATGATTAGAGCAGTGGACGCTGTTGCTGGTGGATGCAAAGCCAGAGAAAGGAACACAAGACCTACCACGTAGGTTGCGAGAGTAGAAGCATCTCTGACGAAGACACACTTCCAATCGGCTGGCAGATCAGCTGTCGATGGGGTGTGACTGCCATATGCACTGGTGCTGCAGTAGGGCTCTGGCTCCGTAAAGCACCCAACACTGCCGCCCTTTACACCATATAAATGCCTTTCATGGTTCCTGTTGATCCCTGAGCTCTCCTTTAGGACAATGGAATGACTACGTCCTACTCTTAAGGATTCTTGAGGCCAGTTTTGGTTTGATGCCTGTTGCTGTGGTGACACGTTTTCGTAATGGCTGTTCTGCATCTTGTGATTGCTGATGGTACATGGCTGAGGCTCTCTGAGCTGTTTTGTAGATGTATAAAAGACTGTGCTAGTATGGTTGTCAGGGTGACACCGCAAGATATTGAGGACAATCTTGTGACTTCAAGGGATCCTTGTATACTGCACCTCTTTAAGAAAGATACAGATATATGAGAATGTTTTCCGTAGAGTTCTGTTGGGAAGCGTGCGCTTTGCTGGCGTTGAAGTATTTGTATATTCTCGATATATTCCTACCCCCCTTCAAAATGGAAGATGCAGCAGAGAACGTTCTATACCAATGTGCAGGTGGATCGGAGTTAGATGCCCATTTATTGCATTACCTGGTGTCAACTTGATTTGATAGGCCTCCTGTGATGGCCAAGATGTTAAGGCTGAAGCACATGCCGTGCTCAGGTTGACCAGGGTGCTCCAGACCTCGCTGAATTCAGCATTACACAACTCCAAGTTGATATAGATGACATCAACTTGTTGCTTTGTGGGGATGGGGGCATGCAGCATGGCAGATCACACATGCCCTTGAAGAGGATCATGCGATGCTTGAAGAAGGCCAGGGCGTTTCGGTATCAATGTCGTATGCATTGAGTCCTGCCCTTAAGGACTTCCTGGCTGGAGCTGCTGGTGGATCTGCAAGCGTCCTTGCTGGTGCGTACCCAGAAAATTTTGAACATCCATAGCTATGGTTGGGAGCAACCTGAGCTGAGACCAAAGCGCTGTGCTGTCCAGGACATCCCCTGGATACAATACGTATACGTTTGCAGCATGGCACATCTGGAGTTCCAGCCGCCATCATCAGGTCGCTGCTTGCACAGGAAGGGCCAAGAGCTTTCTTCAAAGGCGCTGCCTACCCTCTTATGACTGTTGCTCTGCAGGTCAGGGTCCCCGGCTTTGCTACAGTCCTTGGCATTCCCCAGCACCTAGCCATCCAATGCGTTACATTCCCTGTTATTTAATGTCGATTCCCTGGCGCTTACCCTGCATTTGCATTGCAGAGTGCAGTTGTGTTCCAAGCCTATGGAGCAGCCTGCAGGGCCATCACAGGCAGCACCCAGTCAGATGCTCCCCTACCATACTTCCAAGTCTGCTTTGCAGGTAGGATACCCGCTTTCTATAAAGAAATCTGTCACCATTCACAAGTGCAGGAGAAGCTTTGTTCGGTGTGCAACTACAGATAACTCACAGGCTTCAGGTTGGCAAAGTGCCCGGGGTCCGGAGCAGCATTCCTTATATCTTGGAGCTGAGCACAGTCTGCCTGCCGTTTGGCAGGCATGTTTGCAGGGGCAGTGCAGACATTGATCTCAACGCCTGTTGACCTGCTGAAGATTCGGCAGCAGCTGCAGCTGGTCCCCCCAGGATCCCCCCTCTATGTGGGCCCCCTGCAGCTGCTGCGCCACATCATCCGCCACGAGGGCCTCCCAGGTGATTACGTCATCATGACGGTTGCAAACCTGAAACATGCTTTACCATCGCGTCTCCATGCACCACATATTGATTGCTTGCCCTATCTGCAGCTATTGTCTCATGAATGGAGCACACCTCTGCTGCATGCTGACCATTCTGTGCACATCTGCCACAAGCCTATGCATGAAGGACTGCATAAATATATCACGCCTGAATAAGTGTCCATATTACTGCGTTCAGGGCTGTACAGGGGAGCCGGCATAACACTGCTGAGGGACGTGCCGGCGCATGCAATCTACTTTACCTCCTACGAGGCCTGCCACGAGCTGTTCGCGCCCGGCAGCCGCGCCAGCGGGGAACAGACCGCGGCGGTGCAGCTGTTAGGTGGCGGTTTAGCTGGTGTGCTGAGCTGGCTGGGCATCTATCATTTCGACGTCGTCAAGACCCGGCTGCAGTCTCAGCCGCGCGCATCCTCACCGTATTCAGGCGCGTTGTGTGCCTGTGTGCCTATTCCTGTGCCTTTGCATGTATCTGTGCCCACCCCATGTATCTGGTTTATTGAGTTCACATGTCCAAGAGGCAGCAGTTGCTCTTCCTGCAGATAGACCTTTTGGTGAGGCACATGTATAGCTGGAGTGTGCTTGTCATTCACTTTTATTCAAAGATTGCTTCATGTTCCCAATCGCAGGCGTTCAGTACACTGCGAGTCAACAGGCAGCCAGGCTTTGATACCCATCAGCAGTCACAGCAGCATTGAAGTTTATTGTTACGCAGCTCAGATGGTCAATCTGCTCTCTTGCTGCTATTCAGAAGCGTGGTGTGCTGTGATGCAGGGTGGATGCATTGCACGGCAGAGAGCTACCGGCAGGAGGGGCCACGGGTGTTCTTCAGGGGTCTTGGCACGACTCTATGTCGGGCATTTGTCGTCAATGCAGTGCTGTTCTCTGTCTACGAGGCTGCTTTGAAGGCCCTGCACAGCCATGACCCAGCCAATGCTGCCTGACAGTCCGGGTCGGGCCTGGCAGATTGCAGGCTTGATGATGTGATCGTCAGTTGTAAACGTCACCCAGCTGAAGGCCTTCCCTAAAGCTCAAAGATTCTGGTGACGAGAACAGGACAGTAATTGCAAGTTGATTCTTTGCAGGGATTTCAGTGAACTATAACGGTGGTCCCACAAGATTTAATTGTTTATTCCAGCGTGGCAAGACTGAAGCTTTGTCCAAAGTTTGAGAATGTATATAGTGTATTTGTGGGCCCCCTTTTATCACAATGAGGACGGTCCTTGTACATAATAGTTGTACAAGAATGTTGTATTGAATAATGTATGGTGACGATGCACAGATGCTGCCACCGCAGCATGAGCTCAGCCCGAGCCTGACTTGGCCAGAGGGCAGAGAGGATGCTTTGCTTACGGTAGGCCAGCAAAAGCAGACATGACACTTCTTATACGCTTGGTGGGGTAAATGTCTTCAGAGGATGAGTACCAAAAGGCCACTGCCATTGCCATAGCCTGCTATGGCAACCTCTGCAATGGGTATTTGCACCCTTGTAGGATGATGCTGACATGAACAGATTTTGCAAGAGACCAAAGGCGGGACCGTCTTCTATAATGATATGCATGTAAGACAGTGTCACCTAGAAAGAAAAAGCTGAAAGGCACTTCACCATTCGTGTAAGAAGGGGGTGTAGACCTGTAGGCTGCAAGAGTGGATTGGCGAGTTGACAAGGCTGCAAGCCTGTGCGTCAGCCCGGGTTGCGGCTGCAGACGGACCTGTGTATGCCCTGTGGCCCTTTGGGCTCTGCGTTCGAACCATCCGAATTAGCCATCATAAAAAAAAACAAGGAAAAGAAAAGCAAAGAAAAAAAGGACCAAAAGGATCATGCACTGCAATTAAATCGATTGGACGGGTGCTCGAGGGCTAGTGGCCGGCCGTCAGGGAGAAAGTAATCCAACCGTCTTTCTGGCTCTGAGGTTTGAACCAGTGACCCCAGAGCACTCCAGTGACCGCATCGCATTCCCCACGCGCTCCCTCGCCGTGGGTGTCATATCGGGAACTCAACTTTCTGATATACTGCACGATGCTGAGGCACTCAGCGGCATAACATCTTCAATCGACCGGCATAAATTGTACATTCCGAACTTACGACGAACGAGTTGCCTTGTCCGGACATACTCGCTTGAAGGTGGGATCGTGAGAAGATCGCCTATCCAGGCCTCTTAATGTCCATCAGAAATGAAGCATTTGCTTCCTGACAATGTTGACACCAGGATCATAGAGTCTTATCACGTCTTGAAACTCGGATGAATTTGCTTTGTGACGAACGTCTTCTATTACAGTCTTAGATAAGCTGCAGTTTAAATGGTCGTTATAACACTGTGCCTAACTTCACTCCTACCTTTGCCCTACACATTGCGGATTTCTATCGGTTCTCTCCTTGGCACTGCCAAATTCTTCAAGTACGCCACACAGCCACAGGAACCTTGCAATTGCTGCAGCTGCTGCTTCAAGGTACAAGTCGTAGCGCATGCCTTTGCACCGGAACAGAGCAGTAACACAGCACAAAATTTGCAATAGTATTCAACGAGTAGCTCCTTCAAATTCCCATTCTCATCGGTTCTCAGAGAGAACTTCTCAGCCCCTTGCAGCTTCCTCTCGTGGAGAAGCTAGCCAGATACACTGGGCGGGGCTAGTGCAGAAAGTCTCTCATTCAATCGAAAAATGTTTCAGTGACATTGCAAGCTCATTTTGTGGAAGTCCCAGTAAGTGCCACTCGTCCCTGCTGTCAAGGAGGTGGTGGTTTTTGCAGTGGAACAGCGATCGTCGACAATCCAAAATTTGTGGAAGGAGTGGTGCAATTTGCAGATTGGCTCGAAGAAGCTTGAATGGACGGGAAGGCATTTCTGTCAAAATCGTGCGTGATTGCCACACCTTTCAAGCCAGCCAGCCGGCATCGTTCTGCCCCCTTCCTCAGGCATGTCAGCGTGGCTAGCTGTGCGGAAAACGAGACCTCCTCTTCATTTTGGGAGACGCAAAGGCTTATTGATGGATCAGATGGCGTGAAGAAAATTCATGAGAACTTGTCAGCGCGTGTGGGGACGGTGGCGCTAAGTGTCTGTCTGGGAGTTTCCTCCTGTGCCAGCCCATCTGCAGCATACAACGTCCGCCTCAGGGACGTGGAGAATCCTGCAATGCAGAACGGTGAGCCACAATTCCTGCCTGCTCTGCACATCGCCTGTTTTGGGACCCTTATTCTCCAGGCTACCTATCCTGCAATTATGAGGCTCAACTTGCATCCTCACTTGCTTCCAAGCGCCTCGTCAGCCATGCAAATGGACGTATAGCTAGTCTCTGCATATAAAAAAATAAAAAGATCGTGACATCATCATCCCGCAATCTTGTTGCCGATGCAGGAGTGAGGGCAGCAACACAGCAGAGGTGGGAGGATGCCGAGCGCTTCTTCCAGATAGTGCTGCAGCAGGAGCCGGACAGTGCCAGTGCCTACTCCAACCTGGGAAACGTCCACCTCAGCGAGGGGCGCGCGGAAGAAGCCGTCAGAGATTTCTCTCGTGCCATTGCAATCGCTCCAACGGTGCTCCCCTTTCCTCTAGACTGCAGCGCAGCCCTTCCAGTACATCTGTCATGTCCCTCATCCAATTGTGCAGTGCAGTGGGAAACAATCTTGCCTTGAGCGTGGCTTCTCACATGCCTAAGCGTTGCAGGGTTTGTGACGCAGCTGTGATGTGAGAGCTTCTTCAGGCACTCATGTGACCGTTTTACCGGGTGGGTCGGAGAGCATGGGGTCCAGTAGGTTGCAGAGAAAGATTGTCTTGTGTGTCTCCATGTTGGCTTGCACCTCCATGTTTTGTTGTGCCAGGCAGTTGGACCAAATAGTCAACAATTTGCAGTCTATTGTGATTGCAGGCTCCTGTACCATATCTGAACAGAGCAATAGCAGAGGAGCAGCTGGGAGTGAATGCGGCCAGCTCAGGCAACCAGGCAGAAGCTGAGCGGCACTACGAGGCGGCTTTGAGAGTGGGTCACATCTGATTAGATTACACCTGCCAGTGTCCACTCTTCTTGGAGGTTGCAGGTCGTTTTGAGCATGCAGAAAGATTTGTACCATAGCAGATGAAAGAAGCTAAGATTTAGTCGGGACAAAAAGGCCCTGCACATAAAAAGAAATATTCAATGTTTAAAGCCAGATGATCTTGTATCACTGCCTGTAGGACTGCCGAGATGCACAGGACCGGGACTCCAAGGAGTTCGCAGCCTTCTTCAATGAGGGCAATGTGCAGGTGGGAATCTTCACCCTCAAGGGTGAAATTCACCAATATAACACACGTTTTGTGACATAAATACCCTTCTATGCCATGATGGCTGTTAGACCCATGCAAAATTCCATATACTGCAAAGGCTTGGCCAGTTTTCTGATTTGCCCAGCTTGTCACATGCTCAATTCTCAGCAACCCAAGACAAGGGCAAGGTGGGTGAAGGTTGGACAATGGCTGACCTTCTATCAATCCTTGTTTGACTGCCATGAACAAGGCAAACAGCATCAATGGTCAGGGGACAGGCCTCCCACACCCCATGATTGGGAGATGCCTTCTGGAGTACTGGCGCTATCTTACATGCGTCAACACAAGAATCTGCAGCACACCTAGCCCTGTGGATTGGGAGAAGGGTGTGCTTCTAGCAACTGTATCAACCCCGGGGAAGGCGCCTGTTGGGGGAACACAGATACACATGATGTGTTAGGGTTATGGGTCAGGGGTAGGGGGAGCGTTTTGGGTGGAAAAGTCAATATCAGTTCTGCATGCCGGCCTTGCCACAGGCAAGGTGCGTTGTGCAAAGAAGCTGCAAGTGAAGGCGGCCAGATATCCTACCCCTCAATAGACTCGCCAGACCCCATCAACCATCGGTACGGTGCTCAGCGTTTTTACCGCCCCCGCCAGCCCGGTGATAGTGAGTTGTAATAGTCGTAATTAGTGTGATTATTAAATGACGTGTACTTGCGAGGCAGCCCTTTCTCCTATCGTATGGTGCTCGCTCTGCCTTGATGTCTGCATACCTGTCTCTAATTAGTGTCCCCATCGTGCCTGCACAGGTGCGGGTGGGGCAGTACGAGGCTGCGCTGGCAGCGTACAGCAGGGCGGCTGACCTGGCGCCGGGCATTGCCGGGTACCGGCTGCGGCAGGCGGAGCTGCTGTTCCAGAACGCGCGCCCGGCCGACGCCGACTCCATGATGCGCGGTGTCGTGCGCAAGAACCCCAACTATGCCGGTGCGCCTCGCTCGTTTAACGTTGTAAATATAGCCTGTGGGTCATCGGCTGCATTATTGGCTGCAGACAATTGTTTTTTGCTTCCAAGAACCAATGCATTTTCTGTGTTGCATCAGGGCTGCAGACAGTTGGTTGCTCTTCCAAGTACTGAGGCAGCTGCTGTGTGGCTTTGTGGTTGCAGAGGCGCAGGCGGCGCTGGCGGCGGTGGAGTGGGTGTCGGGGCAGCAGGGCAAAGCGGAGGAGCATTTCGACAAGGCGGTGAGTTTGGATGGGCGCTGGCGCAAGATGGGCTTCATCCGGCAGCAGACGCGCTGGCCACCCGCACTCTACGACGCCATGGAGAAATTCCTCGCCATAGCCGGATCGAGCTGAGATCCACAGCTGTTAAAAACGTTGATTGGCTCAACAGCCTGGCCAATGCCGGAAGTGTGTTGTTTTGAGAGCATTCTTATAGCTGAAGATCCTCGAGAGCGTGATGGGCAATTGGCCGGCTGTTTGAAGGATGACGAGAGGGTATCTGCGGCAACGAGAGGGGCTGCTGTGGCGGAAACAGTGCAGGATCCTAGGGTGTTTAAAGAGATTTATATCTGGATAGATACTAAGAAGATGCTTAGGGGACGAAGCACCGCGCATTGTCCAATTGTAGTCCAGCTTTCCACCCACATGTTATCGTCCTTGATTATTTATTAATGTGCATGAATACACAGTAGATAGCTGAAAATGTCTATTGCGCACATGTTGCCATTCATTCTTGTGCATGCAAAATGAGAAGGATACCTATTTCAAAGCTGTAAGGAATCAGCAGGACAGCACACGAGGCATTTTTGCAAGCATACGGTAGCAATTTGTATTTTCCACAGCAGGAACATCTTACAAATTTTGTAAGCCCCGAGCTTCACCAGGGTGTCTAGAGAAGCTCATCTATCTCACAAACATAGCAACAGATTTTTTGACACAAGCACGTTCAGACATGCTCCAAATCCCTCCTTTGAAACTGCCACTCTCTGCTGCGTTCTTCACACGTCAGGCAAGGTAGTGGACTGATGAGGATGGGGGTATGATTATTTCAGGAGCCTGATGCAGCGCTTGGCGCATGCCCCCATCCGCCCCCAGCTCCAGAGCTTGCATCGCCTCCTGAGCCAGCTTGGCCTGCACAACACATGCAGAAATCTGTCCACACTGCTTCCCCCGGTGTGCCAAAGCCGTGGGCAAACACAGTGCCTGCAGAGTCTGGCACTCAAATGGCACCAGTTCTTTCGGGAGAACTGAGGTAACGATCTAAAAATCTAGGGCTTGCACCTCTGGACCTTTGCCAGCTGACACGGCAAGGCAACACTTTTGCAAGTGCTAGATCTGTAGATGCACTACAGCCTGAATTGGTCCCCTGTGTCTAAACAACCTCTTTCAAAATTACTTCTCTCATGCACACCGCAGAGGTTGTTGAACTTTGATTAGAAGTTGAAAATCAATTGCTACATATCGGCTTTCACCTGGAGGCCGCGGCATGCATTGGCAAGCGCGCGGCACTGCGGGTCCGGGTCGGCTGCGGCGGCAGCTTCCGTCCAGGCGCGCACCCACTCCAGCCTTTCCACCAGCGTTCCCTCCGCCACGGACCCCCCGCTCAGCAGACCCGCCAGCCCAGCCGCCGGCATCGCGCCCATCACCTGTGAAGATTATGTAATCCGTTATGTATTGGATTTGCTGCTTGCGTCTGCATTGACGGAATCTAGAACACAGGCAGTGCATGTGCTGTGCAGTTGAGTTCTATGCCACTGTGTCGTCCCAAAATAAGTACACATCACGCATGGCACACATGTCGCATCCTTCAAGTAGGATCCAACAGAAGCACAAGAGGAGCTTGACAAGCTTGAGCAGCTGTACAGGTGTCCATATGCAGTGCCAAATTCATTTCTTTCTTTTTCCAAACACACACACACACACACAAACACACACACTATGCAGCCATAGATGCATCACATCTCAGATTCTTGTCTCACGTGAAACTCACGTTATCGGCAACTAAATATCCTCAACAGCGGCATATTGCGGGACCTACATAATATCTTGAGCGGGGGCCAGCACTCGCGCACCTGTGAGACGGCGATGAGGGCGGATCTGCGCACGTAGGGCTCTGCATGCGCGTGCACCTCGGGGGCCGCCAGCAGCTCCAGCAGAGCAGCCGCCAGCCGCAGCGTCACCCCGGCCGGCGCCGCACACTCCACAAACGTGCCCTGCGCAGCGCAGAAGCGTTGTTTTGTAGAATTGTCTGCCGTTTGCATTGCGGGACTTATGCCTGCATGGCGTGGCACAAGTGAGAGGAGCTTGACTCAGCACTACACATTGTTATACATGGTACCGCATCTGGGCCCTCAAATGACCCCTGACATTCATCTGGGCTTCAGGCTGTCCAGCTCAGCTATTGATGGTCAAGAGCAGCAACAATGGCCAACAACACCCAGCCGTATGCCAAGAACTACAGATTACGTGCACATATCAGGTGAGGTTTTCTTTTTACGGGTAAGCAAAGGAACCCAGCTTCAATCTTTCCTCAGCGTTTCTAGAAGGAATTTAATGAAGTGAGAGTTGTCCCCACCTGACAGACAATGACGCGGCCGAGCAGTAGAGCGTCTCGGCCGAACAGATCCACTCCGTGGCGCTCCTGATCGGCAGCGCTCAGCAGCGCAGCACTCCACTCAGCCGCCACATCCACAAACCTAGCGGCAAATTCGAATCTGAATTATATTTTTTTTCACAAGTTGGCGGTAAGTGTGATATGTGATCTTTTTTGAGTATACCCAGCAGATACCAGCTTATTTAATTGGCAGGGACACTGATGGCCAGCCCGGGCCAGACTGCCCCAAAGCCCATGGCTTGGTCAAGATGTGCCAAACATCACCCAGTATGAGCAGTACTTCTATCCATGTGTGTCCCCCTCAAACATAGGCCGGCAGGAGCATGCAGCGGCTGTTGGCAGAAAGAGGCGCTGCGTAACCTGAGACAGCCCTGATGATGTTGAATAGCAGGGAACCCAATGCGGGGGCCCATTTGTTCTGGCCCCGGCCAAACATGAGACAGCTGCTCACTCACCTTCAGGCTATCTAAGATCACCAAGAGGATCTTCAGCCGACACCTCTTGACAAGGTATCTCACCGACTTTGTTCCAGTGTGAGGGACCGTTCCAGGTTTGCAGCAGCCAAACACATGAAGCTAGGCGGACTGGCAGACTGGTATTGCAGTGCACTGTACGTTGGCTGCATACGCATGGATTTAAGTAAATTCAAGAAGATGACAGAAAGGAGTCAGACCTGTTGCGGTGCGTCCTGGGGGCTGCCTCCTTCTGCTTGGCCAGGCTGCGCATGCCCCATACGCGCGACTTACCCACCTGCCTCGTATCGGCCTCTGCCGCCACGATGCCACCGCTGCACACAAGAGCATCGGCAAAATCAGTGGGTGACATTTCAGTTCGCGACAGAGATTTTTCGCTGCGCAGGATAGAATTTGGACAGCGTTATGTTTCTCAACATGCTACCGGTGGCAAGCGGGTCCACCCGTCTCCAATACGTCTCCTGAGCTCAATCTGGCAGACGGGTCAGAGACGAAGGTCCACGCATCCCACTGGGAGCATATTGGCATACAACATTCATGACCAGGTCGAACTGCCAGGGCACTGTGCAACATAAATACCACATGTAACCATCCCACTTGAGGACATTTGCACTGGTGACAGGACAAGGCACAGGCATGCAGCCTCCTGCTACAGACTCCTTTCGAAATGGAAATTCCCCACCAACATAATATAAATGCAAGAGAAGGCCGACCTGGCGTCGGGCGCTGGAAGTGCCTGCGGCCCACCGGACGCCAGCTGCCGCGCAGCTGCGGCCAGCGCTTCCAGCAGCGTCAGCCGCTGGTGCAGATCCACATGCGGCGAGTACACCTACATTACACCATTACCATCACTCGACACCAGCACAAATATACAAAAGTGTAAATTCTTCTGATTTGTCATTGTGGGTTTCCTTCAAGAAAGCACGCTAAGCCCAGGTCCCACACATGATGTAGCCATCAATCTCACTCAAGCATGTCCGGTGGGACATTCTGCAACAAACTCATGTGCACGAAGAGGCAATCTAGGAGGCTGTTGTGATGCTGAGCGGACAGCATCCAGATGCAACGCTCAGCACAGCTATGCAAAGTGAGTGTCTGCCTGGGACAACACTGTGATGCTGACCACAGTACCCACAGGCAGTGCTAAATACAGCTATGCACAGCATGTGTCTCTGGGCACACCTCGGCTGCAAGTGCCAAGCCGCCGGCGCGCGGCGCGGCGGCCGCGAGAGATGCCATGCCGGCCAGCCGCCGCGCCGCCGGGCCGGTATCTGGCCGGCCCGCCGCGGCCGCCTCCTCGTCGGCCCACTCCGGCGGCCGCGCGTGCAACAGAGCGCGCGCCAGCTCGCCTGCAGGAGGTATATTACTCAATCTGCATATTAACAACAGGCATGCAGGGCCAAATTTTCTCAACAGGAATTCCACAGCTCTGAATATTGATACGAGCAAGACCTGAAAGCATTTCTGCCTTCAGGTGCATGTCTCCAAGGCTTGGGAAAGTGCCACAGGGCCAAGGAATAATTCATGATGGCCAATTGCACTGTGCAGCCTCATCCTGAACACGCTAGCCGCTGCTTTCATAGTACGCAATCAAGTAATTTCTGCGAGTGGCAAAGGTGGCCAGCGATCTCACCGGCGTGGCTGTCCAACTCATGGGGAGCGGCGTCCACCAGCGGCCCCAATGCTGCGAGCCCCTTGAGCACGGCGTTCGGGTCATCTCCCTTGCGCAGCAACGCCGCCACATCGCGCAGCTGCAGCGGGTTATCTCCCTCGCTCAACCCTGCGCGCATGTTCAACCCCTTGATAGCTTCATCTACCGCACAGGAAGGTTGCTTGACTGCAATAAATGGGGATGGCTGGGGCCCCATGCACATCAATACTTGCCTTGGTTCCTGTCTTCCCTGACCTGTGTAGAGAAGGCTGCCCTACACAGACCTTCAAAATGCGGAACAGAGAGGGGGTACTGCTTGCATGCCCGCAATGCCACTTAAACCAGAATCTCATGCACATGCACCGTGCAAATCTCAACAAGCAATGCGCAGTCAAGAAGTGTTCTATTTCTCTTACCTGGTCTGTCTAGGGAGGGCTGCTATCGACAGATCAAGGAGAAAAAGAATAGAAAAAGAGTATTCTAATTGCATCATCATCAAAACGTGAATGCAGACCATGCACATCAACATAGAGGCCTGCTGTTGGACATACCGTCGTCATCCTCTTCTGACAGGTCATAGGGCTCCAAGGAACCATCGCTAGCTGCATCGCCAATGTCCCCTGGTGTTTGCACGCTACTTCCCCTGCATGCACCTTCCATCCTTGGCAAGGTATGAATGCAGAGATTGCCCCACAGTATTTAAGACATGCACTGGCTTTATTCAAGGCCCCTGAGAACATACGCCTTCCTGCTGACCCGTGCATACAAAAGGAACGTGACAGCATCAGTACACATTCCATCCGTTGTTTAATGTTGATTGTGGACTTTGGACATGGTCTCCAACAGCAAACTGGCAACACACACCCGGATTTGCTCACATTGTTCCTCCAACTCTCTGGTTCTGGACAGTCTCGGATCGACTGGCATGATGGCTAGCGCAAGAGACACACCTTGCATTGTCAGCAGGCTCGGCTGCGATGGCTGCTGCTGATTTTGAAGGCCCTTGTTGGTTCACTGCAGACGGCAGGCAGTCTCGGTGCCATGCCTCTTCTGGCAATAGGCCCACGTCCCCCAGATCTGAGAAGAGGGGGTCCTTTGAGGGGTCCAGCACCTTGGAGAAAGCCTGCCCCACCCTCATGCCCTGCCGCCTGTTTAGCACAAAAACAGCTTGACAGTGATTGTAGGGGAGTAAACGTAATGATTGGAGTTAACATGATAGTTGGACCCAAAATGAAATGTGCCATGCCAGTGCCATTGAAGCTACACAGCATCTGCTTGCAGAAAGAAGATGCAAGCAAGCTGTTATTGGATTACTGCCCTTATGGTTTATTCCTTTTGACAGGCTCAATCTCCGGGCACATCATGCTTCGCATGCATTGAAGACATAAGCAATTCAGGAGTGATCTCTGGTCCCAATCTTGGATAGATCCCCTGAGTGACTGCCTCACTGTTGGAAAATCTGTAGCTGCCTTTGAATTGCTGGAAGTTTTGGACCCGGTGATTGCTGGCATGGGGTGGAGAAGTCACTCAGCAGCTCAGCAACATCACTCTGGGGACTGGCAAGGATGAGAGCAAATAACACTCCTCTCCATTAGAGACTGACAATTCAATGCGTTGCAGGTGATTTGCGGTGCTCTTATGACGACCAAAATCTAATGATTATCAACCCAGATGGCAGAAGGTGATGCACCTGATGGGAACTTGGGGGCTGTTAAGGCGAGTGCTGACGCCGCTGAGAAGAGCGGCAAACAGTCCTGGCGTTCCCTCCAGCTCCGCCCTGCCCAGGCAGGCGATAATCTCCACAAGCGCCGCACTCATGTACGCCTGCTGTCTCACCGGCAGCCGCTGAGTTGTCTCCAACTGGCCCCATGCCTGCATGGAAGGGTATGGAAACATCTACAGAGTACCTTGGAAGCCGCAATTCCCAACAATGCCTCCTGTTCAGGAGATTACAGGGTAACGAGACTAGTCCTACCTGAGCAGTCCTGTATGTGAATTTGAATTCGACCAAACATGCACGTAATTGGTGATTCATGTTCTTTCCATCCTTTTTGACAGTTCCTTTGAGCTCGACAGTTGCTGTCAATGCATGCCAAAAGGGGTCAGTGGTCGCTTGAATAAGTGCGCGTAATCACAGTGTTGTATTTCAGGATATCTGTAAGACACCCATGCAAATGGCATGTGCACGACGTGTAGTGAGTAAGCGCGTTACCTGAGCGAGCCTGACAGCGACATGCTGCAGCACAGGCAGGGGAGCATCTGGCGAGGATGCCTGATCTGGCGCTCCCAGGGAGTCCAGCAGGCGAACCAGCAGGCGCATCTGGCCGGGCGGCAGAGTCCGCCGCATCAGCGCCTTGTCCTCCAGAAAATATCTGCGCATACAAGCACACGCTCTCGACACGACTTAACAGGTATGATTTGATATGATCAAGGATGTCCCTGCATTATGGCCTTGCCGCAGCCTGGCATGGCAAAAACGTGCGCATGCACGATCAACCTGACAACTGACACAATTCCACTTTCCAACACGAGAATACTTTAGAAAGATGATTCCCAATGCTGACCACAGAGCACTGTCCCGTGTGAGATCGAAGGTGCAGGGGCACGGCCGCCACAGCATGGAGCCTACAGATGCGCAATTCTATTTACCTGACTTCTGAGCGGGCAAGGAGTGGTCCATTCAACACAGCCTTGAGGGTGTGGGCAGACTGCGCCAGGTCAGCTTCTCTCAGGTCACCAGCTTCCAATATCCTGGCAGCTTCCCGCAGCAGCGCCTCCAGCAGCTTCTCCAAAGCTGCCGCGTCCTGCACGCTTTGCATCGCTGCGCGCACCCTTCGGCACCCCTCTGCCGAGAAAATATCTCTGCGCTGCATCCCTCCCCCTTGCTGCCCAAGCTTTGCATTCCTCTCCGAAGGAACTTGCTCCTGCCTCTTCCTTACTTGTTGTTGCTGTGATCCTGCGGTTGATGGAAATGCAAATTTGCTTCTAGTCTTCACCCTGCTGTGGCTGCTTTTGGCTGGTGCCAGACTTGGCGCAGCAGGTGCCCGGGATGTGGACGCCGCTGCATGGCTGCGGAGCCTCGCTGACGCGTCAGCGCTGTCAGCAGATGACTCATTACTGATGTCATCCACCGCATCTCTCGCAGGCGCATGGCCGTTCTGTGAAGATGCCGACTTGGGAAGTATTGTCGACCACAGTGCGGCTGCTACAAGCTGTGCATGGCCCCGTCTGCTGAGGCGAGCCAGCACCTCACCCACAAACATGGCTGATTTGGAGACAAGCGTATCTCCTGTGCTGTTTGCTTCAGCTGTTTCTTGCTGCGCCGGTGGCTTTGCCTGACTCGATGCCTGCTTACTACTGATCGCCCTGAGGCAGTGCTCCACAACCTGCAGCAACAACAGCGACAGTGCTTGGTGCTGGGATCTTGTGTTGACACTCACTCTCCTGGCAGCAGCATCAGGCCTTCATGTGACAGAATCCATGGCTGATAATCAGCGCATCTGTTCACATTACCAATGATGCACAGAGAGTGACGTACAGCACGCGGATGAGATCATGCTGTGAGTCTGAAATGGCTCACCTGTGGAATGTAGGCAGAAGGCCGGAGCGCAGGGAGCTGTGTGCTGGCGGCTCGCTCAGGCACAGAGGCCAGCAGCGAGGCCAGATAGGCTGTGGAGTCCCCTCCAAGACTTCCCCCATTTGCTCCATCACTGCTCACCCCAGATGAACCTGCCAACTCCTGGACCACAAGATGGTCTGTCAGGCAGCCATTTATCACACCAACTCTCAGGCACAACCTTCATCCAGGTCACAAGGTAGATTGCTGTCATGGCAAGTGTGCTACATGATCAGGCATCACCCTACATGCAAATGCAGATCGGGGAGCTGACAGGGCACCAGCATAGAAAGAGTCAGCAAGACCCAAGGGAAAGACACATGCCTGGATTCCAGTGCTGCCCGACAGCGCAAAGCGCTCGGCAAGGATTGCAGCTGCTGTGTCGGCGGCGACGGCCGTCACATAGACTGAGGCCTCTGATGCGCTGAGCGCCTCCCGCAGCGGCGCCACGCTGGACAGGTGACTGCGCACAGAGTCATCGGGGGGAGTCAGCACTGCGTCAGCAGTTATTACAGAGGCAATCCCTCAAGTATTGCTGCATGTAGGCTGGTGGCGCATTTCCAGCTGCAGCAGAAAGAAATGGCATGCATGTCTTGCTCATGCATGCATGAGAAGATGAATCTGCACCTTGAGAAGTGCAGTATTCAAGATGCACGGATGCAGTGGAGCAGTATGGAGGACATACATTCCAAGCATGCACTCTGTTCATGCATGCATGTGAGGAGGCAGGACTTTTTCGGCTGCAGCAAACAGATGGGTTGCAAAGTGACTCACGTGACTAGAGTGGGGAGCAGGATAGCTGCAGGTGCGCCAGCGAAAAAGGCGTGGAATAGCTGCACCTTATCTTCCAGCGAGAAGCTGCTCAGCCACTCCGCTGCCACCACTGCACAGACGCACAATGGCGCATCAGATATAACATGGCTCAGATCTCATGAAAGCCTGAAGAGTGAAGTAAACCAGGTGCAGGGGATGGGCGTGCATTCCTCTTTCGTGGATTTTAGAAGCGTCACCTGACAGAAGGATGTCTGCAAAGCTGCCAAAATGCTCCCTGTAGAACACCTCACTGACAGCTGCCCAGTCAAGCTCTTTCTTTTCCACAGTTTGGCAGACCTTGTCTTCCAGGTCAGGGAGCGCTGCAGAACATTTGTACTTCCATGAGATGCAGGAAGACGGCGATCACGCGAATCCACAGAACAAGCTACAACGCAGAATTGAGTAAGCTGGGGTCTTTTAAGGGTTCCATGCCTGACGATGCTGAAGTGCAACTCGTGCCATTTGCAGGTCTTGGCGTGAATTCCCTGCTGACATAAAGGCGGCTTGCAGATTGAAGAGCCACCTTCACCTGCACAAACGTTATCGATGGCCATGGACTATGAGTCAGCAACGCAAACTACTGACATTCATCCAAAACATCCAAGTCATAGAAGACTTTGACAAGCACTAAGATCCTATTATTTGTTGAGTTTCAGATCGCCCCACATGTCGCGTGCCTTTCCTACTCACTTGATCTGGTGTTGTTGCCGACGCAAGAGCCAAGGTCACAGCCCTGATGTGATGTAGAATGACACTTTTGGGCGTCATTAAAGATCACATATATTTATTCGTGAATCTACTAGAACAGGGGATCATGTTGGCCCAGATTGATGCTTCATGCTGCCCTGTATGCTCAATCCTTGCAATAATGCCAATCGGCTTTATGATAGAATGGTGGCACATACATTTTGCACTGAATCTATCAAGATAAATGTGGTGCCTAGGTTAAATATGTGATCAGGCCAAACCAAAACCAGAAGGCTTACCGGCACAGGTGACGGGAGCAGCTTCGTGACGACAGCCAAGCGCCAAGTCGTTGACGTCAGCGCATCTCCGCCTGCGATCGCTGGTCCATATTTATTGGGAACGAAGAATCTTTGGTGTGTCTTTCGCTCAGCTTCTCCCTATTGCAATCAAGAGCACATATGGGAGTGTAAGAGGCCCGACCATCGTGCGCTGCCGTTACCGCTCCCTCTTACAGGCGTAAAATGACACCAGGACTTTTCTGAGCGTCTGGGCTGCAGATACACAACGAGAGCGTGCTCAAACTACCTTCAAAATAAAGCACTGGCACGGGCAACATACGGTACTGTCCTGTGGAGTATCACAGGATGCCTTGATGCCAAAAAAAGTCAATTCTGCTGTGACTTGCTGCTTTGTGGTGTATTCTAGCATTGCCGTGCCTTTTTGCACATTTCGAATGTTATCTGCAGGTTGACCCTCCCGGCGGAAGGATGTTGGTCTGGGACTTCATAATTGCGCTGGCATACTTTGCCATTCCGTTGGAGCTGCTCTACTGTTTCCTATGGTATCCCTTCCCAGTGAGAGCGAAGCCAGCCATATTCTGCTCCCTCTTCGTCTGCTTCATCACCATCTGCGGTGGGACGCACCTGGCGAGAGCCTTCGACTTCACTACAGCCGTCCCCATCGTCACAGCAATCTGCACCGTCATATCCGTCCTGACAGCCTTCATGCTGCTCTGGCTGATCCCTGGAGTCTTCAAGCTCGCCAAGGCCTTGGAGCAGGAGCGCGTTGAGAGGCTGATGCTGGAAAACTTCCAAGGGACCCTCACTGAGGCTGCGGAAGGGCCGGACGACATCAAAGCAACCCTGAACATCATCAGAGCCGTGCCGCACTGCTCAAACCGCCAGTTGCGCCTTCTGACGGCGGCAAAGTCTAGCTTATGCCGCATGCTTGCATCAGACCACGTGGACATCGTCGGTAAAGAGGGCCTCAAGGAGGTGCCTGGCAAGGTCACCGTGCCAATAAACCAGCTATTTGTCATAGTTCTGGACAAGGACGTCCATGCCAAGCACAAAGAGATCCTGGAGAAGCTGAGCGGTCAGATAGCACATGCGTTCATGGAAGCCGGGGACTTGATTTTGGAATGAACTGACTTCAGGTCTCGAGCCATGTGATGCACAATATCGTGCAGCATGTGGTATCACAGCCTGCACAGCTGAGCTGTGCAGTGACAACGCAGTGTACTTGGTGTATAGTGTTGTGCTGATCTATTGAACACCTCCTGTCTGGATGAGATGTTGGCCCATCAGGGCCAAATTTCCCAGTCACATCATGCTGTAGGTGACTTGGATCCACTGATAAGTGCTGCACCGAATTTGTGGTATGAATGAGCTTTCATTCATAGCACAAGATTCTAAACTTTTGCCTTGCAGGTTGAGGTATTCAGGCTCCAAAGGAGATGCAGGTTGCAGCGAGTAGCAGTATTTGAGTGTTTTCAGTTCATAGCACTGTGCCATTCTGACATTGTAATAAGTATATTTTCGGATTCGCAAGGCTGCCCCCGCTCTCTACATGGCGCTCGCACAGCCTTGTATTAGTGAGAAGCTTGCAAGCTTGCATTCTCTCTTGCTCTATAAAACTCTTAACATCCTCTCTTATCGTGGGCACCAAGAATCAACACTCATACAGACACCAGCACCACAACAACAAAAAAACACCGCTCTCGTACACACCGTCACCTAATCATCATCGTCCATGCTGTCATCCCAGAAGGAAGGGTTGTCCAGGCTGGAGGGACCCCCCCAAACTCTGCCACCAAAGACCCCCGGTCCCCCCACCATGGGCCCCCCAAGATCAGTGACGTCATTCATGCGCCGCCGCCTTGTCAGCGCGCGCGGCTGCGGCTGCTCCGGCGGTTTGTTGCCGGTTAGTCGCTCCACGTGACTGTTAATTGTCTGCGCTAGCCAGAGTTGCTCCTCGCTGCTCAAGCCTGCGCGCACCCAGCATGCCTCTCAGAAATGTCCATAATGCAATCGATACAAATATGCGGGGCAGCCCTTTCTCCCTGACATGGCGCTCGATCTGCCTTGTATTCCTTAGCTCACTTTGGCTACAATGTGTAACTCTGTGGGTGGTTGATGGTTGATCGCATTTGGATCGCTGCGTTCATGCAAGGGTCTGAAGAAACTGGCCATCCAGACCCAATGAAACGCCGCAATGTATTCAAACGCGCATAGGCTGCACTCCATGCTGCTGTAGACCATCATGTTCTACAAGTGTCAGCCATAGCAGCTATACCCAGAGCAGGCTGCTCAGATCTGTCAAATGAAGACTCTCAGGTGCCCTACATCTGCAACGAGGAAGCCCTGACAGAGTGCCTCTTGAACTTGCCAATCAGTGTCAGAAGAAAAGGGGCGCACCCAATCCAAAGGGGACCTTTCTGAAGCCCTCCAGAAGCTCCAGCTGCGTCCTGGGCTCCCCATTGACATACCCAGTCACCGTCACCTTTGCACCTTTGAGGTCCGCCGTCTTCCCGCTCCTCTCCTTACCTGCAACCGTCAAAAAAATAATCAACGATCCATTCAACCTGGCCGCCCCAGAAACCTGCTTGTGCGCGCATGCCTGTTACTGGCAATGATGCTGCAATGGATCATCCGGGACAGCAACATTAGAGGTGCTTTCCTTTGGCAGTGCTGTAAAGAATTAGTTTGCTCCTCTGGGTTCCCATTAAGCCACTCTCATTCCTGAGCTGTCTCGAGTGGCCACTCACCAGAGTCATGTGCTTTTCCTCTGTTCAGTCGCCACCGCTTGGCACCAATGTCGAGGTTTTCCGAGCTGAAGGCGCCCCCAAATGCATCTCTGGCCACTTGATACCCTGCATGGCAGCACGCCGGTGTGAACAGGGCGCTTGACAATGACACACGCAATCAACGCAGTAAGTACTCTGCACATCCTTGTGTAAAGAACAAAGGCAAGTTATGCACTCGTAATCAAAGTCACTGCATTGCGCTGTGACACAAGGAAAGGACACAGTCAACCCACATATCCACATATACTACAGAGGCCTGGCTCCTAGCTGCGCCACAACATTTCTGCAAGTGCTGCATAGGCACCTCCCATGGCCAACCTTGTGCCCTTGGTAGGGACAGCCTTGAGGCAGACTCAAATTCTGAACAATAAACATAACAGATTGCGCAACTCCACACCTGCAAACCAGAACGGGAGCGAAAATGCTGCGCCGATGACGGATCCGGCGGCAAGCGCGGACAGAGTCCAGACAGCAGTGGTGCCATTCCACACGAGCGCAAAAGAGGCCGTGCCCAGCCGCTCGGTGCTCAGCAGCGGCCCCCGCGGAATGTCGATCTCGAGTGTGGTCCCTCGAGAAGTGACGCGGCTGCGCGCGCCCGGCGGGTCGCCCCCCGACCTGTTGCGGGCAGGCCGTAAATCAGTCATCATTGTGCCATGATAATGAACACCTGGAGGCAGGATCCACGTGAGGCCATATTGCGATGCAGCCCAGACATCAGTCATCATGGCAGTATAAGAACAAAAAAATGTAGTCCTATTATTGTGATGCTGTGGGGGCTTGGTTCAGTATCATGATGTGCACATGCGCCAGAATGCTTGGGTACAGCCCCTCACGGCCTTGAACACAGTCGGCACACACCTGGAAACTGCTGCCGGAGATGTCTCTCCCTTCAGGATCTTCAGAGCGTCACTCGCCGGCATCCTGTCCTCCACAAGAGGCTCCTGCACACCAGCGCCATCCTTCAGAACAGCAGCTTCACTCCCTGGGCAGCGCTACTCATTGACGAAGGCGCTTGTCCCGCATAAAACCAGGTCCTCGCTACAGACAACGCAAGAGCTGGCGAGTGATGCACTGTGCAAGGAGTGGGGCAGTCTAATTCTAAGAAAGGTTCACAAGCTTACCAACAGGCCTTCCAGCACTGCTGCCAGGGCATCCCCAACCTCCAGGCTTGACCTGAAGTCCAGCCGAAGGCGGTCCTGTGGGAATGCGCTCGGCGGCTTGCCTGCATGCAGCCATGCAGCGATATTAGTCAGCACCAAGTTGCAATGCTGCTTGATACTTCTGAACAGGAAATAAGACCAACACTGAACCACAAGCTACAAGAAACTCCGATCAAGACAGCCACACCATTGTACATGTCTTGAAGCGGGCCGACAGCGTGCATGCAAGACTTGAAAGATGCTTACACATCACTCTTCCAGATGACAAATATCAAGCTCAGCACTATCGCATTTGCATGCAGGCTCAATGCCTTCAGGGGCCCATGTACATTTGTCGGACACGCTATCCCTGCCACAGGCAAGGTGCGTCTAGAGGCCAATAAAAGTATATGCACTATAATCTCATGCGGCGAACCTGACAGCAGGAAGAGAAGGGTTCCCCCAAGGCCGTAGAGGTCAGAGGCCGGGGACGCGGCGCCGCGGAACTGCTCGGGAGCCATGTACCCGTAAGTGCCGATGACCGTAGAGCCCGTAGCCAGCGCATCACCGGCTGCTGCCGCCTGCACTCCGCCGAAATCCACCAGAAATAACCGGCCTCCTGCTTTGCCTCCCTCTAACACCACATTCTCCGCCTTCACATCCCTGCAGGGGCACCAGCAAAAGATCAGACATTTCTGGACAAACAATAGTAACAAATACCAAGAAGTCAGACATCTCTGTAATCCCTGCTACCATTCGGTGCCTGTGACGCGCATCAAATGCCCACCTTCCACTCTCTGCTGGCACACCCCTGAAAATTACATCTCTTCAACATTGCTGAAGAAGCGGCAGTGAGCCTTGATCACACTGAAGAGCAGAGCATCAGCTACGTCCACAGTCCAGATGTCAAGTGGCGCCAGTTACAAACCACAGTATTGGCTGCAACAAGCTGATTGCTGCACAAGGGGGAATGTTTGCGGCACCTGTGGGTGACTGATGGCCTGCGGCTGCCAAGGTATTCTAGGATTTCCAGCAGCTGGATGCCAATCCTGGTCACCTCCGCCTCGTCAGCGCGCCAGCCATCATCCATCAGCTGCGCCAGGGAACGCCCCTCCGCCAACTCCTGCTCAAATCCAAAATTGGCCTTCATCCCTGACTACCCAGCTTAGTCCTGGTCCATGACTTGTGTGATGTCTGATGGAACCTCTTGTCTTGACTTGCAAATTTTGCATGTTAAGTTGTTTGTGCTTGCCCAAAATGCCTGGCTCACATGTCCGCCACCATGCCTGAAGCTGCCTGAACCTGCTCCAAACCCCTGCCACCTGTACAGTCCGACTTCTTGTAATCCACTGGATCCTAAGGTGCCAGTTTGACCTGCTCTGTTGAGAGCTCAGGCTGCAACAGCGATTTACTAAAGTACTGAAGTTTGCACCTTCTTCACAGCTCCCAAAGACGAGAAGGCAGTCCGCTAGGGGTAGCACTGCATCAAGTCAGATAGATGTCACCCCAAAGTGACCAAGAGGCACGTATGCATTACAGTAAGCTGCTTACCTGGACCAAAAAGAATCCGCGGTCCTTCTCGGTGTCTTCGGACAGGTAGTCGATGTAGCGGGGGATTCCAGGATGCTTCAGAGTTTCTAGCGTCTGTGCCTCGCGCTCAAAGAGCTCCAGCTGCTTCCAGTCTGTCATGCGGCGCAGTGACAGCGCCTTCACCGCCACTGTCTTCCCGTCCGGGCCCTCAGCCTGCACGCATGTTGTGTTGTTTACGAAGGGGGTCATTGCATGTGAGCATGCAGCTTTGGTACTCCAATATCTGTTGTGAGCACAGTGCCTTGTGTCTCAATGTCTGGTCACACAGCCTGTGCACGGTTTGCAGCCGTGATTGCTTCTCTTCCTGTCGGCAGTTTCTGCACAGGCTATATGAACAGACACTGTGGGAGAGGCAGACAGAGGGGGACACTGTCTCTATTTGTCAATGTATTAGTTTAATATTTATCACACGCCTCAGTGATAGCGCCTCCAACAAAGCACAGGGCCAACGTGATGCCACCAAAAGATATCTCCCATGGGCGATCTGTCCCAATGAAGGCACTATTGCCGCGGCGCGCTTATGGCAATGTGGACAGAGTTTCAATCACAGCTGATGTCATTGCCATTGGCCTTGTTGGGGATGAAAGTGGAACCAAGCTACCGCGATCATTGTCCGTTCTTACCTTGTAGGTGACTCCATTGCTGCCTCTCCCCATGACCTCCAGCACAGTGTACTTGCCTCCAAGCACATCCCCTGCCCTGTAGTCACCTGACCAGACACAGAACATTTGATCACTCAAACAGATTCTCTTGAGAAAGGAGGGTCGTGTCTTATTTATCCTACGGCAGCCCCCAGACTTTGCCAACATGGGAGCGCCTATAGCAAGATGCACGAGAGAAACAATGTCATCATTGGCTATAATGAAATATGGCTGTTTGTTTCTACGCTGGAAGAGCAAACCTGTCCAGACAGGACCTTCAGATGACCGCGGAGGAAAGTGCATTTTATCCTGCTGTTTGACATTCTCCTGCTCCGCTCTGCATCTCAGTGTGCCTGCAGGTTAGGCACGTGAGTCAGAAATACCTCAGCTTGTCCAAGGCAAAGGGGCGTGCATGTTCAGCAGGAAGCAAACACAGAGAGAGGCAGCAAATCTGTCAGGCTCACCTGTTTTAAATCTCCCAGATATATTTTGAAGCCGTGTTTGAGATGCCTTCGAGTGAGATCGCTGACTCTGGTGTCGAGCACCTCTCAGAACTCTGGTCCCCTTCCCTGGGATCCTTGTGTATGAGCAGCTGCATTCATGTTGGAAGCTGGCACCAGTAGGCCGTCCGTGATAAGCAGATTGCATTACAGCAATCAATTACAATGCTCCTCAACCACCTCGGTGTATGCTCTTAATACTTGAAAGACGAATCCTGCAACACCAATCCTGCGATCAATTTTAGATCGCTCCTAAAATACAGGTGATCAATTCAGGATATACCCTCTAAATCTCGGACCACGCTTCACTGGGTCTCCGCTGCACTATTCCAAGACACGGAGCTGTCCTCGCAGCTTCCCAGCTTCGGAGCAGGTGCCCATCTTCGGACTTCGGAGGCGTTCCTGCAGCTTCCTCCAGCGAATGCTGCATGCTTCCTGATGCATCTATCATTCTTTCGTCAAATCTTGGCCAGCATGGATGCAGTGATATGATTTAGCTGCATGGCAACCAATGATTGCGCATGGGTGCCCGTCAAGACTGCTCTTCCAATCGTGTCTCACCTTCACGTGCAGGAAGCCGCACACACTTGTGACTAGGCGTGCTTGGCTGTTAAGTTACCCTCTTGCCTGCATGCGCAGCGGTGTCAGGGACATCAGCGTCCAGCTGACCCCTCAGGAGGAAGAATTGTTCGATGTGTTGACGAAGACATTGGAGCATGAGAAGCTAGATACAGTGCTGCGATGTGCGGGGGGATGGGTGCGAGACAAGCTGTTAAAAAAGGAATCTCACGACATAGATATAGCGATAGACAACAAGATGGGGCAGAAATTCGCGGAGCACATCAACAGCTACCTGAGCTCGAGAGACATGAAGACTGGCAAGGTGCTTCTCGATTGCGCCTCCTGCATATCCACCTGAACACGCTTTTCTCTGTTCGGTTTATCACGCCAAATATGCGATTGGATCCAAAGATAGTGCCTCACTGGGGTGGTCTTGCTCCCACGCTCTTTCTCATGGGAAGCATCTGTATGCCACTGCATACAAGAGGAGGACTGGTACAGGATCAAAGAGGGAGGAATGGGAGCCAGGCAAACAAGAAACACGCATGAGGGTGCAAAATACCGTCAACCAGATCATCAGCGGAGAAGTGCAGCGCTGAGGAGGTTGCTACTGCAGGTGGCGGTCATCATGAGCAACCCGGACCAGTCCAAGCACCTGGAGACTGCCAGGATGACAGTTGCTGGCCTGGAGCTGGACCTGGTCAACCTGCGCAGTGAGAAGTATGCTGACCAGACCTCCCGCATCCCCACCATGGAGTTCGGCACCCCTGAAGAGGACGCCCTCAGGTGAATCCCCCATCTCTCCCTGGTTTTCTTTTGGGGTACATGTTGCTGCTTGTAGCTGTGAATAGTGTGGCTGTAGCACGAGAGAAGTTGAAACAGCTCTGCGCACTCCTTGCTTGTCGGTGTGGCTTGTGCTTAGCACACTGGTGTACAAGGAGCGTAGCTGCCTGAATTGACCACAACAGTTGAATGACTCTTGCAGGGTCTTTGTTTGTCAATTGCAAGTGTACAGAGCAATTTTTCGGATTAACATGAATTGGAGCAATTCAAATGTGAGTGTTGTGCCTGGGCAGGCGTGATTTCACAATCAACAGCCTGTTCTACAACATCAACACCCGCTCAGTGGAAGACTTCACTGGCAAGGGGCTGGATGACCTGCTGGAGCACAGAATGATCCAAACCCCGCTGCCCGCTGAAGACACCTTCCGAGACGGTATACCGGCCTTTGAAATACTCTTTGGAGGCTCTACTTCCAAGCCTTCTTGCTTCCCATGGTGCTCAATGCAAGGCTATAGATGGACACACTGCCCAGTGTGACACCGATGGTGCGTGGACTGCAATTGTCCGGAGATTGCCTCATGTACAGCAGATTACAATAATTGTAAGAGTTCAGAGGAGAACGAATGTGGATGTGCAATGAAAAAAAAGTTGTGGGTGCAGATCCGCTGCGTGTGCTGCGGGCGATCCGATTTGGGGCGCGCTTCGGGTTCAAGCTAGATGGCGGCCTGGAGGCGGCAGCAGCCAGTCAGCCGGTGAGCATCTGGCCCCCCCTCCGGAGCTTTCGGACTTATTTTTTGGTGCATGCAGCTTTTCATTTTGCCCTTCCTCTGCTTTTCATCGAAATCAGGACAGTTTTGTCTGAATTTCTTCTTTCAAGACACCAATTATCTCTCATTTCCCAACCGGATTCCTCGGCCCAGATACTCTTCTGTCAATTTTTTTACCTTTCCCAATCATCTGCTGCTGCATTGTCTGGTATCATTGCCAGCCAACATGCTGCCACTGCCCTCCACACACGGCAAAAAAGCCAAATTTCGCAGCCCAGCAAGCAGGAACGCCGTCGGACGCCAAAGTCGCGCCAAATCAGGCGCGGACGGCTCGGTAGAGCAGGAGGTACGCCATATGCCAGTCTCCGCCGCCGGACAGCGCCAAAACTTCGTTCTCCTTGCGCGGGATCATCTCCTCGTCGTCGAACTGGATCCATGACTTGTCGTCCTGCTTCACCCAGCTCACATAGTGGCCGCTGTCCGCGCTGCGCCCCTTGTGCGTCAGCACCGCCACCAGCTCGTACCGCCCTGCGCAGCAGCCAATCCAGTAAAAAAAGGGTGTAGAATATTTGACTGCTCCGGTTGGGTAGGTGATGCGCGAACTGAGACTACATTAGTAGTCAGCAGGCGCATGTGCTCTTCCAATCAGCCAGAAGTGTCTCAGCAATCAGGCATTGCATGGTGTAGCCAAGGTGAGTATTCAGGGGGCCAGTGTTGATCACCGGCAGAGGAAGGAGATATCAGGGATCTGTGGGAGGGTTAGGAATCAAGGGGAGAGAGGGCGGCGTGCCTGTGAGCTGCCCACTGTACTGGCCGGCCTCCGGCGCAGCACTGCTGGAAGCTTCGGCGTCCTTCATGTCAACATCCGCGGCACTGCCGTTGGATGCCGGGGCTGCGGCGGCTGCCGGCGCCTCCGCCTTGCCGTCCTTGCTTGCCTGCACCACAACAACCCTCAGAGTGAAGCGTTCAAGGGCCATGCATCCTGCCAGGTCCTCGGATTTTAGTATTCTCAAGCTTTTTGAGTCTCTGATGCAACACCTCTAAAGATGCCAGAGTGCTCGAGAGAGACAGGCATGACTTCTCCTCCGATCCTGCAGTCGTCAGCATGAAAGTGCAAGTAGAGGACGGCAGGACCGCGCTTTGCAGCAAGCTGTGCAGATTTTGGCGCCTGTTATTAGATATCACGGGGCAACTTGTTGGGCTGCGCGTACCTCGGCGGCCTTGTCGGCGGCTTTGGCTGCGGTCTTGGCGGCCTTTTCCAGGCCGGCGCGCACGTCCTCGGCTTCCTGCCAGGCCGCACGTGGGCCGTCCAGCTCCTTCTTGTAGCTGTCCGCGCAGAACTCGTACGCGTCCAGCACCATCGGGAACACCACCTGCGCCAGATCAGGCCCTCAGCCACCTCAGCCATGCTTCAAATCAGCCTCGCACCAAATCAGCCAGGTCTTAAATCAGGCTCTGCGCCAGATGAGGACTGCTTCAAAACCAGAGGCTATCAGATCAGGAGTGTGCTGAGTGGCGCTGCAGCCGCAGTGAAGCATGTAGGCATGGGTTTCTGCTTGGTGGTCCAAGCTCCTTGCCACGTAGTGAGAACCGGGAGACAAATAGCAATGTGACAGAGATAAGAGTAGGTGTATTGGGTCATAAAGGGAGCAGGTGGGGCGGCACCTTGCGCAGGATCTTGGCCTTCTGGCGGGTGTCGACCTTGTAGAAGAAGCGCACCATCTGCACCGTCATGTACGGCGGCAGCTTTGTGATCACGCTGGAGCCCTGCGCATACATTTCGAGCCACGCAATCACATTCGGGCATTTTTTGCAGGGCTGCAAACTATGCAGCCTTCTTGAGCCAAGCAGTCACCATGAGGTGTTCATTTCTGTAGGGCCCTGCAGCGCTCTTCAGAGCCATGCACCTTCCCAAGAGTCAGTGCAAGCCAGGTATGACACCGTATTCAGATATTGGCAGGCAGAGAGGTGACAGAAAGCAGCACCTTGAAGAGCGCCAAGCGGCCGAGCGCGTCGCTGTTCTTTTCGCGGTCGTCCTGCAGGCCCAGGTGGATGCCCTCCGTCAAGTGGTTCACCTCCAGTGTTATGTTGCACCTGCGCCCCAGCACTCCTGTCAGACTGCGTTCCCTTTCAATCGCCCTCTCATGATAAAATTCAGTAATGCATGACCTTGACATGCATCTGTCAACTCTCATGCCTAAGTCAGCGGATGGGCTCAGCTATGCGACTGGGTTAGTGTTCAAGGTCTGAAGACCAGGTAGACGGCCTGGAAGATCAGTGTTCAGGTACTCTGTTGAGGCATTGTCAAAATGGCAAGAAAGGCGGCAAGTGGTCAGTGGATTATCAAAAAGGGGTCCCACTTGAGCTCGTAGACGGTGCTGCCCTCCTCGATGGCCTCGCCGCTCTCCTCGCACACCAGCCGCGACTGCAGCCCCACGCCAAACAGCTGCTGCACCGCCGGATCCGCATCAGCATCCGCCGGGTCCTGCGCGCATGCCGGCACATGCCACTACCTTAGCTCATGAGGCTCAGGACATGCTGGGCTGCATGCGGAGATCTGCCCTGCCTCCGCCTGAAGGCTCTGTGCTTTGCAGCTTTGCACTCGCTGCCTTCTCCTTCTGCACCTGCTGCAAGACTTACAGCGGCAAGTGTTTCGCAGATGCATGCTGACTGATACCGCATGAAAGGACTGTGCCGCTGAGCGTCTACAATATGTGAGCTGGGGAGGCACCCAATGACCACCTGAAAGTTGGGCCAGCAGCATGCAAAGAGATGATGCAGGAGCAGGGAGCGGCGTGCACCTTGAGGCGCTCGCGGAGTGAGTAGAGGATCTGGGTCCAGCACTCCTCCGCGTCCTGCTGCATGTAGATGCCTGTGTTGGTCTGCTGCGCAAACTGCGGGTACTTCTCGCGCAGGTGCATCAGAAACATCATCGGCGTCACCGGCTGCGAGCTGCGCTCCAGGTCCTGCGATTGCAAAAAATTATCACCTTCAGCCTGGAATGCTCTTTTTATTGAAGCTGGGCTGTGTCTGTCTTGCCACTTGCAAACTGAGATTGCCTGCGGGAGGATTCTTACAGCCAAAGCAGACTGGCAATGTATCGGGGCCGGGGGCCGTTGAGGTGCGGGAAGCTGCATGCAAGCTCCAATGGTATGATTTGAGAATGAGCATACTGGGCGGATTTCTGCAAGGGCAACACATTTTCCAGGTCCTGAAGAGATTGCAATTACAATTGTTGAGGTTGCAATCAGAAAGCCCACCCAAAATAGCTGCTTGGTGGCCAGAGTGAGTTTGTGGGAGGCGTCGGGGACGCCCTGTGTGGGGTAGGCTGCCAGGCTCTCCCTGAGCTCGGGCACGCGGTACAAGCATTGCACCGTGCTGTTCATGTAACACGTGTTGCCCAGATTCTTCAGCCCTGCGTGCATGCATGGTCTGTCAGCTCTGTCTGTCTAATGCGCTTATTCCTTTGAGCGCTGATTGTTCCTTACAGCACTGACTTTAAGGGTGTATCACTTTGAGCACTATTATAAGTGTGGCAGAGCTCCTGAAAGGACAGCACAGTATGGAGCAGTGTGGATAGGTAGCATCGTGTAGTAGGTGGGAGGAGGTGAGATTGACCTGCGCCGTATTTGGCAAAGCCAGTGACGTCCTGCTCGTCCTCTGGCAGGTCCTCCATGAAGACTGGGGCATTGGTGGGAGCTTCTGGAAGCTGTACATCACAGCAGACTGTGCCTCATTTCTTTTGCCCAATACTTTCACCTGATAGTGAATTTTTCGTCTAGTGCAGCTCCATTATTCTTATTATTATCCACGTTCCTTTCATGCTGGACAGCTCGTTGACGGTATTGTATACTTTTTTGCTTTAAGACGAAGGCAGATCTTCTTTTGTTCTCTCATTATGATTCAGGGCTTCCTTGGTATGAATAGATGACCGACGTACCTTTTCCGCGGTTCCCATCATCATGAGCTTCTGGTTTGTTTTGAGGTTGAGCTGGGACAGGTCTGCATCGTCCTTCAGCATCCCTCCTTTCACCATAATCTTCTGCCTCTCAGGTGGAACGCCTGTCAGGCTGTATATTTGATTCTTAAATACGAGGCCAGGCAGATTCGTGTCCACTTCCACATTGTGAGCTTCCTTGCCCCACTTAACGCTGACTTGCACCATGCTGTTTTTCCTAAGTCTTGCCTCCTTCGCCTCTAATGCGCTGATTGTGAGAAATTTTGGTTTCAACTAGGATATTTGAGATTGATTATTGCGTGGAATTCTTACAATATATATTGATAGGAGCTTGTCGGTTGATAACTTAAAACTGTGATGGAGTTTTTGGAATTCTAAATCTGGAAGCCTAATCTCTCAATCACTCGAGCGCCAGCAGTACCAAAATATTACTATTGTTTTGTAAGCTTTAGTGCTCTTGAGCAGTGTGCTCGACAGGTCTTCTTCACGATCTTGGTTTTTGGTGCTCTCGGCGCGTCTTGCGCCTTACGTTATTGGAGGCCTGCCCTGTGCTGCCTCTGCATGATGGGAGCATGCCTGCAGGTGAGGGAGGCCCTGGCGAGCAAGGTCAGCAAGGAACGCGTGGGCACGGAGCTTGAGGGCATGTTCAAAGGTATGCACCACCCTGCAACCGGTACCTCCTGACAACTCTACCAATTATTGAATTCGCCTCTCCTTTGTGCACACCAGTGTACTTCTCTCAGTGCACACTTCTCGCTTCAGCCTGAGCTGAGCTGTTGCCATTGCATCTGCATCTCCTGGCAGTTCTGCCCGCCCTGCACACCGCAGCCTTGCCAAGAGCCAGGATTTCAACTTCCGATGCAGCAGGCAGCACTGAAGACTGCTCAAACAGCGATGCATGTGTAGACTATTTTACTGCCTTTTGGCGGGGTGCATTCACAGGGCCGGACCCAGTGCGAGCGGTGGCGGACATCCAGCGGCTGCGGCTGTTCCCGGTGGTGTTCGCGGCCCCCCAGCTGCTGCGCGGGGCCCTGGGGGATGACTACGGCGCCCCCTGCGCAACCCTGCTGGCCGAGGCGGCCGCGCTTATTGAGACCTTGCACGCCGAGGTGCACTCACACACCTTATGCATGTGGAGATTGGCGAGAGCTCACATGAATGCACCGTGTCTTAATGCGCATTAGCAGCTAGGTAGCAAAAAACATTGCCTTGCAACACCTGCAGATCACAACCGCACGTGACCACAGCACCGGTCCAGCCCAACAAACGTTTTCACACATGATGGGCTGCCGCAATTTCCGCATCGGCATAGTCCGATGCAGCTGGGGTCATCAGCATTCAGTGCCCATGCCAGAAGTTACCTTGGAACCCTCTGGCCAGCGTTGTGTTGAATCAAGCAGCAAACACATTTCTGAGCAATACTTTGCTTTGAGCAAAATATTGAGGAGGGATGCACATATCTGAGCAGGAGCCAATGGCGGTGGACGAGCGGCGGCTAGCCCTGCTGGCGGCGATGCTGCTGCCGCTGCGGGCGTGCGAGACCACTCGAGACGGCTCAAAGCCGACCATGCTGACACACCACATCGTCCTCGAATCCATAAAGTGGAAGCGCAAGGACGCGGAGGCCGTCTCAGCGCTGCACGCGGCGGCTGCAGAGCTGTTGCACGTCTCGCAATCGCTACAGGCGCGTTCAACTCCACCGGAATGCGAAATAATATTGCCCTGAATTATTTTTGTACTGTATCAGTCCATGACCTACTAGCCGCAGGCCTGCATGCCACTGATCGACATGGACAGACACATGGGCAAAACCAACATGACACATTGGTTTTCATCATCTTTAATGTAGAAAGAAGGGCTTGGAAGACCATTCGCTGACCCAACACTGCAGGTGTTCACTGCATGTATGAGAATGATCGAGGGGTGCGTGCTGCAGGATTTGAGCGGGGGCTTGACAGGAGCTGGGGAGAACTTGAGGGTGCAGCTGGGCCGCGTGCTGCGGCGGCTGGGCAAGCTTGGCCTAGTCAGGCCCGGTGCGCCTTCAGCAAGCTCACTTTGCTGTCCTTGACCTTCTCGTGATATTCAATAGATGTGCCCATTTGAAGATCTGCCATTGTTCTTCCCCTGCCGCTTGGAACAGTACTCCCAACAAGGCCATGTCCCATTTTCCGAGGTTCCTATGGGACCTGATTCATACCATTGTGGTTCACAGTGCCACCAGACGATCGGAGTGTCACAGCTGGGAGTATCACCAGACGTGTGCATAAGAGATAGATAAAATCAAAACCAAGACAGGGTTCTGAGGATGATTATGTATTGATGTGATGCATGGCAGGCATTGTGTTGGCGCCGCTGCTGACCCATCCCGAGGCCGCGCCGCTTGGGGTGGATCCCGCGGTGGCCCACGCTGACTCAGCAGAGGCCAGGTCAGCGTCCCCTGAGGCGCTCAGGTCTCCCTCAAGCGCTGACGAGGGCCGCGCTGCCAGGTAGGCCTTGTCTCGTCCTCAGATACAACCTTGCAATATCCATCTCTGAAGCAGAAAGGAAATGAACTCCTTGGTACAAGCATTTACTGTGCCTTCGTCACTTCCTGGTATCTCTCACTCAGTGAAGGGTTCCAACATGAGATGTGAAAACAATAGGTATTTACTCCACCTTATGATCAGGAAAATCCTGTGATTTATGCAGGCTGGAGACATGCAGGCTGCTGGAGGCTGCCATGGAGGCATTTGGGCTGAGCGAGTGCTGGAACTCCAAACCGCTGCTCACTGGGAAAGAGGTACGGAGTCACTATCTGTCCTTTTCATTTTGAACTGCTTGAAAACGTCTCACCAGTTGTTGCGTGTGCTGCCGCTGCTGGCATGGTGCATAGGTGCACCAACTCAGCAAGACCCAGAATCCCAAGAAAGTCCCCTTGCTGCTCGATAGCTCGATGCCTTGGTATATTCAGGGAAAAGACCCCAGCGGGCTGTTCTAAAGCAGCTGTGCGAGCAAGTGTGTGATGATGGCATGTTGTGTACTGTGAACAGGTGATGGGGCTGCTAGGGCTGAAGGGGAAGGAAGTTGGGGAAGCAATGGAGCACGTGACAGACTGGCAGCTGGCACACCCCTCAGAGACAGCAGCAGAGTGCCGGGAGTGGCTCGCAGCAAAGTATGGGAAATGATCAAAATCTCAGAGATTTAATCTCTGTTTGTGTAGCCTGCCGAACGCTGCCTAGAATCCAACTATTCAACAGAAGTTCGATAGAGAAGGATGGAGCTGTACTTTAAAGGCTGGTGAGACTGGACTGGAAGTTGTGCACATGTGCTTGGCCCAGGCTCAAAGCCATCATGTGAAGCTTCTGCTGGAAGTGAGGAAGCTACGAAGGACGAGGAGCCAGAGTAGGATACGGATCTTTCAAACTGTCACTCGAGTGCCATTGAAAATTTGCACTTAGGCTGAATTTTTAGTTAAGGAGCAATCATTTGTAAGGGTTCCGCGACGTCTTAACTCGGGTGCTGGGCACAGTAGGTCTTGTCTCACAGACCCGCGGATCTACGGATGCTCGTACTATTCTTCAAATAGTTGCGCCTGCGAGTGTGAGAGTTCCTCCTATAATTCACTTCAATGTGACAAAGGATTGAGTCGAATATTTTATCGCGATTGGCGCGACTAAGGGTCTATTGCAGGTGCTTCACGTCTGAGAGCCCTAGCCATGGGGCCTGCAAGAGTTGAAGGCAATACATGATAGATGGTTCTAGAACAGAGCTTCTGAGGCAATTATTTCAAGTAGGATTCTTCGCCGTTTAACAGGGACGTGACGGCCATCAAGTGGCCGCACTCGTACTGCCAGGGGTGGGAGCAGTTGATGCGTGTGTGATGCTCACGGTCCGGCATGCTAGGGACCTTGTTTCTTCTGGCTTGGTCCCTTTCCTGCAGCAGTACTCGGATTTCAGGTGATCACGCGTGACACCCCGCCGGTCATGTCACTTTCAGACTCTTCCCTTGCATTCGACACCAGATGCCTGCGTCACCCCTTGTGAAGCTCGCACTACATCCTACCTTCGTACAAGATTAAATTCTTATGCATGCAGGAGATGCTCTTCCGGGCCGGCATCATTTGTTGGAGCGGCATCACAGTGCAGACTACATCACCCCAGAGCCTGCCAATAAGACATACATCAGTGTCTACTCAGCCCTGCATGACCCTCAAGCAGGTGCTACACCAATCCTAGGTTTCCATCTCTCTCCCTGCCTATGGTGCTTGAAACAAAGGAAGGAGACATCCTTTGAGAATATCCTGTGTTGGGCATGCATTCTGTCTTGGGTAGCTAGCATGCATGGGGCATGACTGAATATGCCTTCTCCTTTGAAGAAGACCATATATATGCATGCATTCTGCCTCAGAAAATAGCCTTTCTGCTGGGGACTTAGCCCATCATTGTTTAATTCGACGTGCTTCCAAGTCATCCCTATGTGGATCTCGTGTGCATGCCAGGCGAGGTGCGGGTCTTTTCAGAGGTGCATCCAAGGGAGGCATGCACGGCGGCAGCCACATGCAGGCTGCAGGGGACCGGGGTGGATGTCTCGGTTGCAGCAAGGGTGGATATGCCATTCAGCGCTCTCCTGGAAAAGGACATCCCTGAGCCACTCGAGTGCTTTCACACCTGCCTGCTCCCTACAGGCTCTGAAAGTGAGCCCCGCTCCTGAACCCCACTTTTACACCTCTATTCCTGCACCTGTATTTCCGTTAATGCTGAAAGGCACAGTGCAGACCACAAGCGCGCATTCCTTGATGCCTCTGGACCCTGGAAAACAGATCAGCCCTGCATCTTCTAGCATGCCATCAAAATAGGAATGCAAAGAACTGGCCTAGCTTGAAATTGGGCATACCAGCTGTACAGAGCATTCTTGCTGGCACTGCAGAGCCCAGCAACAAGTCCATGACTCGCCACATTGCCTCCAATTTGGTCCTCAAATAGATTGGTGTTGTTCTCCCACACGGCCAATGCGCGTCTGTCACTGTCGCACTTTCAGACAAGAGGCATTATAATTACTCTCAATTATGTAATCCTTTGCCAGGTGCGCAGCTGGCTTCAGTGACCGTGCTGAGCAAGACCAGCAGGGTGGTACTGTCCCAGAGAGTGGAGCGCATAGAAGTGCTGGGCGCACACAAGAAGAGCGTGGGCATCTGCACCGCCCCTGTCTTCACAGATGTGCCCCAATACCTGGTGAGCTGCATGAGTCGCCAAAAATTCTGCCCTAGTGTGGCGTGGCCCATTGCTTGAGACAGGGTGCATCACGAATCTTCTGACAGCGCTCGATGGGAGGCATGAAGCATGACATGAGTGCGTCAAGCAGAAGCATCTGTTTAATATTAGCCTCCCCGGTTCATGCATGGACGTATGGGGAACGCAAAAAACAAGCTGAGAAGCTGCTTGACACCCCGTTTTTAGGTGTTGTACTGCGTGTATATTCCGGCCTTCGAGTACCTTCGAGCACTGCACAGAACAAGCTGAGACACTGCAAGACACCACATATGAGAAAATATCGACGGTCTAGAGCTAAGAAGGTTGTCATGCACTCTTTTTAAATCTCATGTTCTGTTTTTTTTTCCTGCCAAAACAGGACTGGGTGGATCACCACAGAGCGCTGGGCGTGGAGGGCTTCCACCTGTACGCGGTGATAATGGACCTGTCCCGGGCGCGCGACGCGCTCGGCCGCGGCCGGCCGGGGCACAAGAAGCGGCTGACGGTGCAGCAGTCGCACCGCGTCCGATGGCACACGCGCCACGTCACCGACTATGACCTGCCCTCGCACTACTTTGGGCAGGCCATGCTCACCAATGATTGCCTCTACAGGTGAGATTGCTGCCTTGCAGTCTGCATTCAAACAGTATGTCCCGCCAATCAAACATACATACCTTATTAGAACCTAACATTTCTTTTCTTTTCTTCCATTTTCTATCTTTCTGTGCAATTGCAATGCCTGTTCTATGAGCGTTGAGTCTACAGAACGCTGGAGGCATGCTTTGCCTCAGGCAGCCATTAGATGCCTTCAAGCTGCAAGCCAGACACAGGAACCCATGGAGACTGTGTCGCAGCATTGTTGTGCTCTCTTTAAACGCACTGCTCTACCTGCAAAAGGGAGTCTAAGTCATTTTCGGCCAGAGAAGCATGTCCTTGGCAAGGTACTGCCTTCACAGTGTCTTCGTTTGCATGCTGATGCGGTGCTGATCTGGCGCTGACATGGCACAGACCTGGCATGCAGGCACCGCCAGACGTACGAGTTCCTGCTGTTCCTGGACCGCGACGAGTTCCTGCACTTCGTTGACACGCCTCCGCGCGCAGTCAACCTGGCCTGGGAGTTCCATTCCCGGCTCTCCGGCACGAATCGGACGTCCCTGGCATTCATGTCAGCGGTCTATCGTGTTCACTGCCTCGTGGCGTACGTTCCGGACCTGGCCGAGCGGCCGGTGCACCGCGGCGCTGATGCCGGTGCGCTACACCGCTGATGTCATGCTGATTTCATTTACTGAACTGCAGCTGGGGGTTTGTCTTGTTTATTATGGCACCTCACAAGTACCGCAAACCTGCTTGAAAATTGAGGTGAGAAAGGAGCTGTGTTGATTAGCATTGCTGGACACCAGCGGGTGGCCTGGCTATGAATATACCGACTTCTGGAAGTGAGATTTGTCGCCTTGATGTGTCCTTGGCATCTTGTCACCTGTTTGTTATTTTCAAAGCATTCCACTGGCTCACAGCAGGCTCCTGTCGTGGGTCAAGTATAGAAGGCTTGCAACTTCTAGTTGAAGGGAGTGTGTCCTGCATGCGCAGAGGTGGAGCCGCAGTTTGCAGAGCCCTACCAGGTGTACAAGGGGTACAGCATCTGGCAGACCGATGCACGCAAGCCGAATTTCTCCAATTGCACTTCTGTGGAGACCCTGGCAGGGAATGTCCCTGCCTCCGGGCGCCAGTGCCACAGCAAGAGCGTCGTCCGGCCTCTCACGGTGCGCTCACCCTCCTGCCATGCACATTAAACCCCTCAATCTGAAGAAATAGCAGAATTTTCAAATCAGAAGGACTCTGCTTATGATGTCATGGATAACGCAGCTTGTCTGCAGACGTATCCTGATTGTTTGCTGGAACAGCGTGCAATTATATTCTTAGTAATTACCAATTCCATTTCAGAGAGGAGAGTGAGATATTAAGATATGGGGCCCACTGCTTGTCTCTTTCTATCTGCTGTGCCAAATGGCTGATAACTTCTGCTGGAGCCTCTGCAGATTCCTGGACCATGTCTGACCCTTACAAACTGCCTCTCAGCTTTTCCAGCAGAATCCAGCAGTGGTAAGTGCTGTCATGCAAGGCTGGCGCCCATGTGATCTTTGGCACTGTAATTCTTGAGAAGGGACACTGTGTGCAGGTTGATTTTATGGGCACGCACTCTGTGGTGCAGCCGCGTGCAAGCTACAGCTGGTCTCCGATGGCGTTCCATACAGACCAGGCCTTCCTCAAGCACCTGCGATGCATGGCTGACAGGTGCCCATGTCTCTCCTTATCCGACAGTTCCAATCCTCACTGTTAATGCAACTAGATTGGTCCGCACGTAGGCCCTTGCTAGAGCAATTCCTAGTCTCAAATCTAATCATCATCTGTGATTTGCTGCTGTTTCGAGCTCCCCGGCCCCTGTTTTGCAGCTCGATTTACATTTGCAAGATTGGGCAGGCCATAACACGACTGTCCCACCTTTCTCAGGTGCTTCTCTAGATTGGGCGGACTAAACACTGCTGCTGTTTTGGCAGCGTCAAGCCCCCTTGATCTTCTGCAGTGGCTCAGTAGTTATGTCCTCAAATGGGCAATCTTAGCAGCTGCCAGCTGGGATTATGCTCGCCCTAGCTGAAATTTTCTGCCAGATTTCTTTTAGCCAGATTTCCTTCAACGTCCAGGAAGCTGAAAGATTGGAATGGCTTGGTACACTGGTAGTCTTTACTAGTGCCTCAAAACTTTAGTCTGCAAACGTCTGATGTGTGTCTCTGTCCTGTGGTGGCCAGGCATGGATGGATGGCGGATGAGAGCGCCAGCTTGTGCGAGCGGGGCCTGCCTGGTGACTCATCGGTGCTGGCAGGAGACGAGGTGGAGGTCTGCCCTGGAGACCCCTGATTAGTCAGCTTCAGAAATCTCTGACTTCCTCAGCAGGTGTTCAAGAGATGCATCCCAACAGAACCCAGCAGAGTCACCCCCGGACAGTTCCCCGCAGTTGATGGTTGAAAATTTTCTCAGAGGTGACCTGTTCAGGGCAGCTTGCAGGACTGAGGTAACTTGGGGGACAACCTTATTCTGCGAGTGCATGTTTTCAATGCCTCGGCGGCAGTGAACCACCCAGTATGGGCCCAAATGTCTTTTGTACACATGTGGTGTCTGGATCAAGCCTCAGATGCTCCCTGATGGGCTTGATTTGCGTTACTGGGGCTAGCAGGAGACTACACAAACATGCTCTGCGAATGACACTTGGTAGTGATCATGATCAAAGTTGGCTGCAGTAGGATTCTTTGCCCGACTTCTTTGGCCCACGGGGATTTTTATGCTCGAGCAATATGGTTTTCTAGCATTCAATTGTGTCCTGGACACTTCCTAGCTATGCGAAACTGAGAAGGGGCTGCCACTTCCTCTGGTCACAACTTCTTAATTGCTTCATCCCTGGATGATGTAAACATTGCTCACATTCATGGCAAAGAGAAACACTCATCATCATCCAAGCACACTGCGCATGCCGCGCACTGGCAGGATTTTATTTGCTGCCCAGGAATTATTTTGATCTTGCACTTGTCCCGGTCGTCCCTTGCAAACGGAGCTGCCCAAAGAACGTTCTGGGCAGGGCAGGTGGACTTGGTTGGGCAATCGACGTGGGTCCTTCTGCAATGCATTGATGAATACTCTGGCATCTGCACCACGGATCCACATTGATATGCGTGTGTACTTGTTGAAGACTCATCGTGTGAATTTGCATCTCAAATCACACAGAACGACCACAAGAGGCCAGCGTCCCCAGGTTCTTGTCCCATCTTTGGTTATTTTTAGAGCGTCCGCATAGTCACAGAAACAATGGCGCTCCGGACTCTGGCGAAAGGCTTCATGGACCATGCAACATCTCAGAGGGCCCCGGAAAGCCTGAAGATGCTCAGGCGATCATTTGCAGGAAAGAACGAGCCACTAGGTGCGGGGCATGCGGCACAGAGATCGCCCTAGCACCGTGAAACACCTCGCACTGTTTGATAGACCCCACGCAAGTAGTTTTCTGCTTCAAATACACCCATAAGAGCTCATGACCTTGCCTCGTGGGTGAATGTTCATCTATGCTCGGGCAGTCAATGCACCTGGAAGGTCTTTTGGGCGGTGCCCCCAGACGATGGCATATCCTGGACGACACACTGCATCCCCCGTTCTATCTACCTTTAAACAAGAGATTTGAAGGCAATTATGTTCTCTGTGCACAGTGTATGTGGTGTTCGGGGCGGCGGGAGCTGTCGGCAGCGATTTGGTGGGCAGGCTAGTGGCACAGTCAGGGGCACAGGTCTTTGCCTCCGACCGGGACACCTCCGATCTCGACAAGCTCAAGGAAGCCACCATCGTGCCTGCTGATACCCTGGACCAGGATGCGGTAGATATCGGTCTCCTGGTTCCCTTTCTGTAAGGAGATGTGAGGTTGTTGAGCAGCAGTCTTTTGCTTTGACCAGGACAAAATTGCATGACGGCGATGCAATAGCAAATGCATGCAACACTGCCATATCAATATCACGTTGACAGCAAATGAAGACCTGCGCCCCTGCAGCAGCCCCCGAAAACTACAGCTTGCTCCAAGATTGAACATTGTAGTACCGCCTGCGCAGTTTTTGGATCCTCGTGTTCATTTTTCTATCGAAAGTCACTTTTTTGGAGGGGCTGGGCGAGTGCGGGCACAGCAGCCTAAAGAGACTGGGACTGCTCAAGCTCGCACGCGCACGAGTGCTTGTTAGCACTGTACACTGATCGCATAGTAACCGCTGACCATGCATGCAGGTGGCAAATGTGATTGCCAAAGCGGCAGAAGCACATGGGAGAGTGGACGGCGTGGCCAGCTGCGTGGGCAGCATGCTCATCAAGCCGGCGCACCTGACCAGCACGGAAGAGTTTGTGGAAATTATGCAGGAGAACGCCCTGTCGGCATTCCACATCCTCAAGGGCTCGGTGTGCGCCCCTTCTGGAGCATGTGCAATCCTCTGGACCCTCATTGAAAAATTTTGTCAGTGGGATACCATACCAGATGACACATAAACAGGGATGGTGTAGACACCCCTGGCTCGGCTCGCGCGCCCTGGATCATATGTGGATAACTGTAGATAATGCTTTTCATGACCACAATCCTGCAACCCTGTTACTGGTCAGGCCATGTTGCCTTCATCTGGACTTCAGATGACCTCTTGAGTGGGCACCATAAATATGATGACAGACAAAGCAGGAATCTTGTAGACATTCCAGCAGACTGTGTGATTTGGGCTGCCCAGTGGCAACCTTGTTCCAGAAGAAATGCAAGACGAGAAGAGCTGGCGACTGGAGCATTGGGCTTGTGTGTGCGCTTTGGTATTGCAGAAAGGTTTGTGATCAGAGACCCTACAGTGATGGCATATGCCCAACAGAGCCCAACAGGAGCATGTAATGAGTGTTGGCATGTTCAACGGAATAATAGCCGTTAGAATGTGGTTGAGCCACCTGGTGTGCAGGCTTCTGGTGCATATGACTGCGCAGATTTCCTGTGGCTGTGCCACAATCTAGGAGACCTTTTGGGACAGTCGGGCTGCGCTAACAACAAGAATCTTGTTACAAGATACAGGCGATAGGTGATGCCAAAGTTGGCCTTAATTGTTGGTTTGTACAGGGCAGCTTTTGGTATCTACGGACTCACCTCAAGCTTGACGACCTGTAAGGCTACTGCATCAGAAATACTGCAGTCTGGTTGACAACAAGTCTGATGCTGATGTCATCATTGTGACAGGTGGGCGCAATGATGTCATCGGGCGGCGGCAGCATTGTTCTATGCAGCAGCTCGATTGCGCACCGGGGCATGGCCAACCATGACGCGCTGGCCGCGGCAAAAGGCGCCGTTTCTAGCCTCGCCCTTTCTGCGGCCAGCACTTACTCTCCGCACAACATCCGCGTCAATGTCTGCGTCCCAGGCGTGGTGCGAGGCTGCTCCCTTCAGAGCAAGCTAGAATGCAAGACACACAAGGCAGTGTGAGCGCCAAGAAGGGAGGAAATGCGTTTGCTCAAGAATGTTGCGTGGGGATAGATTCACAATGGCTCATATTCAGTGCTCAGCGTTCTGAATGCCTAGCTTGGCAGCGGGATCACTTCTAGCTGGCTTGGGATTTGCGTGAGCAAAAAGGAACAAATGTAGGGAAGGGGAGCTCCTGAAGCAATTCTTGCAGAAGGAGTGATGGAGAGTATGAAGCTTGCATAGCTTTCGGGCCTAGAGTAGCATGGAGCGTCTACTCCTGGATATTCTCGGCTCGACAGCAATGCGCGCCTCATCCTCTTGAGTACTTACTCTGCAAGCTATATTTTGTGGGGGCAGTCAGGCACCTAAGCACATGCCATGATGGCAGGAACACGCAGTCCCGCTAAAAGTAAAGCAGAGCAACAAATCCTTTCATGCATGCACAGATTGAGGCGAAGATGACGGAGAAGCTGACAGAGAGCGATGATGCACGCGATGCCTCTGAGCGCATGATTGCGCTTGGCCGCCTGGGAACGCCGGGGGATGTCGGCCGTGCACTTGAGTTCCTGCTGCACCCCAACAACGCCTACATCACAGGTGCGCTGCTCAAAACGTCCTTTTGTTAGTCTGCCTTTCTAGAGGAGCACGTGGGTATTTGGAGCCATCATTGTTACGGCCTGCCCAAATCCATGTCGGGCAAGAAAATGGGGGGTGAGGAGCTCAGATTCACAGATAGATGAAGTTTAGAGACTAGAAACTCTCCAAGCAATTGCCTATGTGCGGACCACTATAATTAGTACTCCTGGGAATTCATGTGCTGGGAAGAGTCGGTGCAACACTTTGTCGCAGCATGCCGCCTTGAGCAGAGATGCAAAATCTATCACTATTTGAGCAGCAGATAAAAGTGTTTGTGCGAGCATGGGTGTAGTGTGCATGCGGGCACATGCAACTCGTTTTATACATGTGTCTGTTAAGTTTCTTCATGTGCTCTTCGCGGCATGCGGGTGTCTGATTGTCTCAAGGCACCGGCATGCCGTGACAGCGCCCTGTGGACACTTAACTGGGACTCGTGTGTAGAATGCAGCTACTACATCGCCGGTTACTGTCTTCCATTGAGTGTGCTCTGGATTCCCTCAGACATGAATATAGGCAGGCAATGTACTGACAGATCGGTGTTGGCTGCAGGCACCTTCCTGCATGTGGATGGGGGCTTGGGATCCATGGCACCAGCCCGCGCTGGAGACTCAAAGACCGTCAAGCAGAACTGAGCCACATTGGCTCATTTGGCGGACTAATCAAATGCCGTGTTTCAGACTGTATCTGATTGCCGTGTGCATTTATAATTCTTTCAACAAAAAGACAACTGCAAATAAGGCTCTGTTCAGTCTGTCCAGCTACATAGTCCATTATGTTTTCAGGGGTATGACGCAGTCCAATTGCAATTAAGGTCTCAAGGTGACAATTCTTTTGATGTGCATCACTTTCAAATGACGATCCGGATGATACTGCTTAGAAGGGCCCTGAGCTGTAGGCAGCGGTAGACCTTTTGTGCATGAGTGTGCATTGTACTGGAATACAGGGCGATGAGGCCTGTACTTTCAATGCTTGCCTGAACTTCTTAACACAGCAGCAGTTCTTTGATGCAACAAAGCTCTGGGGTCAGGTAGCAGTAAACAATTTTATTGGAAACCTTAACGCATGGACAGCCTTAACAGCTCCAGGGCTCTTGATGTAAAGCAGCTTACATGCCAAGAATCATCAACTTCAGAAGTGCCCTGTTTACAGCATTAACATTGACTGCAGTTGTACAACAGAAGCAGCAGAATGGCAGCAGAGACCTTCTGCACTGGACCAAGCACAACAATTTCACTGACCACATCATACCATAGCATTCATGCGTTCATGCACTATACCAGAATTACTTCCTCTGACGTGTCGACAATTGCTTGGCGCCGTAGTACCAAGAGGCCAGGACGTCAGGGGGCGTTCCCACGGCCCAGGCAGCCAGTATCGCCTGATTTAGCAGTGTGGTGGTGACAAATCCCAGCCGGTCCCAGCGCCGCGCTGAGGTCATCACGGCCCCTGGGACAATCACTGGCGCGCCGTAACGGGCGCGCAGCCGCCTCACAAGGTCTACGTCTTCCAGGAGTGGCAACTCCTTGAAGCCTCCAATCTCCCTGGGTGTCAGTGCTGGGAGTCAGATCCCAAGCGGCAATAGAAAAGCAATACTTGAGACCCTCATGCCCCGGAAGAGTTGTATTTGACAGAATTAATTGTATTTGAAGAGCTGCAGCTCTGTGCAGCATGTCATTAAGGCATGAGAAAGAACTACACAAAATTCCCGGCAGCAAAGACCGCCCCGACCATGCCAGGAAGAATAAAGGAATTGCGGCCTTGCAGACGATTATACCAATTTTGGAGCACAAATGATTGCAACCTGGTCTTGCTGCAAGCATACGGCCACCAAATGGTTTGCATTGGCACAGGACCTGTGGTCAGGCCAAGGGCATAGCTATGGAAAGGACAATTTGGAGGCAGACCTGAAGGCATGGCCCCTCACAAAGATGGCCTGGTCGCCGTAGGGCATGTGCAGCAGCCGCGTTCTCAGGGCCACCGTGGCTTGCAGCAGAGCGCTGCGCACTCCAAATTTCTGGGCTTTGAACAACACAACGCTGCAGATCAGTCTTTCTGTAAAACGGCGTTCCACTGCGCATCATTGTGTAATATACAAAGCCCTGCCAGCCTCATTGCTTTGACGTAGGAAGCAGCTGTTCGTTAGTGTGCAGATGTTCAAGCTGTGAAAGTACACAGCAACAGATCAGAGACAAAGCTGATCAATCTTGCAGGAGACTCACATCCAGTTGTATCGTGCTGAAGCAGCCCCACACGCCACTTTTCCCAGTTCGCTCCGAGTACTGCTCAAACGCCCTGGTGATGCGTGCATCATATCTGCGATACACATCGACTTTCTTATGTTCTGTAGCTTTCAGAGGCAATGATTCGCGCATGGAACATGATCAGGGGATTGAGCACCTGGTAGGGAGCCGGGTGTCTGCATGCAAGAAGAGCAACAATTGGTCATCTCTCGCACCGGCCGCTCCAGAATTCATCTGCCGGCCGCGGCCCCTTTGTGATGTCACCACCTGCACGGGTGTCAGTTCTCCCTTGAATATCATACTTCAAGCTTGATGGGGACTGGGCACGGAATAGTTGGGAAAATATGTGATTTTTACTGCTTGCTTCAAGGTCAAGGACGAAGAGGCCCAGACAACAGGGGATGGGCCTGCTATGTAAGTTAAATGGCTTCTTCACCTGCGCCCCCGCCCTGCGCGCAGCTTTGACTGTCCCATCGCCGCTTTTTCCATCGACAACCACTGCACTGATGCTCTTCAACGCCAGCTGCCCCCTCTGGAGCGCACTGTACGGAACTAGGGCAAGGTTGTGGGAGTTTGCTACACTTAAAATCGAGCGCAGAGCAATGAACACGCACCACTGTGCTCGTGCGTTAACAAGCGAACTTACCTTTTGACAGCGCTGGCAATTTGCTGCTCCTCGTCCTGTACGGCAAGATCACCAGTGATCAAGATGGAAATAGATTTCTTCAGACTTGCCAGAATGCAGGGTTACAGAGCCATGCCGGCGTACCAGGCATGGTATAATGATCCTATAGCGTTTGGGAGCCGTCTCGAGATCTAGATCAGGGGCTGGACGCGAGCCAGCGGCCCCCATGCACTCACTCTAGCCACATGCTTTTGTACTGAAGCGACTGACAGAGCAGGCTGTGGCCCATACCCTCACTGCATGCACAGATCAAGACACTAATTCAACCATGGTGGGTGATCAACACGTCCGCATCAGGCGACGTTGGGCGCGTTTTGAGGCTGGCGATGACAGATCGCCCAGCTTATGAAATATTGTAGTCTGCCCGAAAGCGCAAAAGAAAATTTTGCTGAAGACGCTCGTCGGGCAGTTGTCCGAATTCAGACCTGTCGATCGCTATCTTTGCTTGAATTTCAACAAAAGAGAGTCTTTCATTGCCAGCCATGGCGACGGGCATGGTCGCTTCCATCTCGCCGCGGATTCCACCAGCTCCTCCCACCTGCAGTCGTACCGAAGCGGCGACCTCCCCGCTCTGGACGCTGCTCCTGCGCCAGCTGAAACCAGACTTGCACCTGCTCGGCTTTGACGTCGCGGATCCCCTGGCCATCAGCTGGTAAGGCGTCTGGCCTCGCACAACGGAAGTCCTTGACCCAATTTGACGAGGAGCCCCACGGCGCACCAAAGCTTCTAGACAGTTCGCGGAGTGCAAAGGCGAGGGCCAAAGCTTTCGTAGTTTTCTTCAATGATCTGCGGCCATCCAAGGCTGTCCAATGGATCAGCGAAGAGGCAACAGAAGGCACTGGGCAGCTCCGTAGGAGGAAAGCAGTGCGATTCATGTGCTCCGCATTTTGACCCTATGAATTCTCGATGCCACTTTGCTGACACCTTCACGTTGTGTTAGGACCTTTCCGCTTAAAATTTTGCGGAATGCCATTGTACGGCTTGTCGGGCTGGAAGTCAAAGTCTGACGGTCCAACACTGAACATTAAACGAGAAGTAGTTAAGGGTGTTCTCTTCGGAAGAGGCTTCTTTAGCTAGCTGCCTTTATATATGTTCTCGTGGATCAACCTTTCTGGTGAGGCTTCAGGGATTTATTTTGCATGGTGATTAAGCTCTCACCTACACAACAAGATTTGCCTGATGGGAGGTCATGTTAATTTTGCGACCGTCTCTACGAAAGCCTGATGTGCTGATGCGTTGAAACATGCATTCTTGAACATTGGGTAGCAACGGACCTGCATGGTACAGCTGCAAGGCTGAAGCCCTGTCGCTGCCTGGTTGATGGTTTCTGGTCAGTCATCTTGCGCTTGCTTGCATGCAGGTACAACGAGTCAGTTCCTGAAGGAATGGGCAGGAGCATACCCACGCCTATGACACCAGGTGTTCATCATATGCTCAAATTTCTGTAGAGAGCTTCTGCCAATCACTTGTGCTGACACCACTTGTACTTTAGAAATAATGTCGTCGCCAGACATACAGAAGAGCGACCACGTTCATGCCAGGTGTTGACAGCCAAATTTTTCCACAGGTGGCAAGACTCTGGCAGTTGTGGTGGGCAACAACAAGTACCTGTGGCCGCGCTTCTTGGAGGCCTATGAGTCAGACACCAGCCTGCAGCTCAGCGAGGACCCTCTGGATGCCTATGTGGAACGGTGCATCTCAGCAGCTGCAAACAGAACAGGGTGAGGATGCCTTCCTGCCACAAACAATCACAACAGCCCCTTGAATTAACCATCCCATCCTGCACAGGCCCCCCACAACCTGACACCTGACATGGGCTGTATATTTTTGCCACAGCGCCCTGTTGCAAGTGCTTCATGTGTGCAATAGGGTGTGGTTCAAGATCCACACATCATCCCAGGCCAGGTGCATCAGATGAGAGAAGGCGCTTCTCCTCCTCAATGCTTTCAATGTTCACACCTTTTCATGCGCCTGCAGGCGGCCGGTGCGGATCTTTTGGGGACACCAGGAGCGCGATGGGGTGATTGGGGGCCCCAGCCTTGAGCTGCAGCGCATGGCTTCAGCCGCCGGCGTGTCCATCTGGGACGAGCCCTCCTGCCTTTCGCTGCACCCAAAATACGGGCCATGGTTTGCACTTCGCGCCGTCATGGTGTTTGATGGGATTGAATACACAGGTGCGGACATATTATGTACCAATCTCCTGAGGAGAGTGTGTTCATTAATGACGACTCTCGATGCCTGCACTTGCTGGTGCTGCTTATCGTGCCAATGCAACGTGCGGGTCAACACATTTGCAAGCTGATTGTTACTGAATTGCAAGGTTGCCAGCATGCTATTGTAGCTGAGGGAGTGATGGGAATGTAAATACTGACATGGTGATGTCTTACATTGCAGGCATCAGGCCAGCTCAGCTGCAGAATCCCATGGGGGACGCCACAAAGGCGTATGTGAGGATGGCGGTGCGCAGCGCACGGAGCCCCTCCACTGACAACCTTGCTGACCTCAGTGAGTGTCTCCCACACGCACTTGCTGCACACCAATGCGATACCTTCATGTCGGTAATTGCTGTGGACTGAACTGCTGCAGCACACTTGCATGACGCAAGGCCCACTTGTGCATCTGCCTGTGGATGATGTGGGCGTGATCAGCTCACAACAGGTGCTGACTGCAACTGCGAGAACAACCACATGCCTGTGCATGACGGCTGGTATCTGCATGGATGCTACTAATTGCATGGGTGCAGGATGCTACTCCTTAGTGTAGACTTGTCAAGCAAGCACCTGTCTCCAGCATTCACCTGCAAGTGCTCTCTGCAGGCGCAGGCGGCAAGAGGGATCTTGGGGAGAGGCGCAGCTCTGGGGATGGGCACCCAACGCGCGAGCTGGTCAGGGAGCGCTGGCAGAGATGGGTGGCTGTGCGCGATGCACCCTACCCGGGCCACCCCTTCCGCTACCCCAAGCAGATGCTCGAGTACCACTACACAGGCAGCCGCTCCTGCCTGCAATTGACCAAGTGCTAGCATGTGCCAAAAACGTAATGATTCTGCCTCCTACCAGGGATCCTCTTGTGAGGCACCACGGGTTGTGTTCTGATTTGGGCAGGGGCATGCATGTTTAGCTCAGGCACAGGATTTTTGGTTGCAGGACCCAGGGAAGGCTCGAGCTGCTTGGCTTTGCTTTGTAGTGTATTTGCTCTCAGTGGTTTCAGTGGTTGTTCAGGGCATGCATGAGTCCTGCACAAGCTTGCGGGATAGGTTGAGTGCATGTCATGCTGCAGCAATCTTCTGGGAGGAATTAGGCGCCAAGCACGCGCAGTACATTATGAGTCTTTACCCTTTTTTGGACATGGCTGCTTATTAGCCTGTAGGACGCAGGCATGACAAGATTGGCGACATGCTGCATGTGCGCCCTGAAGTGTCGCTTTTTCTGCCTTAAACATGAGTTTTGCTAGGCTGCTAGGGGCTCTCAAGAGTGCCGATAACTTGATGATCAAATTCTAGGCATCACAGGAAACATTCCTCAGCTGCTTGTGAACTCTATGCGGCGTACTTTCAAGATGTACACTATGATAGGCCGCTGCATCATTCTTTGCTGTGCCCATTGCAGCCTCTTGGTCTCAGGTGCCAAAACAGACCTGCCTCAGGGTACATTACTACCAATGGGTTCATTCAGCAGCGTCGTGAGGGCATGATGCTCACGTCAAGACAGTGTGTGGGTTTGTTTTGTGGTTTGGCCAGGTTTGCGGTGCGGTTGGTCTTTGCATCGTAACAGCTGCAGCCTTGGCCATGAATTCGTTTATTTGACGGAGGCCGTGTATTGGGTAGGGTTGCAGTATCTTGGAAATTGGCGGTGGGGTCCAGATGGTTTTGATGTCGTCAGTTCAACTTTCATCATCAAGTAGTCATGCATGCCAGTGAGAGCTTGTGAATGGGGTCAACGTTGATGTCAACATCAACAGCACAGGTGCTGGTGTGGACAAAGCTTGGCATGATATGTAACACTGAAAGACAGCTTCCTTAAGAAGTATTATGTCCTGATCAACAATCTCCCGAGTCACTCAGCGCTCAGCGATACGTATCCTGTATATATCCATTTGTCACAGTGATGTTGTTTGCCGTTTGTGTCCTGCTTGTCTGCATGTGTCTGATCTGTAACAGGATTGCGTCAGTATAGGCTCTCCTCTAATTCATTAATATATCCCAGTCACGGTGACTTTTGCTATGGCCACGTGGCACTGGCCTTCTTGCACTTCCCACGATCACGTGATTCTTTCACCAACTGAAGCAGAGCCCTCCTCATCACAACTATTCGGGGGTCTCTGCTTATGCATGGCATCAAGTGATCATGCATGGTGCTCACCGTCAATGCCCTCTCTCAAGAAGAAGTGGAAGGCAGCAGGAAGGTCCAGTCGGACTAGAATGCTGCCTAATCAGGTCTCGACAGGCTTGAACCTTGAACAAGGTCACTCGCGCTCAAGTATTGACCGAGCTTCAAGGGAAGGCTTCAAGGTGTAAAACGAATGCGTGCAACTTAGTCTACGTACGTGGTGGCCAGGATGATAAGCTGATCAAGCAAACGACCTGGAATCATGGCATCTGCAAACAGGGCAGGATTTTATGTGTCCTGGGAGCAGGTCAATGCTTTCTTTGCCATGGCTGAGGAGGCACTTAAGGCTAAAACAGCGGCAAATGAGGTGAGTAGGCGTTGCAGCTTTGCGATCATATTTTGAGGTGAAGGAATTACGCGGGACTTACCTTTTTGCTGTGGGGCAGGCTTTGAGAGAGGACGCCGATAATCTTCGGGAGGAGCTCCAAGATAAACGGACATCTTACATCAAGGTGATTATTTCTTGAAGCCTAAAAATCGTTTACTGTGCTGGGGGCTAAATGGTGGTGGGGCAGCTCTTGCTTACTAGATATCTATGTGGATTCTTTGCACTGTGTTCGTATATTGCACTTGTGGAAATTCATGGCAGGTGATGAATACCTGAAATCAAAATTGAATGTTCATTTCGCTCCCCCAAAGTAGCACATCCGTCCCAATCGCTTGTAGAAGACCTCTTTTGGGACATCCATCGTCTTAAGATATACTTCGTTTCTCGGATGCACAGGTGCTCAGGAAGGAACAGGCTCTGTCAGAAGACTCTGCGTTTCTGAAGGAGCAGATGGAGAAGCTCCTGAAGGTGCGGGCCCTGCTTGACATGCACATAATCCTATTCCTATGTATCCTATTCTGCAAGGTAGTGGGAGCTGTGCAAAAGACAAGTCCATGCTTGACAGATCTCTGTGTTGCCCACTTCAGGAGCGTCTTGGCTTCCAGGAGAGGATTGCTGCCCTCGAAAGGTGGGTCTTGACCTCTTGCCCGTAGCTTTGCGCTCACAAAACACACTCCTGCTTTCAGGAGTGGTAGCGACTCTCGTGAAACTGTGCAGCTGAGCTGGCTACACCTTCTGCAGGGAGAACAGGTTTCTGCTACAGGAGAGGGAGATCATGGGGCAGCAGCTGGAATGTTCGCGCTCTCTACCTGCCAAAACAACTGCCTTACCAAGACAGCTGCCTTACTTCGCCTTGAATGCTTTCTCTGAAATGAGTATCATGCCTGACTCCGCGCTTGTCTGCCCGCACCCACTGGTTGAAAGGCAAACAAGCGGAGGGGTGCTCAAGACGTCCACTCCCCCTGATTTCACCACCGGTAGGTGATGGAATGCACTGGCCGGGCCTGAGGCTCCATCGGAGGACCGTTCCTCTCAGAGGACGAATGTTCACAATGGCGTGCGATCATGTATTTGTGGTCCTTACCGCTGCCATTTAGTCATGTTCCAGTCATGCAAAAGTTCTTCTTGAAGGCTGATCCTGTCTGGATCACCGTCTATCGTCAGTGGATGAGCCCAAGGCAGAGCTGAAGGGGAGCAAGCGATTATAAATGTCTGCGCGTCTGAGTCTCTTGTGAAAATTTCCAGTGGATGAGCGGGAGGCAGAGCCGGAGGCGTTGGCGCGGACGTTGAGGGAGCGGCTGGAGGAGGAGCGCCGGCGCAGCCAGGAGGCCGAGGCCGAGCTAGACCGCCAGCGCGCGGCTGCAGCCGGTCTCGGCGCCGCGCTGTCCCGCGCCGAGGCTGCGCTCGCCGCCAAGAAGGCCTTCTGGGAGGTGCGCAGTTGCCTTGCTCGGCTTTAGCTGGGCTCCTTGCTCGGTCTTGCACACCCGAGAATGCTTGCTGTGGCCGCCCCTCGCCAACGAGGCCTTCTGGGAGGTTCGCTGCCCTCCATGTCAGAGACTGGTCCAAGCGGGACCAGTAAAGCGATTGTCGCCGGGCTGGGAGAAAAAGCAACCCAGAGGTTTATGTGATCAGAGAAATGGAGAAATTGTCGCCTGCACCCACTCTGGTTGAGTCCCTTGCCAAAATGGCGTTGTCGGAAGGAGGACGAGAAATGTGCTCGCTGCCACCTGGTCAGCAAAGAAGCTTATTGCTTGCGCAAGCATGCATCGCAGTGTGGGATTGTTCCTCGACAATCAGGGATATTGAACATTGTTCGAGGTCAGGCTCAGGCTCTTTATGCCGCTTTGTCTAATGCAGCAGTTGTGAGTGCAGAGTCTGCAGGAGACTCAACTCTGCCCGCAGAATCCTGCACAAAGCAGACCGACTCGAAGATGTGTCAGTCTTGTCAAGCCACCAGCCTTCAGCGGGGCAGAGGTGCACAAGCTGCCGTTGTAAGACCCACTCTCTTTGCGGGGATAGTTGACACGTACCACAGGATTGGGTGCGAATGCATTTTCACTGAGCGCAGGAGAAGGAGGCGAGCCTGCTGCGCAGCCTGGAGAGCGCAAATCTGGCGGCGCTGACGGCCACGCGGCAGGCGCTGCCGCAGCTGCCGCACCCTCTCGCACTGCGTTCCCTCCTCAACGGCGTCATGAGCGGCGCCACCGCCGTGCGTGAAAACCTCGGCCGGGGCATTCGCGCCGCCGACTCGCCGGTGTGTAGCCCATTTGTATTCACAGATCTCCTGCAAAGGCTCCTGTGACGAGTTTGTAAGGGATGGTGCTGCCTCGTTGAATTCCTTGCAGTCGACTGATGTGCGTGAAATTGCATTTGCTCAATGCGCTGTTGCAATGCGAACAAGGATGGAAGTGGTGACCTGCATGTTTGTTTCTTTTCAACAGATGCTGAGAAGGGTTGTTGCGTGCTGAAATGTGCAGCACAGAACACCTGATACAAGAAGTTGCGGTGACTCAGCCTGACAGGAAGGTATGTGTCATTTTTGCAGGGCGATGGCAGCAGGAGCAGATGTCTGAGTCCGGAGGGCAGCGCTGCCCGGCCGGCCTCAGCGGGCAGCCGGCCTAGCCCGTCAGGCAGGACTCCGGGCAGGCCCCCGACCACCTCTGAGAAGCCTTCCGCGCCTTCGGGTGCAAGTTTCCGGACGCCGGATAAACTCCCCGTCAGCGACAAACCCTCGGCGGCCGCGCCGGGGCCCCAATCCGCAGAAAAGGCGTCCGATGAAAAGCGCGCGTTGGCAGAGCGGCCGGGGAGCGGCAAAAAGGCGGCCGGGGGAAGGGGTTTGACGGTACCAATGCATGCAGACGCGGCATCTTCAGGTGCGCACCGCAGCAGAACATGTGCCGGCACGTGCCATGGGTACAAGGATTTGATGTCTGACCATCAGCAAGCATGTGAAAGAAGGGTGCCGTTGCTGATCAGATTGGGCGTGGCTAGGACCAACCTTCTCTCGCAGGATTTCTGTGCATGTGTTGGGTTGTCTCCATGGATGCACAGTCCTGTAGCATCGGTCAAAGGTTGTGTTGTTCATTTTGGGTGTTCGCATGCAGGGCGGGCTTGTGCAAATAGTGGCAGCACACAACGGGCGCACAGCGGCGATGGTTCGGGGCCGTGGCAGGATCCTCAGCAGCAGTTGCTGGGCGACCCCTCATCCGACAGTTGCATGGTTGCTGATAACTTATCCCCCTTGAAGGGGGATGTGCCGCTGCGGCTGTTGTCTCCTCAGCTTCACTGCTGAGTGGGGTTGCATGAAACGTGGCTCTTGCAAGCGGCAGCTTTGGAAGTCATTGCATACATAAAATGATGTGGAGGGTGTGAGAGAGTCTGAGAGGAATGGAGAGGTCGTGCAAAAGTAACGATATATGCATCAGATGCGATTTTTCCCAATGCATGGAATGGAATATGTGTTTCTTGTGTTGACTGGTCTAGGACTCGAGAGGCAATTCGGCTCATTTTGAAGCATTTGGACAGGGCCCTAGAATGCATGGCTTCCATTACCTGCAGCCAAGATTTACCTGACAACTGACATTGGAAAATGTATCATACAGGAAAAGGGCGAGTTCAATGTCTGTACAATAATCTAGATCTAGAGGTTGACAAATGCCTGCTGCCTTCTTGAAGTTGCCAGGCCAGATGCACTGGCTGGGATTGTTCATGAGTTGAGGTGGTTTTCATTGGTTTTCATTGATTTCAAGCATGCTCTTGGAGCTTACGAATGCTTCTGATTTTTAGGATGGCAGGTTGTACCAATCCCCGATCGGGCAATTGGCTTTTTTGTGTGTCAGGCTTTCTCGACGAATATAATGACTTACAGATACGAGTAATGTCCGGCATTCATGCTGCGAGAGCACACTGCCCATAGCTGCTTGATTGCATGTGGCGTCATCATCATTAACGTGCTAATCATCACGGGCATTCCAAGAAAAAAAGGGCGCAAAGCGGAAGTCTCACCTTCTATAGGTACACCACTCTCCAGTACCAGCCAGTCAATAATCACGGCAATCTGTCAACAACCTCTCATGCCGTACATGTGAGCAATACACATTCAAGGCAAGGTTGATGCAGTTGCAACACAAGAAGAAACAATCAACGAGCGCACTCAAAAGCAGAGTACGGTTGCAGAGGGTCAAGCACACCTTTGTCAAGTGGTACCCGCATGCACTCCTATATGCAACACTTCCATCTGCAGCCAAGCAATTTGCATCAGGCGCTATTTCGATACAATGGATCCACTGGCCAAGGTCATTGTAAGATACCCTGTTTCTGGGAGAACCAACTTCAATTTCAAACTGGGCAGATGCCAAGGGACGATCCCATCTGAAACGTAGCAAAATCGTGGGTGTATTAAGTCTACAGGGCATGGGTAGAGGCACCAGACATGAAATGCCTTCAAACAAGACAGGTGCCTGAAGAAGGGGTCACAGGATCCTGCTCCCAATTCACCTTGCCACCAGACCCCAATGGATGAATGCTGCAGATCCGCAGCGAAAGAAACAGCTGCACCACTGATCTTGTGCAAAGGGTGGCTGTTGCAGACCAAATGATCAGCGCCCAATATGCCCGCCAGAACAATTGGGCACAACAGAAAATGCTGGACAAATGCTGAATGGTCTTTATATTCCTGCTTGTGACTTGCTAAGCTATAGATGGCACCAAAATATTGACAGCCACTGATTGCAGTATGACAAAAAGCTCCTGTGTTATCGTTGATAAAAATCCGCAGGCCCCACGGGACTGCAGATCTGATAGGAACAGCTTTGCAAATTGGAGCTCTCAATGAGCAATTCAGGCTGCATCCCAGAGATAATTACAAAGGTTGTCAAGACCCAACACCCAGCACAGGATTTTAGAATCGAACTAGCACTCGCATATCTCAGGAATAAAACGTGGGCAGTCCATCTGCGGCGCCTCTAGTAAGTGCAGGTGTCATGACAATCGCAAAAACAAATCTTGCGCATTAGCAGATCGACTTGCTCCCAGACTGCTATGGATCTAGGTACACCTTTCAATCAAAGATATCTCGCGGCAAATCTGTCAGGAGTTATCTGCCTCCTGACTTGCTGTATGAACACTAGGTGCTGCAATTGCTGTATAAACACTACTATGCAGCCATCTCTGCCAAGGTTGTGTGATTCCTCCCAAGTCAAAAGAGCTGCAAGCTCTGCTGCACAAGCTATGCTGATCTCCAGGCACTTGAAGAGACGTTGCTCAGTCAGGGTGCTCATTCGCTCTCTCAAGGTCCAACTGTGCACTCCGCACGTTCATCCACAAGGCAAAGGAACTTGTCCTGTCTTCTGCTCCATCCAAAGGGGCAATCTGCCCCTTGCAAGGGGACACAACAAAGACGGGCTAGCAGCACTCCTTGCCCACAAGATCATCTTGATTGGGTGCCGATCGGCCGCCAGAGGGACACTCTGCAAAGCAGACTGCTGTCTTCTGTTGAAGCCGATACCTCTTGCACCTGTGACATGCAGGGCTGCTTACTGCTGCCTGCACTCACCTGTTAGAACTTTCCGATGCAGGTTGTCAGCAAGCCAGTCACCGGTCCTGCCGTTGGGCCCTCCTGCTGTGCTGGCAAGCAGCTGCTCAGAAGCGGGAGCGCTTGGCATTGTTACCTGCAGGCACAGTATCACTTAAATACTTTTGAGAGAAAAGACACTTGAGCACGAGGGGCAAAGCACGTCAGACGCATGCATGGATGTATGCAATTTCCCACCCAAGATCAAGCCACAGGCAGACCTCTGAGGCCTTATGGAAGGGACTTTCACCCTCCCAATACCTGCTGCATATCTAGCTTGACATACTGAGGCACATATACACTTGTTTTCTGTGCAAGACGATGAAAAAAAAATAAACAGATGTGATACATCATCTGGACAATTAGGGAGGATGCAGGAGCACACCTCCAGTCTGTGCTCCATAGACTCCGCCGTATCCATACTGCACAGCATCGAAATCCATGTAAGACAGCAAAATCATCGTTGTCAGCAGTGATCCAGCAGCGTTCCCCAGGATGGTGAACACCATTTGTCAAAACTGGGAAAGACCTCCAGAAGATTGCTAAACGATGCCCCAGCAAAGCTGCCATGGGAATGCCAAAGAGCGCATATGACCTCAGTCCTATCGATCATGGGTCATGCATCCCTTGGGATGTCAATGAATACAAAAGCATTCATCACCGGTCACATGCGCTCATAAAATGGAAGTGTTCAATACTATCTGTGCTTGGTCTCAGTCTGCTGTTATCTTCAGGCATCGCTGCTCAGGAGTTTATTTGATGATAATTAAGCATCATCGACCAAGCAACCCACACTGCTCATGACGTCCATTAAGCCAAAATACTTGCATTATGTAAGGGGAGGAATAGCAAGAAGATCGAGCCAACAAGCAACAAGGAAGGAGAGTCAGGGAGTCACTTGTGCTGCAGTGGCGGCGTCGTAACCAGAGGCATCCCTCTTCTGGCCAACCGCGCCATAGTCGGCCTGAGCCGGCTGCTGCCCATAGTTGGCTTGCTGTCCGTAGCCGGCCTGTGCGCCGTAGCCGCCGCCTGTAGCCTGCTCGGTTCCATAGCCCGCAGCCTGCTGCCCGTAGCCGCCGCCCTGCGCCCCGTACGCGGCCGATCCATAGCCTCCGCTTGCATCATACCCCTTCACAGGGAAGAAAATCATTGTCAGAAAATTCCTGATGCAACAACAGACGCACAGCATGACTTCTATTATATATGACCTTGAGCCATTGTGTGCCCAGGAAAAAGAGTCCCTAAACCCCAATGATAAGTTCATGTGCCCTGTGCCTAACGGGACATCGCACGTGCCTTACCCTGATAGCACATATGGGCCTTCCGGGACTCACATATTCTCTTCTGCAAGGAAATGCATCAGGAAGTTATCGGTATTTGGGCAGTTGAAGAAGTGGTGTACCTGGCTGCCATAGCCGGCAGATGCGCCGGTCGCAGCGGTAGCGCCGTAGCCAGAGTAGGCCGCGCTGGCCGCTGCGGCGTCCTGCCCGTAGCCAGTGCTTGTGGTGGTGCCGTAGCCGCTCGTGTAGTTTCCGTAATTGCTCGCGTCGGCCGCACCCTGCCCGTACCCGCTGGCGTCCGCCGTCTGACCGTAGCCCTGGTACCTGCGCACAACAGAACCGGGAAATTCATCTCGCAGAACGTTGCCACTTCTGAATATTTTGTGGCCGGCCACTCCACTGCTGCGCACTCAGCTCCAGAACAATCTTGGAGTCGGTTAGGCATGGAGCCCTAAGAGCCCAAAATACACTGGAGCTCAGGTCGCAGTGTGATTGAAGATGACATTTCAGTGATTGTATTCAGGAAGAGGGACATGCGGTGCTCATCGAGTGACTCACCCTGCGTATGCTGCTGCGGTAGCTGGGTCCTGCTTGTCTGCTCCATAAGCAGCGTAACCTGACTGGTCGCCGTAACTGGTCTGCGCTCCGTAGGCGGCCTGTCCATAGCCTGTTGCATCCATACCAGCAGGTCAAAGAAGAGCATTCATCTGTCCTCTAATTCCTCTGCCATCACCCAAAACTGCCCATCACTTCTGCCTGCCAAGACGGCTCAGCATGCCAACAGAGTGCTGAGTATAGTATCTCAGCACTACATGCTGTAAAATATCTAAATGGCAGAGTGGATACCTTGGCTGGCTTGTGCAGCATAAGCGGCAGCGGCTGCGCCCTGACTGGCGTCCCCGTAGCCTGCCGCAGCCTGCCCCGTAACATCCCCGTAACCGGCCTGCGGCCCGTAAGTGGCCGCCGCGGATGCGTCGGCCCCGTAGCCGCCGGCGGCTGTCGCCGCGCCGGCCGTGTCCATGCCGGCCTGGAAGCCCGCGGCGTTCCCTGCTCCCATGCGTCCCCCTCCTCGGCCGCCCTGCATCGATATTCCCCTCAGATACACATCAAATTTTCATTCTTCCATGACGTGCTCTAAGTACTCCAGATCCTACAATTGCAGGTTTCGGCTTTCTGCAAAAGCTCTCAGGGGGTCAGCATGATGCTGCAACACGCGATGGTGATTGAGGGTCACACAAAATGCTCAGGAGCTTCATTTCAATTTACTGCAATGCTTTGAACGGCGACGATCAGCTGGTCAGTCATGGTCAGTCAAGTGCTCTGAGCGCCTGAAAAAGCAAGAGTGCCAAACGCAATCTGCCCTTTAAAGCGCTTAGAGCACAAAACAACACCCAAGGATCATTGCCAATCATTGCACTCCACACACAAGATTGTGCCATGCAAAACTGGGCCCCACCTTGAGGACGGGTGGCTGGCGCTTGTATGCAGTGCTGGTGGATCCCGGGGAGCGGATGCGTGCAGCCGCCCGCCGCGCCTCATCCTCTGCTCGCTTGCGCGCCTCTGCCTCCACCGCGGCCTTGGCTTGCGCCTGTGCATGGCACCGTAATTGCCTCACACTACGGCACTGACAACCTGCTAGATGCAAATCATCTCGGCCAGCCAGAAAAGTTCCTCCAATTCATAATTCTCTCCTGAATTCAGACGACTTCAAAAGACCCACTGGTCACACAGACTCCCTGAACCTTCCATGCAAAGCCTGTAGCATCACCAGTACCATGTATACAGCGATGAGCTGCACATCGTACCAACTGCGCGGAAAGGTGGCTGGCCACCTTCACGAGCTATGCACACCACCGTTGCAGCATCACTGCCTAGGTGGGACAGGACCACCAGAATGACCAGATACCAAGTGCCAAAGAAGGGTCAGTCAGGAGGCACCTGGGTGGCTGCGCGCTGGAACTGCTCGGCCTGCTGCTGGGCCTGCTGGGCGGCTTGCTGGGCAGCGCGCAGCTGCGCCTGCAGCGTGGCCTGCTGAGCCTGCATCTGCCGCTGCACCTGCGCCTGCACCTGCCGCTGCATCTGGATCTGCTGCATCTGCACAGCCACACATAAGCCGCTCGTCAGGTTTGAGAAACTCACGAAATGCACATCTGGCTCTATACAGTGGTAATATAAAACTTTGGCCCCGGCTGGCGGGGAGCGATAAAATTGCTGAGCATCGTGCCCACAGTTGATTAGGTCTTGCCTAGATCTGACGAGTCCAACAAGGGGTAGCATGGTGGCAGCCTCTATATGCAGGACGTACCTTGCCTTCTGGCAGGAGAAGCGTTTTATAACAACAAAAAATACAGCAACAGTAAAACTTGGGCTGCGTGGGAGCTGCTTTGTGTTGTGCGCTCACACAAGGTCACTGGCAGTGAACAGGATAAGCTGCAACGGCTCAGACCTCGCTTGTCCCAGCGGGTGAACAGGCAAATGGTGTCACAGACAAAGGATTTTGGGACAGGCGCCACCTGTGCCATTTGAAGCTGCTGCTGCACAAATGGCTCTGGACCGCCCATGCCCATTGGGGGGCCACCAGCAAAGTCATTGCCCATGCCAAAGCCCGGTCCTCCCGGCCCGCGACCTGTGCGGCAATGACACAGGCACTTGGATCATGTTCCTCAAGCGCCAACGGTGACACTTTTGTCTGCCAAGGAAATCACCCTAAAATTGGACAAAATTTTTGGAAGAAGGCGGCTAGCACAGTGCCGTTGAAAGCCGTTGCGTCAACGAGACTTTGCAACAGGACTTTGCGCGTCTAACTTCCAGGACATCATGCCTGCTTCAAGACCACACCTTCGGCATCCCAACCTATGCAAAAGTCATCCATTACGCCCTAATATTTGTCAATGTTGCCTCACCTCCACGCATGCCCGGGCCACCCACAGGGCCCCCAAAGCCGCCCGGTCCAACGCCGAGTGGCGGCCCGCCACGGCCGCCCATCGGGCCGCCGAACCCGCCGCCCGGCCGGCCGCCAAACCCGCCGCCCGGCCGGCCGCCGCCGCCGCCACGATTGAACCCCCCGCCGCCGCCGCCACCGTTGAACGGCCGGCCGCCACCGCCGGCCCCCCGGCGGTCTACCCCGCGCCGGTCGGCTTGGCCGGGTTGGCAAAGGACACCAGCAGCTTGCCCAGCGTCTTGTGCTCCGGATTGGCGCAGAAGAACCTATACGCACTGCACGACAACATAGGGACTTTTCAGTGCAATGCAGCCCTCCAGCAAAGCAAGCCAAGTAACCAGAGTGTTCTCTTCGTAGGTTGTATGGGCCTAGGCATGAAGAGTGGAAAGGCTGCCTGCCATGCCCAGGAAAAACGAGCACGTTTGCAGCACATGTATGCCCCACTACAGGCGCCTGAAGGACAATTGGAGCTGTAAAACAAGGGGCAGATACTCACGCATCGGCGTAGGCGCTGCGTTTGTACTCCACAAAGGCAAAGCCGCGCGACTGCTGAGTCATTTGATTGACGGGGATGTTGATGTCTGAGATGCCGCCGAACTCCTCAAAGATTGAGCGCAGCTCCCTCACGTCCTTGTACTTCTGTATCCCAGCAAGAATGCATGTAAATACTTGGCCTCTTAATTTCATTATACGCCTCCACAGCATGATTGACAAGGCATTGGTGCAAGTGCAATTTGATTCACTTGCTCAAAGCGAGCCAACAACACGTGTACGATACCCTAGGGCATCCAGAAGGGTGATAGCGTAGCACCTGGACTTTTGACACAGACAGCGGCTCCAATAGTCCTATGGTGCGGCGTGAAAGCAGTGACATGTAAGGTGGCTCTAACAGGGGGGCAAGGTGTTGCACCTGGGGAAGGTTGGAGACAAAGAGGGTGCGTGAGAACTGGCTCTGCACGCTCTTGATGGCGGCGAATTCGGAGCGCAGCAGTTTGACCTGCTCGACGCGGCCGCCGGCCTCGCGCTCGGCGCGGCGACTGGTATCGGGCCGCATGGAAGCTTCCACGTCGTCCAGCGCGCGCTTGGCCTTCAAAGCCATGTACGGCACCGCAAACTCCACTATACCGTAGTTCTGCACATTCACACGAGAGGATGTTGCAGACAGGGTGCATTCAATTTTTGGGTGCATGAAATTTGAGGTACGGGCTGGATGCTCTCTCCGAACCGGCACTACTTTTTACGTGCTTCTACAGCTATTTGCAGAGGTGGACACCTCATTTCAATTGACTACTAGATGCGTCTGAAGAAATGCAAGAAGGATCCAGCACATGCAGACATCGTCCAATGGACGGCATCCAAGCTGCAGAGAAATGGAGCTGACAATCAACAGAAGATTGCGCTGTCCCTCCAAGCTGTTGAGGTCACAAGTCAGACCATTCAGACCATAGCAGACTGGAGCCGCAGTGCAGCCATCTGTAATCTTGCCGCACTACCAGTCTAAGTACGGCAACATAGTGCCGAGAGAGTAGCACCTTGGACTCTCCCTGGGCGTTGTAGGCGATGAAGGCTCGCTCCACCTGCCCATGCTGCCCCAGGTCCTTCTCCAGCCGGTCCACGTCCTGCCACTCCTCCGTCAGGTTGCCAATGAACAGCGTCACCTGCGCAGCAGCATGTGCACCAATTCCTCAGAAACAACGTGATGCTTGACTAGCCAGATCCCAAGAACCTGACTCTATCATGGCCATCATGTGATGTCACCACCTGTCCTGAGATTTACATGCATAGATCCTTCCTGCAGCATCAACCGACTTGTTCCATGATATGCCGGCGATGGATTTGCCTCGACGCAACAGACCGGGCCTTTCTGTCATTACCTGCAGATTTGAGGTGTCAGGACACCACCGGCTTGACATATCATGGCTCAAATTGCGCGACACGCCAGAGCTCTCTAATGACGCCTCGCCGTCTTATATCCATCTAGACCGCAATACAGACTGAGGAAATCTATTGGAAATAGCAACCTGCTCGCGGTGGGCGATGAACTGCAGCGTCTGGCCAGCCAGCTCCAGCTTGGGCTCCACAGCATTCAGCTTCCGCACAGCCGCCTCCGCCAGCGACTCTATAGACTGCCCGCCGCTGCCGCCGAAGCCGTTTCCCCGGCTGCGCTTGCGCGAAGACCGGCCCTTTTCTTCGTCCCCCTCCTTCTTCTCTTCTTCACCCTCCGGCTCCTTTGCAGCCTCCTGCATGTCAGAGACCCATTCAGTTCCTTGGCACACTCAGTGTGGCAGCCCCCCCACACTGGGCCGGACACTCTACATCACACCTTTCACCACAAGACCCAAAAAATGTGATCATTTTCCCAAAACCCAGTGTGGCAGCTGTGATACTGATGGTCCCCACGGAAAGAGCCGGCATACACTTTTGTGACCACACCCTTCCTCCAGACTGCGTGAATGGTCACCACAGTGCCATACAGGGTGTCAAGAAATCATACAGGCACTCCTAAGATTCCTACTGTGGGGGTAGTGGCTACAGTACATGCTGGGGGCAGCACCTCTGCAGCAGGCTCGGATTTGGCCAGCCATGGCGGCGGCTGGGGCGTCAGGCGCACGTAGGCAAAGCGCTTGGTGTCGGATCCGCCTGGTGAGTCGAAGGCAATGCTGTGCACGCTGAGGCCCTGCGCCTCCAACAGAGTGCGAAGAGAATCCTCATTGATGTCCGGCACGCTCTTGCCTGGCACATTCACCACCTGCAATAGTGCGACGCATCAAAGATCACTGCTGGTCTCTGCAGGTTTCCGCACCAAATATCAAGGGCAACACAGGCAATTCCATCGGCCCATAGGTCGTCTTCACACAAATCACATGCGGACACATCTGGGGAGACTGGAGGTACGAGAAACTGATCATGGGTCAAAATATACATGAGCAAACTTGGCATAAGGCAACGTGTGGGCCCACCTTGATGAGAGGGGAGGGCAGCATGCGTGGGGGAATTTCCCCAAAGAGTTCCCACTCCTGAGGCGGCGAAGGCTCGCTCTGCCTCTTTGCCTGCAAGTCATAGCCGCGTTGATTCTTTGAGCGGACATGATTGCAGTGATCCTGCATGCGATGAATAGAACCAAGCTCACCTTCTGGGGTGTCCTGAATTCTTTCTGAGCGTCCCCATTCTGCGTGGCAGCCTCCTTGTGCTGCTCCTGATCTGCATCCTTGCCTGTCTCCTCCGTGCAATTGGCATCAGCTTCAACTTGCTCAGCCTCCTCCTGGGATGCCCCTGCAAGCTCAGCCTGGTCGCCAGCACCGTCTTCTGGATAGTCAATTTCCTCCCCTTCACCATCCCCATTCATCTCCTCGTCCTGGGACTGCATACACATAGGTGGGAGTCACTTCAAAAGCAATACACATTTTCAATCAATGCCAAAGATAAGTACCAAGAAGGCGTCAAGAGAGAAGGGGAAATGATCGATAAGCACCTCAACGCCAAAATCAGCGTCGGCTTCTTGACCTAGGTCCCACTGGTCTCCGCTGCCATCCTCGCCTTGATGCTCCTCAAGCTGGTCCTCGTCCTGTGGCTCAAGGTCATCCGCATCGTCCGGATGCTGCTCTAGCAGTTCCGCTGCATTGTCCTTCTCCGCCATTTCCTATCCTCGCCGATTCCTCTTGTCGGCGGTCTGTAAACATCAATCACAAGACCCTCTCAGACGATATGGTTGTGATTATGACCACCCGTTGTGAGACATGCCCGGTTTCCACTTGACATTAATGCATGTGCACCTGCGACGAGCAGGCTACATCTGAAGACTCAAGCCCGAACAAAGTCGAGCAGCCAACCATGCAGATCTTGCATTCAACCAGTCAGCTTTCCTGCCTAGACGTAGGCATCGTTCATGGAGTGCCTCTCTTTCATTAATGGCAGCCATGTACTGCATTGAAGGTTGATAATAATGAGGCGTTTCAACTGCCTTCATTGCGACTGATTTTCACCTGGATCAGGTCCACAACCCCCGGCGAGACACCTAGATGTTTATGTGACGTCTGACACCGCCAGCGTTCTGAGTTCACAGTCACGAGATCGCTGGCTATGCAAATCAGGACAAGCTGACTTGGTATCTAAGCATTGACCGAATTGTTTGGGGCAGGCTTGGGCCCACCACACAGGGCAGACCATAACAGCGTGTTCTCGATTGGGCAGTTCGGGCAGCCCGTGGCCCGTGAGGCCCTGGTCCCACATTGACATTTGAGCGTTTCTGAGCAGGTTTACGCACTCACCTGCAGTTGCAGCACATGCAAGTCTGATTCGGATAGGAGTTTGGATAGGTATTCAGAAGCGACTGATTGCAAACACAAGGAATGGGGCTTCATATGTGCAGTGAAAAGGAGTAGCCATCCGACCCCTGAGCGACCTGATTTGAATCAATGCGTGCTATATACAAGAAAGATACACTTGAAAATGGTGCTAGGATCATCTGTGGCGATCGTTCTCCGCGCGAGAGGAGGCTCGAGTTTTCTCATACAATCGTGAGCTTACACCTTTCTTGCCACACACTTCTGGAGTAATATGCAGACTTCACATGCAGGCATGAGAGCAATGGTCTCGACTGTACCACCACTACGTCCCTTTCAAATTTACTCACTTGTCACAGGCGAGGGATCGATGCCAGGGAGGCAGGAGACTGCTCTCGTGAAGTGGCAGGGGTGCTCACGAGATTTGCAGATGCTGGAGGAAAGGGAGACACTGACAGGTCAGCCTCAATGGCCCTGACACCAGTCCCGAGCATCACTGGTCACCACTGTATGATGCCTGATTCTTGGTCTTGATGTTGCACTCCATGCTCTACAGAGCCAAGAATTGTGCTAATCCTCCTCTAAGACTGCCGAGAACCCTCTGTCATTTGCCTATGGGGAGATGCATGCCCTGCAACTAATGCTCTGACGTTGCCATCGGAAGTGGTTGTACTTTTAAATTCTCTGGCCTTTACTTTGCAGGACGGGGAACAATCCTCCCCCCTTCGCATTTGGCGAGATGACGGTGGCGAGTGGCAGGCACAGAGTGGTCTACCGGCTGGTGGGCGGGGTGTATCTGATGCTGGTAGCAGCGCCGCAGACCAACGTGCTCTGGCTTCTTGAGCTCGTCTCTGCCTGCGTCCGCATCCTCATCGCTGTTTCGCGCGGCGTTGAAGTTACACCCGACAAGCTTGCACGGCGCTACCCAGAGGTAGCTCCCTGCCCCTCCCTCAAGTGCCATTGCATTTATTAGATTGTAGCACTGGTTCTGAGGCAGAGAGGCACCGAGCATGCGTTCTCGTGGTTGTCAAATGATCCCATGCATCTGAATGAGTAGAAGCCTGGGATTGCTTGACAAGACGAGTATGCATGTCTTCTGCAATTCTCCTGTCAAAATGTTCACATGCTGATCGCTCCTTGCCTGTGCAGCTGTACCTGGCGCTGTCTGGAGTCCTGACCAGCGGCGGCAGCGAGGTGCTGTCTGCCTTGGCAGCTGCAGAGGCCGACCTTGCCTCCATTGGCCCCGATGCAGCCAAGAGCAAGGTATGGGCAATTCTAAGACTGCGCACCTGCAAAATTCTTAATACACAGCATTGCCATATTACTCCAACCGAATCACACAATCTCCTCAGCAGCACTTCTTGAGCTATATGCTTTTGCAGCCGGTGCCCATTTGTGTGTCCAAGGCCTGAAGGGTGCTTCCTGGGCTTCCGGGCTCAGGGGTGCCGAACCCTGTGTTGACATGATGGGTGAGTGGTTCTGGTAGAAGAACTGGAAGTGCCTAAGTTGGCTCCGGGCTCTGTAACGCGCCTGATGTGGCTGTGGGGCGCAGGCGGGTGTCATGGGCCGTCTGGGCCTCAGCGCATCGTCGAGCCGCGTGAAGGGCAGCGGCCCGTCCGCCAGCTCGGGCTCTGCAACACCCAAGGCAGAACCTGTTGCAAGCACATCTGGCATCTCTAAAAGGCGTGTGTTGCACTCTATCTATGAATCTCACTTTTCGGCCATCCTCTGCGGCCAAACACAACCTTGTGTGCTCATGTCATGTTTGAATGAACTGCTCCTTGTGTTCTGCGCAATACTAAATTTGCAGTGAGCATGTGGCACTGTAGCTGCTGTCTTCCTGCTGCTCTGAATGATGCTGACGAGGACGGAAATGCTGTGCAATAGTCAGAAAGAATAATACTGTCATCATAATTACTACGACACGCTTTTCCAACCTTCCCAGGCTGGGTGCGTTCTAGCAGCACTTCTATAGATCAACTGTAGTGAAGAAGTATTCTGTAATATTTCTGTGAAGCAGACTGACGAGGTTTTGTTTCATGCACAGGACACTGACAGATGAGGTGGAGGACTTGTCCAAGGTCTCCTTCGCTTTCCCTCCAGACGCGCTGCAGACATCACCAGACAAGGCGCGGGCGGCGGCCGGGTCACCGGCTGGGAGGTCGCCAGAACAGGCTGCAGTAAGGTCATCCCCTGCTGCAGCGGCTGGGCACCCCTTTGCAGCCTCCGCCGCCGCGGCCGACCGCTCTGTTCTGGCCGGCACTGGCCTTGAAGACCTGTTTGACCCCAGCCCAACAGGTGAAACAAGTGCCCCGTTGTTATTGTACTCATAACATGCTTTTCAGTCCTGAGGACCAGGTACGTCAAGCAATACCTGAACAAATGCTTTCCACTCTTCTCGGTTCTTGCATTTTCTCCACCAGCCATACTCATGACCAATGGCATCTAGATCTTCTCGAACGTGGTCATTCCAACTCTTCAAGGGCCCCGTTACCTGATTTAGTATCCCCAATCATCAGCTGTTTGCTGCATGATCAGCAAATTTTTTTAATGTGGAGTAGGAGAACTCATAACTATGTGGATGTGAATGTGAAATGAAGTCAGTTGCGTAAGAACTGGAGGTTGCTGTGCGCAGATGTGGGCCCTGCTGGCGTCGACCCATCGGATCCCTTTGGAGACGCAGGCTTGGCCTTTAAGGAGGGGGATACGGGTGAGCTACTCTTTGTCTCCACCCTTCGGTGTAAGATCATCATTTTCATGTGAGAGGGTTGAGGTGAGGAAGGCTCACATAATGCTTGCTGCTGATCAAGGAGGCTGAGCTCAGAGAGTCCAAAGGTTAGAGGAGGAATATGACTCTTACTTGGTGGTTGCCAGATGCTGCGGCAGACAACCCCTGGGCCGACTTTGACACCCCCCAGTCGGAGGCATTCCCTCCAGAGACCCCCCTGTTTGGGCACCCGCTCTCCGCCGCCCAGCAGCCCTTCGGGACGGCCACTCCAGGCGTGCACCCTTGTGTTGACTGACCTATCAACGCGAGCCTTCACGCAGTATAATCTCTTAATATATTCCTTACGGGGCATCTGTCAGCTCTTCGCTGAGTGAAGCAAAACCACTCGGCGCAACAACATGCATGCACGGCATGGCATGGCAGAGAAGCAATTCCTGAAGGGCACACATACCTGCAGCTGCTTTGGTGGCCCACATTGCCTGCTGTGTAGCATTTGGCACAGTGCATGCACATGCCCGTCAGGTATTGTCATCCTTACGTTATCTGTAGCTGAACCTGTTTGTGTTGCAATGAAGCAGGGCACGACCCCTGGGCGACGCTCAGGGGAGGTAAATCGCCGGTCAAACCGGCCGCCAGCGCCGCGGCGGCTTTTGCGCAGCCGCCGCCGTGGACCAACTTTGAGGGCGCGGCCGCCGCTGCCATGGCCGCTGACGGCCCTGCCACTGCTGCCCTTGCAGCTGCGGAGACCACAAAAGGTGCACACAGTTGACTCATAATTTCCCAAAAAGTTGGGGATTTAAATTTTGCAGGACATATGAAGTTCTGTGAGGAAGACAGAACCCAGCTGACATGGTGCACGTAATCGTGCACCCTGCAGCCCCAAGATTATTCAGCTTAGGCCCCTGCGTGTGCTAACTAGGAGAGGCCTCCGATTTTCTAAAACTGACAGCAGCGAGGAGCGTTTGCATCTTTATATGGAAGTCCAGATAGCCTGAACAAAGCAGACAGCTACTGCCTTCCATCTGTATCACCACCTCAAGCAGCTGCAGTCGCTGAGAGGAAGTTATTCATATCTGTGTGGCTCTGCCATCGCCAGTGCATCGATGACTTGTTCCATTGCTGGTGCACAAGTGTCAAGCAGCAACTGGTTGTATGGTGTGCAGATCCGCCAAGGGAGGTGACTCAGGAAGACCTGGAGAGCATCGACAGGGGCTGGGCTGTGGAGCTGGTGGAGCGCTGGCGAGGGTCCTTCGTGGGTGGCAAACTTGTCAGGGCAGGTGACTCTCCTTTGCTGGCACCTGCTGCCTGCCTGTGCACAATTGACTTGATTGCCCTTCTTGACCATGCACTCTGTAGCTTGGCCTGATTGATATTCAATGTTCCAGAGACTCGTCTGTGCTTCTCCTTCTGTCCGGTGTCATGCAAGATGCCCAAGAAGAGACATGACACCAGGCAGTGGTGTAAGAATTGGCGAGCCTCTAGGTCTCTGTGCCAGTCAATGCAGCTTAAAGGGCTCTCTCGAATTATGTTCTTATTCAGGGGTGAATGCTGAAACAAGAACAAAATTGGAGAGAGATTTTGCGGGCTGGCAATGCAGGCGCAGTTGGGGAGGTGTGGAGCTACCAGCAGCTGGCGCACTTGCGCGCGCAGGTGTTCTTCAAGTGCCACCTGTTCAGGAAGTCTGCCATGGACCAGCGACTAATCCGGTCAGCGCTGACATCAGCAAAATTCCTGCACGCATCAGCAACGGGGGACTACGGCACCTACACTGGCTCTTTTGAGCGCATCCCTTCCAACAGCCAGGTCAGCCCTTTTCCTGCTTAGACTGTTTATCTGGCCGCAGTTTTGGCAGACCTTGGGGCATCTGTGACTTTGCCTTTAATGCAAAGAAAGGTGAGCGTGGGACCCCCTGGGTATCCAGGGGGTATCTTTCTTCAATGCCAATAAATGCTGACTTGAGAAGGATACCCGTGACGGGGTGTTTGCTGGATCCTTCTACCATGTGACATGTTTATGCCCTTGGCATTTGCAGAAGCACCTGCAGATCACCCGCTCATATTTCGAGTATATTGATGCCTCTGGACACAGAGAGCCAGATGAAGCCTAAATGTGTAACATGACATAAAGCACAGGAATGCAAGAACTGGCTAAGCTTATGGGCTAATTATGAATTTGAATTCTCGGTCTCAGGTGCCATTCTTGACATATCGGCTACCGGCATTGGCATGCGCGCCGCCACTGTTACTACGCCTGACAGCACAGCATGGAGCCAAGGGCACGCTGCTGTGCGTCGAGATTGTGGCCTCCCCAAACCTGCCCGGCCAGCTATCCGCCGTCAAGCTGGCCCTCAACGTTCCCTCTGTCCTTGGTGCCCCCTCCAAGGTATGCTGCCCTCCCTTGACTTTGGGACTCCAGAATCTCCCACAATAAATGTCCCTTCACACCTTCTTTGCAAGGGGATGCGGCTTCTTGCATGCAGCATGCAACGTGGCATGTGGGCTTGATGAGGAAATTTCGGTAGATGTCTGAAGTAAATCTACAAGAGTGCCAAAAAGGAGAGCAAAGAGTCTGTGACCGTTGCTTTTACTTCAAGAGAAATGCAGGGAGGGAGTTCGCAACCAATTTTCTGCTCATTATCATGTAGGACGGTCGCGTGGAGCAACATGTACATGCAGGTCGTTTCTATTGCGCCAAAATCAAAATAATCCTGTTGGTGCGCAGGCAAAGCCGAGGGGTGCGTGGGTGCCGGACAAGAAGCAGTTCAGGTGGGAGCTGAGCGACATGTCTCCAGGGGCGAGCCTGGTCGCGCGCGTGGCATTTCCTCCGGTGTCAGAACACGCCGACATTGCCCAGGGCGGCAAGGCATGCATCCTTCAAGCTTTCAATGTCGCTACCACGGGAGTCTCTGCATTGCCTGACTGGGAATTGGAAGGAAGTTTGAGCTCCTATGTTTCCACATAGCTCGGTACTGCCTTGAAATTGTGCAACAATGCATTGCCGACTTTCGGCTTGCTCAGCACACAAGCATGTCTGCTGTAGCAGTGTCTGCAGGGTGCAGCAGTTTATTCAGAGGTGCAAATCATGTCTTGATGTGGGTTCTATCACAAGAGAGAGGTGCAAAACTTACATGGCAGTGCAAGGGGCGAGTTAAGGGCTGCGTGGCGGTGTATGTGCAACGTTAGTGACATACAAGACACCTCCGCTGCCACAATGGTGTGGATGTAAATGCAAATCGAGTGCAAATTTGTGATGCAGGCAGTGGTGACCTTCAGTGGACCAGAGGAGGAGAGCCTGTCAGGCATAGCGCTGGAAAGCGGATCAGACTTGGATCGGCTCACAGACTCCTTCAGCATCCTGCATGGCCAGGCCACAGCCACCTTCGAGTAGATAGATCACCTAAAAAGGGGTGTGAGCGGGGTGCAATCACCGCGAAGAGCACTGTCTGTCATTGAACTTCTCAGCAGCTGCAGTTTGGCATGGTGCAGCTTCATGCACCTAGGTCTTGCCAGGGAGAGAGGTGGCACACTGATATTTAGCGCCACCTGTTTGGTCTCTTGTCATGGGAGCTCAACAACTTTCTGTTCAGGTCAACCGGGAGAGGTTGCTGTTTGTTCTGACATCATGGCTCGTTTCAAGATTGTCTTTTAAGCGATAGCTCATGCGAAAGGTCCCATCAGATGAAGGCAGGCTAGCACTCTCTTGGAGAAAAGCATGATCATGAGGAAGAATAAGGTTGAAAGCGATATATTTACAGGAGCAAGTAATTTACAGTTGGTAGCACTGTAAACTGGCTTTAGTAACATCACTCTGGCGAGAAGTTGAATGGCTGCATGTGCAGGCAATTGACACTGAGCATCCAGTGTCTGAGAAATCATGACAAACTTAGCAATCACACAAACAACCGCGTCCCCACCTCTACAAAACTACAAATACCAATTCAAGCCCAATGTAATACTATGTTAGTGCCAACTCCTATACACTGTCGCAATCACTAGCACACACCCAGAATTTACTTCGTGATCATATTCAAGTGGGAAAATTGGCAGAGAGCATGTGCAGCACATGCAAGGAGTCACATATAGCAATACCGTAATGACAAAGGTACTACCATGATGACACTATGGATGAGTGTACAAGGAACTCTCAGGAGTCCTTTCGAAGGTCTTTGAGCTAAAAATCACCCCTGCAACAGCCCCCTGCCAACCGACCCCTGATGAAATAAAATCAAGCTGTATGAAACAAGTGCCCATTGGCCACACATCTCCTCAGAGGAGTGCACATAAGACTTCCTTAGAACACGCCATCCCCCTTTCAGCTCACCCAATACACGGTTTAAGTGTCTAGTCATTTGTTGTCTCAGTCTGTTGATGCACAAGGAATGCAGACCATAACTGAAAAATATCACCTGGCAAACAACAAATAGTCTCATTGGAAGAAGCTTTGGAGCTGCTGCCCTACAAATTTACCCATCTGACGGCTTTTTCTGCACTCATGTCTTTTTGCATGGCATGGCGTTGCAAAGCCAGCTTCATATGGGTTTGGGACAAAGTAGGCCAACAGGCCCTGAAGTCAACCATGATCACACACCCACGACCAAAAATCACACTCCCATTCCTTTCAGAATACTTCCTTGGCAGGAAGTAGTCCTTTCACTCCCTTATCCACACCCAAGGCATGCGTCAAGCTCTGTGTCAAGGGTGACAAATGACTGGTGCAATTAGCCGGCACGCTACACATGCCTTGATGAAACTGCACCCTCCCAATCAACTTCATATCTGGTGCGTCACGCTTCTGCAGCTGGTGCCAGGCGCATCTAATCTCAGAACCAGATTCAAAGTTGATTTGCGGGTAGCATCAGTGCAACATCATTCCTCTTTTGCGCGCCACATCGTTTCTTTTCATGCTAGAATGCCTTGATTCCAGCAATCATTGCCATCATCCTGCTGACATCAGCACCTGCTGACTAGATGCAGGTGCTGACATGGAGTGGATGTGCGCCAGATCAGGCGCGGTCGCCATTGGGGGCGGGTCTGCAGCAGCGATGTCATTGTCGCTCAGACTCGGGACCGGTCTGCAGAGGGGTTGCCACCAGCTGGCTGACTAATGGTTCCAGCCGGTTGGCAATTATGCGCATGCCGACCGCGCTGGGGTGCATGCTGTCCGGCATCAGCATCTCCTTGATTTCAAACTTGTTCTTGTCGAGGCTCTCCGACAGGAACGCCTGCGAATAGCACATCACCATGAGTCCCAAGTTTCCAGTGAAGATAGGCATACATGCAACGTATTTTGAGGGATGACTATTGATAAAACCTTCTATTCTTACAAACATCTAATATGTTGGCAGGTCACCTGCCAAGGCCCCCAAAAACATCATGACAGGAGATTGTAATGACTTAACATGACATGAAATCCTTGTTGTCTGAAAGAAACCACTACCCGACCTCACATGGCATGGCAGCAGGGGCTGGGAGGCCCAGTGGATGTCTAATTGCACTTTTTGTGAAGCCTGCATGGCGGGTGGAAATGTGGCAAACCTGGCCAGCATCGATGTAGTGCAGGTGATCCTTCCTGGACTGCGCTAGGCTCCGCAGCGCCTCATTGGCTGTGTCAATTGCCCCTGAGCAGCGATTGGGCCACACCTCTCCCTGCCCCCAAAACAACCCTACCGTCAGTCAATACAAAGAATGGCAATTTTGGGGACCTCCGTCAAATTTGGAACGTGCTCCTGCTCTCTACGCTACTCTTCTGCACTCTAATTTCTGGTCAAGTGCATGATGCAGTGTTGGGAAATACAGTAAAGCAGGCATTTGGGCCTGCTCGAAAGAATATGCTCATTTGACTTGCTTGTTTCACTGCAGGATCAGCATGCAGCAATTGCTGTTGCTCATTTCAAGTCAAACTGGCAAGAGATGACCTTGATGCTATTGGGCGTCCATATGACTGGTGGAGGAAGTGCAAGAACCGAGAAGACTGGAGAGCAATAATTCAGGTGTTGCTTGACGTGCCTAGTCCATGAGGACTGAAAAAAGGTTGTAATAATAATAATAATAATAATACTGGCAAGGCCTACAGGAAGCAAGCTGCAAGACAGCAGAAGTCCTGCAGGAATGCAGGGCAATGGGCATGTCAAATTCGCACCTTTGGGAGAATTGCCATGATTACAAGGTGGGTGGCTGGCAATCGGATGTGCAGGTCTGTGAGCATGTCCTCAATTCCTGAAGCCACCTTGGCCCCCAGCTCGTTTGTGCACTCCCCCACAATGTCTGCACCACACAAGAGCTTTGTCTGTGCATGATCTACCACGAAAGTTCTGAGCAAACTGCAACAATTGCCATCACACTGGCCATGCACGTCATACTGATAGCAAAACATGATCTTTAGGGCTCCTCATTCAAAATAACCATAATCCACACATAATAGCATTGAGAGGTTGCTGCAAGGCACCTAGCCCTGAGGGCTGGAATAAGCATGTGAAAATACATCAAATACAGGAATTGGCTTTCGCCTCAGCAGGACCATATAGCGAATTATTGCAAGGGCGCACCATTTGTGCCCACATGGAGGACAAGCACTTTTGGGTGGTGCTGTCTGTCTGTGGGCAGCTCCCCATGCTGCAATCGCCAGCTCAGATGCTCCACCCCATCACCTAATCACCATCAGTAAAAATTTACAAGAGGTTATAGTGGTGAGTTTTCACTAGATGCATTTCCTCGAACCTCAGCATGCATTCAATAGCAAATAGCTGGTGGCTCTGAGAATCTACTTCAAGTGCACATCGCAGTAAGCAGGCATGCACCTCCAGGGGATCCTCATCATAGTAAGGAGGATACTAAACATAACATTAGTATCCCCTGTGATAATACCACTCAGGGGTTTTGGGATATCAAGGGAAGGGGAAACGCACTGGCTATGCCCATGCTGTGCGCGGTGTAGGGCTTGCGCCCAAAAAACTCGTCCCACACCTTCCTAACATCGTGAAATGGACCCCAAGGTGCCCCCAAGAACGTCCCCCTGCAAAACAGCATTTCACCTGTCGACCTCAGCATTTACAGCACTGCACGCCATGATGGCATCTTTGCATGTGCATCCTGTATGTAAGCCACTACAAAGCAAGCTTGACCTCTTGACCATGAAGGCATTTGAGGGCAGTGACGGGGATGCAGAGACATGCCTGGCACTTTATCTCTTCACTCAGCTGTGTGCTGAGCAGAAGGCAGCTGATAGGACAGGCAGAGATGCAAAGACGGACCCTGGCGTGTCATAGAGGCACTTACTTATTCTATCACCACAATAAGCAGGGATGACTCACCGCCACTCCTCGACAATGCTGTCCCCATAAAACAACACATCCCATCCTCCCCGGTCTTCGGCGCCTGTCACTTCCTTCAGGTATCGCTGGTGAACCTGAAGCCAACTGTCCTCCACACTGCAGCAGAACACACACACACACACGTCAGTCGCCCTCTTTTTATCGAGCAGTAGCAACCTCCTACTGTCTCTGCTCGTCCGATGAGAGCCCCATTTTGTGCAGTCTGTGCTGTGTGGAGCCACACTGCAGAAATTCTGGTAGATGTGCCGAGAGAACACAGTTTAAACCGCTGGAGTACTGATTCTGAGGCAAAGTGCAGGAAGAGGCACCTGTTGTGGCGCGAGCGGCGGTTGATGTGTCGCCCGGCACCGTGCGAGTGCTCGGCTGGCTTCTTTGCAGCTTCCACCACCGTCGACGCCGTCTTTCGCGAGAACCATGGCGGCAGCGCATCGGCTTCCCGGCCCGCCGGCTGCTCCTTCCCGGCAGCTGCCGCTGCTGCCGGCACTCGATCAGGAGCAGCCGCCTGACTAGGCTCCTCGGCGTCTGCGGCCGATGTTCCCTCCGCCTCGCCGTCCCCGGCCGGGCCGTCCCGGCTGCGCGCGGCTTCCGCCAGCTTCTCCGCTACCTTCTTGAGGCGGTTCGACTTGCGCGCCGCGTCGTCGGCCGCCGGCGACCCCGCTGAGTCATACTCCGCCTCCTTCTCTCCATCGTCCCCCGCCTTTTCCAAGCCATGGCCCTCGGCGTAAACATCGCCGCTCCTCATGGCGGCTGCCAGTGCCATCACCTCTGCATCTGACTCCAGCAGGGCATGCGCGAATCCAAGTCCCTCGCCGTGGATCCCCAGTCGATTGATGCCTCCTCCAAGCACCATGTGCTTGAACCCCCGTTGTGCTGAGCCCTCACCAGCCTCCCCTGCTGCCTCTACCTCAGCTAGGCGCCTGGGCTGCAGTCGAAATCGGCTGCCCTGCTCCCAAACTAGCTGCACAGATCCGCTGCTGTGTAGCAACCTCGAGCCAATGGCTCCATGCGAGACTAGGGCGAGGGCTGTGCACACCACCCAGGGGAGCAACCCGGCGTGCCACGCCCGGACCTTGCTCCCGCCCATTTAAAGCGCTGCCTCCATGCTGCTGAAATCACAGTATCTCAAAGAGCATGATGCTGCAGGCTCCTCAGCACCTGCAGTGCCGTACAAATGGGTGAGCTTCCTTGCAATCCCATCGTGCCGCCCGTTAGTTCGGCGGAGAGTGGGGGCGCATTTCCTCTGATTCGTCACTCGCTATGACAAGTGCTGGGGGTCGTTCTTATGCTTGTCAAAGATGCCGTCAAAACTCTGTATCTTGGAGTAGCGTTCCGGTGCTCGGCACCTCGGCTAGAACACAGGTCACTTCGTGGGATTGAATTATCAGAATGTCCTATTTCGCACTGCACAGAAGGATGCAAATATTTAGACCTACTCAAGCGATCGCCTGCTCCAAGCTTAGTTCTAGTGTGGAACGTGCGCATGCCTAGCGTTCCGGAACACGCAGGAGCTGGTCGACGCCGACTCGCAATAGACTCAGCAAAACAGTAGGCAAGGCCACTTCACAGGCTGTTATTGCTACTCCAGAGCATTGGCGTGTGCAGCACCTGGGTCGGTTTCCAAAGAAGAATTCTGGGTGGTCGCCGGTGGTCTCCGTCTGTTTCGCAGGTGTGCCCTAAGTCGTTTGTTCCGCTTGGCAGATACTGGATCGTACTGTCTTCGATCAATCAATACCAGCAAAGATTGCTTCTTGGGTGTACAGTTTGAGTAAACCCGTCGATGTCAGGGCAATCAGTTGCTCAAGCGGCCTGCGGTGACCAACGGACTTCGCCGAAAACAAATTTTCGTCACGATCCTATTCTGGCTTCAGCACTCAAACTGGTGTAGACATCTTGTGCAAGCAGCAAGCGGGGGACGTGCTTCGGTGAGGGCAACCGAACATCCTCTGTCTTGCTATAGTAGTACATCCCGGGCGTTGCATGGCTGATCTACGTGGGAGCAAAATGCTGCCACTTTTGGATGTGCATGGCACGGTCTCTGGTGGGAAGATACTGTACCATGTGGGGCCTAGTCGTGATACCGAAACTCTTTTGCCTGCATCACAGACAAGGAACTAATTTTGCGGCTTGATCTCGATGTCGACCTTACGGAAATAATGGTATGAGTATGACTTGCTGACACAGCTTTCCTTCAGAGTCGAAGGTTGCACAGTGAATGCCCAGTTTGTTCCTCTTGAAATCTCATTATCGTGGGAGTTTTCCCGAAAATGGACTTCGGAGTGGGCAAATTGAGGAAAATTTTGGCTTCTTATAGTGCGTGATGGCCAAACTCCTTGGGTGTTCTGACGATTATACCCTGGACAAAAAGAGCGACCGAATGAGTATGCAGATTAGCATGATCCATAAGTTATTCTACGACGGGCTGAGGCGTCCGTCCACTTTGTGTATGGGTGGATGTTAAGTGATGTCAACCACATTTGGGCTCACAAAACTGTCCTGTTCGTAGGGACGCCTGTTCAGGAGATCAGCTTGTGGACATTGCTAGCCATAATCCACCCAGCCTTAGGGGTTGCATCAGCTGCCTCTGACAAAGAGTCTGCACCCAGCAGAAATGAACTCTGAAAACGAGAGCATCCGCGCCAACCCGGCAGCTGCCAGCCCAGAGAGACCCAGATGGAAGTCTGGCAGCGCTGCTCTCCAAGGTGGCGCCAATGCATCCCCGGGGCGCCGCCGACAGGGGAAGCAGGAAGCACTGCGCAGCACAGCACAGCCCCCGCTGCCATCACTAGACTCCTCGCCATCTCCCCCAGCTGTCTACCTTCGCCAAAGCAAGAAGCTTGGAGTCTCAGAAGAGCCACAGCAGAGCCAACATGGCCCAGAGACTTTGCAGGGAGAGCACCTGCTCGATGACAGCACAGCAGACAGCCCGGGGACGCCAGAGCAGCTGGATGCAGCACAGCTCGGCAGCGCCTTGCTCTCCGCCTGGGCGGACAGCGCAGCCTTGCAGCATGCGCCAGGGGCAGACGGGGCAGAAGAGGACGCCTTGCCAGAAGTGCATGACTCAGCGCATGCTGACCCCGCGCCTGACTTGGCTCAGTCCCCCCAGCCGCCTGTCTTCGCAGCGTCCCCTCCGTCGCTGCATGACACACCGGATGGGGCGCTTGTCGCTGGCGCAACCACCCCGGACCCCCCGGACGACGCCACGCTGCGCGGCAGCTTCGCGTCTGTGACCACCGGAGAGGAGCCCTTCCCAAAGGTCTATTCTGCATCCTTGATGGTCGCGTCATGCCTGACATGTGGAGTTGTGCCTTCAATTGCCTGGGAGGCTGTGCGCTTATTTACTGAAGGTAGCAGCATGTGCAGTTCCATGCTGGATGCTGGATGCTTTATGTTTTAGAATTTGGCTGGCTATGGGGCTTCAGCTGGGCGTACAGTGGGCGTTGCAGGGGCTGACAGCACAGTCGCCGAGTTTGAAGAGCGCCGCCGGCAGTGCTGACGTGGCGGCCGCTGAGCTGGCGGCTGCTGAGCTGGCGGATGTGGCGTTGATGTGGCAGACAGTGGAGCTTGAGAGCCGGGCGTACGGCCGCCGCCGGGCCAGGACGTCCGTCTCATCACTGCGCTCCTCTGGTGATTCATCTCACGTCAAGGAATTCCATTGACACTCTGGAAGTTATTTCAGGCTCCATATGACTTTGGTCTCCGTATTCAGTGATGTCCACGTAAGAGCTTTCCAACTGCGTCTCTTTTTCCATGCTTGAATTGAATCAGAAAGGTTGTGAATGTCCCGCCAGGTGCCCTGGAGGCTCTACTGGAGGACGTAAAGTGGCAGAGGGAGGCCGCTGACGACCAGCTTGCCAGCGCAAGGTGCTTATAGCCAAAATTTAATCTGGGCAACCATGCAAATATATCGCCCTTTGTTTTGCAATGTTTACATCCCTGCCCTTCTGATGTGCCTTTGTCTTTGTACTCAAGCTGCTTTCACACTTGTGCTTCATCCTTTTGTTGAAAGGTGGGCATGAGATCAGGGCAGGCACCTGTGCTGTGGGCTCACAATCCTGGCTACTGAGGGCTTCTGTGATGGGCAGGCGGGAGAAGGCGGCAGCGGATGAGCTGGTGCAGCATGCGGGCTTTGAGGGGTTCCAGATCGAGCGGGGGATGCTGGATCGGCTGCAGTCCGCGCTGACCTCCGCCGCTGCCGCCAACTCCGACAAGGAGCAGTGCGCATCCAACCCCTGCACACATTTAGTTTTCTCTGAACCCTTGAATCCGCAATGACTCTTCCGGATCCCGGCATCTAGATGAGCCCTAGATCCTGCTACAATTGACAGGGATGCAGAACAAGTGAGCAGGGGTTTACTGCTGTTCCCCCTAGGTTACTTCTACATACTGGAAAATGACATGAGGACAGATATGCAGGGAGAAAAGCCTGCCTTGCTATTGGCAACCAGCAACGGTCAAGTGTTGTGAGATGCGATGGGCTGGAAAAATGCCCACGAGCAGGACGCTGAGATTGATTTATTTTGCATCCGTCGGGTGCTGAGTGCTCGTTCCAAGGGGGTCGCTGATGCTGATGTTGCTGTGGCAGGCTTGGGGATGAGCTGGAGGCGGCCTTCCACAGGATTGCTGCCGTGGAGAACCACCGGCTTCGGCTGGAGCAGCAGCTGCAGGTAAGGTCTCTCAAGCATGACAGGACACCCTCCGAAATGCACCTGTCTTTAAGGAGCAAAATGTCTGAACCTATTGCAGGTGAGATGCTGGTTGCATATGCGCCATGCTGGCCCTTGTCAGCCTGAGGACGAAGTATTAGCCCGCAGGCTCTACAGTGCTATCCATAACAAGATGCTGTAATTTGCTGTAGTAGGTAACCCAACCTAGAGGTCATCTGGCTACCAAAGGCCACGGAGTTACATTCACAACACAGCGAACATCCAAGTAGTCGAATCCTTGGTTTTCAGGGGGTTAATATTGTTGGCCTGCAGCTTGTCTGCAGACGACCTTGCCTCTGGCAGGGAAAGCGTGAAATATCAATATTAATGATATTATTGTTGCCAGGCGGAGGCAAGACTGCGCGAAGCGACGGAGCGCGCTTTGGACGCTGCGCGATACGAGGTTGAAGCGCTCAGCGCCAAGGCGAAGCGTGCGGCCAAGCAGCGGCGGCGGCTGCTGACGCGCATGGAGGGAATCTCCGAGGCGGTCCAGTCACCCCTCATTACCCACGGTGCGCTCATGCACCCTCCTCTCTTAATGAATGCATGTGGAGCACATTAGGTCTAGTATTAAGTGCTGCCAACAGTTTGTGTCCGCTCATATGTGTCAAGGTGCAGGGCCAAAGCTGCACTTGCAATGCAGTAGCGGGCATTGCTCAATATCACAGTTGTGCTTCGTATATCCCTGGTGCTGAATACCTTGACTTACCTCTTTTTTTGCAGTGTTATGTATTTGGCTGAAGTATAACTTATGTGATTGTGCAAACCACAGGGCAGAGCCTGCGGGCGAGCTTGGGCGCCTGGCCGGGCAGTGCAGCCGCCGCTGACTCAGCCACTGACTCACTAGCTGCGGCCAATCCCGGGCACATGTCTACCCGGCGGCGGCTGGAGCCTGATCAAGCAACAAGCGCCACCGAATCACCGGGGCTTCAACCATCAGCAACAGAGATGGACGAGCTGTTTGGGGCTTTGCCGCTTCCAGCTACAGGGAGCCCAATCAGCGCCGACTGGGCGATTAGGAGCAGGGAAGATTCGGCGCTGGCCACTCCTAGCCGGACACAGGGCGCAGGTACTGCGCATGCATACCCCATTTTGTGCAAAGCTAAGAGTCCAGCTCTTGTATCTGGTCTTGTGGGAAGAAATATGGTGATGCCGCACAAAGGGCATAATAAACCCTGTGATTTGAAGTACTATTATAATAATACTAATATATATTTTATCAGAATTTTTGGGGGGCCGTTGATCAGCAGCACTTCTACATCTAAATACAGCGCATGTGCTGTGACGACCAGTACACATGCTCGTGCTGTTAGAGACATCATCACTTTACCCCGGGAGGATTTTATATGCGAGCTGAGGTGGCGCTGATGTGGCAGGGTTGGGCAGCTTCCACACCCCTGCCTCCTGGATGAGGACACCGTCGCAGACTGGCCCCGGCAGCGCCCCCCGCTCCACCGACGAGCGGCGACAGCGCGCGCGCGAGGCTCAGGCCGAAGCACTCGCGGTCGAGTACGACCGGGCGGCCGATTCAGGCTACGAAGAGGTGCGTCCTGCTGCTATCAGAAGATAGTCCTGGTAAGATAGCCCCGTGACAGAGTCATAATAAGGGCTGCTTTCTTGTCATACTCTATGCATTGCTTTAAGCAAGACAGCAGCCAGCGAGTGAGGACAGTGTGACATGGCTGCTTTCTTGGTCGTTGCAGAGAGAGAGGGCACCTTGTTGGCTGCATGTGATCAGGTTTCAGGGGGTGGTTTTGCTACAAAAAAATCGTTTATTCAATGCCCCTGAGATATGCCCCAATGGCAACACCGCAGGAGACGGACTCGGGCCTGACGCCATCGCGGCTGATGCTGCGGCTGCGCGAAGCGCGCGCGGCTGCGGCTGGGGCCGCGTCGGGAGCGCGGCGCGCGCGGGCCGGGGCGGCCGCCGCCGAGGCCCGGGCCGCGGCCGCGGAGGCGGCCGAGGCGCGGCTGAGCGCTGCTCTGAAGGCTGCGCAGCAGCGGTCGAATGCGCGAGATGAGCACGCACGGCGGCTGCAGGCGCAGCTCGGGCAGGCGCAGCTGCGACTGGTGCGTACCCAATTTGGCGTTTCTTTGAATTACACTGCCTGACATTGCCTGACATCCTGATGTGGCTCATTTGCATGGCAGTGTCAGCTGCTGATAATGATGATAGAGAGATTTCATCAAATTGATGTGAAGGCCTTCCAATGACTTGTAGCATAAGCAAGTGATTGCTCTTTCTCCAGAGCCCGAATTCCTACTTTGTTGACATCCTGAACAGGGCGTATTGTTCACTTGCAATCTGAGGAATACTTCCGTATTGCTTATCGGTGTGGTTTTTTTGAGTGCATTGTGCCGGTGACTGCAGGCGCAGTTGCGGATGCAGTGTGACAGCACCACCAAGAGCTTGTCTGGGCGCTCACAGGCACTAAAGACAGCAACGGCAGAGCTCAAAGACTGGGAGGCCAAGGCATCGGATCTTCAGAAACAGGTAGGAGCCTTGCATTGCGCATTATACAGATACCTACCTCCCAGCAGTGTACTGCCCAAGTTCATGTCCTGCCGAGGCAATTCACGAGCGTAGAACAGCAAATATGAAGTTAATGGGTTCGAGAAGCACAATGAGTTATATGTCTATAGATAAGTCATACTTGGAAGGAGCTGCATTCGCTGACTTGGTTTATTGGAGGCTCCCACAGTGGTTAATCGGGTCTACCTGGGTTCAAGAAAATTTCTGATCAATGAAGCTGGCGGATCCCCTCTTTTAAGTAGATGCTCTCAAAATTTCCTGTCAGGTCCTGGTGCAAGGTTCATTAGAGCAAGCTATCGACCTGTCAGTGGGTGTCAAATAGTGAGCATGCATTGTATCTGATGAAAAGCTTGCGTCTGATCCAGGTGGAGGATGCCGGGGCGGCGGCCGAGCGCGTTGCGGCGGACGCGGCGGCTGCTCAGGAGCGGTGCAGCGAGCTGGAGCACGCGGCTGTGGGACGCGAGGCGGCGGTGCAGGACGCGGCGGTGCAGGTGCAGGAGGCGCGGGCTGCCCAGGCGGCCCGGGCCGGGCAGGCGCAGCACGCCCTCGAACAGGTGCGCAATCCAACTCAACACAGGGGCACGGCGGCCGTGCGACAGCCGTTTAGCAGTATAGCAGTGCGAAAGGCCCACTTCATACAGTGTCTAGACAAATGATGGATGCAAGCATACATGGCTTGGCTCCTGCAGAAGGTATATGCTAGTAGGGGCTTACATTCACAGCCCCTTTTTTCCTCTGTTCAGAAGTGCGTGCATCTCTTTGATTGCGTTCAAATGAGGCATTCAAAGTGTTGAGTATCATGCAAGTACCTTGTGTGCGGGTGCAGTTCGAGCAAACACTGGTGGAGAAGACCCAGGCAGAGGCGGCACTGCGCAGCGAGCTGCAGCAGTCAACCCAGGCCCAAGCAGCGCTGCAGGCAAACCTGCGCCAGCACGAAGAGACGGTCTCCGCTCTGCGCAGCGACCTCCAGGAGCAAGGAGCTCGAAAGGAAGAGCTGGAGAGGGAACTGCAGGAATTACAAGCGGCGGAGGGCACGCTGCGAACGGAGGCGGCTGAGCTGGCAGAGAGGGAACGCCTCCTGCGTGCAGACCTGCTCTCCCTGAAGGCTGACAGGGAGGCGCGCATCGCCAGGCTGGAGGCTGAGGTGGCGGAGCTCAAGTCCCACACCGAGGAGCTGGAGAGCGCTTCGGCAGATCTGATGGATCTGCGAGCTGCGTTCAAGGATCGGGAGGCCACAATAGAGCAGCTGTCGGCCGACCTCGAAGCGGCGAGGGGTGCCGGTGCGGGACAGGAGGGAACAGAGGCGGCTGACCGAGAAGCTGCGGAGGAAGCTGCCGAGCAGCTGCGCAATGAGGTGGCGCAGCTGCGCGCGGCGCTGGACACGGCCGAGCGGCCCCGGGAGGAGCGCTCGGTTGAGGACGCCGAGAACCGCCTCGCAGATGTCCAGGTATGTGTCCAGTCAATCAAGTGATTGGGTGCTGCCATGCTGAAGCCAAGGATTACAACCAATACCTCTCCAGGCAAATTCCCTTAGTGCAGCATCCAATTGTTCTTCCCTTCTACCGGTAAGGCCGCTGCTGAATCTTTTCAGGATTTTGTTTGTGGTCTTCATCCTATGTAAAGCATGATTCTAAAGGTCGTCTGCTGTTCCTGGCCTGGAAGGGGGCGTGGTGAGTGGTGCAGAGGGAACGCTGCAGCCATTGCATCCTGCGGAGGCTGACAGAAGCTGCTTGTATTTGGCGCAGATCGAGCTAATGGCGGCGCAGTACGACACGCGCACGGCGGCGGAGGCTCTGACGTCAGCGCAGGAGCGCGTCAGCGACCTGACCTGGCACCTGGACGACTCGCATAGCCGCATCGCTGAGCTGGAGGCCAGCTGCTCGGAAGCTGCCGCCGCCCGGGAAGCTGCCGAGCAGCGCGCCAGCGACCTGGAAGACCAGGTGTTTCCCTTCATTCACGAGTGAATGCCATATGTGTCATCCTTGCGGCATTGCCCCTGACATGGGGGCAAGAGGGGATGTACAGGTCGGGGTCATCACGTTATGTGAGCTGTCCCTAATATCAACATGCTGGGCAAGTCCCTCCTCAAAGACACTTAGTTCTTCCCTTGGGAAGTACTTAAATGTGTATGTTCTCTGTGCACTGCAGGCGACCAAAGCGCAGGCGCGCGCGCAGTCGCTGGCGGCAAAGTTGAAGGCGCACCGGCGCAGCAGCGGGGAGTCCGCGCTCCTGCTGCAGGTGGAGACGCTCCAAGAAGACAAGCGCTCTGCTGAGGCTCATGCCGAGGGGCTGCGTACGGTGCGCTGTTCCCTCCTCAGCAACATCGGATTGTGTTTTTGCTTTTGCAACTTAAATGGAATGCGGGCTCAACCGATGTGCACAATTCAGATTATAATCTATGGCCTGGCTCCCAGGCATTTGGGACTTTCTTGCAGGTACACCAGGGCCGAGTCTTGCCTTAGTACCACTTGTCAGACTGTCACAGCATTCTCAAAGACCGCACTATGTTCTTATGCTTCAGATTCCTTTGAATTGCAAGTATAGTATTGTGATCACCTAATTTAGGGACATTTATGCGCAGAAGCTGGCCACGGCTCGGAGGGAGGCAGCGGTGCGAGAGGCTGAGCTGGCGGAGCAGGCAGCTGCCCACCGGGCGGAAGCTGAAGCCGCCGCGCAGCTAGTTGCCGCCATGCGTCCCAAGGGCGACAACGTTCTCGCCACGCTCTGGACCGAGGTACGCTCCCTTCATCAATTGGCGTTGTCAACTTCCTTGAGTTCCTGGGTTGATCCCACCACTGTTATCACAATTTGCTTTGGTAGGCTATTCCACTCTGGAAGTATCCCTGATTTGCACATCCTTAAAAGTAATTTGCCCCACATATGGGTCGAGTAGTATCCTAGGATCCAGGGGAATACAAGTATGTTGCCAGCCGGCCAGCAGCTCTCAAGGGTGTGTACATTTGGCTGCTCTGCTGCTATGCAGCAAGGAGTTGCCGGAAAGTTTGCACCGTTAAAAGTTGATTTCAGTTACAGAAAAAGGGGATGTGTTCGTTGCAGCTGATGGAGGCACATGCGCGAGCAGCCAAGGCGCAGCTGCTGCGGCCGCATGGCTCCAGCGTGGCTGGGCCCTCAGACACCGCTGACGATGAAGGTGCGGGGGAAGAGCTCTCTTCATACGTTTTGATAGACAGGCAACAGATACATGGCTTTCTGGGCAAACCTGTAGTATTCTCCCTACATGGCTCTTTGCTACCTTGTACCCACAGCACATCACCACAGATACCCTGTCCCAAACTGCGATGGCAATAGACTGGCCCGCATACCACAAAAAGCCAAGATTCCTCCTCTTGCCATGCTGGTATCCAATTATTCATTCTCAGAAAACTCGTCTGCCTTGAAAGGGTTTTCATCACCGCGCACACCATGCACCCACCGCAGCGCAAGCTGCCACCACTTTTATGACTTAGCGTGAAGCAACATCAAAGACTCTTTCAGGGCACCTGTATGGGTGCTGCAATGGATCTGTTGTTCTGCTTGTCATGAAATTCATTGCAGATTTTTGAGTGAGTGCCCACCCGCTCACCACCTGCAATCATAGAATTATCTTAGTATTGATCGAGGGTACAGAAAGGTTGCGGTGGTTGCCCAAGTGTGACGTTGTCGTGCTTGGCGCAGGCGTGCATCAGAGGCTGCACGAGGTGTGGGCACAGCTGGACGCCGCGCGAAACGAAGCCGACGATCGCAAGCGAGAGCTGGCAATCACGCAGGTTCGCTTCCATCCTTCACATGCACAATATTTGGAGCTGTCCTGCAGTGCTGTAAATTTCAAGAGAAGAACAGCATTGATGTCTTGTTGCGCAAGGACCCTCTCATGGTGCAGGCGCAGCTGGCCGCGACGACTCCAAAGGCGGGGAGTCCAGGAGGGTCTCCCGATCGCCTCGATGCAGGTTCTACGGATTGCGCAGAAAATGGTGGCCGATCAGAGGGCAGCGGTCGCCATCACAGCTCGCCGCCGGAGTCGCCCGACGCGGCACCCGCTCAGGGCAGCTTCCACATGGATGAATCACCCATCCGTGGCCTGCTCACCGACGGCGCCCGCGCAGCCGCGCGCCGCGCTGAGCGCCTGACCGCCGCAGCCGCTGCCCGGGAGGCGGCCGCCTCCGCGGCCGCGCCGGTTGCCGTGGCAGAGATTGCTGCCGCCGCAGCCGCCTCCGGCAAGACCGTCGGCCGGCGCTCTGGCGGCTGGACGCCCCGTGGCAGCGGCAGCGCCGCCGGCCGCGGCCCCGGCCCGTCCGGCCCGGCCGCCGCCGGAAAGAAAGACAGCTTCGCGCAGCCGACGTCTTCGGCTTCGTCATCGTCGTCCTCTAGCAGCGGCAGTGACCGGTCGCTCGGCCGTGAGCTTGAGCGGTTTGTGTGCGGCGGCGCGCCGGAGCAGCCGCAAGCCGTCGAGCAGACGTCACCGGCCGGCCCGGCGCTGTCAGAGGGCAGCGCATCAAGCCCCGCCGATCCCCAAGAAGAAGCGCAGCTGGCCGGCTCCGGCGCGCTGATGGACGTGGTCTACGACCTGCAGGGCGGCTGCTGCGCGTCGGCCGCTGACATCAGCGATGACTTCTCCGTTGCCAGCAATGCCGGCTCCTCGAGCGCACCTGCCCACGGCTGGGCAGCCGTCACCTCAGCCGCAGCCCGTCACGGAGCCACACCTGCCGCCCAAGGGATCCCCACATCGGCAAGATTGCCCTCTGCAAGCAGATGGGTGAGGGCCAGCGAAGCCGCGAGCCTTCCAAGATCTGCCGGCTGGTCAGCTGCACAGCTCTGGTGCAGCCTCGGCTTGCGGTCGGCATCTGTGGGGGTGTCTGCTCTGGGAGGAGTGGTGTGTGTTGGGCTGCTTTTGGCTGCACGCCGCCGCCATGCAATCATGGCAGCAATCCGGTACCTACTAGGAATCTTCAGGCTGTACAGCGCTACCCTGCGGCAGCTGCGCTGAATGCCGGTGTTGGTGTGGCACTGCTGCTGTAAAGCGTTATCAGGACCCTGCCTTGTGGAGGATGATGAAGCAGCAGTCTGGGGACTCTAAATTAAATCTAAGTTAGGTCAGAGTCCCCTGCAGCAAGCGCAGTCAGCTTCAGCAAAGAACGTCATCAGCCTTGGGTTTTCTTTTCTTGACTGAGGGCTCCATGTGGGACTGACTCTGTCTCGGCACAACTGAAGGTAAAATAGAGCAAGCCTCATTCACCTAAAGACAGGTGCATCAGCCACTTGAGGTCAGGTACTGCATTTATGGCACAAATAAAAGATGACGTGCATTTGGAACCACTTGAACGGATGCCACAACGCGTGGTGCTACAATGTAGAAATATGAAGTCACACGGTGTAGCTTGTGTTAAGCCACGTGGTGTAGCATGATGATGGTGTACGTATACGGTCATCGCGGGCTTAAACAGCATCATGTGAACGCAATGTGCATAGTAACAGATGAGTTGGCAGATGACTGTTCTACAGTGCTTTCAACAATGTACTTAGAGAAATTGCATTAATTTCAATTTTCGTGTGCCACCATGGGTCATGGGTCATGGCCGGTGACACCCAGTCATCACAGTGATTTGTCCGTGGTCACATCGCAACCTACTGCCTTGTCATTTAGAAGCTATCACCGGTTCTCGGCGTACTTACAGGAGTCAGCCAGGGCATAGAACAGAACGTCGGGTAGCTCTTTTGCTTCCAGGTGATTCCTTGTACTTCTCCACTATTCTCGGGATGAGATCCATAAGTCTTCGTGAAGGTCCGACAGGTGTCGGATACTTGCTGTATGTGTCTTCAAGATATTCAGAGACGTCAATAGATCTGCTCCTGTGCCACTTGAAGTTTGGTTGGCCAGTCCCAGGACTTCAAGGAGGATTCTTCATGGAGATGCAGGCCCCCTCCAAGGGAAGCCTGGACATCCTAAGCAGGGCCATTGTAGTGATCGATAAAGGAAAAGGATAGGAGAAGCAAGAACCATCATGACGTATGCTCACTGCACCTGCTGTACCACAGATACGGCAATCAGAGTTGGGGAGCGTTCTGGAGTGTTTTTATACCCTTAGCACCTGCGACCCGGTACGTTCTTGCAGGCTGTTGTCATTAGTTGAGTGTGCGGCTAATTTTATTGGCCGCATGGCTTCGGCCTTTCATATTTCAGGTGGTGCTTCTTCTGGACAAATCTGTAAGTATCAGGTCAGCGAAATATGAAAACCTGTCTGCTGCTTCAAACAGGGTGGTGACCTGCTGATCGCGCTGGATGGACGCTGCAAGCAAACAACTGGAGCAATTGGATCAGGAGATTGCCGATATCACTGCAGAGGCCAAAGAAGCTAAGGAGGCATGGTTGAGCGCCTCAGATCCTCAGCAGAAAGCCGACCTGAAGGAGATCTGGCAGCAGCTGCAGGTTCGAGTCCAGGCAATCGACTTCAGAAGGTCGAAGCTGGAAGACAAGCTCGGCACCCCAGGTGTGCACACTCCCCTGCTAGCGCACAACTGCTCAGTTTCAGCCGTAGAACAAGTCGCGCAGCGCGTACACCATTCTGCCTTCTGCCCTTTAAATATGAAGTCATAGCATCAGGTGCGCAGATTGTGCCCAACCTGCACTGTCTGCTTTGGCTGCGACAGAGCAGTCAAGAGTTTCGCCAGATCAGGGTTGGGCACACACTGCCAGGCTGCTGCTGATGGGGAAAAATAGGCTACCTGTCCACTGCTATATTTTCCAGAGGTTTTCGATCTCTTGCTCGCCAGAACAGCGCAACACCGTTGACCTACAGCTGTATTAGCACATCTGCCACCTTTATTTTAAATGTTTTTGCTATGTTGCAGGTGGCAACATCTTGGCAAGACTTGATCGGCTGGAAGACCGTGCGACTTACCCGTTGATCTCACCAACAGCACGCGACAAGATTGAAGCTGCCTCATGTGTGCTGCTGGATGACAACAAGCCCATAGGCGTTGCGTTCTTCATTGCTGAACGCGTCTGCCTGACCTGCAACCACAACTTGGACGACTTTGAGGAAGGCCAGCAAGTGACAGCTAGGCAGCCATCAGGAGGGGAGCAATTCTCACTCACAGTCAGCCAGCACAACACAGATCTGGACTACGCCACATTGCGCAGCGAGCAGCAACATGACTTTGTCACTTGCTACCGCGGAGCACCTGCTAAGCTTGTTGGCAATCAAATTGCCTTGTGCGCTTTTCAGATCAGCTTGGAGCAAGAACTTGGCCAGGATTATCCACTAGCCCTTTCAGTAATGCGGGTACGCAACCTATTTTGTACACCGGACCTGCTTGTAGCTGCGCCATTGTCTGTGAACCAATTTTACCAGGGGTCTCTGTACATGCAGGGAACCGTCATGCGCATCAGCCGCCGGGGACACCACATGGTGTATGAGTGCAACTCGTGGCCTGGGGACTCAGGGGCTAGCTTGGCCTTGTATGATGGCGAGGTGGTGGGCATGCACCAAGACGGCGTGAATTCGATAAAGGAGATCGTGGAGAGGAAGCGTACGTTTCAAGAGAGAATAACTGAGGTGGAGGAGTCTTTGGAAAGCGCGGCACGCAGTGTGGCACGGGGTGCTGTAGCGCTGCTGGCCACTTCTTTCCCACAAGTTTGACCCGTACTCGGCAAAGCATCCCTCACAAAACACACGGTGTTGGTGCTCTTTATTGCAGCACGACTGGTGTGAATTACTTTCACTGCGAGTTTGGGTGCTGTGCACTTAGTCAGCAGCGGCATGCAGTGCCCCGCAGCAGCAAGAGGGGCAGGAGGCCTGCCTTAGCGACTCTGCCAGCTCTCAGGCGGATGGTCATGAGGACGACTGTCACTCTTTGGAGGCCTCAGGCTTGTCTGATCAGTCGAAGCTGATGAGCAATGCCGGAGGAAAGCGACGCTGACAGTGGCAGCATTTCCAACAGCGGCAGCAGCAATCCGGAAGGTGCAAGACTGTTCAGCCTGGAGAAGCTGCCTGTCTTGCTTCACCATCCCAGAAGAGCTCGCTGCCTCAATCCTGGAGACACATCTGAGCTGTGCAGCCCTGATACCCGAATTACCCTGCCATAGATGCCACGACAATTGTGGCCAGCAAGGTCTACCTCTTCCAGGTGACCAGGAATACGCGGCACGAGATCAACGCTGGGCTTTGCAAGGTTCTGGCTTACCTGCCGGCGCACCTGGAGTGGACTATGCACACGTGTCCCGCCGCAACCATGCACGCATGCCTGCCATGCCTCAGCTTCTCCATCTGTGTGCCAGAATTCCCCAGCCTTGTGCCAGCTATCGTCTGCATCGCTCTCTGCTCTGAGAAGGTTTGGGCTCTGCCCTGCCTCTTCTAATATTGGCATTGGGTACTTGTCATAAGAAGGCTTTTGCAATTTAATCGCGAGGCAGAAATTCCACACTGTACTTATGAAATGCCTTGAGGTGCACATGCGCCTTCGGAGGCCAAATGGCTTACGTTTGCTGGATCCAGCGCAACATCCGATCAAAGTGCAATGTCCCCAAGTCTGCAGACTTATTGCGGGGGTTTTATTAGAAGTTCGCATTTAGTGAACTAATGCAGGTGGGATGTAGAGGAAAGGCATGGTAAAGAGGATGGCATTCTTCTCCCGAGCGACTGCAGGCATGATCTTAGGATTTAGGGTTACACAAAGCCTAATATAAACCCAAGAACCCTGAATATCATGGTCGCACGCAGGTGGACATCCCTGTTTTGACCCGTCACAGAGAATGCGCAAAGCCCTGGCGGCGAGGGACCAGTCCTAACTCATACACCAATGGCCGGCTGGAAATGCCGCGCTCCGCGGGGCGGTGCTGCAAAGGAACAGGCGGGGAGCGGCACGGGCTGTGTGGTGGCGGCGCTGCCGGCTAAGCGCTTGGGATGGCATTGGCAGTCCACTCTGCTGAGCTCCACCGCTATGCGGCTGCAGGAAATTGCAGCCTGCCACACAGTGTTGTGGGAAGCTGTGGAACGGCGTGTTTGCTGCATTGCATGCTACCGCGGTGGTGTGAGCTGCTGTGCAATTGTTTATTTGCTCGATTGCATGTCCATGCAGCGGTGTGGGTTGCTGTGATTTTGTAGTATTCAGTGCCATGTGCGTATTTGTTCTGCCTGGGAATTAAGAGAACTGTCTCAAATGGGTCTCTAAGTGTTAAGTGCAGTCTGTGGTAAACGATTCATGGCACTATGTGCAGTCTATTACAAAGGGCTGGTGCTGCACTGTTTGTAATCATGTGCACCAGTCTCCGCAAGGGGGCTTGATGCAACCATGTGTACCTAGAGTATGCTGCTCTTCAATGCTACCGCTCCTCTTCACAGGTCTGAGGCACATGCAAATGTGCCTCCACATGCACACAGCATCATATGCTCTATTTGTCCATTGCTAAGCGTGCCTGCAAGAACAGCATGTTCTGGCTTGCAGCTGCCCCATACCCAGGATTGTTAGAAATATTGCATGAAGAACTTCAGTGCCGGTATGCTAACGGGCAGGTATGCAGGACTCACACTCACGAATTTCATCGAATTTCATACGAAATATACACTCCACAATATGCACCAGCTCTCCAGTGTTGATATTCCTCTCAACAATGTCCCAGAATCGCAACGCTCTTAGTTGAGTCTCACTATTCTCCCCCTTGGCATGACACCGGTCATGAACCCGAGCTCTTCCACACGATCCCATCCAGCTGCCACTCCTCAGGGCCCCCAGCAGCCACAAATACCTGCACGCACATACAGTAATCACTCTGTCACTGTCAGTTCACATCCAGCTGCCTCTGACGCACTAGATAGGGTGACAAACCTCTGAAGACCCTGACATAGCTAATCCCAGCTCAGAAAGCATGACTCGCACCCCTGCTGAACCAGTCCTTCTTCGCAGACACAAGTCTCTTTAATGTTCTGACTGTGTGTTCCAGGGAAGGAAGCTAGCAGCCAGGGATGTCATGCTGGCAGCCAGAACAGCCCCATATTCTCCTGCTGCAAAATCACAGTCCCTGCGCATGGTTTAACATGCACGGGCAGCAACGGACTTTGAGGTCGACCAGCTGCGCGCGTTTCTCCTCGCCGGCAGCGAAAAGCGTGCGGCCGCCGTCCGCCCTGCGCGCATAGTAGCTGCCCAGCCGGCTCTTGCCAACGCGTTCCTGCCCCTGCTGCAAGGGGATTGTCAGACCCTCCGCGCCAAACTGCGGCCCTGCCTCCGCCTTGTCTATGACCGCGAGCCCTGCCCCGCCCACCTGGACATGCCAACGTGGCGTCTCACAACTGTTCACATATTCCTTCTGCTGATGCAAGATACATCTGCATGTGTCAGCAGTGTGTTGTCTTGCCTGTGTTCAGCCTAAGAAAAGGCCTCAAACGTCAGGTACGAAGGGGGAAAGGCTCACCTTGACAAGCTTCTCGGCGGGCTTGCTCGTATCTCCTGAGGGGAATGTGAAGAGGAAGGCTGACATGGCATTCCTATCCTCCCCTAGGCCTGTCCTGCACCACAGGCATGCATCTGTACACTCCATGCAAGCTCTATGTTTGTACATTTTGCTGAAGCACCCCCTTCAATTCTTACCCTCGTACAAGCTGTTTGCTCTTAAAAGCAGCTATGATCAATAATACTATACCAACAAGCACTTGGCAACCTTGTCGCGGAGATATTGAAGTCCTCACCTATCCATCCTCTTGGGTTGTAGCCACCAAACACTGCTCCTCCAGCCGTCCTCCCCAAAACCACCTGCCAGCGCATCTTTAGTCGTTTTCCTTCCCCCAGACGTGCAAAAGATATTAAAGCATGGACAAATTATTGTAGACAGCCAGATAGAGCATAGCAGCTGAATTTCTGGTGCACACCGCAGCGCCATAAGTGTCAACAGCAGCATGGAAGGCGCCTGCGCTCCAGCTATCCCTATCTGCCGAGTACGCCAACCTGAAACAAGACATGCTCTGATCAATTTATTGACTCAGTGAGCCACACTCACACCACTGTGTGATTGACACCGACTGTGACATTGAGTATGAAGTGCTGTACTAAGTGAGAAGCCAGAGATATTCTGCATGCAATGTAGTGGACTGTCTTGCACGCATGATGGCAGTGGTATAGGCGCCACTCGTACCTAAGGGGCTTGCTTTCTAGCCGCGTCTTGGCAAGCAGCGGCCTGAACAGTGCTACCTCTGGCGAGTCGCCCTCCATAAGCGCTGCCAACTCGGTGATGGTTGCAACAGACTGCTCATTGTAGGCCTCATCGCTCATGCGCTTCATCCCAAAGGGCTCTGCAGCCTCCAGAGCTTTTTTACCAAAAACTGCCCCCACCATGCGCTCTATGAAGTCAGGGCTGTCCCCTTCTGGCTGTTTCTCTGCTCTGCACCTCAAGCCTGGTATCCTCTCAGCTCTGCGCTGGCTCTGCTTTGGCTGCTGGCTGGTGTTCTTTGATCTGGCTGTCTTTGCGCAAGAGAATGCAGCATATTGCTTGGAGACAGAGTGTTCAAGTAGATTGCCGTGAGAGGTGGGCCTCGTCATCAGCTTTACGTTCCTCTAACAGGGCCACCCAAGCGGAACGTAACTGTAGGTATGGGACAGGAGCAAAATTGAGTGACGTTTGAGGCAATCAAGCTAATTCATGACATCCTGAGCAAGGTCCTGGCATTCGAATCGGAAGATCCGATGCAGCATTGCTACAAATCGATGATGCTTATGCAGGGCCCCTGATTGATGATTGGAACAATTCCTTGATATCTCAATAGATCTATAGGCGATGGCGTTTGATTGTGCTCAGAGAAGCACAGATCCTTCCTGAAGACCATAAGAAGCAGTCATCGGTGAGTAATCATTGGGCCCAGACTTGACCGGTCAATTCCGAAACTGCGAAAGTGTGGCGACAGCTGCAGTGCCTCGGCTGGATCGAGAATTGTTTCCATTCATTCTCAGTTATTTCCTGCAGCGAACAGTCAGCTGTGGATATCATATTAGATGTCATGGCAGGTCGTCATGGTACAAGGATGTCTCCGAAATCTTGCGGATCGGGCGAGACATTGGTTTTGAAGATGTCAACGCTGAAGAAGAAATAATACCAATCCATGAGTGAGGCGATCGGGCTCCACGAGCTGGAGCGCCTGTGGGAGACGGTGAGCTGCTGTTATGCTTTTGAAAACAATGCTTCCTATGGTGAGCGGAATTGCGCATCGCCGCAAATTTCTAGTCAGAGAGGGGTTATTTCCATCTACCAAATCCAGTTCCGAGAGGCACTCCAGCCGGAATCTGTTGCGGAGGGTTTCATGCTCGCCAATGCAACCATATTCTTCCTCTGTCGCGCAGATCCAAGCGCAGATCCAAGAACAGGAGAGGAAGTTGCGCATCCGAGATGAGTGGCAGAGAGCCCTGGATGAGCTTGAGGCGGAGAATCAGAGGAAGAAGGTCGAGCTTGAGGCAGAGATTCAGAGGAAGAAGCTTGAACTCAACAAGCGCTACACAGAGCAGCTTGCCCTACAGGATCAGCCAGCCCCAACGATTCTGCTGCCAGGTCCCTCCCAGGCCAATGTAAGCCCCAATGCGGAGCGCAGCATGCCGGCTGCCCCGCCTGCTGCAGCTGCAGCGGCCAGCCACGACCATCAAGTCCTGCTGAGCAACGGCTCTCTCACAGGCGGAGCGCCTGGAGCCAAGACTGCTGCAGATGGCAGCCCATATGCTGGCGAAGCAGTGGATCAGCCCATGTCTGATGACCTCGCCGGCCCTTCAGGCCAGCAGGACAACACTGGAGCAGCAATGGATTTCAGCGATGGCGGTGCAGAGGATAATGATGCAGAGCCTTTCCCAGACAGTATGTTCCCAGACTCCGAGGATGAGGCTGAAGCATCAGATCTGCTGCATGCCACCAGGGATGCCCCAAGGCAGTCTGTGGAAACCTGGAGCAGACTGGCAGATTCCAGCCACAGCAACACAGATGAGGACGAGGCGCAGGCCAGCGGGCAAGCAGGCTCCAGGGAAAGGGCAGATGCAGAGGCTGCTAGCGGCTCAGGCGCTGTTGCGCAGGGTGGCCTAAGTGCTAGCCCATTGAAGGGAAGGCAAGGGGATACCTTCTATGCCTTCAGGGAGCCCCGGAGCCTGTCAGATGCACATAAGATCCTCTGTCTCTTTCAAGGCTCTTAATTGTTTTGCTGATATACGGCATGATTGTACACATTCCAGACTCCTACAGCATCATGTTCAGCTCTTCAAGGATATTGGGATCCTGTGGGGTTCCTTCACAAAACTGTTACACTAGCGGAGTCTTTTTGAGGTACCGCAAAAGTGTGCCTGACGGCCTGCAGGCCATTCACATGAAATATCCATCGGGCATTTGCAATGGCAAACAGCACATACTGATAGTGGTGTGATAATTTTGTCGGCATGACTACAGGGAAACGGCGGTGCGCATGGCCCAGTCACTTGTGGGGGAAGCTGGGTCTTGAGCCGCCAGAGGAGCCGTCTGCTGCCCTGGCCCCTTGGCGCACCAAGCTGAAGGCCTTGAAGACAGATATTGAGGAGCTGGCAGAAGATGACAACGGCCCCTATGGGTGAGCTGGCAGCGCAGTCTCTTTGGCATTGCACTTGAAGGACCTGAAAGTACATTAAGAGTGCTTGATGTATGTACGGCACATTGTGAGGGATTATGCATGATGGCAGAGCAGACTTGCGCTGAGTAGGTCTTAAATTATGGTGGGTTATATTATAATTATTATACACACCTATCCAAGTCACAGTTGGCTGAGGTGCGTTGCAGCAGCGTTTCTATGACAGCCTTCCAGCTCGGCCTATCTTGGCACCTTGGATTATATGTATGTACATATATGACATGTGCGCATGCAGGTGGGCGTACCTCCTCGGCCGAGAGGGGCTGTCATACCAGAAGGGCCAGCAGAAGCTGCTGCGAAGGCAGCTCTGGAGTGGTTTCACTCCCATGGAGGATGTGACCTCTTCTGAGGGCAGCGATGACGATGAGGACGGCTCAGGAGACAGCGCCTTCCAGGTTCTGCACTTCTCTTTCTAATAATTTGCTGTCTCGTTTGTCTAGGGATAGTAGATATCCAAAGCTGCGTCACATTGGATTGTCTCTGTCGGCGTATGAAAAGGGAAAGATGTAGGATTTCCAAAACATGCATGGAAGTACGCAGCTGCAGTGCTCCAGTGCTCCACAACATTCATCCAGGACCTCTTTTCTGGGCAGGTGCTTTCTGGAGAGCTGCCAGACAAGGGAGAGGCGCAGAGCAGTGGGGTCGAGGAGGGCGAGGAGGTCCTGCCCCCTTGGGGAGAGTTGAGCGGTGACATCCCCTCAGGAACCGCTGAGGGAGAGCAGGCAAGACAGCCCACCAGCATATTCTCAGGGATGGAATTGCAGCCTGCCGCATGCATTACTGTGAAATGCCCGTCGTAGCACAGCCATGAGAATGCACTGACAATGCAATAACACCAGGTGCTTGGGACAGGAGTTCTGCTTCTGCCACTTGCCAAGGCAATGAGTCTGGGACGAGATGTACTAAATGAAAGGGGTCCTTTCTCACGCGTTCATGGGATGATGAGTTTGTGTTGGTGTACAGGAGGATGATGCAGAAGACGCCACGGCGGAGGATCTGCTGTTTGAGGACAGCAGCATGCGCACGGCGAGGGATCGCGTGAAGGCAGCAATCAAGGCGCTGCTAGTAGCTGCACTGCTGCAGGAGCCCCGCGCCAGTGCATTGCTGGAGATCATGGCCGGCCATGTGGCTAAATTTGCGCAAGACCTGGTGGACAAGCGGCAGTGGGGCTCTGCCAGGGTGTGTCTCCATCGTTGTGTTTTCCATGCATGCCACTTCTCCATGCATGCCACTTCTTCATGGCAATTGACAAAACCAGGCATGCAATAGATTCAAGATGCTTGCGCACATGCTTCATGCCGTCCCATGGCAGAAGTAATTGCCCTTGTCCATCTCTGGTGTAGGGGGTGCACGATGATGCATGAAATTTATTGCTTTTGCAGACAGCCGAGCAGCATGTGTATCTCATGCCTTCCTGTACAGTATGTGTATCATCATGTTGACTTGAATTTCTGTCCAGGTGCTGACTCCGGCCATTCTGGGGCGCATAGCAACGGCGCTTGAGACCACCATTGAAGAGCTGGCTGGCATGGCCGCCAAGTGGCAGGAGAAACATGTGCCCAGACTGGAGCAGCGAGCCTACCGCTTCTGGAGGCTGGGCAGGGCTGCAGAGCAGAGGGAATGCTGGACACATGATCAGCACCACACACAGGCAAGCTCCAATTTCATCGTACACATGTAGGAGTTCATTTGGCTAGTGCTTCAGGATCAGGCGCAGCAATTCCCCCCAGTGTCAGCATGACATCCGAAAATGCCTAGCCATGCTCTCCATGCATGCCACATGCTCAGGAGCATGCGTCAACAATTGCATCGTTTCCGGTGGCAGAGACATGGTGCACGCAACTGGTGCATTGTGTATGTAGCAGTTATGTCTTGCACGCGGATGGCAACGCTGCGAATGGATGTGCTCAGCTGCTCCTTACAATGTATGCCAGAAGGGCATCACTGCTTTAATCCTCATAGAATGTTGCGCTGACAAATCTGCAGGGCCGGCTGCTGGATCTTGTGGTGAAGGCGCTGGAGGCTCATGTGGGCAACCACGGGGTGTCGGTGAAGGCGCTGCGCAGGCACAGCCAGAGTCTGGAGGCCACCTTATTCCTCATACTGGAGCGGGACTTTCAGCTGCGAAGTGCTGCTCTTCCCAAGGCTCCTCTCCGGCCACAGAGCACCTCGAAGAGGTGCGGCTTGTTCTGCCTTATTGTTCTGCATCCCTTGAGTGCACGAGCTGTAAGTGTTTGCCATGCATGCGGACGCATGATGAAAGCAGTGCTTGACACTGAGCCCAAGACCAGAAGGTGATCAATCTGCTAAGCACACCGGCACATCATGTATGAAATTGGTTCCAAGACCAGGAGAAATTGTCAGGATGACATGCAATGAAGCTGAGAGGAGCTGCACACCACTGCGCAGGAAAGAGCGGAAGGCAGAGGAGGGTCAGCAGGATGCTGCTGATGGCGGCGATATCAGCGATGATGCAAGCACCGGCTCATGGCTGGTCAGCGATGACGAGGACGCTGGACAGCCGGCTGAAGCCGACACTCACATGGAAGGTGTGCAAATATAGTTTTCATTTTTGCTGATCAAACTTGCGAAGCTGTGCCAAATGCTTGGCGTTTTGGGCACATGCAGTCCTGGTGTGGTGTGGTTCATGCTGGGCCATTCCTCAAGTGATCACATTACCGTGCATGCATAAGGTGAGCATCAGGAATCCAGCTTGCTCCGAAGGCGCTGCGCTCCACTGCATCACTTGCAGTCCCCCCTTTCTTTAATCTCTTCTTAATCTTTAATTGTGATCTGTTTGGTCATGCAGAAGCAGGTGGCGGTGTCGGCGATGACGGCATTGAGGGAGAGAGCTTGCACAGTGGCAGTGAGGGAGATGATGACGAAGAAGAAGGGGAGGGAGGCGAGGAAGGGGGGCGCGACAGGGCTTGGAATGCTGCTGGCCTGGCTCCTGGGGCCACCCAGGTGCTTGTGGCTGGCAGGAGGTCCCTGCAAGGTGAGTCCCACTAATCTCAGTGAAATTGAAATTTCACAGAGGAGGATTGTTTGTCTTTCAAGTGTGCTTAAAGATCTTGTACATCATTCTCTTCCTGCTGGATACATGCTTAATGCTAGTCACATTTCTTTGCTGGCCAGAGCATGAACTACAAGTGCACTGCTGTGTATGAAACATGTTGCATGCTTGTGCAGGTGCACCCGATGCACTACAGCCAGCTGCCGAGCCATCAGGAGAAGAAGCTGCTGCAGAGCCAAAGGGAGCTGCAGAAAAACAGGAAGCTGCAGACATGGAGGAAGCTGCTGAGCCACAGGCAGCTGCAGAGCCAGAGGTAGCCGCTGAGGAGGCTCCTGCAGAGGATGCAGCCATGGATGGAGCTCCCGTGGCTCATCCTGAGCTTGGCCCAGCAGAACAGGAAGCAGATGCAGTCGGAGATGATGACAGTGCAGACCAGCAGGCACCATCAGCTTCTCAGGAGGCTGGACCTGTCTCTCCACCACCGCCTGACGAAGCCCTTGACGAAGGTAAACAAGCAAATGAACATTCCCTACGCAGCGGATTGTCCTGCATGCAAGCCAAGCCTAGCCGATGCTGCACCAATGACTACTGCATAATAGGGGAAGTGCAATCATGCTGTACGTTCTGGCTTCTGTGGTTCTCCAGTAAGTCTTGCCATTTGCAGACATGGGATTGGGAGCAGAGGCACAGCCAGAAGGATCCCCGTCCTCAGACGCAGACGCTGCCATGCGCGCACGTTCGCTGCAGAGGAGCCTGCTGCAGCAGTTCTCTGAGGCACCAGTCCCAGAGGTATGCAGAGACCAGCTACCTTGCATGTATAAGGCTATCTCATCGCAAACTACCCGTCTGCAGCCAAGAGATGCATGGAAGCCACCAATTATGACTTATCCCCGAAGGCCCACATGCAGCTACCAGATGCATGGAAGAATCACTGAAGACCTTTGTATGTGACTTTGTCATCCGCGCAACATAATGTAATTCAATCGCAGTTGGGCATCCCTCGATCAGGACACTGTCGATGGATGCGCATAGTGTATTTTTGGCTGAAGAAGGAAGAATGTCGTGTTGCAGGAATCTGCCCCGGGAGACACTGTGGCGAAGCCCATTGTGCTGGAGTCGGACGGGGATGGGGATGGTGACGTGGACGTACAGACTGCGGACGACTTTGTGCAGGGCACTGAGGTGGAGGTGCGCAACGCTGGCAGTGAGACGTGGTCGCCCGGCCGCGTCCACTCTGCCTTCGGCACAAACATCACTGTGGAAGTGCCGGTGCGCCCTCACTGCTGCACGCTATTGAAACAAATGGTGCTGTGCCAAGTGCCGAGCAGCAGACAGGGGCCTTGGCAGGAGCTCTGCTGGTGACGGCGAGGCTGCGAGTGATGCTGATGTCGCAGCAGGGGATGGCTCAGATGCAGAGGAAGAAGATTCTGCGCCACGCAAGGCAGCAGAGAGGGGCCCCGGCAGGAGCTCTGCTGGCGCCAGGGGCAGATCCACCGCTGCCAGAGCGAACACTGGAAGAGAGTGGTCCCCCCCAGTGCGCGAGGGCAGGGCGCTGGGCAGGCACAAGTCCAAGGGCGCGAGCGCGGAGAACGTGCGGCTGATGGAGGAGAGGTTCGAGTCCTACGGCCTGCGGCTGCGGGGCGCGAGGTCGTCTTCTGGTGACGAGCCACATTCCAGGGGCCGGCGGTCCGTCAGCGCGTCGGGAGCCTCCAGCCGAGCCACCTCCCAGGGGGCGTCTAAGCGCCGCCGGCCGCGGGAGGAAAGCCGGGCCGGCAGTGCATCAAGAGCATCGAGCGGAGGCAGCTCGCAGGGGGCAGCGGCAACTCGCCGCCGTATGGGGGCAGTCGGCAGGCGGAGCATGCTTGCGAAGGGGTGTGTGCGCAGGCATGCCAGGCCTGATGTCTCCGACGATAACCATGCAGCTGCTGCCCAGCCTGATAAGTCAGATGACGAGCCTGCAGCTGCCGCCGGCAAGGCGCCTTTCTCGCAGCACGTAAGCACAGCCGGGCGGTTTGCTGCTAACAGACGCGCGAGACAGCTCTTGCGCAGCTCAGCCGAGCCGGATGCGCCGGCAGCTGCAGTTGGCAAGGAAGCTGGCTGGCAAGGCGCAGCCGGGCGACTTGCTGAACGCGGCTCCGAGGGACTCATTGCTCGCAGATGGGCCCTTGGCGTGTCACGTCTGCGGCGCCGCGTAGAGGCTACAGACGATGCGCAGCAGACGGACGACACCCGGCAGCGGCCCGCTGCAGGGGCGGATGCGGGATTGTCGTCTAGCCCGGCTGCCGCCAAAAGGTTGACTCTTCACGAGACGAGACCACTTCCGGTGGAGGCACCTGCTTCAGGCGCTGAGTCCAGAGCAGCTGCAGAGCTGCTGCGTCAAGCCCGCACACCGCTCTCTCACTCTGTGAGCTATTCGCCGCCGCTCATTGTGCGAAGGAGATTATCTCCTCTGCGTCCGCTCAATGTGCCGTCTACCAGCCCGGTTCGCTCCTTTCTGCCTCTCCTCTGCGCAACACTGTGACCTGCAATCTCCTGACCATGGCATAATCTACCAGGGCTCGACAGCTCTTCGCATGAGGGTTCACGGAGTTACAACATAGACCTCGATGCGTCAATATCTGAGTGACATGATGTAATGAAAACTCTCCGGTGAATCTTGTTGCATGGAACAAATTAGTGACATTCTGTCTGTACTGCAGCTGCCGCTTGACGGCGCGGCGTCCGATGGGTCCCGGGAGGTGAAGCGTGCAAAGGTGTACCAGCCGCCCTCGAGCTTCACCAGCGCCAGTCCTACTGCGCCGGGGCAGAAGAGTCGCGGCGACGGCAGCGCCGCAACGGCCTCGGCAGAGCATGGTCTGCCTTCTTGACCATACACTAATATGTCTTCACGTACTGTTCTCGAGTACGCAAGTACTTGCGTGGCTTAAACCCGACTGTTGCGAGCATGATCCTCAGACGAGTTCCTGCTAGTCAAATTACCCACCTCAGCATGAGGGCTTTGTGGTTTGAATTAAGGGGAGCTCTGCTGGCTACCATAGCAAGATGAGGCATCACAAAGGAAAGAAGGCCATTCAATTGAATGCTGACAAGCCACATGTGTTTGTGGACACCTGCGCGTTGGCTACCATGGTAGCATGAAACATCAAAACAGCAACAAGGCTCACGATTGCAACAGATTGCTGACAAGCTGCATGTGTTTTTTGGGCCACAGGGTCACTGGACAGCAAGTGGCGGCAGCAACAGCTACTGCAGCAGCAGGCGAGTGGCCGGCGCAGACCGCGCTCCAGGAGCCGCACAGGTAGCCGGGAGGCAACGCCGCGCAAAGACGAGGACATTGTGGTGGACCTCACACAGTCTGACAGCGGACCATAGAGCACCCCTTTGAAACATGAAAGTATGCAAACATGAATGTAACCGTCTTTAGAGTTGACAGCGCAGATTTAAAATGAATGAACAAAGCAGAGTGTTCTTTGAACGGCAAAGTGCCTCCAATTTACGGTGAGGAACATGTGAATAGCTGGCTGCATTAGATAAAAACCAAGGATGGATAGTGTTAAATAGCATGCTTGAGAACCGTCTCTGAATCATGCTGTTCAATGAAGCTCTGATTTGGTGAACACCAAGGATGGCAGGCAGGGAATTAAGCCTGTATGTGGGAAGGGTGCACTATAGGAATTTGGGAACACATGGATGCTGAGAAGGCCTTGTCTGTGAATAGGAATTTGCATGCGCACGGTACAATTGCATGCGTGACTGATGTCATGTTTAAGCTTGCAAAGTGACGAATTTATGGCTGCATTCACTGTGATTGCATTGATGAGTCTTTCCTGGCTTGCTGACATCCAGGCGCATCCGGAAAGTATCCAGATTACTCCACTCAATGACACATGTGCACATGACATACACAGGCAGACCCACTCCCAACCATGCCAACACTTGGAAATTTCCACAACACGCCAATTTGAGACATCTCCTGATATCATGGACCAATGTGGCTATCAAGACTTCAAGCAGCTGCACTGCACCACAAGCACGATTGCGCAAATCACATCTCTCCCACACTTTATGCCTTGCCTCGGAGAGACCTGCATGACCAGAAATCAGCGGCATTGCAGCCGTTATGCTTGAGCTGGCATGTACTTGCAATGCTCTGAGGCTCCAATATGAGCTCTGTAGCGGCACTCACAGATAGAATCTGGATTAAGTCCGCCTCACAAGTTATACACTTGCATAGTACACTTGCAATCCTGGATTGCTGCCCCCGGACAATAAAGACAGTCTTGAATATCTGGCTTATTGGGATCCCGCAGAAGGATCGAAAATGTCAGATATGTTCGCCGCGGCTGGTCCAATAAAAGTCACAAACTGCATCAAGCGCTACAGTCACACAGATCTCTAGGAAAGTCTTCATCACCGCCCCTAGAACTGGCAGGCAGCATTCACCGGAGGTCACACAGCAGCAGGTGCACGACTGGACTGTGATTGCCCACATATTACCCTAACCTGCACTGCAATTGGTGAACACCAGACCTTGAATCTTACGCCTAGCAACAGGGTGGGCCATGTGCGTAGCTGCCAGTTCCAATTCTGGGAGGGATGCCAGCTCAGCATGCAGTGTGTCGCTGCCAAACACAGCGGCAGGAACCTGCAGCGAGCAAAGAAAAGGTTCTGACTTTCTTTGGGAAGTCTGTCCGAGGCAACTTCCACCGCGCATGTGATGCGCAGCAGACGGGCAAGATTCTTTATGTATGCCTTTCCCTAGGGTGCTCACTTTTCGGCAGCTTTTCTGTTCCGAACCATCAGAGTGCGCCAGCTCGGCTACTCTGATCTTCTTGCTTGTTCACCGGCAAATCATGACGCGCCAGCTCAGCAAATTCTGGCTTTCTCTTGATCGCCAGCAAGTCAGATCGCGCCAGCTCGGCCTTTGTGCTTTCTTCTTGCAGAAGGGGACGTGCCAGGCCAACTCTTTTGGTTATTCTCTTTGTTCCCCGGCAAATCAGAGCGCACCGGCTCAGCAGAAGGGGATGCCCAGCAGACAGGCAGGATCCTTTAAGGGCCTACTTCTGAGATGCTGGGTTGCCGCGCTTCGATCCCACAAATCAGTGTTCGCCAGCTCAGCTTCTTTCCTGACTCCTCTTTGCCAGGTCAGCAGAGGGGGATGCTGCCGCGGGCCATGGCGAGGAGCTGCTCAAAGATGCGAGCGCCGTCGTCTCGGATGCCAGAGTGTGCATACTCGTTCGTCACCCACTGCCGGATGCCCCGAATGTGTGCCGCCGTCTCCTGCAGGATCGCAAACACATCCGGACAGTCACAGGCATACAGGCCCTCATTCAAATCAGCCCACCCCAAATAGCTTAGCACGTACACACTATGTTGCTGCATTCTTTCCAGGTCTCCCTGGCTGTATTTGGCTACACTTTAAAAGCGTCAAGTTGCCTGAGCTTGCGTGAGTACAACATACCTTCATGCTCAAAGACACGCATTGAATTTAAGGCGCTTCTCTGGTACGGAGTCCAGCAAAAAGAGTCAGCTCAATACAAGAAGGAAGCATCTGCAGCTGAAGAGACGAACAGGGCTGCCTCATGCGCGGATTTATGCCACTTGTAAGAGGTTTTTACACCCACCTGAGCGCTGTCGCAGTCCACATACATGTCATCATAGTACGTGGCGGACGCGACCGGCGCGGTGGTGCTCTGCAGAGCTTTGAGGTCGTACAGCGGCGGCCAGTCGGATTTCTCGGCCAGCGCCTCGGCCGCGCCTCGCAGCGGGGCCAGCGCAGCAAAGTCCTCAAACATCCACGGGAACACCATCTCGCCTGCACAGACGACACAGTGGCAAGGCTGCAGACTGGTGCACAGGTCCTTTCCTCCTCAGTCTTCAGCTATTTAATGGTTGACAAACACAGGACGCAGCGCTTGTGACACGCGATTGGAGCAGCTTAGTCTTTGTGCACTGAGAGATCCAATTGTCGGAGATGGCTTGGATCTAGCATTGCAAGAGGCTTGAAAAGTAGAAAACCAGATGTGGGCTCCTGCCCTGCAGTCGCATTGGAGACTAAACATACGAGGCATTGATGGAAAAATGCAATTAAGGGATATTTGCGAGAGGTGAATCCCTATTCCTTGCTTACAGAAGCATCCAGAAATAAGATCCCTGTACAGAGAACAGTAAGAGGCTGAGCAGCTTTACATCGCAAAGAGCACCAAAAAAGATGCGGACCAGCATATGCTGAGCACCTGTAAAGAGCACGGGGTTGCCATTGGCGACGGATGATGCGGCATCAAAGGTGGCGGAGAAGTCGGAGTTGCGCACGCGGTGCGCGGCCCATCGCGAGGCGCGGCCCTCGCAGTAGATCGACTCGTGCAGCAGCGCGTACAGCGGATTTGCATCCCACGGCATCCACCCATCAAAGCTCTGCGCCATGAATTAAATGCATTGCATTCCACAAGTCGGGGTTGTGTCACCGCGCGAGGAGATAAATGCGGACCCAATTCCATGGCAGGATGCAAACATTTCTTCTTGTGCCCCCATAGCATTCAGCCTCCAAAGCTCTGGGAGCAGCAGCAGAGCTGAGGGTAGTGCCACCATTCAAGAGCAACCATGGACACATTTGCAATGCAGGTTACAACTAATTAACCAACAAAGATGCGAATAGTCTTGTTGTGTCCGATGGCATCCTGTCGTCCAAGCTGTTGCCCTCTCATATGCAGGCAACGTTTACTTGCCACACTCTTGGTAGGGGTTGCCTAAATAAAAGATGGCGTTGTCCAGGATGTATGTGACCTTGCAGCGGGCTGCGGGTTTTCTTTGCTATCTAGCAGCTTATTCCTCTAGTCTGGTGAGGAGGCACATCGTGCCTGCACGCCCTCCTGCTTCATTCATACAGTTGTGAGCCCAATGAATGTAGGAGTAGGGTGCACCTTCATGAAGGAGAGGCTGATCTCATCACCGTCCCAGGCCTTCTCCAGAAGAAAGTGCAGCCGCTCAAAGCCGCCACCCGACCCCAGGCCTGCATGCACCAGCCATGTCAAATCATCGAATTGAAAGTTTGGATGTCCAGAATAAACGCTTCTTCTTTAATCTTGGCTTCGTAATTCAAACCATCCTTCAAACGTCATTTCAAACGAGCATCCAAGGGCAGTGTTTCTTAAGGCTTACTTCAAGCTTACACTGCCCGTAATTTGGCCCGGAGGTTGGCACCTGACAGCCCCAGCAGCTGGAGGGAGCGCGGTGTGAGCAAGTTTCCCGAAGGTGTCCTGACGCCGCCTTCCGGCTGCTTGATCAGGTGCGTGACTATCCTCTGCACTGCCTCCACGTCATCCGGGAACCTCTGGTAGTATTTCTGGTTCTGGCCCACCACCCGCCTGCGAATAGCACACATTATTCTGCGCACTGAAATGAATCTGAATCTAAATTTTAACATCATCCTGAGGGTTACTTGAAATAAGCAATCATTCCATGCACTCCCCCGAGAAAGGATGTCTATACTGCGCACATATGCGACCTCTCATGCCCACTACAAGGGCCCGGCTTGAGAGCATAGAAAAGCATATTCCCTCATGCCTTCCGCATCATCTCCTTCTTGTCTGGGGTGTTGAATTTGCTGGGTCCATCTGCATGTGGTGCTTGCTCTGAATACAAGATGCCTCGTGAATACAAGAGGCATCAAAAGTGATGTGCACCTGTAGAGCCTCTTGTAGGCGGTCTCTGTGGCCTTGGGGTCCCCCACACCGGGGGGCAGTCCTCCCGTCAGCAGCACCTCTGTGATCCCCTCAGGAGCAGCGCTCAGATACCTCACCTGCACCCGTTATTACATTTCCTCACCCCCCCGCCCATCAATCCCACATTTTCCCATCACAGAAACTTTTTACTCTTCCGTTGGCCCAGGCTGGCATTTGGTATACACACTGTGCCCAGTGTTGACTGGCAAGCGCAGAAAGGGGCAGAATACACGGCAGCCTTCACTTACAGATTGCCTGGAAACACATGTTTCCTCTGGCAGGAAAAATGCGTGACAATTACAAGAAGAATGATAATTATAAAATCGGCTGCACCTCAAATGAAAAAGACTGCCAAAGCTGACTAGAAACACAGGGGCAGACAAGAAATCTAGAGAGTGAACGCGCCGCGCAGAAGCCGCCAAATGACTGCCCCAGGAGCGTCCAGCGGCCGCCACCTGGCGCGTCGGGGGGCACCATTGCCATGCGCACCGCCTCAGCATCCCTCACTATGTTGTCCGCCCTGCACATCACCTCAAAGGTTGTGTGCACAGCTATTTATATGATTCGGCCTTCTGATAAGTACTATAGCGCGCATCTTGCCAGTTTGCTAAAGGTCTGCAACACATGCAATAGCCCAGCCGAATTTTGCGCTTTAGTCATGATGATCTCCTCAAGTTGTTGTTCAATGGTAGACTTCCCGTCTGCAATGGTTTTCTGCTATCGATCCATTGCTCAAGTGTGCTGCATCCTGCAAGCAAGATCTGGCACACGCACACCGGAAGCCTTCTGCGTCGCTTCCTTGACCGCACAATTTTGCGTAAAAGAGGACCTAGCTCTTCGGCGAAGAGACACCCCCCGCAGAGTCTGCATCAATGCACCCTTGTCAACCTGTTTCAATTGCCACCCTCTCCCCAGCTGTGCCTCCTTCAGCGCTGATGACATGCACCTGACACCTGTTACACACCCAAAAACCTGCAGCTGAACAGCTGTGCTCACCTGAAGTGCGCCAAGTACTCGGCCTGCGCGCGGGAGTCGCCGACGCGCGATAGAGACTGTGTAGTGATGGCGCTGGAACGGCCGGTGCCGCGCTGGTCCAACATGATCACCCTGAAGTGCTGCACCGCCGCCTTCAGCCACGCGCTCGCCTCTGTCGGCCGCGGCGCCTCAAACCCAGGGCCCCCTGCGCGGTTATTATAGTAACTTCACGCTTGTCCTGCCAAGAGGCAAGGTGCGCATCCTGCAGACAAGCTGTAGTTGAAGGGTGCCATAATCCTGACCCTTGTTGGACTCGCGAGATCCATGCCACACCCAATCAACCGTGGGCACAGTGATCAGTATCGGATACCGCCCCCCCCGTCAGCCGGGGCGATTGGAGGTCCCCAATTTGATTGAGATTTTTAGATGGACTGCTTCCTGTCTAGCGGCCTCTCTTGTGGCCCCCTTAGGTGCAAGACAAGCCTGGTGCTTTTCATCAAGGCTCGGAGGCTCCAAGACATCCTCAAGATGCTATTATAATCGGTCCTCCGATATGCATGCAGAAGGTGGGACCACTGTTTGGGATACTGCCGTCTCGAGGAAGGGTCACTCGCCTTGCAGGAAGAGCAGGTAGGGCAGCTGGTGTTTGTTGCGGCTGTAGGCCACCACCTCTCGGACGTAGATGTCGATGGTACCTTTGGCCTCATCGGCATAGTCCAATGGCACTGAGAAGGTGTGGTCTGTTAGCGCCAAGCCTGACATGGCATTGGCGGAGGCAAATCAGAGGCACTCGATAGTGACAATAAATTACGAAAAAGAAAGGTCTAACTAATTGGTAAGTCTATTCTTGGGCGCCCGATATGTCCTCTGAGCCCAGTGATGGCCAAGCTATTAAGCAGTGCCAGGCTGGGTCACCAATCCGATTACAGTGCGGACAACAATGTCAGATCCTCGTATCAAAAGATTTCCTCTTGCTTTTGCTATGTTTTTTCAGCTTGTGCCCAACGTAGATAAAGGGCTGGCACCTCCAAGACCCACTTGTTGGTGGCCGAAAAACCTCACCTGGGACCACGAAAGACGATCCCACCGCATGATTCCCGGCAGGCCTGGCTCTAGGAAGCGCTGTCACATTAATGGTGTCTTCTAGCTTTGCCCGTTTCGTCCTGGTGCCCGCCATCAGAAGCGGGATGGGGCTCGCTTTCAGCGACCGCAACTGCCTTGTATACACTGTGCACCACCGCTGATGCAACACAGATCCCCTCAAATGTATCCAGGCCACCCCTAACATGTCCTTAATGCCTCTGTACGACAGGCTTCGCGGCAAGCTTCTCCATTATGAAATTCACATGGGCCGTCACCATACCGGTGACATCACTGGATGATGTCAACACTCCAAGCCTGCAGGAGGCCTCCTAGAAATTTGCTCTGTGTATACGACCGAGACAAAAAGTCAGTACATGCTTGAAGACCAAGTCGGTGCAACTGTTGCCTCCTGCTTTAGCCTGATAGCGTCTCCCCATAGTTTGTGATCTCATAATAAAAAGAGCTGATCTGTAGCCACAATACTGCGCTGTGGCTGCCTCAAACAGTAATCTCGAGCTTAGGTAATCTCTTGAAGAATAAAACGATCGCCAGGACACCTCGCTAGAGCCCTACTGCCTAGAGTCAAAAGCAGCCAACACTCATGGCTCGCAACCTACCGCAGAAAAAGACCAAATACAAGAATCCTCACAAGCAGGCAGCCGGGAAAAAGCATGTAAGGAAGCCAAAGCAGAGAAACGAAGCGCCAATCCTCGGTGAGCACTGTATCTCTTGGTCATATACCACCCCAGCCTCCTTGCTTGTAGAAGCCCCCGGTAAGCAACACAGATGTCATCTATGCCTGAAAAAACCGCATCTCAACGTTCTCTTTTTGTCCTCAACAGGGGATGACGATGATTTTGGTGACTTTACTGCCCCCGACACAGTGGATGACGGTGCAGCATTTTCTGGGAGGGTGCAGCTCGACGATGAGGATGCATTTGAGATGGCAGCTGGAAATGTAGACACACAGCAGGCAGCCGCAGGGTCCGCAGACCAGGCCAAGGCCCCAAAGAAGACCAGCAAGAAGCGGAAACAGCCTGGAAAGAAAGGGGACGCAGCCGCAGACGGGGACAAAGCTGCAGCCGTGGACGGCGACACTGTGCCACCCAAGAAGAAAAAGAAGAAGGTGAGAATTGCCTCTGAGGCTGGCCTTATGCATGCGCACCGAGTGAACCGTGCGAGTGTTACCACTGGCACCGCAAAGAAGTATTCTCGGCAGAGAGGTCTGCAAATTCACAGCTCACCTTGGCTTGAGAATGCTTATTGAGAGGGACAGGTGCATGCTGGGGGACTGCTGGAATCTTTCACTGACCAGCAAACAGCGAGGATCACGGTTGGCGGTGATGCAGGTGAAGAGGCAGCCGGCTGCAGAGTTTGAGGCGCAGAGAGCGGTGGCGGCAGACATTGCAGGCAGGCATCCGGCAGAGCAGGCTGCCTGGCTGCAAGACAGCTGGCGCGCCTGTTCTGGCGCCTCTGCTCTGGAGACTGAAGCGCTCTCAGGTACACAGGAACGCCGAGCGTGTTTATCTCACTTGCGTCCATATTGGTGCTGCATGGGATCGCCCTTATCTGCGTCATGCTAGTGCTCCTGCTGCTGCTGCTGCATATTTGCTGCAGCCTTGCATGGGCGCTAGAGTCCACCGCCGTGGTGTGAACACCACCAGGCTCAACAAAAATTGCGAACTTTGGGGCAACGATGCCTTAACATAATTAAACTGCATGCAGAGGCTGCTGTCGTGGCGCTGCCTGCGGAGGGCAGTTTTGAGGAGCGGCTGAAGGCGGCTGCCGGGGAAGCTGCGCTGCAGCTGACCGCGCGTGGCCTGCCCCACGGCAGTCCTGCGGCGATCCTTGTCTCCTCTGCTGCCATGGGCGCCGTTGGGCTCATCAAAATGCTGCCAGGCCTCAATAAGGTCCGCCCAATATCTAGACTCCTGATCTGCTGTCTAGCATGGTGTTCCATTGACATGATAATTGCTACAGCCTTGAATATATTAAGGAATGCCTCCCTTGCTCACATGGTGACCGTAGGTGATTGTGAACCGTTTCTTTAGACATCAGAGATATTGGAGGGTAAATAGAAGTAGCTGACATGCATTGCGAAATGAATGTGAATTTCTGTGCGCAGGAGTGTCGGATAGCAAAGCTGTTTGCAAAGCACTTCAAGGTGGCGGAGCAGCAGAAGCTGCTGGAAGGTGCCACCGTGGGCGTTGCCAGCGGCACACCAAATCGCCTGTGTAAGCTGGCCGATCTGGGCGCCCTGAAAACAGACCACCTTCAGCTGCTAGTAGTGGACGTGCACCTGGATGCCAAACAGCGGTAAGATTAAATGTGGTAGAACGCTCGTTTGGACACATTGCATTCCTAGGATGTCATTGTCAGGACACTTAGCAGCATTTTGACATGGAGGGGTTCTATAATATGATGGGGTGATTGAAGGTAGTTTTGAATATGCTGACTTTCTTACGGGGTGGATCAAGCATGGGTGCTGAGATTTGGGTGAGTGTGCAGGACGATATTGGACATTCCAGAGACTCGTGGGGACTTCTGGGACTTTTTCGCCAAGCATGTGGCCCCAGGCACGGCAGCTGGCCGCACCAAGGTGGTGCTGATAGATGGAGAGAAGCTCATGAGCTAAAGAGAGAGATTGTGAAGAAGATAATGACTCCTGCTGGCAGAGAGGCGCCAGCTAGCTACTTGAATTGCCAAGCGTGTTGGTGCAAATTATGTATCTGTCATATAGCGCATACATCATGACACATCGCATGACATGCAAGGCAGTGCGACTGCCAAATAGCGTCAAACTGCAACGCTTGGAACGCATGCATGAGCTTTTGACCTCCAAACAGCTGTTTCAAATAGTGTACAAAGCTATCAGTCACGTCATGTGCACATCAAATTTTGCTCTGCCTATCTAAACGGGCCAGCCACTAGCTAGGTCTTGTTGAGTAGCATGTTGCAAGCCTGGGTGATCCGCAGGAACTGCTCCGTGCATCCGTTGTTCTTGTCAGGGTGCAGGCGCAGAGCCGCTTTGCGCCATGCCCTCCTGCACATGATTGAATCAGGTCCACATCAGGCACTCCTCGACTCTTGACTCTGTCGTACGCATGCATCCTTCCAGGACTGATCCCTGGAATTTAGGGCCAACCTTGCAAATCTTTTGGCACTAGCTCAGCTGTCTAGTATAGGCTGTGTCCTGCATCACTCAAGTCATGCAGGACTGAGCTCATTTGAATTCGAGAGTTTTGGATGCGTGCCTGATCTGGCGCTCGCTTGCATTGACATCCACACGGAGCGCGGCGGCCGCGTCGCGGGCGGCAGCTTCCACCAACAAGGAAGCTGTGCGCTTGCGCTCGGCCCTTGCTGACCTGGCCGCCTCTTCCTCGGCCCTCTTTCTGTCCTCCTGCGCCTTCCACTCCTGCATGGAAACCAACACATGCCGTTGACATCAACATGACATGCTTGGCATACCACTTGAGCATTCCAATCTGCTGAGGTCCACATCGTTTGCAGTACTGCTTACATCCGCGGGGATCCTTATTCTGTGCTTGTAGCCTGCAATATTTGGTGGCGCTGTGTCAATTTAATCATGCCAGGAACAGAAAGCTGTCCTCATCCAAAGAAGAAGGAGTGTCCAACGAAAGTGAGCGGCTTGCCTGGTCAATGCTGTGCTTGTCGGTGGCGCAGCCGCACTGCGAGCAGAACAGCATCACGTTGGGGTCATTTGCGTCAGCGGCGCAAAACCATATCTCAAATCCGTCGCATGCGCTGCAGCCCTCACACCTACTCCGCACCGCCTGTTGCATGCATAATTTTAACGGTTTTTTTCATTCCTGATTTCCATCATCGCACCCGATCATATATCAAGCTGCAGACACTTCATACATATTATCAAGGTGACTTTGAGGTGGTGCAACAACTAGTTCTTGAGTGGTGGACTACAGTGACTGATCATTGAACTTCAAGCTGTCGCGCCTCGCAATAAAATACTTTTAGTCTCAAACTAGTTCTTGCCTGGGTGATGCCATCACAGCGCGTCCGCTGAAGGACCTCTCCACTGCTCTCAGCCTCTTTCACCCGCTGCTGCGCTGCTGCCACCCGGTCCAGTCTCTCCTACAAGCATCCATACACCTTTCCAGCAAAGCCAACGCTCCGAACTGTCAGCCTATCAAGATTGAGCTGACATGCACCTTCTAAAGGAACAAGGGCTGTTTTATGCATCCGTCACATGATGCATTAGCAAGAGATCAAATGACGGCTGACGGGCTGTTCAACGGTGTGGTTTGCAAGTGTTGAGAGCCCACCTGTTCCTCCGGACTGACAGCAGGCGGCGGCCGCTGACTTTCTGCACTGGGTGTACTTTTGCTTTTAACCGTCCCGTTATGTGCTTCTGTTTTCTGACTCCCATGTGCACTCTCTGTGTGGCCTTGTTCACTGTTCACATGCCCATTTGCTGCAGAGGTGGTCTCTGCTGAGATGTGACATGTGCACCGCTGGTGCTTGCTCTGCCATTTCAGGTAGGCCTCTTTTCTCTTCTCCAGCTCACCAATCTCACACTTAAGTTGCTGCACAGCTTCCTCGAGAGAAGCCTTCTCCTGTCTCAGACCCGCCACCTCAGCTCTCAATTTTGCGGCATCCTCTCTGTTCACACCACTTTTTGACACATCTTCCTCCCCTGACACAATGTCCGCTCTGCCTGCCTCTGTTCGGCTATGTGTGTGCTGTGATGTTGAGGGTCCTTCTGCCGCTTCTCCATTGTCTGACCTGGTGGCTTCACCCTCTGTGGAGCATTGAGAGGCTGCAGGGACTTCTCTGGCAGCTGGCACGCTTTGGTTTGGCTGAAGCACATGCGAGTTGATGGGAGCTGTGCCATTACTCTCATGGTCCAGGTCTTGTTGTTGTTCAGCAGGCGGTGTATGCTTAGGCTCCTCACTAGCGCTCCCCTGCTTCGCTGCAGCCGCCTACCACAACCAACAAAGCCGATTCCCTTCCATCCATGTTGAATGAGCACAGCTTGGACGGCATAACACAGCGGGGTCCATGTGCCTCCGCACCGCCCATTCATCAGCCAATGGCATCGTCCTGATGCTGTCTATATGCAAATCAGATCAAATCATGCAACCTCCTTGGTGATCATTATGCACAGGTGCTCTTCTGCTCTTCCCTTCAGCAACCTGGAAGTGTGACGAAATGTTTCAACTTCTTTGCGGACGATTCTGCACACCTGGGCAGATCTGAGTGCAGCTGTGTACTCCTTGCTGGCTGGAGCGAGCGCAACGCACAACTGGTAGCATGCAGCAGCCTGCGTGAATTTTCTGAGGCCGACTTTGGCCGCCGCCAGCCGCGCATGCGCCTTCGGCCAGTCCTGGCGCAGCGACACCGCCTTCTCTGCATCAGCCTCTGCCTGTGCAAACCTGCACCCGCATGCACCTCAACATGCTGCAATAGGCGAGCTTGCAAATTGCATGCGCAACCGTGGCTGTTATTATTTTTGAAGTCGTCATGCCGCGGCACACGTTGTGCGTTTATTGGGGCACTTTGTCAGCCCCGCTCAATTGAATGCCCCGTAGGACATGAGGCCTCGCCCTGGACTTGGCCGCAGAGTCAAGCCTGAAAGCTGCGAGAGCCACGGCTTCTTTCTGCATGCCAGAGTCGGTGGCCTTCAGGCAAGGATTACTAAAATCTCCTATCAACATATGCATGAGCACAGTCTGATTCACACGCACCAGCGCATGGCGAGGTAAGCGGCGGAGCGGTTGCTAAGCAGCACGGCGCTGTGCGGCTGCTCCGCAAGCGCGCGGCTGTAATGCACGACGGCTGCCGCGAACTGGCCGCGTGCGAATGAGTCATTGCCGGCTTCGCGCTCGTTCTCTGCGATCAGTGCCTCGTGGGAAGCCGGCGGGCAGCCGCAGCGGCTGCAGTCGATGATGCTCAGGTCGTTGTCCGGATGCTTCCGCCGCTGCAGGGATGACAGTTTTGTTCAAAAATTCATTGCGGTGCTTATCGTGTTCATGAATTGATCGTGAAAGAGAAACCGCAGCGTGTAGATCGCACAGAAATTTGTGTGTAAAGGACATACATAATAGAAATCTAGAAGGCAGGTTTTGGTGTGCCTGGCATACCCCACGGTCCTTGGTGCTGACGGTGTAGTCGGCCGTGGCTTTCCAGTAGCCTCCGCACTTCGTACACTGTGCACAGCCAAACGTTGCCATAAGATTGTTCTCATTGTTTGAACTTGGCATCCAACTCTCGAGAAATTTGCAGAGAGCATCGCTAAAATTGAGCAAGTTGAGGAGGATCATCGCTCACCCCGCTGCATCTTCCCCTGACGACACCGAAGATGTCTCGATTGGTGTATTGATCAGTAAGATATTTGTCATTCACGCCATTTACTGCCATGTACCACCTACTGTGTGTCCGATGAACTCCTGCTCGGTCAGTGTGCAGCCAACAGACGACCAGAATGGCTCGGTAACTTATTCAAATTCTTTGAATGTTCAAATCTAGACAATTGGCGTGCATTTCTGACTGACTTCGGTCATCTTGTCTGTGGAGGCCTGAGTTACATGTAACGTCGAGCCCCGTTATGCGGACACGTTACGCCAGCTCAAAGCACAACTCAGCGGCCAAAGCTGCACATTGATTTATCCTTCTTCCAGACCATACACATCAGATCATAGCCAATTGTCAGCGAGGGACTTATTGGGCTGTTTGGATGTGCATATAGGCAACAGTCCTGTAAACTGCTGGTTTGGGCACTCCATGTCATCTTCTAGGGCAGCAGCACGATTTGCATGCAGGGTTGTGCGTACATCCAGAAATACCGTGCACACAACTCCCTGCTCTAGCACACCCAGGAGGACGCCACAATGTGAGCCTACAAGGCCCTCGCAGAACTCAGCAACACCTAGGATGCGATGTGAGGAAGCCAAAAGAAGCTACACATCCAACAGGTGCGTGCAAGGCCAATTTGATTTATTGTACTTGATGAGTAAGCTGTGCTATTCTGTCGAGCTAAGCGTTGCGTTGAAGGATGGTTCCGCCCTTCAGTGCTGAGGATTGGTTTGTTTTGTGCTGCAGTCTGGGAAGTGTGAGGCGACCCCTGCTGTCTCAACTGCCAGCTGCATTGCGACTTGCCCTCTCTAGGCAATCCTCGCTCCTTCTCTTCAATTGGGACGGTGAGAATCCCTATGTCTAGTGCACATGCATCGAACCGTTCTCACTCTTTATTTCAAATAGGCCCACTGTGGTGCATATACCATCAAGTGAGCGTCCAGCTTTCTTTTCTGCAGTGTTGGAGGATGCCTGATAGGAGTTTGCGCTTGCCTGGAGGTCAGCATACCCAGGGCAAGTTCTTGACATGTCTGCACATCTCTTGAATTCCATCAAGTAAGGCACCTTCCTTGGCGGGGGTGCAGGTGACGAGGACCGATAGTGACAGAGCGATGTGCAGATGATGAACGCAGGTGAAGAGGATCGGTGAATAAGGATGTTCCTTTAGCGACGCAAAGAGATCCTCCGCCTTTAGAGATAGCTGGCAGACAGACAAGCATTGAGACCCTTGTCCTGCAAGAAGAACAGTGTCTGCTGAATCGTTTGCAGTGTGTATGGGTAGCCATGTGACAACACGTTAAGTTATCGGACTTGCTGTGATTGGTCAGGGGCGGCTGAGCCGACAATGTCAGAATTGTTCCCACTGAAGATGTAATGTGACACTGTCATGCAATGCCAACATTGCAGCTGCAAGCGAAAATGCATGTCACACGTGCCTAGGGTAGGGCCATGATTTTGATGAGTGGTAACACAGTAACTTCAAATGCAGTCGAATCGATGACCTAATTGAAGGAAAACGGCCATCGGCACACGCGCATGCAGCAGTTGCAAAGGCAATTGCGTGCCATACATTGCGACTTTAGAGAGCCTTACAAATATACAAGAGGCGCATCACATTCATGCACCCTTCCATACATAATGATGTATGGTTGCAAGGATGGAATATTACACAGCTATGGTCTGTTCGCACCAAGCAGTGTCCTGCTGCAAATGTTATCTTTATAACCGCCCTGACATCTCCTAGAGTACAAGTCAGTGCCGCAGACCACCATAGATAGTGTACTTCCCTGTTGAGAACCGAAACAGCTAGGGCAGCATCTACATACAATCTGTTCTACATGAGGTTCTGTGCAACAATCCTAGTTCAATTGCGCAGCGACTGCTTTCATGTCCCATGGAAAATGACACGAGCAGATGGAAAAGGAGTCCTGCAAAAATCCAGGGAGCCTCAAAGTGGATTCTTGTTTTGTTGAGGGATCCCGTGGGCGCCTAGCAATGCCTGCTGTCATGCAGGGCTTCTTGTCTGCAGCCCAAGCAGATATTTGCCTGACAAAATATGGTAAGCTTGATGAGACCCCAATATCAGTCATGAGCCGCTCAGAAATATCATGCTGCCAGTATGATAGGTGCATTGCTTGGAAAGAGGGCGCTTCACAAGCTGACTTGGTCTCTTTGACTAGGGCCTTGCTGTCTGCTGCTGCACTGCTTGCGCTCCTTCTTCAGGAGAAGAAAGAATGCCATACACTTAGCAGACGCACGCTGCATGCTACCTAGCACGCTTGGTCGTCTGATATAGCACCAGTCCCTTTCCTCACCAATGCACTCATTCCTTAGACAGCTGGAGCCCCAAGTCATTGCCAAAGCACCTGCGGGTTAGAAGGCTTCTACGCAAAAGTTATGGGTCCGCAGAGAAGGCCTCTAGGCAACAACCCATCTATGCAGCTCCTGTGTCTAACACCGCATTGGGAAGGATTGCCAAACATTGTGCTTGCTGACATCAGCGAGGCAACACAGTGGAAATCCTTAGGCGGTCATCGCCAAATTATATCCTCCTATTCACCTGATGTCAGCGTGACTCAGCAGAGGGGGAGGAAACGCCGCTGATCAAGCCTACGCCACTGGTGCTGACATCAGCGCGGCGACTCAGTAGAAGTCCTCGAGGCGGTCGTCGCCGGGGTCGTCCGGGAGGGCGCGCCGTCGGACGGGCTTGGTCTCCGCCACGTCATCGTCATCGCTGCCCGGGTGCAGGCGGCAGGGCTCCCATTGCACCACGCTGCCGTCAAAGGAGGTCGTCACCAGCATCGGCTCGCTCGGGTGCCAGGAAAGGTCGCGCACAATCTCGTGGTGGTACCGCAGCTGGTCCACCGTGCGCCCGGTCACAATGTCTGCATGCGCGCGAAATTTGCAGATTTAGCATTGGAATAGGATGTGGGCATACGCAGTGGTGTAAGCACTGACACTTTGTGCGCATCAGCTGAGCTTGTGTAGCAAGCTGCATCAAATGAGCCTTGTCATAGTTCCACAGGTGATGGAGATTGCTTGTGGGAAGAATGCAGAGTGGAACCGATTCACCTGAGGAATACAAAAGGCTCGTGACACCAACATGGCAATTCATCGTAAAGGGAGCCGGACGAGAAAGGCTCACAGCAGGGCAGAAATCAGCCACACAGGAGCCAGAAGCGCAGAGTATCCACTACACCTACTTCTATAAGTTTAATTGAGGCCGCGACTTGGAGAAGTCCCAACTGCGGAATTACCACTTTAAGGAGCCAACATTCAGGCACAAGCGATATTGTGCTTGCCATGCCCCTGAATCACCCAGGCTCTTATCCAGTGCAGTGTCAGGTGCAGGGTGCACTGAATTGAAGCAATCTAGAGTGTAGAAGGAGTATAAAGCGCGCACCATAGATGCGGACGGAGCCGTCGGCGGAGCCAGTGTACACGTAGCGCTGGCCGGTGGTGTGGGCAGGCGAGAAATATGCGCGGATGAGCGTCTGCAGCACCGAGTGGCCGCGGAAGGCCTGCACGCTGACATCTTGCGGGTGGGGCACTATGTAGCCGCGCGCCGGGAAATCTGCCCACCGGTAGTCCCTGCGCGCGCACGAAATTGAAAAGTCGAGTCCAAAGTTGAGGATGTTTGAAGAACAGCCTCAACCCTGCTTCTTGCGGAGAAGGAGATCCCTCTGCCAGCTAGCCCCTCATTGCCCATTGTAGATCGCTTGGATTTCATCCCATGTCTGGAGCTGGTTCAAGCAGCGACCCGAAGAAACAAGGGCTTGCTGAGGCGCTCCAGAGATTCTCAAAGATGCAAGACCAAAAGATTTCTTAGTGACAACGATTACCAAAAGCTTCTACTTGAGAGGAAGCGCAGGGCGTTTAGCTTGCCAGCAGCACCAACAAGAGGTTGTCCTTGCCAGAGCATGCATGCGATCGGGCTGTAGAATCCCAGCCATCCATTCGCCCACAGCACAGCGCTAGAGTGCTCTGCACATCTAAACCATGCAGAGACTCGGACCTTCTAAAGCCGGTCATGCTCAGTACTGCAGAACCTTTTCGAGCTTGTTACATCACCGTCACTTGCATTAATGCAGAAACGCCAGGAATATGACCCTGAGCACCAAAAAATTTACACTTGTGCAAATAGAGCGCAGCGTTTCCAGCACACAACGGCAAAGCTGCCTGTGCACTGATTGTGAATGGCAGGACGTACCAGTTGCCAAAGGAGGGAATGGTGGGCCGCGGCAGCCTGCTGTACTCATGAGAGCTGTACATCTGCAGCAGAACAAACCGCACATCTCATTGGCACGGGAAGTGACAACATGAGCTCTCGGCTGGGACTGTCAGAACCATCGCGAAGGGTGGACATGTCATCAGTGTGACCACTTCATTGACAACATGCACGCCGTAGCGTCAACCTCTGACAGTCGTAAGTCCCTTCGGAAATCTCCACATCAGCTGCATAAACTACACTTTTGTACATTGATTTTCTCTAAGTTGGGCACGACATTACATCCAAATTGCAGATGATAAATGCAGGGGGTTAAGATTGCCCGCACCTTGCGAACATCCCAGAGACGCGCAGTCTGGTCCTTGGAATTGGACAGCAGGTAACGGCCATCTCCCTTGGAGTCCAGATGAGTCAGCCCCTCGCTGTGCCCCACCAGCACGCCCGCCGGCTTGGCCCCTCTCCCCAGCGCCCTCCGATCCCACACCTGTGCATAGGGGGAAAATTGTTTTCTTATGGAACAGGGATTTGCCAATTCACTAATAAAACAGTGCCCAAATGGGTCCAACACTTGCAGTCTTCCCAAAATGAAGCTGTGTTGCAGGACTGACTCAGACAAGCAAGAAGCCGGCAGAGCTGAGCGGCAGAGCTCATTGGCGGTCCAGAATCGGTTCAGCATCTCCTTCAAAATTGCCAGGGTGCAGATGATGCAGTATGCAAAAACTGCCACTGCCCACATGGCCAACATGCATGCGACAGGTATGCAATTAAGGGATACCAAAATAGCCTCACATACTTCACACCAGCATGTGACGAGCAGCGAAAGGCAAGGGTTGGAAGCATGCTCGTGCCCAAAGCACTGCAGATGATCTTGCATTATCAAGTTCATCTAGTGATGCAGCCCCAGAGGCAGAGCATCACGATGTGAAAAGAGGTGGTGATGGGAGCTCGCCTTGATCAGGGTGTCATCAGAGCCCGAGGCAATGATGTGCGAGCTCTCATCCATGAATGCAACCGCATTGACATCGTCCTGGTGCCCTGTGATCCTCAGCACCGTCTGCGCCACACCCACGCCAGTCCATCAATACAAGAAAGGTTTGTAGTTGCAGTCAGGTAATATCTTATTGAGCACGATTGAAGCGGCCTTGCTCGCTCACTGGGACAGGCATGGCCAGGATAATGGCTTCTACATGCACTCAGATGCAGCAAGTAACCTTTACTCACCAAGGGCTGACCTATATGGCCAAAAGACTACATGCTGCACGAAGTACACACAGAAGCCACCATCCTCCAGCAGCCACAAAGCTGCAAATTGATGGGTTTCACTACCAAGCATAGCAGAGAAACAATCCTACCACTGTAAAGCAAGGCCAACAGGCAGATTCTGCTGCATGCCTGAACCTGTCCTACATGCACCCTCACAGGCCATCAAACAATGCCCTGCAGGATTCAGCATCATCTGGCATGTGCCACTCAGACACAGGTGCAATATTCCACCCTGTACCGCTCCATGTTGTAGACGTACAGAGAGTGTCATGAACAACAAGCATAGTCTACTGCACGCCCCTGGAGTTAGGCCTTGCACACCAGCATGCAACCCCCTACAAGCCTCAGCACTCTCCGTGCATGTGCCACGTATGCACAACTGTGCCCCAAACTGCATATGAACCGTCAATATAGGCAGAAAACCCACCTTTTGCCGCTCCATGTTGTTGACATAGAGAGGGTGTCATGACCAGCAAGCCCCTACCAATCTGACAATTTCCAGTGCAGTTGTCACTCACGCACAGATGCAAGAAATCCACCTTTTGGCGCTCCATGTTGTAGACGTATAGGGAGTGGTCCCCGGTGCCGGCCACAACCTCGCGCCCATCGGCGCCCCAGCGAAGGCTCCAGATGCCAAAGCTGTGGTGGTAGTCGCTTGCTCCCTCGTTGTCCATCACGTCAAAGTGTAGCGCCTCGTGAATGTCCGTCACATTCGCCTCCGACTCCACCGCGCCCGTCCGCATGTTCACCTGCACAGCACATGCCATTACTGAGTTGTTGTCGCACTTACATGAAGCCGCATGCAGCACTTAATACAACTGCCTTTGTGCCGCGGTATGGCACAAATGTGAGCAGCCACTGCACGTCAGTGCATGTGATATTACTGGTAAGTTTTCCCCTGTCCCCTACATGTCCAACCCATGGGCACGAGGCAAGTTGTTGAGACCAGCAGCATCAGCAACAGCCTTCTAACCAAACACTGCACAAGGTCCATCACTGCCCCTTTCTTGCTCTGTAGACCTGTCTCTGCATCTTTAGAGAGAGAAAGGGAGAGCAATGAAGATCACGTAAACTCACGGTATGGGCAGCGGGGCGCTACCATGTGCAAGATTGGGTTGATTGAGCGTGGTGAAGATCAAGAAATCAAGGAGCAGGCAGTGGGGCTGTTATCATGTGCATGGTGGAATTCCTGGAGGGCGATATAGATCAAGTAGTCAAGGGGAAGGCAGAGGGGTTGTTACCATGTGCACTGTGGGGTTGATGGAGGCGTAGAGCAGGAATTGCTGGTCGGGGGAGAGGCAGGTGTCCGTTACAGTCCAGCGCAGATTACGGCAGTGCACATTCTTGCGCAGCCGCCAGCTGTTCTCCGTCTCGTACACGCGGATGCGCCGGTCGTGCTGGAACGCCGCTGCACAGACGCACACATGCCAGGTGAGCATCAGGGCAGCATTGTGTATGTGTTCCTTAAAGAAACACATCATTTATTGAAGTGATGGGTTCACTGCGTGCACGTAGCCACGAGCCGGAGTAGCATGCAATTGCGGGCACAGTGCAGCATTCGCAAGGATTTCAAGGCATCTTTGGACCTTCGTGAGCATTTTAACATGCCAAGCAAGGTCCAAAGAAGCTGAAGTACCCTTTCAGAGGGAGCACATAACGACAACTGCATGCTGCTGCACTTGAATGCCTCGAAGCAAATCTCAACCGAAGAACAAGAAGACTTCTCCGTTTGCCCTGAACGACACTGGCAAGTCATCTTGATAAGTCTTCACAAGTCTCACGGCCCCATATTGTCCAAACTGCACCCTCAACCTGATAGCGCGCCATATTTTGTGGATTCGTGTTCTCTGAACTCAGCTCCGGAGGCCATGCATTGCTGCATGATGCCAAGAATGTATCAGACACACAGGCTCGCGATCAGTGCGAGCCTCCTTTGATGCTCCTGCAACCCCCCATGCCTTCCATATACCATATCGAGCTTATTGGGAAATGCAGCACCCACCAATGAAGACATCCCCCTCTGCAGAGAACTGGCCGATGTAGGCGCGGCTCTGCATGCGGTCAATGAGCTCCACAGGGAAGTTGGGCCGGAACATGTGCGCGCCAAGGTGGCAGCGCTCTGGCGCATTGAAGCCCCCGTTGTGGCCCAGCATGTTGGCCTCCCTCATGCGCAGCAATGAATGCAGCTGCGCCACACCCTTGCTCCCGCCCTTGCCCTGCAGCCACAGCATTAGTGAGAAGCTTGGCATGCATGCCGGCGTGAATGTCAAAGCATGTGTCGAGCAAGGGCCGGACTACATCAAAACACAGGGCGTGTCTGGGCAGCATGAAGAGGAGCAGCAAAGTAAACACAGCGGCCTTGGGATCCAGAATTGTCATATATCCCAACATGGCCTGATTGGTTTGACCAAAATTCTTTACACACAAAGGATCCGGAAAGAAAGACAGGACTCAGGCAATACCGCAGCGCATGTGCTTTCCTCTGCTTCACATGATGAGAAGGGAGGGCCTGTCGTGCATAAAGGCATATGACAGGGAACAACACACAGTGCGCACCATCCTGTGTCTATGCCTGGGGTTGACAGCGCATGTGTGCGCATCCACAAGGTGGCTAATGTGGTGCTCAACGGGCTTGGGGTCATCTGGCACCCTCTCAAGCCTGCTGAGCTGCCCCTCTAACCGCATCCTCCTCTGCATGCGCGCAACACCTGTACATGCCCCGAGCAAAAATTTGGCACATGCATCATGACTGCCAAAATATTGGAATTCTTGCCTTACCACGCTTAGACAAGCCACAGTTTTGAGACATGCATCATGACTGCCGAGATATTGCACTTCTTATCTCACCATTCTCAGAGAGATCTGATCACAATGAATGCAAGTGTGAACTCTATGCGTAACCACGTCTCCCTGCTATTGGATGGGGATGATTCTGTGAGCAAAGCTGCTTACCATTGGAGATGAAGCTGATCTGTACTTCAGTGTCCTCGTCTGAGTCCTCATTGTCTGTCATATCGTAGTCATCATCGTCTAAGAAGCTAGCACTGTCCGAGCCACCAACAGCGACCCCTACAACATACTCCGGGTCTGTCTCCTCGCCTGCATTGCAAAACACACTGTGTATATCAGTCCCTTTTGCTAGCATCCCAGGGAGCTGTGCAATATACTCCCACGTGAATGATACATTGCTTTTTAACTTATCCGTAAGCCCGATCAAGCTTATCAGGAGAGCCTGCGTGGGGATTGGAAGCTCTTACTAGGGCTTCATGTACACCAATCTAACTGCTTCCGGTTGTTGCTTGGTGATACGCCATATGCAAGCGTTGCAAGAAAGATAATTGTGCACGATGCCGCACAGTCGCGTTCTGAAACCCTGTGTCTTGTTGCAACCACCCTTCACAACTACTCATGCACCACCTATACTAAGCGAACTGAGATTGCTATGCGCTGTGGCTCAGGAGGGTTATTTTCATAAAAAGTAATGCAGAACGCGACATCATCACCTGACATTGTTTCTGCGACCTCCCCAGTTGTCGCTGGTGTTGCATCCTCTTGTCCTTGCAAACTTTGTCTGGCATTCTCCCTGCGCTGCAGCCTGGCGCTCCGCCGTCGCGCAGCATGAGAGCTGACGCCGCCCCCCATGTTCAGATCGACGACAGGCATGTCACAGTGGCAAGCAATATCCTAACTTCAAATACTGGATGTCACAAGTGATTATCACCGATCTGCCAGCAAGGCCTGTCTAAATGGGATTTATTTTGGCCTGCATAGCATTTCTTAACGGGCAGTAGAGTTGCCCAGTTGGATTGCCTTGACAATCAGGCCTAAGGAGGGATCGCAACGGATGATCTCCACGCAACCCATTCTATGCAACTTACGAAGATTAGGGCATGCCATCTCCTTCATGCTATTTTTGGCATATGCACTTTTCTTGTTTATACTGCAACCACAGCGGTCCGCACATAGGTGCTTGCAACGTGAAGGCACTATCCTCCCCCACGTCTTGTTGCATCCGCTGTTCTTTGGAGCTCCCAGCCCCTCTTTTACAGCTTGACGTGGGCAGGCCATAACAAGCAGGTGAGGGATGCATCTGAGGATTAGCATATGCTAACGGCCAATTTAGTTGTGTAATACCGGTGTACACTTTCATCATCATGATAAAAGAGGTGTTACACACAAGACATGCATTCATTAGCGTATGTACAGCACTCATAAGAGGCATCCATTGCTTTCTGGCATGCAACAGAAAGAAATGGCAATAAGAGAAGATACCTACACAAAGCGTTCACTGCTCGTTGTAATCTCAAGACATTGTCAGTAGTTTTGATTTTCCGTTCAACATGTCCCTTTTCAAAGTTGATTTCCCCTTCTGTACTTGGTACTCACAACTTCTCTTCTTGAACTTTTGCACGCATGCACATCCATGATTGCCACAATTTGTCAAACTAACTAATTGTGTCTAACCACAAACAACGTAGTCATAAAGTTGAAGGTCGCTTGAAATCCAGGCAAATCCCGGTATCAACAGAAAAGGACAACATATGTACAGAGGCATCTTGCTGGTCTGAGCGCATGGTGACCATCCAGAGTTTCCCATTGAAACCCAGGCAAATCTCGGTACTAACAGAAAAGTACAACAGGCATCTTGCTGGTCTGAGCGCATGGAGACAATCCAGACTTTCCCATTGAAACCCAGGCAAATCCCGGTATTAACAGAAAAGTACAACAGGCATCCTGCTGGTCTGAGCGCATGGAGACAATCCAGACTTTCCCATTGAAACCCAGGCAAATCCCGGTATTAACAGAAAAGTACAACAGGCATCTTGCTGGTCTGAGCGCATGGAGACAATCCAGAATTTCCCATTGAAACCCAGGCAAATCCCGGTATTAACAGAAAAGTACAACAAGCATCTTGCTGGTCTGAGCGCATGGAGACAATCCAGAATTACCCAAAGCAAATGAGGTAAGTATGTACGCAGCCCACTCAAAGGAAGGTTACCGTATTTGAATGCGTACAACTAATCAACAGGGCTGCAATTCAGATCTGAGGGCTTGGGTTCCAATTATAAAGGCACTCTAGGGAGTAGCCTCGTTTCAGCATTGCAGAATTGCATGGAATACAAAAAAAACCGGTCTGTAAACAGAACACCCCACAACAAGGGAAGCATTCAGATCTGGCCTGGAAACATGTCATCATTCTGATCTCCACAGTTTGATGTTCAGATCTCAAGAGACTTGTGAACAGGGTTCATTCATTGTTGGGCACAACAATTGCCAGCATGCCAACAACAACAAATCCGTTTTCAAATTCAAAATACTTTTGTGCATCCAGAGTGAGAGCAAAAGCTGCAAGGTGGGATGCTATCAGCCAGGCACCCACACAGGCAGCAAGCAAATCAGGAATCTTAAATTGTCAAATTTAAGAATAAAAAAGCCCGAGAAGTCCATGAAATCACCTGGTGCCTGGTGAAAGACATCAACAATTGCAGCCCAGCAAAAAGCGCTGAATGAAATAGTCTCAACAAACCAACAGACCCTGAGGCTCGCAGCAGGGCCTTCTGCTGCACTTTTGGACTTGCTGTTTTTTCCGCCTGACTGATGGCAGGCGAAGTTTATCATTTGTGGCTTACTTCCCACATCATTGGCTTTTGCTTCAGCTTGCCAGCATCGATCAAGGAGCAGGTCTGTGAATATAGACACCCTACAGCCGCCTGAGTCATCACTGGGTCAGGTGAGTCACCTTGGGTGGGAGTTTGTCAGCGACGTCAGGAGAGGAGAGCTCAGGTGCTCAGCCGAGAGGCTCATACTAGGTTGACACAGTGAGGCCGCAAGGTTGGTTGTTAATGGAGGCGGATGTGGGCTTGAGTGCGGCAGGGTCGCTGAAGAAAACAATGGCTCCGATGTTTACCGTGTTGCCTCCAAAGGGATGCAGCGTGTCATAGATGCCCGGCACAAGTCCAGTCAGCTGCAGGCAAAGCACAGCACGCTCAGCATCTATATTCTCCCTGCTTAATAAGTCACTGGGTGACCTCTAGAGCCACAAGAGGCCACAGGGGAACCAGGGTGGGCTTACCCCTTCCGGTGTGATTGTGGCCTGCCACTCCCAGGGGTATGCAGCGCTGTAGGGGGCGGGGGAGGTTAGGGTTACGGTGTAGGGGGCAACAATGGTGTTGTCGGCAGGGGAGCGAAGATATATCTGCATCTCTGTCCCTTGCTGTGTGCCGCTCGCTGGCCACACAGGGCCCACCTGAAAATATCAGCAGAGAAATCCTCAAAAGAAATACATATAATGTAGCGGATCCCTCAGGAGCCAGCTTGCCCTGCTGGACATTGAAGGACCTGGCAGGACAGGCAAGCATGCACAGACAAGCCTGGCTTGGTAACAGAGCGAGTGAGTGTAAAAGGAGGGGATGCCTAAATGAAAACGTATTGAAATTGTGTCCAGAAACGACTAGGCAGCACAATGTCTAATCTACACAGCTTACTAGAAACCAGTGATGTTTTCACCCAGCAACGCTGGGAAGAGATGTCTCTGATGCTGATATGGTAGATGGGGCAGTCTATATATCTTCAAAGCAGCCTCCGCCATATGTCCTCTCCTCACAAATCTATGAAGATATGAGTTCCCTTGAAGTACTGTGGGTGAGAAACAGTACCGCGATGTTGATCTGGCACTTAAGGGGTCCGCTGGTGGCGGGAGGGGGTCCGCTGGTGGCAGGGGGGGGTCCGCTGGTGGCGGGAGGGGGTCCGCTGGTGGCAGGGGTGGGTCCGCTGGTGGCAGGAGGGGGTCCGCTGGTGGCAGAGCACAGGCTGCAGCGGCCGCAGCTGGCGTCGCATGTGCCGGGCCCCAGGAAATTGACCCTTGAGCAGTCGCGCTGATAAAAGCCCGCCTGCAGTTGCACACACAACGCCGTTGACTTTGGTGCACCTTGCACAGTATATCGCCAGAAATCCTCCGCCCCCCTCCCCATGACAAATAAAGTTATATACCATGCAGGAACAACTGGCGCTGAGTATGGTAATCTCAAATGTCTCAACCATCCAAGAGCGCTTGTGGCAGGGGCTGCTGTGTCATAATCTCTAATGCAGGCTTCAGAGGCGCTTCTGTATGCTCGAACAACCATCAGACATTCAGGTCTTGTAATGTGCCACTGGAAATTTTGCATGCATCAGCGGGCATCGCTACAAATGCCCCCGAAAACGGCGAGGTACAACTGCAGATCGCAGCACCGTCTTACATTAGCAATTCATCCCTTGGCTGTGTAATTGTATAGTGTAGAATGTGCAGTGAGCAGAGCTGGCACTCACCTGCTGCGGGCAAGTGAAGTCGGAGGATGGAGGTATGTCAAAGCAGGTGCAGGGGGGTGTCACTGGCGGGCATACCCCGGACGCGCATGCGAGCGTCTGCATGCAGACGTGACGAAGCGGTCAGCCAAATTAAGCTTCATGAGTTCCGCTCTGTATATACCACTGTCTGATTGGGTAACTGCCTGCTGATCATTAAGGTATGCACTGCTTTCCTGCAAGCATCTTGGATCAATCCGCAAGGCTTGCCAGAGGCGAAAGCAATGATTTCCATGTTACCAATTCTCAGATATTTCTGTAGCTTCAACAAGGGACTTTTAATCATCTTGATGACAATTAGGTACGTTTAAACTCTCCTGGCTTGAGGGTTATCAACGCGGTAATTCACTGTGGGCAGGGTCCGCACCCTGCTCTTCTGGTAGGCGATGGCGGCTGAGACGGGGCCGAAGGACACGTCGTCAATGCCAAAGTCATATCCGCCGCTGTCCCGTGCATTAACGTGCCACGGCACGAGCTCCCAGGGCATCATGGCCTTTGCGTCCGAGCGCTGCGCTGCGCTGAAGAGGTATTTGTAGAAGTCTGGACGGTAGATTGGGTACGCGTCTGCCTGCAGAACACACACACACACACACACACAACCCCGATTTTACTTCTGGAGCATTGTGTAATGCACCCCTCCTGGGTAACAAGGGAACCAGGTGCAAGCAAAAGAGCACATGCAAGCCATGGCCTTGCGCGCAGCATTGTACCACTGCACAGTCCAGAATGTCCTTGTGGTGTGCCGCTGAGGCTTGCATCAGCGGGGATGACTGATGGAACAATAACAATTCTACTAACTTCTGCTGCCCCCCACAATTAGATGCATGTGCCCTGTAGTATTTGGCCATGCTCAAATGCCAGAAACCCAGGCCCTGAAGACCCTTGCAACTGGATGGTGTTTAAACGCTTGTCATGCCGGTCTCCTCGAGGATGAAGGGCATGCGGAGTAATCCTAGTGGGAATGACCCTTGGAATGAGGGTATATATGTAACTCCTCAAACCTATGGATCTTGGGTTAATGACAGCCCACATTCATGCCGGTCTCCTAGCTCTGTATTTAATACCCTCTGTAAAAAGGGTGAGGAAGGCAACGCACATCCATGCCGGTCTCCTCGAGGATGAAGGGCTTGCCGATTGCGTTGGCGATCTGGGCGCGGCTGTAGATGAAGCTGTTGGCAAACTCCGCCACTCTGTCCGCAGGGATCCCCCAGCTGCCGGGGTCTGCATGCGCGCACAGCAAACGGGTCATCTAAAGGTTAATAAGCGACGTTCTAATTAGAACCACAGCTTGAATGAGGTCAAGCAACAAGCTTTCCACGTACGATGCAACAAAGCAAATCAGGCCCTCATGATGTCGCCAATCATGCCCCACCTGCCTGACTTTACTAAACAGGTACAGCCATACTTTATCAAGTAAGTATTGAGACACAAGATGGTCTAAGAACGCATGTCCTATCTTGTACCAGAAAAGCTTTCAGATCTCTTGCTTCATGCCTATAGGCAGCCTGCAGTGCATATGTTTTGGATCGTGTGGCAGCTCTACAGTCAGCAAGACAGCACTCGACCTTGTTAGGCACCATCTGCTGCACCATGCATGCCAAAGGGCTCGCAAGGCAAAGAGCCTGGACTCGCCAGGGCCCAAGAAAATTTCTTGCAGTCCTTTCTGACATCGGAGTTCTATTGTTCAGCATGGGAGGTGGCACGCACAGGCGTGGACGGTGCCAAAATCGATGTTAGGGTCCTGCAAATTCCGCCCAAAATCAACGCCCACAATGCCATTGTTGCGCCAGCCAGAATCAGGACCTCCAGTGCTGCTGAATCCCTCCTCTCCGGTTGTGATCTGCGCAAGCAGCAAAGAAGATCAGCGCGTGAGATTGTGACTCTTTTTTTTGTCAGGACAGATTCACAATCTCTTCAGCCAAGACATCACAATTTAGAGAAGTTGTGCCCTGTTGTCTACATGAGGATTCTCTCGCAGCTTTCCCCAATACTTTGTGCCATTGTGTGTAGATAGCATGGATCACACGTCAAATTGACAACAGTACTGCAGGTCAGACAGCTGTGCAAGGCAGCAAGCTGTTGCGTCCGGTGTTTTTTGAGCGAGGAGCCAATTATAAGCAGCTTCAGGACGCATGCATGACTGCAATGTCCGAAGAGACAGAGGGATGTAGCTCCTTGATGAAGCTCAACCATATCCCAAGGACAGTGCACGCAAGCAATTGACAGACACAGCAGCAGTCAAAGATGCGTCCGCACCATGTGGTTGGGGTCGAGGCTGCGGATGTAGGCGGCCATTTCAGCGACCCATGCGCGCACGAGTGAGGTCCGGGGAACTCCGATCCTGTCTTCATAGCCGTCGTTGCAGCGGGGCTCATTCGCGAGCTCCCATGCGAAGACCGTGGGGTCATTGATGTATGCCACTCCAGTGATAGTGTTGACGCGCGTCACAATCTTCTTCACGTAGTTCTTGTACGCCTGCGGCATGCATGCACGGGAACAGCTGCTGAGTCATCATATGTCAAATTGCATGCTTATTCAGCATATCTTGCTGCCGGCTGAGAAGGCATGTATCATGCTGTCAATATTCTTCCGGTCTCAGCAGTGATTTGGTGCTGAGGTCACCAAAAAAGTAGGAAACGCCTTGAAGCTTGAAACATGACGCCATGGACTTGTTCATTCGAGAGGTCACACAAAGCTTGTGGCAGAGGGAAGTGGTGGCAGCTGCAAAGACAGTGGCATGTGTCTCCGGAGGTGCAAATGGTGCAAATAGTGCATCACCTGCTTGACTATGGTGCTGGTGTAGAACTCCTCCAGAGCATGTCCACGCCCCAGGAGCTGCAGTATGCATGCAAGAGTCACCATCACAATACTCTGCACATGCAAAATGAGAACACACAGAAAGACACCATTCGAATCCAAACCTTTATCCTTTAAATAAACACGCACCAGAATGACAAAGGTCCATGTACAGGATGGTGGTGATTTCCATCAAGGGGGAAATGCTCACTTGCAACAGGAAATCGAGAAGCAGAGCATGGAAAATGCATGCCTTGCAGGTGTGGCAAAGGCAGCAGATATACAAACAGATAGAGAAGCGTTCATACCTGTGTGACATACCACTGCATGCCTCCCAGGTCGGGCCAGAAGTTGACAAAGGGCAGGATGATGCGCACGCCGTTGGAATTTGCCTCGGCAAAGATCAGATCTAGGCGCCGCAGTGACTGCTCGTTGTAGACCCCGATCTGGTGCAGCAATGATTCAGTCGGTTAGACACCCTACATTGCTTCCAGGTGTTCTTATGCATGACCGCAGTTCTCACAGCATCAGTACAGTCAGCACTTGACTGAATTTGAGGTACATAAGTAAAGCCCATGTGTGGTGAGTCTGTCGGTCAGTCACATTCCACAACTTGCAGTCAACTTCAGTATAGAGGTGATCTGATGGCTGGATCTGGATCTAAATATTAGGGTCAGTGCACAGCATGACAGTAGAAGAGAGCTACTACATGGGTGAGCTTGTCAGGACTTCGTGGCAACATGGCAGGGGAAAGCATTCTTCAGAAAGTGAGCTGCGCTAGGAATTATTTTTCAGGAATGGTGAGAAAGGGGGATTACCGAGGGCTGTATAGAGACGCCAGCAGTGTAGGGATCGTCCTGGCCATTCAGGAAGCCCCAAGTCCTGATCAAGTCGATGCCGTTCTCAGACATCACCTGCTTGCACACCCCGCGGCTGGGTACACACCTCCTAGCTAGCAATATCAGTAACCAGAACGGCTGGTAGTTACTTAAACGCAAGTAAGTGGCACTACGAATCTGTGCAGAGCAGAGGATGCATCCTACCCTGAAGAAGAGCCTGACTTGGTCGTCCGAAAGGTAGCTCCTGCAGAGCATACCGGCTCTTGGATTCTTGCGCCCAACCCACTCGTTAAAGACTGCAGATATGACAGTATTATGGTTCCGAAACAACAGCAAGGGCGTACGGCACGAGTACGGCACCTGAGGATGAGAAAGTAATCGTTTGACCCGCTAAAGTACGTGATCTTGCCGTTGAGCACGAAGTTGGTGCCGCTGGTGCCGACAAAGCCAACGTTTCCACCAGATTCAATCTTTGCCGCAAGCTCTCTGTTTTCCAACGGCGCGAAGGAATCATCCGTTGGCTGGGAGGGCAAAGTGTACTTGTCACTGCGATTGAACTCCGCCGAGCCAGAGTATCCACTCTGAAAATTTACACTTGATGCACGCTGCTGGAACTCGGGTTGGGGTGCCAATATGTACTTGTCACTGCTTTCAAACGCGCTGGCAGGACTTGGGCCTTGTACTGTGCCCACAAATTGAGACGGTGCCTGTGCAGTTTGCGCTTCTGCTGTGGCCATTATGGCGCAAAGTACCACCAACATACGTGCCGTGCTCATGCTTTCTACCAGATGGATACAGTCAGGCGCTCAGCATCTTCAAATATACAGATGGCGGGTTGTTTTCAGGGCCTGGAAAAGGCAGCCCAACACCTTATCTCGCGACAGGTTGCACAATAGCAGGACTGGTTGGCGGAAATGTGATAGACAGACAGGACAGAAGGGACAACACGAATATTTTGAAAGGGATAGTACGACGGTTGTCGACAGATGCCACCTGAGCAGAGCAGCCAAATCAGGCAACCCCCTGGCCATTTTGAAGTCAGAGGTGCAATGTCACCACCCGTTGCTGACGCCATTAAGTGGTGGTAGCATGGACTGTCTCGTGCACAGTTGGGAAAAGGGCCGTTGCCAGCGCTGCGCATGCATGGCCCATGCCGGTCATGACTGATCAGGCTGGTAATCCCATGGGTTTTACAGACTCTTACTGATACCTGGGCTCATTCAGTCGTGCATGTCTGAAATTCTGAAATTCGATTCCCCAACAACTCAGTGTTTGTAGGCCTTCTGTTGCCGGCTGGGATGTGCTGAGGCTTGACTTAAATATAAACTGTGCAGTCACCTTATTTTTATATATATTAGCCATGCAGGAGGCACTACTAGTTGACGTGCATGGATTTGAACTGAATCGTACATGCATGACTCCAGAGCTGGTGCTGGAGCGCATGCAGCCTAAGGAAGAAATTCCTGTGAAGGCACAGGCGCAGAATCTGCGGAGGCACCTCAGATCCTGTGGGAGACCTTGGCACTCTGCCAAGAATTCTTCGCCTTGAAACGCTACTTCGAAGTACTACGGTAGCGAGCAAGATGTGGCCTTCAGCAATCTACCGCATGCTGTGGGTTCACTCGTTGATACTAGCCTTGGCGAGAGGTGATTCCTCTTCGGCACTCGTGGAGCTCTGCATCTATGTTGCAGCTTCCTGTGGCATGCATGTCTTCATCATGCAATCTAGATCTCTGCTCTGAACTCTCAGAACTGAGAACTATGAGAACCACAAAGAATGTCCGGGACTGTCTGCAGACGTCTGATCATGTAACTATGTCTGATAATATCTGATAGAAAACCACGTCCTGAGCCTTGGGTTGGACAGGATCTTGCAGGTCTTGATTGGTGGTCGATGTACCTGAAGATGATGTGAGTTGCTTTGCGTGTATTTACATTTACTTATTTGCAGGAAGCATGACAAGGCTACGCGAGCAGTGGAGGCCTTGAGGAAGGCTGCAGGGGGCAGCAACCATGGGCAGAAATGATCACTAGCACAGCTGTCCTGCAGGTCCCCCAGTTTGCCATCTGCATGCAAGCTTTCGAGGGTGATGAGGTATTCAAGGGTGGTCTGCACATAGGCACTTGCAATGTGTAGGCACTGTCATTCACGTCTCTTTGAATTTGCTGTTTCTTGGAGCACTATGCCCTATGGCCCTCTGGGCTCTAAGGTCGCCACTCATAAAGACAATTATTGTTATTGTTAATATATATGCTCCCAAGCCCCTCTTTTTGCAAGCTTGATTTGTGTTTGGGCAGGCCATAACAAGTATGGCACACTCTGTTGCTCGTCTAGATTGGGCAGACTAATCAAGTTGTCCCTGGCAAGCATAATGTTTTAGATCTTTTGATTGTGTAATACAAGGGAGACCAGATTAACTGCGTACTGATCGCTGGGATGGAATGGCTGGTGTCTCCACAATGCATGTACACTTTGACCAAATGATTCAGCATGCGGCGTTGCCTCACGCCAAACGCATCCTTGAGATTCATGCGTTTCACGTCATCTTCTTTGTGGCGCTGGGGTCCGCTGGTACTATGGATTCTATCACAAAACTATGTGAAGCAAAGTCTGCAGCATCGCCGCGGTGGAGAAGGGCCGGAGGCGGTGTGCCACAGCAGCCTGTTGACCGCCGCATCAACATCGGAACGGGGCCTGGACTGCGCGATGAAGGGGAGATGACTGCCTAAGCTTTGAGGAATTTTCCCTGCATATTTCTAGAGGTGTGCAAAGCCACCGGCGCATTTTGAAGCATCACAAGCCAAAGCAGCTTAGAGGGAGGGTGTACTGCAAAGGATCGCCCTTGCGACAACCACCGGCGCTCTCTACATTTTGGCAGGCATCGGTTGTTTTTAAAAATGCATTAGAGCTGCTCTGGCCTGGTATTCATGGCAACAAGGGATCGGTAATGTGAATCTTGAAGCCAGACTTTAAGATGCCAGCAATCGTTTCCGCCTGGCAAAATTCACTCGCGCTGCAGATTGATCGATTCAGTCGTGAAATGTAGTCGTTCATTGTAGATCTGCTTCGTTTGATCATGCATTGCTTGGCAATTTTATCGTTTCTGACACCTTTAGAGAGTTCCAGCTTGCAGACACCTGCTTCCACAGCTCAAAGTTGTGACATGAACAGAAGCTGGAAAGCGCGTTTAGCGCCATTTGACAGCCATCCTCATCCTTGAGCAGATGCAGGCCAGGACAGGGTCTTCGCATCAGACCTGAGATGCTTTTTGTATGATGCTATCTGCAGGGCCCTCCGGCAGCTCCAGCATCATGCCGAGCACCAGGTCAGTGTGCTTGGGCATCCTGATGGCCAGCTGCTTGGCCATCTTCTTTTACAGAGGAGACATGCTCATCAGGAGCAGGGACTCCCTACACATGCGCACCCAGGGACACTTGAGCATGCGCGTGCTCATGAAGGAGCATGGAGCTCGGACGCATGCTCTGAGGCCGCGCCACCATGCAGGTGATGCTTCCGTGCTGTGCACAGCACAGTTGTGCCGACAGGCGGTAAGCCTTCAGCAATGCTTGCATGCAAATCGATTGCTAATTGCGACAGAACAGGATAGCATCATGAGGTTTCCCAGCTATTTTGCAGCATTACCATTGACCTGCTTGTCAGCTATTGGCAGCTCAGAGTCAGCAGGCACAGCAGACGATGCAGAAATGGTCGCTGGAAGACAGCAGCTACCTGGCTCATCCCCATGCATGGCATACATACTTCATGTTAGATGTGGGACTCTCTGTCCCTGACATGCCTCCTGTGGGTGAATGGCCAGGTGGCGCAAAGCTGGAGTTGCCAGAGGGGGCATCTCAGATTGACAGCCCCCTGGAGCGGCTGGAGAATCACTACTCCAGCCGCGGTGCACCCGGGCCCTACTTTGCCATGTGCCTCGTGGTGAAGGACCAGGGAGATGACCTGCGAGAGTGGGTGGACTACCACCGCAGCATTGGCGCTGAGAAGTTCTACATCTTCGATGACAACAGCAGCGTCCCTGCCCTGCTCGAGGTCCAGGATCTCATCCATGCAGGTCAGCCTGCAGACTTAAATATTCTGCATCCCTCATATGTTCATGTCCGGTTCACTCAGATGGATCCTACATCCTTAATGCCACCCCGGCATTTTGCATGCAGTCTCTCAATACTGGTATTTATACCTATGGGAAGCTTCTGGATACATGTTTGATGCATGAAATTTTCATAAGGCTACCATGATGCATGAGTATCTTTTAAAAAAGGTCAGCAGCCGTGAGGCCGCCAGCAAGGCATGATTGATTTATACTGAGGGTCAGGTGATGTCATGCATGTGGCAGGCATTGTGGTATATGAGACTATAGAGAGCTATGATCACCCCTCCGACAAGGTGCAGCTGTGGGTGTATGACACCTGCATACAACGCTACGCCGGCCAGCACCAGTGGATGGCATTTGTGGACGTCGATGAGTACTTTGTCATCACTGACAGCAACATCACAGCCTTGCCAGACCTGCTGAAGGACTACGAGGACTATGGGGGCCTGGTGGCAAACTGGCAGGTCTGTTAACTTCCAGCATGGCTGACATGCATGGCCGGCAAGAAACTGCATGTCCTTGTCCTCTAGGTATCAATGCATGCATGTAGAAGACCATGAGGGACAGAGACAATGTCACCATTTTGCAGCTACCATGTGCATTTATGCATGCAAGCAATGCATGCATATGAAGCCTGGCAGCACATATGAGAGTGCATGCTTCATCACTTGGCAGATTGCATGGGCTAGCACTAAAGTAACCATTGAGTCTTGCCAAAATGGGGTAACAGCGCATGTGACATGCATGTGCAGTGCTGAGTGAGGATGTCCTGCCTGCTGCAGATGTTTGGCTCGTCTGGGCACATGAGCAGGCCGCCAGGGGGCACGCTAGAGTCCTATGTGCAGTGCTTTCCAGTCGATCACAGGGAGAACCGGCACATCAAGAGTATCGTCAACCTAGACTATGCTGAGCGCGCAGACCGCGACCCACACCACTTCCTCTTCAAGGTGCGGCCTCGCCTCCTCTTGCGCAGCTCTTTCATCCTGATATGTGATGCATGCCCACCCTCCTGCTGCAGCTGTAGAGCGTCATGCATGCCAGCTCTCTCACTCTGCCAGGTTTACTGGCTTTTCATGTATTGCTCCTCTGGATCTTGATACATGATAGGCAAGACAGGGATGCAAAGACAGGCAAAATTAGGTCTATGGGGATGATACAAGTTGGATCAATCGATTGGCTAATGACTTTGAAATGGACAACGTGAGCCTGTGCTTGAGCAGGAGAACATAGTTATTTGACGCCAACGTCCAGCCAGGTAGTGAGATTCACAAAGTGAGATCTAAGTGGTGGTGATGTGCATGCATGCAGGATGGCAAGCATTCAGTCAACACAGCTCGTCAGATGGTTGATGGCCCCATGGCAGAGGATGTTGTGACGGACCGGCTGCTGCTGCACCATTATGTGACAAAGTCCCTGGAGCAGTACCTCGCCAAGATCACCCGCGGCAGCGCGATGGGCAACCGCAAGAGCATCGAGTTCTTCGACTTTGTGCAAAAGGAGGCCACAGAGAACTGCACAGCTGCGCTGCACCTGGGCCGGTAGCTGGCTCTCCTGGCCTGCAGTGGAAGCTTCGGTGTAGCTGCTTGAATTGCACAGCTGCGCTGCACCTGAGCGTCTAGCTGGCTTTGCTTGAGCTGCAGTGGTAGTGTCAGTAAAGCTGCTCTTGCAGATTATCGGGATGGAAACTGCTTTTCCATCGGATGTTCATGCAGCCTGGTAGCTGCATGTGTTTTTCCACACCCGCAGACAGAATCACCTGGGTGCCTTCTGGTCTTTTTCCAGCTGGCCAATGCTGCAGCTGTCCTTTCTTCAGCAGCGGCTGTCATGCAACATGCATTGCAATTGCCAGCCAACCTGGCTTCAATTCTTGCGCTGCCTGCCATGGGCTCTCAATGTCTTTCAGCTGCAGAGGGTGTTTTGGAGGACCTTCCAAAGTCCCATGGTTTGGGCAGTCAAGGCTTCAAACATGCCAAAAGCCTTGGTAACGGATGATGTCTGTTGCTCGTGGGATCGATACAGTAAGCAACTTATACATGAAGCCTGATGTGTCTGGCAATCTGCCTGGAACAGATGAGGGGGATTTGCAAATCAGCAAAGAATGTCAAGCGTTTTCTTTTTACTGATATTTAGAGCACTGGCGGCGATATAACAATTCATTCACCAATTCCAACTTTGGAAGTCCTCTATCTTTGCTGGCGATGTTCACCGTACAGGGCGCAGACTGTGCCGCACAGTGATTACAGTATAGGTGAGTAGGGTAGATTGATTTGGAAGTATTCTAGCAGCAAAGTAGAGCATGCATGCGCAGTGCGTGACTGTTACGAAGGCCTTGGCAGAAGTGATCGTGTGAAGTCGGATCTTTTTCCATGAATATGTCCTCTGTAATTATACGCAACACGTGTCGATTGCACAGCATCAGCGCTTGTCAGTGGCACGCAAGCAAAAGGCTCAGTGCGCGTGCTGTACATATTATATATATACGCATTAGCAGTGCTAATTTAGCACCTCCCTGCCGGCAACAGAAGGCTTACAAATACTGAATTGTTGGGGAATTGACCTCTAGAATTTCAGATGCATGGATGAATGAGCCCAAGTATCAGTAAGAGTCTCAGAATCCTTTACACGGAGCATTCTCTGTACAGTCTTTGTACACAATGTGAGGCGAGCACATGCACCGGGCCCTTGTAAAACCCATGGGATCATCAGCCTGATCAGTCATGGCCGGCATGAGCCATGCATGCGCAGAGCTGGCAACTGCCTATTTTCCAACTGTGCACGAGACAGTCCGTGCCACCACCACCTGCGTCCGTAATGGCATCCGCAACAGGTGGTGACATTGCACCTCGACTTCAAAATAGCCAGGGGTTGCCTAGTCTGGCTGCTCTGCTCAGGTGGCATCTGTCGACTCCTGTCAGACGTCGTACTATGCGTTTCAAAAAAATTCCCGTTGTCCATTCTGTGTCCTGTCTGTCTGCCACATTTACCGCCACCCAGTCCTGTTATTGTGCTGCCTGTCGCGAGATAAGGTGTCGGGCTGCCTTTTTCAGGCCGTGAAAACAACCCGCCATCTGTATATTTGAAGATGCTGAGCGCCTGACTGTATCCGTCTGGCAGAAAACATGAGTTTGGCACGTAAATTGGTGGTTCTTTGCGCCATTATGGCCACAGCAAAAGCCCAAACTGCACAGGCACCGTCTCAATATCTGGGCACAGCACTAGGCCCAAGTCCTGCCAGCGCGTTTGAACGCAGTGACAAGTACAGATTGGCACCCCAGCCCGGCTTTCAGCAGCGTGCATCAACTGTGAGTTTTGAAAGTGGGTACTCTGGCTCGCCGGAGTTCAATCGCAGCGCAGGGCACCCGAGTAATCAAAATCCACTACTTTAGTGGATGTAAACGCTACTAATGTGGTGGATTATTGGCAATCAGGGGCCATGCCACCTGGTAACACATTCCATAGCATGCCATTTTGGTAATAAAAATTAGGCCTTTCGTCAGTAAGCATGGAGAATGATCAGTGATGTGTTTCTGTACCGAGCATGTCACTTATTATTGCTAGGATCCCGTGTTACAAGTGTGGCAGTGACAAGGAGAAGCTTCATCCGAACTGCGCAAGTTCAGAACGCTTGACTCGCTGTGTAGGTTGTGATTATATTATCAGATTCTATTCAGAAGGTCTGACAAAGGACGAATACGGCCACGACGCTGTTGCCGACTGGGTCTTCAAACAAGAGGCAAGGGTGCCATTGCAACGTTGCAATGCCGTGGACTCAGGGGTCAGATATTTCCATCAGAGCTGCCTTGGCCGAGATGAACCTTCAGCATTGTCCAGAGCTAATGGCTACTATTCTATTCGCGGGAAGATTGAGAGCGAAAAGTATCCAGAGCTCAGAAATATTACCCACAAATGCTGTGAGGACTGCGTCATTGCAGCCCAAACCAGGGGCAAGGATCTCAATGAGGATAAGTTGAATTTTATCATGCATCAAGGAGTGATTGGTAGGTCTCAATAAGCACTCCATCTTTGAAGGTTGGGAACACCTATGTTTTGAATCTCCCCATGACCTTGACACAGAGTAACTAACTCTGACTTTTGCGTTGCGTTCAGAGGCAGAGACCGGCGACTTGGAGAGGAAGAGAGCCGATAGGCGATCAAGCAAGATTCGAGGCATCATTGGTGGTCAGCAGGCTCGCCTCGAAGACAATGGGACGACTTCGACCGCCATCTTTGCAACGAGACACCTCAATCAGAAAGTCAGCTTCAGCAAGAGCGCCAGCAGATTGCTGGCAGCAGTGCCCAACCTGAACAGGACAGTGATGGCAGCCTCGTATCTCCAGGCCAGTGGACTTCAGGCAGGCCAGACAGCCCAAGGACAGGCGCAGAGGGGCGCCACAGCTGCAGCAGGCGGCATGCAGGGTCCCGCAGCCCCAGAGGCAGAAGCTGCAGGACCTTCGCAAGCGCCACAGCCAGGGATCAGCCGCAGGCAGCTCAGCGCTCAGGGAGCCGAGCAGGACATCGTCCAACGGTGGCTTGCGTTCAGCCTCAAGGCCTCATCCACCGTTGCAGAGCTGAAGCGGTTCCTGCTTGACAGAGGCCAGCGGCCAGTGATCTTCACCAGAAGCGCGCTGCTCGCCAGGGTGGAAGGGCTGCTTAGATTTGAGCATCCAGAAGGTAGCTATCCATGATGGCTGTAACGATCAGCGCCTACACATCTTATGCCTGGCAAATTAATAACATGTCCTCACCATTTCCTCTGGACATCTTATGCGCTGGCAGCTAATGGATGCTGTCATGCAGGTGGACTGGAGCCGAGTGCGGCGGCGGTTGAAGAGATCACAGCCGCTGTTGAGGCCGCAGCCCAACCGGCACGGCAAAGACCAGCAAGGCAGAAGGTGGGCATCTTGTTGAGGATCCTTATGTTTGCATGTGCTTTGTGAACGCCTCTCATCTGTCAAGCTGCTGGTGCAGTGAAAGCGAGTTTGGCTGAACACACTGATTGTAAGTTATTGTTGTTACAGGCGCCGAAGAAGTCACAGCTTCAGATGGAAGCGGCCAAGTCCATTGTTAACAAGGGTGAGTGGGCGCTCTCAGCTGGAAGCTCTGATCACCTGGTGACTGTTGCACACCCGAGAAGGCTTTAACTTCTGCAGATTTGATGGAAGGGAATGATAGCCAGTCAATTGAGGCGCTCACATGTTTGCAGGAGTGAGCAGCGGCCTGCCCGTGGTCAAACTCAAGCAGATTGACGAGTTGCTCTGGACCTTCGACAAGTGCCACTACCTGCCGCAGTTGGGGGAGAGCACTCCCTCGATTGGTGTCGCTCTCTGGGCCGTCACAAGCACGCTGCACCGCGACGGGGAGTTCCCAGCACGCAACTTGTCCCAGTTGGGTCGTGCTGCCAAGGCTCCTGTTGGTTTGGTGCGCGCTGTGCAGCCAGGCAGCGATGGCACCCAGCTGCATATGGAGATATGGTTCCTCGAGGCGCGCGTGCAGACAGATAGCCAGGGGGAGCCCGAGGCAGCGGTGGCAGGGGAAGGCGGTGGGGCACGCGCAGATGTGGAGGGACGGGGTGCAGGAGAGGCAGCCACCGGTGGGGGCGTGCAGGAAGGGCATGGGCGGGGTCGGGGCAGGAAGCGTGGCCGCCGCGGCACAGGCGGGGCGCGTGGCAGCAATCGGCCCAGAAGGGGCAGCCGAGGCAGGCTCAGGCGCCCAACCGCCAGAGCCGCAGAGTTTTGGGGTCCCCCCACTGAGGGCGACGAAGACGAGGTTGGGAACCTCTTCTCTGAGTCAGATGCGGATGACCAGCCAGCGCAGCAGCACAGTGACCCAGCAGAGCCAGAAGGGCAGGCAGAGGGTGTCCTGCCTGAGGCCAGCGAAGTGCCGCCGCAGCCCACAGCTTGTGCGAGCCAGTCGCCGTTGCACGGCTGCTTGCTGGCAGATGAGTCGCCGCAGCCTGTGCCAGTCCCCAACGTGCGGCTGAGCATGCAGGGGCATGCCGCATCGCCGGCCAAAATGGCTGTGCTGGTGATCGACTACCGGCACATTGCAGCGGCCCTCTGTCATCCAAAACGGCTGAAGGTGGCTCTCGGAGGCGCTGCCGGGAGCTCGCCCATGAACGTCGAAGAGGCTGCAACTGGTGTGGCGCTGGCAATGTTGCTGGCTGAGGAGCAGAATGCGGCGCGCGCCGGAGAAGGTGAGGAGCCATCATGGCTCTCTTTGTCCTGGCTTATATGATTCCACTCACAGTGAGTTTCTAAGTTATAATGCCATGCGAATCATACCCCGAAGGTTTATCGACAGGTAATTGTCAGCAATAAGCTGACGACAGGCATGTGTTGTCTAGGTGGGAGTGCTACGGCAGCGGAGCAGTCGCAGTCAGCCTTGGAGCAGTCACCGCTGTCTGGCGCCATGGTCTTCTTTGATCCTGCTCTGGAGCTCGCTGCCGATGAGGAGCCAGCTTCCTCCTACCGCTCTGCAGATGGCCCAGCAGGCATGTACAAAATCCTGCTCTGTCATTCCTGTGAACTTGTCAACTGACTGCT